TCTTGGCACCGGGCCACCTCTGATTGGCCGTCCTCCCGTTTGCCTGGTGCCAAGAGCCCTCTTGGCACCGGGCACCGTCTGATTGGCTCTCGACGAGCGGGGCCCCCAGTCTTGCCTGAGGCGCCTGCCTCCTGCAGCTGGTCCAGTACGAACCAGGTTCGTCACACCAATATGCTGTTTTGGCCGGCCGGAATACACCAACCTACCATAAGAGGGGTCGCCGTGGTATACTAGCTGTGACGGCGGTCAACAGCAGCTAGGAAGAAAGTCGCTAGTATTACTATACCATTGTCTAAGGATTCTAAGATAAGGAAAAGAAAGGAAGAAATTCTACAAAGGTGTGATCCCGGGCGCGGGGAAGTGGTGGTTGTGCCAATCATGCACGGACCAATAGAGTTCGCGCCCCACCAGGGCCCTAGTCCCGATTGGGGATAGTGCCGGGTAGCGTCATGGCGGGGTTCGGTGCAGCTGGGCGCCGACCGTGACACTAGCTACACCACAGAAACAGCTTATCCCGACTTTCTTAGAGGAAGGCATACCCTCTCGCCGGGGAATTCCACCTAGCCGGCTAGCAGACCGTATCTCAGGCTTAGCTGGCTATTCGAACCAGGCCATTCGGTATGCCCTGGGGGCTCTTGGCTGTGTAATTACACAGCAACCATCGATAATTATCCTGCAACCTACCCATAAATCTAATCGGCTAACTTGGTGTCTACAACGTCGGCACCTCTCCGAGGATGATTGGGAGTCATGGATCTGGAGCGACGAAACCTGGGTCAACGGAAGCTCTGGTCGTAAGTCTCTGATTCTCCTACCTGGCGAGAAACCAACAGAATTCCCACAACCTAAAGTTCGCCGTAAAGGGTGGATGTTCTGGGGATGTTTCGCCGAATCTCAGAAAGGCCCTTTTATTGTGTGGGATAAAGAGCTCAAGGATAAGTCTAAAGACCTATCCAAGGCCAAGGGGCATATTAACTCGGCAAAATACCAAGAATATGTGTTTCCATTACTTCTTGACTTCCATAAGAAGATTTCTGGCTCGACAATCCAACAAGATAATGCCCCAGCGCATACATCGAAGTCTTCCAAGGCTTGGATCCAGGAGCATTTTCCTACCGGCGTTGTGGTCGATTTTCCACCTCGGAGCCCCGACCTTAATCCTATTGAGAATTTCTGGCCGTGGATGAAGCGGTGGATTGAAGATAATAGTATTACAAACCACTCGACTGTTAGGGTCGTCTATCTGTAAGGGAGCACGGGCTCCACGGGATGCTGGGGTTGGTAATTATGAAGATAGAACAAAGGGCAAGCTCCTATCGCACGGGTAATACAGTCAAATCGGAATGCCACCTCAAGTATATGAGTGCAGTGAATGTGTATTGCTTGCTTGCAGAACCAAGTGTTACGATCCTGGTTCAAAGGTGCAGAGGGCGCGCCCGCCTTCTGTGGATTGGCTGGAACAGCATTTAAGGTGGGGGGCTCTCGCTCAAGGGTGCATCCAATGAGGGAGTGCTCAGTGGGGCCGTTGCCGAGACCCACTAAGCGCACTAAGCGGGGAGCTCAGTAGGATCAGTGCCGAGACCCACTGAGCGCACTGAGCGGGGAGCTCAGTAGGGATCAGTGCGTCTAGGACTGAGCACAACTGAGCATGTGAGTCAGGAACTCTGATTGGTCCTCCTTAGATAGATATATACGACGACCGTAGCCACGGTCCTAGATAGTTCTTGCTTGGTTCTTCAAGCAAGCAATACACATTCATTGCACTCATACACTTTGAGTGGCATTCCGATTTGACTGTATTACCCGTACGAAAGGAGCTTGCCCTTTGTTCTATCTTCATAATTACCAACCCCAGCATCCTGTGGAGCCCGTGCTCCCTTACAGACAAACGACCCTAACAGTCGAGTGGTTTGTAATACCAAGCAAGAACTATCTAAGACCGTGGGTACGGTCATCGTATATATCTATCTGTAGAACCAATAAAAATAGTCGCAGGGTCCCGGCCCCCGTGCTACGGGTAAGGCATTGATCGAAGCTATAAAGGAAGCTTGGGCTGCTGTACCGACCGAGATGCTACGGAACTGTGCCAGATCTATGAAGCAGAGGGTGGAAGCGGTGATTGCGGCTGGTGGAGATTTTATTGGAAACTAAACTCCGGGCGTGTATTTAGCGAAGTACTGAAATAACATCGTTATGCACCACAACTGTACTTCCTTCATTCTTTATTTTTCTTTCATTCCTAGCCTCGGAATGCCCTCATTTCGAGCGATTACAAAACTTCCCCTGCCTTCTTTCAACGAGGATAAGGAAGCGTTCTTTTCTGTACTTTTAGATCTATTTGGCTAGACAATTTAATGCGCTGTCAACTTCGATCACGTACAAGAGCAAGCTCTGGGCTCACAACTTCGTCAAACGCTAACCAGAACTCTGGACGCGTTTTACGCGTTTTACGACTATTAAAGGCCGAATACGAAGATCCGAAAGTTATTCGCGACTGGTTTGTACTTGTATATAATACTAAAGCTAAATACGGAATCCTTGACGAAGATATATATAACTTTGACGAGACCGGGTGAAAGGAAAAGGACACCCACCTTACTAAGTACCTGTCAACGCGCACTCCCTTGCACGCATTGACCATCTAATTAGCACCACCGGGCCAGACCACTGCCGGCTGGCATGAGCCGCTAAGCCAATACCGGGCGCCTTGTGCCCACTAGCACATTCGGGACTGAGCCCCTGAGCATGTATATAAACAAGAGCTTTGATGCACGCACCCACCACTCTTTTCCTCGCACCTGCCTGGGGACCTTGGCAGCCGTTGGCAGTTGAGATACGCAGAGCCTATTTTAGGCCGGTAAAATCGTGAAACCCCGTCTCCCCGCCCATGCGCTTCCCATATGCCAACCCAGCCGCCCGGGCGCCCGGGTCAACAACGTTGAAGCCATCAAAACCTCCAAAAGCCCTGAAAACGCGTTTACCGTGGTGTTTTTAATTTTGACGATTTCTTCGTTGCTGAGTCGGCTTCGGAATAAAGGTAACTTGCAAATGCCAACTCTGAGGCCCGGATTTGTACCTAAATTTGCCAAATTTCATGGTAGGCGCCCAGTTGCCTAAATGATCTATCTGTTCAATCCTAATTTGTTGACACAGTGATGCAATTCCCTGGCGTCGACTCTATCAATCTAGTAACCTAGTCTATGTCAACCTGGTAACTCTCGCTGCCCTTCCTACGAGGATAAGGGTCATCTTCACGGGACAGCGACAGCCAGCGCGAGGGAGCCGGGGACGGCGAGGGCGAGGGAGCTTGAATCGTCAGACCAAATCTCGATAAAAGGCATTACTGTGACGGCGCCAGCTCACAGCACCCACTACCACTGCGCTAGAACCCCTAAAAGGATGCTAGAATTGCAAGTCGACAACTTGCAACCTGTAGTGGGTTATAGTATGCTACGGCCGTTGCGCGCCGTGACAATTACGAAGACTGTGAGCGGGAAGGTAGATTGATGATGTGTTCAAGGGTTGTTTGGCAAAGGAAAAGCCTTCAAAGGCCACCTGGCCGCTGCAGACCTTAAAACACCAACTGCGCACACAATTGCCGGCATGTGGAAGTGTAAGTAGTGTCATTTTGACTTTGCCGAGCTTCCTTAGTGCCCGGTATGCTTCCTTAATGCCCGGTAGGCCGTTGGGTGGCTGCCATGCAATACGGCATTTTACCATACAAAAAGCGGCCCTGTGTTGTTGCCAGCTACCAATGACCCCCAGGTAGGTGGGAGGAAAAAAGTGGTGGGTGCGTGCATCAAGGCTCATAAACAATGGCCCTCGACCTCTCCTTTGCGAGGGCCAGGTTGAAGTCTTACCCCAATACCAGTCATTGCTCACCCTCCTATTTTCTTTCATTGTGACCACCTTGATCCGGCGTACCTGCCCTCTTACATCGCTGTTACGAATCCCTGCGGAAATGCGTGAAGGTGGGGCACTCCCTGTTTGGTGTGGACCAATCAGAGGTGTCCCAGGGTCCCGAGAACTTGGGCCCGGGGACACAGGACAGCCCCGGAGGACCGGCGTCCCGGATGCGGGACCACGAGACAGTGGGACCATTGTTATTGGTCCAGTAGATAGATATATACAACAACCGTGCCCACGGTTCTAGATAGCTCTTGCTTGATCTCTCAAGCAAGCAATACACATTCACTGCACTCATACACTTTTTGTCACGCGCATTCACAGGGCAACGGAAATGAAGCATTTGATACAGGGAGGTAAGGCTTGAATTGTCTGAAAAGGTCTAATCTCTTGTTTCCTTTTGCAGGTCCAAAAGTCTCTTTTTTATAGTCATGAATAGTGGCAAAAGCTGGTGGCGAAGAATCACATAGCAGCTTCTAGATCTTTCTTGCTCACTAATCCCAATATTGTGACACTTTTCCTGTCGACACAGACGAGTCACTCCACACCACAAAGAGGCGAGAACTCAGAACAACACCCGCTGCCGGGTTTTGGACAAGCCCGCGATGCACTGGAACCAGGCTGTTGCCGTCTTGGCGCTTACCGCGAGGCCGGGAATGCGCTGCTACGCTTTTCGTGCTCCTCCTTGGTGACCGAGAGGCTTGACAGTGACTAGCCCCCCTTCGGCCCCTGTTCGAGCACGGCACTGACGTGACTCTAGCCTGGTTAAACCCGGCCTGGCACCATCGCCTCACCTTCACCAGATTGTTGGAGGAGTGGGGCCCTACACCCCTTGCTCTATGTCACCTAAGATTTGAGCCACATCCGAGCCATAACCGAGTTGAACCTTAAAAGGCCCTCTATGACGCTCACTTCCTAGTATCACGAAATTTCCTTTGTTTACTTTCAAAACCCTTCAAACCCCTGTCAACTTTGATCACGGGCCAGACTCTACAACAAACATCAGATCAACATTCGATCATGAAAATAGCAAGATGCATGAACACACAAACAACTAACAAACGGGGCGCTTACAGAATGCCTTGAACGTCACCATGGACCCCAAGTCGCCGCCGCCGGCCCAGGCCACGTGCACCACGTGCACCACATGCACTACCTGCACCTTTGCCGACGACTTCTCCAACTACTGGACGGCGGTGCTGTACTTCAAGGCGCGCAACGGCAGCTACCACCGGGTGCCGCTGAAGCCTAGCTTGGGGTTCGAGAAGGCGGCCGGGGGGGGGGGGGGGGGGGGCGGGGGGGGGCAGATCATCTACTACATCCCGCAATCGAAAGGCACCGTGACGGCGTTCAAGCCTGCCCGGATTCCGCATGCTGACGGGCCAGCAGCAGTTCCGGACCAAGCAGGAGGCGTCGCAGTTCCGGCAGCTAACGTACACGTGCCTGTAGACGATCCTGACCCATAGAGGCTGCGGTTCGAATCCCAGCAGCGGCTAGCCGTCTTTAGCACCCTCGACAATACCAGCTCTATTTAGTCGTGGGGCCCGACAGGAATGCGGCCTCCACATGGAATATACGCTCGAGATCACCAGCTGACCGAACGGGGGATGCTCTTAATTGATGACGCGTCCCAGTCGGTGGTCTGTGAGAGAAGATAACTAATTAAACGGTCACGGTCTGTTGGAACAACGCGCTAGTCAGCCACAGATGTGGGGGTGGAGGCGAAGGCAGCCACATGTGGCTGTGGAGGGGCAGGGGCGCAGGGCCACCGAACCTAAATAAGTGGCCTACGGCCACTTCCACCTTCCTTCTTAGAGACACACATAGACAACGAAATCCAACACTTGAACCACCAATATACGGCGAACAGCGCGCCCTGTTGATTCCAGTACCGGTACCTGGTGATTCCAACAGTCACGATATGTGAGATGGCGCCATAATCAATGCTCATTGTTCCGAGCTCTTCAGTTAGACTGGTCCTAGCCTCCAGGGCAGTCTGGATGACCGCGGTCCTCCTTCCCCTCTCTTCCAAAGGAACCCTTCCAAAACGCTCAAAAATCGACGAGCGCCATGCCTGCCTCGGGGTACCTGGTGCCGTAAACCGGGAAGCAGGCCAAGATGTCGTCAATGGCCTTCAGATCCGGGCCCGACAAGTCCACGGCGGCCAGGTTCTCCTTGATCCTGTTGGCGGACCGCGCGCCGGCAATGGGGATGATGAACGGCACGCCGGGCCTGGAGCTCTGGGCCCTGACCCACGACAGCGTGAGCTGCGGCAGCGAGGCGCCCTTGGCCCGCGCGAACTTCTCCAGCTCGCGCACCAGCTCTAGGTTCTTCTCGAAGTTGCCCGGCCGGAACTTGGGGAACACGCGCGGGTAGTGGCCCTTGGGCAGGTCGTCGAGGCTCTTGATGCGGCCCGTCAGCATGCCGGCGCCGAGCGGCGAGTGCGCGACGATGGGGATGGCGAGCTCGGCGCAGGCCGCCGCGATGCCCTTGCTGAACACGTCGGTCGACCACAAGCTGACCTCCTCCTCGACGAGGTCGATCTTGGCGGTGGCGGCAGCGCGGCGGATGGTGGCCGGGCCGGCCTCGCTGAGCTGGATGCCGCCGATGGCGCCCTGGGCCACGAGCTCGGCGAGCGCGCCGACCGTCTCCTCGATGGGCACCTTCTTGTCGACGCGCGCGATGCCGAACACGTCGATCTTCTTGACGCCGCCGAGGATCGCGTTGGCGCTGGCCACCCACCGGCGCACGCCGGCGGCCGACCCGTCGATCAGCAGCTTCTTCATGTCGACCACGCCGCTCTTGATGCACACGACCACCTTGTCGCCGTCCTCGGGGTACTTGGCGAAGTAGCGCGCCAGCAAGTGCAGCGAGTTGCTCTCGGGCGTGCCGTAGAAGTCGGCGGCGCTCCACAGCGTGACGCCCGCCGCGACGGCCGCCTTGAGCACGGCAAACGTCTCCTCGTCCGGCATCGCGGCCTCGTGCTCGGTGAAGCCTGCGGTCTGGTTAGCACGTGCAGCATTGCCAAGCGCGAGTGGGGCCTGTAATCACGCATGAGTCCGAGGCCATTCTGGCTGACCGTCTTGCCAGCGATGGTAGTCGTCATCTTGGAGATGTCGGGATAAATATGTGCGGCAAGCGTCTTGGCGGGGGTTTGATGGTGTTGAAAGCAAGCCTGTTCGCTGCCAGGGACAGGAATGCAATCCCAGTTTTTTTGTCTAAAATTGAAAAACTGGAAAGAGGTGGTGCAACGTCTCGACTAGTTGCGACCTTGGAGGGGGTTGAAAGTGTATTGCTTGGCTTAAATCCGAGCCCCTCAGATGAAGACGCTGGAAGCCATCTGATGGGGATGGAGGGGTAATGCCAATGAGGATGAGGCAAAAGGGCCCCTTCTCGGGGCAAAAGGGTCCCTTCTCGGGAGTCTTCTCGACAATCAATCCAGACAAACGACAGGTCGGGTCCAAGTTAATTAGCTCCTGGTTTGCGTTCCCCTGGTTTGCGGTCCTGCAGGCAACTCCGTGATAGCTCTTCTGTAAAAATTAGCGTTGTCACTCCAAAACTAGTCTAGTCCCGTTGTTCAATTGCGAGAAGGGCTGGCTGTGGTGGGTTTGACGGGGTGCGGACTTAACGCCCAGGAGCTAATCCTATCTCCGGTGTCACTGTGAACGAGAAGCTGGTTGTGTATCATGAAGCTGTGGACTGGAGTAGGCGCGTGGGCCGGAAAAGAGATCAGCGGATAAGCAGATAAGCGGGAGGTTAATTTGGCCGAAGGCACGGGAGGCTCTCAGCCGCAGCCCGATGGACACGTTCACAACATGCGATTGCTGGTTCCACCTTCCGTGCTTGGCAAAACCCGCCGGACGACCTGCAGGCGCCACGCCATGCAGAACAGGGGAAGCCAACGTGCCAGCCGGAAACCGCCCAGCCGGAAACCGCGCATCAGCCCCGAAACAAAGAAAACGCGAGACTTGTGAGGTACAGTGACGTCACAGGTAAACATGGAAACCAGCATTTCAATTTGGCATTGTCAAATGTCAATTGACGATACTTGAAAGGATCGAGACTAGAGGATCGAGACTAGAGCATATCCTCTTTACTAGATAGGATTGATTGCGAGCGTTTAAACCTCCACCTTGAAGCTAATTATGACACTTGTTCTAGAGTTGCAGGTGCCTTAGGAACTACTGCACGGCGCGCTTGTGCAGACGAACTGGCAAAGGGGGCTTCTGCCACATGACGTAGACCTTCTGTCTCTCAATGTCGAAGCCGTCGTCCAGCAGGTCAAAGTCGAAGCGCCACAGCAGCCGCGCGAGGATGAGCTTGGTCTCGGCATACGCCAGATTCATGCCGATGCAGTTCCTGGGCCCGACCGAGAAGGGCTGGCACGCCTCGAGGCGGTCGTCCCTGGCCCAGTCCGGCCGCTCGGCGGCGGCGAGCCACCGCTCGGGCGCGAACCGCGCCGGCTGCGCAAAGTTGCGGGCATCGTAGCTGGCCGCCAGCGCGTACACGCTAACGACGGTGCCGCCGGGCAGCGCCGTGCCGCCGACCACGGCGCCCTCGGGCGGTACCGCGCGCTTCAGCTCGCCCGAGATGGGCGGGTACAGGCGCAGCGCCTCGTCGACCACGGCGCGCAGGTACGGCAGCCCGGCCAGGGGCGCCATGGCGATGTCGGCCTCGCACCCGAACGCGCGCGCCAGCTCGCCGCGCAGCCGCGCCAGGGCGTCGGGCGTCTTCAGCAGCAGGTACAGGCACCCCGAGACGGTGGTGGCGATGGTGTCGCTGCCGGCCGGGATCAGCAGCGCGGCGTTGACCTCCATCTCCTCGACCGACATGGAGCCCTCCCTGTGCTCGTTCTGGCGCGAGATGTACGTCCAGAAGTCGTGCCGGCTCTCGTCGTCGGCCATGCGGATCCGCTGCCGCACCTTCTCGTAGCTGCGCCGCAGGTGCTCCTCGCCCTTGCGCAGGTGCCGGATGGGGCCGAAGGCGAGCACGAGCGGGAAGAAGATGCCGCACATGCGCGCCGTCAGCACGTAGTGCGTCGACTTGAAGAAGTTGAGGAGCAGCGTGACCCACGGGTGGTAGGCCTGGTTGTCGAGGCAGTGGAAGGAGCTGCTGAAGGCCAGGGTGCCGATGATGTCGAAGGCGAGGAACTCGACCCACTCGACCATGTTGAAGGGCTGCGCCTGCTCGCACTTCTCGTCGAGCCGGGCGAGCAGGAGGTCGATGTGGTCCTGGAAGTAGTGCTCCTGCTCCCGCAGCGCCTTGTCCGAGAAGGCCCGGCTGAGCGCCGCCCGCTGCCGGGCGTGGTCGTCGCCGCTGGCGGTCAGCAGGTCCGGCACGCCAGGCCGCAGCTGGCGGTAGCCCGACTTCTTGAACTTTTTGACGCCGGGGTACCCGTAAATCTCGCGCCAGGCGGTTGGCTCCGTGAAGGAGACGATGTCGGGGTTGACCCGGACGACCGGGCCGTATCTGGCGTGGAGGTCTCGGACGGCATGGGACTCGCGACCCTGCAGGCTCATGGCGATGCAGGGGAGAAAGGAGAACTTGCGCGCGGGCGGTCCAGGGACCTTGGCGAGGGGGCTGATGGTCGTGGCATAGATTGCGTAGAGCAAGTAATAGGCCAAGTACTGAATTCTCGTTAGCTTCGAGGGGCCAAGGGTGGCTGTTCTCGTATTTACCAAAGCGGCCGCCATTCCAGCGGCCTTTATGGGCGATATATCCCTTAGGTTCGTCCAGCCCGAGTAAGGAGAATCCATCGTGGACAGGACACTTGGTACAAGACCCTCCGCTTTGGTGTTCTCCGCTTTGGTGTTCTCCGCTTTGGCTGTTCTCCGATTTGGCTGTTGAGGCACTCAACAACCAACGGTGAGTTGCAAATTGCTGTCAGAGTGAGATTTGCGAGCGTTGTTTTTTTGCACTAGAAATTGTAGATTTAGTTGTGGGATACTTCGAGGAGTGATGACTAGCGATCTGGATTACAGGGGACTTTCTTTGTGCAGCCCAAACCAGCCGGCATAGAGATCCAAAACGGTAAACCCGCCGGCCGTCCCGAACGTGTAACTCCAACACCAGCTAGATGTTTTACGCCGGCATCACGGCAATAAATTGAAGGCCAATCATTGAAGGCAATCATTGAAGGCCAATCATTGAAGGCCAATATTGACGGCCAATATGAAGGCCAATATTGAAGGCCAATATTGAAGGCTAATCATTGAAGGCAATCAATGACTAGGAATGAGACACCGCGGCTTAATGGGCCGAAGTATCTGCCTAGGCACCTACCCACTGGTAGTACCCAGACACTGCAAATCAGATACGATATAATAATCGTTCCAGGCACACAACTTCGGACTGGGGGTGGTTGGACAGAGTAACAATCAGCAGTTGACGGTCAAAATGTCTGGAACAATCGACACGCACCACCATCTCATTCCCCAGCGGTTCAGGGACCGTAAGTTCTTGAGAGTCTGAACATGTCCCCGCCGGAGTCTGCTAAACATGCTGGGCAGTCTGGTTCGCCAACATCGAAAAGGCGCGCGGCCTGGTGCTGCCGACGTGGGCGCCCGAGGGCACGCTCGGGCTGATCCGAGACGTGGGGCTCGCGGCGGCCATCCTGTCCATGGGCCACCCGGTGCACCCGTACGTGTCGGACCGGAGCCAGATCGGGCCCGTCTGCCGCGAGATCAACGAGTACACGGCGCGATTCCGCGACGAGCACCCGGACCGGCTCGGCTTCCTGGCCACGCTGCCGCCGCTGGACCAGGCCGAGGCGTGCATCGCCGAGATGGCCTACGCCTTCGACGCGCTCAAGGCCGACGGGGTCGTCGTGTTCAGCAGCTACGCGCAAAAGTACCTTGGCCACGCCGACTTCCGCGCCGCGTGGGCCGAGCTCGACCGCCGCGGCGCCGTCGTGCTGGTGCACCCGGGCTTCGAGGGCATGGAGGCCATCGACGAGCCGCGCTACCTGGCGCCGCCCGTCATCGACTGGACGCACGAGACGACGCGCACGGCCGTGCACCTGATCTCGACGGGCGTCACGCGGCAGTTCCCGGCGGTCAAGATCATCCTGTCGCACGCCGGTGGCACGCTGCCGTACGTGGTGCGGCGCGCGGCCAACCTGTGCTGCCGCATCCGGCTAGTGGCCATGACCGAGGACGAATTCGTGGCCGAGGCCCAGCGCTTCTACATCGACGTCGCCTTCAGCTCGTACGACCCGCAGCTGCGCCTTCTGAAGGAGTTTGTCGAGCCCGGCCACGTCCTGTTCGGCAGCGACTTCCCGTGGGAGCACAGCGACGTGGCCGCCGCGCAGCTGGCCGCCACCGAGCGCGTGTTTGCCGACGAGACGCGCGAGGCCGCGCTGCAGCTGTTCCCCCGCCTGCGCCAGTACCATGGCAAGCAGTAGTTACAGTCAAGCGTTATCAGTCAAGCGTTATCAGTCAAGCAGTTATAGTCAAGTAGTGACTAGTCAAGTGTTATCAATCAAGCAGTTATAGTCAAGTAGTGACTAGTCAAGTGTTATCAATCAAGCAGTTATAGTCAAGTAGTGATAAGTCAAGTGTTATCAGTCAAGCAGTTATAGTCAAGTAGTGATTAGTCAAGCGTTATCAGTCAAGCAGTTATCAGTCAAGCAATTATCAGTTATTAGTCGAGTAGTTATTAGTCAAGTAGTTATTAGTCGAGTAGTTATTAGTCAAATAGTTATCAGTCAAGCAGTTGACTAACAAGGCCGGAAATAATTATCGTTTTTGTATAACGTGGTCTGTCCTATCTGCCTAGGTAGGTATAATTACAGTGAGTGAGTGAATAAGTGAGTGAGTGAGTGAGTGAGTGCTCGTGATGAACAACTATGAGCTTCTAGAGGCCCCACTTGTGCCAAATCAATAGAAATAAATTCGGACGAGGAAAGATAACCGTGCTGCATCATGAAGCTGGACGCAGCATCCGAGCCCACCAAAGCGAAGCTCGCACGAATTTTGGTGGATACCTATTACCTAGGTAGCGGAGTAAGGCCTTCATCTTATCTGGCCCGTGATCAAAGTTGATAGTGCTTGAAGGGTCTTGAATTGTTTGTCTAAATCTAGGGTGGGCGGCGATATATTCGATACCCCCGTACAAATATTCGGCGAATATGATGCACCAAAACTTAGCGAGATGAGGACTGCTGTTGCGGGTACCATAGGGGGCGAAGCTGGCAGCAAAATGTAAAGGGAAAATACCCGCTGTAGCTTAGCACCAGCCTGCTAACTTACAGTATTCATCTCACTAATATTTAGCGTTTATCCCGCTAGAACTTCTATCGATTTCAGCTTATCATATTCGCCAAATATTCGTACAGGGGTGTCGAATATATCGCCGCCCACCCCGTCTAAATCCAATCTAATAATACAGGAAAGAAGGCCTTTTATGCTTCCAAGAAAAGGGCAAAGGAAACCTGGTTCAATAGTCTGTTCAGTCGCGCTACGTAAGGGACTCAGCCGTAGCAAGGGAGAAAAAAGAGGGCATTCGGAAGTCCGGGAGCCCGGAAAAAGGGATCAGGGCTGAAAGTCACGAATGAAGGAATATGCAGTGTTTGGAGGGATATGCAGGTATGTGGCTCAAAAGTGGCTCAAACGTGGGCGACATCTTATCTACAACTCCTCTGAATATGTCTCGACAAAGGATTGGGTAACGTATTTTATAAGCGAATGCCCCATATAAGCGAATGCCCCACGCCCCACACAAATCAGCACCTCCACCTACAACACCGCTTTTTTCCACCACTCGAAATGCGGTCGCCGTCAAAAGAAGCCAGGCTAATCTTGGCCATTCAGGCTCTCGAAAAAGATACAGATCTTACTATTCGAGGCGCTGCTAAGATCTATCAAGTCGATCCTAAGACTCTTAGGCGCCGACGCGCCGGCCAGCCTTCACGACGCGATATTCCAGCCAACTCGGAAACTTACGGATCTAGAGGAGAGTACGATTGTTCAGTATATAAGCGAGCTTTGCACACGCGCATTTCCTCCTCGGCTTCGTTTTGTGGAAGATATGGCCAACCGATTGTTACGCGAACGCGACGCGCCCCCTGTCGGTAAGCTCTGGGCTCACAACTTCGTCAAACGCCAACTAGAGCTCCGGACGCGTTTTTCGCGTAGATACGACTACCAGAGGGCTAAATGCGAAGATCCAGAGATTATTCGCGAGTGGTTTGCCCTAGTACATAACACCAAGGCCAAGTACGGCATCCTTGACGACGATATGTACAATTTCGATGAGACTGGCTTTATGATGGGTATGATTACTACTGGGATGGTTGTTACTACCTCTGATGGCTATGGGAAGGCTAAAAAAGTCCAACCTGGCAATCGTGAGTGGGCTACAGTTATCCAAGCAGTAAATGCTCAAGGCTGGGCTATCCCACCATTCATCCTCTTAAAAGGAAAATACCACCAGAAAGGCTGGTATGAATGTGGCCTTCCGGAGACCTGGTACATCGGAGTAACCGACAACGGCTAGACTACAAATACGAAAGACTTAGATTTTATCAAACACTTCGATCTCCATACAACATCTCGTACAAAGGGGAGATACCGGCTCTTAATTCTTGACGGCCACGAAAGCCACCACTCCGACGATTTCGAGAACTACTGCAAGAAGCATAACATTATTACACTCTGTATGCCTCCGCATTCCTCACATCTAGTCCAGCCATTAGATGTTGGTTGTTTTGGGCCATTGAAGAAGGCCTACGGCGATCAAATCGAGGGGTTAATGCGTATGTACATCACACATATCACCAAGGTGGATTTTCTCTATGCATTCAAAGAGGCATTTTTCATCGCCTTTATCGACCAAAACATCCAAGGAGCATTTGCTGGAGCTGGCCTTATACCGCATGATCCAGGCAGGGTACTTTCTAAGATGACTGTTCGGCTTCGAACTCCAACTCCGCCAGCCTCACCACCAAACACCGCACTACCTTGGCTATCTCAGACTCCACAAAACGCCCAAGAGGCTAACTCACAGAAGGAGCTTATTAAAGGCCGGATATCTAACCACCAAGGCAGCTCTCCGACACCTATGCTGACTGCTGTGGACCAATTGGCTAAAGGTACAATGGCTATGATGCATGAGGTGGCCCTGTTACGTACAGAGGTCTCGGCATTACGAAAGGCCAATGAGGAGCTTAGTAAGCTACGGAGGGCTAAAAAAACACGTCTACGGCTTGGAGGGTCTCTTACTGTACAACAGGCACAGGATCTACTAGATCAGAAGGCCGTGGGTGAGCAGTTAGCCCAGGAAACAAGGCAAAGTGGTGGTAGTGCAAGGGGGGCTCGTACGAAGGCTCGGTGTTGTGGTGTGTGTGGAAAGCCTGGCCATAATGCAAGAACCTGTCAGGAGGCTGGAGAATTGTCTGGTTTATCTATTCCTAGTTCAATTATTGTCATTTCCTAGTGTTGTGGTGGAATAGTTGTAGATAATTGTGGTATAGTGTGGGGCGTAGGGCATTCGCTTATATGGGGCATTCGCTTATAAAATACGTTAGTTCAAAATCTAGACTCTAGAGATGGGGATTACTCTAGACTCTGGATTAGTAGATAACATTTCAGCTTCGGTCCTTGGAATGCGGTTCGGGAGAGAACGAGTTTCGAGCGCAGCGAGCAGCTTGCCGCAGGCGCCCCCGAAGGGCTGCCGGAGGCTAAAAAGAAAGAAAAGGGCCGTCCAGCTAACGCCATTCTGACTGGTAACACCATTCTGACTAGTCAGGGGACGTATTTTCAATTTATATATATTGCTTGGACTCGGGACTGTGGCTATAGCGGACACATGGTGTTCTTAATCTATCCTCAACTAGTCACTGGGCCGGCTGGCGGCGCTTGTACTCGCCGTTCCTGCGCGCCAAACACATGCCGACCGTCTCGCGGACGGTCTGCTCCAGGCCCTTGTATCCGGGCTGGCCCCACCACTTGCGCAGCAGCTCGGCGCCGAGCGCGTTGTCGACGGTGCTGATGTCCAGCAGCTCGTGCGGGTCGGGCTGCGGCAGCTGCGCGTCGGGCAGCGCCTTTTGCATGGCCTCGATGACGAGGCGCCAGTTGAAGGGCGAGTCGCACGCGAAGATGCGCTGGCCCTTGACCGTCGCGTCGATGGCCGCCGCCACGTGGATGCGCGCGTCGTCGACGACGTCCACCATGTACACTTTTTGGGGACTGTCAGCTGCGAACACCCCCCGGCCCCCCCTCCCCCCTTTTCTACGTACACATGCACGTACACATCACGTACACATCACGTACACATCACGTACACATGCATGTAGAACAGGAGAGAATGTGTGAGGCGAAACTCACAGGATGGAATGGGCGGCATCTTGCCGTCCAGCAGGCCGAGGACCTGGGCTCCGCTGACGCCCACGGACCCCTTGGCGCCGCCAAAGTTCATGCCGGGGTTGACGACGTTGACATCGAAGGGGGGCTTCTGGCGCTCGACAAAGCGCCACACGGCGCGCTCGGCCTCGACCTTGGCCGCGCGGTAGACGTTCATCTTCCAGTCGAAGCCCATGGCGGCCTGGCGGTCGGGGGGCGTGTCGCGCACGAGGTCGAGCGCGGCGTCGTTCCAGGTGTCGCGGCCCACGTGGAAGCGGACGCCGGGCCGGGGGCTGGTGGCGGCGCCGGTGCTCGAGGTGAAGACGACGCTCCTGAGGTCTGGGCCGGCGGCGAGGGCGGCGTCGAGCACGTTGAGGCTGCCGCGCACCGTGGGCGGGACCATGTCGGCGGGGCGCGCCGAGAAGTCGTGGATGGAGGCGCAGTGCACGGCGGCGGCGGCGCCGCGCATGGCCGCGTGGAAGGCCGCGTGGCCCGCCATGTCGGGCACCACGGCGTACTCGAACGCCGCCGGCGAGCCCAGCAGCGCCGCCACCTCGTCGCCCCGCGCCGCCGACCGCACCGTCCCGCGCACGCGGAACCCGGCCTTCAGCGCCTCGTCGGCGACGTGCACGGCGATCATGCCCGACACGCCCGTCACGAGGATGGTGGATCCGCGAGGGATCCGGAGGTCCTTGGCCGGCACAGACGAGTGTGTCATTGTGCAAAGCTGTCAGGGGCTCGGACTGAAGATTTGGTCTGATGGCTGCGGCAACGACAAAGAAGGACAAACGACACTGGTGGCTGCGGCAACGACAAAGAACGACACAAAGAACGACGTGACGATTGCTTCTAGAGTCAAGGCCCTGCAATAGTACAAGCCGGCCCTACAATAGTACAAGCCCTACAATAGGACAAGCCCTACAATAGTACAAGCCAGCTACCTTGCTTCTCGACCTACCCACATTGACGGTCCATCTCCTATCTGTCCTGGCCAAGCCACGGATTGCATCGCACTCAGCTCTGCCCCTCTCTGCAGCACGACGTGCCGGTGTACGGGCTTGGTTGGCCATGCCCTGCCGCGCTGGTGTCGCCCATGCGTGCTTACGGAACGCGCCGGGAGACGTTGGCAGCGCCGGAAATCCCCTGTGGTGACTATCTCGTATCAGGGTCTGGCAAGGCTCGTTCTCGGCTGGTCGAGGTCCGAGGGGTTGAGGTCCGAGGCCGTAATTGCGGCCTTGGGGGGCGGGGGTGGGGGAGGGGGCTGACAAGGTCACACCGCTGCAGCACATACTACTAGCGGGACTACCGGCGGGACTACCGGCGGGACTACCGGCGGGTTTCGTCTCTTTGGGAATAGGGCTCCCATGCATGATACTTATCTCCCGGCTGCAGCCGTCGGGGAACCGTCAGAGGGAGCAGCCGGCCACGACTGACATTTGACCAACAGAGCAACAGGCGGTTATGATGTCGGTGGCGCCCTGCCACGCCCGTCGGTTTCACACCTGTCTTGACTGTTCACACCGCCAACTCGTGCCACGCCACGGGCCGCCCATAGGCGCACGCACACGAACGGCGGCGGGCAGTCTTACCCCCGATGCACTGCGCCTTTCTTACGCAGTGCGCACGGGGAAGTCAGTGAACTGCGAGCTGTTGGCAGCGGGACAATTGGCCTGTGGATGGGTGGTCGAGCATGGAAGTGTCTGTCGAGCTAGCAGGACAGGCGCCAAAGCCACAATGCACAGGCAACATGCACAGGCAACATTATGCACAGGAAACATGTTTGCACAGGCAACATGTTAGACTACCCCGACCGGAGTGTCAGCCAGGGGAAGGAAGGAACAAAAACACTTATAAGGCAGAGGAAGTGGGCTACACAAATACATGTCTCTCGCTGCCTTCTGCTCCAGGCTCGGGGTGCCGATCTGCAGTCTCGTCCTCCCCCTTACCTGGTGCTTAGTTAGTAGCCAACCAAGTCGACCATGGTCGCCCTCAAGCCCATCCTTCTCGCGGGCCTCGTGCACCTGCACCTGCACGCGCTGCGCGGCCTGGCGTGGGCGTCGTCCTCGCCGACCCCCCAGCAGATAGTCCGCGACCTGCAAGCCAGGCTGTCGCCCGGGTCCGAGATCGTCCTCACGTCCGACCCTGGATATGCGCGCGACTTTACCCAGCGCTTTGCCATTGCCACCCCGCCGGCCTACGTGGTCGGCGTCAAGCCTGTCGCTGTCTCAGACGTGCAGGCCGTTGTAAGCTTGCTGTCTCTCTGGTCCACCCGTCCGCCGCCTCTCTGGTCCACCACCCGTCACCACCCGTCCACCGCCTCTCTGGTTTACCACCCGTCCGCCGCGGCCAGGTTGACGCCACGCCACCCGCTGCGTTCGAGCGCCGCTGGCTGCCGGGCGGGAGGGAACTTCGTAGCGCTGATCCATGATGTGTTGGTTGCTGACGTGCCCCTGATTCAACTGATTAGGTCCGCTACTCGGCCAGCAAGAATGTGCCGTTCCTCGCCACGGGCGGCGGCCACGGCTACACGTTTTCGCTGGGCCGGCTGGAATCGGGCATCGAGCTCGACATGAGCAACTTTCATAGCATTGACATTGACCCCGCGGCCAACACCCTGACGGTGGGCGGAGCGGTGCAGATCGGCAATGTCACTGCTGCGCTGCTGGCTGCCGGGCGGGAACTCCGTAGGTTCTCCACGGAATCCGCGGAACAAGCGAGCGCACTGCAACAGTGCAAGCGCACTAACAGTGCAAGCGCACTAACAGTGCAAGCGCACTAACAGTGCAAGGTCCCTGATTATTAGCTGCTAATCGTCATATGCCATCTCTTAGCCGTGGGCCAGTGTGCAACCGTAGGCCTCACGGGGCTGACCATGGGCGGCGGCGTGGGCCCCTACGGCGGCATCCACGGGGCGGCGTCCGACTCGCTGCTGTCAGCCGAGTTCGTGACGGGGACGGGCGACATCCTCAACGTGTCGGCGACGCGGCACGCGGACCTGTTCTACGGCGTCAAGGGCGCCGGGTTCAACTACGGCGTGGCCACGCGGCTGACGTACCGCGTGTACCCGCTGACCAACAACGGCGACGTCATGGTGGTCAACACGCAGTTCCCCGGGCCCCTGAACGGGTCCGTGTGGGAGCTGGCCAGCCGGTTCGTGGGCCGCCAGCCCAAGGAGCTGACGCTCGACTTCTCGCTGCGGTGGAACGCGTCGAGCGGCGGCATGGTGGCCTGGTGCTCCTTCTACTACGTCGGCCCGCAGGCCGAGGGCCTGCGCCTCATCCAGCCCTTCCTCGACCTCGGCCCGCTCAACGTTGAGATCCACGCGGCAAGGTACGACAGCATTTCCAGCGTGGCCCTGTACAGCGCCGAGAGCGTCGGCACCATCCGCGGCATCAGCTTCGTGCCCTACTCGGTCAACCTGTACGCCATCGACCCGCCGAGCCTGATCAGCCTGTTCAACTACATGAACGCCACCATGACGGGCCGCCCCGACCTGCAGACGGCCACGCTGGCCTGGGCCCAGTTCTCGACCTACGGGTTCCAGCTGTTCCCGGTCGAGTCGTCGGCGTTCCCCTACCGCGACGTTGCCGTGTTTTTGTGAGTCGAGTCCGCTCCTGCAGCCATTGATTAGTTGCACGTGTCCCTCTCGCACCGTGTCCCTCTCTTGATCAGCTGCACCGTGCCCTCGCGCGCCGAGATTACTGACAGGGCTATGTACCTACTACTCGCTCTAGCCAATACGACGGCTTCGGCTTCAACGCCTCGCAGATCCCGGCGCTCGACAAGTTCGGCAAGAACGTGCGCAGCCTGATGCGCCCGGGCAGCGGCAGGACCGACCTCGAGGTCTACGTGCACTTTGGCCACGGCGACGAGGGCCCTGCGGCGTGGTACTCGGCGGCCAAGCTGCCGCGGCTGAATGCGCTCAAGGCCGTGTACGACCCCAAGAACCTGTTTTCGTACTACAACCCGGTCCAGAGGGGCCGGTACGGCCATTGATGGGTTGGTGTGCTTTTACTGTTTTGTCGCTGTTCGGCTGCAGGCTAGAACACTGTCCGGCTGTAGGCTAGAATACTGTTTGGCTGTAGGCTAGAATACTGTTTGGCTGTAGGCTAGAATACTGTTCGGCTGTAGGCTAGAACTAGTTGAACACAGTGTGTGTGTTTTGGTGTCACAGGAGAAAACGGAGATCCGTTTCATAGCAGTCATATACCTCAGTCATCACAGCTTGAAAAATACGCTGCCTGGCCAGCCAGGAAGGGGTTAGCTCAACGGCCCTTTTTCTTCCCTTTTTTGCCTCCGGCGGCCCTCCGGGGGCGCCTGCGGCGGGCTGCTCGCTGCGCTCGAAAGTCGTTCGAAAGTCGTTATCTCCCAAAGTGGTCCTTGTAACGACTGTGCCATTTTACTCCAAGGTGTTGGATTTTAGGGGCTCCCAACTCCACCTAATAGTACTTATTCTGAAGCGAAGCTTAAAGCTTCATCTACATCCTCATCCTGACATTTTGGACTAGCAAGTCCCTGGACTACCTCGTTTAGTCAAGAACCATTCCGGCGAAGCCTCACTCCGCCACCTACGCTCGCAACTTGCTTCGGTGGCTTCGGTGGCTGCGTTCAGGTTAATATAAATGCACTGGAATGCTGTCAGATGGCTTTCAGATCGAAACCTTCCACTAGAAGTAGTAACTAGCGAATTCACCGGCTAGAAACCCGCCGGCCGTTGACTACCAGGTACATTGATTGCCCCATACCCCTTGCTCCTTGCCTCGCACCGCCCGCCAGGCCAGCTCCAAAGAACCCAGCCCGACAGACACCCAATGTCCAGTCCCATTCTCCAGCCGAGAATGCAGCACCGGATAGAAACTAGACACGCATCTCCCGCTCTGGCTCGCTCAGCTCCACAAACAGCGGCTTGGGCTCAAAGACCAGATACGCCTTCTGGTCCAGCCAGTCGCGCTGCGGGTCGCGCATGGCCAGGTCGAAGTTCCAGACGACCTTGGCGAGGAACATGCGGGCCTGCGCCAGGTAGACTCTAGGCGGAAACTTGTCAGCAACCAAAGTCTCTCCACAAGGTGCGGTAAACCAGGTGGGTGGGTGGGACTGGCGTCGTCGTACTTTGACCCCAGGCAGTTGCGCGGCCCCGCGGAAAAGGGCATGAAAGCCTCCTTGACGTCGCCGTCGAAGCGGCGGCTGTACCGCGGGTCCGACGCCGGCAGGAAGCGCTCGGGGTGGAACTCGTGCGGGTCGGCCCACAGCGTCGGCGTCGTCTGGATGTTCTGCAGGTTGATGCCGATGATGGTCTGGTGCGAGGTTTGTAAGTGTTGGTGTTTTTGTACAAAAAAAGGAAGAAGGAAAAAGGAAAAAAGGAAAAAAAAAAAAGGGAAAAAAAAGGGGGGGAAAGGAAAAAAAAGGGGGGGGAAGGAAAAAAAGGGGGGGGAAGGAAAAAAAAAGGGGGGGGAAAGTTGGAAAAAAGGAAAAAAAAAAGGAGGGGAAAGGGAAAAAATAGGAAAAAAAGGGGGGAAGGGAAAAAAAGAAGGAAAAAAAAGGAGAAAAGGGGGGGGAAAGGAGAAAAAAAAGAAAAAAAAACAGGGAAAATACAAGGAAAAAACAAGGGAAAAAAGGGGGGGGGAAAAGAAAAAAAAAGGAGAAAAAAAGGGGGGGAAAGGGGGAAAAAAAGGGAAAAAAAACAAAAAAAGACGCAAACTCACATTGCCGGGAATGTGCTGCCCATCAACCGTCCGGCCACCCGGCGGAATGCAGCGCGGCAGGCTGATGGGCGTCGGGTGGCGGAAGCGCATGGTCTCGTTGATGACGGCCTCGAGGTAGGGCAGGGTCTGGGTGGTGGCTTGCACCGTGATCTGGTCGTCGCGCTCGAAGCGGGCGCGGACCTCGTCGGCCAGCAGGCGCCACTTGGGCGGGTCGCGCAGCAGCAGGTAGGTGGCCGTGGCCAGGGCGACCGTGGTGAGCTGGCAGTCGGCGATGACAAAGGCCAGCTGGTTGGTGGTCAGCTCCTTCCGGCTGATGGTGCCCTTGAGCGCGGCGCCGTCGTCGAGCTTGCCGACCAGCGGCGTCAACAGGTCGGACCGCACGCCCGTCAGGTCGCCGCGGGCCAGGCGCCGCTCGATCTTGGCCGTGGTCAGGCGCCAGTTGCGCTCGCGCGTGGCCCGCGTGGCGCCTAGCAGGAACAGGCCCAGCAGCACGTCGAGCGGCGAGAAGCGGCTGAGGCAGTTGCGGATGGTGCTGAACTTGGCGTGCAGGAAGAAGGCCCGGATCTCGTCGTTGTCCGTGTCGCGCTCCAGCGTGTTGAGCAGCGACTCGCCGAAGCTGAGGTCCGTGACCGTGTCAAAGGTGGCGTAGCCGAAGATGCGCTGGATGTCGATGACCTGGCCGTGGCCGCCGCCGCCGCCGCCGCCGGCCGTCTTGCTCTTGGCCGCCTCGCGCCGCAGCCGCGCGATGAGCTGGTCGGCGTAGCCCTCGACGATAGGCGCCTGGTCGCGCAGCGCCTTGTCGGCGAACCCGTTGACCAGCGCGCCGCGCAGCCGCCGGTGCGTGTCGCCCTCGGCCGTGAAGAGCGAGTGCGCGCCGTTGAGCGGCGGCGTGAGGCTGTACGGGTCCTTGGCCAGCACGGGCTTGGCCACGTAGATGTCCTTCCACGCGCCGGGCTTGATGGTCGTCACCTCGTCAGGCGCGATCCGCACCGACCCGCCGTAATTGTGGTGCAGCTCGTCCAGGACCGCCCACAAGTCCCCCCTGATGACGTAGTATGCCCAGGGGATGCGTGAGACGGCCCACAGCTTGGGGCCCGGGAATTTGGACAGCGGGTGGAAGAAGACGAGATAGACTGCCGAGATGATGCAGTACTGTGAGAGGTGGAAACTAAAGTCAGTGAAATGCACTCTCCAGGAGTCAGGAGTCCGGATTAGCCCCGGCAAAGAACGCTTACAACAACGTACGCCCCCGCGAAAATCCCCATCAGCTGCTTGTGCCCCGGCAGGGCATGCGGAAAGGGCGTAGCGGTTTCATTTGCCGAAACAACTACTTCAGCCGCAGCGAGCTTGATGCCATCCATCTTGTGTCAGGGATTTTAAGCTCCAATTGGCGCCAGTGAGCTGTTCAAACCACTTCAGTGAGTGTAGAGCTGCTCGTCGCGATGGCTGAATGAGTCTTCAAAGACCAGACAGGTTTTGGCGGGATTGAAGACTCTATGCTGGTTCCAGAGACATTGACATGAACGGGGGGCCGTGAGCCGAGTGTTCATCCCGTCGGCTTCCGGGCGAATTTTTGGCCACCGGCGTGTTTGCTGTTGGCGGCCGGGATTATCGCGCTCTCGGCGGGGCAAGATCGGCGTCTCCCTCGGCGTCTCCCTCGGCGTCTCCCTCGGCCTAGTACCCTGGGTCTAGATGGCCTGCGTACCCTAGGTCTTGATGGCCCGCTCGGTTGCGCCGAGGTTGTGGCACTTTACGCAGGTCCCGACGGGAACCCGGCCGGTGGGTTTAGTTTACGGTTTACCAAGCTCCGCGGGCCGAGATTTCACCCCGGCACGGAACAGAGCGTCAAGACAGCAAGACTAAACCGCCAAGGAATCTCGGCTGGCATTTGTTTCTTCCCGTTCTGTGATCAGCACTCATTGTGAAGCCTCAGGGCAGGGCCAGAGGATGGCCGGCGTGACGTGTCCGCGTTTCTGATAGGCGCAATGCGTCTCTGACGGGCATGATGCATTGCTGATAGGCATGGCGCGTTGTTGATGGCTTGATGGGAATGGGGCGTTATCAGTTGTCATGACATGGCGTACAGGCCAAAGCGTCAAGAGAAAACGTATAACTCTACTAGTTATAATTTATATCTGCCAGCCATACCAAATCTTTGCTGTGTCTGTACTACTTTAGCGGTGGCACTTGCTTTCGTCGCATAGTTTCAACACTAGACTTTTTCAAGCACCAATCGTTCGAGAAGCAGAGAGTTGGCCTGTCAGTCACGACTGTGGAATCAACGCCACCATGCTGCTTCCGCAGGAAAACAAACCCGAATCCGCCTCGGTGTCGGCTGCCTTCTTCTGCCCTCAAGCCAGGGCCCCAGACGAAGAGTATCTCGCAGGGCTGCACTCCTTTCTCAGCCAGAATGCACACGGACAAGCTCTCCTAAAGGAGATTGCGGCGCTCAAGACAGACCGGGTATGGGACGTATTCGCCAACTCGCGAGACGACGTTGCGGCGCTAAGCCAGGGCCCCAAGTATGTCGACATGCTCTTCGACTGGGCCGTCAACGGCGTCGGCGGCCCATTAGCAGCGGCCAGGTCGGGCATCGTTGCCCTCCCTCTGCTTCTGATCCTCCAGACGACGCAGTATCTGCGGTACCTCGAGTTCAACGGCATCTCCCACCGCGGCTTCCTGGCCGCCATCGGGGGTGCAGGTGGTCTGCAGGGCTACTGTGGTGGACTTCCGGTACGCTCTCGGCCCGTAGTCCCACCCGTACCAGGGACTAGTCTAGACCTACCCGATACGCAATATGCAATGTGTGCCAAGCTAACCTGCAGCAGAGCGCCATGGCCATTGCGTGTGCCCAAGACGAGCCCGAGGTCGTCCAGCACGCAGCCACGGCGATGCGCATTCTGCTGGGCATCGGCGCGTACGGCGAGGCTGCCGACGACTCCGGAGGCAGCGGGTCCACCACGCTCGCTCTCCGCCTCAAGTACGAGGGCCAGGGCGGCGACCTGACCCGCCGGTTCCCCGGTACACACGTCTCGGCAGTCACAGAGCCACGGTCGGTCAGCATCGTCGGGCCTGCAGCCAAGCTGCACGACCTCTACTGCGTCGCCAAGGAGCAAGAGGGCCTGCAGGTGCAGAAGATGGAGGTGCGCGGCAAGGTCCACAACCCGGACAACGAGCAGCTAGCTGCCGAACTGTGCCGCCTCTGCAGCACGCGCCCGTCGCTCCAGCTCCCCGACGCGGAGGAGCTGCAGGTGTCGGTCCGGTCGAACAGGTCTGCTCGGCGCCTTGTCCAGGGGCCGCTCACGGACGAGCTCGTCACCACCATCCTAGCATCTCGCTGTGAGTGGTACAGCCTGCTCGGCGAGGTTGCCGGCGACCTGGAGAAGGCGCGGGTCAGCACGCCGGGCTTTGTTTACTTTGGCCTCACCGACTGCGTGCCCCTGACGCCGTTCCACAAAGCCGGCCTGCGCCCGACCAAGACGGCGGCGCACAGCCTGATCCAGCGGCAGCGGCAGCGCCTGGACAGCAAGGGGCCCGGCCTGGACAGCAGGGCGCCCGGCCTGGACAGCAAGGCGCCCGGCCTGGACAGCAAGGCGCCCGGCCTGGACAGCAGGGCGCCCGGCTTCCCGGAAGACGCGCTGGCCGTGGTCGGAGCGTCGTGCCGGCTGCCGGGCGCGAGCAGCCTCGAAGAGCTGTGGACCATGCTCGCGGCGGGGTCCGACCGCCACCAGAAGCTGCCCGCCGACAGGTTCGACCTGGCGGGCAGCTTCCGAGCCGGGCAGAGCGGCAACTTTGCCAAGGAGCGCACCTTCTACGGAAACCTGATCGGCGACGTGCAGCGCTTCGACAACGCCTTCTTTGGTGTCAACGCGCGCGAGGCGGCCAACATGGACCCCCAGCAGCGCATGCTGCTCGAGCTGTCATACGAGGCGCTCGACGACGCCGGCTACCTGGCGACGCACCGGCGCGACGCCGGCGACAACGTGGGCTGCTTCGTCGGCGCGAGCTTTGTGGAGTACCTCGACAACACCAACGCGCACGCGCCGACGGCCTACACGTCGACGGGCACGATCCGGGCGTTCCTCTGCGGCCGCGTCAGCTACTACTACGGGTGGTCTGGGCCGGCCGAGGTCATCGACACGGCGTGCTCGTCGTCGCTGGTGGCCATCAACCGGGCGTGCAAGGCCGTGCAGAACGGCGAGTGCCGCATGGCGCTCGCCGGCGGCATCAACCTCATCGCGGGCGTGAACAACTTCCTCGACCTGGCCAGGGCCGGGTTCCTGAGCCCGACGGGCCAGTGCAAGCCGTTCGACGCCGCGGCCGACGGCTACTGCCGCTCCGACGGGGCCGGCCTGGTCGTCATCAAGAGGCTGCGAGACGCCGTCGCCGACGGGGATGCCGTCCTGGGCGTCATCGCCGGCATCGCCACCAACCAGGGCGGGCTGTCGTCGTCGATCACGGTGCCCGAGTCGGCGGCCCAGCAGGCGCTGTACCGGAACGTGCTCGCGCAGTCGGGCATCCCGGCCGAGAGCGTCACCTACGTCGAGACGCACGGGACGGGGACGCAAGCCGGCGACCCGCTGGAGATTGAAAGCATCCGGTCCGTCTTCAAGAGGGAGCGCCGCGCCGAGCCCCAGCCCGAGCCCCAGCCCGAGCCCCAGCTCGAGCCCCAGGCCCTGAAGGACGGCAGCAGCAACAGCAGCAGCAACAGCCACAGCAACAGCAACAGCAACAGCAACAGCAACAGCAACAGCAACAGCAACAGCAACAGCAACAGCAACAGCAGCACCCTCTACGTCGGGTCCATCAAGGGCAACACCGGCCACTGCGAGACGGCCGCGGGCGTGGCGGGCTTGCTCAAGGTGCTGGCCATGATCAAGCACGGGCAGCTGCCGCCGCAGGCCAGCCACACGCGGCTCAACCCCAAGATCGCGCCGCTAGAGGTGGACGGGTTGGCCATTGCGCGCAGCCTGCGGCCGTGGACGGCGCCGCTGCGGGCCGCGCTGGTCAACAGCTACGGCGCGGCCGGGTCCAACGGCGCGCTTCTCTGCTGCGAGATGCCATCTCAGGGGGAGGAGGACGGCAGCCGCCGCCTAAGCCCGTCTCACTCTCGGCGGCTGGGCAACGTCGTGATGCCGCTGCTGCTCAGCGCGGCGTCGGAGAAGAGCCTGCTACAAAACGCCGCCGCGTTGGGCGCGTACCTGCGCCAGCACCAGGACGAGCTCAGCCTGGCCGACGTCGCGCTGACCCTGAACACGCGGCGCAGGCGGCAGCCCAAGTTCCTCGCCAGCATTGAGGCGGCCAACACGCGCGACGCGGCGGCGCGGCTGCTCGGCGCGGCGGGGGCGGCAGGAGCGGGAGCGGCGGCGGCGGCGGCGGCCTTGTTCCAGGCGCCGCAGACAGGGGCGCGGCCCGTGGTGCTCGTCTTCAGCGGGCAGTACGACAACAAGGTGGGGCTGGACCGGTCCTTCTACGACAGCATGCCGGCGTTCCGCGCACACGTCGACGCCGTCGACGGGCTGCTGCGCGACATGGGCTACGCGTCCATCCTGCCGGCGCTGTTCGACGGCACGCGGCCGGTCGCCGACGTGGCCACGCTGCAGTGCGGCATCTTCGCCATGCAGTACGCGGCGGCGCGGTGCTGGATCGACGGCGGCGCGGCGCCGCGCGCGCTGGTCGGCCACAGCCTGGGCGAGCTGACGGCGCTGGCCGTGGCGGGCGTGCTAGGGCTCGCGGACGCCGTCAAGCTAGTGGCGGCGCGCGCGCGCCTGATCGACGCCGAGTGGGGCGAGGAAAAGGGGGCCATGCTGGCGCTCAGCGGGTACGGCGCGCGCGAGTTCGAGGACGCCATCGCGGCGCGGCTGCGGGCCGAGGGCGGCCACCGCCTCGAGGTCGCGTGCTACAACGCGCCGGCGGCGCTGGTGGTGGCGGGCACGGCGGCGGCCGTCGACGCCGCCGAGCAGCTCGTCGGCACGGACGCGAGCCTCTCGGGTCCCCAGAAGCGGCTGCGCGCGCGCCGCCTCGCCACCAGTCACGGCTTCCACTCGGCGCTGATGGAGCCCGTGCTGGCGGACCTGGCCGCCGTCGCGCGCACGCTGCAGTGGCGCGAGCCGGCGATCCCGCTGCACGCGTGCACCGCGCAGCCGCTGGCGTCGTTCGCCGAGTACGACGTGGCCCGCCACGCGCGCGAGCCTGTGTACTTCGCCGACGCCGTGCGCCGCGTCGAGGCCCAGCTCGGCCCCGCCGTGTGGCTTGAGGCCGGCGTCGACACCCCCGTGGTGGCCATGGCCAGCAAGGCCGTGACCCGGCCCGACGGCCACACGTTTCTGGCGGTCAAGACAGCAGCAGCAGCAGCAGCAGCAGCAGCAACAACAACAGCAACAGAAACAATAGCAGCAACAACAACAGCAACAGAAACAACAGCAGCAACAACAACAGCAACAGAAACAACAGCAGCAACAACAACAGCAACAACAACATCAACAACAACATTAACAACAACAACAACAACAGGAACAACAAGACAGAGCGCTGCCGCCGCCGCCTCCACACCCGCCGACGCCGTGGCCGGCGTCGTGGCTCGCCTCTGGCGCGCGGGCGTCTTCGCGTCGCACTGGCGCCTCGTCCCCGAGACGGCCGGCGGGCCGGTCCCACACGCCAGGCCCGTGTGGCTCCCGCCGTACCAGTTCGAGCCGACGCGGCACTGGCTGGCCAACGTAGACCGCGTCACGGAGATGCGTGAGGCCATGGCCAAGACTGCCGCTGCCGCCGCCGCCGCCGCCGCCGCAGCACAAACCCCCGGCCCGCGCGGGACACTCCCCCCCCACCGCCGCCACCTCCCCCCCGGCTCGTGACGCGGACGGGCGCGCGCGAGTTCGCCATCAACCGGGCCAGCGAGCGCTTCCGCACCGTGGTGCGCGGGCACGCCGTGCGGTCGCGCCCGCTGTGCCCCGCGTCCATGTACATGGAGTGCGTGGTCATGGCGGTGCAGCTGCTGCTCGGCGGCGGCCTGCCCGCGGGCGCTAGCCTCGTGTTTGAGGATTTTGCCATCAACGCGCCGCTGGGTGTCGACGGCGATGGCGACGCGGCGGTGCTGCTCGATCCGGCGCCCAACAACAAGCCGGATGCGTGGCGGTTTGTTGTTCGTACTTTGGTCCGTGGCAGCGGCAGTGGCAGGGGGAGTGGCAGTGGCAGTGGCAGTGGCGCCGACAGGCCCAAGGAGCTAACACACGGCAGCGGGCTCGTCTGCGTGGCGGCGGCTGCTGCGGCGCCCGGGCTGGACGCCTTCCAGCGGCTGGTGGCCGGGCCCATGGCGGAGATAGAGAGCGGCGGCGGGGGCCGGGGGGGCGGCGGCGGCGGCGGCGGCGTGGAGCTGCTGCTCGAGAAGCGCGCGTACGGGCTGTTTGGGCGCGTGGTCGATTACGCGCCCTTCTTCCGGGCCATCCGCGCGCTGGCGGTGCGCGGCCGCGAGGCCGTGGCTACGGTGCGGCTGCCGGGCGCGCAGCCGGGCCGCCACGAGAGCACGGCGTGGCCCGCGTGCGACACGGTCGCGCTCGACGCCCACATCCAGGTCGTCGGGCTGCTGATGAACAGCAGCGACGACGTGGGCGCCGACCAGGTCATGGTCATGACGGGGCTCGACCGCGGCGTCGTCGCGCCCGGCTGCAGCAGCAGCGGGGACGGCGCTGCGGCGGATGCCCGTGAGTGGCGCGTGTATGCCCGGTTCGGCTACGGCGCTGATCAGCAGCCCATCGGCGACGTGTTTGTGTGCTCGGCCCGCGGCGAGCTGGTCGGCGTGTTCACCGGCTGCCGCTTTGCCAAGCTCGCCATCTCGCGCCTGGAGAAGATGCTCGACGCGGCCAACCGCAGTGGCGCGGCGCCGCTGCAGACCTCCGCTGCCGCACAGGCACAGGCAGTGCCGGCTGCGGGCTCTGTGCCGGCGTCTTCATCCGGCCCGTCTGTTTCATCCGGCCCGTCTGTTGCCTCGTCGAGCCCGAGCACCGACTCGGGGGCTGAGGGCACGGCCACGCCGGCGTCGAGCGTCACGGCGTCGTCCTCGGGCCCAGACGGCACACTGATCCCGGGCCCAGACGGCACACTGATCCCGGCGGCGCTGAACGAGCTGGTCGCAGAGTACAGCGGCATCGCCGCGGCCGAGCTGCCCACGGACCAGACGCTGGCCGACCTCGGCGTCGACTCGCTGGCGTCGGTGGAGCTGGCCGGGGAGCTGTCGTCCAAGTTTGGCCTCGAGATCGAGTCGGACGACGTCGGCGGAGTCACGCTGCAGGACTTGTACCAGAAGCTCGGCGCATCCTCCAGCCTGCAGAAGCAGCAGCAGCAGCAGCAGCAGCAGCAGCAGCAGCAACAACAGCAACAGCAACAGCAACAGCCTGTGTACACTTCGCCAGCCTCCGTGCCTGCGAATGCGCCACCCGCAAATTCGGCGGCGCAATCGGCGTCTGGCAGCAGCAGCACCCCAGAGCCTGACGAGCGGTTTCAGAGCTTCCTGCAGACCGTCGCCGAGGTCTCAGGGGCCAAGCCCGCCGACATCAAGCCGTCAGACGTGTTGGGCGAGTTGGGAGTGGATTCGCTGTCGGCCGTCGACTTGAAGCAGGAGCTCGAGGACAAGTTCGCGGCGCGCCTCGACGACATTCTCGTCGAAAACACGGTGCAGGACTTGATGACGTGCCTGGGCATTTCTGCCCCTGGATCTGCTCCTAAACATGTTCCTGGATCTGCCCCTGGATCTGCCCCTGGATCCGTGAGGCCTCGTAATACGGGAGGTGTTGGCACGGCAACCAACACTGACCCGGGCAATGCTCCTGGACCCCTGACAAGCCCAGCGCCCGGGCTAGGAGAGGACGAGTCCGTCATTGCGCAGAACCCCTTTGACTCGCTGCGAGTGTCGGACGCGCACTGGGACGTCTCGGCGCAGAGCCAAGGCTTCGTCGACTACTGGGACGGCGTGGCGCCTCTCCAGAACCAGCTGCTGGTGGCCTACGTCGTCGAGGCCTTTGCCGCGCTGGGCGTGCACCTGCGGCGGGCGTCGCCCGGGGACCGGCTGCCGCAGATCCCGCACCAGACCAGCAAGTACGACAAGCTAGTGCCGCGGCTGTGGCAGATTCTACAGGCGCACGGCATCGTGTCAGTGCTCGGCGGACCAGACGGCGACGGCGGCGGCGGCGACGTCTTCACGCGAGCGGGCGGCGCCATCGACGGGCGGTCCGCCGTGCAGCTGCAGGCCGCCTTCGAGACACAGTGCCCGGCCTACCGCGACGAGGCCGCGCTGATGCAGCTCACGAGCCCGCGGCTGGCCGAGTGCCTGCGCGGCACCGCCGACGCCGTGGCCCTCATGTTCGGCACCGCCGCGTCCATGAAGGTCATGGAGAACTACTACGGCCGGTCGCCCATGATCTCGACCCTGACCGACCAGCTCGTCGTCTTCCTCACCACGCTGCTCAAGGCCGCCGACCGCTCCCGGCCCGTGCGCATCCTCGAGGTCGGCGCCGGCACCGGCGGCACCACCAAACGCTTGGCAGCGGCGCTCGACGCGGCCGGCCTCGCCGCGCGCTACACCTTCACCGACATCGCGCCTAGCCTCGTGTCCAAGGCCAAGAACGCGGCCGCGCTCAGGCAGCACGCGTGGATCGACTACACCACCTTCAACTTGGAGAAGGACGTGCCGGCGGCGTTCCGCGGGCAGTACGACGTCGTGATCGGCACCAACTGCGTGCACGCGACGTCGGATCGCGGCGCCGCGTGCGCGCGCATCCGCACGACGCTGCGGCGCGGCGGCGTCGCCGTGCTGTCCGAGGTCACGCGCGTCGTCGACTGGTACGACATCTGCTTCGGCTTGCTCGACGGCTGGTGGCTCGCCGAGCACCGCACCGCCTACCCCATCCAGCCGCCCGAGACGTGGCTGGCCACCTTTGCAGCCGCCGGCTTCGCGAGCGCCGCGTGCTCCGGCGGGCCCTCGCGCGAGTCGACGAGCCAGCAGCTGCTCGTGGCCTGCAACGGCACGGCCTGGCCTGTCCCGCCACCTGTCGCTAGTGCTGGTGGTGGTGGTGGTGGTGGTGGTGGTACTGGTGGTGCTGGTGGAGCTGGTGGTGCTGATGGAGCTGGTGGTGCTGATGGAGCTGGTGGTGCTGGTGGAGCTGGTGGTGCTGATGGAGCTGGTGGAGCTGGTGCTGCTGCTGCTGGCGGTGCTGCTGCCGGTGGTGCTGGTAGTGCTGGTGCTGCTCCCGACACGAGATCAACCTCGTCGTCCTCGTCCTCGGCGGCTTGGCGTGCGGAGACCATGGTCTACAAAGAGGCCGCCGACGGCGTGCAGGTCCACGCCGACGTCTTCTTCCCTGCCACGCCGCCACAGTCGCCCATGCCCATTGGTACGCCCGCACACTGACCTGATCCAACTCCCCCCCCTTCCCCCCTTTTTTTTCTCGCCGTCGTCATGCCAACCCACCCCCTTTTTTTTCTCCCCGTCGTCATGCCAACCACCTCCCCCCCTTTTTTCCTCCCTTTTTTTATCGCGCGATTTTTGGATCTGCTCCTCACACGCCGCGTCCCGCCGCGTCTAGCTCTGATGATCCACGGCGGCGGCCACATGACGCTGTCGCGGCGCGCGGTGCGGCCGGCCCAGACCCAGCACCTGCTCGCGCACGGCTTCCTGCCCGTCAGCATCGACTACCGCCTGTGCCCCGAGGTGAGCCTCGCCGACGGGCCCGTGGCCGACGTGTGCGACGCGTACGCGTGGGCGCGCGCCGCGCTGCCGCCGCTCGCGCGCCAGCTCCACGGCGCCGCCGTCGACGGCTCCCGCGTCGTTGTTGTTGGCTGGTCTAGCGGCGGCCACCTCGCCCTTTCGCTGGGCTGGACGGCTCCCGCGGCCGGGCTGCCGCCCCCCGCGGCCGTGCTGATTTTCTACGCGCCCTGCGATTTCGAGTCCGGCGGTAAATCCATGCCCTTTCCGTTGTGTCCTCCCCCCCTCTCTCTCTGCTACTGGGACTCTGCTGATCTCGGCGACAGAACTCGACACGGCTCGCCTGGCATCGCTCCCCGGCCGGAAAATGAGCCTCGAGCGCATCGTGGCCGCGCTGCCCACCAAAGCTGTACGTATTGGTGTTGTTCACCTGCCACTTCCACTCCGCGGCGTCCGCGCCGCTGGCCCTCCCAGGAAACAACCAACAAAAAAAAACACGGGCTGCGTTACTGACACTGCCGACTAAAAACAAAGATAACAAGCTACGACAACTCGGCCCGCGGCGACACGTCCAACCTGGGCTGGGTGCGGCCCGGCGACGCGCGGTCCGAGCTGGTCCTAGCCCTCTTCAAAGAGCGCATCGGGCTGCCGCTGCTCCTGCACGGGCTGCCGCCTCCGGGGGCCGACATCAGCGCGTGGCTAGCGCGCGCGCCGGCGCCGGAGCGCGTGGCGGCCGTGTCGCCGGTGGCGCGCGCCCGGCGCGGCGACTACGCGTGCCCGACGTTTGCCGTCCACGGCACCGCCGACGAGGTCGCGCCGTTTGCCGGCGCCGAGCGCCTCGTTGCCGCGCTACACGCGCGCCGTGTGAGGTGTGGCTTCTTGCCCCTGCCTGGGGTGCGCCACATCCATGACGTGGAGCTGCGGCCGGGCACGCGCGAGTGGGACGACACGGTTGCGCCGGGCTATCGGTTCCTGTTTGATGTTGTCCGCGGGACGGAGTGAGTGCTGTTCGTTTTGCATGCATGCCTAGGTATTCCCTTACTGTCAGTTGTTGGAGTTTAAGAGGTTGGACGCCTTACTGTCAGTTTTTGGAGTGTAAGAGGTTGGACGACTCTTATTGTTCGAGCCCTCTTCCTTGTTGTGGCTGTTGTGCACCTTGGTGTTCTGAGAAGAACAGGGCTGTACGTGTCTCTCCAGGCTTGTGGTCTTTGTGGTCTTTGCAAGCGCTGAATGCGGCTTGCTGAGATAATGCAAGATTAGTTACCCAGACGAGGATCGGGACGAGTAAGCAGATCGGCTGGGCTTGGAAGACTGGCTCATTTATGGGGCTTGTTTCCTTTCATCTCGTTGCGTGCAACCGCTCGTTGCGTGCAACCGTCCAGGGCCTTGTCCCTACACTATAACGCTTAGACTTGATCTTTTACTTTCACAATTCGTACTCCGCCGCTTCCTATCACTCACTGCGTGACATGTTAGGCAACTCGAGGTACGTCATGGGGCCGTTGTGAGTCCTTACATGGTGACAACGGTGCCTTGTCTGTACTATACACCCCAGCCTCTAAAGTTTGTTCTATTGGGTCTTCTCGGCTAAGACTTGGTAGTATCTAGTGTAAGACTTCAGTCTGACTTATTTCTTACTAGTAATTTGTGCTATAACTGCGGTATCCTCAAGGTTCCACTGGTCGACTTCACAGCAAAACTCATTGGCCATTGCCTCTTGTTACTCACCTAAGCCAGGTAGCGCCAAGATGAATTCAGGGGCTGTGGAGTGTTGATCTTTCCGCATTGAAGCTCTACTAGAAAGGCAATATTATGGCCCCGGGCTATTTGGAATAAATCACCAAGGCAATCACGTTGTTTTTGGAAAAAGATTGTTTGTGGGCCTAGTCCTTCCATTCCCACTTCACGTCTTGCGATGAGAGAATAACCCCATTCGCGTTTCAACACACAAAAGCTGTTCACACAAGGACTAAACTAGAATGCTTTGAATTTATCTAATTTTATCATTAGGTGCCTACCTTTTAACGCCTACATTTCATTAATTACCATTTACTACATGTAGGGAGTCATTCACTACATGTAGGGAGTTTCTCGCCGCGCGCTTACACTAGCTGCACCGCCATGCCCAGCTCGTCGCGCAGCTTCGCCAGCACCTCGCGGATGCCGCCCATGCGCTTCTGCTGGTCCTGCATCATGACGGCGCGCATCAGCACAGCCATGCTGACCGAGCCCTGGGCCGACGGCCGGTGCACCGACACCGACACCGACCCCGACCCCGACCCCGACCCCGACGCGTCCGGGCGCAGGGCCTCGAGCTTGGCCATGGCTTCTTGAACTGCAATCTTTGTTAAAATTATTCCATGGGCCGTTGCCATATATGGTATTGCCAGCTGGTCGGCCTCGGCTAGTCTACTTACTGTTGCCAAGATAGTGCGCGCCCGTCTGGAGGAGAAGCTGCAGCTGGAACCGCGGGTGCGGGAACAGCGACACGCCGGCGATGGAGAGCGAGAGCGGCGGCGGCGGGGACGGCGGCGGCGTCGCGGCGCCGCCGTCCGCGTGCGACACGCCAGGCAGTGACGCCGCGTCCGTCTGCTGGAGGTAGCCGAGGATGGCCGAGTACAGCTCGTAGTGCAGCTCGGTCAGGCGCATTGAGAAGACGACGAGCTGGAGCACGGCCGCCGTGTCGGGCACGTGGGCCGTGTCGGGCACGTGGGCCGTGTCGGGCACGTGGATGCCGCCGCCGCCGCTGACGCCGCCCCCGCCCCCACCGCCGTCGTCGTCTTCGTCCTCGTTGGAGTACGTCGACGCCATGGTCTGGTTCGATTTCCGCCGCCTCTTCTGGCGCGCGCTCCCGCTCCCGCTCCCGCTCCCGCTCCCGTCCCCGCCCCCGCCGCCTGGAGGCTCCGTCTCTCGGCCGCCGCTAGTCGGGAAGTTGACGAGCCCGAGAAAGATGGCCGAGCTCTCGAGCACGTGTGCGGCCACCTGCTCGAGCTGGGCTGGGCTGATTTCCGAGCCCAGGTTCACGGGCCGGGAGAGACGCACGTTGAAGTCGGAGAGTTGCTGCATGTACTGGTGCGTCTTGCCGCCTGCCGTGGGCGTTGTTGACCCCGACCTGGCCGACATGGGGGTTGGGCCCCGCACCGGCAGAGGGCCGTGAGAGTCGTCCGTCCCCGGGACGACCCTGCCGCCCAGGGCCAGCAGCTGCGACGGGGTCGCCGGGGTCTGGGGGCGACTCAACGGCGGGAGGAGCGACGCGAAAGGATCGAAGCGGGCGTGGTCAGCGCCCCAGAAGCCGTGCGGATCGCTGCCATCGTCTAACGGCTGCCCGCCAGCCTTCATGTGGTTGAGAAAGCCGTCGAGGAAGCCGGCGGGCGGCCACGACAGCATGTCTTGGGTCATCAACAGATTGGCAAAGGCGTCGGTCCTCGACAGAGCATCGTCGTCCTCGGCCATGTCCTCTCCCCAGGCGTCTTCGGCGCTCTTGCTGGCGGCCTTGCTCGCAGCACTGGCCCCGGCCGGGGCCGCCCTTGCTTCGGGGCCGACGCCCACTCCCTGCACGAGCGTGCCGACGGCCTTAGTCGGGGGACGTCCGGGCTTCCGCGGAAGACTGTAGTTGCAGGGCACTTCGGCTCCCTGGCAGCGGTTACACGGCGCGTTTCTCCCCCCGGGCTCGGATATGCAGCGCATCTTGAGTCGATGGCATCGATCACACGCTGCCCGTTTCGGCGCGAGGAGATGGAGACTCATGTCTCGGGGATAGATGCACGGAACAGACGGCCGGGGAGCATCGAAGCCTTGTCGCCAGCTGCTTGGGCAATTAACTAGTTACAGCGGTCGGAAGGGGTGCTGGACACGACGACGGCCAGACTATCGACGACCAGACTATCGACGACCAGACTATCGACTCATTAGCTTATCTATAAAGTAGGTAGGCAGGTATGCTGCATAATGTCGCCAACTTAATTTGACTACGCAGATCCGCCCCCCTCCCTACCCCCCCTACCCCCCCCTTTCGCGGACCCCTCCCCCTTTTTCGCGGACCCCTCCCCCCTTTTCACGGACCCCCCCTCTGCATGCCTTAGGCCGTGCAACCATAAAGTACTAACTCTGGCCCAGTAACATGGGGTCGCAAGCAGTGCCTTATCAGACTTCTGCAGCAGCGGACGCGACGGCGACCTGGCGCAGAGGTGGATACGAAAGCCTATGTCCGACAGACTGCATCCAGCAAGACGCCTTCCTACCCAGTGGCCTCATCGCACGTCCGATAAAATGCATCCCCGATGGAACCCTTCTACATCACTGTCTCTTATCCCCATTCTGTCATTCCCCATTCTGTCGTTCCCATCCTGTCATTCACTTTATCCCACAGGACCCCAACAAGTCATTGTCGCCAGACCGGCCCCCGCCCGAGCAGGCGTGCTGCTCTGCTGCTGGTGTCGCCTCGGGCTTGTATTTGCTGAACGCGGTACGCAGCTGCGCCGCCGGGCTGCAGCTGATGGCGACTGCGAATCCTTTCCCGAACTGTGTCCTATCCTGGCCATGGGTGGGAGAAAAAAATACCTAGCCCCGCTCCCCGCCTACACTTTGAACCAAGTAATTATGCATTGGTTTACAATGAAACCCACATCGAGTGCTTGCTTACTGCTTTATCTGTCCGGAGCCCGAGACAGTGCTGAGAGACGAGGTGCCAGGCCTGGCACCTGTCTCCCGTTCCGATTTGACGGCCCGTCCCTCACCCTGGGTGGTGGTCCCCAAGCGGCGCAAACCGGGCGGTTTCTTTTTCTTCCATTATTCCTTGGCTTATCCCCGCACCCTGCCCTGGCAATACAGCTGCAGCTCCGCCGCATGCAACCATTTTGTAAGCAAAAGAGCTTGTTTTCTTATTGCCACGCCGGTGGGTTTTGCCTCACTCGGACACCCCCAGAGGCCTGCTCTCGGCCCAAGTGTCCAATATTCTTTCCTTTCGTTGCCTGACTTACTGCTCGCCCGCTCGGAGATGGATAGCCGCGGGCATTCTCGGGAAAAGTAGCAGGTAATTAATCAATCAAGATGCTGTAGTATCGGCCGGGGCCTTGATCGGCTGAGGGTCGGCCGATCCAACGCCCCGGTTTGTTCGCCCTTTCCCGATCAAACGAGCAAAGAGACTCGCGCGGCACCCTCAAACAAAAATTCCGATGTCGCCATCCCACCTGTCAGCTATGTTCGCCTGTGCCGCCAGCCCCCTTTCTCTTTCGACACCCCGACGCCTTGCAGGCGGGTGAGGCGGCAAAAAGCTTAGCACGCGCGGGTGGCTGAGCTCCCCGCACCGGGGGAGCGAGTAAAGTAGGTCGCCATCTTTCCAAAGGGCTTACCTGGGAATAATGGCGCCGCGTTTTAGGGAATCCTTGCGGTAGATGACCCCGGACGGTCGACGCCTCCCCCGCCGAGTGGCGGACGCTGTGTGTCAGTTATCTGGCCACCTCGGTTGTTGCTCTGATTCGTGCTTATTCGGGCCTCAGCCATGCAGGCGGCCCGGCCGGTGAATACTCGCCGGCGATTGCTTGCTGCGGGTGCCTTGGGAGGCGGAGGGGGGGGAGAGAGAGAGAAGAGGGTTGTAGCACATTGCTTCCATTAGCATTTGCTTCTATTTGCATTTGCTTCCGTTTGCATTTGCTTGCATTGGCATTTGCTTACTTTGCCTCCCTGAGCCCCTACTCGTTGTCCCCTGCTTAGGGTTTGCTAGCAACCTCGGCCTTTTTCTCGAAAGAGGTGCAGCTCCGTCGTCAATTTATTACCAGCCTTCACCACCCTACACGTGTGCTAACTAGTGGTCACGTCACGCACACTTGCCAGCTCGAGACCATGTCGATTCCTGCATCTTGCACTGTTCTTGTCGTGGGGGGCGGCCCAGGTGGCTCGTATGCAGCCTCGGCCCTCGCTCGTGAAGGCGTCGACGTCGTGGTTCTCGAGGCCGACACCTTTCCCAGGTCAGTATCAATCAGCCAAACACGTCACTGTCAAGTGCTGCAGCACATGGTCCTGACACTGCCGCTCTCTTTTGCTCCGAAACTTGCAAGATACCACATTGGCGAGTCTCTCTTGGCTTCGGTCCGCTATTTTCTGCGGTTTGTCGAGCTAGACAAGAAATTCGACGGATATGGCTTCACTAGGAAGGTGAGCTGGGCGGCATCGCTGTTATCAACACGGCGGACTCAAATCTGATGCCAATCAATAGAACGGCGCTGCGTTCAAGTTGAACAACAAGCGAGAGGCGTGTAAGCAGATCCAGCCCCTATCCGCGTACGCCCCTATCCGCGTACGCCCCTATCCGCGTGCACCCCTATCCGCGTGCACCCCTATTCGCGTACACGATACTGATTGCCCACGGCTCGGCAGACACCAATTTCATCGCCGCCAATGGCCCCAACGGCTACTCGTGGAATGTCATACGCGCCGAGTCTGACAAGCTCATGTTGGACTACGCCGGCGAGAGCGGGGCCCGCGTGTTCCAGGGCGTCAAGGTCGATTCCATCATCTTCGACTCCGCCGCCGACTTTCCCCTGGACGACAAGGTCGGCAACCCGGGAAGGCCAGTAGCGGCGACCTGGGCCCGCAAGAGCGACGGCACGTCGGGCGCCATCAAGTTTGACTACGTCGTCGACGCGAGCGGCCGCAACGGCATCATTTCCACCAAGCACCTCAAGAACCGCAAATTCAACCAGGCCCTCAAGAACGTCGCCAATTGGAGCTACTGGAAGGACGCCGAGACATATGCCCCCGGCACCGACATGGAGGGCTCGCCGTTCTTCGAGGCTCTGACCGGTAAATATCACATATCATCCATCTCCCGGGCCGTTTCCGAACCCTGTCCCCTCGCCCGCCCCGAGACTAACGCCGACGCTCCCGAGTAGACGCGAGTGGCTGGTGCTGGGCCATCCCGCTGCACGACGGCACGCTGTCGGTGGGCGTCGTCATGCGACAGGACCTGTCTCTGGCGCGCAAGCAGGCCCTGGGCTCGCCGTCCATGGAAGAGTTCTACCGCGGCTGTCTCACGCTGTGCCCCATGATCCACGAGCGGCTTGCCGGGGCCGAGCTCGTGTCCAACATCAAGGCGGCCTCGGACTGGTCGTACAGTGCCTCGTCGTACGCCGGGCCCAACTTCCGCATCGTCGGCGACGCCGGCTGCTTCATCGACCCGTACTTTAGCTCCGGCGTCCACCTCGCCGTGGCCAGCGCGCTGTCCGCCGCCATGACCATCCAGGCTGCCCGCCGGGGCGACTGCGGCGAGTTCGAGGCGGCCAAGTGGCACTCGGAGAAAGTTGCCGAGGGGTATACCCGCTTCCTGCTGGTGGTGATGACCACTCTGCGGCAGATCCGCAAGGGCACCGAGCCCGTGCTGAGTGATTTCGACGAGGACGGCTTCGACAAGGCCTTTGGGTTCTTTCAACCGGGTGAGTTTTTAGACCCTACTGTCGCGCGTTTTATTTTCGATGCGAAAAGGAAAACACGAAAGATGTGGTCTTAACTTAGATGGGTCTCCCAATCCCCAGTCATCCAAGGCCTGGCCGACGCCGACGTCGGCGGCAAGCTAACGCAGGGCCGCGTGTCGGACACGGTGGCCTTCTGCCTCAACGCGTACAACGACATCACGCCCGAGGCGCGGCAGGCGGTGCTAGACAAGCTAGAGCGCGTGCGGGCGGCGGACCGGCAGGCCGAGACCAAGGAGGACCTCGAGCAGCTCGACCAGGACGAGCTGCGCATCCTGCGCACCATCCGCGCGCGCCAGATGCTGCGCACCGAGGACTCGATGAACATGGACAACTTCTCCGCCGACGCCATCAACGGCTTCGTGCCCCGCCTGGCGCGCGGCAGCCTCGGGCTCTCGAGGGCCGGCGGCCCCGGCGCCGCCCCCGGCGCCTACAAGGAGAGCCTCTTCGACCTCAAGTGGAGCGTTTCCGGCGACAAGGACGACTACAAGGTGCAAAAGGAGGCGGCCGAGGTGCCGGCCGAGGCCTAGTTGAGGGACTGGCCGAGACGCAGTTCTACAGAATCAAGACTTGGTGTTTGACCTGCTGCGTAAACTACCTGTACCATTATGAACGTGCCAGCTAGTTGTTGTCGTCGAACCAAATTCAACACTATAGGTTCCATCCGTGCCCATGGAAGCCAATTACCATGGAAGCCAATTACCATGGAAACTGATTACATGGAAACTGATTACATGGAAACTGATTACATGGAAACTGATTACATGGAAACTGATTACATGGAAACTGATTACATGGAAACTGACTACCATGGAAACTGATTACAGGGAAACTAATTACCCTGGAAACTCCTCTCAACTCCTCTCGAGTCGTGTTTACATGCATAAGTTTTTGCGATAGTACTTGCAGTGCAGTGGGGAGCCCGAAATTGACAGGCTATCCGCTCTTGACCAAAACGAGCATGCCACCACCTTGTTCTAGCAACAGCCTCCCTGCGGTACATACACCACACCAGCTGCAAGCCGAGCAATTGTTTAGGTACGCACCCAACCGTCAGCGTGACGTAATAGGGAGAGCAAAAGACACGGCGAGCTTTGTCCAATGGCGTGTCTTGTCTAGAATTAGGTTAGAGAGGATGGTTGCACCCAAGGGTTGCCGAGTTTCCGAGTCCAACCGTTGGTGTTCCACGGCAGCAGTCCTTTATCTCTCCCTGAATTAGGTTAGAGAGGACGGTTGCGCCCAAACGTTGCCGGGTTTCCGAGTCCGACCGTTGATGTTCCACGGCAGCAATCCTTATCTCTGCCTATCTCTCGTGTTCGTGCCAGGGTGGGGGTCATGATTCCACATATCTTGCATTGGAAAGCTTGTTCCAGAAACCGAGTCTTCTAGAACAGCTCATTATTAATGTAACATGTCTTCATACTTGACAAGTTTGAGTCGCGCTTATCTAATCCTCGGCACTGATGTGAGTCTAAGAGAGGGAACTCTGACAAAAGAATACATGCAAGTCATTTTGTTTTTTGTTTTGTCAAAGACCAAGAAATTCCCTATTTAGTACTTTACTTTCGCCTGATACAAAAAAAATTAATTTTTTTACAATTGGAGGTTACTTTGACTCCAATTACGTTTGATCTCGTTTCAATCTTTAACTCGAAAGACGATGGACCAGCTGGGGCATCCAGGTGCTCACTGTCAACACCCTGCTGGCCATTGCCGGGCTGTTTTCCCCTTTTGTCAGCATCGTGGGTGTTTCGTCCTTGACGTTGGAAAACGGCAGCCTTGAATCTTTGACCCAATTCCCTGCATGACTATCTGGTCAAGCACTCTGATACCCATACCCTATTTCAATAATTTCTTGCAGGTTCCTATTTTCCTCTTAATGCGCTTTGTTAGAAGTAAGCAACTGTTTGAAGAGTGTCGAGACGTGTATTGATGCGGCGACCGGCACCGGGCCGGCCTCGCCATTTCGGGGTACGCGTCATTCATCCCTCTGCTTCACACTCCTCCTTATACATCTCATCGATTTCCCTTCCAAATTCCTTTATCGTACTCACCCTTTGCACGCTTCCCTTGTCGGCCCGCTTAAACGCTCTTCCACGTAACACAACGGCGATCTTGTCCCTGGCCACTCGGCCATTGGACTCGGCCTTTGGGTTCGCCGCCTGCACCGCTGGCCAGATCTCGTCGACGAGCCCATCTGCGGTACCGTTCCACTTGGACCAGTCCGTCTCGACCAGCAGCGCGGCGCGGAAACGGCCTTGACCAACCACCAGCGCCCCCTTCAGCAACGGGTGCGCCGGGAGGGCGTCCTGCATCGCGACAGGGTTGACCTTCTCGCCTGTCGAAAGCACGACCACATCGTCGGTGCGCCCGATAAACTGCCAAAGCCTGGGTTCAGACGGGTGGCGTGCGAAAAGGTCACGGCTGCGCCAGACCGAAGTGGCTGGGACGGCGTGGAAGACGGGGTGGTGCGGAACATGCTGGGGTTCGCTGCGGAAGACCAACTCGTAGACTCCGTCTGCGTTGTTGTCGACGAGCTCCATCCTGTAATTACAAACAGATGAGACAAAGACGGAACGGAGGACTGAGCGAGGGTGGGTGGAACAAAGAACTCAACTCACACCGCACCGTACCGCTCGTTCCACTCGAACCACGGCCAAAGCTGCGGATCCGGGTGCACGAGGCTCGGGACCAGCCCCGCCTCAGTGCTCCCGTACACATGTATCATCTTAACCCCGCGGGCCACCAGCGCATCGCCCGTCGCCGGCGCCATCGTTCCGCTCCCGGTCAACACGCGCTCCAGCCGGGCCAGTCGAGCCAGCGCGCCACGGCGCACGAGACCCTCGAGGGCGCTTGGCGGCAGCATCACCGCGTTGACGTCGGCATCTCTCGAGTCCAGCGCGTCGAGAAACGGTTGCACGTCGTTCGGCGCCGCCGCGGGCGGATGCAGCACAGAGGCGTACCCGTGGAATAGCGCCAAGAAGAGCGAACAAGCCGCGCCGCCGAGATGGAAGAGCGGGAGGCCGACAAGCAGGCGTGTTCCCGCCGGCAAGCCCGAGAAGGCCATCGTGCGGCCCGGTGGCACCGGGAGGTGCGCGGCACAATCTAATGCAGCGAGGTAGCCGTGCGTGATCGGGACGGGCTTGGGGTGGCCGGTGCTCCCCGAAGTGTGGAAAATGAGAGCTGGCCTGTTGGGTAGGGGCGGCGGCGGGCTGGGAAACGGCGTAACGGCGCGAGGAGAGGACAGAAACTCTGCGTAGGCCGGCACAAGAAGCGTGTTCAAGGTGCCGCCGGGCTTAATAGCGCTTCTGACGACGCCGACTTTCTCGACGCGCTCGGCGGTGTAGAAAAGCTTGGTGCAGGAAGTCGTCTCGAGGAGGTGGAGCTGGCCTTCAACAGCGCTATGTGGGGAGATGTTGATCGTCTGGTTTCCCATCAGTATTTGATATAGATCCTGATCTTTGCTTGCTTATAGTGAGGAGAGAGCGAAAAACTTGCTGCATAACCGCACAGGATAGCCGCCAGCCAGAAGACATGGTATCGTATGTCGTGGGCGCCCATGTAGCCTATGGTCTCGCCGACAACTAGACGGCCAGAGACTGATATTTCCAGGAGGCCCATCGTGCGTGTCTTGTGCCTCTAATTAGCCCGAATCGTTCTGGTTTAGATGGGGGCTCAAGTTCATCTTGTCGTTCATCGTCCGTCTTTGAGTCGTCAAAGCAGTCGGTTATTATAGTATCCGGCAAATAGGGGTCCATGGCTGGACCAGGCTCTGGCTTTCGTACAGTCAATCGCTACGCCTTCTCTGTGCATCTACCGCTGCAAAGTGTGAACTAACAAAGTGTTGGATTGGCTATTGTCAGATGGACAAGGGTTGCATGTGGAATAGAGCTCATCCCAGCTGAGCTCTGGTGTGGTCATCCGAGGTGAAAAGAGGCTCAGGGGAGCTGAAATGAAGTGGCCAGTTCAGCTGGTGTGGCTGCTTTTGCCACCACCATTGCCACCATTTACAACTATAATAGAGGCCCTCTGGCAGGACCAAAAAGAACAAGGAGGATGCATCAATCAAGAAAGTTGAAGTGCTGAATCCAACACAAAGTACGGCGATTCGCTAGCCTGCCTGACCTATCTGCCCGCCAAGACCGGTAAGGCAAGGTCGGAATCCTTAAGGATAGTTGTAGGCTCCTAATTGGTAGCCATCCACTAATTTTAGAAGAAGGGAAGGAAGGAAGGAATGAAGGAGATAAGGAAGGAAGAGAGGAAATAATTGGTGAAGATGTTGTCATTAGTAAGGATAGATATCTCGGCACAGTACATGCCTCACCAGTGCAAAGTCCAGAACGCCACGTCCTAAAAGGAGTTAAATTCAAGTCGCTAGCTGCCAATCTTCCACGGTGCAAATAGATAACTATCTTCGGGGCTACTATAGGGGGTCTAAGGGGCCTGAATGGATACGTAGGGTGTAGAAGGCTTCTAGCAAACGAGCTGGTACCGTAAGATTTCAAATCCTAGCCACTGTGGAGAGTGGCTCTTTCTTTTGCCTGAGCCTTCGTATTCAGGTAGATAGTGGCGTAAATTAGCCAATGGCAGCTTTTAGGGGTCATGGTAACGGAATTAGTCAGAAAATGTTATGGGGTGGCTAAAAAGGTCAGGTAGTCAATACAAAATATCGCAGTTCAACATCTCGTGCGACGTCTAACAATGATGCCGAGCTAACAGAATACAAAATATATGTATCAGAGGTACCCATTTACTTCGTTCTTATTAGCCCATCTATCAACAACATCTTAACAGCCGAAGTGGTCCAACCTGGTCGGAATGAGAACCCAACCGTATCTTACCAACCTGGTGGATAGGTTAGGCCGGCCTCTCCTTCAAAGACGGACTCAAACGGCAATTTGACGCCAAAAGCTTCAATACCTACCTGTGGTGTTAGCTTGACCTAATCAATCATGCGACAACAGCAACAGCGCTCTTGTACAGTTTTCTTTGCTGTGGTGTGGTGAAAAAGGTCAGCTTGCGAGAAAGAAAGCTGAGAACACCTCAACAACTAACAACAAAAAAGAAGAAAAAAAAAGACTCACAGTGAAGCAAACCGAAAGCACCAAGCTAACAGCGGCACCGACATAGACGGGAATGAACACGGTCCGCAGCGCCGTGACGACGGCCGCCATGGCAGCGGCGCGCACGTCGGGCGGGAACTGCGCGAGGTACTCGCCACCGGACCCAGAGATGGCCAGCTGCAGCTGGTCGCGGGGCACGCCGTCACCGAGGACGGCAGCGAGGCGCTTGACGGCCCCGTTAACGAAGACGGCGCCCGAGATGGCCAGCCCGAAGGGGATGCCACTCATCTGCGCCAGCATCATATAGCTAATAGCGTACGCCACCTCGGCCGCCGGCACCACCGCCTAGATCACCGCGTACCCGGCCTGCACGCAGCAGCCGCTGCGGACGCCGACGAGAATCTCGAAGCCGTAGATGCGCGCGGTCAGCGTGTTTGCGTCGATGCGTGCTGTTTGTTTCCGAGCCAGCGTGTCTGTCAGCGGGTGCTTCTCAACGGAAAAAAGGGGCAACGGGGGTGTTTGTAAACAAGGCCAACTCACCCAGCAAGACACCGCCCACAAGCGTCAACGCACTACCGGCAATGTACCAGGGCTGGAAGTAGCCGAACCTCGTCATGAAGTGGCCACTAGCCAGAATCGTGGCGCTGAGCACGAAGATGAGCGGCAGCAAACGCACGGCGGCCTCGATGGCGCTATCCCCGCGCGAGAACTGGAAATACAGCGGCATGTAATAAATAGGAATAAAACAGGAGTAGTTAACGGCCGCGTCGCAGCAAAACAGCAGCACGGCGTTCCAGTTGCGCAGGAAGTGGGCGGGGAAGATGCGGGCGGCGCGCGAGGTGAAGACGGCGTAGCTCTGCTGGACGCCGAAGACGGCGAACAGCGCGAACGACACAACGAACAGCGCAATAATCTGCGCGCTGCTCCACGCGTACGGCGCGCCGCCCAGGTTGATGGCCATGACAAGCGTCATAATGGCACCCGCGCCAAGAATCGTACCCATAACATCCATCTCGCGCAGCAACGCCGCCGCCGGCGCGCCCCTGCGCGGCTCGAATGACGGTAGTAGGAACACGTAGACAGGCACGAACAAACCGCCCACGCACAGGTTGATATAAAAGGCCCAGCGCCACGTGGCCGGCGACTCGACGAAGGCGCCGCCGACTACAGGACCTAGCACGGTGCCGACGCCCCAGACGAGCCCGACGAAGCTCAGGTAGCCGGGGCGCTCGCGGTCCGACGTGCCGACCGACAGCAGCGTCATGACGCCGAGGTAAAGGCCGATGCCGCCGAGGCCGGCGACCACGCGGCCCGCGATCAGTGCGTCCATGTCGGGCGCGCCGCCGCACAGCGCGGACCCGCCGTTAAACACGGCCAGCGAGCTGAGGTACAGCCACTTGGCGTTGAACAGCCCGTACAGCTTGCCGAACGGCAGCACGCCGACGGCGCTGCCGAGGAGGAATCTGTTTTTGTGCGGGGCCGGTCAGCTACGTTGCGGTGGTCATCAAGGAATTAGATCGAGAAAAAGGAGGTTGTGGGATAGACAACAGGATTACTCACCCAACGGACAGCCACGGCAGCTTCAGGACGTCGCTAAACGCGTTGACGGCGGCGGGTGTGATGTCGGCGACGACCGTGTTGTCGAGCGAGTGCAGGAAGATGCTGGACAGGATGGAGACGACCACCAGCGCCCACTGACCAACCGTCCCACAAACGGTCAGCAAAGTCCTCTATGCAATCCCTGTTTAGAACTAGGTCCAAGGGCAAAATCCTTCTCACCTTGACACCGTGGACACTTTTTGGCGAAGCGGGAACATCCTCAGCTGCCCCGGCTGCCAAGCTGTGGTCGCCTATGCCGTCTCTGAGAGGGGTAGCGTTTGCCTCGAGCTTAGACAGATCAGGCGAGTGGTGGCCGTTCGGGCCGGGGATCGCGGCCGAGGACGCCTCAGCGTGCTTTTCCATGCCCGAGGTTGGCGTGGCGGACATGGCGGTGGCCGGTTGGAGTGAAGCCGGTTCAAACTGTTTTTGCTGTGTTGGCTTGGGCTGGGTAGGTAGGGGGTAATTGGTGGTTTATCGAAGACGAAGCAGGCAGGTGTATATTGAAAGTGTTGAGAAAAGATGGAAGGCCGAAGGGACGACATGTTGATTCTTTGAGAATGTTCGAGACGAGGCCGGAATTATTCCGCAAGCCTGGCTAGGTCGTGGTACCGTAGCTTGCGGAAGCGTTAATGATGATCAACATCACATAGGTATCAACTCTTTTGAATACGGGGTGTGGGTTGGTAAAGCCCGAGCAGCGCAGTACAGCACAGCAAGCGGCTCCGCAGCTTCTATTGGCAATCAGCGCAAAACACGTCGCATCGCGGCGGCAGTCTCCAAACCAGAAACACGTTTCCTGTTCCGGTGTTAGCATTCCCGAAAGGCTCTCAGGGGTCCATCTTGCATGCACGCCCTGGCCCAGATCCCGCTAAGCCCACAGAGGCAATCCCGACAATATTGCCGTGTTGGGGTTAAGGGAATCCTGAATGGGCGATTTGTAAGACCCCCGCTTCCTTCCTTCCTACCTGTTGGAATAGCGATGTTGGTGACCGTACTCTGCGCTGGAAGGGAGGCGGTGCGATGCACGTGCTAGCGCACGTGCTTGCAAGCACGTGCGCCGCACGGCCCTCGCACGGCCACGTACAAAGCCAAGAACCCCCACCATAGATTTCTAGAACAGAACATGAATCAGAACAACTTTACACCCCCCCCGGTAGTACTACCACTTTTGACCCGTTGGAACACCTACGTGGTTGGAATACCACGAACACTACCCCCTTTTTGGATTCGACACTTCGCTGTTGGTCCCATAGACCGTAGACAAGGGGGCTTGGGCCGGTTGGAGCCACTGGGTTCTGTGAAGTGCTGCGGCCTCGCAGGAGACGGTTCAGTTGTATTTGTCAAATAAATGAAAATAAAAATAAAAATAAAAATAAAAATAAAAATAAAAATAAAAATAAAAATAAAAATAAAAATAAAAAAATAAAAATAAAAAAACAATGCAATTCAGTGACTGGTGTTATTCCCACACTGGGACTGCCGCATAAGTGACCGCAGCTCTAGGTGGAAGATAATAATGGGAAAAGGAGTATTGTCTTCAAACTGCGTTTGTAAACATCTATCCAGCCTGTGAAACATAGCCTGCGAAGTACTCTGTTCTGCGAAAATGGCCAAACGCCCCTTTATCATCCAACATGAATAATCAACCCGGACTAGGCCGCGTCTTCATCCACCTAGAAAGGTTTGAAAAATAATTTCTAATGTGCCATTGATACTCGTTGACGCCTTGTCGACACGCCCCGTCATCGATTGCACCTTGGCCCTCCGCGCCTGACTGCCCTGGGCCTCGCCCGCGCGTTCGACACGAACAAGCAGGTGCCGAAAATTCCTGATCTGAAGCTTCAGCAACACGCGCATTATGTGTATCTGCTCTTCGTCCGAGTACTGGGCTCGAAACTCGTTCGAAAACAGGAGAGGATTGCACGCGGCAGACGCTGCAGGGCCCCCAGACGTGTTGGAGAAGAGCTGTGGGTTCGAGGGCGTGCTATTCCAGTTCATCGCAGCCTGCTGCCCCAACGTCAGAATGTACGCAGTCCCAGTGCCTATGGGGGCGTTTGAGGGGTCGGGAGATTCCGAGTTCTCGGGCAACGCCGGCTTGTTGCTGCTCGAGCCGGCAGCCGGCGACAGGGACATGATCACGGCGGCGGCTAGTCTGATCCGGGTGCTGATGCACTCGAACATCTCAGACATCCGGTCGCAGATGATCAGAACCATAGCATGCACTGTGGGAAGTGAGGCGCATTTCGGGCAGTCGAGAACGTTGCAGCACTGGAAGATGAGCCACTTCTGCAGCTGGAGCACCATGTCGAGCGACAAAGTAGAGGTATGGAACTCGTCGTCTTCGAGCTGCTGAACAACCCGGACGGCGTCACACAGACATGAGCAGGTTCCTGAATTTGCCAATGCCTCGCTCGAGTCTAGCCGAACGTCGAAATCTGACCTGGCCTGCAAGACGTGGCCGGCGACCACTGGTTGTTTCTGGTTCTCGCCAGACTCGCCGGGCAGCGACTTTCCGGGGTGAGAACTCTGGTCTCGGAAATATTCGCTGTGAAAGATGTGGCTCTCAGGAGGGATCCCCCGTGCCACATTCATGTCGGCCACAGGGGATGATGGCATGCGGAAATCAAGGGACGAGTTATCTAACCCCAGATCCCCGATGTCGGCATCAAAGCCCTCGCCATCAACTACGGAAGCGGCAGTCAGTATACTTGCCCTCATTTGGGATTTCACTAAAAGGGGGGAGAGGGCGTCCGGATCTGGACCCACAGTTGAGGAAATCAGCGGCCGGCATGTCGTTATCTGTCGGGTTTTTTGCTAATGCTAGATCTCCTCCCTGAGTGCGGAGGGCCGGTGACTCGGGGGGCGGTTGGATGCCATCGAGGGTCTCGTCCCGGGCCTCGACAGACTCGCATTGCCAAGTGAGAGTCGACGAGTTGGGGCGGCGTCTCGAGGTCGTCGCCGGCAGTACACAGTCAAGTGCTCGGGCCTGACAGCGGTCGCAATTTCTGGGACAGCCGGTGCACCGAAGCTATTGGGTAAGGGGTTGTGAGCAAGGCGCTGGCTCTCATTCGTTCTCGACAGTATACAGCATAGCACAGGATGCACTCGCAATAGCCAAAACGGGATGAAATGGGGCTCGGAGTGATGGGCTCGGAGTGATGGGCTCGGAGTGATGAGGACAAAGCTAAACCAAGCCGGGCCACGAATGAATAAATGGGATGACAAGTTTGAACACAATGAACAAATAGGTAGATGCAGTCTATACATACCTTGTTCTTTTGGCAGGCAACGCAAGCGGACCGGCGGGGTGGGCGAGAGCGACCGTTGGCGCCACCTGCCTGTCGTTGGGCGACCTGTTCGAACCCGCCGCCGGACCCCTCCTTGCGTCTACCCGAACTCTTCAGCGTGATGAACATTGCCAAGGGAACAAGCTGTTGGCTCAATCCTTGATGTCGGTTCTGGTCGCTGTCCAGCCCAGGCGGGTCACCTCAGTCACTCACTAGTGGAGATAAGTTAGAAAACAGAAACGCAGCTATCAACCTGGAAGGCAGGTGCGGGTGCGGGTGCGGGGCGGTGTGCAGACTGCAGAGGGCGCTGTCTTGTTGGTGGGAAGGTGGAAACCGCCCAGACCTGCTCCAGGTTTGGCAAAGCGCTGGGGAAGCCCGCCGTGGTAGGGCAGTGCTGCCTAAAATGAACCCCCATTTGCCCCTGCCGGCTTGCACGACACAAACGGCGGCCCACAACGGGATTCGTTAGCGGGTCGATCTTCCCGTGTTAGTGGGGCATTTTGCCTTCAACCTTCGAAGACTGCGCTACACGCGTACGCGCGTTCCATCTTATCATGAACTCGAGATGAATCCACGGTAAGTTGTTATTAAGCAGCAACGTCACGAAATGGAAGAAACTCGGAACAGGTTCCAGGTTGCCAGCTCCATGTTACTAACCCTCAACCAACGCCAGAGACATTTTGTCAAAGACTGCCCTGGCTGTAAGATGACCACACCACGCCATAGGCAACACTTGATAATGCCTCCCCTGCACAATAGTAATGAAACGCTCTCGAGCCCCTTCCGAAATATCGCCCCAATGCGTACAGCAACAGCTAGAAGAGGGGATTCTCGTGGTCAAGTACCAGTGATTAATAATAACTTAGTACGGACAGTGAACAGTCCGCAGTGAACAATCCGGGGGCGTTCCAACCGAATTGCAGTCGAAAGATACTGCCATTTCTAACAGCACTTTAGCCCCCGACCACCCCACCCAGTTGGATATTACCAACACCGTCCCTAGTCACCTGCAGCCACTCACAGCACATACAATTGCCCAGAACAGGTGAGGATGCAAGGCAACACTTTGAGGCTGCAAAGATTAGCAGCAGCTTTCCACGTCTTACTTTGTGCTGACCAAGAAGGATTCAGGATTTAGTGCTTTTACTCTGCGCATGGCATCCGTATGCGATTGATGCAGCCCAGGTAACGCGGCGTTGGTCAAGTCTGAGACACCTAGCTCGGCAAGCGGTTGACAAAAAAATAGGGACACCAAAACTGGCACGTGCGGTCCATTACTAACGGATTCCCACAGTCTTACTGCTTTCGTATGTTAGTGAGTGACGGTCAGATGACCAGGCGGAAAAACAAAAAGATACATCTGTTTTGCCTGCAATTACTATGGTAGCCTGTGTACTGCACAGATAATGGGACCCTGTTTTTTGTCAACCGCTTGCTCGGTTAAGGAGCGAGTTTTTCGTTGTAAAGTACGGATTACTGTACCGAATACGATACGGATACTTCACACGGGGCCAGCTTAGCGTATGCCGGGAAGTCGCTGGGCTAGACCATCACGAGGAACGCGGGCAATTGTCGCAAATGATGAGCAAGCTAGCTTCGTTTCTTTCCACCATTCCCGAAACCTTAACCAGGTTTGCGCAATAGCTTTGGCGCTTCGCAATACGGTCTCAATCTACAGTAAATCCTATTACAACGGTCAGATAACGCCCTCCTCAGATAACGCCCTCCGCTACTACAGAGGACCGAGAAACGCGCCTAACAATTTAAGACGGTTGGTGTCACGCTTAACCTAAAGAGGTACCTTACACAGCCAACCAAGACGCCGGTTGGGTCAACACAGGTACCCACTCCGAGTGCTTTCGACCAAATCGGGTTTACCGCGTCGGAATTAGAACATCAACAGCGCATGTAATTCCGAGCGCTGGCTCTTGTGAGTGCCCCGACCGTCCCTTATCCCGGCAGCACCACCACGCCTGCTCCGAGTTGCCCAAGGCTATCACGGCAAAGCCCAGCCGCTGCCAGAGTCTATATAATCCACGAGCTCCCTCGTGGAGCACTACCGCAGAGATGAGCATCCTCTCCACTGGCATTCGGGCAAAGCAGATCAGATATCAGATCAGAACCCATTCGGGCAGAGCAGATCAGATCATCAGATCAGAACACCAAAACCATCTTAGCACGACAGTCGAGACCCACACCACCCCCCGACTAGCACGCGTACTCCGTACCACCAAGCAACCCCCACCATGTCCCTCCCCAAGACATACAAGCAGGCCGCCTTCAAGGTCAAGGGCGAGCCTCTCGTCGTCGAGGATGTCCCCTTGACGCTGCCGGGCCCGGGTGAGATCCTCATCAAGGTCGAGGCCTGCGGCGTGTGCTACTCGGACATGTACGCCCAGTTCGACGGCATGGGCGGCGGCTTCCCCCTCGTCCCCGGCCACGAGATCATAGGCCGCGTCGCCGCCGTGGGCGACGGCGTTAATGTCGACACCTGGAAAGTCGGCAGCCGCGTCGGCGGCGGCTGGCACGGCGGCCACGACGGCACCTGCACCGCCTGCAAGAAGGGCTATTTCCAGATGTGCGACAATGCGATTGTCAACGGAGAGACTAAGAACGGTGGCTGTGAGTTCTCATCATTTTCCTACTCTCTTCCTCCTATCCTCCCTCTCGGAGATCTCCTGTCTCCAGTCCAAGACATGCACAACCTGTCTCCAGTCCAAGACATGCGCAACTAACACGACACCCAAGTCGCCGAATACTGCCTCATCCGCGCCGAGTCCGGAGTGCACGTCCCCGAGCACGTCGACGCGGCCAAGTACGCGCCCATCCTGTGCGCCGGCGTGTCCGTCTTCAACTCGGTCCGGCAACTCAACATCCCCGTAGGCGAGACGGTCGCAGTGCAGGGGCTCGGCGGGCTCGGCCACCTAGCCATCCAGTACGCGCGGCGCATGGGGTACCGCGTCGTGGCCATCTCGCGGGGGCCGGACAAGGAGCGGTGGGCGCGCGACCTGGGCGCGCACGAGTACGTCGACTCGAGCAAGGGCGATATCGGCGACCAGCTCAAGGCCCTCGGCGGCGCCGCTCTAGCCATCTCTGTGGCCACCTCCGCCGACGCGATCGCCCCGTTGCTCAAGGGCCTCGGCGTCCGCGGCAAGCTGCTCATCCTCAGCGTGCTCGGCGCCGTGCCCGTCGACATCGGGGTTATGTTGAAGCGGGGACTGTCGGTCCACTCCTGGCCCGGCGGTCACCATCTCGATAACGAGGAGGCCATCGCGTTTACCGAGCTCAACGGCGTCGACTGCCTTGTAGAGAAGTTTCCCCTGGCCAAGGCCCAGGAGGCGTACGGTATGTCGTCTTGGGTCCCCCCTCGAGTGTATTAGAGACGGCCAAGCTAACACGACTTTGCTTTCCAGAGGCGATGTTAACCGGAAAGGTCCGCTTCCGCGCTGTCCTTGTCATGGAGTGAACTCCCGAAGTCAGGCTTGTGATGGCGAGTTTCAGGCTAGGTTAGAGATATGTTTCAAGAAGGGCTTGGATAGTCGAGGTCCCAAGTGAACAGAATACCGGAAACCTTACTCTGAAGCTCGTTTCACAATACAATCATTTAACATTCGGCGTGTTTCTTTGTCATTGGGTTTTGGTGCCGGTCAATGAGTGGGTGAAATTTCCGATTGCCATTGAGCTTTGGCCAGGGCACCCTACTGGGAGTCTTTGCACCTGTTAGCAGTTGTGACACTCGGGAGCTAATTTAGGCCGGTAAATTCCCGAACTAGACTTCAAAATACCAGCTACGCGTGCTAATGCTATGGAGGTGCAAATACTGACATTTTGACTTTACTAGGCTTTTTTACTGTTTGGTAGGCCGTTAGGTGACTACAATGAAATTCGGCATTTTAATACACAACAAGCCGCCTCCGCGTTGGCAGGTGTCAAAAAGAAGAAAAACCAGGAGGGTGCCCTGATTCTCAGATGGGGTACCCTGATCAGATCTCTTACCATTAACTGAGTGATTAGGTACTTGATGGCTCGGGTGATTGAGCAAACAACATTCCCTCATCGCAATTACAGGTCTTCTGACTCTTGCTTGTGATTTTTTAACTCTTGCATGTGCTGTTTCAACATGAAATAGAGTCGGGGCTGGTCAAATGTACTCGCTAACACTTGGTTGGGAGCTTCTCGAGTATATATTCGGCTCCAATGGAGGCTATGAAGCACGTTTTCAAGAACTTTTCTTTATCCACCACAGTTGATAAAAAGAACAGCTTCGCAATCGGCTGGCTCAAGTTAGCAAATCCCTGTAATATCTCGACCACGTCTAGTAAGTTGCCCCCTTTCACCGATCCCCCCCATTTGCGCCTTGCTCTATTCTCTCTCTCCCCAAGAACCCCAACCCGCTAATCACGCCCAGCAAGCAAGCAAGCAAACAAGCAAGCAAGCAATCAAGCAAGCAAGCAAGCAAGCAAGCAAGCAAGCAAGCAAGCGAGCGAGCAAGCCAGCCATGTGCGAACACTCGCGCTTCAAACGAGCAAATTGCGGCCACGAATGGCTTGGGTGGTGGCTATGCCCTATAGCCAAGACGCACAATAACGGCGCCGTCATCATCTGCTCGGCGCCGCACAACAGCACCGAGCTAGCGACGCCCCGGACGCTGGGCCCGTACACTGGCAGCTACTGCCCGAAATGCAAGCGCGCCGAGGCGCCGTCCGCCGGCTGGACCTGCTGCATGTGCGGCCACTGGAACCAGGCCGAGGTCATCCGTGCCGGTTACGGTCGTGATTATACGCTGTCGGTAGCGGAGCTCAACATCGGCATCGCCTGCCAGGGTCCCGAATGCCGCGCTTCTCTCGACCGGGCGGCTGCTGGCGCGCTCTCGCTCGAACGCAGCCATCGAGATGCTCTGGCCCGCTATGAGAACACCTTCTCTCTCATTCCCGTCTTGGTTGACGCGCATGTGTTGTGCGAGGAGTGTCCCGTGGCGGGATAGTTACTGCCTTTTTTTCCCAGCGATTGATTGCGATTCTTACGGGTGGGATGATTGGTTTGTCGGCGGTTGGCTCGGCGTTTTGGCTTTCTCGTTTGCTGAAGCGTCCATCTAATTAACTCTTAGAAACCGATAAGAAACAGGGTTAGCGTCTGAACTATGGAGATTTGGTTGCTAGCCGACCGAGGAATAGGGCGCGGATAGCTCATTTTTTGGTCAATAATCTTGGAATCTCCAAATCTAACAACCCGATGGTGTGTGATGACCTTGCTTTCTGTGATACAAGTATCCATCATTCATCATTTAAATAAGAAACTCAACTCAAAGCGTGCTTTGAAACTAACCCCCCCAACTGCGGTGAAAATAGCCAAACTTGACACCGAGGCACTGTCAACCGTAACTAGTCTGATTGCATGGCCCCAATTAGACCCAGACAAACTTGATAACGAACTTTCGATTTTTGCGTGTCTAATTAAAACACTTCCCTTGAGGCATTGTCACATCATACCGCCCAAGACGATCGAAACCCGTAGCAGCAACAGCAATTGTGTCGGATTGCACCTCCATGAATGGTCTCCAATTACGCCGGAGATGGATGACTGAAGAAGGGCGTGATGTCTGGCCGCCTGCCTAGGTCTGTTTGGAGTTCAAGGCCCCATATTGATGGAACTGCAATTAGTCGAGCCTTATTGTCCCTCTTTCCGTGTAATCAATTTCGCCTGGCCAATCCCCACTAGTTCTAGTTCTCCATCGTTAGAAGCTGGTCTTTTTCACCAGTGTCACCAACCAGCGTCAATGAAATCACAACTTCCGTCTCCCAGGACCGAGCGGATAATTACATCCTGTGTCTACATCCAGTGCCCGACAGGAATGAAAGACAAAGTTGCACAGAGCGCAACAGACGCGGCAGGAACCAAGGATTCTATACGAGGCACACGCACCGTCGCCAAGTTTGCCAAGGTGAATTGCAATTTGTCTTACCTAATGAACAAGATGTCCTGCGGCTGGCTGGCTGGCATGCGCCAAGGGCCCTACCCAGAATCCAGAACAGTAGGCGCCTGCCCGCAAAGACGAGAAATTATCAGACACATTCTTTGGTCTGCGGGAGGGAGGCGGACGATTGGCTGGGCCGGCCGCCCCGTGCAGAGGAACACTGCGGGGGAGATGAGATGGATGCGGAGGCGGCCATAGAGGGCGCGCCGGGGCCAAGCCACAATGCCCGGGGCAGCATATACGAAGCGCTCCGTCTAAAAGCAGTGCTAGTCCGAGCTCTGTTCGCCGACGCCACGCGTAGAGGAGAACCCAAAAGCAGACATTTATTGCTCTGGGCTTGCATGACGGCCTCCCCCCTTTTGGGGTCCTGGCGATGGTTCCTGAGCGGGTTGTCACTGCGAGGTATTAAAGGGGACATTGCGGGGCGAGGTCTTGGTTCGCGATGTGCATGTCGCATGCTGGAATGCACTGACGTTGAGGTCGCTCGCGTTTTCAGCTTTAACGCCACTTCTCTTGGAATGCGAACGTAATGGGCGGCAAATATGAAGCGGAGAGAGGGAGGGTAGAGATAAAGGGGTGAATCATAAGACCAGGCCGAGCCCAGGTTGTCTGCCCGGATCCCAAGTCGACTGCATCGACGTCCAGTCTGTCGTTTCCCTCGGTCGGACGCTCACGCACACCAGCTAATTGCACGACTCACACCACACTGCGGGCTCGGCCAGTCAGAGAAGATGCAGTCAAAGGTCGTCTCGGCCCTCTTGGCGGGAGCAGCCGTTGCATCGGCCTGCGTCATCCCCCCAGGCACTCTGTCCAACACCATCACCACACCCTTCCGCGTCCAGGTCCAGAATGCATCCTACCCGGAGATCAACAACCAGTATATGAATCTCCTCGCGGCGGGAGGTGGTGACCAGCACCTTTTCGTCGGGCCCGTCGGGGTGCCGACCTATGACCTAACGCTGCTTAACGGCGTTATAACTCATGGTGACATCCGTGCTGTTATCGGCGGCGAGGTAGTCCATTCCATTCCCGGTCGCCTTCTCTGGCTCAGGACTGACAAGTACCTGCTTGCGTAGTTTTCCGACATCGACCACACGACCAAGATGTTCATGACCAACCGTGGCGACCCCAGAGCAATCTACCAGCCGACGTACGTCTGCAACCCGGTCACCGACGCGCTGCAGATCGAGCTCACCTTCGTGACCATGCAAAACAACCCTCCAGGGGGTTGGAACTGTGTGAGGCCGACATTCGACAACGCCCACGAGTTCCGATACTACCCCCCGGGAAATACACGTGCGTTATCTGCCCCAAGCCCGCCCGGGTCTCGTCTTCTGTCGTCGGGTGCCGAACGTCCATGGCAGAACGTCCATGACCTCCATAGCTGACCGCAGTGTTTTGTTAGTGAACGACCCCAACCGCTTTTGTAAAAAGGTGACGCTCGTTGCAGTCTTCACGGGCGGTGGCACGACGTTGTCAACCGTCAGCAGCGCGCCAGCCACTTCGTCGTCATCCTCGTCGACGCCTGTCGTTAGCAGCACATCTTCGCCTCCCGTTAGCAGCACGTCGTCGCCACCGGTGTCGTCGGTTTCGACACCCTCATCGTCCTCGTCATCCAGCAGCAGCTCCACATCATCGTCGGTCCCGGTTAATAGCAACCTCCCGTACACGGACATGACGGGACTGGGGTTCCGCTTCCTCGGGTGCTCACCAGAGGAAAGGCGCGTGGTTCCGCCCGACCAGCCAGTGCGCACGCTACCGAGCGCGTCGCTGGCAGGTGACGACATGACCAACGAGAAGTGCATGGCCTTTTGCGCTGGACTCGGCTACGCTTATGCGGGCTCCGAGTACCGGCGCGAGTGTTGGTGCGGCAACTCGTACCTCCCTACGCGCCAACCGGCCACGACGCTCGCTAGCCTTGCAAACTGCAACTTCCGCTGCGCCGGCAACGCCGCTCAGTACTGCGGCGGCGACTCCTGGCTGAGCCTGTACCAGAAGTGCCCGGTTGGAGGGCCCTGCGTGAACGCCGTCTTTACTTGAGGGCGGCATCGTGTATCCTTTGGTGTGAGGAGTCGGGGAGGGCGAGGGAGTTGGGCCTCGCCTGCCTGGATAGTTCAACTTTGTACAGTACAACCAAGGGAATTAATGCAGTACAACCAAGGGAATTAATGCAGTACAACCAAGGGAATTAATGCAGTACAACCAAGGGGGTATTAATGACTTCAATTCGAAAGAGATCGCGTTACCTACCTCGATCGATAGGTAGTTGCTTGAGTCCAGATTGATAATAAACATGTTTTCTGGAGCGAAATTAGATATCCATTGCTTGTCGGGATCGCGTGATGGAGCTGCGTTGACGCCGTCGGGTTAGCTCTGCAGGCGGCAGCCGTTAATCTGAAGCTAGCGGCAGATACGTCTTGGGGAGGGGGTCTCATTTAACGCTTTGCTCCCTCCAGACACTGGTTGTACTCCCTCCAGACACTGCTTGTGCATTGCCCTTGCTGGGTAATATTGGAAAGTCGCTAACCTCTGGAAAAGACCGATGTCAATCACTCAAGAACTCCATTGTGGGTGGTAGCATTGAAGGTTCCCGATCGTTGTCAATTGGCGCGGCCCCTAACATCGGAAGCTTGTGATGCGCCAGTGCCTTTGTATTTTAGCGACCTGGGTTAGCGCGGTTTGGAAGCCATTGTGAGTTAGCATCGCAGCGCACAAATAACTGGAACAAAAAGGCGCGAGAGATTGAGCATGCATAAAGGTATTAGCTAATACCTAGGTGGTAATTGGGCTGTCCCGTGGTTCAGTAGCTCGAAGAAAGGCGACAGTGGGAGGGGGTGGAAGAGTCTGTCATCTCGTCGGAGTCGGTCGGAGAGGCCCGCCCACTGCTTGCGACGAGCTCCGGATTATGTCCGGTCTTGGGGCTGCTGGAAATCGGCAAAAAGCAAACTTCAGGGGCTTGTCGGATTGAGGCCGCTTCCAGCCGACCAATGCGTGGATTGCGACATCAAGGCTGTTGCTTCTGCAATGCGCTTACTTAGAAATAGTCGAATAATCATATCTTGATGACAGTTCTCCGAGGCGCGGCAGTCTCGCGACACGAATGCCCCGTTTGTGACAAGATATCGTATGCGCGTAGACATTTGGAATCATTTCGCGCTCAGGGAGAATTTGCCGCGGAAAGTAAAGATTCCACACAAAGTCACGAGCAAGTTGCTTATCGGGCAACCCCGCCATCGGCAATCCCAGGTTTCCAACCCAAGGGGTGGGCCAATCCTTCCCGAAATGGCGGGACTGATCGCGTCATCCACACTGACAAATTCCCGCCGCCTGCTGGCTGCAGGGCCTTACATCATGCATCCAGAACGATCCACCCTCCTGTCCTGTCCTTCCCTTTGGTGAAAATCTACATATATCTGTCCAACGCCATGCCTCCACCGTTGCACACCCTTCCAATGACATCGAGACTCCTGAATTCCGCACTGCGAACCGCTACAAGAGCTTCACCCATACTGAGACCTTTCGCGCCGAGACACTTTACCACAACCTCGCCCAAAATGACTGTCCACATCATCGAGACGTAAGTTGCTCGCGCCCCCCGATCTTGGAGCCCCAACGGCACGCCATGCGATCCTTTGGGTCGCTGTGCTAGTGCCAATCGAGGCTGTCGCATTGTCGCATCGTACTAACAATTGACTCTTTCTCTACAGTGCCTCGCAGTTCAAGGAGACGATTGCCAGAGAGAAGGGCCTCGTCGTCGTCGACGCGTTCGCGACATGGTGCGGCCCCTGCAAGGCTATCGCGCCCGTTATTTCCAAGTGCGTATACACCGTCCCCTCTCCGTCCCGGTAGATGCATCGGTAATTGAGTGTGGTGGCTGACTTGCGCCGCGCGCTGCAGGTGGTCCAACCTCGACGAGTACAAGGACAAGGTTCACTTCACAAAGTTTGACGTTGACGAACTCCCCGAACTCGCCCAGGAGCTTGGCATCCGCGCCATGCCCACCTTCGTCTTCTTCAAGGACGGCGAGAGGCTCACCCAATTCTCCGGCGCCAACCCGCCTGCCCTCGAGGCACTAGTCAAGAAGCACACGTTCGAGGAGTCGAGCCCCGTGGAGAAGGAGGCGAGCCCTGTGGAGGCGAGCCCTGTGGGGGCGAGCCCTGTGGGAAAGGAGTCGAGCCCCGACTCTGAGAAGGAGTAAGGAAGCTGATCGCAGAAGAGATGGAGAGGGGAGGGCAACAACCTAGATCAGAATACCCAAGCAACCTTGTACATACAATACAATCACGGCATCATAAGCTGCGGCTTGCATTTCCGGACCAATGAATCCATTTACGTGTGAATATAGGGGGTTTCGTGGTCTTGTTTGTCCGTCATGGCAGTATTTCCAAGTGTGAACGTCTGGACTCCTGGGGTATCCCCGATGCCAAATAGACACATGTTACCCGTGCTGACATTTCTAGGCTACTCCTTTATGTCAAGAGCAGCAAATGCTGAACCCCATGCCACATTATCTGTCACCTGTTGTCGTCTCGGATACTTACCCTCAAAGGAATAGCCAACTTCTGCCACGCGTTTCCAAGACCAGGCCATCGATCACGTCATTCCGAACCCACAAAGGCGCTCAATTTCCTGGGTTCAGGACCTTGTACGCCTGGATACCACCCTCGATGCACTGGATCAGTCCAAAGACGACAGTGAGGATCAGGACAGCAACGGCAATCCAGAAGGTCGACCACTGCACGCCGTTCCTCCTGTCAACCCACCAGCGCCTGATGGAATTCGGCCGCGCCTCGTCAAACGCCTGCGCTACCATCACCAAGCGGTCATGCCAGTATCCGAAGTTCTCGAACTTGCGTTCGTCGGCGCTGAGATAACCGACTTGGACCAGCGCCGGGTCGAGAGCTCCAGAAGACCGTGACATCTCGTTTCGAAACCATGCCTGCGTGGGCCGGTCCCATCTGGGGAACAGGAGCTTGAGCGTCTGAAGGGTCTCGAGCAGGAAATCGGGCGGGAAGAGAGACTCGTCGCTGGGACATGGTCAGTGAGCCAACCTCACATTGTGAGATGTTCGGCCGTGAGAGAAAATAGACAAACCTACCTCTGCTGGCGCAACAGAAACGACGCGTGATGGAAGACTGCCACCGTGTCGTCATCCATGACCCTGAGGTGGTCTGTCAGGTTGTCCGTCCAGACCACCTCGATTCCGGCAATCTTACTTAGGTTCCGCGCGTTGAGTATCTTGTCCAGGTTGACTTTGTCATGGTTCAGTTCGGCCCTGGCGGGGAAGCACCGCTCAATGTGCTCTTTTATCGTCCCTCGGTCCCACTTGATGGGTCTGGCGAGATGTACTTTGGGCCACAGGTCGCCAACCTTTATCATCAGCAGCAAACGCGCCGCGAGATCGATCGAGTGGCTGTCCCGCTCTCCGTCCGGGACGTCGGTCGGCGAGGTTTTAGGGAACCGACAAGAGATGCTCTCCCTCTTAACGAGCGCTCTTAGCGACCTAGCGAGCTGGATTATGTCTGCGTGCGTCTTCACCGATGTGCGGCGTCCTCCGTCGCGGAGCACCATCAGATCGCATTGTCTGGCATAGTATTCGAAAAATGGATCGAGGTTCCCCTCTACGCATTCTGCAGGAGTGTTCCAGAAACCCCAAGCAATCGCCTGTCTAGCCTCGAGAGCAGGCATGAAGGCCGAGACAGCTTGGCTAGTCATTGCGACTGGTCATGTGGCACGTGCCATAATTATCCACGACAAGACAGGAGTCTCTGGAACCCTTATCAGCGAGTGTCTCCGTTTAAATCGGAGATGTTGTGCTCATGATCGGCTCTGGGGCGGCAAGGCTCCGACCCTCCATCACAAGTTCCATCTGGACGTGGCGCACACATCGCCGCGACGATGCATCATCACCCGACCAACCTGCATGGGCTGAACAGAAGCGGCCTTTGGATTTCATGCTCATTTGCTCAGACTTTCGAGAAACACATGCGGGGCTCAGCGCTGGCTGGGCATGCGTCAAGCACCACACCATCTTTTGTCGACAGACAGGCAAGGCTCTGGACAGTCTGCCTCGCAAGGAGCCTTACCATTCTTGCCCCATACTTTGCGCGGCTCTCAAAAATGGCCGTTATACCCTGCACCGCCAGTCCGCCGTTTGTTCCCACCCATGACACTTTGGGCCGACTTTTCGTTCAAGTCTTGTTGCTGGCTGCCGCTTCGCTGGTGGTGCTCAGCACTTGCAACCTCGAATGTCTCTTGACATGCCGTCGGCATCAAGTTGTTTACTTTTTGAGACTGTCGAAGATGTACAGTTCTCCCGCGTAAATTTGCCCATTTTCGGCGCGAAATGGAAGGATCCAAAAGAGTCAATCGGCGGTTGGATCGGTTCCTTGAAAAAGGGGCGATACCAATGCTGGTACAGTATCGGACCCGCGCGCGAGGCGTATTCGCGCATGGCGCCAATCGTCGCCAACTTTGTCGGATCTTGCCAGAAATCCGCGGACGATGTCGACTTTGGCATGTATATGATAGGATATCGCGAAGACAAGGCCGCGCCGCGGCTTCTCGTTTTCTCTAAAAACATCAACGCTCGGAAAACCATAAGGAAAAACATCAAAGACAGCAAGATCCTGGATGCCTACCCCGGAATCGGGCTCGGCGACGCAACGGCGTTGCCAGGCAGGAAACCAATCCAGCGCGCGGCCAGGGGGGACATTGAGAAGATTCTGCCACTCGACTGCGACACCAGAGGGGAACGGGTGGTTTTGATCGAGGGCTCGGAAACGGCAGCTGGCAAACGGATATATATCGTGGACCCAGAAGACTTCTCGCTTCGTCCAGCAACATCAGGGCCCTTTGTATTCGTCAACGATACGTGGTGTCAGCTGACCGTGGCCCACGCATTCCACAAGTCGCCGTACCAAAAAGGCTCGGAAGAAGTTGCCGACGATGATTGCGATTTCGATGGCCTGAGCGAATCGGAAGACGAGGATGTCGTGGAGATCACTGGGGCTGCGAGCGTCAGCTCGGCGACCGATGAGGCCAGAGATTTGTCTGCAGGGCTCGGGTGGTTGGGTTCGCCTGATGACGTGGACTATTCCGACACAGAGACTAGGAGCTCTTCTCGGCCTTCAACGCCGAGATCGTCGCGACCAACTACCAGTGCTATTCGCGGTGCCAACGAACCGCTTCCGCGCTCCCCAGGAGATCAAGACAGACCCTCGCGCGCCCAAGCGGCAGCCCAGCAGAGCGAGATTCTCAACATGTCCCGGGTCCAGTACCTGGGTAAGGTAGACTCGGCTTCGAAAGGTCTAACGGAGCAAGCACTAGACTACATCTTGGTTGTCATCAACAACGGCCAGATCCCACAGCTCATCACGCCTCAGCTGATTTCTCCCGAGCTCATCATCACGAAACAATTCCCGGCCATCGACATGGAAAGCGAGACGGCGCCTTGGTCTTGCTCTGTGAAGGAAATCCTCTTGGATGACGTCGAAGTCATTGCCATCTTGCCCAAGTCAGGCGCCGTCCAGGGAGCAATCATTGCAAGCCCCTCGTATCTACGTCTGGGTGGCAGTTCCCGCTTTCAGAGAGTCTTCACGTTGAAGCTCGACTGCCCGGTCTCGGACGGGGACTGCGGGAGCCCCGTGGTCGACAAGTCTGGCAACTTCTACGGTCACATCGTGGCGGGTGGCCTGGGGACTGAAATTGCGTACATTCTTCCGGCCACCGACATCTTCGACGACATTGAGAGCCATGTGTGGGGCAAGGTGTCAGTGCCGAACCCAGAGTCCATGCTAGTCTCGAAATCCATACCAGGTCCGCCGCCTCGGGGTCCTGAGGTGGCCTCGGCAGCAGCCAGACCTAAATCTCAAGGGGCGGCGAAAATCGCCGATGATGGCCACAAGAAGCAAAAGCACGAGACCGCCGCACATCCCGTGCCACTTCTCCCTCCACCGCATATGCGCAGGCCAGGGCGCATATACAATGTACTCCCCCAAGACCCTGGGAGGAGCGGGTTTCTCCCACCACACATGCGCGGGCCACCACCAAGAGGCGATGACGGAGCGCAACAGGACCTAGCAGCAGCAGCAGCAGCAGCAGAAGCTATGCATATGTCTTCTTTCCTCATCCGCCAAGCCGCGATCGGGGGGGGCCAACTGGTGGTGGTGGCCCAAGAAGAGATGAGCGACAACCTTGCCGAAAACAGACGGCAAAAAACAGTGATAAAAGCCGCTGCTGCCGGCGATCCCGGAGACGACAAAAAGAGCCTGCTTGCCATGTGGACCGAGTTCAAAAGGACAGGCCGCCACAACCACCGCCACCAGCACCAGCAGCAGCACTTACAAGCCCACAGCCAGCACCGCATGAGCGTCAAGGTCCGCTCCAAGATCAGAAAGACGCTGCTGGAATACCACCACTATCACACGACTGGCCGGATCGACGAGGACGAGGTCTGGAACTCTGAAGTCGGCACCAGGGATCTGGGGCTGATTGTAGACGTGGATGAAATGGAGGCCAGAGGTGAGGTGCGTAGGCAGGTAACCTAGGGTAACCGATGTCCAGCAGGCAGTCAGGCAGGGCTAAGTAATCGACATTGGTTCATTACATCCATGTTTGCCATAAGAAAATGCTGCAGACTCGCTGAGTTTACCTTCTTCGCCCTGTAGGAGGCAACTAGAAATAAACATTATATAAATAAAAAAAACTTGTCGATGAAAGATATAGGCGCGGCCACATGCGGTGCATCGAATCGAAGTTTGGATGAAGTGGCCGATTGCGAAAAGGTTGTTTGTATATCTGGGACACTAGTGGTGGAAGTGTGCAACAACCAATTAACCAGAACCCGGGTTCTAGGTTAGCTCGGGCCGCTGGTCTAGTGGTATGATTCTCGCTTAGGGTTCACCCTTAGTTGTCTGCGAGAGGTCCCGGGTTCAATCCCCGGGTGGCCCCCACCCTTTTTCTTTTTTACCTTTTTCGCTCTACTGCATGCAATAAATACATACACCAGGATGCTAAACGCTACCATAAGAGGAGGCAATTACTGGTTAGTTGTCGCCATGATGCTGGATGATTCTCGTTATTCCATGGGCTGGACTGATTGCCGTCAGTATCATATCCGATGTATGCTTCTTCCCCTAATACCAGGTTAGCTAACGTTCATGATATGCGAGTTAGCCATGATAAGCGAGTTGGCCACCTTAACGAGATTTGGTGGGGCACAAGCAAAAAGATGTTAGTAAATTGTTAGTGATCTTATCAATTTCTTATCGCATTTGGCTGCGCACGCTACCCGGTCTCGTTAAGGTGGCCAACTTGCTTATCATGGCTAACTCGCTTATCAAATACGTTAGCTTATTGTCAACCTTGATTATTTATATGTGATAGGTTTTTTTTATAGGAGAGAGAAAGGCTTCTATCTAAGATTCCATAATAGGGATCCTAAAAGCTGTTATATTCCTCAGCGAAAAACCATTTAGGGCGAGCGACAAAGTGTTGAGGCATCGCAGCGACTCTCAAACAGGTTGCATCATGGCCTCCATGCTCTGCACAAACTCTAGCGTCCCAATACCACGGCTCTGGAGACGCCGCAACACGCGCACCGTCCATCCCTGGCAGTTCTCCGTCACCAGGGCCCGATTATGTGCCCACGGAGGCGGCTCCTGCGTGGCAATCTGCCTCACCACGCCGGCCTGGGCTTCGTCGAGATAGGCGACAACGTATGACGTCAAATAGCTCTCCGAGCTGAGGTGCTGCACGCCGTCGTCGAATTTGCGGGTCATGTACGTGGCGTCGCCCGTGACTTGGTAGACCGAGCCGCCAGACCCCGACCCCTCCCGCGCCACGAACAACGACCAGTGGTTCGGCTCGCCCTCGGACTGCGTCTCTAGCACGACCATGAGAGCCAGGGGAGGCTCTTCTTCCTCTTCCGCAGCGGGCGGCGGGACCTCGACGAGCACCCAGTCGGTGCGGCTGCCGTCGTTCTTGATCCGGCGCGTATATTGGGTCCCGTCGTGAGTGTTGTCGCGGAATTCGCGGTTTCCACGCACCGAGACAGGCCCGTACTCGGCGTGGTCGGACATCTCGTTATGTGCTTGGTCAGCAAATATTTTGGATTAACTTGTTTGAAGGTAGTCGCTGTCTTCTAACGTCGACTGGAGGCGATTATTACTACAGCTGGCGGTTGGTAAAGCAAAAACGGGGGCGCGGGCTTTCAGGAGCGGGAATTACTGTCATCGCACAGTCAACTGGATGAGGCAAGGCTGCATTATTGTCGCTGTAATGCAGAACACGCTGTTGTACCCGCCAGGAAAGGCGCCCCTCCCGATCGGGTATAGGGCCGCGCCAGACCCGCGTGCTCGCACGGCCCAGCTGCGCCCGCAGCATAGATAGAGCCCCTCCTCCCCGACGTCCCTTTCTTGTACTCTCGAATTCTCACCTCCCTCTTTGCTCACTCGGGCCCCTGCCTCTTCTCCTCCCCCCCGTTGCATTCATCGCCCGCGCCTCTCTCATCCTTATCTCGTAAGCTGGACGTGTCCTACCTACCCCTTGTAATCCCCTCTTTCCAGCGCCCCGACAAAACCCGTATATCTCTCTCCGAGACCTACTCCTTACTGCTTGCCGATTGAGGCCGTCTCGTCTTCCGGCTCACTCCGACACGACTTTCACTCAACTTATACTACAACTCCAGCTCGAATTTGCGCTTCGCCGATACTGAGCGATTAGGTTCCGCCTAGTATCTTACCTCGTTCATCCCCTTACTCACCTACCAGGGTGCCCCCCCTTCGTCCGTGGGATAACTCTGTATCTACCTAGTAAGTCCCCTAAATAATCTATAATATACGTATCTTCTAACGTACGTCACTGTGTTACGAGCCACCCTACGTGGCGAGCCAAATGCTAGGTAATTTGACTTAAGAGCAATCTAAGCTTTGCATTTCTGTTTAAATCTGATCAAAATTTGTGCGGACCTATTATAAGATCATTTTAAATTCCCGAGACGCCTTTAATCGACATTTTTCGTCCACGTCGCCCTCTTGCTGCCTACTGTGCGGAGACCCCTCGTTCATGGCAATAGAGTCTCTTGCCCGTACAGCTCCACCACCAAACTCTAGTGACTCCTGTCAATTGACAATCAATAGCTTCTAGTCTTCTAAGCTTCCTTATTCTGGTGTAAAGCCATTTTCAGTCGTGGATGTTGCACAGAAAGTCGATTCATGTGATTTCATCGCACCGATTGGTACCTTTCATTCTAGCTTTTCCTAAACGCCGACAAGCGCCACACCATTTGCTTCCTAAGGTTGTGGCTGTTGCACTGCCTAGCTCCCTGCATGTGACCTGCAAACCAAATCTACCCCTACTAATGGGCCCTTCATATGGCGGCATCTTCATAGAATTACTAATTTAAAGAAATGGCGACGAAGACGGACTCTATGACCTCCATGTGGTGTCTGTCGCTGGAAACCAAATCCTCTTAGTTTTTGGGAGGCATTTGTGCCAATATAGAGACGCAACAGGCACGCAAGTGTACCGTAGCGCAGGTGCTGCGCGGGTAGTTTTGTAGTCGAACTGGTCTAGAGATGAGGAATTTTCAACCGTACAAAAACTTTTCACACGCGCCGTATTACAAACCACTCGACTGTTTGGGTCGTCTGTCTGTAAGGGAGCACGGGCTCCACAGAATGCTGGGCTTGGTAATTATGAAGATAGAACAAAGGGCAAGCTCCTATCGCACGGGCAATACAGTCAAATTGGAATGCCACTCAAAGTGTATGAGCGCAGTGAATGTGTATTGCTTGCTTGTGGAACCAAGCAAGAACTATCTAAGACCGTAGTTACGGTCGTCGTATATATCTATCTAAGGTGGGCCAATCAGGGCGTTGCTCTGTTGCTCCCCGACAGAGCTATAGAGCATCGCTCTGTTGCTCCCTGACAGAGCCACAGAGCAGCCCCGCGGAGCCAACCAGACCGTTGCCCTGTACCCCACCACATAGAGCAAATGCGAGTCCCTGCCCCACATGCCTGTGTCGTCATTCCTATTGGCTGGCCGCCCCTTCCGGGCTATAACTAGCCCAGAATGAGGCGGTTCGTCACGCTGGTGGGAGCCCCACTAACGTCGTAAAGACGTTCGCTCCGCACTTGGTGTTAAGGTTCAACACATCTGTCAGAACTCTCGAGCGGCAGCCATCAGATGCCTGGCATTCGTCCAGCGCGTCGATGATGACAAAAACCTTTCCGTACAATGTAGTTACTGATTGAAGGGCTTGCGAGAATTCGTTGATGGAGGGCCGTGTTTGTTTTCGCTTATACTTATCGTATAGTGCTTTGACGGTTTCTGGCAGAGACGTCCGGCTTTGAGATAGCTGCTTCAGTAGGCTCGCGATGAGGTCTTCCGCACGCTGCTCTTGTTTCCGCCGGAAGTTGCGGTGAGATATTTGGTGCAGTCCGGCTTATGCCTCGGGCGAAAACTTTCATCCTACATGGCGGCGGCAAGGTTCACAAATCGGCCGGTATAACTCCATGGATTCCGTTCAATTGTTTGACTTTTTGCTATACCGCGGCAAATGTTTATGAGTGCGTCTCCTCCGACTGTTAAAACGTCCCCAAATACTATAATCTACCACACATAACCCTAACCCTGGCTACATACCCAGCACGCTAGTACATCTAACATTCTGCCGCGCAGTAATTTACCATTTTTTACCACAACGCAACCGAACCTTACGTTTCCACTGCAACCGACCTTCTATAACCACCAAAAAACATCGTCGGCACTGCATTCAATCGATGCATCGGTATGGCTTCATTTCTTCATTGTTTACTTCGTCGCGTAGTATTAACTAGCGATAGAAATGGCCGCCCTTGAAGATCTGAGCGATCTTAGCGACTTTGGCGATCTCACCGATGCGCCCGATCCGGCGCCGCCGGTACCACCACCCCTCTCGAGCCCACCTGCCGGCCATAAGCTTTTGATCACGAAATATGACAGCCTCGATGATCTTATCGACGATTTGAGCGAATGGACCGCTTCTACGAGCTTCAATACGTTCAAAATACGAGCCTCTAACTACGCTAAGGACTTCGGCGCAACTAGGGTCGATTTTGGCTGTCAACGTGGAAGAATCTAACAATCCAGGGCAACAGTGAACAAAACCACCACCGATCACAGAGGCTGCGTTTGGCAGGGCGTAGCCAAAGCCCTCGTTTCTAACGATAGGAAATGGACCTTTGAGCTTCATCCCGAGCATACAGAGCATACAAATCATTCACCGAGCGACCGGGACTTCAACCTTCTGAGGTCCAAAGTCGTTTTCGGTCCTGAGCGTAAAGCAGTCATCGCCGAATACATCGACCGCCCAGCTGTCCTCAATAGGGAGGTTGCCAAAGACTTGCGTAGGGCCTTTCCGGACCTTATTTTCACACGCGGCCAGCTACGAAAATGCCGTTTTCGTCTTCGAAAGCTTGCCCTGAAAGGATATACACCATTCCAGGCCACGATGAAGTTGCTTGACGATGCCGGCATATACTACAAAGTTCGTTGGTCTACCGACAACCCTGACAAGCCACGCGGACTTTTTTGGGCCCCTAAGTGGTGTGAGGAGCAGTGGAAACGCTTCCCTCGGGTCCAGTTGTACGATAACACGTACAATTCAACAGAGCTTGAATATGGTGGAGGGTATGAAGGAAGCCTGTAATGAAGAGACTCGTAACCAACAAAACCGCATTCGCTTCGATTACCTAGGAAAGCAGTGGCTAGGCGAGGCTCCTTACAACGTATGTTATGAAGCCCTCGATCGTGTTGTTCAACAGTACCAAAAGATGCAGCCGGCACTGGAAGACCGCCCGCGACCCCTTGAGCCTTGCACTGGCAGTACTCGGGCGCAGTATGGCATTCCTTGCTCTCACGAGCTTCTTGAACGTCACAGGGCAGGTACTCTGAAGCTTCAAAAGGTTGATTTCCATCCATATTAGTACCTGGAAAGGTCATTACTTGATGAAGACGAGTACCTGCGGGACCTTGACTTTGACAGGGTTGAGCACCTTCGGGGCAGGCCTCGCAACACGACGGCGTTCGCAGCCGAGCCGAACGCTCCGCGGGTCCCGACCACTCAGCCGGGCAGGCAGTCCGGGCTTATGCCTTCCATTCGGCGGAATCCCTCACAGTGGGAGGGCGCCACCCTTGACGATGACGACGACGATGTTGACGACGACGACGTTGACGAGCTTAGCCAGCCGCCTCCCCGCCGTACCGTCAACAACCTTGACTCGGCTCGCCGTGGCACCCGGGGTTCAGGGAGCAGGGGAGGCCGGGGCGGCACAACAACATCACGAGCTTCACGTGGCCCTGCAGCCTCTGCAGTGGCTGAAGGTCGTATTGTACGGCCTACACGAAGTGGAAGGGTCCCGCAGCCGACTGCATGGGCCTTAGAAGGCATGGATCAGTAAGGCTGTCAGTTGCATGCAGTTGTGAGTAGTGTAAGCAGGCCTGTAGTCTTTTATTGCATTTTTGGCCCTATTACGTAAGCGAATTCAACGAAGTCAGCTTCGCATTTTACTGGAGATTTGAACGATTTGAGCGAATGTACGGTCCTGAGCTTCAATTACCGCATTTGGAAGTGTGTTGACGTTGGCGACGGCGGCGAGGTGCAATTGCGGTACAATTGCGTTGCCAGCGCTTGGAGCCGGGAAGCCAGCGAATGTGGTAATTTTGACTGTAAAATGTAGTATTTTCATGGGCGGTGAGCTGTAACGCTTGGGCGCCTATGTACCTACAGTATATGGAGACATTTTAACAGTCGGAGGAGACGCACTCATGTTTATTCGTATTTATGTTACTATGTGCGTAGTAATGGGTGTATTTAAGCCATTTAGCTTGAAGACTAGATCCAACTATGGAAGTCGCTTTGAGTAGAGAGAAAATATACCCACGGCACCCAGTAATATGCTCGTATTTAACTACCCTACACAGGGCAGCCCCCCTGTGCTCTCTCCCGTGTATAAATAACTAGTCTTTTTACTTCGTAAAATAGGTCTAGCCAGCTCGTCCACATGCCTTTCTTAATGCGCTTCTCCGGGCCTATTTTCCCTGTGACAGACTGCCTCCGGCGCCAAGGACGACGCTTCGAACCGCCGAGATTCTCGATGATACGGTTTCCTGATAAATCTAACTAATGTAGCCACTTAGTTCCTCGGGAGGGCGACAACGAAGCGCTTCGGGTTTCACTCTGACCACTTTGCGACCTGCACACGATTGTGAACTGACCCGCATCGGTCGGGAGACTAGCAGGTGGCAGCCGGCCGTGTGCATGGCAGGAACCGGCACGCTCGTGTGCTCCTTGACGAGACGCAGAGCGGCTTCTTCGTGGCGTGTGACGCGGCGCCCATACTTCCAGACGACGCCGCGAAAGATGTCGTCGATGGTGGCGCCAGATTGCTAGCTGATGCACCGCGCGTGGAAGTCGTCGTCATCGTCGTCGGTGTCTGAATACGAGGTTAGTATTCGCCAATCAGGACCCCTTGCAGTGGATGGATGATGTGATAATACCACTGGCCTGGCTCGGCGGGTCCTGTCGCTCCAAGGCTGGCGGGGGCGGGATTGCCATTGCAGGGTGTGCGTGCCCGCCGTCTTGGGAGGTGTCCGCCTTTAACGACGAAATGAGTAATGTCTTCCCGTTTGCGCATTGGCGCACTTTTTGCGGGCACGACGGTGTGGGGCCGTCTCCCACAGGTGCATGCATATCGGTTCCTCACAGGTGCATATCCGTGCCTACCTTGCCCAGTAGGACTAGTTGGGTTGTGCCACCCACTGACTGCCGTTCATATTAAGGGGCTGAGGGGCCGGCCTGGTTTCCGGACTGGTTTCCATTCTTAACTGGCGATTTTTGTCGAGCGAGGGAGACCTGAACGAGAACCCGACGTCTGTCCCTCAAGACCAAGCAAGAGCCAGCAAATCAAGCCAAAATGGAGCCCGTCGCACCTGCTGCTGCCCCTCTCGGCCTCCGCCTCCTATTATACAAGGCGGGTGGTGAACGCATCACGCCAGCCACAATGAGGCTGCAGCAGTTTAATCTATGCTAGGGGATGGCGAATAGATGGCCCCCTCGGCCAATTAATTTCGGAACCCGACATCCACGCCCTCTCTGTGCTTCGGGCGTCGTGTTTCGCAGACACCCGACTTGCGTCTTTCCGAGTCGGTGCCTGTCCCCGTTTCCTGATCGCACAGGTAACCCTCCCTCTTTTTGAGCATCTACCGTTCCCGGTTTTGCCTCGACTTTTTCGACGTTGTGTTTTCCGAGCGGCGAAATCTGCTCCAGCTTTTTGTACCCTATTTGTAAAAAACAACAGCCGGGACCGGTAGGACACAGTCCTAGTAGCATCGGCAGCACGAACACCCACTCACCATGCTCGCCTCCGGACACCCGTGTTGGAATTTCCTTTACCTCCTTGCTGTCGCCGTCCTCAATCTGGACATGGCCGACGGCCAGCTATCCACGCCCACGGCCGGCTTCATAGGGTGGTATATCGATTCCGGCCTCGCCATAAGTAATTACGTTTCCTTTGCCTTGCCTTGCCTGGCCTTGCCTGGCCTGGCCTTGCCTGGCCTTGCCTGGCCTTGCCTGGCCTTGCCTTGCCTGGCCTTGCCATTGCCATTGCCATTGCCATTGCCATTGTAATTGCCATTGCCATTGCAACTGTCATTGCCATTGCCATTGCCATTGCCGTGTGCTGTGAGGCTAACGCACCGTCTCCCGGCCCAGCCGAGCCCATCACCTGCATGGAGTCCGTCGAGACTATCGCCGTCCAAGGCTCACATGGGGCGTGCTGCGGCGGGGACTCTCCGTGTCGCATCTTTACAAACTGTCTGAGCAATGTCGCTGTCGAAGTCTCGGGCTCGACTTTCGTATGGTGAGTAATCACGCGCCATCGCAAGAACCGAGACTGGGGAGCACGCGAGACTGACTCGGTACTGTCTCGGCGGCGCGGTCAAACAGCCCCGGAGAGATGGTATGTCAGACAAGGAGCGTGTTCGACGCCCCGCAGTGCACGTCGGCCAGGCAAACCGACTTCTTCTGCCAGGCGAACGGATACAACAGCGCCAGCACCGTCTACCTCAACCTCGACGTGTCGACGACCTCCTCGGCCATGCCGACCGTGTCTGCCAGACCTGCCTGGTCTGCCACGTCAACCCCCCCGGCCACGTCTACCGAGTCGACCCCCCCGGCCACGTCTGCCAAGTCGGTCCCGTCTACCACGTCGGTCCCGTCAACCTCAACCCCTGCATCCTCGGTCATACCATCCTCCTCGACAGCATCCTCCTCGACAGCATCCTCCTCGACAGCATCCTCCTCGGCAGCATCCTCCTCGCCAATATCCTTCTCGAGAGTATCCTCTTCGACAGCATCCTCGGCCACATCAAAACTCGACCCTGCAGCCACATCCTTGACCGCGACGGCAGCAGCGGCCCCGTCACTAAACAGCACCTCGGCCGCCGCCGCCGCCGCCGAAACACCGCTAAGCACGTCTACGCCCGCGTGGATCGCCGGCGCCGTTATCGGGCCGCTCGCCGTTGCGGCGCTGGCCGGCCTGGCCTTTTGGCTAGGGAAGCGGCGGGCGGCGAGCAGGAGCAGCGGCAACCCGGCCGAGCTAGGAGTCGTATCACCAGGGGAAGGCGGTAGTTTCGAATACTCTACCCTAGACGAGGCCGCGGCCCTCAACCTGCTCGCGGGCAAGCCGTACGAGCAGCAGCGCTGGACCCGCGCCAGCGAGCTGGGCGGCGACCAGCCTGCTTATGCCGCCGCCGTGCCCCCGCTCAGCGAGGCGCCTGGGGAGGAGTTTGCTGTGAGGGAGTTGCCGTAGGGACGGGGTGGAGAGTGAGGGGTGTGAGGGGTGTGAGAGGGGTGAGGGGGGTGAGGGGGGTGAGAGGGGGTGGAATGGGAATCGGGGATGGATTAGCATTAACACAAATTTGAATTCATTCATACGTATATTGGAATTAGCAGAGAGGTTTGCCCCTTTTCAAGACGGATCCGGGTTGGCTAGGATCTTCTGATGAACATATATCGGCGGGGTCACTTGCTTCAGCTTGGAAAATGAGACTGTTTGCAGTTATGGAGAATCAGGTTGAGTGATGTACTTAGCCAACATACAAGCTCTAGCATTAGCAAATAAACCCCGAATACTTTGATCCGGCAAATTCTTCCTATGGATGGACACTCGCCTGCCCCAACCGGTCCCCGTCCGGCGAGTACCACAGCGGCAGCTCCCATCCCGCGCCGCCCCAGTCCATGTCAATGTCAAGCGAGTCCATGTCGAGCTGACAAACACAGGTTAGCAAAAACAAACGTCAACTCCACTAACAAACTAAATGCCACAGGAGAAGACAATCAGACAAATCACGAACATCAGGGTACCAGCTCTCCAGCCATCCGTGCGCTAGCGCATAGGCGGACGCGCTGCTGGGGGTGAGCAGTTGGTTGGCGCCAGCAGAGGCAGCCTGTTAGGAAAAGCACAATTAGCACCGTCCAAATCACCCGACAGCAAAGCCATCTAGCCACTCACCTCGACACCCCCATCCAAAGACGCAGACACCAATACTACAGCATCAGGAGGCTCCTGCTGCTCCTGCTGCTCCTGCTGCCTCGCAAAGTGGCGGCAGTGCAAGTCGAGGAAGCGCTGGGCGCAGTACGCCTTGGCGGCGGGGCGCGTGAGGGAGCCGAGGTGCACCTTGAGCAGCACCAGGGCGCCGCACATGGTCAGCGGGCCCCACGGCTCACCGAAGAGACAGCGTAGGTACCGGTCCTCGGTCAGGGGCAGGCACTGCTCAAGCAGTGCGACAGTCGATGCCGCGTTCATGGCCGCGAGGCTTAGATTGGTGTTGTTGCTAGGGCCTAGTTGGGTTAGGTGAGTTGTTAGTTTGTGTCTTTGTTGATGGGAATGGATGGAGGTGCGTTTCGGAGGGGAGACGAAAATAATAGAACACAAAAACAATTCTAAAGGAAAGGGGATAATAAAGAGAAGTAACAACACCACTCCAAAAAGGAGAGCCGGTCAACGCAATTACATCATTACAACCATGCCATGAAAACCAAAGCCAACAACAAGAAAAAAACCAACAAGAAAAAACCAACAAGAAAAAAACCAACAAGAACAAACCCAACAAAAAACCATCAAGAACAAAACCAACAACAAAACCAACAAGAACAAAACCAACAAGAACAACAAGAAACACAGTACCTACCTGCGACAGGACCAGGCTGCCCAACACCAATCCTCACAAGCGCCAGCGCCGCAACGAGCAAATCCTCGCGGACGAGCGCGAACGCCTGAACGCCAGCCTCCCCCAGGCGCACGTTGAGCACGAGCACGTCGCGCGCCGTGTGGTAGCAGAGGACCTCAGACAGGGACGAGAACCCGCCACTCCTCCCGCTGCCGCTCCCGCGCGCGAGGTGCGGGCGGTGCAGCGCCAGCAACGCCTCCTTGAGCTGGAATTGCAGCAGCGCGGAGACGAGCAGGGGCATGTTATTGTCACTGGCGGGTTTAGTTTCGCCGGTGTTGGAGGAGGAGGAAGAGGCGGCAGGCCACGTCGGCAGCGCGTCGAGCGCCTGCGTAATCTCCCGCGTATACCGCAGCACTTCGTCATACGGCAAGGCCACACCTGCCGCGCCGGCGAACAAGCGGCGCGAGATATCGAGACGCAGCGCCCAGCTGCGCGCGCTGAGCGCCTGGTAGGACGCGCGCGTGTAGTTCCCGTCGGGCATGGGTTCTGGAAGTGTCTTTGACGCCTGGCCAAACCCGTCGTCGTCAAGATTAGCCGGAGCCGGAGCCGGGCTGCCGCCGCCGTCGTCAAGACTGTGCAGCAGCGTCGGCAGGCCGTACTCGAAGGCGTTCTGCAGGTCGAGCTCGCGCAGGGCGGCCCACACGCGGCGCTTCATCTCGCGCAGGTACGGCGCGTCCGTCTTCGGAGGGTCGCAGTGCAGGCGGTGCAGGACGGCGTCCTGGACGAGCGCGCCGGTCTGGTTCCAGAAGCGCTTCTTGCGCATCGTGTTGGCGCGCTTGGCCAGGTACACGAGGCACGCGGTCTGGAAGTACACCAGCTGCTTGCGGCACTTGGCCTTCGCGCCGCGCTGGCTGATCCACGCGTCAGCGGCGTGCGCCCACTTGGGCGCTGACGCGCGGTGCGCGGGTGACGTGTCTGGCGCGCAGACGGCGGCGATGGACAGCATGCAGAGTACGAGCACAGTCAGGGCCGGGTGGCGGGTGCGGCCCGGGCTGCCGGAAGCCGGCCAGAAGCTGGCGTACAGGGCCTCGAAGCTGGGCACGTGGACGATGCGGTGGACGTGTTCGAGATAGGTCAGATAGAAGGCCACGAGGGCGTCCGTGGCATCTTGGGGCGGGAGCAGGGCCTCGAGCGTGGCGGCGTCGGGGCTGCCGGTGTACGTGGTGCACGTCGCCTTGATCTTCTTGAGGCTGACGCCGCGCGGCCGGAAGCACTCGTCGGCGGCTTCCCTGATGAAGGGGAACAGCTGGGGGACCTAGCACGCGTGACAATGTGAGAACGGACGCGGTTGGGACGAGTGAGGAAGACCCACCTCATCAAACGACCGGAACAGGGTGTGCTGGCTGTAGTAGCCGGGCGGACACCTGTCCCTAAGGTCCAAGAGCTCGGCATTGCCGGAGTCGCCGTGGACAGGGATAGTAGGCCCTTGCTCCTCGTCGAGCTCGTCGGGCAACAATGTCTGGCCGGAATCGGCGGTGCCGGCATCGCGCAGCGAGGGGGTCGCTGTCTCGGCGAGGGACGGCTTCGACAGCACAAGCGCTCTCAGCTCGGCCACCTCGGCGCGCAGCTGCTGGATCAGGGCCGTGTTGTGGCCGGCCTGCGAGTGGTTTGCAGTGGTGCTTGACGCAGCCCGGAGTGGCCGTCTTGTTCCGGCGCCGAACGAGCACAGCTCGGGCCGGCCCGACCGCACACACCGCTGGCACGGCAGGTTGCGGTCACAGCCCAGCTACGGCGGTCCGGCCGTGTCCCGTCAGTAATTAATTAATCAGCTACAGACGCGCGCGGAACAGTTGGTCGGTACCTTTTTGGCCCTGCACTCGCCGCAGCTGAGCCGCATCCGGTTCCTCCGAGCCTGGCCGCCGGGGCGCTGGGGGCGCGCAGCCGACCCTTCATTGGCCGCTTCTGACATGGCAGTGGTCCTACTGCGAATATACACACGGCGTGTTGCGCAGAGGGGGAAGCAGGGGAAGCAGTGATGAAATTGGAAAAGTCTCGCAAAGCCGTATATCACCGAGGCGATAAAGCAAAGACCAGGAATTGGCGGCGCGGTTGAACTCACGCAGCGGACTTAACAGGCGGTGCGGAGATCCGATCATCTCCGCGCCGCCCCCTGAAAGGATTGGTAAACACTCCAACGGCCGGCCATGTCCGATCATGTCCGATCATATCCGATTACCCTCGGGAAGACCTGCGCGCATCAATCCCTTGGAGCCATTTCCTCGGGATACCGAGTAGTTAATCAAGTGGCAGAAATTTGGCAGAAATTTGAATTGTTAATTTTGTTGGCGTCTTGTTACCTCTCTGCAGCCAATCTCTTCGATTTGACTGGCTTCGCTCCACGCGAGATCCCATCCTAGCAACTAGCCATCTTCCCACAAAACAGACGCGGCGGAGGAATCGGACATGGCCGGCACTCAACCTCCTCAGCTAACCTACGTACCTAATGCAGCTTGAGCCTTTCCGTTCTTTCTTGGTTTATTTACTCGCGTCCCATCCGAGCAGACAGACGACACCCGTCAGAAGTTAGCCTTCACCCCCCCTTTCTTACGAGCCCATCTTTCCCTCAGGCTCTGCCATACACACCGCAGCCAACATGCCGTCCTCCTCGACGTCGTCCACAGCAGCAGATGAGCACGCGCCGCAGCTGGCTGCCGGCCCTGTGCTATTGGGAGAAACCGACGCCGACGCCAAGCCAGCCGACGCCAAGCCAACCGACACGGTCGAGCAGAAAGAGCCCCCGCCAGAAGCCCTGCCCGAGTTCCCCGAGGGCGGCACGCGGGCGTGGCTGGTCGTGTTTGGGTGCTGGTGCACATCGTTTGCGTCGTTTGGGATCGTCAACTCGTTTGGGTGCGTCTTTCTTGGCCGAGTCAAGCCAGATGATTATCGTTTGTGTGTGAGAACTCGCCGCTGACGGATTTTCATCTCAGAGTCTACGAGACGTACTACCTCGAGACGTTCCTCGCTGGCTACTCGCCGTCGACGGTCGCGTGGATCGGCTCGATCCAAGCGTTCGCGCAGTTCTCGGCCACGCTGCTCAGTGGCCCGTTGTCGGACCGCTACGGGCCCCTGGTATTTCTTGTCTCCCCTCTCCCCCACGCTCCGTCGGTACTAACACTCGTCCACAGGTCGTCATCTGGCCCTTCTCAGCGCTGCTCGTCGTGGCCGTCATGCTGACCAGCCTGTGCACGCAGTTCTACCAGTTCCTACTCTGCCAGGGGATCCTGCTGGGCACCGCGTGCGGGCTGATCTTTGCGCCGTCGCTGAGCGTCGTGGGGCACTACTTCTTCCGCCGGCGGGCCATGGCCATGGCGTACGCGTCGACGGGGTCGACCATCGGCGGCACGCTGTTCCCGGTGGTGCTCACGCGGCTGATCCCCGACGCGGACGCGGGGGGCGTCGGCTTCGCGTGGGCGCAGCGCGTCACGGGGTTTATCTGCCTGTTCCTGCTGCTAATCGCCGCGGTAACCATCCGCCCGGGCCCGTTCCGGCGCACCGGCGGCAGCCTGATCCTGTTCGAGGCGTTTGCGAGCCCCGCGTACTCGCTGCAGGTGCTGGGGCTGTTCCTGGTGGTGCTGGGCTTCTTCACGCCGTATTTTTACGTCGCCGCGTACGCGCAGGCGCATGGCGTTTCTGCCGGGCTGGCATCGTACTTGTTCGCCGTCATCAATGCCGGGTCCTTCACCGGGCGCGTGCTGGGGGGCACGTTCGCGCAGCACGTCGGCCAGTTCAACGTGGTCACGCTGGCGTGCTACGCGTCGGCCGTGCTGCTGTTCGCCTGGCTGAGCATCACGTCGGCCGCGGGGCTCGTCGTGTTGTGCATCTTGTACGGCGCGTCCAGCGGCATCATCATCGCGCTGATGATGTCGACGGTGGCGCACTGCGCGCCGCGCCCGACGCAGGTGAGCAAGAGAGCCTCCGCTAACACCCCTAACCAGGTCCTAACGTGGCAGCAGATCGGCGCCTACATCGGCCAGCTGACCTTCATCATCGGCTTCGCGGGGCTGGCGGGCGCGCCCACCACGGGCGCGCTGATCGGGAACGAGGGCGACTACGCCCGGGGCACCATCTTCAGCGCGTCCGTCATCATGGCCGGCGCTGTCGTGTTCACGGTGGCGAGATACTACTACGCCAAGGACAAGTGGATTGCCTGAGTAACTGCAAAGCAGTCCCGCCGTTGCGCGGTGTAAAGGGGCTTGATGGAAAGCCGTCCATGCGTGCTCCCCGCCGAGTCAGAGTATATATTGTTGTGGTGCTTGTGGTGGCTCTCAACGGCGGCCGAGTTCCGTTTGTGCTTCGGCCGACTGACAGTGGATATATGTTTCTCGAGGCATGCTACACGGCGGGATGCATACACGAGAACCTCGCATACACGAGAACCTCATCGTGAGCCAACCTCATCGTGAGCCAAGAAGAGATGTCTCAGTTATGGTAGAGTGAAGTACGATTCTCGTCAACTAAGTGCTTGAGGCACCATGACGTTGATCGAAATGTAATACGATTATCGATTGCCTATCAAGATTCCCCATAACTACGGAAGTATACCCCGCCGTAGTCTCTAAGGCTCTAAATAAATATGCGGTTGTTAATTCACTCCGCCGTCGAAAAGCGCAGGATGCTGCTCTCGCGCCTGAGCTGGCGCACATCGCCCTCGAGGCCGAACCCGTAGCGCACGCCACTCGTCTGCGATTCCCCTCCCACCACTGCCGGCGATTCCCCTCCCACTGCCGGCGATTCCCCTCCCACTGCCGGCGCAGCAACATCCCCGACCAGCCCGTAGCCGGCGCGAAGCCTCTTGACCTCGGCCGGCACGGTGCTGTAGTGCGTAGCGCCGCCGCCGCCGTCCCAACGGGCCCTATCGAGGGCGGGGCCGCGCGTGGCGGCAACGACGCTGGAGAAGTGCGTGTCGCGCACGGCGCCGTTGTTGTCGGCGACGGCGAGCGCACCGGCAGCGACTCCGACGAGCGCCAGCAGGATGGCGATGCCGTAGACGATCCACAGGTCGCGTGCGTGGTACTTGTACTGGTTCTGCGTCCTTGATTTGACGCAGGGAAAGCTGTAGTCTGCCGCGGCTCCGTTGGTGCCGGCCGGCAGCGTGCCGCTCTGCTCCTGCGAGCGCGCCGCCCAGGCGACGACGGCGAACTGCGGCGTGCTAAGAATCGACAGGATGATGTCCTCGTAGAAGCGCTGCACGAGGTCCTGCAGATTGGCGTACGGGAAGAAATTCGTGCGCGGGTCGAGGAGCTTCGTTTGGATGGCGTTGGTGTTGACGATGGGGTTGACCAAGTCCTTGTCCATCTCGACGGTGCCGTTCAGGAAGTAGCGCACCAGGATGCTGAGCGAGTGGTAGGCGGCCGTACGTCGGTAGCGCGCCACGTCGTTCGGATATATGTAGTTGTCCTCGGGCACCGCGGTGGTGTTATCAGCAGTGCCATCGTCGGCGTCGATATCCGGGACAAAGGTCGTGTTGACGACGGGCCGCATAAAGGTCGCGTTCTTGACTGTCGTGGTCTGCGCGCCTTCAGTGTAGTTGAATACGACGGCGTAGTCCGTCTCGTAGTTCTCGCAGGCAAACAGCTTGGGCACGAAGGCGCCCGCCCATGCCGGATCTGACTCGTTGGTCGGCACGGGCTTGCTCGGGTCTGCCAACACGGCGTAACCGATCCACACGACGGGCTCGGTGCGGAACGCGCCCAGGTGCTTGGGATATGGTGGCGGCGTTTTGGGAATGCCTCCGATCCCCACGTCGTCCATTTGCTTGGTCGAGTACTCGCCCCCGCTGGTGAATGCGTAGTAACTGTACGGCCCGCGGGGCAGAATCATGTCCGTGTCAAAGGGCGGCGCGATGCTCCCAGACTCTTGGGTGAGGTTGGCCGGCTCGACGCCCACGCCACTGGCCAGTTCGGTACACTTGTACCCGGGCCCCGTAAAGGCGATCTCGAAGGAGCAGTTCCAGCCGCTGCCGCACGTCTCGGCCTGCGCGTTCTTGCGCATGAGGGCCTCTCCCATAAAGGCGCCAATCGAGGCCGTCTGGTAGAAGTTGGGGCTGGGTCCGGTGTAGTAGTCGAACCAGCCCTCTGGATCCGAGTCGGCCGGCTTGGTCGTATTCCAAAACGACAACGGGGATTCAAAGAGCGGCCCAATCTTGGCAGGGTCGCGCCACTCGTAAGTGTCCTCAAAGGCGAAGTTGAGAGTGCGTATGCCCGGACACATGTCGCTCGCCACGGTGGTGGCTGGCTCCACGAGGAGCGTGTTGGCGGTGAGAATGACCATGAGCGGCGCGAGCCTTCAAGACGGGGGGGGTACATGTCATGTGGTGAGCGGCAAGCCCTGCATGTGAGTTATGGGAGAGCGGAAGAGCCTCCACTCACCAGATAAACACGGCCAGCGAGACCGCTATCCTTGCGCTCTTGGCCAGCTCCCAATTCCAGAGAGAAGCGAGGTTGTTTGGCGCCGAGAACAGCGAGTCAAGGGCGGCGACTGTCATCAGGCGCTTCCGCACCGTTGTCCAGACGCGCTGCTCAAAGGCAATGACGACGGCGGCGCAGAGGCCGGCCTTGGCTGCAAAGGCGAGCAGGGTGCCGTAGCGCAGCATCTGGAGCTGGTCGGAGGCCGGCTTGCCGTCGAGCGAGTTGTAGTAGACGTGGTGCGCAATGGCGAAGGCGACGCCAAGCATAAACAAGAGATACATGGTCCACGACGAGGTAAGGTGCCACGGCGACACTGACCCTTCGACTCGCCGACGAGGCGGCGGCCCGTTCCCGGGTCCGACCTCGGCCCCATAACCATTGGCATCTCCAAACGAGCTCGCCGGGAAGGGAGGAGGATAAGGCGGCGCACCGCGCGTCTTGGAGAACTTTGAGCGGAAGAAGCCTAGGCAGACTGGCTGTAGGTCGGCTTGGGTCTGTAGCAATTTGGTCTTGTCGTCTTCGAGTTGGTGGGGAGGTTGAGCGTCTGGAGCCTCTGGGCTCGCGTGGGGTGGCGAGTACGGGGACGGGAACGGGGACAGGGACAGGAATGGAGACGGGGACGGGGACGGGAATGGAGACGGGGACGGGAATGGAGACGGGGACGGGGACGGGGACGGAGACGGGAACATGGTAGTTGCATTATCCTGGAATGGGTCGTAGGGGCCCGCCTGCGACGGGTCCGGGTAGTTGCTGTATTGGTAGGGGCTTTCTCTTTCTGGCGGGTGCAGCGGCACCGACGCGTGTGCTTCCGATGTCCGCGGATCGGGCCCCAAGCCGGCGGCGACAGACTGGGTCTGAGTCCAGCCGCTGTTGTTGGGCCCGATATCGTGGAGCGGCACCGGGCTTGACGTCATGACGCCGAAGTGATTAATTCGCTAATCCTTTGCGCTCCATCTTTAGCAATTAATTGCGGTGCTTATAGGTGTAGGTTCAGACTTTGATCGAGGAATTGGCATGTAAGGAAGTGGAGCGCGTGTGCGAGGTTGATGAATGCCCGGCCCGCAATTCCCAGGACCGAAAAGTTGGAACTCGACATGGATGGACATGGCGGGTCTTGGGTGGGGGTTGGTCACTCGCTGCGTGTGATGGGCGGCGGAGTAGCTCCACCCTGCCGAACAAATCGAAATAGAAGTCCGCCCGTGTCTCGAGTTTAGGGCATTTTCGTATTTTCTTCGCTTTTCGTTTTTGGGCACATGCATCCGCATTCGTGTTGGACCCGCCAGCCCCTCAGCTCTTGGCCAATGGCGGCCGCCTCTCCCCTTCAGGGCCGCCTCTCTGTCTGGCTGCCACTGGGTGTTGGCACCAGCCACGATGGATGCGACGGAGCTAGCCAAAGGGGCTGATTCGCCATTCGTACTGACAACCTGGCTGGCTTCATGCCCTCGGCTCGGACTCCAGACGTGACACAGCCTACTCCTTCTAAAAACAGCCGGTGCGAGAAGGCCGCCCCCGCAATTGGCGCGATCGCACTTGGCGTCGATCCGAATCGGGCGCGCAATCTCGATTCGGACCAGTTCGAGATGTCCTTAATTTACCAAATGGCAAATGCATGTCAGTGCTCGGGCCGCAACCCATCCGCCGCTCGACGCCACAAACGTCCGCGAGCTCGCACTGAAACCATCCGAGCCCCTTGGAATCAATTGACGTGAGTAATCAGAGCGGCGGGGACCATCAGACAGAACTGCTCGCGTAAATAACAATGATACTTGATACCTGTCGCAAAGAGTTCAACAGAAACAACCCGGGTCCCGTATCACATGATATATGCCTGATATATGCCTGTATCGAATGCCCTGTAGCGAACTGTCGCAGTTCATTCATCATTCTTTTACACTTGGGTATTCGATAATAAATTAACATTTTACTTTTTTTTAAACGGCAACAAGCAGCCAAGTGCTCCCTCTTCTGAATTGATTCCCTTTGAAGGCGCATCTGATCCCTACAGCACGTCAGTTTCTGCAAGTCTCGAATAGCAACTATGTGGTAGTTCAGAAAGAAGCACACTCTTTCCCTCTTTGCTAATTTTTATTTACCAGTCTCTCCGATCCAAACTCTTTACGTTGCCCTAATAGCAAAGACGGCGCGGATACAATTTATCAATACCAAGTCGCCTCAACAACACCACCTCTTTTGACATTAAGATGGCTCCGGCTCACTGTTTGTTGGAATGACAAGGTCATTCGTACTGGTCACTATAGTAACCGTTGCGAAAGAAGGGGGGGTTTGGTGTTGTATTCTTCTTTGTCTACCAAAAAGATCACGAACTACGGACACGAAGGCGCTCAGTCAGGGTACCCGCGGTCACGTGCTGCACCACGTGTTTGGGCGGGTGTGGCCCGTGCGCTGAACCTGATTAATCGGTAATTCCTACACTTGTTTTACCTTGTGTACTATCACGGCTCAGTCAACGTAAAGAGACAGGGCTGCAGTAATCATCGCTGAATTCGTAGAATCTAAAGATGAAGAAGGAAGCTATGACGGGGACCGCGCAGGGCGCGGGGAAATGGGTAGTTGTGGGCCACGTGATACGTCAGGCACAGACCACACTCTAAACAGGAGCCTGTCCAGGCCATGCCGTGACATGTACAGGCTCTCGTCTGAATAGAACACATTAGCCGTTTCTTGAATTTGAACAGACATTTATGGTAATGATCTGAGTTCTGCAGCCTTCAAAACGTATCTCGCCAAAGCCACAGCCTCTGCTTCCACTTTCACAGGATTTGCGTTGAGACAGTAGATCGGGAAGCTATTACGAAAATAGTTAAAATCCTAGAAAGTTAAAATCCTAGAAAGGTTTCCCGTGAGTCGTCGGCATGTCCTCTTGGCCAGTCAATAAAGATTGAATCTGCGGGTCCGAAAGTAATTCAACTCATACAATAGTAGATTAGTAGTTAATATCTATTAGTTATATTCTAACAATTTCTAGGGGCGCCAGCAAGCGAGCAGAAACTCAACAACCCTATCCGACTATCGGCGCACACAATAATCGACGGCATGTCGTTGGTATTCGAAGGCGTAATCGGTAACATCAGACGAGTAGTAGCGGCAGCTCGTGCCGCACGAACACGTGGGCGTCTCATCCTTTCGGCTCCACGTGCATTGATTATATTAATTACATCGGTAGTTAAAGCAGAGACTGGGCCGCCTCTGTGTCTCGTGTCTCGCCCACGCACAGTTTGTTGCCGTGGAACAGGCTCGATGCCCTTCAATGGGTAGTCGATTCTATGTGGAGGCGATTTACCCCGTCCTGACAGCCCCAAACCCCGAGCCCACGGAGATGCGAGCAAGTAGGAACCTAGATAACTCAGTGAGCGCTTGGCTTCCAAATGTAGCAGGTCTTATTCTGGTCCATCAGCCGGCTCCACCGCGCATATCTTTTTACGGCGTACGGAGCAACTTATTCGCTTCTGGAGTGAAAATTAGAGGCCAGCATAGACGAAACTTTGGATTTTGGCACGACGTTTAAGCAGATTCCCTCCCCACTAGTATACCAAATCCACCCATCCACTTGCCAAGCTGCGTGCACAGCGTTCCAACTAGACGCAGATTGCAGGGAGCATTCATTGCAGGGACCACCCATTGCAGCGACCACCCATTGCAGCTCAGGTTTCTTATCGGCCTCCCACCGTGCCCCGGACGGCTAAGCGCGAGAGCGGATAGATTCAGCTCCGCATACGGTGCAACCCCCAAGGCCGGCATGAGTCAAGCGGGGACCGGATTGGTTGTGGGGCTGCTGCGCGCTGGTGCGGGGAGGCCGTGGCGCGGCAGAGCCGGCGATCGCACGTTGGGTATTTGAGAAGGGAGGAGAAGGGAGCTCCCAGATCGAGTTGCGTAAAAAAACAAAGAGAGAAACACTCTGTCCGTTGCACGAGCTAGGCTAATTAGCAACTCACCTCACCCACACTCGACATCGAACGAGACAGAACCAATCGCACTCCACAATGCCCAACTTTGTCGTCCTCGGGTGGGTCTGAGTCTCCACTCTCCGGTACCGGCGGCCGTTTGAGAGGGTACAATTCGGAGAGCATGCACTGACCTACGACGACGAACCATGCAGAGCCGGCGTCAGCGGCCTCACCTGCGCACTGCAGCTGGCCAAGCAGGAGGGCAACGTGGTGACGGTGGTGGCCAAGCACATGCCTGGCGACTACGACATTGAGTACACGTCGCCGTGGGCCGGCGCCAACTTCCTTCCGTACGTCGTCACGCCCGTGCACGTCCCGTCCCATTACCCACCGGCCAATTCGTGCCAATGGCTTACTCACTGCGCGTCGGCGTCGTCCTGCATGTAGCATGGCCCTGGAAGCCGGCAGCCGCTACGAGAGGCGGACGTGGCCCGAGCTGAAGCGGCTCGCGGCCGAGGTGCCCGAGGCGGGCATCCATTTCCAGAGTGGGTTTTGGCCTGCTGCCACTTTGCTGTTTGCCTCTCTGACTGACACGCAACCCGGCAGAGGTGCACGTGATGCGCTGCAAGAAGGACGAGCCGACGGGGTTCCGGCTGGCGCTGTCGGACGGCCTGTTCGCGCCAGACCCATGGTACAAGGCAGTGGTGGACGACTACCGGGAGCTGCCGGCCAGCGAGCTGCCGGCCCACATGCACTCGGGGGCCGAGTGGACGTCGGTGTGCATCAATACGACCATGTATTTATGCTGGCTGGCGGGGCAGTGCGCGGCGCGCGGCGTGGTGCTGAAGCGCGCCGTGGTCGGCCACGTGGCCGAGGCGGCCGGGCTCGCCGAAGGGGGCGGTAGGCGGGCCGACGTGGTGATCAACGCGACGGGGCTGCTGGCGTGCCGGCTCGGCGGCGTCATGGACGCGGCCGTGTACCCGGCGCGGGGCCAGACGGTGCTGGTGCGCAACGAGAACGCCAACACCATGTACGCGGCCAGTGGGACCGACCATGGTGCGGACCAGCTGTGCTACACCATGACACGGGCGGCCGGTGGCGGGACCATCCTGGGCGGCACGTACGAGAAGGGCAACTGGGACCCGAACCCGGACCCGAACACGGCCGTGGCCATCATGAAGCGGGCCGTCGAGGCGCAGCCGCAGCTGGCGGGCGGGCGCGGCATCGAGGGCCTCGACGTCATCCGCCACGGCGTGGGCCTGCGCCCGGCGCGCGAGGGCGGCGTGCGCATCGAGAAGGAGCTCATCAACGGCGTCTGGGTCGTCCACAACTACGGCCACGCCGGCTGGGGGTACCAGGGCAGCTACGGCTGCGCCGAGCACGTCCTCGAGCTGGTCGACGAGATTGTCGCCAATACCAAGTCCAAGCTGTAGTCTGGCGTCCAAGCTGTAGTCTGGCCTTGGTCTTGCGTTGCGTCTGTACCGTAGGACTGATAGGCACATAATAATATGATGATATTGTATTTGCCTCTTAGCTTCACCGACGCCGATGTTATTTGTGTGACTTGAGGAGCGGCTTGAGACGACGTTCATTTTCGATCCTTTTTATAGTGCATTCTGTAGGTGATACGTGCTGTAAGACAGGGGCTGTGAGACGTCCCAGCCGACGCACTTTAGGCATTGGCAGGTTGCCCCACTTGGCGGCACCAGCCGCAGCGACCGACTTGGACAGCTTGCCAGAGCTCGAGCGTCACCTCTTCCCGCCACCTTTTCCCGCTCTCTGCCACGACCAGAGTCAACAAAATCCGCTCCCCCCCAACACACATCATGGCGGACAGATCACCGCCGCCGCTGCACCAGCATGCGATTGGGCTTGCGCTCGACGTTGCGAACGGCCGCCATTCCCTCTCCAAGCTCATCCCGCCGGCGCTCTTCCTGGCCGACGCGTTGCTCTGCAGCCTAATCATCTGGAGAGTCCCCTGTAAGCACACCCCCTTCGTCCATTGCCCCTATTCGGACCGCCCGGCCGCGACACGACGCACGCATAGCTGACACTTTTCTCCCTTCTGGGCAGACACCGAGATCGACTGGGTCGCATACATGGAGCAGGTCGCGCAGGTCGTCTCGGGCGAGCGCGACTACACGGCCATCGAGGGCGGCACCGGGCCGCTGGTCTACCCGGCCGCCCACGTCTACATCTACACGGGGCTCTACTACGCGACGGACCGCGGGGCCGACATTCTGCTGGCCCAGCAGCTCTTTGCCGTGCTCTACATGGCCACCCTGGCCGTGGTGATGGCGTGCTACAGGCAGGCAAAGGTATGCAGGCGGACAAGGGAAAAGGAACCCTGGCACGACATGGAGACATGGCTGACAGGTTGAGGATAAAACAGGCGCCGCCGTACGTCTTCCCCCTGCTCATCCTCTCGAAGCGGCTGCACAGCATTTTCGTCCTCCGCTGCTTCAACGACTGCTTCGCCGTGCTGTTTCTCTGGCTGGCCATATTCTGCTTACAGCGGCGGCGCTGGGAGCTCGCCGCGGTGCTCTACTCGTGCGGCGTGGCCGTCAAGATGTCGCTGTTGCTCGCCCTGCCGGCCGTGGCCATTGTGCTGTTCCTCGGGAGCGGTCTCCAGCCGAGCCTGCGGCACGCAGCCGTCATGGTGCTCGTGCAGGTGCTCGTGGGCCTGCCGTTTCTCGCGCACAACCCCTGGGGTTACCTGGGCAGGGCCTTTGAGTTCTCGCGCCAGTTCTTCTTCAAGTGGACCGTCAACTGGCGGTTTACGGGAGAGGACGTGTTCCTGAGCAGGGGCTTCGCGCTCTCGCTGCTCGGGCTGCACGCCGCCGTGCTGCTGGGCCTCGTCACGACGCGCTGGCTAAAGCCCGCGCGCAAACCTATCCTGAGCTTGGCTGTCGCGGTCATGTCCGGGAAAGCGCCTTTTCTCCACGGTGAACAGCAGGCCGTGTCGCGCGACATCACGCCGCAGTATATTCTGACTACTGTGCTCTCGGCCAACGTGGTTGGCCTCCTCTTTGCCCGCTCCCTCCACTACCAATTCTACTCGTACCTCGCCTGGTCGACCCCGTTCCTTCTCTGGCGCAGCGGCACCCACCCCATTTTCCAATACGGTCTCTGGGCTGCGCAGGAGTGGGCCTGGAACGTGTTCCCTAGCACTCCCATTAGCTCCGGTATCGTAGTTGGCGTGCTAGCCACGACCGTCGCTCTCGTCTGGTGGGGCGCTCGAGAGGAATGGGAGCCGCGAGCGGCAGCGTCCAAGTCTGAGGCGGTCAAGCGGTAAGGGGAGTTTCGGCAGACGACGCAATCAATTGCATGCTCAGGGGCCTTCCTCGTCCTCGTCCTCGTCCTCGTCCTCCGAGTCGCTAGGCGGCATCTTCCCCACCGTCGAGTCCTCGTCCTCGTCGTCGTACGTATTTTTTGTAAACTGCTTGGGCCTGTTTCACCAGCAGATGTCAGCGAACGTCACTTGGGAGACTTGGCTCCTCGTGAGAGAAGTGATGCGCACCAGTAAGGCCGCTTCCTCCACTCCTTCTCGTCGCGCACGACATTAATGATCTCGCCCACGACCCTGCTGTTGGGCGCCCGCTCGTCCGCCGACGCCAGGTCCACCAGCACATAGCCGCCCCGCTTGATCCATATTGTGCTGCGGAACCGAGTCTCGAGCTCGACGAGGATGGGCTTCGTGTTGGGCAGCGTGCACGTGTAGAGGTTGTTGCCCTCGGCCTTCACGACGCGTGCGACAGATTGCGACTCGGCTAGCTGATCCGGCGGTGTCGCCGACTCTTCGGCGGCAGCTAGAACGTTGCTGCGTTTTGGTTTGCCCATGGTGGCGGCCCTCGTTTGCCCGCTTGATCTTGGGCGTCCGAGTTCGCTTCGCTTTGGGATGAGAAGTTGTAGGTCAGGAATAGCGGATGAATTTGCGCCCAACAACAAAGTTTGAACTTTTTGACGCCGTGGCGCCCAAAGCTCCCCACATCGAGTTTGGGGACGGTGGGGTTGAATGACCCGCGCACCGAATAACCCCGCTTTAGTTCGAACTACTTTGGCAATCGACGTTCACTGTCAATGGCAGTTTCCCTGCGAGGTTCCGCGGTATTTGAGCATCTAGCTCTCAATGGCTAACCCTAAATATTCGGTTGCCAATTTATTGGTTATAGTTGGACCATTGTGTTGTCTGGGAGGAGTTACGCTCCCCGAGTCAAGCTGTTTCACTGGAGCAGCAAGACTCCGGGGATGCTTGCCCCGCAAACGCCCGCTAGAGCTGCTGGTCCACTGCCAATCAGGCCCGGATCTGCCGACACCTGCTACTGTGGTACTAAACGGCTCAGGGGACTGCGCCTGAAGCGGCACCCCGAATACCTCGAGGCTTCATTGGGTTAACGATAAATATAACTCATACAACCACACTCACTCCAAACCCATGGGCTAGTAATCGTCAGGATAGACACGACTAGCAAACAACAGCCACATTCTAGGAGCCATTTTTTTATTCCAAAAGTCTTAGACTTACTTTACCACTCGCTCATTCACATAGACAGCGTCCAAGATGGGTTCCGCCGGCTCGCCCGACCTCGCTGCGCTTCCCGCGCTCGAGACGCGGCCCAAGTTCATCTTCTTCACCGACTTCGACGGCACCATCACGCAGCAGGACAGCAACGACTTCATGACGGACAACATCGGCTTCGGGGCCGCCAAGCGCAAGGAGAGCAACAAGGGCGTGCTGTTCGGGCAGCGCGACTTCCGCGACGCCTTCCAGGAGATGCTCGACAGCGTCACCACGCCCTTTGACCATTGCATCGACCTGCTGATCCGCAACATCGCGCTCGACGCCGGCTTCCGCGCCTTCTTTCACTGGGCCCGCGAGCACAACGTGCCCATTGTTGTTCTTAGCGGCGGCATGGAGCCCATCATCCGCGCCCTCTTCGAGCACTACCTTGGCAAGACCGACGCCGACTCGCTGCGCATCGTGAGCAACGCCGTCAAGGTGCGCCCCGGCAAGACGAGCATCAACGAGGAGGGCGGCTGGACTATCTCGTACCACGACGACAGGTAAGACTGCTTCTCGCTGTTTCGCTCTTGGTCCATGGGGCCGGGAGACAGTTATTTGTTGATAGCGACTGAACAAAATGCTTAGTGGATTCGGCCACGACAAGTCTCTGGAGATCCGGCCCTACGCGAACCTCCCGGCGGACGAGCGGCCGATTCTCTTCTACGCCGGTGACGGCATATCCGATCTCTCGGCGGCCAAGGAGACGGACTTGCTGTTTGCCAAGGCCGGCCGCGGTATGTTTCACGTCCCTTTGGGCTCCAAGCTTTTTTTTTTCTCCGTAACACGATTCCTGATTATGTCCCACAGACCTCGTTACGTATTGCGAGCGCGAGAATGTGCCCTTCACGACGTTTCGGGACTTCTCCGACATCCTCGCCACCGTCAAAGACATTGTAGCCGGCGACCTCAGCGTCAAAGATGCGGCGACGGGCAGAAAGTGAGATATGGGCGTCTGGCGGAGCTCTTCTCGAGTCCTCTTTTGTTCTTTGCAGATTATATTCTTCATAGAGATAGACTTATAGACACGGATGAACCTGCCCCAAAATCCGAGGGTATTGTTATTTTCAGCCACCAGCAAGATTAAACCTCGGAGAAAGCACGCCGTTCGTCAGCGCACCGTCCGTCAGCACGCCGTCCGTCCCTACGCCATTCTCTGCTTACATGACGGCGCCGACCAACGCCCAAGAACAACAAAACTGGATATACAACACACAAACATCTCCGTCGGAAGAACTCGAAGAGATCAGTCCGTCTTCTTGGGCCTGCTAGGCAGACCATACCAGCAGCCCATCATGCCGGCAAACAAGGCGATGGCGATGGGGTGCAGCACGAACGGGCCGACGGCCTGGGCGAGGATGCCCGTGGTGAAGGGCGCGACGGCGCCGCCGGAGCTGCCAAACGCCGAGATGACGCTCATGCCGCTGACGCGCTCGTGCTTGCTCATCATGCGCATGAACACGGCCGCCGAGCACGGGTAGACGGGGCCGAGCAACAGACCAACAAGCGCGACTGCGACGGCGCTCCCAACAACATTGGGCACGAGCCACACGACGAGCTCGAGCGCGGCCGCGCCGGCCACGACGCCATACACGAAGCGCCTCTCGCCGACGCGGTGCGCTGGTGCCGAGAGCAGGAAGCGGCCCAGGGTGATGCCGGCCCAGAACCCGGCTGTCACATAGCCGACAGACCCCTGCTCGCCGCCGCGCGTCTCGATCAGGAACGAGATGACCCAGCCCGAGATGCTCACCTCGGCGCCCTGGTACGCGAAGATGAACAGCGCACCCAGCAGCACCACGCGGCTCGACATGGCCGAGAACATGCCGGCGAGGTCGATGCGCTTCGCCGGGGCTTTGCTAGGGGTGGTGCCCTCAGCCTGCGTCCCAACCAGCGGCACCGGCTGCTGCTGCTGCTGCTGCACACCATCGGCGTCGTAGCCCCAGAACACGTAGGCGGAGAAGAAGGCGTTGAACAGCGCGAGGCCGAGCGGCAGCAGATAATACCTGCTCCAAGAGACACGAGCAGCCGAGACAAGAGCATTGGCAATAAGCGGGCCGACAGTCCCACCGATCCCATAGCTGCCGTGCATCAAGCCCAGGGCCGCCGTGCCGTTGCGCAGCGACCCGCAGAACACGTTGCCGACGGCCAGCGTGAAGGAGCTGCCGAAGCCGACCACGAGGAACGCCACCACGACGCCCGGGAACGGCGCCGTGCACGCCAGCGGGATGTAGCCCACCGCCACGATCAGCTGCGCCAGCGCCAGCATCCGCGCCCGCCCCAGCCGCTCCCGCACCACGTCGATGAATGCCGCCGCGCCGATGAAGCCCAGCGCGTTGCCGACGAAGATCAGCGACACGATCATGTACCCAATGTCGTAGTGTCTGTGGGTGTCGGAGTTAGCAATGCTGGGCTGGGCTGGGCTTCAAAACGTGCTGCCTTTGGATCATGGCCCGGAGAGGCTGATGGGCTGGGGAATGCATACTTCTCTATGGCGGGAATCAGGGTGCCCGGCGCGCTGTCAAACATGCCCTGGCAGAAGCTCATCAGGCACACGGCCAGCATGCGCCAGCGGTTGCCGTACGGCTCCGTGATGCTCTGCAGCATGGCGTCGACCTCGACGCCGCCGCCGTCGTGTGGGTGATCGGTGCTGCTGCCGTCGCCGGTCGGGGTGGCGGCCCGCGGAGTCGTCGGCCGGCTCATCTCCAGGTCGACGTCGTCGGCCGAGCTCGCGGCTGGGGAGCTCTGTGTGGGGACTGGGCTGGGAAGCGCCGCCTTGGGGGTAGGAGTGGAAGTGGTTGCTGTCCTGGGCAGGTGCGGCTTGAGCTCCATGGGCGGCGCGCGCTGGGGGGCGCTACGGTGTGTCCGCTGTGCGACGCGCTCGGGCGCTGAGGGCAGTGAGCCCGGCTCCCACTCGACGCTCGGTACCTCGTGGAGCATCATGATGCGGTCTACTGCCATGGCGAGAGTCTTGGCGTGGTGTTTTTTCCCCCTTCCTTGGCTAAGCTCGACTCCCGCGCAAGAGCCTAATGGGTTGTCAAACAGGTAAAGCCTGAACTGGATCAAAGTTGTTTATTTTAGCTTTCGGATGAGAGGCAACAGGCTCGGGAGTTGGCCTCGAGGGCGGAGTGGGGCGGCGGGCAACGTTGTATTTAGGTCGTGCCGTGGATGGAGACACACGCCAGAGTTCGCTATTGCAACGCTGTTCAGCAACCTGGCAAAGAGAGTAGGTAGGTAGCACACCGCCACGGGATACTGTGTTGTGTGGTTTTGGCCTTGGTTGGCATTCGTCAATGTCCCCAAGCTGGTGGAGGCTAAGATAGGTAGGGAGGTAGGTAGGTAGGTAGGTAGGTAGGTAGGTAGGTAGGTAGGTAGGTAGGTAGGTAGGTAGGTAGGTAGGTAGGTAGGTAGGTAGGTAGGTAGGGAGGGAGGTAGGGAGGCAGGTATTGGGGGTGGACCGCATGCAATCTGTACGCGTCCTGCCGCCGCCGAGCCACTGCCGATACCGAGTTTATTCTGCACTCTGCAGTGATGTTAGTCTAGACTGTGGAATTGCGGAAGCGGGGAAGTCGTCTTCTGACCTTTGCACGCACCTTCGACAATGAGAATCGGGTGCGATCTGCACCGCGTCCCATAATCGTTTGCGCCCAACAGGGCATCTCCGCCAGCGGATGCGCGACGCGCCCGCCAATATCGGAATCTGCCTCGATCGGAACCCAGTCGTCGGATGTGAGGCCCTTTGGCCCCCCCACGCTGTCAGACATGCTTGACAAGCAAAAGGGCTCGCCCCAATAACACGGTCGCATTCAGCGGACAAATTACCCACAGCCCAAACAGTTGGCGTGGTGGCCATGTAGGCTTGCAATAGCGTGCAAGACGGCCCGAATCCAAGAAGCTCCGGATCGAGGAGTTCCGCCTATCGCTGGCCTTGGCTGCCGACGGGGCGAAGGGTTAGGGTTTCTGTCTCGTGTCTGCGGCTGGACACCTCGGCCAATTGCTACCTCTCTCAAAAAAGTGTAAACTGCATGGCTCAGCTCCAAAAGAACGAAGATATCTAAAGTCACCTGTTAAAAGATATTTCGTTCGGCTTAGAATTTAGGGAGCCGGGGGAGGCTGCGCGGGTGATCCACCGCTCAAACACGGTGGAGCGCAAATTAGCTTCACCACAGCGCCAAAAGCTCCGCTACTTCAAAACAGCTCCACAAAGAAAATGACCAAAGAGTCATTTTCTTCAATGACCAAAATTGAAAAAAAAAAAAAAAAAGTAGCAAAAAAACATACAACACCAGGGATTCGCTGGTCGTCACCGACCCAACTACTAGTTGGGCCCTCATTGGCTTGTCTATGGGAGAGCGGACGGGATCCCGAATTTTCCAATGGGTATGGTCGTATGTGGTAGATACTGGAAGCAAGCTGTTCTATATTGGAAGGCTGTCGCTGCAGTGCGCAATGCACCATTCCTGCAAACATGTCAGCTAAATCTGTTGATGCAGTACGAGCTATATCGTGCTTCGTGCTTACCGGTGGCAGTTGTGCTAATTCACCATCGTATTTTCCTTGTTTCGGTCATTTCCACTTCGCCTAGAGCAACAGCCCAGAAAGAAGCTCTCTGATGTCTAAACGTCCACTTGTCTCAAATCATGTCTTTCGCTCTCTTGAGCATACTCGCTTCATAGTTATAACCTCTGGTTCTTCTTTTCAAGACTTTCTCAGCCACCCTTGCAGCAAAGCAAGTCTTACTTATTAGCACTGGGACATGCTTGTATATTTAATGTTTGAGTTTAAATTTAAATAACGTCTCTGACTAGGATATGAAGCACCTAGTATATCACGATCGATCCCCCAATTAGAAACGGCGTCCTTCCCCGTAGTTCCCATATGAAAGAAAAAGGGCAACACAACATATCAAATCAGCTTCATAAAGCTCCAGGAAATGAAAAGAGGAGTAAAGGGTTATAAACGGAAAGTTGAGGTCAGAGAGGTTCAACACACGGAAAAATTCACGCAGCAGCAGCCCGAAAAGAATCTCACTTGGCCAGCCCGTGCTTCTTCCTCCGGTGGCGAAGGAGGTTGTCGCCCCGCGTGATTATCTTTCCGCACTCGTCGCAGGGGAACTCCTCTAACATGCCGAGTTCCCGGGCGATATCTTTGTGTTTTGCCCGGATGTGCTTCTTCAACTCGCGCGTGTGGGTGGACCCGAGGTTGCAATATTTGCACTTCACGGGCCTGTAGATCTTTCGTTTCTCTCGCCTTTGATAACCCCGGCGTCGTTAGTATTTCCTTCTTTTCTTTCTGATCAGCTGGGAGGGGCATGGCACAAAACGTACGCTGAAATTTTCTCGGGGCGGCTTTGTTGGACGCGTGGTAGGCATTTGGGTTGAGACCTGGGCTGAGGTCGTGGGCTTGGCTCTGCCGGCAAAGGTAGCGATGATGACACCGGGTCGCGAGGTGCGAGGGCACGGTACCGGTCGAGATTCACAGTTCCGGAGTTTGGGTCCATCAGATTGCAGGGGGAACTAAGCGCCGCGGGCGGCGTGAATGGAAGGAGCGTTGCCCCTGGAGAATTGATCCAATTCTCGGTGCCTGCGGAGGAGCTAGCGGGCATAGATCCTGCCCAGGACGGTGTCCCGGTGGTGTCGCTCGCCATGTCAGGGATTACCTGTGTAGAATCAATACCCAGAAGGAGATCGGACCCTGCAAGTGGCGTGCCCGGGAGTACCGGGGCCCCTGGAGAAGTGCCCCAATTCTCGATGCCTGCTGATGAGCTAGTGGTGGAAGTAAACTCCCACCAGAACGGCGTCTGACTGTTAGCATCGCCCATCATTTCCAGGCCTAAAGGCTCCTGCATTGTCTGCATAAAACCGGGGTTTTCAAAGAAGTCCAAGGTCCTTAGGGGGAAATGTTGACCAAGGGCTGCCGGAGGGCTACCAAGAGAGGGGCCGGCAAGAACGCTGGCGGAGAAGTTGTCTTGTAGCTGCCCGGACAATCCTGAACCGTCAAGTGATGCCTCGAACGAGTAGGGTCTATCTAGGTCGGCAAGAACGCTAGCGTAGAAGTTGTCTTGTAGCTGCCTGGACAATCCTGAACCGTCAAGTGATGCCTCGAACGCGTAGGGGCTGTCTAGGTCGTCCAGCTTAGGTGTGAGGCCTTCAAACTCATCGCCGTTTGTGAGCAATTCGAGCAACTCAAGCCCAAAGTAATCGACCGAATCTTCTCCGTCGGCCATTGTCATTGATCTCTCGGAACAGTGGAGACAGTCTCTTGTCCCGGGCTGTTCGTGGAGGGCGAAAGGCGTAGTATGTATGGTGTAAATTTGCTGTGGGATTGGGCTTTTGTTTGAAGCTGTTGTTGATGCAGTTGATGATTTGATCATAGGGGGACCTTTTTCCGACACTATCCAGGTCGGACAATCTGCTAAAACAAAGAGTGTTAGACTGGGGCGACGGATGCTCACTTGGTTGGCAACATACCCCATCACGTGTGTGTTTCTAGCGAATATTCCAACACCATCTTCCCGTTGCTCCATTCCCTCGACCAATACCCAAAGGCACCGTCTGCTACACCGGTACCAAAGGCGGATTACTGAGATTCTCCGCCTTTCCATCCGTGCGGGCAGGGCCATGTACACAAGTTAAGACTCTTATTGCTGGCGACAGCAATATTCATTGACCATAGTACATGGCTCTGAAGCCGCCGGAGCCGAGCAACAGTAGTGCCCCAGATAATTGCGAAGTCGAGATGAAAGGGGGGGCTGGCAAGGGCGAATAGCAAAGTGTCAGTGACGAGTGCCCGGAACGCGAACCGAGATTAACTCACACAATGTTTCAGCGTCCCAGGCTGGCAAGGAAGGCCCAAAGCTCGGCGCACGCGCACAGGCTAGGTATTCTTGGACGCACGAGTGGGAGGGGGCTCGTTGTTCGGCGGCGGAAATGGATGGCATCTCCAGATGCTTTTCGCAACGAGCCCCCTCCCACTCGTGCGGTCTTCGAATCCTGTGCGCAACGCCGGAATCTACCACCCGAGAACAACGATGCCCGGAAGCATTGCTGGCATATGTGCACGCGGAGCTAGTGCATACATGTGTCGTATCCAGCAGCAATGCTTCCGGGCACCCCTATCCTCCCACCGCGAGAAAAGAGTGTAGAGTTGGAGAGAAGTTGTGTGAAGAAGATGGAGAAAAAAGGAAACCCAGGTTTGATGTGGTGAGAGAGGGTTGGGTTTTAAAGTTTTTGGTAAATTTGGTGACCCCTCACTAGGATACGAGAATGCGACTCGGCCAGATATAGTTTGATTCGTCGACATGCAAGTACCGCGTGAGTACACTCCGCTGCGACCCTTGATTGGAGTTCTGGGAGGCTCACAAAAACTCGTTCGTTTTCCGCCGGCTTCCATTTCTTGCTGGGCGCTGCCAAAGAGATCCTGTCATTGGACCTTCTCCAGTAGCCACGCGTGGTATTCGACAAACATGCATCGGCGATCTCAACCAGTCACAGCCCAGAGGACTACAGAACAAGCCAATCACGATGGCTACATCTATCAAGGCGCAACGCGCCCAGGTTGGAGACTTCCCTCTGCAATTCAGTTCCTACTAAAGTTCGGAGAAAGTGGCACATCTAATTGGCCAAGATTTGAAGCACAGAACAGGCAATGACTTCCGTTGCGCGGAAATCCCCTAAACTGACATTCTGTTGCTCCCTGACATCGAAGTAACTGGGTGATATGATCAGGGTTCAAAGGGCAAGGGCGACCAGCAAACACCATTTGGGTGTTATCTAGTCAATTTAGGGGACTTCCTCAAATAAGTAGTCGCAATTCCAAGTATCGCTGAAGGATATGGATATCACATATGTCCATGTATCAAGCATGTAGACCTAGCAACGGGTCGTGGGCTCACATAAACAAGATAAAGAGTTTTGCACAATGAAACTGCCAACCATGACGAAATCAAAAGCCGATTCGGGGGGAAAGAGACTGCGAGTCTTGTCTATGAAAGGTGTCTAACCGAAACCGCAGGGTGAAAAGCAGACGCGATGCTAGATAAATCAAAAGGAGTGAAGTGAGATCCAAAACAAGTGATATAGCCCCATTACTCCTCCATATCGCGATCCAATGCCTTTTGCGAACCCCCCCCCCCCCCCCATGCATGATCCGTCAGAACTCCATCCCGTAACACCAGTCCCTCGCACCGAGTTGAAATGCAAAACAATGACTGGAAAGGCAGCAAGCCAATCAGCTCACCGCGTGCGCCGTTAGGCCAGCCGATGACGTGTTTTCTTTCCCCCTTCGCGATTTCCTGGATGAAACAATGCCTTGACTCCATTTATCCCTTCCAGACGAGACCTCAACAAAGGAAAACCAGGGCTCAAATGAAAGAAAACGAAGTTTGTAAAAAGTAAAATGGCCAGGAGAAGGAAATCGACACAAGGAACACAGAATCTATCTGGCTTCAGCAGCGAGCGCGGCCGCACAGCAGCATTGCTTGGCTGAGCGATTGATTATCAAGAACTGCCCGAATCACCCTTCTAGAGACACGAGAAGGAATGGTCAGTAACAGGTCCACATACAAACACGTTGAGGGTTTCTTACAGGGTAAGACGGGTAGCTGCTGCTACCGGACTTGTCGCCCGAGTCGCCCGACGAGGACGAGCTCTGGCCGCCAAAGACGACGCTGGGCTTGACGATGCCAATGGGCGACGAGTACTTGAGGAGCGAGTCCCAGTCGATAGACGTGTCCGGGGGCGGGCTGGGCTTGCTGTCCGACATCTTGGAAGGCGACCGGGGTTTTTGCTGGTCGGTGTCGTTGTTGTTCGTGCTGGTTGTGGCGGCGGACGTTGGCGCGCTAGAGGTGGCGGCAAAGCAGCTGTTCAAGTAGAGCGAGAAGAGGTAATCGGCGTGGGTTTGCTGCTGCTGGTTGTCCTTGCTGGGCGGATTGGCTGGGTTGTTTGGAGTGTTTGGATTGGTGCCGGCCTGTTGAGAGTCTTGTTGCTTGTCTGGCATTTTGTCTTTGGATTCGAGGTTTGCGGGCATGTCTTATATATCGTGGTGTGAATATTGCGAATCGGCCGAGACTGGTGCGGACCGTGTAGGGAGACCAAGGACCGTGGAGGTGTTGGCGGGAAAGGGGGACCTTCTCGGCAGCTGCCGGGCGTGGGATGCTCGGATGAGGATTCACGGACAAGTTCTGATGATTGTTGTTGCCTGTAAGGGGCATTGCTGGTAGACGATGGGGAGGACGAGATGAGGTGGAAGAACTCCAAGATCAGGCCCAAGTCCCAGAACCCCGGAGCAAGCCATGGGGCTGGCCTGATTGGCTAGGGCCAATGGGTCCAAGGATCGATTGCTCCCTCGAGCCTAGGCGGACTTCCATGCTGCAAGGGCCATACTGAGCACGCCACAACCCGACGTGGTATGGCCGCAGCCTGGGGGTGGGTGCATTGTAACCGCTTTGGGAAGCCAAAGCTCCGAAGTGCGAACTGTCTAAGTCCGAGGCCTCCCCTGATTGGCTCTAGCTGGGATATGTGGAGAGGCGGGCCACGATACCGTAGAAACCAAGTTGCGGACCTGAAAATGGAAAGAAGAGAAAATGGAAACGGGTGGGAAATGCTGCAACTCAAAATTGTGTGGGGTGCCTCGCCACAGCCAGTCCAGCCCGGGTCCCTCGCTGGTCCGCGTCGATTGACGACGCCTAACTGTGCCGTGAGCCGCAAGAGCTTGGGTCAGCTCCCTTCGGCAACCTCCGGTCGCCGCTCCACACTGCGGCCGAAATGCCATCCATCACAATGCTGAGTTGGCGGAGTTCAAGATTTGGGTCTTTTTAGTGAGAAATGGCAGCAAGCACCAGGTTTTCCCCTCTCGTGTGCGCTGCAATGCACCGACGATCAGCCCGACGTCATGGCAAAGACAATGATCGGAGGGTGGTGTTGGCGCGCTTGGAGACTGGAGGGCTGCGGCTAGTCAACCGTTAGTCTCGAACCTCGAAACGGAAGGTAACATGGGTCAAAAACAATGCGACGAATAATAAATAGCTCGCTACTAGCAGCTAAAACAATCCTAAACATCCTTTCAAAAACAATGACTCCCGTGCTTTGTGCTATATGCCCGGGCCGGGCCGGCTGTTGCAGTGCCCGCGGCTGCGTAAATCTCAAGTGCCGCTGTGACACTATCGCGTGCATGCAGCATGGAATGCGGCTGCAGTCGTCAGAGGAAAGGGGGAGAGGGATTTCATCCAATGTTTGACATTGCTGCCAAGAAGAACATTGTTGCCAAGCAGAACATTGTTGCCAAGAAGAACATTGTTGCCAGGAAGAACATTGTTGCCAGGAAGAAGCCTGCGAGGATCGAGGCAGCCTTCTTTTGTTTCAGACTGCCTCTGGGCCGCTGGAACCAAGAGAGTTTAATTCGAAAAACGGCAAATCATGGCGCTGTTCGACATTTTAGCTCGTGGCCGGTGCAAATCCGTGCCAGGCAACCCGATGCGGCGGAAATAACGGAACAGGTTGCCAGCTGCCGACGTGACAGCTCGGCGCCTAATCCGGGCGCAATTGATTGCTGGGTGTGGAGAGCCGCGGGTCCGGGCCTCTGCAATCGCGTGCAAAAGTGTGACAGCCCACGCGCGGCGGCGCGGCACCGCCGTGGGTGGTCACGGTGACGAACCCGAGGGTCTGGATACCGTGCAGCGAATCAGGCGCGCCAACGACGACGCATGGAGCTGGCAGGCAAAAGGGCCGCACCTGAATAGAGTTGGGGCTTGAATTGGCGAATAGAAAGCCACACAGCGTACGTCGGACTCGGCCAGTTTGACGCCCATGGACGATCCGAGATCTTAACGTTAAAGCCTGTTGGCGGGGCATGGCTGTGCTGCGGCTCCAATCCAGGTTGCCGACTCCACAACTCAAATCGACACGCTCTCATTGGGTGGAGAGCGGTGGCTGTGCTGGACAAAAACGTGGCAGGTGCGACCCTGCAATTACTAGTTAAATTAAACTGGCAGCAGCTGCAAAATCAAACGGCAACGCCGGCCGGCCGGTCGACCGAGCTAATTCTTGAGGAAGGCGTGAACGGTCGGTGGGATCAACCACCATTTACGCTTATTCCGTCCGTCACTCTGCGGCTTGGCACTGAGCGAAGCTGAAGAGAGCTCGAAGAGTCAACCTTGAGCTAATGTAGGTGTGTCGTCCGAGGATCTCGGAACGACCCCGAAGCCGAGGTTTGACATGTCTCAGGAGTCAGGCCTGGTCTTGGGGTGACACACCACGCATCGCCGAAACCTGCTGCTGCCTGCCCCGAATCTGAGCCGAAAGCCAATCGCGGCGTCAGATGCAGATCTTGCCGTGGTGATGGATTCTCGGCAACGGCCCACCCCACCTGCACCTCCACCACCAACCACCACCACCGCTACACGCCATATTATACAAGCATCCAACTCCCCTAGGGCTGCAGATTCAACTTCGACTTTCTTTTGGTGCCTGCATTTCTGACCCGTCTCAAATAGGTAACATGTTCCAATGACGCACCTTGGCGCGTGCTGCTTAGTGCAATGCTCGCTCACACTACCCTCAGTCTCACCGCCACCGCCCTTGACATAATTAATGCTTGCTTCACCGGCATCCCTCTAGGTATCACCCCGCCGGTTCGGTTGTGTTATGCAAGGGGCGGCGAAACAACACCCGAGAGCTCCATCTCGGGCCTCTGACTCTTTGCTTCGTTTCTTCCTTCCATCTCTCCCGCTCTGCACTTGCCACATTCGTCAGCCCAACCAGATCCTACTCGACGTCTCGAGTGGCCCCCATCCGCCCACGAATCTGCAAATGCAAATAATCAGTCTCGCATCATGTGTCTCAGTTTTGACCACTGCCTGAGCACGTCGTGCTTCCTGCGGCCCGCGGCTGCAGGCACACCGAGCGGAGCCGAGAAGAGAAAGGAACAGGCGCAAGAAAACTGTCAGCTCGGATCCCAAAGGTTCCTCGCGCACTCGCGTAAGCCTCCTTGGCGTGCCTTGGCCGCACCGCCGCATTCAGCTGACAACTTTACTCCTCTTTGGCGTGTGCAAACTTCAGGCAGAGGTCAACTTGCGTTGGAGTTACCCCAGGGTCACCGGCGGCACAGATATCAAACAGAACACATAAAGTCGGAAAGAAACGAGAACAGCCCCAACACTCACTGCTGAGTTTGCGATGTCTCCATCTACTTATTACCCAGGCAGACGAGAAAGCCACTGACGGGTGGCTACAGCACCTCGGCATTGATTTCGTTTGGGCATTGGATTTGGCACCACGTCTCTTCTGATTAACTCACGTGTCAGTGGATTTCAAGCCTCGTGCAGCGCGTAGGTATTATCCCCATACATATGCATACTAAGTACTTGCTACGTAGGGAGGCATCTTATGAAACCATTAAGCGCATGGTGGCGGGGAATATTGTACGCCAACGCGATGTCCTCAGGACCTCTTCACTGCCTCTAGGTTTCGGGCTCCAATCGACAACTTCCGAGATTCTCAGGCAACTAAATAGCTAGACAGATAAACTGTGAATTTTTGCACTTTCTTTGTTGGGCAACTGACAACACTGAGCTGGATGCGGCTGAGCTCTCGACACCCTTTAGGCTTTACCTCCCAAGTTCCGACCGTTATCTTGAGTGTTTCGTGTTTTTTTTTGTATTGCATTCTCTCTTCACTCTCACAGCTCCCACCTGACCCCGTGGCTCGCCATGTCAGCAGACAAAACAGGCACCTATTACCTGGAAGTCTTTGAAGCTATCGATATATGGCTACACCAATCGAAACATTGAGTCTCCCCAGGTGTGGTGACCAGTTCGATGACTCTTGATTCGCGGTAGAATCGACCGCCGGCGAAGGGCAGTTGTGGTTCATCCAGTATGGTAAATCGCGACTCTGGCCCGTTGCTCTACCTTTGATGTCGTGGGTTTGGTCTTCGCTTTGTTAGTTAATCAAGACACGACCGGTACGCCTGGCGTTGTTGCTGTTCTCTCAGTCCTCTTTCTTTAACTTATTGCTTCTGGCTCTTCTGTCTTCCATCTTGTGTTGGTTAATAGTTAGATACCTGACAGATTGTCAACCGTTACTGACTCGCGTCCCTATTTTTGACATCTTTCTCCTCTTTCAAACGCAACCAGGGGATATTGAAACTACGTGATTGACTACCTGGGTAATTAGTTGGCGATAAACAGTTCTTTATGTCATCGTTTTTTGAGATACTTTATGCTCAATCGGTCCCTGCCATAGTTTATCACTTGGCAGTTAACGGAATACATAACAAAAAAAGGAAATACAGGATATGAAGAGCCCTGCTTCGCCTAGTTCAGTGCGATTCTCTTCAAGTTGTCGCGGTGTTGCAAAGAAGCACAAACATCTTTCGTCCGAAGAACCACAACTGCCATGAACAAGCTTACGACTCATTATCATTGAACTAATCATATCGTCGTTTATAAACGCCTCAAGAGGGGCTGTCAAGGCATGTCGCCTGGCACCCTTTAATTATGCACGTTCTTTCTCGATATCCTGCATATTCATTGTCTAACCAGACCTTTTGACGTTCATCTTTCACGCCTAACAGACTGTGAAACCCTGGGTTGAGTTCCACCTACAACTTCGGCTGAGGTTCTGGCCTGTTGAAGGTCCCGAACGCAGAGCGCTTGCCTTTGTAATTATACCAATCTCAATTTCAAGTGTCGTAATAGTGTCTTATTCGGCTGTACTGAGGTCTCAAGCATAAACAGGTCTGTCAAGCGGTGCCTATTGTACTGCATTTGCGCGAGTTCTTTTTGTTTCTGTTTTTAAACCCCAAAACAACATTTTTTAATAAAAACCAATGTTTCTCAAAGCTATCAAAGAACAGAAACATTTCTCGACTAGCTCTTTTGCCACGGGATTGCCACTTATTGACGCGGTTATAAGACACCACACAACGACAGCAACGACAAAGTAACCGGAAGGCTCGGCTGCGGCTTACCTTACAGAGTAATTGTACAGGGATATATGTACAGTTACTCGTCAACAAGGAGTCAAACATTTGGTCTAGGGATCTCGTCTCATGGCCAAATAACTTGATCTTTTTTTTTTTTTTTTTTTTTTAAAAAAAAAAAAAAAAAAAAAAACCATGGCTGGAAGAACAAAAAAAGATTGATACCGGTGCTCCGATCAAAAGGAGGCAGGCTAATTATCTTATACAAGGCGGGCCGACCAAGATAAAAAGAAAACATCATGCTGGATTATATTGGGGAAGGGCGTAAACAGACTCCTTATTGCCCTAGGCCTCTGAGCTCCTGAACCCTTGGTCGGTGTATTATCGTTGTCTTTGCGCGGGAACCACTCCTTTTTGGACGTTGAGCGGCCGAGATAAGGTGATTGGCGTAATTTGTGAAGGGGATGCAGAAGGCGACATGTCCTTCTGTGACAGGGCTCCGTCTTATCCACGGAGGATGTGATTTGTTAGGTTACTTCAGCTGTTGTTCACTGACGTCATGCATCGGAAGCGCCGTTCTCATCGAAAATTTCCCAACGAATGATGTATCTCACTTTTTACACCGGTGGAATATTCTAAACGTCCAATACCTCAAATACGGCTGGAATGGAACAGGCACCTCGCTACAAAATACTCACATCAGCGGGGCGAAACCTCTTTGCCTTCCTACTGCATGAGGCCGCGTGTGAGCTTCTATGTGGGTAGTGATGAAACCTCTCTGCCTTTTTAGTGCATGAGGCCCAGCGCTGGCTTCTATGTGACCACGTGCGCATTTCCATGGGCTCGGACGGTGGGCAGCATTGTATCTCGTCGACGTTGGTTCAATGTAAAGTAAGCAGGGCCGGCTGAGGTGGGGTTCTTGGCGGACAGGGTAATGCGATAAACATGGGGTGACTCTCGGGATTGGTAAGTATGAGAGCCTCGGGCACGACGGAATGACTAAACAGGCTGCATATGTCATTTACCTTAGGTTTTCACGGGGTTGGTTGTTTTTCGATCTGCCGCCTTTTGGAGGTTTCTAGACGAGATTGAGCCGTCTCTCAAGCGAATGGTTCAATAGCAATTGCTTTCGTGGTTGAGGCCGTGGGGTTCGCTGGAAAGGAGGAGATGCGGTGAAAAGCATAATCAATTTTAGTTATGAGCAATTCTTTGTTGCTCATTGGTTACAATTCTACCTTTTCAGCTCGGGTACGCAAAACGGCCGATTTTCGTAACCTCGTTCGGGCAGGTGTTAGCGAGAAGGGCCGGTAACTAGGCTTGGGAAGGAAGGCGAGTCCCGGGCCGGCCGTTGTTCCTGTCGGTTGAGCTAAATGTTTGACAGGGTAATGGACGCAGAGTCATCAGCCTTACCGTCCCTTACGAGCGGGACATCCGTCCCGCACAATGCCGCGGCATTGATAGAGCCTCAAGTGCGGGGAGGTCTGTGGCTGGTTCGAGGCTTGACTTTTTGGCAGACGGACAGCCCGGGCCTTGATTGGTCAGGTCGTACCGACAAGCCTCTCCAACCTTCAAGGAGGGGTGCAGGATAGCCTCGGCACGCGATGGAACATTCGTAGAAAAGAAAACGAGAAAGATATGCTTGCCAAGCCTGGGCCGGTCACAAAACCCACTTGAGGCATCCCGGCCACATCTTGGCGTTGGGTTTGAGCTGGACAGGGTCGAGATCAGGCGGTGTGGCGCTCGACGAGACGGGAAGACAGCCAAAGAGAGTGGAGTTTATCGGCACTTGCTGTCCGAAGGATTGAGGCTGGGGAAGGGACTTGGCAACGTTGTGCATCGCGGCCCTCGCGGGGCCAATGGGTCCAATGGATTGCTTCCGATTCCGCTTGTGCACTGACGTCTGACAGTCAAAAAGTGTTTGGGCCTTGCTGGGCTGTCTCCATGCGATGCTGCGTTGACGCGGTCAGCACTTGGCAGCCGTTGGCTCTACTTTTTAATTGGCCGAAAGCGGTGCCAAAGCTCTCAACCCTTTTCTCCAGGTCGGAGCTGAAGGCAGTCCCGATGGACCGGCAGTTCAGTGCCTGTCCCTTCCCACCTGTGGACTCGGGAGCACTACTTGAGATTTCCACTCAAGTTGCCGCGGTTGGCTGTCCTGTAGGGATCTAATCCTCCGTCGGATGTGTCTGCGTAGGCAGCAGGGTTTTGAGTTTTCAGCCCATGAGTTTGATGGCGGGGGTTTGTGATCCTACTGAGTATTTGGCTTGTCGTCGGAGTCTTGTGGTGACAAACTTCTGCCAGATCGGGAAATTTGCCCGGAAATGTCAGCAATTGGGATGCTTGGCACCCTTGGTAATGGAGGTTAAATACAGAGTACCCGTACATCCACATCAGATGAAGAAAGGGATTTTCAGCCTCGTAAGTTCAAGAAGGATCTTGAAACTGCTGCCTAAAACCGGGGCCGCAAACTTTTGCGCCGGCCCAAACTGCCACTTTCCAGCTCGTTTGCCAGTCCAGTAGACGTGGGCAGCAAAGGAGATATACTCCGTAGTATCCCAAATTTGGCCAAATAGAACAAGGCAGGAACTTTTGCACAACAGTCCAGGCCCAGCCACAGCCGCGAGTGCTAAGCAAGACGATTCGATTTGCATCGGCTGAATGTAGTTAACCACCCTCCCATAATGGGCTTGGCTTTACTCAGCGCCTGGCATCATCAGGATAAAACGGCACATATGGTGCAGCGCAAAAAGGAATTCGGAACCCAATTAGATCTGCATCGGAAGTAGCTTGAATTTGGAATTGTTATGTTTGTGTTTGTGTCTTTTTGCGTTTGGGCAATGTGACTAGAATGGGGACTGCGACATACCTGGAGGGGTGAATGTCAAAGCTGGAGGGACTCTGGCCGCGTCGTTCCAAGGTAGAGTTCTCTTCTTAACCCCCTACCTTTCTAATTGGATCAAAGCCAGCAAGCAAAGGAGAGTCGTAGATGCTGTTCTCTCGGTGCAGTCGAGGCTCAGTTTCGTCTTCCTTGTCATGTGGAAACGCATCTCGTTGGAAAGCCGCTACGGATGAGGTACCTTACAGTACTGCACGGGCATCCAAGGCCGGTGCCCTTGGAACCAGGGCAACCCCTGTGTCTCCCCATAGTGGGGTCGAAACCCCCAACATGGATGCGGCCGCATGTCCGCATTTCGCCTGCCAAGCATTAACAGTCCACGAGATCTCGCCACGGCAGCCACCGCGACCTAAGGCACACCGCTGGAAGATCGATTTAACCTTGGGCCGGGATGGGAGTCCTGTCCACACCGGGCTGCACTACTGTCCGTTTCCCGTGACGCTCTCGATCTGCCAATCGGACGTCAGATAAATAATAGAAGGCTAAAAGCGAAAGAAGTATAGGTCATGTTAGTTTGCTAGGGACTCTGCAATGATACAAGGCCGGCAGAAAACCTCGCCTCATATCACACACGTCGCTAACTGTCCGTCGGCAATATTTTGCTGCGACGCATGTAGCGATACCTACCTTACCCAGGCGGCGAATGGCCGACATGAAGTACGATGATGACTGCTGGGCGTCCCCGGAATACAAGCGTTTTTCCTGCGGTCCAATGGGGGCTAGTTGAGCTCCCCTCCCGCTCATCGGTGCCTTTCGTATCCTGAGATCCAAAAGAGTAACCCGTACATCGGACAGATGGCGATAAGAATGAGAACAAGTACCAAGGTTACGTAATGTCAGATGTTCCTCTCAACCGCACCTTCCCCTGCAGAAGGTTCCCGCCCGCACGCACTTACGCAGTAATATGGGACAAAAGAACGTGGGCAAATTAAATCTCGCTTTCTGGACTAGCCCGCCCCGAGACTGACCAGCTCTGGAAGCTACCACCCCTCAGGGTTTACGACACGCCTTAATTGCATTCACGAATATTGGGCAAATGCCCAGAGTTCGAGCATTCCACTCGAGCTCTCGGCACAGCTAGACCGGTCGACATTCGAAACCTGGGCGCTGGCCCTAGGCTCAATCTCGATTCTCGGATATTTTGGCGCCAGTCTACGCTCTGCGCCAGTCTATGCTCTTGAATTGACCATCCAGATTGGGAAGTCCCGCCCAGCAAGCACCAGACACCCAGGCTGCAGCCACTGATCCCAGGGCCTCGCCGCCACGCCCACCTGCATCCATCGTCTCACCGTCCCAGCCCCGAATTCAAGGTGCAGACGGCCAATGCGGTCTTGGCACAGCAACTCGGCCTCTCAAAATGCATGTGTTTGCCCCTCCCCGCCGCGAGCAGCGCCCGTCAGCGACGTCCTGTCAACCGTCGTCATCATCGCCGAATGCTAGTCGGACCTGCCTGTCAACTGTCGCCTCTCGTGGCTGTCGACTAAACACGCAAACGCCTAAACTGCTAGACTACTAAATCCCATTGCCGGCATCCTCGATAAATCGGACGGAAATGCCTCCCATATCATCTCAGACGAGGTCGGACAGGTTCTTCGTCGGAGGCCCATCCCAACTTCTGTTCGTCGGTTTCCCTCTTCCTCTTGCCAACCACAGGCTCATACAATATTCAGGATGGCGAAGCCAGGCCCGCAATCCCTCGTCTTCACCCTCGATCATCGACCGCGAGCCACGCGCGCAAGCGTCCCCAAGGTGCGGTCTGGGTGCATTACGTGTGAGTATCAGCCATCCAACCCATGTTAGGTCATATGTATAACATGGCATCCTTCTGATTCCGTTTACTCAGGCAAGTAAGTGTCGAGAAACCCCTGCCCCGGCCTAGTGTCTTGGCTTCAAGCTCGAGTCTTGTGCATTCGGGGCTGACCACATCAACCATGGAACGAAACAGGAGACGCCATGTCAAGTGCGACGAAGCGAAGCCATCCTGTCAGCGATGTCTCAAATGGCAAGGTGTCTGTGAAGGGTATAACTTCCTGGATTCCAGAGCGCCGACAAGATCGAGCTCGCCACTGTCTACCTCAGCAGAAGCCACGGGCTCGCCATCGTCGTCACAATCGCCTTCAGACTCTCCTGCATTCTCGACTGAGGTCCCCTACGAGTCCGAAGCCAACGTAGGGACGGTAGAGTGGGAGAGTTTATATTTCGACAACTGGTCACTTCTTTCTCCCAATCTTGGCGGTGGGTGGTTCCACGTCGACCTGTTCAGCAGGACGATACCACAGCTCAGCCAAAGCGAGCCGGCGATCCGGTACGCCGCCATAGCCATTGGGGCACTTGCGGCTGCTGTGGCTCCTAATACGTTGCCGACGCCGATGGCAGCACTTCAAGGGGACGCCTCACACTACAAGCTCGCCCTGACCTACTACGGGCGAGCTCTGCGCCTTGTCCGCGATCACCAAGACCAGAACTCGGAGTCGACTCTTCGGATCGCTGTCATTGCCTGCGTGTTATTCGCATGCTTTGAAACACTGCACAACAGCTGTGAATCAGCTATCAACCACATAAACCATGGGCTGATGATCATTGAACAATTCATTCGTGGGCAAAACACAACCGCCGGGGATATCAACAACTCAGGACACCCCAGTGGCGCCCTTCTAGGCTATGTCGAGCGCCGTAAGGGGTCGGACGATCTCTTCATTCTCGAGGATGAAATCCTGCAGGTCTTTCAACGTCTCGACTACCTGTCCTGGTCAACGGGCTTGTTCTCGGGGTGGCGTCAGACGTCTCGAATCTCCATCCAAGCCGCGGCGAGCCCCAGTTACCGAGGTATGCCCGACAGATTTTCCAATCTTGACGAGGCCCGAAGGTGGTGGGATGCCGTTCAACATTGGACGCTACAGTTCCCACGGGCAGTGGTGGCGCCCATTGCCACATCGCTAAGCACTTCCTCGCCTGCGACAGACGGCGACACGGTTGTGTTCCTCGGTTCCCGCGTCATACCTGGGTTGGAGGACATGCAGCGGGCCCATCTGGGCACCTTGGAGCAATGGAGCGCCGCGTTCTGGCTGGTTTTCTCGGCCGCCGAAGCGAACAAAGCCGCAGATCCGTTGCCATACCACCAGGCAGTGTCCATCCTGCTCCAATACATACTGTCACTGGTGTGCGTTCGATCGGTGTGTTTTGGTGACTCCGCTGCGTTGCAGGAGATGACGGCTGCCTTTCGGGATATTGTGCGGCTTGCGGAGATCATGGTCTCGAATCAGCCGAAGGGCCCGGGCAGCGCCAAGGTCTTCACCATGGACAACGGGCCGACCTTGGCACTGTTTGTGGCGGCTACCAAGTGTACCGACTTGGGCGTGCGGGCGGATGCCGTGGCGCTGCTGAACAGGTTCCCTAGAAGAGACGCCTTTTGGGACACGATGGCTGTTATGAATCTTGCAACATCAACCGTCAATCCCGCTTGCGACCAGAACTGATGTCATGTGGTACCGGTGTCTGGAGTGTTCTAGTTGCGATTGCCCATCAAGTTGGAAAGCCAATCGCACTGCCAGCTAGTAAGCCCAAATTTGGGAAGTAGCACACGGCAAGGCACGGCGTGATGTCCTCTCAAGGGAGATGATGGGCGGGCGAGAGGAGGGATGCTCCATTCGCCTTTCCTCGGGCGCAGGGGGGTATTCCTTTGGAACGGGGCCTGGCTGAGGTCCAGGACCGAGCAGCGTCACGCCAATGACCGCTATCGTCCTTCCGAGGCCGCGCATCATCCCCAGTCGCACTCGGTGGCCGCTCATCTGCCACCAATGCAGCCGCAGGGCCCGTCTCCTATGCAGTATGGCCCGTCCCCGATGCAAAATCTCATCCATGACATCCGCGCGGCGCATCTCCTCTACTCGTCGCTGGTCTTCGGCTCGGCGTGCGTCTTCCATGCGCCCATCATCAAACCGGCGAGATTCGGACGAGTTGCGGCGATATGGTGGTTCGATGCGAGGGGGGGTTGATGGGCGGCGATGTCGCACGTCATCCATGCGAGCGCGGCTCTCCTCAGTCGATGGCTTCTTTACTTCTCTCTCGTCGTCCCATTCCGCTGGAGGGGAAAGTGAATGGGCATCGCCTGGATACAGGCTTCGTAGATAGAACACGTCCGTTTCGCCACCCTGTTTGTTTTTCTTCTTTGCCTCTTCTTTTATCGCCCTGTTCCCCCATGGCGACCCTTTGATCTCACTTTTCTTTCTCGGATTGCCAAGCACATGATACAGCGTTATGGGCTTTACCGCAGGCGGCAACTAGGATGTAGTTATTATATTGTTAATATTGTTGTTTATGTTTCACCCCCAAACTATGCTTCCGTTATGTTCAAGTCGCAGGAAGACACCATGATACCGAACAAAATATGCCGTGGTTCAGAGCACCCAGGTCTACTTTAGAAAACTCCGAGGTATAACATAATAAAGACATTTTGGGCATCTCTATCCCTACACAACCTATACATAATAGCAACCAAGGATCCAAAGTCGCGGATGGTTTGGCGTGTGGCTCAATATCCTGGACCCGCCGAGATTCGTCCGTGTGCCTTTGAGTTTGCCACTTGCGGAGTGATCAGGTAGTTGTTTTGGTAAGTGACATGGTACCATTTCGGATTTGGATCAAGAGGGGCGAGTGTTTGGGACGTATCCAGGAAAAGGAAGGAGTTGAGCAAGCAAAATGTCCTAGGTCTTGTGTACATGACAAATAGCCCCCTCAAAAGCTAGTTTGTTATAAGAGGCGCGTTTGGCGGGTTGATGACATGTTTGTTAGCAGCGCAAGCCAAGGTACGGTTCTACAATTCCTCTGTGGCTAGGCCCACATATATAGTCCTTACCTCGGGTCTCGGCCTTCGGCCTTCTAGCAGGATCTTCCAGATCTACAGTCTAGCCCTTATATATAGGATCTTTCCTGCCCTCTGCATCATCTAGTTCTACAGAGACAATAGACATTACTCTCCTGCTCACACCTTCCTTCTCTTGTGCATCCTGCGCCTTGATTATTGCTAATGAGATGTTACTCAAAGAGGGCCTCATATAAATTTGGGGCAGAGCAACCGCGTCTCTCAAGTTGAGCGTGCAGGAATAGCTAACACCTGCGGCAACGCCGTCGCGTGGAACCCCGTAAATCAGAACATGTTCAGTTTATGTGGCGACGACGGAAAAGTCATACAATGAGCTCCTTCTAGAGGTCGAGGCTATTGCAACACTGCGTGCTCATTGGGAGAAAGAGAGAAGAGTTGGCATCCCTGTCGACCTGAGTGTGTGTCTGAGTGTGTCTGGCACACGAAGGTCAACTTCTTTGGGATTTGAAGATGATGATTTTGACCATTTGTCACCTTTTCTACCACAACCAAGCCATTTGAGGCCGTTACGGCCTTCAAATACATTTAAAATGGAGCTTGTATATAGATGTAGCTATTTTACGTATTATGATACTATTATTAATTTGTACTTATTGAAGGCTTTGTGGCCAACTGTTCAGCAGTTGCCTAGTTGATTTGTGCGCCTTCCAGTCCTTGATAGGGCAGTCAACCTGCAAGTCTCCCGCACGCGCGCCTGCCGATATCTTAGGCTCGGTGATTGCTATTCTTATGAGTGGGATAGTTGGCTTTTCGATGATGGGTTTGGCATTTTTCTTGTCCCGTTTGGAGGAGCGCCCGTCTACGGGGATGTCCTTGACTCTTGGAAACCGAGAGGAAAGAGGGTTAGCGCCTAGACTAGACTGGCGATTCGTTTGTTAGCCCATTGTGGAAGCAGGGTACGGATAGCTCGATGCTTTGGTCTAATTATAATGCATGAATCTCGGAATCTAACAACCCGATGACGTGAGATGACCTTGCTTTCGAGACTGTAATCACCAAAACCAAAACGCCTTTGAAACTAACCTCTCCAACTGGGGTGAAACTGGCCAAACTTAACACTGAGGCACTAACAACTGCAGTCCGATTGCATAGCCCTAACTAGATCACAAATTGTCGATCTCGGCGTGTCTAAAACACTTCCCTCGTTGTGATACTCAGGGATCAATTTAAGCCGGTAGCTAATGAAATCGTGAATTACCATCCCGCCACCCATTTACTTACCATGCAGTTCGGGCGCTCGGGTCAATAACCTTGAACCCGTCAAAATCGTCAAAAGCCCCGAAAACGCGTTTTCCGTGGTGTTTTCCGTTTTGAAAACTCCGTCGTACTCAGTCAGGCTCAACAAGGTAACTGCGGGCCTAGATTTGTACGAAATTTGGCGAAATGTTATAGTATACGGTTAGGGCAGTTTGTGGGATTATGATTTGTTGATATGGTGATGTATTTCCGTGATGTCGAGTCTTTTCGTCAGAGCGTCTTGTAGCCCTGACAAGTATCAACCTAGCCAGTTATATACCTCTATAGTCATCCCCCACAACATTTTCTAACCAAGTCCGGATTAGTCGCAGAGCCTGAGCGGAGGTGAGCTCGGGGGAGCGATCTTTGGCCCGGCTATAGTTACCATAATCTAAAATACGATGTGAGTTGCGGACCCAATTTTGGGACAACAGTCCACCAACTACCGTTTTCCTTCGCCTCTACAAGTAACCACCGTTAACAGACCCACTGAAACTGCCTTCGGCTCTTAGAGCGTAACTCTAATATATCTGAATTGAATTTTAGCTCCCTAGTAAACAGCCTCGTGCAGATATAACGTTCACCAACACAAACTAACTGTGTTGTAGAAAGGGAGTATTAGAAATAGTAGTATATGGGGGTGGAAACTGAAAGCATAACGGTACGCAAAGGAAGACGGGCAGGGACAGCGCAGCAAGTTGACCGTTAGTCACCCCAACGTTGTTATTTCGCTCCTCAGTAATGGAAGTACCACAGGAAGCGTCTGCCTAACCTCGGGCAGTGATTCGCCCACATTAAGCTAACCATGTCCATAAAGTCCTCGGTGAGAGTCCCCTCTACAAGGCACACTCCCCTCAGTCAGCTACCTTCCGTCCCTGAATTCGTCAAATCCGCCTTGCCCGTTCCTTTAGGATCAGCAGTTACTTCCTATACATACAGAGATGTATTAAGCCTATGATGTAGTTAGGAGATTACTTGGCCTGCTGCTAGGGCTGCGTAGCCTACGCTGCTGAGGCAGCAACACCTGCAGCCCGGTAGGCAGCCGCAAGTCCAGGTAATACCAGTCACTATATCAAGGCTCTCGACATTGCTAGCAACTTCACTGCTCATAGGTAAGGCAGACTAGAAGAGAAGCACTCCGGAGGTGAAAACATAAGCGGATCCACGTTGAGATTAAGAACTCTGGTCTATATCTTCTTAGAAATCTGTCCGCTTGTGAGTCTGCGTAACTTTGATTACGGCTACGTTACCACTACCAGAGACCTTCACCAGTTAGCTCGAAGCTTCCGCGGCCACGAAGCGGTTGATAATATCACACCTGTCGGCTATACCAAGGATTCACTAATTAGTAACAGGCTTCACCATGAAGGTGAGCAATGTGGACACTGTAGGTCCCGGAGTCACCCGGCGGGCACGGAAGCATGCGGAACTTAATGTAACTGGCTGTCATAACGCGTGGCTGGATGTCGCACGGGAGGTTGGGAGCGGATATCCTACGCGCCGTGTTATTTTAGCTAACCTAGTGACGGGGATTCCTTGACAGCGAATCCACGGTAATTGGAGGACAACTGGCCTATATCCTCTAAAGTCCAACCCCACTGTACACAGTCAGGTATTACACCCCGCATCTCGTTTCCGCTTTGGCCAGTAAGTCGTTAATATATCAGACTAGCGTTGAGACTCAGAGGACTGCGACGCTCAGGCAGCAGGCAGGCCCTCGTTGGTTTTAATCCTCTCAGCCCCTTGTGTAGCCCACCACTCTTTCACTGTCAGAAAGCCTATTGAGTTTAACTACTCTACGCGCCACTCGAGGCGGTGTGTGGAGGTTTGTAATACAATCGCATTCAAAAACAAGGTCCAAGAGCTGTCAATCCATAACCGTTCAATCTAACATATCTGCATCTGTCTTACCGTCATCTGTTGACCGTAGTAATACCATCCTCCCTATGTCAAAAATAAAGCATAACGGAGCCAAGCTCTGTGATACACTATCTACTAAACTAGAATTCTAGCTGCTCCGTTTCCCTTTCGCTTCTATAACGATAGGTTAAGTACAATGATACATTGCTAGTAGCTCAGTTTCGGTGAGAACTAGACGTCAAGTTTTCTGCCAGCAGAAAAAGATACGTACCACAACGGCAGAATAACTCCTCTTTTGTTAGGCTAGGTACGTACCCTTTCTACCGGCAGAAAACCCACGTAATTGTTAGTAGATCCCAATTCCCGCCCTTTGCGCCCAGTTCTGGTCTTTTTGCCGCTATGGGTACGTATCCTTTCTACCGGCGGAAAATTTACATCCAGGTCTCATCGCGATCCAGTTCTCGTCCCCTAGGCCCAGTTTCGGTCCACTAGTCCCATAGCTGTTTCATGACAGTTGCATGGCTCCCAACCTCCTGATCTCCTCAGTATCCTTTACTACCCTAAGCGTACTGAACTGGGGAGTGCGTACTTCTACAATCCTAGCGCCCCAGTCTCAAATCAGCACAAATAACGGAACCACAACTTCAATAACGTTTAAAGCAAAGCCAACTTTTACTGGCGGATATTCTGAAAGAAACACGGAGGAGTCAATCAGGGGTATCGTACAAAAGCTCGCGCAAACCAATATTATAGCAGATGGCTCCGCAACCAGGAGCGCCATAACGAGGGCTGCCGATAGCATTCATCTCTTGGAAAGCGACTGGCACGATCAAGATCAAGATGCTACGGTGCTGGCAGATATCAGGAGGGGATTCTGGCATCGTATTACCAGGAAAGTTATTTACAATATCATGAGTATAGATAATAGACTATTCGCCGTCCTCGTCCCGATCCGGCGGCTCAGAGCTCAACCGCCCGAGCAGCCGCAGCATCTTCTGCACCAGCTGCGTCGCATCGCAGTTCTGCTTGAAGGCGGTCCAGGCCACAAGCTCGGGCGCCAGGATGCCCATCAGTACCCAGCCGGCCTTCCTTCACATGTGCGGCCTCCTCGAGTGGCTGTCTTCCGGGAGGTTCAGGTGCACGGCCATCCACACGCAGAGCGCCAGCGTAATGAGGCATTCCGAGAGCAGCTGGTACGTGCCGCGGCCGGTTGGGCCCGACCTCCAAGCCGTGCCATGGGTCGCGACGCCGAAATCAACCATTTCGAGGTTATAAAGTTCGTCATGGGAAAGAGGAAGGTCGGAGAAAGGTCACAATCAGGCTCGGATACAGAGCCCGAGCTGAAGTATTGTGTGGTAGGGGCCTAGTGTTCTTGGCTCCCGCTTCGCCTCATCCTGTGTACTAAATATAGGATGCCAAGGCTACCTATGTCATCCCGGTGCGGTTATACATACTAAATTCTCCTATCGTCCTCCCCCAGCTTTTGTGTGCTCATAATCCGTCGCAAGAAGCTTACAAAGTCATCGACGCCTCGAGGCTCATTGATCCAGTGCCCGCCGTCGTCATACTCGTGCCATTCAATGCTTCGAAAGCTAAGTTTCCCTGCTAGAGTGTCCCGTATGCCCATGCTGTTTTGAACAGATATAACAGAGTCGTCTCGGCTGTGCTCTAGAAGAATGGGTATCGATCTGAGCTCTGGTACTAGGGCTAATACCACGAGCTCTTTTCCGTTCTTGACGCCATCGACGTAGAGCCGCTGGATGCTGGTAAACTGTTCTACGGGATCTGAATGTTGATGGATTATCGATGCAGCTTCATTCGCAAGCGGCAGCCAACTGCAGAGCCCACAGAGGCCGGCAAAACCCCCTCGGCCATCGGCGAAGAGTGCAGCAAGTGATCTAACCCGGGTTGGACGTTAGGATTCAATGGGGAACTAAGAGATACGAGAACGTACGTTGCAAACCCCTGGCTTATCCCACCGAGAAATATCTTGCCCCTCGGAACGAGCAGTTCCTCGTCCTTGATTATGTCGATGATGAGATCAACGCTCGAACGCAGCCCCGGGACTTGCAACTCGCTACGTTCTTGTACGTCCTCTAGTGACCACATGTCGAACCATTGTGGCATATCGGCATCGAATCGTTCCGAGCGGATAGTCCTTGCTTGCGGAAACACCCATCTGATTGTCGGGAAGAGTGCGGTCAACGTGCGATCCCCCGCAGGCGTGGCGTCCGTGGCCTCGCACTCGAAGAATTCCGAGGCGAATTCGCACGCTTGACTGTCACGGCCATGAAGAAGAATAATTGTGTGCGTGTGAACGCACCCCGCCATGGGGCCGATAACGTGTGGGGGTACAGACATTGTGTGGTATGGGTGAGAATGCACTGTAGTGAGGTGCGATGGTGATTTGCCAAGAAGTTCACTCATGTCTGGGAAGGAGCGGCTTTATATACAAACCTTAAAGTGGTACATGAACTTCAAGCCCTGTGGATGGCGCCTTACACCTTTCGGCTCGCTGGGGAAATACGCGGCTTCCCTAGTGATGCTAGCGTCCCACAAATCCGAAATGGTGACGGCTGTGATTGCGAGCTCCTTGGCCATTTCTCGAAGCTCTCTCCAGAGCATCACATCGCAGCATTACATCGCAGCATCGTACCAAAAAGCATTCTGATACGAACTTTTTTTTTGAGCATCTCGGTAGTCCAGCATGTCGTACTTCAGATTCACTGTCAGGAATGTACCGAAGCTGACATTACACCGTCAATACAAGCGATAGAATGCAGCTCAATTTCCCTGGCGCCAGCCCGCCTACCCCGACCGATACCGGCCGTCCCGCGCCAGCAGCGCCGCCCCCACCGCCAGTGTCTACCCAGACACGTACTGGCCCGACGATATGGGAACCACTCTTGGGGTGATTTTTTACCGTCCCACCGACCGACGCGATCCGAGGCACTGGGCCATCCATATCACCTCACCCACGCATCGCAGTACCATTCGTATGCGACCCCTCAAATATTAGCTGGGATGCAGGTACTGACTGGGTATTTCTGGCCAACGACAGATCAAATCTTTGACGACCATGGCGGCCGGGGCTACTATGTAGCCGAACAACGATGGAGTGTGCGGCCTCGGAATGCCCGTCTGTTTGCGGGATCCATTCTCGTTGGGCGGATTCGCTAGAGGCATGTGGATCGGGTACGGCGGATAATTCAACGCCGGCCGGCCAACAATGACTCCGGAACTTGGAACTGCCAACGCTGGATCGTGGAGATTGTTTGGCGGTTGAGAGAGTTGGGTCTGTTCCGCATAAGTCGGAACGGATATCACCGATTGTTGCGCCGCCGGGAACCCTACCAGTAGGCGACGATGGCCAGGCTTTCCCGAGGGTTTCTTGCGGCAGACACGGATGAAGTCCTCGACACCACGGCCGGACGGTTCTTTGTCGCAAGGTCAATGACTCTTGTAAAACCCGAACTCCCAGGCCAGAAACACAAGTGGCATCCGAAGCAGGTCCTTGGACGCAAGCACGACGCTCGGATCGACACGGACACGCACCTCAAGTTCATCTTCACGACGGAACATGTCGGATCGCTCACTCGACTCTAACATGAGCTCGACGTCTTTGTGGAACACGAAATCGTCTTCGCAACGGGAAATGGCGACGTTGGGCTGGGCACGCTCGGCATGCGCGGGGGCGATCTCGTCTCTGTCCTGAAAAGACTCCGGATGCTCGACATCATGCGACGCGGACATGACAGGAGTAGTTATGTTCTCGTTGGGAAATGTTACCTGGCTGGGCTGATGGATGAAGAAATTCTGCAGAAGCTGGGACAAGGGACAGCGAGACGATAAACCTTGCACATTCATTGACGGGTTGGCCCCGACGAGGGATATTGTACACACCCGACTAAGATAGAAGAGACATATAATTTACTGCCTACAAGATCATGGGATTGGTGTCACGGATGTCAACTATCAACGAGTCAAGGCTACGCCACAGGTGTGATCGATCGCATTAAATTGCAAGCTAAAAGAGTAAAAAAGAAGAGGAAGATGATCTCGGTGGAAGAATTCCAGTCATGTTGGAATTCTGCCGCCCAAGTGGGTCTCCTATAGGTCACCGCTCAAAGCGGTGACCGTTCCAATCCACGGATGCCATTGGGTGGATTGAACACCACGAGGCACTCCGTAACAATTGGCATGGGATTGATCTCGAAGATTCTAGGGATCTTGCTGTCACGTTCTTGGCACGCGCAAGGGTGCACAGCACAATCCGGGGCCTATAAACCTATCGATACGCAGGCCCCCACCTTGAAGGCAAGGAGGGAAGGGAAAACCCGTGTCACTGAGGGGTTAATGTGCGCACCTCCGTACTATTGGGCTAAAGCGTGCCTAGGCCGACTGGCCAATAGGAGGCTGTAGGTTCCATCCCTACAGGCGCGTCGACTAGGAGGAACTAGTCAGGAGCGTTCCAGCGTTCCGTCGTTCCTGGCACGGAACACTGGAATACCGGGACCAATAAAACGGCGCGCCGGCGTTCCGGGGCTTTGAGCCCGGAACGTCGGAACACTAGATATATATAAGATGCCGTAGCCACGGCCTGTGATAGACTTGATCTTACGGGTAGTGAGGTCAATCATACCATCAATACAATCGGTTCACAGTATCTTTTGACTACTGCGATCCTAGTGATCCAACGAGCACTTGTTACCTTTGCACGCACGCATACTTCTAGCTATCCGTCTTAGTTGGACCCTCATCAGGTCACGGGTTACTAGGGTTGTCACACTTGCTTGAAAGCTTGGGGGATTTTGTCCAGAACGTCCGGAGAATCCGGTAGATTCCTCAGTTCATGCTAACATAGTAAGGCGAAGTAAGGAAAGGGCGGAGGGAAGAATATTATCGATTCCTTATTGCTTTCTTGACGATTTCTCCGTTATATACTGGAAGGTGTCAAAAGGAAGGGGTCAACCCTGGGCATCTAGTCAGCGGAGCTGACTGGCAGCCTGGTATAGCTAGGCTGTCAGAATGGCCGAGCCACTGAACAGACGTAATACCCGTCATGCAACAAAGTCTATAAAGAACAAGATCTCTAGCGAAGCCAGAGATCAAACAATAAGCAATACAATCACTTTGAACCCTTTCAATCTAAGGTGCTGTGCTTCTGACACCTTATAATGGAGACCACGGCCAGATCCCGCCCGTTAAGTAGACTCGATGTACTTTCCGACACGTGCAGAAGAACAGACAATGGTAAGTAAATCCGCCCAGTCGTATACTCTTGTTGCAGGCTTGTCGTATACCGCCCAATCGTTCCCCCATAACTGCCTACCCAAATGAAGAAAGTGGTCTTCGTGCCATATCTTCTTTTTCGCTTATTCTCCACCATCTTTTTGCCTGCTGCCTTGATTATCTCAGGTAACTCGTACTTAATAAACCGTTACCGAATAAATTAACTTAGCCTAGCCATTAAGGAGGAAATAGCATAGTATACGTACATTCGTAACTGAAAGCGTAATGTTTTTAGGGAGAGCATCATTTTCACGACCCCAACCGGCCATAAACTGCTTCCAATATACCATGACGGTTCCCTTTGATGGGTCCGGGTCATCCTCCGCCCCGTCAATACTAAATACGACATCTTTCATAAAGTCCTTCAATGACAAAAGGTCGGAAACGCAGCGCCGGGATAGTCTTCGGCATACCTGAATGGATGGAAGGTTAGAAAACATACCATTAGTAGAATTGGTGGATCATACTGGTTCCATAGGTCAATTATACGGCGATAGTCTCCTGATACCTTCTTCGTCGTTTTCTTACGGACTGTAGAGCCATCTATTGCTTCCGTGCAGTTCTCCGAGCCCTTCGCCTTTCCTCGGCCGAAGAACTCTGCAGCGCTCTTCTTTCGCGGCATTGTCAAGGTAGGTATGATATGGAGTAAATTCAACTCAACGTAAGGTGGAAGAGTGAGGGCTGGTAAGGTGCGATAGGGTACGAGGAGAAGTACAGACACAAGGGATACGCGAGAGAGGAGAGAAGAATTGTGTGGTAGGTGGTAAGGAGGATCGAACTGCCTCTTTATCTAACCGGCGCCTGGGAAAGAGCAGTCGTGCGGTAGGTAGTAAAGGACAGATTGAGCTGCCTTTTATGGCTGGGAAAAGATCAGTTGCGCAGTAGGCAGGCATAACTACCACAACGCAGAACCTTAAAACGGAGAGTGAATACGCTATCTACGAAGTCGCTTTTTGGGGCTGCCGTTTTTTTTCTCCCAGGCGGGGACCGGAAATGGGCCGGCGCCATCTGGCCTAAAACCTGTCCCTCGTCGCGTAAAGTTGACAATTTTGTGGTAAGGTGAGCTGGGGGTGAGTAAGAGTGAGCCGAGCGTGAGCCGAGGGTGAAGCGAGCCTGATTTTAGGCTAACCAACCTCAGATGCGGCTCTTTTTTTTTTTCAGAGACCGACTACCTAAGTATAAAGCCCCGCAAAGGCTTGTTGGCCGTTCTTGGCCTTAAAATAACAACTATGCGTACCAATGCCAGCACACGAAGGTGTAAATAGTGTTGTTTTGACTTCGCCAGGTTTCCTTGTTATTTGGTAGGCCCTTCTCTCGCATGAAATTGGTCGGGGTTGAGGTGACCGAGGCGGTGGCGCTGATGACGCCGAGGATGCTTGCGGCGGCCGAGATTAGCTCCATGCCTGGCCTAGTTAATTATGTCGCGGGGGCATTGAAAATAAATAGCTGGTGGGCTTAGAGCTAGACCTGTCTTAGCCGGCCTTATTCCTGGCCATTAGTGCTCATGGAGTGATGCAATGTAATTAAGCACCAGAATGGAGAAGTGAGTCGCAAGCAGTGCAGATACGCGTGTTTACGCAACAAATAAAATAAAGCATATTTCTAATTAGCCTTTGGGGATATATTAGACCATCAAAAATAAACACCTTCCAAGTCTCTCCTCCTCGTGCAATTTCAAACAGCTAGATAGTCCGGCACCTCGGTCTTGAGTAGATTTGCAACGGCAAAATGTCTGTTCTCCTCAGCCAGATCAATGGCATACTCAAATCCCGTTCCCAAGTGCACGTTGCCCTTCGCCCCGGCATTGAGCAAATCCTAACGGCGTCCAGACGCCCGTGTTCAGCAGCCCCTTCGATAGCATACCGGCCATCCTTAAAAGAGGCCATAGCATTAACGTCTGCTCCTTTTGAGACCAGGAGCTCCACTATTTTGATGTCGCCTGTTATTGTTGCTGCTTGGAGCGCCGTGACACCGCGGCTTAGGCTTGCCTCGGCATTGACGTCGGCGCCACGATCGAGAAGGAAATTGATGAGTTTCGTTTTAGCGGGCCCAATATCCTGTTCACAGGCAGCTTGGAGAGCAGTGCGTCCGAATCAATAGCCGGGGAGCTCGTTAACGTTGGTCCCGTAGTCCAAAAGCATCTTCAACGCATCCATGCGTTGCTTTGATGCCGCAAGTTGTGTGGGTGTACAAGACCTGAGTAACTCGGGATCGTCCTCTAAACCCTCTTCGTCGCACCATATGTGGTTTGCAATTGTTCCATATTGTGGCTCGAGGCATCTGGCAAGAATCTTGTCCCAGCCATTGGCAATCACTCCGTGAAGCACGGAGCTCGGCTCTCCTTTTGGCCGGTTAACCTCGGCTCCAGCATCTAACAGTTCACCACAGAACATTTCGAGCTCAGAGTCGCGGGTAAAGGAGTGGCAGCAGGCTTCGATTGCCGTGCACCCCCGTATCATGGCTGGGGGCGCGGAGATGTTAGCTTTATGGCGGATCATTATCCTGGCCACTTCTAACCGGGCTTTGGACTCCAAAGCCGCCTGTAATGCCGTCCGTCCACCGTTAGGAAAGGCCGCCGCATTGACATTCGCGCCTCGATGGAGCAGGAATGAAATCATTTCGATGTTCGCCAAATGTACGGCTGTTTGAAGAGGATTAAGATACAGGCCAGGCGTGTCGATGTTAACTCCGAAACGTAGCAGTGTGTCCGCGTGATTAATGTTTTGGTCGTTACATTCGGCAACGGCGACAAGTGCGTTCATTCTTTCCCAGGGATCTGTCTGCCGGCAGAGACGCTTTCTCAGGACACCGCCGTCCTGGAGACGCGCCGCTAGATCTAGAAGACCAGGCTCTGTCAGGCCCGCTTCGTACTCTAGGAGTAAATCGACTAATCCCGGCTTTCCAAGTTCCAGGGCTGTTCTAATTGGACGTTTGGCCAATGTGAGACCGTTGGGATCTACTCCGTGCTCGAGCAATGTTATTGCCGCAGCGTAGTAATACCCGTCAATGTTCTCCTCCAATCCTCCATAGCCGCTGATGGACTCCTCTAATGCCTGCTCCATCTGAAGCTGCGATACCCCTTTGGAATGCTTCTGAACATACACCGCGAGAGCCTGGCCTCCTGAGGTCGCAGAGTGCAATACATCCCCAAGTAGTACACATGGTGATGCTGGCGCCACGTGCTTGAGCAAAAGTTCACATATCCGCTTGCAATGGATCGAGGCCCACTGAACCATCGGTTTCCCCTGAATGTTGTCAGTGAGCAATAGGGTGGGGTGGTGATTGAGCATCAAGGTAACGACATCGGTCTTCTTCCTGAAAACTGCGCGCGTGACAGGACAACCACCAAATTGTTCGTCAAATTTCCAATAGGAGCGTGCTAGAATGTCTGCACCAGCCTCGATGAGAAATCGTGCTTTCTCAACTTCATTATCGTCAATGGCTGTGAGGAGAGCGGTCCTGCCGTTGCAGTCTCTAGTATCGACAGAGACTCCATTGTCCAGTAGAATCTTGGCCAAGTCGAAGAGCCTAGCACGAATCGACGGAACAGCCTCTCACCCACATCTTTCTTGAAGTACTTGGGATCCATCTTCACAAGGACGCGTCTGGTGAAATCATGGTTGCCGATTGAGGCTATGTCCTCGGCGATGCTTCCGAAGTCCACGCCGCGGCCCAAAAGCTCGTTAAGCACCGGAACACTCTTGATGCGGATTGCTGATTCGAGGACATATTTGGCAAAAGCATGGACTGTGGGAGTTTGTAATTCCATGAAACGTTGGAAGAAAGCCAAGTATTGATGCTTGATGATCTATCGAAGAAATCTGTCCATTTTCGCCCCTTCAAGACCATTGTTGGATGCGAAGAAAGCGGTGAGCGCGAAAAGCGCTGGTAGTGCATTTGCAGCGGGGGACGAGGTATCCAGGATCCGCTCGAGTTTTCCAGAGAGGTCACCTTCTCTTCGCTCAGGGATGAATCCCTGGAACTGTGTGGCAAGCTCCGCAACACGTTGGGCGGGGGATCCAAGAAGATCTGAGAGCACTTTCAGTCTCTCGACGAGACTGTTAGAGGACGCGGCACCCTGAGAATCGTGAATTCTCGCTAGAGAAGGTATATTACGACGCCAGCTATGATAATCTATCTATAGGGTTAGCGGACATGAACCTAGGAGCAGACATCCTCGTAAGCTTACCAGGCTGTTCCTCAATCACAGCCAGAACTTGAAACCATGGTAGATTTGCGATTTGCCTTTGGTGCAAATCAACACGAATATTAGCATCTACGACGTTAATACTGAAAGGGCCAGCAAGCGATTGGACAGGGCTTGCCCCAATCGACCGAGACCGAGGATGTGAAGGCGTGATAAAGTCGTCCCAGAGGCCCAACGCCTCTTGAGGTTCACATTGCACTGGACTAGTGGTTCTCCAGGAAACCATAGGACTGGCTGCTTACAGTGGTCATCAGCGAGATTCGTGGAGCATGTTCAACCTTACCGTGATTACTTACCAATGGCAAGCCCAAAATCGGGCCACTCTCCAGGATCGTCAGACATCATTGTGTACATTGGGGGAGAAACGAGGAAACTGTTGCCAGTCCAGTATCCACCCTGAATTGCGCTTGCTCGAGGATTTGAGGGCCGGTAGGGCTTGGCGGAGCAGATGCTACAGCGAGTGGCGGCGGTGTCCGAACGGTAATCCTGCCATTCTTGACATGACGTTGTCTGCTCTCTTTGGGCATGTCAGCCATTTATTTGGACTTGACTCCTTTGCCGTGAACTCACGATTCGAGGGCTGTTTGGTAACCCCGGATCTCGCAGTTCAGACGCGAGAAATCCCACGGCTGATGCGGCCCGGCGGAAGAGGTTGACCATGAAGACAAGGCAAAGACAGCTTTCCGAGGGCGTCTCGGCTCCTGATCTCCTCCTCGATGTACGCCCACTCGTCTTCCTTGACGTTTTTGAGACCAGGGAAGCGATATTTGTACTGTCTCTCACTGGTAATTACTGGTCAGCTGCAAAACATGGTCAGAAAGTAGGAGTGCGTGCATACGTTGCCGTGAAACAGTGCTTCTCGCTCATTTCCGCGGCAACTTCCTTCCATGTTCTGTTTTGCGAAATGAACAGGATGCGGATCTGGGTTTCGTGCGTCTCCTAATCGAGGGATGCACCTTCATCATCATCTAGAGCCATCAGTCTGGGTTCGCTGCTACGACTGCTAGTGGCGCGATGTCGGTAGGTGATGGCGGCGATTAGGTGCACTAACGGGGGGATAGGAACCTATGTAAACGAAAGATCCAACCCCCAATTCCATCGCAGTTGGGCACACCACCGTTTTCGGTCAGCCGGGGCTGTGTACCGCCTCCCTGCGCGTGGGCTTGGCTTGTCCTTTTCTTATCCTTCTGGTATGGCCAATCAGCGAATGTCATCCAGAAGGACGCGACCCGCGCTCGAGTGAATGGGGGCGGTGACGCGCAGTTGCCTAGGTTTGCCTTGTTCGGAGAAAAGAACCCAATCAAGAGAGACCACGATAAAATCGCCGCTGTGGGGCCAGGAACCAATGGGTTGACCAGAAACCCACGGGAGCAGCGAGGGAGAGGCGCTCAAGGCTCAAATGGCTTGCATGAATTTCTGTGCTTGACTATTCGTTGATGCTACAATATCACTGGACACCCGACGCTCAGCAAACAGCAACCATATATATAATATGGAAATGGTGCGCTCCCCAAGAGGCTCACTGGCAGTCAGTGCACACATGCAGTCCCCCTTTCTGATAGGAAAGTAAAAGGTAGAGCTCAGAAGCCGTAGGCCTAGACCCTTGGGCTCCTGGGCTGCCTTTCAGCCCGTCCTGGTTGGTCAGCAAGCCCAACCTAGACCTACCCACACCTCACCAAAAGTACACCAGGACCGTCAGTCGGTCCAAGGTACCCTGTCAATGATCACTGGTGCCATGTCCGAAAGAACAAAATTTGGCAGCAGTGTCTCAACTGCGCACTCAAGAGGCACTCGGTGTGCGAGATATTTCCCTACCCTTAGGCATAAGCATAAAGTCACCTCCAATTCCCTCCTCTGTAACGATCATCTTCCTCCATCAAAGCATAATCCTGCTCCCCTTGCACCCGAGACTCACATACCAGCCTCCGTCCAACGCGACATCTGTTTCCCAGCCTCCGTCCAACGCGACATCTGTTTCCCACTCTCCAAAGAACCATTCCAGATATTTCTTATCCTACCGTCACACAGAATATCCTACCGCGAACAAGATATTCGAAATGCCCGAGCCATCGTCTTCTTTCTTCTCAATGGTAGTAGAAACCTCTTGGTCTCGCTCCCCAGCCGTCACGAGGTAATTCATCTATTCTCCTCTACTGCACACTCGCTTCCCTGCGCTTCCTAGTGGATATGCCCACTGCCCACTGCCCACTACCCACTGCCCACCGCCCACCGCCCAATGTCTTCCTTCCTTCCTTCCTGGCCTCGGCAAAAATCCCCATCTCACACCCTTCTGCTCCAGAATAGAGAACAACCCCACATCCCAGACCGAGTCCAGCAAACACGAGACCAGTGTGCCATCTAAGAGCAAGCAGCCCTCTACCATGTTGGCACGATGGATCTACGACGTCAGGGATGTGCCTGTCAGCGAGCGGCTCCAGAATCCGGATGGTCATGGTGCTTGAAATAGGGAGATGGCTGAGTGACGTTTTTGATCATGTCCTGACTGTACTGTACTGTACTGCCCAGAGTATTTGGTCAACATGGTGTCGTTTTGGAAGCCAATTCTCACTCCGTTGGATGGATTTGTACGTCAGAATAGTCTCCTCTCATCACACATAAGGACAGATAGCTTCAAACTCCACCGTTCCCAAAATCCAATTCCTCGTCTCTGCAAACTTGTCAGCAAAACAATCAAACAACAGTCTAGTCGACAAAGACGCCCGGCCATGCCATCGTGAGCGCTTCGTAGGCGCGTTGTAGTCGGATTGGGTTTGGCATTGAGGAGGACTACACTACGACGGTAAGGAATTTGGAGATCTCACTAGCTCCGCAGCTCTATCATGGGGCGGCATTCTCTCAGTACCCTGTCTGTTGGCTTTTTGGGACTGCATAGCCGTCTATCCCTGTGTAATTCTCTGAGCCCTTTGCTTTTCTCTGGTGAGAGAACTCCTTAGGGCTCTTCATTCTCGACATTGTAGACGCGGGCATAGCATGAGCTAAAGATGCGATAGAAAAAGGTGGTGAGGTGTGAAAAGGTAAGGAAGAATATGGGTGTGGCTAGTGGCAGTAGAACGGGGGAGTAGAGTCATGGGGGACATGAGAGAACAGTCGTGTGGTAGGTGACAGGTGGTAGGTGGTAGGTGGTAGGTGGTAGGTGGTAGGTTGGATCGAGCTATTTATCTAGCTAACTAGGAGAACAACCGCGTGGTAAGTAGTAGGTAGGATAGAGCTAACTGTATCTTTATGGCTATGAAAGGAGCAGCTGTGCGGTAGGCAGGCAGAACTACCATAACACGGAACCTTAAAACGGAGAGTGAATACGCTGGCTACTGAGCCCATTTCTTGGCCCGTTTTGAGGGCGGGGGGCTTGTTTTGTTGGAGAGAGGGGGGATTTTAGAAATGGGGCCGCCTCTATCGAGCCCTATTTTGTCCCTCCAAGGGAGGGAATCCTAAAATCGGTCCCGTAACAGAGTCTCGTCGTGGTATAGTGAGCTGTGGTGAGCCGAGGGTGAAGCGAGCCTGATTTTAGGCTAATTAGCCAGTTTCGGATGAGGCTCGTTTCTATTTAGAGACCGGCTACCTACCTAGGTACCTTGCATACCTACCAAAGGCGTTTACTGGCGTATCCCTAGCAGCTCGGAGTCTGTGTTATCAACATTGTTTGTAGTTGATGATAAAAAAGGGGGTTGCTATTTTAGTAACAAACATGCTTAACTAAGACTACCGCTTCTACTCAACCATTCGCGATCGGGATCGTGGGGAAGCGAAGGGAAAGTTAGGGAATCCCGTAGAGAATCCCGTAATGAGCAAATGAACGACGAGATATCCCCTGATAGGGCAAAGGCGACTTGGTTGAGTAGGAGCGGTAATCAATTATTACTCCCACCCACAGAACCTGCCCAATGCGCCCAGGGCCTGAAATTATCTCTGGGGACTCCCTCCATTGTGTTGGCCATCGCGGCTATTGTCGTCTCAATCGTCTTCTATATTATGTTCTTCAGGGCAATGGACTTGGTTGACCAAAGGTTCTTTACCCCATTAGAACACGCTACATCTGCCCTTGCTGCCACCGTATCCTCCCTTGCCCACGGCATGTCCGCGTTTGGCAGCGCCGCATCGGCGTTTGTCACCCACGTCTGGCTTATCTCAGCCTCCGTGTCAAAGGTGTGGGCTCAAGGGGGGGAGGGGGCGGTGCCTAACCGGATCCTCCGCGAAGCCATTGCCACCACGTCGGCTGCGGGCAACGCGGCAACGTACTTGGCCAACGAGATCGAGACCCTGCAGCATGCACTGGCCGCGGCCAACATCGACATCCTCCCTTTCGTTGCTGCCCCGACGGGCGAGGTGGCGGCGGTGGAGCGGGGAATAGACAGGTTGCATAGGAAGCTAGAAGAGTACATTCCGAGGGAGCTTGCTCAGCTCAACAACATTGCGAGAGCGATGGAGCACATCGTGGAGGACCTTACGGCCATGCCAGGAAACAGCCCAGATAGCCCGGGCGAAGCTAGTTCGGCCGCAGAGAAGCTCACGTCAGGCCAAAAGGAGGCGAACTATCGCAAGGTGGTGCAGCGACATCTCAAAGACTTGATCAAGCTGGTGGCCACGACGGTGCAGCACCGCGAAGGCGCCCGAGAAGACCCGAGATGGACCAAGAAGCAAGTCGGAAATGCCGGCGATGCCTTTGAAGAACTCGACTCCGATATCGTGGAGGCCAAAGGCATGGTCGAAGGAAGCTTAATCGATGCGGGAGGTCATGGGGACAGCAGCGTAATGAGCCAAGGAAGCAAGCAAAAGCTCATTTCTGACCTTGACGACCTTGGGAAACAGATCTGGCTGCAGCACGCCGAGACGAAGGCGAGGGAGTCCCGAGCTGAGAAGTTCGCCGCCGCCTGTCATCTTGAGGTGAAGGATCTCAGGTATCTTCAGGAGGATATGGTTCTATTGCGAGAGCGGGTGGCATATGGCGAGACGGGAGTGGTAAATGCGGCAACACAGGTGCTCGACTCGGTCAGGCTCTTGATCAAGGGCATCAAGGAGAAACACCTGTTATCTTAGTGGTATTCGTTTGAACTGGTAGTCCGAAACTGATATGGATTTCATTAATGGTGTCCCCCCCTCCCATCCCAATCTATTCAAATAAGTCAGGTGACCAGCTTTTAGACCAACCCCCTTTTAGACCACGCACTAAAATCGACACCCCACCACATCATAAAATTCAATTGCTCACAGCTTCGTCAATTAGATAGCTACGTTAATACAGCTTGCAGTGTCAGATTCCGCTTCTTCTGAAATTTCAGAGTGTATAACATTCTTCCCAGCAGCTAATTTTTGTGCGCGGCGGATCTCAATACCAGCAAAGGCCTTATTGGGGTCGATTTCCACCCTCCTTCTCTTCCGGCCTCTCGCACGTTCGAAGTCTTCCTGGGCCGCTTGCAATTTTCGTTGAATGGTAGCCAATTGGAAGGCCATGTTATCGAATTTTTTGTAGGCTTTCCGCATAAAAAAGCCGTTCGCTGGCAGTACGTTTAGTACCACGTAGAAAACGCTCCCCCTGAGCCGAGAAATCCTTGGCCTTTTTAGGGATAAACCACAAAGGCCGGCCCTCCGAATTCTTGCCCAGAATGGAGTTATTGAACGACTCAAGTCCTGCAGAAGGTGTGGGGGCTACCGTACTAATGCAGCCATTGGAATTCTTAATAACGAGGCTGTTGCTTAGGGGCTTCCTTAGGGAGACTGGCCACAACCCTGAGGCCTTCCAACCAGCCTTGATATTTGACTCGGTCATTCCGTAGATTCTGGCGCGCCTATAGCATTCTAAAAAGGCCCGTTTTGCAGCTACAGAGTCGCTGGTTAGGCCAGAAAGCAAGTCATTCAGCTGTGCCCTGTACTTAGCCTTCAACGGGCCGAAAACGGCTACATCTACGGGCTGGAGAACGTGAGAGGTGTGGGCTGGCAGAAATAATAACTATACATTGTTGGTAAAAGCCAGCCACATAAATTCCTCAGTGGTATGACTGCCGTGGCCATCCAAAATAAGGAGGCGTTTCTCCTAGGGTTGGCTGGCCGAGTGGCTGGAAGAAAGACTTTGCGGAGCTATTCGACGGCAGTGTCATCGTCAGTCCACCCATTTTGGTTGGTTTGAAGGCCCAACCTTCGAATGGGGTCAAATCGCGTGGGTACCACTATTGCTGGAGGCTCGCACCCTTGAAAATAACCAGTGGGTTCAAAAACCGGCCGTCGGCCGAAACACACTCTAGAATGGTCGTCCAAATTCGGTCTCCAGACTTCTTCTTTTGTAAAAGCTTTCTAGACTTGGAGCCTACAACCAGACCGTTATCTCTAATGCCATTAGCTATGCCAGTTTCGTCTATATTGTACCTGTTCTCCGGCAGAATGGCCTTAACCCCTAGAAACTCCAGGTAGTCAAACCAGGGCCGAATAACGACCTCGCAGGCTCGGTCAGCACGGTTTGCGTGGATTCTCCGTGGTCTGTTGGTAGAAATGGAAGTATTTCGGTGTCACGGTAGGTGTAGATAGCTGATTAGATTTGGGTAGTGGTCCGTGCACACCATAACCACGTGACCCACATCACAACCCACTTCCCCTGCGCCCGCCTAGGCCTTGGAAGCTTTCTTTCCTTTTTCCTTCTTTAGCTTTAGATTCTACGAATACAGCAACCACATTGCAGCCCTGCCTCTCTACAGTTGACTGTGCGGTGACATTCGGTTCAAAAAGCGGCGGCACCAGTGCTTTCCAAGGTGGGTTGGCTCTCCAGAGGCGGCGAGTATTCTGGTACCCAATTTCCGGATTTGCCTGTGGGTTGGGGGTTTGCCAATGACCCCCTGGAAGAGAACCCACTCTGTGAGACGTTCTTCCAGTACCGGAGAAAGCTTCTGATTGATTATATGGGACTCTGTGGCTGGATTGGTGCCTTTGGATCGGTAATATAAAGTGTTGTGGGGGATGCTGTGGTTTTTGGCCGCATCGCGGAGTTTGCCAGTTTTAGTATACTCCGCAAGGGCGGTCTACAAATCGAACGCGGTACATGGTTTCATTTGAAAATTCTCAAGCTATTGAAAAAATAGGAAACGGATTGGAATCAAATTCGTGAAGTTGTGGGCGATTGAAATAGAAGAGTTGGGTGGCAAGGGTTAGTCATCCTTCTAGAACCTTGTGGTCTAAAATGGGGTTGGTCTAAAAGCTGGTCACCTGACTTACAATCGTTAGTCACCTAAAAGAAATGCGTCGTCGACAACAGCTACGCTACCAGGAGAAAACAGGAACCTACCTGTTGCCTGCTACTCTAGGCAACAGCAGCTGTAGGCCGAGAACCCTACCACAAGGAGAAACAAAAAGAAACGAGAGACAAGACACTTGGAAGGAAAGGTTTCCCGACCCAGACCAACTTGAACCGGCAACAGAAAAAAAGAAAAGAAAGAACATGACCCATCCACACTCCAAATAGTCAACCTCAGTCACGGCCTGGGGCTATGCCAAAGAGCATTTTGGGCGACCAGTCACTGCGAAGCCTAGTACGAACCCTGGCCCCGACCTCGTCCCGCGTCAGGCACGTCCTGGTTCCTTCCTCGTCGGCATGCACATCAATGTAGTCCTCCTCGTCGTCCGCCGCTCCTCCTCCTCCTCCTCCGTGCTCGAGGTCATACTTGCGCCAGGCTAGTCGCGACGCCTCTTCCTGTTCCGCAAGCGTGGCTTCCCGCCGGCGGATCGCCGACGCCTTCTTAGCCGACAGCAGCCAGTACGCCTCCTCCATGCCCTGGAAGAGCGTGTTCGCAGACGGCACAAAGTACGCCACGACAACCGGGGTGGCGGCGGCAACAACCACTCTGCTGTCGGTGTGAGGCGGCCCGTCCCTATTGCATCCTCCGCAGTCTGCCCTCCATCCCAGGGTCACCCACGCTGCCGTCGCGTCGGACCCTCCACCTCTCGTCTTGGGCCTCTTTTTCTTCTGGGCCGACAAGGAAGCTAGTTTCTGCTCCAGCAGGCCCAAGGACGACTCGATGGTCTCGGTGCGCGCTTAACTTTCGGCCACGCCGGCCCGGGCCGCCTCCAGGACGCGCTGCAGCCGAGCCATGTCGCCGACGGCGCGTCGCGTCGCCGCCGAGCTATACCCGCCGGCCGTCTCGTCGCCGGTCCACCACCTGTGGAAATCGAAGCCGCCGGTCCACCACCTCGCAAGGCGGTCGCGCGATTCGTCCCCGCCACTTGCGGCCGCCTGGGAGCGTAGATCCTGTGGGACGATGCTGGATATCAGGGCTATGGATTCCGCTGCGGTCCTGGCATGGGCTTGGATGGTGTGTAGCCGGCGAGTCATGTTGGCAGCGAGGGGCAAGAGCTTGGGAAATGACGGGTCAGCAATAGCGAGCAGGCGCAGCGCCGTCTCGTTATCAAAGGTGTGGTTGAAACCGTCCAAGTCAACGCCACTCTTCTCCAGCGGGGTAGATTCATACGGCTGGTTCTCGTGCCTGCCAGTCGTCGTCTCCTCCATATTACCCCGAAAGCGGCTGGTGTTGTATCCAGCCAGATAGAGTTCCCAGATCGGTTGCTTGAGCCATCTTCGCGCGAAGTGGGAGAGGAGTTCGGCCCACTCGGAATCAAAGCGATCCATGCTGTTGTCGGCGTCGTGGCATGCTGCTGTCGGCGTCGTGGCATGCTGCTGACAAAGTCTCCCGAGCAGCAGCGCCGCCGGCGTTTGGCGTGCTCGCTAAGATAAACGACAGCTGAGCGCACAGCTCTGAAATGGTTATGTGTGGGCCGGGTAGGCCGTGGAAGGCGGCGTAGATATTGTCATGGTCGCTGTGGCTCGTGCTGCTGCTGTGAGGGCTTTCGTCGTCGGGCATTAGGGGTTCTATCACCTCGGACCATAGCCCGAGCACTTCCCAGGCCTAGTCCCAAAGCTCAAGTGGCTGAGTCTCGACGGCCTGCCGCCAGAGAAACTGGCTGAGGCCGTCGTTGCTGTTGCTGCCAGAGGCAAACCTCTCGGCGATTCCCAACGCAATGCTTGTCAGTGAGGCTACGACGGCGATGACAGTTAATAGGCGATGCCAGCTCTCGCCGGACTGCCTATTATTAGTATCACGGCCAGTGATAGGATTAGGCGGCAGCCGAATGGCGCCTCCATCATGGACTGCAAAGTACCTAGGGTTGCCTTCGCCGTCTGGAAGGAACTGGTTCAGATAGCTGCCTCGGAATGCAGAGACGCCGTCGCGACTTATATGAAGCGATAGGGCCTCTGGGGTGAACAGCCATGAGGAGTGGAAAACGAGTTCGACTGGCTGGGTGCGCGGTGGTCGAGAGCTGGGCTTTAGCTTTTTGCTGCGAGTGTGGCCGGAGGGGAGGCAGACGTGGAAGTGCACGAGGCTGAACGGGTCTTCGTCGAACGACAGAAACTCGTCTGCAATGCTAGTCTCATTGCCGATCTAGACGAGCCCGCCGTCCGTTTCGCCCCTTTCTCTTTCTCTTCCCGAGCTAGTTAAGATATCAGCAGCAGGCGCGTGCACGTGAGCACGAGACTTGTTGGCACCCTTCTTCGCCTTCGGGGCGTCTGCGACTTGGCTACCATGGTAAAGCACGAGCCATAAAACGAGCGCTGCAAGGGCCAGAGCCTGTAGTCCAACGATGATGGGCGATAATGTTGCCAGTCCAGGCCCCAAAGATGCTAACATGATGTCCAAGGCACCTAAGGCAATGTAGGTAAGGTAATTAATTACCTTTGGCAAGGTAGGTGACTAGTTAACTACAATCGTTGTTAAGCTAGGAGTAATTAGCCATTTGCCATTCATTCGTGAGATTGTGTGGGCTCAAAAAGAAAACAGCTCACAGGGAGGTCCACCACACGCAAACGGTAAAGGACGGGAGAGTTCTGGAAAATAATGCAGCTCTTCAAGTTGCTTTGTTCTGGCGACGGGTGCCTTACAAAGAAAGGCAAATCGGGCGCCTGCTCCAGCAAGACAGCTGGCCCGGGTTAGGTAAAAAAACCTCGGATCCCTTAAGCCGCGTAATACCGAGCGCAGCGAGCAGCCCGCCGCAGGCGCCCCCGGAGGGCAGCCGGAGGCACCGTTCAGCGACCCCTTCCTGAATAGGTGATGACACGCCCTACGAGCTGGGGAGCTTATGCTGACTTTGGCCAGGGCAGCGTTCGTTGTTCTTTGTGCCGGTATTAGGAAGACCTCGTGAAGCCATTCCAAGGCAGCGGCATCGTCATTCCAGCCTTTTTCCTGGCTGGTGAAGCTCCAGCCTTTGAAAGGACCCATTTTCGTTGGGTAGTGTTGTTGTTGTTGTTGTTGTTGTTATGAGGTTTTACCCCCTAGAATCACCAGAGGCAATGCCGTGCCCGTTGCAGAGATACATTCCACAAAGGTAGTCCAATTCCGTGATCCGGGCTGCTTTTTGATCAGAACTCCATGTTCAGCACCGCCGAGAACCGTACCGTTAGAACCCTAGCCTTCTTGAAGGTCAGTCTCGTCTCTATTCCAACGGTTTATTCCAGCGGTTCTCCGGCTTGATCAGGCGGACTGCCGGGAGGGCCAGGTAGTTGAACCAAGCCGTGATAACTGGTGCCGTGGCGCCGTTGATACAGGCCGAATCCATGTGCCGGGCTCGCTGGGTCCGGATTGAGAGGTCCCGGGCTAAGAAGCCCCGTAACTACTTCGGTCTTACGCAGTCCGGCTTCCCTCCCTCCACGGCTAGCCGGCGGGCGAACTCCCGGACCTGCGCATGCGTCCGAGGCAAGCCGAGAGGCCTTGAAAGATAATCCACTCGGCCAGCCGGGCCTCGGTAGCATGCGCAAGGCCCTGCATGTGTTGGAATGCAATATGGCGCGATATGGAGCGATTTGTGGCCTGCCAGACGGTGGCGAAGAGAGGACCTTGGAACGCCAGATTCCAGGGCGCCGCGCGCCGCACCGAGATGCCTTCGCGCACCATTTGCATCGCCTGCAGCATTTTCAGTTCGTTTTATCAGGCATCGTTCGAAAGAGCACTCAAAGAGCCGTCGTTTCCAGTAGAAATGAAGGAATTTGGCCGTGTTTTAGGGAAGTTGCCGTGTGTTTAAGAAAAACAGGCCATCACATAGTAAGTGCATGGTGGCTTGCGCAGGGCCAAAAGTGGGCGCGGCAAAAGTGGGCGTGGCCAAAATAGGTATGGTCAACGTACCTTGCTTTGGGCAACAGCTTAACTCTATTCGCTTTGCGGCGTCGCTGAGAGAAGCTGAAGCGGCTGCTAGATACCGAACGGACGGTCATGAGCCGCATGTTTTGGGTTAAGCGCTTTTTCTCGCGGGCAACGTGCAGGAAATAGACGGGATTTCAGCTAGCCAAACGTTGCCCAATCCGGCGCCTCTAGACTGATTCAGCCAAGCCCAGACCTTGCTTGCATGAGCTCCCTGCAGCACCCAGCAAACCGCCCTATACAGCTGGAGCACAGCTTGAGCTGGCGTTCAATAGTCCTGAGCCGACCCCGCCATTGAAAACTACGACAACAACCTACTCATGCATCTATATCCAAATCATCAATTCCCTGCTGCTCGCCGCCGGCAAGCAAGAGCCGGGAAGCTTCCATTTGCAAGCCACCTGGACAGAAACGCCATGGCGGGAGAAATGCCCACGAAATCTATAAGTACTGACTTTTGACACTTGCAATTCCTCTTCCCTCTGGCCGACGAATTATCATAATTACCTATTAACCAAGATCGCCATTAACCAAGATCGCCAGTGCACTACTTCACCCTTTACGTACCATGGCCGAGACCAACGCAGACGTGCTTGCCCATGCCAAGGTTGGCTCGTGGTTCTTGGGCCCTCGGGCCGAGAACTTCTCGGTGCTGAAAGAGCTGTTCAACCACGTTTTGGATGACCAGGCACGAGCCCGCAAGAAGATCTACACGGACGATCCCGAATTCATCACCAATGACATGAAGAATCTGAGCACGTACAAGGATGGCCTCGCAGCTCTCGATTTCCACCTCAGGGACCTTTCCGACAACCTGTCGGCCACCTCGGTTCCCTTTTGGTCGCCTCGGTACAATGGCCACATGAACATGGATACCGCCATCCCCGGCATCATTGGCTGTGAGTCTTGCCCGTCGTCGCCTGTCTGCCTACGTTGCCTGTCTCCTACGTTGCCTAGAGCTGACTCGCCTCTCCAAAGACATGTCTGCCATGATGTACAACCCAAACAACGTGGCAACCGAGGCCAGCCCCTACACCACCAAACTAGAGAGAGAGGTGGGCGTAGACCTCTGCAAGATGCTCGGCTACAACGTCTACGAAAACCTCGGGCTCCCGATTGCCTGGGGACATATTACCTGCGTACGTTGATAATTTCCTTCCTTTGTCAAATCACAGCGCTGGCCTCGCTAATCATTTCATGCTTTCATGCTTTTCCTCGTAGGGCGGATCTGTTGCCAACCTCGAAGCCATCTGGGCGAGTACGTCCTCCATCTTCTCTTCTATCTGCCGAATGCCTCCCTTCACTGCCCTGACCGTTTGATTCACAGTCCGCAACCTCAAGTTCTACCCGCTGTCTCTCAAGCTCGCAATGGAGGAAGGGGCTCCGCTCCACTTCCTCGCCCACGCAACCCCTGCATTTGAGGTGCTCACCTGCAGAGGCACAACGGACAAGTTCCGAGGAGAGAAGAAGAAATTTACCGACCTATCAACCTGGGAGCTGCTGAATTTGACGCCAGATACCGTACTCGAGATCCCAACCAGGCTGGACAAGGAGTACTCCATTTCTCCCGCGTTCCTGCAGAGCGCCCTCCGTGACTATCTCGCCCAAACTGTTGGCAAGGATTATCTGGAGAAGAAGTTCGACATCAAGCCCGGCAAATTCTTTCTCAGTGCCACCAAGCACTACTCGTGGCCCAAGGGAGGAGGTAAGGTTTTCCCCGACTCAGCTGACATGTCCGCACCTTGTGGCTAATATCGCATTCAAGCCATCACGGGCATCGGATCGGCCAACTTTGTCGACGTTGCAGTCGACGAGGACGCTCGCATGAACATAGAGGACTTTGAAGCCCACCTGGACGAGTGCATCGCGGGAGAAGACGAAGGTGGATACACCCCAGTCTTTGGAGCCGTTGCCATCATTGGTTCCACGGAGCACGGCGCCTGCGATCCGCTCGAAGACATGCTCAAAGTCCGCACACGCTTCCAAGAACGGGGCTTATCCTTTGCCATCCACAGCGATGCTGCGTGGGGCGGCTATTTTGCTTCCTTCGTGGGCGACATGGACAAGTTCATCCCTAGCAAGCCGCTGTATCTCGTCCCAGCCATGACGCTTTCTCCTCACACCGAGGCCCAGCTGAGCGTGCTCGGTCTGTCCGACAGCATCACCATCGACCCTCACAAGTATGTCACACCCACACAAAGGCGCCGAGAGACTTGCTCACTATCGTTCCTAATTAGGTCAGGCTACATCAACTATCCATCTGGCGGTCTCTGTTACCGCGACGGGCGCATGAGGTACCTCGTTACCTGGACCAGCCCCATCGTTTTCCACGAAGGCGACGCCCTCGAGAGCATGGGTGTCTACGGCGTCGAGGGCAGCAAGCCCGGCGCGTCGGCAGCCGCCACATGGCTGACTCACAAAACCATCGGCTTCCAGGAGGACGGCTATAAGAGACTGCTAGGCGAGGCCGTCTTCACTTGCACCAAGGTTCGTTAACCCTTTTCCCGAAATTATTGGCGCAAAAAAAAAAGAAAAGAAAACGACTAAACAGACTTCCAGCTCTACTGCTACTGGGCCACCATGACCAAAGATGAAGACGACTTCCTGGTCGTCCCGCTCATTCAGCTGCCTAGCGAGAAACCGCAAGCAAAGGGCATTAAACCAGCCGACCCCGAGGACTCAGAGGACCGGACGAAGCGCATTGAGGCTGAGAAGGAGCGAATCCGGAAGAAGATTCTCGACGCCAGAACTGAGGATCTTGTCGAGGACAAAGAATCGTGGGCCTTCCTCGCAAAACTTGGTGGCGATCTGATGATCAACGCCTTTGCTTGCAACTTCAAGGTCGACGGGAAGCCAAACACGGACGTGGTAAGTGCATGTTCGACTCGGGGCTTTGCTCCGTCAGTCTCAGCCTAGTACTCAAAAACGAAGTGAAGATGACCTGTGGGTGCTGACAGCCGGACCCAGGGCGAGGCCAATTACCTCAACCAGCGCCTCTTCCAGCGCCTGTCCATCTCAGCCATGGGGGACCTAGAGAACAAGAACCCCCCAATAATCCTCACCTCGTCCGTGTTCGGCGAGAAGGCCTACGGCAAGTGTCTGTCGACATACAAGACCCGCCTGCAGCTCGACGACGGCGCCTCGCCCGCGCACGGCGACCTGCGCTTCCTCGTCAACGTGACCATGAGCCCGTGGCCGGCCGACTCGGACTTCCTCGGCGGGCTCGTGCAATCATTCCGCGAGATCGCCGAGGAAGAAGTGCAGCGGTGCGTCAGGCGCAACCGCCTCTCGGCCGACGTCCACGGCTTCATCATTCAGGGCGGACTGACAGGTGACGAGGACGCGCCCGTCTACCTCACGCACATGCCCATGTTCTACAAGGCCAACCACCGCTGGCAGGTCATCGTCAAGGCCGTGCTCCCGCGCGAGGTGCGCGCGCTGTACCGGGACCTACGCGCCAAGAACCCGGACAAGTTCTACACGGCGGCCAACACCGCGCCCGAGTTCCTCGACAAGCTGCTCTCCAACGCCGCCGGCACCGAGTGGCGCATGGACGAGGGCGTGCCTGAGGACGGCGCCGAGCCGCTCGCCAGGTTCAGGCTCAGCAGCGTGCAGGTCGTCGTCAAGGAGTCCATGTCGTTCAAGGACCTCGACCAGACGTACCCGGACAGGATGCCCTTCTACCTGTACGGCAGCCGCGCCGAGATACATATTGATCATGTTCTCAAGACGACGCCCAACGCCTTCGTCAACTCCGATAGGGTCGGGCTGAACGTAGCGCCCGAGCTGACCGACGAGCAGCTGAGCAAGGGCCTGATCGCCGTGCTGGATACCGTGGTCGAGAAGAGCCTGCAGCCTCTGTAAGGATTTCCCACCCTCCCTGTCCCCTTCTTCTTCCGTGCTAACACAAAGCGCGCTCAGACCTCTCAAGGGAAAAGAACAGGAAGTCATCCTCGACTCGCCCGGCCTGTCTCTTGTGAAGGGGAAGGAGCACAGGGTCTCGATATACGAGAGCTATGAGGACTCTAAAAGGGGCAAGGCGAAGATTGCTTCAGGAACTATCACGTTCCAGGAAAATGTCTTTGCGGACTGGGCGATGACTAACATGGACGGCGCCGACGCCCATTAGGACTCAAGTCGAGAGGTATAGCTTGGTTATTTGAGATGGGTAACATGAGAACTTCGGCTCGGTGAGTCTCAATGTTTCCCGCCGCGACCCTTGCTTGTTATTAGAACAATCCAGAATACCAGCCCCAGTGTCTAATCAAATGTCTACATGGTCTCTATAAGAGTCTATTCAGATTGCCTAAAGGACTGTAAATACTAATTACTACTGTCTTAATTGTGAAAATTTTATGGTAAGCTTGACACTGTGGAGGTTTGCTACTTCAGAGGGTCAATAGGTATTGAGCAAGAGACCGCCCGTGTGTGCGTGGAAGATGGCGAAATAGCGTCAGACAAACTTGCCGTGGAAAACCCCCTTACGAAGAGCAATCTAGCTATTGGTAAGAGTCTGTGAACCTACGTACCAGTTGACTCTCGGAAGTTGGCTGTCAGGCTTGGGCAGTTGAACTGCGTGTCATCTATGTTTTGGGAAATCACTTGGAGCGTACACGTGGCTGTTTGTCGCAGAAGATGACTCTTGTTCGCATGTCGTCACGCAGAGAGAGAGAGAGACAAACATGATATTGCCCGTTCTCATATAAAACGATGCGAGCTTCAGAAGTTGGGACTAAGCTCAGCAGCCTTTTGAGCGTGATTATCATCCCATAAAACCAGAGTTTCCCTTTCCACTTTCCACTTCCACTTTCCACTTCCACTTTCATCTTTTTCATCTTTCCCCACCTCACACTCACTCGATTATCTCCATGTGTGGAAGAGGCAACTGCACCACGGCCAGGTGCGGACATGAGTGGGTTGACTGGCTCTGCTGCATCAACGGTCGGGTAGAAGGAGACAGAAATTACAAATATGCCATGTTATGCAGGAGCCCAGACAGTGGCCTTCCGCTCCTGGGTTCGCGAGACCTGTACTGCCCTAAATGCCGCCTACTCGGCAATGACTGCTTGTGGGAGTGTTGCGTGTGCGGGCACAAAAACATATGCACTCTGGCCGGCGGCGACATCGAGGGCCAGGGCCGGGGGGGGCCGGGCGGATCATCGGCAGATGATTTGTTGCAGTTGAACAAAGGCATCGCCTGCGAGGGACCGGGATGCAAGGCCCAGGTGGCTGCGTTTGTCAGGGAGATGGCGGGGCCTGCTGACTTGCGCGCGGAGAGCCAGAGGCTGGATCAGCGAGAGGCGGGAGAACTATCAATATCAGGCCAGACTCCAACATCTGATCTCGTCTTGATTAATACCACGGAACCGCACATCTTGTGTCAGGATTGTGATTTGGAGTGTGATTTGAATCTTCCACGTAAGCGAGATTTTCCTATTCCCGCTCACAACCCTCTCTGATTATCCATCTCCCTAGTTTCTTAATTACTGATGTGTTTGCTTGTCCACAAAACCTCCAGCGAATATTTCAAGTTCAAGCCCGAAGAAAAAGGCAGCAAAACGTGAGAAACGAGAGAAACAAGGTGCCACGAGCGGCGAGCTCTTTCGATCACCCACATGTAATAAGAAGTAACAAGGAAAATTTATTTAACGAAGAAAGTACATGAAACCGATTTTGCCAATGGTTGCTGCTATGAGGTTGGGAGGACTATTTGGGTTGGTTTCTATGATGAAATATGGATGCGTAAGGTCGTGACAATGTCAAAACTGTTCTGGTGGATGGGCATTAGAGCTCCGGGCATTCAAGCAGGATTAGAGTCAAGTTGGCACACGCTGTTTTTGGGCCCCCTTGGCGTTCTACGTCAATTTGATTTCGAGTTACCGCCTAGGGTTTTTGCTCAGTTCAGGTAATTACCTAGTAAAATCTGCATTCGGCTTCGGCCAATCGTCTTTTACAAAATGAGTACAGAACTTGCTGTTGTGGTATTACAAACCACTCGACTGTTAGGTTTGTCTGTCCGTAAGGGAGCACGGGCTCCACAGGATGCTGGGGTTGGTAATTATGAAGATAGAACAAAGGGCAAGCTCCTATCGCACGGGTAATACAGTCAAATCGGAATGCCACCCAAAGTATATGAGTGCAGTGAATGTGTATTGCTTGCTTGGAGAGTCAAGCAAGAACTATCTAAGACCGTGGACACGGTCATCGTATATATCTAACTGTATAACCAATCAGAGTTCTTCCCTTACAGTGCTCAGTGCCTCCGGGGCGCTCAGTCTTCCAAGACGACTGAGCTCTCAATGGTAGCTGAGCACTTCCCCAATTGGCTGCCCCTCCTGCTCAGTGGGTCTTCCCAATCTTGGCGGCCGAATGCACTGAGCGCCGCCTGATTGGCCGCACCGAGCTCCTGCGGGGCCCGGCCCGCCCGCTTGTGCTGCCCAGTCAGCAATCGGCTTCCAGCGCTTCCTGCAGACTTGAGCCAGGATCGTAACAATTCGTAGCACATTGCTGCAGCGCTCTGTAAACAAGCAAGGGATCTAGACCCTATAGGGAAAAACTGGATTACTGGCTTCAAAGCCCGGAATCCCGCCATTCGATCCAAAGTCGGCAAGAGAATGGAAGCCGCTTGATTTAGCGGCTTTACTCCAAAGGCTGTTAACTGGTATTTTGATATCAGGGAGAAAGAGTACGGCTGGATCAATCCTCGGCTTACCTTCAATGTCGATAAGGCCGGCATTATGGCGGGCTTTGGTAAGAAAACAACGTCTATTATCTCTTCTATTACTTATTCTAGACAGGGCTTGATTCATTGGTACTAGGGACCGTAGAGACGAAGAAAACCTACCTCAAAAGTGACCAAGGCCGCGGCTGGTCCACCATGATCGAATGCATCGGTGCTACGGGTACTCTACTTAACCCAGGCATTATTTTTAAAGGAAAGACCTTCAAACCTCCTGGTTTGAGCGGACGATGCATGAAATCGTGCCCTGGCACTTCGTTACTACTGAAAAAGGGTGGACTGACACCCAGATTGCAATCAGCTGGCTTGAGGATGTTTTTCTTCCACAAACCGACCCCCTACTCGAATACGACAGCGAAGCCCGGCTTCTTCTTCTCGATGACCACGGCAGTCATACTACTGTAAGAGATAAGTCCTATACGCTCCTTGGTCTAGTTATCTCATAATATATATATAGGACGAATTTATGACGATATGCTTCATCAACAATGTATATCTATGCTTCCTACCGTCCCACACCTCTCACGGCTTACAACCACTTGACAACGAACCTTTCAATGCCGTCAAAACATACTATAAACGTGAACTAGCCAAACTGGCTAGTATAACTGACGCGGCACCAGTTGACAAGCTGAACTTCATTCGTTGCTACAAGGTAGCAAGGGAGGAAGGATTCACAGAAAGACAGGAAAAAGACCCCTGAGACCCCTGTGACCCCTGTGTTTACCGGAGTCCCTGAAGTCCCTGATACCCCGACTACAGGGCGTCAAGTTATGGATCTGAGCAAAGGAAGTAGCCCGAGTACTAGAAGGAAGTTCCAGAAGGCAGCCCGGGCCGTTGACAAGCTTCAGATGGACCTGGTTCTCAAGAAGGCTCGTATTGAAGCCCTTGAGGCTGAATTGGAGCGCATCAAGCCTAAAAAACGAAGGAAAATTCCTAACCTAAATAAGCGATTTATTGACTTAGGGACTATTTTACTAGGTGGCCAGGTTGACGCAGAGCCTGAAGCAGAGCCTCAAGCAGAGCCTCAACCTGATGAGACGGAAGAGGAAGAAGAGGACGAAGATGACGACGATGACGAGGCTTTGCCGGCAAGAATGACCCGATCTGGCCGTGCAACACGAAGGCCGGCTCGCTATGATGATTGAGCATGTAATTGCCTATATTTTGCTACATTTGGCTCGCGAATTGTTTCAGAATTGACTGCATAGTCGTTGTTCAGATATCTACTATTTTGGTGTAAAAGTGGTGATCGAGTGGGGGGGGGGGGGGGTGATCGGGTGGGGGGTGGGGGATGGTAATGTCTTCAGGTCGAGGTCTACTGTAAAATGGGGGAGGAACAATACTCGAAAATTTTTCTATTGCTCACGAGACTCATGCATCCCAAATTAGCGGTGCCGAAGGAACGGATGGTCACCGCAGACCCGGGTCTCGGTGCCTGTGGCCTGGAGCCGGGATTTTGGCTTCGCCAGAATGTCAGCGTAGTCAGTGTGGCTCAAAGCCGGGATCCTGTGGCGGGGTTGCCTTACACATGTCTTAGTCATGTGGGCCCTAGCCCCGCCGAGGAGTTCTCGCCCACACGTTTTGTAGAGAGATTTCCTCCTCCTAGAATTAGTTCTCCAATGCACACATTGTCCACCCACACAGATCCCGGTGTAGCCAAGGATGCCTGGCGCAACTGGCCGCAAAACCAAGTCACAATGACGCACACAGCAGTACAACCTACAGCAGAGTGCAGCCAGCCGTGCAACACATCAGATTATTATAATACACCCCCGTAAGCGCCTACCGCCTCTGCAGTTTGGTCCTTGAGACTTGGCGCTTATCTAAAAATAGCCCACCAATTATTAGCCTCTACAGGCGTATCTTTAATGCCTCTGACAGTATAAAAGGCACATGGCATCCTATCCCTCCTAGCAGTATTCTAGTCTCATAACGCAAAGATGATCGAGCCGACAAATCCCCCCCCCCCCCCCCCCCCCCAGGCGAGACAGAACCAATGAGAATTTTCTAACAGCAACAAAAAATATCATGCACCGGGGTAACGAAATGAGCCGTCGTTATGGAGCTGATATTTACATCGTATTGCGTCGTAAAGGTCGCTACTACGGTTACTGTTCCACTCAGGATACCTCTTTCCCAACACCACCTATAGAAATTGTATGGATGCCAGAGTCCGAAGCCTGCCGAATACTTACTTTAAACAGGATAAAACTTACCCTTTGCCAGTTAGAAGAACGCCGGCGAGCTTTGAGCGACAAAAGTGCAAGTCGTCTGAGGTTGAGGCAGCTAAGGAACTGTCAGATAGCAACCAATTCTATAGTAGGGTAGTACATAATGACAAGGAAACTTCAAGGCCATATATGGAACTTGCTTACTTGAGTGCAGGTTGTAGGGGCCGAAGTGCGTATGCTGCGGCGCTTGCGCGGTGGCTGGGTGACCTCGTCCTTGCCCTGCTTGGCGTCACTTCCCATAATAGGAGAGCAGTTCTCCTCGTCGCCGGTATCGTAACTTCGACGACGAGCGATGTTGTTCTGAAGGTTAGCCCGGTCTTGGCTGGCGGACGACTGCATGGATGGCTCGGTATTGGCCACCTCACCCGTGTCGTTCCGCTCACTGTCCGACAACCTCGGCATGCTTGCCTGACTCTCCTGTACTTGTGGTAGCACGACAGAACCATCCTCACGCTGCTTTCCTCTGTCGCCTGGAACCAAAGTACGGTAGTCCTCTCCGAGATTGGTAATACAGTGTCCGCCAACATCGCGCCGAAAGTCGATCCAGTCTTGGCTGTCGGGTAGATGCAGAGGTAGCTTAGTATTGGCCAGCTCGGGCTCGTCGCCCTCGCCTCCCTCGTCACTGCAAAGGGTGCCTTCGCGACTCCCGCTTCTGGCTAAAGGAAGATAGTCATTAGTATCGCCTATCTCGGCAGGACGTTCATCTTTACGAGGCAGGCTATGGCCGTTCAGCGACTCTATCTTGCCGATGTCGGAAGAGCCACCAGGTAGAATTTTGGGATAATAGAGTAGGTTTTCTGCCTTAGCTTTGGGCGACTTGGCGTTTCGAAACTGGCGGTATATTACAGATAGCCTAGGGTGCCTGTGATATCCAAGACCCTGACGACATGATATCCCTACGTAGTTGGCTTTACGGCGGGATGCCGGAACTGATTGGTCCCTCTCTGCGTATAGAGCCATAAGCGAGGCAGACAATAGCGCTAGGGAAGAGTCTAGGCTAGGAGACTGCTGCTGCTGGGCTGATACGGATTTAGAATCCGAGTCGGCTCCACCGGAGACCAAAGGCTCCCTGGTGTCGCTATCGCCACTGGCACCGGGAGTAGCGTTAATATCCTCGTCTGCTTAGGCGTGTTAGCGTAATAGCCCACCTCAGGGATAGGAAAACTAGGCATATACCAGTGCCAGCGGCGTAGTTGGATTGAGCGTTGTAGCGCGCAGAGCAGCCGGAAGCTCCTCTAGTGGCGGGAAAGTAGTATCGGACTGTGACGGCGGGGCTCAGCACCTACTACCGCTGCACCACACCTTCCAAACGGATGCCAGAATTGCAAGCTGCCAAGCTGCAATCTGTAGTTCGTTATAGTATGGTCATGCACCCGTAGGCCTGCTCACAGCGCCTACGGTACCGTGCCGTGACACTGACCGGCCGTCGTCGGAGTCGCTACAATCGGACTCGCCTGTAAGAGAAGGCAGGTACGCCGGATCAAGGTGGCCACAATGCAGGTAAGGAGGTGGGCGAGCAATGAGTAGTATTGGTGTGAGACTTCAACCTAGCCCTCGCAAAGGAAGGTGGGCGAGGGCCACTGTTTATATACGTGCTCAGGGGCTCAGGCCCGGGGCGCCATGGCGTGGCGTAGTGGCTTGTGCCAACTGGCAGTTTTCCGGCCAGTTGGTAACAGGTGGTGAGCGCGCACCCTGTGCGCGCGGCTGGTGTTTGGGGTGTCCTTTCCTTACATCGCCATCGCTGATTAGGACTGCATCGTCCACTAAGTTCCCGGTACTACCACGTCGAGCATCGTGTGAATCCTGCGGTAGCGGCGGATGTAAGGGAGCCTCAAGAATAGCTGTAGAGGGATCCCTCTTCCGAACCAGAAGGCGGCGACTCGCTGGCTCGGAACCCGCCGCCACAGAGGGGGTGTAAAAGATCTGGCCGTCGAGGTAGACTGTTGCCATCGCGCTGCCAGTAAAACTACGCCACTGATTTGCGAAGATGTCAAAGGCTACGGGAAGAACAACTCCCGGGAGGATTTGGTGTGTAAACTAGTCATCTTCGTACTTCTAGGGTAACGAGAGAAATATATCTGCGTACGCGAAAATTGGAGATAAACCACAGAACTGGGAAGGAGCCGGACCCAGCCTCCAACTTCCTGTCCGCTTTGCCAATTACGTAAATGCCGAGATAGAAAGGAGACGACCGGAGAAGGGAACCCTGGAAGGACATCGTATCGCCACGAATCATGAACTTGACTTGATGTCGTATGATCCAGGGCGTTGCCGGAGGTCGCCCAGGTTAGCCGCTATAATAGAGGCATATTACCTCCCTTTTACCCACCCCTCTACCTATATGGACTTACGCCTCCACCTCCGTATTTGCCTCGCCGTCAATCCCAAGAAGGCAAGGATCCGCCTACCACGCGCCAGGAGTCCTTATTAGTAGCTTAGAGGCTACGTCATCTTGGGGCCTGCCTCGTCCCCTTATCTATTTTACTGGCTGTTCTTGATGCGCCAGGACCGCCTTCCTCTTACTCTGAAACTGGTCTCTATTAGGCCGAATCGCCAAGGGGCCGTCGTTAGCTCGGTATTCCTATCCCCGTCCGCTGCAGGTTGAATTACGACATGTGACCCAAAAATAGATCGTCGTCGAATCAGGACGCGGATATACCGTTCTTATAACTACTCTCATGTAGGCCCCGCCAAAGCTACGCCAATATTCGGTCCGAATATACCCAACGGGATTATCTAAGTATAGACGGAGACATCCCCAATACGCCAAGCGACGAGGAGGCCTCCTATTTTAGTATTAGACGAGATGGATAACTACGGCATTTTTGTGAGTGGTTAGAAGCTGTAGTCGGAATGAGCCGGAAGGCGAGACGGCCTCAATCTACAAGCAGTAAGGAGTAGGGCTCGGAGAGAGATGCGCGGGTTTTGTCGGGGCGCTGGAAAGAGGGGATGAGAAGGGGTAGGTAGGACACATCCAGCTTACGATATGAGGATGAGAGAGGCGCGGGAGATGAATGCAATGGGGGGATTCAATGGGGGGGAGGAGAAGAGGCAGGGGCCAGAGTGAAGCAAAGAGGGAGGTGAGAAGTCGAGAGTACAAGAAAGGGACCTCGGGGAGGGGGGGCTCTATTTATACTATGTCGCCCACTTTTGAGCCACTTTTGAGCCACATTGTCAAGTCACATACCTGCATATCCCTGCATATCCCTTCATTCGTTACTTTCAGCCCCGATTCCTTTTTTCGGGCTCCCGGACTTCCGAATGCCCTCTTTTTTTTTCCCTTGCTACGGCTGAGTCCCTTACGTAGTACGACTGAACAGACTGTTGAACCAGGTTTCCTTTGTCCTTTTCTTGGAAGCATAAAAGGCCTTCTTTCCTGTATTATTAGAGGGGAGTTAGACAGACAATTCAAGACCCTTCAAGCCACTGTCAGCTTTGATCACGGGCCAGATACTACGAGCGCAGCTGGGCCGTACGAGCACGCGGGTCTGGGGCGGCGCTATACCCGATCGGGAGGGGCGCCTTTCCCGGCGGGTGCAACAGCGAATTCTACATTACAATAGAAATATCGACGGTTGACTTCCATTGGATTGGAAAACCTACCGTGTTGAACAAATCCGCCAGACTCCAGTTAATGGCGCCCTGGCTTGTGTTGTAAATGACTTTCATTTGGCAACTCCACCTGTCTTTCCCGATAGACGGTTGATGTGGCCGCCGTCCCCATGTAAGGAAGGTGGTTCCGAAAAAAAAAAGGAAAGAAAAGAGAAAACCCAGGCTAATTAAATTAGTACACAAATGAGCCGAGTTCTTTTTTGTTCCTTTTAAAAAACACCCCATTTTCCTAGGGGCCCACTCCCCTCTTGTCATATAGCATCATAGGATAGATACCTTATACCCCAGATGCTCCACGTCGATCATCTCCCCACCAATCACCATATGCGTGAGGTTAATATCCGCGTCATACAGACATTCCATGTCCTCGAGGGGACGGTACTCGCCCGGTTGAAAAGCGTGCATCCCCGGCTTCGGTTTGCCGTGTACTGACATCCACCCGTCTTCCAGAAACATGGACAGCCCCTGCGACGTAGAATTGGAATACCCCCAAGCGGCAGCCTGCGGAGCCGCCGCCGCCTCCAGCGAGCGGTAGTGTCGCCAGACGGCGCGCGCATTTTCCAGGGCTGCCTGTCCTGCGTAGTAGCCAGCGGCTTCCCGCAAGCTGGGGAGGACTCCCTTTCTGCGGGAGCAGAATAGACGGTCCCAGTCGTGTTTGCCGTCTGCAATGTTGGCAGAGAGCAGCAGCGCTTTCAGCGGAACCATGTAGGGCGGCGGCGGGTTGGGCTCGTGCTCATCGTTGTCACTGTCGTCGCTGCTGAACAAGAGGAGGACGTCGGGGTCGTCGACAGCGTTGGTCGCGAGAAACGCAGCGACCGTGTCGGCGCAGTCTGCTAGTATCTCATCCGCCGTCGACCTCCGGGTCAGGTACTGGGCCACCATGTAAGCGAGCACCGTCCACACGGAAATCATGCGCATGTTGGACCGTCCCAGGACAAGACGGACCTGCTGGTTGGGCGACAGGCCCATTGCCAGCAGGCCTCTGACCACGCTGGGCTGCACGCCCGCCGCGGCCGAAAGGAGGAGCGACATGCGCCCCGTCCCGCGGGCCAGCTCCGGCCTGGCCGCCAGCTTGCCCTGCAGATACTCCCAGTCTCCGACCTTGCGCGCCACCCAGTGCACGAACGAGTAGTTCTCGTTGAGGACGAGGTTGTCAAAGTTGTAGACCCGCATGACTGCGAAGCCCTCCATGTTCTCGCGGGCCGCGGCGACGCGCTCGAAGGCGTCCAGCCACGCGCGTCTCGCAACTGCGTGCCCCTCCTAGGTGCCGGCGTCCTCGAAGCTAGCCTTTAGCTTCTTGGTGCTGGCTTTGGCGTTGAGGTCAGTCAAAAACCAGAGCTCGGCCAGGTCGACGCGGGCCTTGAGGACCGGCCTGGGGCACAATGCGGTGGGAATTTCCAGCCCGCCGCCGCCGCTGCTGCTGCTGCTGCTGCTGCTCTCCTCCTCCGCCGAGATGATGTAGTCGTGCAGGGTCCTGTGGAAGAAGTCGATGAACACGAGGGGCCGCGCGCGCGACGTCATCTCCCAGCTCGTCATCTCGGGGTCGCAGGCGGCCGTCTCGAGGATCCCCTTGCTGTGTCTGACGAGGGCCTCGGCGGCGGCGACGCGGTCTTGCACTTCCTTGCGCGAGTAGGTGCGGATCGCTGCCGAAGTGGGGAACTCGGCGTCGTCGAGTAGCTCGTCGGCCCAGCTTGCCGCCACCGCGGGGAACGGCGTGCCGTAGCGGCTCATGAGGGACAGGACGCGGCGCAGTTTCTTTCTGTGCGCCGGCTCGATCGACTCGAGCAGCTCCGTGTAGAGGTCGCCGAGCTCGGTGGGGGCCTCGTCGAGCGAGGCCTCCAGAGACTTGACGTCGTCGGTGAGGGCGACTTCGCCTTGTAGCTTCAGAAAGACTAAGTACGCCCAGAGAAAGACTCCGCTGGAGAGCTTGGCGACGCGAGATAGTAGCCGGTAGTAGTCGCGGAGACTGGCAGTCTCGGGCAGGCGCCGCCTGAAAACGTCGTGGCCGTAATCTAAGATGTCGCAGTAGTTGAGCTTGTGGAGGGTGAGCTGCTTGTTCTCGGAAAACACAGAGGTAAACTCGGCGTGTGGACGAGAGCTAACGAGCAGCTTGACGTCCGAGTTCTTTCCCCATTGGTCGAGAAGGGCTTCGAGCGCTGCGTGGTCTTGGCCCGAGGTCCTATTGTTCTGGAACTCGTCGAGGCCGTCAATGAAGATACAGAATCGGTATCCTTGCTTCGGCATGTCGCTGATGAGCCTCTCGAGGGCTTGATGAAGGAGGGCGGGCCTGAAAAAGGGCTTGTCGTGGTATGTCGATGCCGGAGTCGTCTGGAAACTGCTAATTGCGTCCGGGAAGACCGACGGGATCAGCCGCGGGCAGGCTCGTAGAACCTCGAACAGGATCGACCGGTAGAGGCCCTCGAGCGAGTTCTGCAGTCCGCTCTGGCCGCCCTTCCAGGCAAAGAAACGGGCAAACACGAGCTTCTTGTCCCCGGCCCACTCGTTCAGCTTTTCTTGTGTGCGTTTGTGGGTCGAAACCAGCTTCATCAGCGTTGATTTGCCAGAGCCGGCTTTGCCGGAAACGTGTAGAACCCCAGCTCCCTGTGCAAGCCAAGCCTGAAAGTACTGCCTTGTTTTGGTGTGGATTGGCGGTTCCCTTTCGGGTACGTAGCCTCGGTCGTTTTCGCTCTCCGTGCCGTCTAAATCTTCGATTATCCAGCGAAAGGTGCGAGCCTGGGGGGCCCGGATCTGGTCCTCGCGGAAGTAAATCGAGTCAAAGTATAGCTGCGCCAGCACTCTTGCCTCGGGCGTTCGCTGCTCGCAAGCAATTAGCAAAGCCCTACGATGGGCCTCGAGCTCGCGAGTTTCGCCGGATTGCCCGTTGGTATCCGCTAACATTTTTGCCACTTCATGCTGCAGGCTCTTCAGGTCCCCGGTCAGCTTGGTTTCCATTTTATTGAGCTGGGCGTGGACGAGCAGTTGTCGGTCGCTAAAGCTGTAGTTAGCTTTCTAGACGCTGTGACTGTGATGTGTGCATATGCAAGGAAAATGCGTGGTGGATTGCTTGAGGAATCTAAGGAAGCTATCCGCCCACAGGCGGAATATTTATAGTAGAGGTATAGGGGCTACTTTTCAGGGCTCAAAATGCCGTCTAAATAGAAGGGCCATGCGGGTTCACCCCCTAGTCACACGGCGGTTTGAGCCCTGACAAGTACGCCTGTGCCTAACACATGATGACGTTGTTTTAGGGCAGGGTCATCCAAACCTCAGCAAAAGGCTCAAACGGAGAACGATTTGTGAGCGTTGGTTGTCAAGTGATGTTGCGAGGCTGGCTATTTCGTCCTTCCTTGCTCTGGCCTTCAAGGCTAGTCTGAGAGCTTGCAACGTGCTGGCTTTTTCCGCGGTCAGACTGTCGAGGATGTCCTGAAGCCTGATCGACGTGTCGCTGCAGTCCGCAGCCAGATCCCGGATGGCGTCCTCGTGTTCGTTGAGGGTGGCATCATGCGGCCCTCTGGAACTAATACCTCTCTCTCTCAACTTGGCTGTAAGGTTGCGAAGGTCGCCGGTGTCACTTGCCAACCGTTTGATATCCGCCGTATGACCTTCTTTGGATATTTCTTGGACTGCGCTGATGATTCTAGTAGAGAAATCAACGCATGCAATAATGCTGGATGCGAGACTGACAGCCGAGAATGGATCCATGGCGATCACTCGAGTGTCGTAGTAAACAGAATATATTCGAAGCAGGGGCTTAGGGGAGGGGGGTGTTGGAGATCAATATGGGGCAGCAGGAGAGCGAGGGACGTGGCCGAAGGAAGTGGTATACGAGTAGGAGGTCGGGAGCCCACAAAATCCTGCCTATCGAGTCCAAGGAACTCACGAGGCCGAGTGCGTTGTGCACCATTAGGTGCATTTCGGTACTACGTGACAATATATTTGAATATATGATGCAGCACCGATTTCGGGGCCGAAGCTCGAGCCAAGGCCGAATATGAAGCAGATACAAAATAAAGAGGGAGCGTGGCATGTTGGATTCAAGAAGTATCAATGGAGTAGAACAGCGGCCGAAACCACAAACGGAAACACCGTGACCAAATAATCTCCGAATTATAAAATAGCAGGTGAAATGAAATCGTATCTTCTGCTCTAGGACTCATTAACTATCTAATTACGATTCACCGCCCAACATGATATCCGATATTCCATGGTGACAGTCTTTGAGCCGGGGTGCCCCAGGTAAGTTCCCATATTTAGATCATGTGCCTTACTAACGACTTTTGCCTTCCTATGGCTCGCCTTTGGGATGTTTTGGTGGGTTTAGTGAAGTCAGAGCTTCCCCATCTTCACTGGAGCTGTAGCAAATAACCCGGCCAGAGAAGCCTTTGATAGGTGTTTCCAAGGTAGAGGCAGGCCTATAGGATTGTACATACAATAGATTCTAATAGCTATTACCTGCCTTGGCAAAAAGTCTATCGGGCGAACCGTGAGCCATTGAGGCATGAAAAGCTCCCCGCAAACAAACATTCAGGACTAGGACTGTATTCCGTAGACGGGCAACTGATGCCCGTACACTTCTCATATTTCCCCATCCTCAACATCGACGGCGCGAGTCACTTCTTAGTACAGGTATTGAGGGCAACCTACGATCCCGCACAATGTCGAGAAAGGTGTCCTGGGGGCTAGCCTCCCCCACAGCGTCCCCTGCACGCTCTCAAAGACTGTTCTTGACTTCCGGGCGCTCGTCCCCCCCCCCGCACCGACTTTGAAGCCTCGTTCATCCGTATCTGTACCAATGCCTTGACAGATTCCCTGAAGGTCTTTCTGGCCCGATCGGGATGATAACGAGCCCCGAACGCGAAGCTCTCGTCCTCTAGCAGCGACGCCACACGCTCGCCGAACCACGACGCCGAGCCCGGGCGGATCACGTCGACGAGGTCCGACATCAGCGTCTGCGCAACCTTCATGCCGGCCAGCTTGGCGTCGCGGTCCTTCACCGGCGGCTCGAAGACGTGCGCCAGGCTGGCCAGGTCGCCCTTGACGAGCTGCGGGATCCGCAAACCCACCAGCTCCATGGCCAGCGCGTCTGAGAGGTCTCTGGAGCTGAAGATGGGGGGCGTGGGCTGAATCTGGTTCGGCTTGGGCAGGTCTGGCGGGGCTTGTTGGCTTCTACCCGCGGCGACGCCCCGCTGCCGCTGCTCCTCCTCCTTGGCCTGCGGCACGCTGTCCACCTTTGGCTCTTTGAGGACGAGAACTGCCACCGAGTCCGCAGCCGAGTCACTTTGCAGTTGGTATTTCTCGGCACATTCCACTTCGGCCCAGCCCTCGTCGAACTTCTCTTCGTCGAGCTGTGACGAGGGGGTGAGCCCCGTGGCTTCCCTTGCCCCTGCCCAGTCGCTGCACTCGGACTTGGTATCGTCGTCGTTGTCAGAATCGACCCTCGCTTCGGACCCTCGGGCAACGTGCACGGCCAGGTCGATGAGCTCGGGGTCATCCTCGCTCGCTTCGTCGACAACCATTATCCATGGCTCTGGGAAACATGTGAGCGGCTGTTTTCGACGGGGAACGAGTACACAAGGAGGCTCACCTTTCTCAGGGGCCCCTGGCCCGGTGTTGTCTTCCATGACGGAGGGCGCTCTTTACTCCTTGCCTAGGGGTTTGGGAGTGCAAGTGCTGCAAGAGCCCAAGTGCTGCAAGAGGGGAGATGTGCGAGATTGGCGGGCGCGCTAGGTATATGGGAGGACTGTTCCGGGCGTGGGAACCGACTACCGGCTTGGTTGACGTGTTGCCGGCCTGTAATGCAATGCGGGAAAGCTTAAATGCCCTCCTTTGTTCTCCTTGTGATCCACGGTCCCGGGTCCATTCTTCACATTCTCTGCGCACTAGTAGCCGAGCCGAAAGCTAGGTTGGAATATGCTCCAACCATTTGCGTAAGAGCTGTCTAAACTCGCCAAATAGTTGGAACATGTTAATTATTTATTGGGTAACTGCCGTGTCGACTCAGATGCAGACAGGTTCCAGCAGGCTGGCAGATACAAGGTTGTAAAACACTCCTATTCTGTTTCTGTTTCTTTGCTAGCATGTGGTTGCGAAGTAAGGTTGGAGTGGCCTATCAGTTAGTCCCTTTCCAGCAAGGGTGGCAGAGATGGCACCCAAATGAGTTTACATATCTCTAGTTGGAAAACCGACACGGGGAGACCTAGAGGCTCTCCACCGAGTCCAGAGACGTCTCTTCCCGGTCGCCATCGGCTCGCACATGCAATGTCGCGATTGTCCAATTGACAGGGAGTCACTTCGCGGCAACTGGTTTCGCGTTTTGTTTCGCGTTTTGTTTCGCAAGTTAATATTTTCTTGGCGATATCCTCAAGGTCTAGGTCGACTAGAAGCCGGGGAAGTGTGCATCTGTCAAGCAGTAGCATTTACAGCGGGGAATTTGCATCGCCAGGGTACCCATCCCGAGCATGGTCGTCGCTCCCGTCCCAGGAAGTGGCTTGCTGGAGTGGCCAGCCCAAGACCTTCCGGGCATAACCGCTGCGCAGACAATTACCGCACCAATACGGGAACAAAAGCGAAAGAAGATGTACTCGGCTATTTACTCCTTTTTCCTCTAAAATCCGAAATGGTGATATGGTAAGAGTGTGGTGCGAGATGAAGGCAAAGCCATCTTCACGCCCCGTTGACAAGAAATTACCTTCAAGTGGGGGAGAACAGGACGATGCTGTTGGCCCTCACAAGCGAATCTTACCGTACGTGCCTGTTGCTTCACTTCTGTACAAGCCGTAATGTAATTATTACATACGGATACGGATATCCTCCGTCCAACAGCGTTAATTCCCCTACCCCTCACCCAGCCGAACGGCAGGTGGGGGGGGAGGGGAGGCTGGGGTACCCATAGGTGTCTCGCTGGGGCATCCTGGGAGCCGAGCGATCGCCACTGCGCGCACTTTGCGCTCACTGGGATGGAAGGAAGGGAGCGCGCGCGCGCGAACGCTGCGCACAAACATTCCCCACGTGTGGTGCTGGGGGGTTTTGGCCGATTCACCACCACCAGAGTGAGACACCACGCGGGAGGAGGTGGATTAACCCATGCCATGCCATGCCATGCCATGGGCGCAACGCAATGGGACAGTCCCCCGCCCGCCCCTCCCCCTCCCACTCCCAAGAAAACCCGCCGTGCTGGCCAGGCCTTGCTTGCCCTGGTCCCTCCCCCCTCCCACTCCCAAGAAAACCCGCCGTGCTGGCCAGGCCTTGCCCTGGTCCCTCCCCCCTCCCAAGGGCGCGGTTTATTATTAGTTTAGCGATGCAGTGCTAAGCTAGCATCATGGTAAGACAACTGAATGGGGACAAGAGGACCGCTGTACAGTGCTTGGTATCTGTAGTCGCACCACTCGCTCACTTCCTCACTCGCTCACTTCCTCACTCTCACACCTCCATACCATACCATACCATACCATAGTAGCTTCAGACGGCTACCAATCTCACACCCATGCCATAGCCAGCCAAACCTCAACACCACTGTACACACATACACATCTCCGCTTGTCTCCCAGGTGCAATGCCGTCGATCAAGCGCTCGGCGTACGCGCTGCTAGACGGCGGGTCCGGGCCGCGGACCCAGCCATCGCCGCTGTGGACCAAAGCGCTGGCGGTGCTCGCCGGGCTAGTCGTCGCGGGCCTGAGCTTTGCGCTGGGGCGGCACTCCGCAGCCTCAGCTTCCGCTTCAGCTTCCGCCGAGCGCGGTTTCGCCCACGTTCCACCGGGCCTGTCGTGTAAGCCACCCAGCCAGCCTTTAATCCCTTCCGTCTAATGCATCTGGTTACTGATGTCCGGAATATAGTGGAAACGGCGCCGCACGTGTTCGTGTACAACCGCACGTTTGCAGAAAAGTCGGCCGCGGCCGACGCCGCGTGGAGCGAGCTGTTCCCGCGGCAGGCGGGCTACTTCTCGCACCCGTCGCTGGCGCCGCAGCGGTCGACGTTTTCCGTGTTCCACTACCTGCACTGTCTCGTACGTCTGTCCATCTGTCCATCCCCACACCCTTAACCCCCCCCCCCCAAAAAAAAAAACTGACAGCAGTGTAATGTACCACAGAACGGCATCCGGCAGGGCTACTGGGCGGTGCACTCGGCAGCCGTGGCGGGGGAGAAGTTGAACGCCAGCAGCCTGCCGATGATGATCTCGGCGCCGCACGTGCGGCACTGCATCGACCTGCTGCGCCAGAGCCTGATGTGCAACGCCGACCTGACGGTCGAGGTCAAGGACGAGGCGGCCGGTGGCGTGCACGGCTTCGGCGAGGAGCACCGCTGCGTCGACTGGTCGGGGCTCGTCGGCTGGACTAGCGCGTGGGAGACGCAGACCAAAGAGCAGAAGGAGCAGGCCCAAAAGCACGGGGGCGAGCAGATGCATCACCACCACGATTGACGGGACAATTGGGCACGGGGGATGGTTTTACTTTTCTTAACATGGTTTTTGTTTTGCTTTATTCTACTCTGCATCAGGCCACAGACGGGGTATCAGCGTTGCGGTTTTATGCCAGTCTTTTTCACATCCCCGACGTATCTATGGCGTATCATAACTCTTTACTCTGCCGCTGCCGCCACCGCCGGCGCAGGCTCCCAGGTAAACTCGATCAGCCCGATGGGCGACGCGGGCAGCTGCACGACCGACCTGAGGCGGAACCGCGGGTCTGCCTCGGCCACCAGCCCCGTCCACTCGTCCATGGTGCGCTCCTTGCTGTTGAACATGGCCATCATGGCAATGTCCTTGCACCTGCACCCGTGACAAACCAGGCAAGGGAGTCAGCAAAACATGCATGTCACGGCAAACGATGGCTCGGCGGTGATCAAACGTACCTGATTTGCCGCTCTTCGTACAGTGTGGTGGCGCCGGGCGGCGGGATGCTCAGGTCGTTGATGACGACGCGCGCCCCCGGCTTGAGCGCCGGGATTAGCTGCCGCAGGATGCGCAGGCAGTAGTCGTCAGACCAGTCGTGCAGGATCATGCGGAAGAAGTAGGCGTCGGCGCTGGTGACGGGCTGGGGCGTGAAGAAGTCGTGGCTCTGCAGCGCGACCCTGTCGGCGCTGCGGGCGGGCAGCTCGGCGCGGGCCTTGTCGATGACGTCAGGCAGGTCCTGCACGATGACGTGGAGGTCGGGGTGCTTGTCGGTGAGAGCCACGGCGAAGGTGCCGGCCGAGCCGCCGACGTCGACGACGGTGGCGCCGTGGCCCAGCGCGCCCCAGTCGTAGGCCTCGAGCGCCGCTGTCGGCTCGAAGCCCGGCATCGTCTGCAGCATGCTCATGGCGCTGGCGAAGCGCCGCGCCCGCTCCGGGTCGCCCTTGAGCGTCTCGAAGAAGGGCACGTCGGTGCCCTCGGCGAGGTTGTGCGCCGTCTGGTTCGGCGGCCGCCCGCTCTTGGCGGCCGTGGCGCCGTCGGCGGCAGCCCCGCGCCAGGCCGTGTGCGCCAGCGCCGGCACCACCTTGTGGGCCGAGGGCCACATGTCCTCGCACACATTCCCGACGAAGTCGTGCAGCACCGGCACGTTGGCTAGCATGGCCGACGTGGCCGAGTGCGCGACGTGGCCTGGCCGCGGCCGCACTAGTAGGTAGTTGGTCACGGCGTGCTGCACCAGTCGCGCCATGGCGTCCTCGTCGGCATCGCACCGCCGCGCTATCTCGGCCACTGACACCTCCTCGCCCACGGCCAGCTGCGCCGGGATCTTGTACCGGTACAGGGCATGCAGGCTGCAGAGGTCGTACTATATTATGCGCGCCCGCGTGCGCGTGATATCAGAATCAGGCTGCAAGACTGGTATCCACTAGTGGGCAGGCAGGAAGGCAGGCAGGCAGGCAGGCAGGCAGGCAGGCAGGCAGGCAGGGAGGAAGGGAGGGAGAGGACATGCGGAAGCAAGGGAGTATAGCCGCGGACGGAGGTTCACGTTGCTTGCCCAAGACCGGACCGAGGCAAGCTCCAGATAACACCAAGACATACCGCATGGCCAACTTGGTTCAGCAGCCACCCCATTGGCCCCAGGAGCAGGGCGTTCAGCTCGTCCAGGGCTCCGAGGGCGGCGGCCAGCTGCTGCTCGACATTGGGCGGCAGCGGGAGCTTTGGCGGAGCGCCCGGGGCGAACGACGGGCTCGGCAGGCCATTCTGCTGCAAGTACGACTCGATCGAGGTTGTGTGCTGAAGGATCGCAGCTGCCAACTGCACCGTCCGCGGCTGATCCGGATCCGGAGGGGCGGCCATGGTTGTAGGCTAAGGTGCCTATGCGGGCTGCTTGCGAAGAGCTTGGTAAGAGCGTCCGGCTGTAGTTACAGGACCAGAGGCACGTTGCGTTTGCTCTTCTGCCAGTATCTCCGGCTGCAACCGAGTACGTGTGTGTGAGCGTGTTTGTACTGTCCTGTATGCGGCAACTGCTGACAATACTTTGCACAGCTACAGCTACCAACGCAGTCAGCCAGAGCCAATGCATGTGCAGCAGGTAATAGGTTGCAACCAGGTAGACTGGGTAAAGTCTGCAATAGGAGCCAGAGGGAAAGTGAAAAGAGGGGACGGTGCTTGCTAGCGGTGGTGTGAGTGAGTGCGGCGCCGCGTGACGGACTTTGCGTGTGTCCCGGATTTCCTTACCTAGGTCAGGTAGGTCGTATTTCGTCCCTCGGTGCGAGCTGCCGGGATGATAGGCTGCCGGAATGATAGGTCCATTGGGACGACTGGGGCACAGGACGATGCATTTAATAGCCGACTAAGGAGGGCTGCTAGATGGTGGACGCTGGATGCCCAGCTGGAGCTATCTCACCACCATCCAAACCCACCCTGATGGCAATTGGGGAGTATTCTTGCACCGGCAACATCCGCCGCGACCGGGTTACGACTCTCCACAGCTAGAGAGCAGAGCTGCTCAAGGTGCCGTCCAGGCTTGGAACGAAGTAACCAAAGAACCGGACTGTGCCGGATGTAGCGACTCGATCCATCGCAGCGGCATCGCGGTGGATTAATTGGCACCGTATATGCCCCAATGCGGTGAGAGATATCCCTTGGATTTCTCACCCGACATTTGGACGTCCCAAGGTAGGCAGAGCACTTGTAGCTGCCTTAGCTTCCTTCATGCTCAACTCGAAGCCCACTGAGTATCCCCGTAGGTGGTATTCACCATAACTCCGGAACCCGCGTAAACGGGCGTGTTCGCCTATTGGTGGCTGGCTGTCCGGGCTGCGTACTCAGTATTGGTTACGTACTTCTCGGGAGGTTAAGGTGAGTTGTTAGGGTGAGGTGTTAGCGGACGGAGCGGCGGACGTGACGTGGACGGCAAACCCGCCCGCCGTGCTTCCCGCACAGTTTCTTTTGTTGCAGTGGACTGGGTTTAAGGCGGGTGTCTGGTGTTTGTGCGCCCATGCAATATCTGCAGTCATCAGTAAACACCGCTAGACCAGATGTCTCTGCTACCTACCTCGACAACACTAGCAGCCGGGTTTTACCTCTGCCCAGCTGTGTTTACTCAACAATGTAGATAGGGGAAGCGCCTGGAGGCGGTTATCTACAGCACAGCCTAGAGGAAAGAGTCGAAAACGGAAGGTCCCTAGAACTAATCCGCCGACTTACATTAGCCTCGAAGGCCACATAGGGAGCCTGGAACGGCGAGTCGCAAGTCATCCACTCCATTCCCGCAGTTGTGTCGTTGGAACTTGGGGCCGTAGGGTGGGCATTGTTAGGGCTGGTCCAAGCTCGTTCGGGGCTAGTGGCAGTGGACCGTTCGGCCACCTCGGTGTCTGCCTCGGTGTCTGCACTGTAAGGTGAGCATCCATTGGCGGGCCCCGTAGCCCCGTCTCGGTTCTGCTTGGCTCTCGTCTCCGGCCCGTCCCAGAAGAACGTCTCTTGCAGGTCTGTTGATGGGGGTTCCCATTCTAAACCAAAAAGTCTCATTCTGGACCAAAAAGTCGCAGCACAGGACGCCCACGCAACAAAAAGCTGGGCGGAAGCGCCACCATATGCGGTCGGACCTCCGCGCCGCCGCGTGCGCGTGCTGGACTACCCAAGAGGCCACGGGGGGTGCGACTGGGGGGCTGGTCGGGCAGGCCAGGGACAGGTGTGTAAGCGAATCCAGACTAGGCGGTTAACCACTGCATGCACGCGATCCCATCCAGACCTTCCCTCTCTGGAGCGCGGCGACCACGGCTGCAAGGTGGCAGGTCTAGCGACAGCCCGCATATCCAAGCTTCAGTCGAGCCGATGGACACCTGGTTTACCAAGGTTGCCAAAGGCGGGGTTTTGCTGCCTCGGCGAGCCATGGATGGATGGTTGAAGATTTGAGTGGGTGTGTGAGTGGTTGTGTGAGCGGATGCTTTGGGATGTGGCTGCCGGATGCACTTGCTGTGTGGACAGGAACTCTGCAACTCGAGTGTAGGGAGTGCATGGGCAGGAGCCACCAAGGTGCCCTCAGTCGCTCCCTCTCCCAATTGAAACGATCTGGCGATGCTCGAGTTTCCCTGACTCAGACAATGCAGCCCCAATCAGCCTGGCACTCCTTCGGCCTTGCCAGCTCGGTCTTGGCTTGGGGATTTGGTTCTGTGCCTCTTCCAATTAATGTCAGACCTCTTCCCCAGCCGGGATGGTTCAAGTGCCGTGCCGTGCCGTGCTCGACCACCAACCTTAGGGTTGTCTAGGTAGGTAGGTAGTCTCCTGTGTTGGCTGCGTGTGCAGATACCATGTATGCGTTGGCTTGCAATGCAATGATATTGGATGATATGGGCCGGTTGCGGATGTGCGTACATAGGTACTGCGCATATATTATTCGACTGTTTTGGCAGTCAATCGGCCGAGAAGAAGTCCGGTCGATTCCCTGCTTCCACTTGCCGCGGGCGGGTGCCCCGACGCAGTGGTAATGCCTGCCTGTGGCCCCTGCCTGTGGCCGGGTACATGTATGTATGTACTATGGGACATACTTCGTACATACGTTAATATGCAAGCGCTGAAAGAACCGAGCCCGCCTTCTTGGTCGCTCGGGTTTCCACCCGCTTGGCCACCCTCTGACATGTTCGCCGCCCATTGGTGACCGTTGATTGTGTGCCGCGTGCACTATAACATAACCAAGGTCGGCGCGGCTCGACCGGCGGTTGTTCGAACGAGAGTTGCAGGGTGGGGGAATTGTTGCGCTGGGTATTTCGCACACATAAAATGCCAATGTCGACGCCCACAGTGGCAGCTGCACCGCGCCGGCGGCTCATCATCATTGCGCCGTGTGGCTGCTGCTTTGAGATCTTGCTGGGATCCGCGGATGGAAAAGGGTGTGGTTGCCGTGTACTGTAATCCGTATTGTAAAATACAGCGCATCACAACATGAACATGCCTTACCTCGCGTATCTGCGCGGAATGTTCCGTTAGAGATGTGCGCATCTTCCAATTACTCCACCAATTTCCTGACACTGCCAACAAAAAACACGTCTATCCGAGAGCAAGACAGTCCTGTCGGCGTTCCTGTCGCTGACGTCGTCACGCGGCGTGGCTGTATAGTACCAGTGTTGCTGTGTCACGACATGACGGGAACGAGCGGGCGAACGAGGGGTTCGGGTTCTAAGCAATAAGCAAGTTGCCTCGAGGGAAGGAGGCTTTTCCCACAACCTTGGTCGAGCTCAGTATTACGGGGCCCTGGGCCTCTGCAAAGTGCGCGCGCACGCACCCAAAGCTTCGAACGGGCGTGGCCTAAGACGGAGTGGGGGAGGAGGGGCAGTGTCTTCATCTGTCCATGTGCGCGGAAATCTGGCTAAATGCTACCCCGCGGCCGCCAGCCTCGAGCTTAATGCTTGCGTAAGAGAGATAACGATAACGTCAGAAGGAAACGTCCGCCGAGGCTCAGGAACTCCTGACCGGCCTTTTCCCAAAATCCCATCAATCTCAGGCTCCCAGCTCCCAGCTCCCAGCCCCCCTGGACCTCTCGGAAGCTCCCCTCCCCCTACCTTCCTTGCCCCGAGCTGCAGCATTGCAATCCACTCGCATTGAGCTGATGGACCTCGGAAAACATGCCATTTCCGAAGAAACCGAACAGCAGGGAGGTCGTCGAACATTGATGCATCACAATTCACAAAACGAAACGCAATTAGAACACGAGAGGTATGGTTCAAGGCAGGTATGTGATTCGAGAGCAAAATGTCATCATGAATACAGCAAAACCACCATTCAATCCATCCCAAAGAAAAATAAACCCCGCACCCCGCACCTCACATCCCATCCCGCACACCCTTTCCGTAGAAGTTCCCGCAGCGCGAGCCCCTCCCCCCTACGCTTAGGTTCCCCCCTCCCTAATCAGATTGGTGATCCGGCCAACCAGCCGGTTAACCCACACAGACACACACTGTGACCCGTCTTTAGTCATCAGTGTAGAGATCTGGGTAGATGATCTCGGAGTCAGCGTCCGGCTCGGGGTAGACAATGGTGTCGTCCACGTCTGGCTCCGGGTAGACAATGAGGTCGTCCACGTCCGTGGCTGTTCAACATGTTAGACAAAGCGCAAACAAAGCCCCGAAAACAGAGTTTGGGTTATAAGTCGGCTTACACTTGGGCGTGAGCACCGGAGCGGCGAGCACGCTCATGGCGGCGGCCACGATGAGGAAGAAGGCAGTCTTCATCCTAGCTGCAAGCGTGGATATGGATGTGGATGTTTGGTTGGATGTGATGTAAGGGGTGGGAAAGACGGCCGAGGTGCTGTGGGAGACGGACACACAACACAGAGGAGGGCGCCAAGTAACTGACCGGCGAGGTGAGATGATGCTGGCGGTGATCAGGCCATCTTATATGTAAGTCGGTTCCATACTTACCTCCTACCTTACGTCTGGGACCTTGGGTTACGTCTCAACGGACGAAAGCCGACCCAGCAGAAGGGTAGAGGCAGAAGACGAGAGCAAGTGCCAAACTACTGCATCTGCATCTGCACTGTGGCCCCGGCACCTCTCGGCGGCTTTAGCGCCTGTCCTGTGTCTCTACTGCCACGACGCGCGCAGGGAGAACTGGATGTTCGTCAGTCCAAGTCTGTCAGTCGCAACAGGAATCAGGGCCCGACTTGACGCCCTGATTGGTAGCACCTGCAGACGAGGGAGACGAACTTGTCGAGAAGTGCGGGAAGGGGAGTGGAGCGAGTGGATAAATTACATGGGGCAATGGATCCATTGTCCATAGATGATGGGATGGGATGGGGCATGGAACGGAGGCGCGGGCGTGTTAGTCTCGCCGGTGGGTTGTCGTTCCATTCCCCAAGCTACCTTACCTACCTTACCTTACCTTACCTTGCCTGCCTTGCCTCGCACGCGCTACCTACGCTATTCTATTATCAGCTATCAGTTCAGTCCAGGCCCTCCCAGTCCCTCCCCGATCGTTCGCCGAACCCCAGCAGCCGGCGCATCGGAACCGTGCTAGTTCTTGAGGGAGCACGTATCCTTGCCCAATCCCACCGCACCGGGTCATGCTGTGCGTAAAGCCCTTTTCTACTTTCGTCCTCCTCAGGCCTCTCCCCGCTTCTCACACCGAGCCCAGAAAGTCACCAGCCAAGTCTCCCTACCCACTCGTCCTTGCCCTCTTGTCGTCCTTGTGCAGTTTGAGGAGAGCTTCACTCCGGCTTCTCACTCACCCGCCTTAATATATCCCCAATACTGTCACCGCCAGGATGGCTACCGTGGAGAAGGAGCCGCTCCTCGAGAGCCTGTACCATGATGTCGAGGACACCAGCAGCGAGAAGAGCTCTAGCGAGCTCGGCCCACCACAGCAGCAGACCAAGTCTCCACGCCGGTGGTGGCTCTATGCCGGACTGGTCCAGCTTCTCCTGATCGCCTGCTACACGGCCGTGTCGCTCACCGTGATACGTGCCACAATCGACCTCGACTCGGTCCCCGACATCCACGGTTTGTCCCTGAGCATCTCTATAAAGATCAAAGAAACACGTCGCTGACACACGACACAGCTTTCGCCGGGCTGGCCGTCAAGTACAAGTTCCGGCTGTACGACAACTTCGTCAACAGTCCGTACGGGGGGGAGCCGACGGCAGCGAGCGACGCGGCGTGGCACGATCTGCTCAACAACATGAGCGTTCGAGTGACGGCAGAAGAGCTGGAGGCGCACGGGCAGACATCAGTAGCGCTGCCCGAGGGCGGCGGCTACCTGGCGTGGCTGGGCGTGTTCCACGAGCTGCACTGCGTCAAGATGCTGCGGCAGTGGTCGTGGCGCGAGCACTACTTCCCCAACATGACGGCCCACGACCACATGCACCAGATGGTGCACATCGACCACTGCCTCGACTGGCTGCGCAACGCCGCCATCTGCCGCGCCGACACGAGCGCCCTCGCCGTCTTCAAGTGGGATCCTCGCATGCCGCACCCCATGCTCAACACCCACCGCGTCCCCCACCGCTGCGTCGACTGGGACGCCCTCATGACCTCGCACGCCGACCGCCTCGTGCCCCACCAGGAGGTCGTCAATCTCAAGAACCCCCTGATGGAGGACGCCAAGGCCGCCGGCGACAAGAAGCCTGCGCCGCCGGACTCGGGCGTCGGCGTCGAGGTGGACTAGAAGGTGCTGCGCCACAACACAAATACTCATAAACAACAAAAAATATCACACATAGCTGTATTTAGCGAGCGACCATTTCTGTAACTTGTCAATAATTACCACTTGTTGAGTTTTTCTTCTTTTGGGCGCAGCAGAACCTGCATATACCCATTAACCGTCTCTCCTTCATAACACAACACCACGTGTACTGCACTCCTTTGCATAGCATGAGAGTGCTATGTACCAATGATCAGGCGTGTCCCCGTCGTTGTTACCAGGGATACTTGGAAGGTTCTCGGCTCCTCATGCCTAGCTTGAACACCCAATGATACACATCATCCGTGATCACATACGAGATGGTTGATCCCTAAGAGACACTGGCTCGCCTTCAGAAAAGGGATGCGTTCATACAACAAGCAGTCGCAATGTGTATGTGTATGTGCATGTGTATGTGTATGTGCATGTGTATGTGTATGTGCATGTGTATGTGTATGTGTGTGTATGTGTATGTTATTCAACTGTGTTCACATTCTAGTGTGGCATATGGTGAAGACATACACCACATCTCCTATGGCCTTATATCCTGAGTGTTGACTCTTCAAATGAGCAGCAAACGCTTGAACATATACCAAACCATATCTCTTCAGGTCAGACACTTGTTCGACACCCCGAGGTTCGCCTCACCAACGAACCCGGGCCTTTTCTTCACCCCTCGCCTCATTTGGGAACTTCTTGGGCAATGGAGTTGCGACAAGGCGTCAGCGTACCGATGCGCAATGTCTTGAGACCGGCCATATCCGGCAGAGCTTTCTACTGAGAGACTGCGTTCACCAGATCCGGGTCAAGTCACCATAGTGGAGGTTGAAGTGGCCAACGAGGGCACGCCGTTGTGGGAGAAGACCATCTCATCTACGAGGATTCCCGAACCAGCATCCAGGTACCCCAGGCACCAGCGAGGAACATCAAGGTAGCAGCCCACTTGCCGTCGGGCTAGCTGTGGAGGATATTGCGGCCGCAGGAATAATCAGGCGCTTCGAACAGGCTTACGCCTCGAAGTTGTCCGGCTGCATCTCGATGCCGTAGGACTCTCACAATGGCGGCGGATTCCAGAGAACGAGGGAGGAAGGGCAAATCGAGGCCGAGCATACCGGTATCGACACGGCCGGGTGACCCAGGTAGGTGAGCCTAGAGCGAATCAACAAAGAAACGCTCGAAGACGGTACCTGCCTCCTTGACAGACTGTGCCATTGTCGCGGCGAGCGTACGCAGCGAGTCCTGCAATACCAACTTCCCGCGAAACAACCGGGATGTGTTGGCCAGCGCGGCCATAACATGGCTAAACTAGCCGCTTTGGCGCCGACGACGGCCATAGTCCCCCGAGAAGTCCTCTTGGCGAGAATCAGTGGTATCCCGGTACCTTGCTTGGGGCTTCGGCTAGAAAGTGCCGGAGAGGCCCTGAAAACAGTCCGTCTGTCAAATAAGTGGCAAATACCGCCGGCTGCTCCAGCGCCTTGGTCACATCGGTAGTTGACAACCCCATCTCACCTCGCCAGATCTAGCCCATAGACGCGAGGTAGCCCGGGATTCGACTCGGCCGGAAGGTAAAATCCATCCACCAGCTGAAAAAAAAAAAAATGCATAGAGCGGAGACGACCAGGGGGTTGGACCAACAGATAGCGTCCTTGGCCGAATGAGCTAGCTGTCGAAAACCCGGGGTAGGGAAGGGGAGGTCCTGGCTGTTGCGGCCGCCGATGTCAAGGGCCCTTGGCTCTCCGCTAGGATCCGTCATATCCCGATGTCCTCCCTGGCTGCAGTGATCTCGAGGTGCCGGCATGATGGTGCGGCCAGGGCGTGTTAGTCGGGTCAAAAATGCCTAGGGTATTTCAGAATAGCCTTTAAGCACTGGAGAGAAACAAGAAATGAGGTTTTCGAGTCTCCAGATCGCTCACGCGTTGGAGCGCGTCGTCGGGTATTTTGGGACTCTGGGGCAGCCAGTGTACACAACGAGCCGGGTGGCTTGCCGCACCCCACGGCATTCGTTTCGGCAGCGAGCGTACCTTATGCAGTTGGCCGATGTGGGCATCCAGGCCTGCCTTTTTGAGCTTGTTGGTAGCTTGTTGTTTGGGTTCTGTTGGCTTGTTGGCTTGTAAGCTCGTTGGTCTTGGCGGGCAGCTAGGCCGCAGAAGGGGATCTCGATTCTGGGCCGTTTGGTGTTACCCATGCATCTCACATCATCCAGCCACTGCATCGGTGGAGGTCTTCCCATGTATGCGAACGGTCAGCGCCGCCCGACCTTGACTTGGGATTATTCTACTCCTCCAGTGACGCTTCCGTGTTGTGGAGAGGGGGGGACCATCCAGCCCATCTCGGCCTCCAGCTCTGGCTTGAAGGTGCTTCCATCAGCTTATCGGTCGGGTGCGGTCCGTCCGTCCGTCCCACGGTATGTGATTCAGAGCGGGGTTGAGCAACTAGCTCGGGCGAGTGAAGCGCAAATACCTACCGTGCCCGTAAAGGATGCCAGCTCGGCGATATGTGCAGTGACACCGTTAGGGGGCGAGTTGAGCGTATCCAATGCCCACCTTGTTTAGGTAATTGCGCAATGTCGTGATAGCGTCGGAGTCGGGGTCTAGCTCTTCTCGGTACCCCACAATGCTGCCCCACAATGCATGCTGCGTTATTGTTCTGATGAAAGATGCGAGGAGAGCCCGCACTAAAGGCGTTGCTGTTGTTGACAACGTTGCTGTTGTGGACGACGTTGCGTGTCGGATTGACTGGAAGGCTCTGTCCGTCGTTGGTTGGTGCGCTCGCTCGCCGATCGCTTTTCCACCTAGGATACCCTGGTCGTTTCTCTCCCGTGCCCCGCCCTCACCTCACCTCAGCCCTAGATCGCGGACAGGGGTCATAGATAGGCCCACAGCTCTTGTCCTGTGCACTGTGTTGAGTCCTTCGGGACTGTAATTATGTGCGTATTCCGTACATGCAGTGAAATCCGTACATGCAGTGAAATCCGTACATGCAGTGAAACCCGGTAGGTACGGAGTAATCTCATGGGAATTCTTGTCAAGGTTCATCCGCCTCCCTGGTGCTCTTACTTTGTGAAGCTGAAGAATGATAGTTGAAATGGGAGATGCAAAGCATACAGTAGGTAATTGGATGCTAGATGCTGATCCACAAGTGCACCACTGTCAGCCGGAGGATTAAACTTCGCAGCTCCCGTCAACTTTTCCGCTCATCAACCCCGCATTAGCAACCGAAGGCGGGCTGGCTGAGCGCCCTGGATACGAATAAGGCACCAGCCTTGTAGTGTGATAAGGTAGGAACTCTACATACCATCGTGTGTGCACTGTGCGATGCCCACCGAGTCAGCACTGTGAGTACAAATACTCACAGTATGCATTTAGTATGTACATACGCACCTGCCGAGCGAGAATCTCTACCGAAACATATTTCACACGAATTGGTCGGAGGCAGCTCGGACCGGGAATATTATACTCTTCCTATTGGGAACTGGCACCGCCAGATTTTAACTTGTCGCCGTTGAAGGCAGACGGCGTGCATGTGCATGCTCAGAGGCTGAATTCGAACACAAACAAGCCGTCGTCACAGGCCGTCGCGCCACACGCGGTCATGCTGACGCCCCCTGGATTCTTCCCCTGGCTTGTCTTTCCCAGAAGTTTCATCCGGTAGTGCTCGAGCCCTACGGGTATTAGTGTAGTATGAGTACCCCGCCATTGCTCCACGCCACTGCTCCGCACTCTTGGCGGAAACCAACTTCTAGGTTACCGAAGCAAAACACCCTGAAGCCTGGGGATCAACTCCCCAGGGCATAAAACCGGCAGCCAGTTGACCATCCATCCGCTAAGGCATCAATATCTCGGCTCTTTACCAGAGACGCGGTAGCGTCTGGCGGAGCGCCTGGGCGGCCTTGAAATCGAATCCTTACTCCGCAAGCAGGCAGCCATTTGCCGCTCGCTTCCAATAAGCGCCAATCGCAGACGATGTTGTTGGCGGAGGACCTCACAAGATCTAGACCAGTGCATCCAATGCTGAGTTTGTGCATGTAATAATGTACACACTGAATGTCGCCTTTCATTGAACCCAGCGCATTTGTGAGAAAGCGACCAGAAGACAGATGCCGTGCTTTCACCGCTTGGGTCGTCTGAGGGTGCGCCCGGTGTCGGTGTAAATCTCCTCATTTCGAAGTGTGGAAGCCGAAAGATTGGTGCCTAAGGAAGGTTCGCCGTCACACATCGGCGGGTTTTGTTCGGATCTCCGCCAGGAACCAAAGTCACAAAAATCCCGAATGCCACGGCCGACACGCCCCCTCGGCGGGCCATTTCAGGCTTTCCAGGTTCAGAAGCTGGCAGCCCCACGTGCAGAGTGGCGCAGCCAGCGAGCTTTTGCCCTCTCACACGCAACCGCCCGCAACCGCGCCATACGCTAACAAGATTTTGTTTCTATTCTGGGCCGCACAATGGCACGCTGAGATGACTACGCCGCCGACTTTGGGGAAATCCAACCAACACCTCCCGCCTCCGACTCGGTTGATGGGCGGGTTGTGGCTCGCCCCAAAAAAAATCAAACACTCCGCGTCGCCGGCTAGGATGATTACGAAACTTGGCGAGCAGAAGATGGATTTCATTCACACTACTAGTAGCCGCCTCTTTGCTCCTCCTCGGAGAGTTCGTAAGCCTGGCTGAGTGTTGTCGTGTTCTGCATCGCCCCTTTCTCTTGTGACTGACTGACTGACTTAGTGACTGCCTGACTGCTTGCCTGAGGTGATCAGACTTGACGAGTCCAAGTTCACTCTCTCTCTCTCTCGGCCCGTTGAGTCCAGAGTCAGACACAGGCCGTAGACCCACCACGACAACCACACAAACACACTCACAGCATCAGCCATGGCTGCTCCTCCAGGTGCCGCAATGGGCATGTTGCCGCCCGACGAGGACCGGGGCCCGCATCTGGTCGCCATGTTCTGGACATACACGTCAATCGCCGCGGCCATGACCGGCCTGCGCTTCTATGCCCGCCTGCAGATCCGCGCCGTCGGCTTAGACGACTGGATGATGCTGGCCACTGTGGTATGCCGTCTTTCACTCTTCTACTCAAAAATTAAGCCGAGGCTAACACCCAGCACAGATCCTGTTTGCCATCGCCACGTCCTTCGTCACGTACATGGCCAGCATCGGCGGCTCGCGCCATGTCTACTACCTCACCATGGAGCAGACGCTCAGGGCGGTCAAGTTCAGCTGGATATCGCAGCCATGGGCCATCTTCTGCTTCGCCACCGGCAAGGCCTCGGTCGCCTTCCTGACCCTCCGCTTCATCGGCCGCAACACCTTCTGGCGCAAATGGATTCTGTACTACATCATCGTCACCATTTTTATCGCCAATGGCCTCGGCTGCATCATCACCTTTGTGCAGTGCGACCCCCCTCGCGCCCTCTGGACGCCAGACATTCCGGCAAAGTGCTGGGATCCCAGCGTCCAGCTGCACTACAACTACTTCCTCTCGGGTGCGTTTCTCTTTCCCCTCCTTGTCGTTTCTTGCGCATGGGCTGATGGAAAACATGCAGCCTACAATATCGCCGCCGACATTGTCCTTGCCATCTTGCCAGCGACCTTCATCAGCGGCCTGAACCTGCGCCGCGAGAAGAAGATTGCCCTCTGCGTGCTTCTCAGCCTCGGTTTTGTGTAAGTCGAACTCGCCCGTCACTTCTTGCCGAGTGCCACCGCTGACCTTTGGGACCTCCAGCGCCGCCATCTTCAGTGGACTCAAGGTCCGCTACCTCGACAAGCTAGGGGCGCGCACCGACTTCACATGTAAGCCTCCTACTCCCTCCATCACAGACAAACCCTCCTCAATGCCAGCCACTGACCTTTGTTTCAGGGAATGCCTACGACATCCAAGTGTGGACGGGCGCCGAGGCGTTCGTCATGATGGTGTGCGGCAACGTGCCGCCGCTGCAGGTGCTGTGGGACCGCTACGTCACCCACAAGCTCGACTCGTCGTGGAGCCGCACGCCGCTCAAGTACCACAGCAACGGCAGCAACGGCAACTATTCCGGGTCCGAAAAGTCGGGCCCCAGCCGCCACCTCAACTCGTCCAACAGCAGCCAAAAGGGCCCGTCGCACACCCAGGTCGTCGCCGCCAGCTACGACGCCGCTCTCCCGCGCTACCCCGGCCAGATCTACGCCACCACCAACGTCGAGGTCCACGGCCACGCCGTCAATCGCGACTTTGTATGAGGTCGGCGTCTGTCTTCTCGTTTCGTTCCAATGTCTCTGTCTTGTAAATTCACAGGTGTGGCTTACGCTTGGAAATACCCGTGTGGGAACTCGGACGCGATTTCTTTTCTCTTTCTCTGTCTCGTCCGGGAAGGGGAGCACAACCGGGGAGTTCGCTGTATTTTGAACCCGGGTCTTGGTTGCTGTATTATTGGCCTGTCTCTTTGTCTTCTCTTTCTGCACTCCTTCTGTGTGCTGAGGCATGGCCATGTAATTGCCATCTTGGGAGGACGTGGCATAACTAAAGGCGCATCTCCCCACCACCGCATCTGTATTGAAACACGTCGTCGCGGTTGGTGCGCGGATGGATGTAGTAATAACTGAGTATTCCTCGTCGCACTTGCTCATTCAGTTTCTGGCAGGCTTTGTGCAAAAGTCCTATGTGCCACTTCCCGTTGACCAGGCCTAAGCTTCGCTGCTTCGAACAGGGTATCCTGTATGTTTCTGCGCGCCCTGCTGCTCTCACGAATCACGAAGGCCCATTTCAACATATTATTGGGGTAAGGGAGGCTTTGCAGGGTGTTCTGATTACACTCCAATCCCTAGAAGCTTGCCCTACGAGGTAGAGGGGGTCAGAAACAGGGGTACTTGGGGATCCAAAAACGGGTCCCTCTTTCCCTCTGTTAGTGACTCACGGACTTGTGTAAAATTGACCGTTATAAAACGGTGACTTCCGTTTTCGAATAGGCTGCCTCCCACCCCGCATCCCTGGACCCCGGCCACTGCTACCGGAAACCCCGAGAGGAATCCCCACTTTTTTGGCGGCATCGAGTGGTTGTTGGCAGGTTGCGTTGTTTTGAAGCTAAAGATTCGTATACGTAGATGTAAATAACACAACAGCGCGTGCATGCGCGCAGCTGAAAGTTGAGAGTACATAGGAGCTATTTAGGGCTATACTATTCCGAAGAGTGTGTGTTATTTGATGAAGAACGCGTTATGTTGTGGTTGTATATGTGGTTGTGTGCAGCATTTTCCACTTGCCAGGAAGTGAAAACTCTGCTCCAAAGCCAATCAATATTCAACTACCATATAGCGAGTTCTTCATTAAATTCAGCGCCATCTTCAGAAATAGAAAGGTGTTTTTAACTCTTCCTCAGGGAGCTGTACGGAGCAGACATAGCATTCTCCCATTTTGCCGGGTCGAGGGGGTGGATGGAAATGGAAAATACTGCGACTTGAAGGAACCGGAACTAGCAGTACGGCGGATTATAGGGCGTTAACGTGAAAGCCCGACGTTCTGAGACGGAATTAGAAAGAAAACGTTACTTAAGGGGTGTGGTGTATATTACAAACCACTCGACTGTTAGGGTCGTCTGTCTGTAAGGGAGCACGGGCTCCACAGGATGCTGGGGTTGGTAATTATGAAGATAGAACAAAGGGCAAGCTCCTATCGCACGGGTAATACAGTCAAATCGGAATGCCACTCAAAGTGTATGAGTGCAGTGAATGTGTATTGCTTGCTTGAAGAACCAAGCAAGAACTATCTAAGACCGTGGCTACGGTCGTCGTATATATCTATCTAAGGCGGACCAATCAGAGTCCTTGGTGTCTGCGCTCCGTGGGTCCAGGGCGCTCTGCTCGCAGAGCGCAGGGGCCCCACAGAGCGCCCGCTCCGTCCGCTCTGCTGGTCTTGGCAGCTAATCAGGCAGAGCGCTCCCTGGTTGGCCGCACCTAAACGGGGTGGGGTCTGTCCGTCTCCACCACGTCACCCAATCACAAGGAGGAAGCAGGGCGCCTCATGCACCCTGAACCAGGATCGTAACAGTGTAGTGCGGTTTAGTTCTACTGGAAATAGCAGGAGGAAGAAAGTGAATTAAACGTAACGCCTATTCTACTACTCTTATTCCGCCTTATTCTACCAATCTTATTTAAAGCTAATCGGCTATCCCCTTAGATAAAGAAGACGATATCCCCTTCTCCCCGTTTAGACCGACACTTAAGCGGCCATGTCTAACGCCGCCTTATAGAGATCCTTTGCGGCTCTCTTTGCCTTACTGTCACGAGCTCCCGTGGCACTGGGCGCAGCGCGCCCTAGTGGGGCACCGGGATCGGGAGCGGGGTAGTGGGGCCTCAGGCCACCACACGCTAGCGGGCCCGAGAGCATGCAGGAAGCAGTTCGGGCCTGGCCCGAACTGGGGCAGCTCTGTCTCCGGGCCTGGCCCGAGCGGAGTGTGACGGCGTTTAGCAACACCCACTACCGCTGCACCACACCTTCCAAAAGGATGCCAGAATTACAAGCCGTCAGGCTGCAATTCTATAGTGGGTTATAGTATGGTCACGCATCCGTAGGGCCTCAGCGCCTACCGCCGTGCCGTGACATCACCCCCCCCTCGGCCCCGCGGGGCGCGTAGAGGTCTGACTACCCCGGAACCTCGAGCACTACGGTTCGGGAGCTCTACGCGGGCTAGGGCATACTATAGGGATCCCCAAACTACCTTTATTCACAAAAGGACTCATTTGCAACTGCAGGGCTCGAACCCGCAGCCGTAGGGCGGCTTGTAATTGTGACGGCGTTTAGCAACACCCACTACCGCTGCACCACACCTTCCAAAAGGATGCCAGAATTACAAGCCGTCAGGCTGCAATTCTATAGTGGGTTATAGTATGGTCACGCACCCGTAGGGCCTCAGCGCCTACCGCCGTGCCGTGACACGGAGGAGGTGTTGCCTCCGGGCCAGCTCTCATTGGCCAGCCATAGATAGATATATACGACGACCGTGGCACCGGTCTTAGATAGTTCTTGCTTGGTTCTTCAAGCAAGCAATACACATTCACTGCACTCATATACTTTGAGTGGCATTCCGATTTGACTGTATTACCCGTGCGATAGGAGCTTGCCCTTTGTTCTATCTTCATAATTACCAACCCCAGCATCCTGTGGAGCCCGTGCTCCCTTACAGACAGACGACCCTAACAGTCGAGTGGTTTGTAATAGACACCTCTTCTACCATGGATCCCTAGCAATTCCAGGCCTTAATAATGCAGGCCATAACTAACTTCTCCGCTAGTCACGGTAACCTAGGTAGTACCTTAGCTAACCTAGGGACCTAGGGAGGACCCTAGCGATCGAGGGTCGACCGTATTACAAACCACTCGACTGTTAGGGTCGTCTGTCTGTAAGGGAGCACGAGCTCTACAGAATGCTGGGGTAGGTAATTATGAAGATAGAACAAAGGGCAAGCTCCTATCGCACGGGTAATACAGTCAAATCGGAATGCCACTCAAAGTGTATGAGTGCAGTGAATGTGTATTGCTTGCTTGAAGAACCAAGCAAGAACTATCTAAGACCGTGGCTACGGTCGTCGTATATATCTATCTAAGGCGGACCAATCAGAGCGTTGGTCCTAGGTGATTGTCACGGCGCGCAACGGCCGTAGCACACTATAACCCACTACAGGTTGCAAGTCGTCGACTTGCAATTCTGGCATCCTTTTGGGGGTTCTAGCGCAGTGGTAGTGGGTGCTGTGAGCTGGCGCCGTCACAGTGATCAGTGCGGTCAGTGTGCTCAGTGCGATCAGTTCTCTCACTGATCGCCCTGACCATACTGATCGTACTGACCGCCCCGTTATTGGCTGCACTTGAGCGAAGCGGGGAACTACCCCACTTGCTTGCGTCAGCCAATAGCGGGAGGCTCCGTGCAGCCTCCTGCGCGCCTGAACCAGGATCGTAACACGGCACCGTTATTGTCGTCGACATAGCGAAAGTATGTATCAGCAGCGAAAGCCAAGGAGGGCGAAGCTTGCCCAATAGTCGGCCGTTGGCTGCTGGTGACGCTTAGGGTGAGAGGCTCGGAACCAGACCGGTCTGGCGAGGTACGTATGCGCTTGGGCGAGTATCTATGGGGGAAATCGTGGTCGTGGTCGTGGTCGTGAGGCCGCTTCAATAGCCAGGGGCCGGGAGGGGCGAGGTTTCTCGCATTGGCCATTGCGTCCAGGTCAGGGTAGAGCCTGAACCTTGCTAGTTTGACTCTGACCTTTAAGCTTAGCGCTATTTGGGTGATGAATTTGGAGTAATTAGAAGTCGACTATGGTATATACTATATATATTCTAGGGCGAGCGTCTGTGTCGCTGTCTGAGCTGCCATTTTTGACTGGTCGGCTATGCCAAATTTGACTGGCTGCTAATACATACTGTAGCCCAGACCCGTTCTGCGTACTTCTCCAGATCTTGGACGCTAAAAACTATGTCTCCCTCCCTAGGGCCCGGATCTCTAAGGAAGAGAAGCCGGAATGAGAGTACCAATGCACCTCTAGTAATATTATACGATATCGGGTTGGTAGTAGCGTTTCGAGTGATGGTGATAGTTTGTCTGAGCATAGGCTCTTAGTATTGAAGAGAGCGTCGCGTTGTGGTAGCTCTAGGGCAAACTGATATCTCTTCCTCCCACTTCTCCAAAAGGATTTTGTTACCGCTAAACTTGATAAGAATAATCTTAACCTGTGATTTGATATAGAAAACCACCTCCGTATAGTTATACGTAATTGCCCTAACGTCTGAGAGAATCCCGCCTTAATAATAAGTATCGGCCAAGGGTCCCATTATTTTATTTACTTATTAGTGAGCGATTCCTTTTAAGAGGTTTTGCACCTTAATGCCACAGGAGAATTCACGTGTATCCGGATAACGGTAAGCCTTATCTGATAAGATAAGCGGAACCCCGCGAAGATGCCCCATATAAGCCTACCATTTCTAACAACAGGGCAGCTGCGGCGACCCTGCACCTCGTTGTCGCAAGCCGCCATAAACCGGTTATGGAATTCTGCATGCATCTATATAACCCTAAGTTACGCACATTCTCGCTGTGGCCTCTCCTAAGATTCTCGAAACTCAGATTACGGGTTAACATACCTGTCCTTCGAGCCGTAGACATCGTGGACATCATGGCCGCCGGCACACAACAAGACGAGCAGGCGATGGCCACCTTCTGGGTTATGGTTTTACAGGTTACGAGCGATATCCGGAAACTGGCCGAGCTGGTTGTCTGCTATGCCGAGGATATGGAATATACGGAAAATAGGAATGACTTATTGAAGTTGCCGAATCTGACCCCGGCCCACTCAGCTCAGGCGCTGAATACCGAATTTCACAAGATATGGTTTGTCCAAGTCAAAAACTCAGAGGGTGACCTAACGCTAACGAGAAAAAAAAGGCGAAACTTTCATACAAATGGGCCAGTGGGAAGGGATCCAGCATTGAGCGGAAGATACTGAATTGCAATATCCTCTGGCTTCAAGGTGGTGGTATAAGGTGCCCTTCGGGTATGGTTGTGATACTTATATTTGTCCGAAGGCCTCGATAGAGGGATGGTGGAGGAGTAGCTATAGAAGAAGAAATCCAGGAAACCACAGTTGGAATCGCAGTGTCCCGTCTGCGGCGCTCTCGATTCCATGTCTGATGGTCTTGATGCTGAATTCATGAAGAAGTATGCTGGCGAGCTGGTCAACAATATTCACGCTCTTGTCGCCCACGAGGACTACAAGGTCAAGGTTGCTGTCTCTGGTGCTCTTGGTGCCATTGCCGAGTCTCTTGGACAGGAGTTCACCCCCTACTTCGAGCAGACCATGCTTGCACTTGGCACATACCTTGCCGTCAAGGACTCCGAGGATGAGCTCACCCTGAGCAGCGGTGTGAGCGACTCCATGGGTCGCATTGCCTCTGCCGTTGGCCCCAAGGTCTTCCAGCCCTTCGTCGTGGATCTTATGACTGCCAGTGAGGAGGCCCTGCACCTCGACAACACCAGACTTCGTGAGAGCAGCTTCATCTTGTGGAGCTCCCTCGCCAAGGTCTACGAGAAGGACTTTGCTCCCTTCCTGCCCGGTGTGTTCAAGGGTCTGTTCGATAGCCTCGAGCTTGAGAAGGAGGAGATTACCCTTCAGTTGACCGAGGCTGAGAAGGGCATAGTAGGCACCACCGAGGATGTTATCACTGGTGTTAAGAAGCTCAAGATCCGGAGAACTGACGAGGGGGAGGAGGACGAGATATAGGCGATGACGACGGCGACGACGACTGGGAGGAGATCGGTGTCTCCCCCGAGGCACTGGAGAAGGAGGTCGCCATTGAGATTATGGGTGACGTCATCACCTATGCCTACGGCGGAGCCGAGATCAAAGAATACCTAGAGAGGCCGTCGAGATGATTGCTTCCCTTGCCGAGCACGGCTATGAGGGCTGCCGCAAGGCTGCTATTGCCACATTGTAGCGCGCTTATGCCCGTGTCTAGCAGGTCATGGAGGAGGAGACTGGCTCCAGCTAGGAGCCTGGTCTTCCCCTCAAGCAGACCCCCACTGTCACTCTCGTCAAGCTTGGCGAGATCGTGGCCAAGGCCACGCTCCAGAACTGGAACAAGGAAGCCGATCGGTATGTCTACCCCCTTATCTCCCACAATGCACGATTTCATGATGAGCATCGCACGTTATACCCAGCTCACTCTTACGCATTTATGCGAATGTTGAGAACACGTCACATCAACTCCTAATTCTATCTATTCTTTTCTCCTCTTCAACACATTCTCGTTGATGAATTAGTACTAGTAGATGCTAGCTCTGTCGTTACCGAGATCAACCGCAACGTCGCTGCCACGCTCAAGGCCTGCGGTCCGTCCATACTCGCCTAGGAGAACATGAAGGAGATCGTCACTATCCTGACCACCATCATCACACGGTCTCACCCCTGCTAACAGGATCTTGGCGACGAGGATGAGGACCATGGGGTCAGGGCACATCCGAGTACGACTGGCTTGTCATTGACACGGCTCTCGATGTCGTGATCGGCCTTGGCGTTACGCTCAGCCCCTCCTTCTCCGAGTTGTGGAAGGTCTTTGAGAAGCCGATCTTGAAGTTCGCCTCTTCCGAGTCTGAGAACATTGAGCGCTCGACCGGTTTTGTTGTTATCGCTGAGTGCGCTGCCAACATGGAGGCTGCCGTCACCCCGTACACAGCCAAGCTGCTCAACCTCCTTCCCAAGCGCCTCTCGGACACCGACAACGAGACGAAGAGCAACGCTGCTTACGCCACCGGGCAGTTGATTCTCAACTCCACTGACAGCAACACATACCTTCCCCAGTATGAGAACATCCTGCGCAAGCTTGAGCCCATGCTCCAAATCCAGGAGGCCCGCATCAAGGATAATGCGGCCGGCTGCATCTGCCGCATGATCATGGCCTACCCCGACCGCGTTCCTATCAGCGAGGTTCTCCCCGCCCTTGTTGGCCTGCTTCCCCTCAAGGAAGACTTTGAGGAGAACTCGCCTTTGTACGAGTGCATCTTCAAGCTCTATCAGGCACATGAGCCCACTGTCCAGGCCCTGACTCCTAAGCTTATTCCCGTCTTCGAGGCGGTTCTCACACCCCCAGCTGACCAGCTAGACGACGAGGCCCGTGAGATTGTCCGCCAGACGGTGACCCTTCTCTTTAATGCGAAGCAAGATTTGTTCAGCAGCCGTCCTAATGTGTTGAAGTTTGCCGGCCTTGCCTAAGCGAGAGGTTGGGGTTTTTAAGTTGCGTAGCATGGTATGGGTGGATTTTTACGACTTTTCCTGCATGGTGAGCGACGAGTTCGGACCTGGTGATCAGACAAAAGAGCTGTAATGAAGATAAACGTCTCTAGGGCTGAACAACTTATATGGGTAAAAGGGGCACGTGGTAGACCGCATGGTCTTTTGGGAAATTGAGGCTGGTGTGCCATCATTCCAAGTTATCGGGTTAGATGATGATGATACCTGAAGACTGTTCCAAAAAAATTACTCACTTTATCAACAGTGCCTTTGAGCCCAAAAGGATGTTATTGATTAAGTTTGCATGATAATCCGTGAGTAACAGGACTCACGGGGCAATGGTGCATTGATGCATGTAACAGGTACTCTAGTCCTGGTCTCTCCTCCTTTATTGAACTTGCGGTTGGCTATAAGCTGTACATTATCCGCCCTTCTTGCGTAAAATCCAGTCCTGTATAGTGCCACCTTACTATCGACGACGCCGTCTGACTGTCAATGAAGCATGGACATTTTGAAACATGTGTCTTTCTAACGAATTTTCAAGTAGAGAAAGTAGTGCCTAACCTTAAAATGACTTCTAGTGCTCCCCAATACGGCATTGCACTCAATCTGATTTCATTACAATTTGGATCCTGGAAAGCGGTGAAAAAGATCGGTATTTGAAGAGGGGACATTTCTGATTTTGAAGCTGACTCGATGGAAGAAGGAACCAGCAGGCAGAGCGCAGGGCGGCTAACACAAACCAAGGAATCCGATACCTTCACGTGACGGGGCGGGGAAAACAGCGAATACCCGTCCCAACTGCGCGAATATCCCTCAACAATCACACCCACAAAATCAACATTTCAACCCGCCTTCTCAGTCATTTGCAACCTAACAAATCAAAAGAAAGCAACAATACACCATGTCGCTTATTCATGTCGTTCTCTTTCAGATGCAGGCAGACGCCAAACCCGAGGATGTCAAGGCTGTACGTGTACCTCATCTTGTATCTCGCTCACCTTTCGTTTCTGTTCCATTCATGTCACGCAATAAAAAGAAAGAAACTGAACGCAGCCTCTTGGTCTACCTACCTAATCAACACGTTCTAATTGTTTCTCTGGCATCTGCATTTTATTTAGGCTTGCGACAGATTCCTGGCCCTCAAGGATACGTGCATCCACCCAACCGCACAAACCCCTTACATCAAGTCTGTGACTGGTGGTAAGGACAACTCGCCCGAAGGGCTCCAGGTAGGCAACTCAGAAAGAAATTGACGCAAAAAAAATACTTTCCCCCTTTTTTTGATCAAACAAATGGAATAAAAATATCACAGAATGGCATCACGCATGGCTTCGTCGTCGAGTTTGCCTCGGCCGAGGACAGGGATTACTACGTCTCGACGGACCCTTCGCATCTGGCATTTGTCGCTAGCATCGGTGATGTAGTGGAGAAGGCGATTGTCGTTGACTATAACGCCAACGTCTATTGAAATCAGGGGGTTTTATGTATGACTCGTTGAGACACCGAGAGTCGCTTTCGAACAGAGCAGTACAAAGCTTGAGGGTTCATTTCAGCCTCTGCAGGGGCACGAGGGGACTTTCCATAGGCTTGGCCGGTTTCGTGGTGTCGGGCGAGGAGGCATTTTTTTGGGTACAAGTACCTAATATGAGTGAAAATGAATGAAGACAAGTAGCGTTCGGGGTTCGATAATTATGTTGTGGCAATGTTGGGTTTGTTTGCACATCTACTCTGATTGTAATTGCATGCCCCGTTCAGCTGGTACTCAACTGGTAAAATCATTGCACCTCAGGGGTATTAACTGTCAACTGGCTGATGATATCCAGGTACCAAGTGCCATCAAGTTGCCATGGGTGGGCAGGTTTCTTGCTTTCCCTTGATAAAGAGACCACCACGCGTCACAAAGATTCTCCCCACTGCATACCATATCAGACGTGGCACTTTGTCTGCAAGGGTTAAATCGGCAGCAAGATGCATTACTACGGTATTGCATTGTTCGCACTGTACAGCTATTCATTCGCGTTGAGATTAACTGGAGCTGACTGGTAGAAACCGCCCCCTTAAAAACATCAAATTTCTAAGCTCAGGTTGTGGCTAGGGTTCTTTCCAAGGGCTCGTTATATCTGTACAAAAATTGAAACGCCTCCAATCATAATCCCCGGTGTATAGACTAAAACCCAAAAAAGAACTTTCCCAAAACACCAACATACATTCATCCCATAACGTGGCCAGATAAAAGCACTTTCATCATTTATAAAGTTGGGAGAGGAAAAAAGAGAGGGACCTATATCTTACCAGCAGCCTGCGCAATTTGTACGCCTTGTAAAATGATCTGGATAGTGCTTAGAAAGATGCTCACGCCGCCGACGGTCGTGACAAGCCAAAACGTCCAGAACTGGAGTGTGTCTCTCCGGTCGCGTATGAGGCCACCCATTGACTTTGGGCGGGAGCGATTGAGCTCCTGAGCGATCAGCTCGACCCGCTCGTACAGCACGGGGAAGTGGCGTGCTGCGTAGTACGCACTTCTGTCCCTCGGCATCCACCGCCCCTTCGCCTCATCACCGTCATCGTTATTGTCGTCGTCTGGGGAGGTGTTATTTCGCGTCGCCGATGGCAGCTGCCGCTCAGAACAAAGATATGCGAGCAGTGTGTCTGGCTGCGGAAACGGGGCCACGGCTGGGGAGTAAACTTGGCGGAAGAGCTTGCGCGACTTGGCAGACTGGCCGAACAGCAACCGAAACGAGAGCAGGACTTCGCGGAGGAGTTGACGGATGTCAGCTTCATTGGCGCGAGGATCTGGGGCATCCATTCTCGTCTCGGTGCTGGCAAAGGCAAAGATGGCGCTCTCGTTTGGTCCGTGACGTCCGTTGCTCAGTTGGGAGGCGCAGACGGACGGGAAGCCGAAGAGGGACAGGGTTTTGGTTGAGTTGTCATAGTCCAGGTGCAGGGCCAGTATGTCGACCCATCGAAACCGCACGCCCAGCAAAGTGCGCAAATGATAGGCGTTCAGTTCATCTGGGTATAGAGCCTCCCACGACGCTGCAACCTTGCTGTTTTCCACCGCTGCCTCTGTGGTGCTGCTGCGCGACCGAGCCGGGAGGAGATTGCCGAAGTCTTTGAGGAGGACAAAAAGAGGACGATCGCAGAGATCGGTTTGTGTTTTGTACGAGTTGAATATGAGGCGTGAATCTGGAGCGCCGGTATCATGGTGGATGGCTAGCTCGTCGAGAGGACACACGCCCAGGCCAGGCTGATACACCATGGTCTGCCATCCCAGAACCGCAAAGACAAGGAGCCGCTTTGCGTCAAGCTTGTGGCCGCCATCAGTGTCTTCCAGCCCGACCGTTGCGTGCAGATGGTCGATCACATCATCAACGCTGAAGCCACGGTTGTCGCAGGAATATGTCGCGACCTGGCGAAACACGAGATCGAAAATCTGGTCCTCTGAAATGGGCTTGCCATGGAGACAGAGGCTCGTGACGCTCGGGGGCAGGTTCGAGCGCTGGCTCGCGAGCCAAGTAGGATGCCAGTCGAGATCGATTAGTTCGTCGTGTGTGGAGGCGACCTGAAGTTCGAACGAACCTGCGATGGCAACGCCTTTTTCGCCTGATCGCCTGGAAAAGTGTCGGAGAAGGGATACGCGCCGCGGCGAGGGGATTTCGTCTCCAGTGGAGCTTAGAACCTGCTCTGTTGCTGTTTGTTGTATTAGAAGCTCGAATTGTTATGTTTTCCATTTGGAGGCCGCTGAAAAAAAGAAACACGCGCAAAGTGCGGCACGTACCTGCGCCCGATGTCGTTCCTCGTCTCCGTCGCAAACTGTCTACTAGTGTTCTCTTGTTCCTGGGCCTTGCTTCGGACTTTGCCATGTTTGACGCGACATGACTCCTTGATGAAGAAGTAAGGTGTTGGGGAGAAAATGGGTTCTCAGCCGCGAGTTGCGCATCTCTTCAGCCTCTCCGTGTTGCTGTGCGGCAAACAGGCAGACAACCTAGGATTCTTGTTAGCTGGGCGCTTGACGAAACAGCCACGCCTGACGCCACTTCGCCTAAAGGAATTCTGGGCATTATTGTGTGACTGTGGCGGGCACTCGAGTTTGCTCTGGAAGCTGGGCCATTGGTATAAGCTGGAAAGAGCGCGGGAGTCGTAAGTGGAGACAGCTCAGCTTGCGGAACGGGCCGTTCAAGGCTCAATGCAGATGGATGTTTGGCCAGACCCATTCATTCCATCTGAACTTATCGTCAGAGCCGGAAGGTGCTTTCCTTCGCAAATTCTTGCGCGCCCGGAGATTCTGTTTGGGAATGGAAATCCGTGCCCGCTTTACCGCTTTCAGATGGCGGGCAGCTCCTGCTTTATTAGCCCCCAATCCCGTCAGCGCTCACGTCCCATGCTGTGTGCACTGAGCAGTCACAACACGGCAAGCTGCAGCTTGGCTGTGCCTGCCTCGCAGACATGAGGCACTGTCTCATCCGACCTACCCCACCTCGCGCGAATTCCTTCCTTCCCCGCCGTCTCATCGAGAGGCATCGCGTTTTGTTTCTGCCAGGTCTTCATCCTAAGTCGAGTCTGCTCTGGTGGCGCCTCGAGCCCTGTCGTTCAATGGCATCACGAAATCGTGACAAGGGGCTAGAAATCCCCAGTCCTACCGTGACACCTGCCGATCCTAGTGACAGGGGTCCCCCATCCCAGAAAGAGAGTCAAAGCCCAACGAGCCCCATTTGGCAGGCAGCGATCGAGAAGTATTACAGCGAGCTGGCTAAAGGCGGCGTCAAAGCTTCCCTGATCAACAAGGACCTGTGGAACATTCAAGGCCCCGATGAGCTTATCGCTCAGATTGAGGCCCTTGCCCCCGTGCAGAGCGTTCGATCTAATGCTTGGACAAAAGCCCTGACACAGTTAGGGCCAATTCTCCTTGGCATCAATGACTTTGCCACTATAATTGCCTGGGGAATGGGCATGAACGGCAAAGTGGCAGCCATCCTTTGGGGCTCTATCCGGCTTATCGTCAAGGTGCGATTTCTTTCACTGCCAAAAATGAAGATGTGAGGTTCTCTGACGACATTCAACACTCTCCAGTTTGCCCAGCCTGTGCTGCCCGACATTATCGAAATGCTGGAAAGTCTGCAGCACGCTCTGCCTCGTATGCACATGTACGAGCGAGAGCTCCCGATGACAGAGGCCCTTGAGAAGGCAATGTTCGACATGTACAGCGAGATTATCGTCTTCTGCGCTCACGCCATCGCCTTTTTCCGCAACAACCCCAACGTTAGCCGGAACCGACATGCATGGTCACAGTTTAGCCGAGACTTCGCCGAGGTCATCATCAATGTCCAGAGGTACTCAAGACGTGTTGATGAGGCAGCCGACATGATCAGACTCTCCAGGGAGACACACACAGCTGAGACTGTGGCAGCCTTGAACAAAGACTTGGCAGACCTCCAAATTAACCAAGACGGGCCCAGTCAAGGCGCCAAGCTCCCATGTTTCATGATCCCCTTCGGCCTCAACTTGCGTTTTCTAGGCCGTGACGAAGAGATGAGACGCATGCGAGAAGCTCTCGACCCCCCGGACGAGGCCAACGAAGGCACCTCGCCGAAACTTCGAGCCATTGGGATTCATGGCCTTGGTGGTGTAGGAAAGTCACAATTGGCTCTCCATTACGCCAATACATCCATGGAACGGTATGAGATTATTGCGTGGATTTCGGCCGAGACCCAGATCAAGCTCGTCCAGACATTGTCCGGCCTCGCCAACAAGCTTGGGCTGGTCGAAGGATCCGGGGAAGATGACTACCAAAACGTACAGAGAGTGCGAGACTGGCTGAATTCCGCAAAGAAACCCTTTTTACTGATCTTTGATAACGTTGATAAGATCGAACTTCTGGACCAGATATGGCCTGCAAGCAACAAAGGCTCCATCATCATCACCACCCGATCCCCATCCCAGGCATCCAAAAGGACCACGATAACACTAGCGGTTGAGTCCTTCTCTGCCGAGACCAGAACCAATGTTTTGAAGTCCCTCACAGGAATGGAGCCAATGGGTCAGGAGGAAGTCGCCGCCGCTGCCGAGATTTGCCGCCTTGTGGGAGGTCTGCCTTTGGCCATGGTACAGATTAGCGACTTCATTCGGGACCGGGGCTATTCCTACGGCGAGTTTCTGAAGGTGTACGAAAAGTCTGCAGAGAGGGTCTTTGCCAAGTCTGAACGTCCAGTTGAATACGATCACACGCTTCTCACGACATTCGAAATATCCCTACAGAAGTTGTCAGAGGAAGCAGCCAGCTTAGCGAACCTCCTTGCTTGCTTTGACCCAGACCTCATCCCTGAGCGCCTGCTGACAGAAACCAAAGCCGAAATGGATGGCACAGACTTTGAGTTTCTGTCTGACGACTTTGAGTACGCATGTCAGAATGTACTGCAAAGGCACGACGCTAACTATTTATTCACAGCTTCGGCGATGCCGTTGCCGAGCTCACCCGAACATCAATGGTGAACAGGCTAACGAGTTCCAAAGCTCTGTCAATGCACCGGCTGGTTCAGTTTGCTGTATTTGTCCGACTCTCCAAGGCGGATCGTATCAAGTACTTTGACCTGGCGGTCAATATCTTGTACTTTGACTTTCCAAACACTTGGCAAGTCCGGGGCGCTCATCAAGGCCATGGCTGGGCGTCCTGGGAGACATGCAGCGCCATCCTGCCGCACGTCGGTTGGTTGATGGCCTTGTCCGAGAAGCATGAGGTCAAGTCTGGGAACACTACCATGTGGGCAGAGTTAGTGTTCCGGGCCGGAACGTGAGGCTGCCTTTTTTCCATGTGCCAATTACCGAAGCGCTAACCTTTTACGCTTTGATGCAGATATCTTTGGGAAAAGGAGTTACCATCGCAGGCTCTGTCATTCTTCGAGTTTGGGCTGCGAATCGATGATGGACTCTCTGGTTCCATCGCTGCACAAGCCCACCGGTTGCTGGGCCATATTTCCCTCGATCTTTCCCAGCCGCGAGCCGGGTTGGCTGCATACGAGCAAGCTCTCGCCCTGCGTGAGAAGCTTGAGGCCCCAGAATCACCTCCTATTGCGGATGTTTGTGACTCGATTGCGTGTGCCTACACCGAGGCTGGCAATGTTGAAAGCGCGTTTTCCTACCTGGAGCGGGCCACGGCTATTCACAACGCCTATGATCCGAGCAAAATGTCACGCACTCTCGCGATCCGCGCCATGACGTGCCTGCGCGCCAGCCAAGCCGAGGAAGCTCTCGATGCCATCCGTGCATGCTGGGGCCTCCAGAAAATGACGCAGGAGCAAATCGAGGCGTCCCGGTACCCTAAGCACAGTGGCGATATCATGCTGCTCGCTCGCATCTATCGGCTCCAGGGAAAGAAGGCAGAGGCACGAGAGCTTGCGTCACGGACGATTACTATGCGCCGCGGTGTTTACGGAGAGAAAGGAGGGCCTCGAGTTGCGGATTCGCTGTTTACTGTGGCACGCATGCTCCATGAGGAAGGCGAGCCAACGCTCGCAGCTAGACTTCTCCGCGAAGTCATGGAGATTAGTGGTGATGCGCCTAGTATGAGAACTCATCTAGCGAGGGCTCTATGGTTCTTAGCGGGCATTGAGGACGATATCACCAAGGTCTCGAAAGAACTAAGAGAAGGTTCTGGAACGACACAGAACTCGACAGAGGAGAAGCTCACGGGCCCCGAAGATATGAGAGAACGTGCCAAGGCTGTTCGAAATAGCATCGAAGATCGGGAATGGGCGGACGAGGACAGTGATGAGGGGTTCATGAGGCTTGTTAGTTGGATGCTCTGGTAATTCAGGCATGAGGCACAGATGCTGGACACACACATTATGGTGGAAGCAATGGTCACTTTGGAATGGTACGCAGCAAGGGCTTGGATCACTCAAAATAGCGCGGATGAAGGACAGGAGGCAAACCAGAACAGCAATGGGGGTTTCATCAAGGGGAGATGTTCTAGATATCATGAAACTTGGAAAGCGTCGTTGTCCAACCTAAATGCGTTAGCCTCTTGATTCTCCTTATACCCAATTACCGTGACACGATATTCCTGTCTTTTCAACTCTTTTTGATCACTCACTCTTTTTCGTTCACAATGCACTCACTCGCTGCTGTTCTACTCATCGGCGGGAGTCTACTATCAGCCAAAGCCACGCCCATCGCGATAGTTCAGGGTTTGTCAGAAGACACAGCTAACATTACAGCCCGAGACCTCAGAGGTTCTCTCCCAGTCAGCGCCTCGACGCTCGAGCACAGGTTCCAGCCCGTGACCGACTTTGATACAGACGGTTGCTACTACACGTCGGCCATCGACCCAGATGGCAGTCTCAACCAGGGCCTTTCCGCCGGGAAAGGAAACCGCTAATCTCAGTATCTCCCGCTCGATGATAGCATTCGACCGCTTCATCGTTGCAGCCAAACGTCTAGGTGCGCAGCGCCTGGGGGCGTACTTGTCGCGCTGTGCCGCGTACAGGACCGTCTACGCCCTGGCGGCGACGAACTCGAAGAACCCGCGCCATGAGGCCGTGTCTAGCATCGAGGGTGCGCACGAGGTGCGTCAGGGTCAAGTCTGTTGGCACAGGAGGCCGGGAAGAGCGGAGGAAGACGAGGTGGAGAAGGGGGCCGACGAGATTTGAGCGAGGCGATGTAGGAGACGAGTACGCGGTGTGCGTGGGGATCGAGCGGTGCGCAAAGGGCGGGTTAGTGGTTAAGTGGGCGATGCGGGCGAGTTGGACGGCGGAGGTGTACGCTGTTGGGCGAGGGCTGGTGATGCTAGCTATGGCGATACGAAACTGGGGGCGAAGGGCGAAAATTGGTCTCAATAAAAGCTCAGGAAAACCCACCTTCTGCGCAGAGTGAAAGCGGGGTTACAGGTAGCGCGGGGTACAGTAAGCAAAAGAGAATGCAGCGGAGGACGGTGTCTCTCTTTTTTGGTGGCTCAGTCTTAACGGCTAGGTTCCCGACGTAATGCCGGCATCGCAAAACATCGGTAAGCTCCAAAAGCAACCCGCCAAACAACAAACCCGTCATAATGCCAGATCACCCTACGCGCTCCCGAAACCATCTGCAATCTTCAATCCTGACCCTTTCCAGTTGAAACATCTCAGCTTCGTCTCTAGTCCGCCACCAGCATTTATGCCGCTACCCCACTCACCCCTCCAAAGTACGACTGCGATAGGGCCTCAAATTCATTAATATATTAAAGAATCATATATACGTTATCGCCGGTCGGCATATTTACTAAACTACGCCTAAGGAGGATCACTAGATGGTAACATACTATTACAAACCACTCGACTGTTAGGGTCGTCTGTCTGTAAGGGAGCACGGGCTCCACAGGATGCTGGGGTTGGTAATTATAAAGATAGAACAAATGGCAAGCTCCTATCGCACGGGTAATACAGCCAAATCGGAATGCCACTCAAAGTGTATGAGTGCAGTGAATGTGTATTGCTTGCTTGAAGAACCAAGCAAGAACTATCTAAGACCGTGGGCACGGTCATCGTATTTATCTAATTGTGGCGGGCCAGTAAGAGCACAGCTCTTACTTGCCCGGCAGGAAGGAGCTGCCTGGCACCGGGCACTGCTAGCGTGCCGGGCCATTTGCCTGGTGCCAAGACCCCTCTTGGCACCGGGCCACCTCTGATTGGCCGTCCTTCCGCTTGCCTGGTGCCAAGAGCCCTCTTGGCACCGGGCACCGTCTGACTGGCTCAAGCGACGAGCGGGGTCCCCAGTCATGCCTGAGGCGCCCGCTTCCTGCAGCTGGTCCAGTACGAACCAGGTTCGTCACACATACCCTGCTGTAACCTCATCACTAGTCCCCGAGCTTGCAATGCGCTGACTTTCGTAGCTATATGCACCTGGCCTGTTTCTTGAAGTTGATAGACTATTATATTCATACCGCGGGTCCCACCTTTCGGGTGAGCGGGAGGTACGGCTAGCGTGCCGATTCGGCCGCCTCGCGCACTATCTAGACTACGAAGGAGTAAAGCGAAAGCCTACTAGATACTAGACAGCAAAAGCGAGCAGCACCATCACAAGCATTCGGATAGTACAATCTCGTAGCTTGATAACGACGAGGACGGTGTAAGAGAGGGCAGGTACGCCTGATCAAGGTGGTCACAATGAAGGTAACAAGGAAGGCGAGCAATGACTGATATTGGTGTAAGACTTCAACCTGGCCCTCGCAAAGGAAGGGGGCGAGGGCCACTGTTTATATACATGCTCAGGGGCTCCGTTCCCCGTGACGGCGTGGCGCCATGGTGTGGCTCAGTGGCTGTGCCAGCTGGCAGTGGTCTGGCCAGCTGGTGACAGGTGGTGGGCGTGCACAAGGTGTGCGCGCGTTGACATGTGCTTGGGGTGCTCTTTCCTTACAGAACGGTTATGAGTTAGACTCACGCAATCTATACGCTATTGGTACTCCTTACTATTTGATTCACTACAGCGGTATACTACCTTCCTCTAGCTTACCCACCCAAACCTCACAGTCCTAGGCCCAGCCTAACTCCGTAGAACCCTCGGTGTTCCAGATTGTAACACTGAGAGAAGCAAGCTAACTGCTATAAGTCTGTAGAACACTGCTACAAGCCTGCTACTTAGGCTGTGAGAACTCTGCTTAGCAGTCTACCTCGTAGGTATTACAAACCGCTCGACTGTGTGGGTCTCCTGTTTGTACGGCGCAGATATGGCGCCTGGTTGATAGGGTAAGGTGTGTACGGCTGAATAGAGGGCAAGCTCCTATTGCAATGAAATACAGTTGAACTGTCTGTTACTCAAAGTATATGAGTACCAAGAATGTGTCACGTGGAAAGGGTGCTCCATTTGACCACACAAGCGGTTGAGCCGAGGTTCAGCCATAGTGCTGGCCATACCGCCTAATGCAGGAGGGTCAGAAAAGGCACGCGCATTACGCGCTTACTACACACACGGAGATGCAACAGAATTGATCACTTTTGACACAATTGACGCACTTTTACCTGACTTCACTATATTCAACACGTATTCATCGTCCCCATCCCCAAGGACTGGGCGGGTGGTCTTCGACGACTTAATATAATCTCGAAAGTACGACTTTATTATAGTCTTTTCGCGTTTCTAGTCGTTGCAAAGACCCAACCAAATCTGGTCAAAGTCCCCGCCCTTAAACTTCTTAACGAATCTAATATCTTATCGTTAACGAAGAACAAATAACATAACCTACGAGATCAGGTAGGTACTTACAGCCGCATCGCTTACTATATACGAAACCGCTCTTCTTATAGATAAGGATATACTTTCCGCTTACTATCAAAATTATCATCTACGAGGAACTCATCGTCCTCGTCCGCTTTTCGTTATCGCTCTTTATCGTCGCGTAACTTGACAGGTTTACTAAGAACGAGAACGCGGCGTCGGGATATTTTAACGTGACTCGGATGCTTTCTGCTCAATGTCTACGATAGCGAGAGCTGCCAACAGGAGGGAGGCCCAGCTCCCCTTAAATAAATTGCGCCGCCGCCGCAACGGCGAAGCTGGCGAAACGGCCATCTTAACAGTGCGCCGCAAAAATAACGGTGTTTTCGTCTCCCCGGCAGACAAACCTTTCCCTGAATGTTTGTTGGCGTGGTACTTGGGCAGAATAAATGCCACAGCACAGCAAGATCGGCCAGGAAAAGCCCCAGGTATTCTAGAGATAAGGAATTGAGAATTTTCAAATATTGGAACGTCCCCCGCTAACAAACATTCAGAGATTGGATTCGAGACCTCTCAGTTAACTTGCGTGGTCTACTCCCACCGTGCAGAGCATGGAAATGCAACCAACACGCACCTACGCCCACGCCATAGGCATAGCCCATAGTGATTCACACCTAAGCTTCACAGCTTCCAACATCGCCGAGTATTCATTGCTATGATGTGGCTGGAACGACATCAAGATCTGAAACAGGAACAATGACAAAGAGATCAATGCTGCGGTATTGTGCCCATGTTTAGTTGCTCCCAGCACCTCCAAATAACTAGTCTTAAAACAAAGAACATTGCTGTGAATACAGCTTGCACTTGCCTCCTGCATCGAATAACTATAAAACCCACTACTTGTTTCCCATTTATTTTACATTATAAAAGCATCCCTTCGCCTGTTCTCCTCCCCAGACAACCTTCCCACTGCAATAATAGGTACTCTTACCCAAGACAACCCCTGTAATTAAACACAAACACACACACATCCATATCCCCCCTCCAAAAATGGCCAAGAAGCGAGCCGTCCGCGACGCGCAGGAGCTGAGGAGGGGGTTCACGTACCCGAACAAATGGCTCGCGGCGCCTGACGTCAAGAAGGTCTACGGCACGGACGACTAGGCGTGGAGCTGCTGCGAGTGCCAGCATGCCAACAAGCTCAAGGACAGCCGGCCGGAAAGCGTGGCGTGCGGCAACTTCAAGCAGAGCTGCGAGTACCGCCGCTGCGACGAGTGCACGTACGGCGATGTTGTTTGTAACCCGACTAAGGCTGCTGCTGCTGCTGCTGCTGTTACTATTGCTGCTTCTGCTTCTGACTCTGGTTCGAAATCGACCAATGAGTAGGATAATTAATGATAATTAGTCGCATGGGCAGCATCTAACAGGAATAATCAGTGGCATTTTTGTACATGGCTGATTTTGCTAGATATCAATGAGTTTATTTATTTCTCCTTCTTTGAAACTTTGAGATGACCGTGCCTCCCTGTGGTTAATTATTGGTTATCTATATGACGAATTCCCTAAAGCCTTGATATTTCCTCGTCCTAAATCTTAAGTGAATAGTAATGCCCATCTTTCCCGTAAAGTACTTTAATATATTTCACCAACATGAACAAATCCTGAGAATTCGCATTCCTCCCATTTCAGCCCCCACCTACACGAGACATGGCCTCAGCCACCCCCTATCAAGTATGGCAATGTAGAGTCGCCACTAGATGATAGGGCGAGCAGGAGGCGGTCGCGTTCGGTGGCGCTGACTTTGCAGAACGCTGCCGGCGCGCCCGAGTCGTCGCTGCCGGCGAGGGCGGTGGGCGTCATCTCTCGGCGCAGCGCTGCTCGAAGCGACTCGGGGCTTGACAGCGCGCCCTCGAGCTTGACGAGGTACGTGTGCGTGCTGCCTAGCGAACTGCGGCTGGGCGGCAGCTGGTGGGCGAGCGGCCGACTTGGTGAGCCAGCACGCGTGCTCGTAGGCCTCCTTGTCGAATCCGGCTACCGTTTTGTTGGCCGCGACGGTCTCTCATGATGCCTCGGAAGGGGTGCGTCGGCACAGGTCACGCTTCTTGTCCTCGATTTCTTTGGCGGCCACGGCGTACGTGTATCCGAAGAGGGCCTGCCACCGCTTGACCGTGTCGTGTTCGGGCTCATCTTCTCTTCTGGCCTGGGCTGCGAGCTTACAGCCTGGACCATGGACGCGAGTTCGTCCCATGCATCCATTTGATAGTCTTGGTCTAGATGAACTGTGAAGACTTAATGAACAGTGGTTGAGTCAGTATAGTTGTAAAGGATTTCAAGGCCAGGTGGTGGTTATTTATAGCAAAACGGTTAGGGATAAATAAAGTTTTTTGACTGGCAGGTACTTAATTGTGTTTATTTTTGTGTCTACGTGGTGACGGTGATCAGGGGTTCAGGGGCCGGGTAAACAAGGGGGTTATTTACACCCTTACCCAGTTTCATCTAGTGTACTTCTTTCCTTTTTTTCCTTGGCCTGCCCATCTCATATTCTGGCCCGTGATCAAAGTTGACAGTGGCTTGAAGGGTCTTGAATTGTCTGTCTAAATCCAATCTAATAATACAGGAAAGAAGGCCTTTTATGCTTCCAAGAAAAGGACAAAGGAAACCTGGTTCAATAGTCTGTTCAGTCGTACTACGTAAGGGACTCAGCCGTAGCAAGGGAGAAAAAGAGGGCATTCGGAAGTCCGGGAGTCCGAAAAAAGGGATCAGGGCTAAAAGTAACGAATGAAGGGATACGCAGGGATATGCAGGTATGTGACTTGACAATGTGGTTCAAAAGTGGCTAAAAAGTGGGCGACACATATAAGATAGGCAGCCCGCCCTCCTTCTGGTCAGAGGGACGGCATCGTTCGTTGCCTTTTGTTTCTAGCCATTCTTAGAAATCACGTCTTCTTACCATGAATTGAGATCCCCGGCCAGTGCACGTAGTAGTGCCCTTTTCTTTGGTATATTAACTACCCGGCTATGCATTCCGGTACCTGTACTCTGTGAGACTCGCCCGCGGCTCGCCTTGGTGTTCTTTTGTGTTGCATTTTCACCGGTTCAATGGGTACAAGTTATCTTACTTGAGTAATGAATCTAACTGTGAAAGTCGCTCCTTGAGTAGACAAAATAAAGTTTATCAACCGGTAGGTATGAGTCCATCGAGGCCGTTGTATATTTGAACTTTTAATTTATACGGCAAATGTTTAATTCTGTTTAGTTTGGCACTTATTTGCTAACGGGTGTGAAGCCATTTTACTTCGGCGATAAAGCTAAGTTGCCGAAGTCGCTCCCAGAGTCGATAAATAAAATATCTAGAAATACTGGGTTTACTGACTCACGCTGCTATCGAGTTTGACAAATTTCTGTAAGATTTGTTGAGAATAATTAGTTAGGTGTCGACATATATAGCACAATACCTCAATGTCTATTAGCGTAGTACCTAGAATAGGTATTAATTCTACTAACGACTACCTCCCTCAGCGAAGAATTTCAGGACGAGCTGTAAGTTATCAAAGCATCTTAAATCTTGGAAAATCCCCCCTAATAATTATTTAGTGGGTTGGCTTGTAAGACACAGTGGAGAAAGCTTCAGCTCGACAAAATTATTTTCACTATTCGCGGCCTCGAAAACGTTGAAGCCGTCAAGAGTGTGTAAGAATTTGGTGGCAAGGTAGCAAACGATACGAGATATATCCAGAAATCTATAGCCAGGCTAGATTCCAACAACCCCAAAGGTTGAAGCACCATGACAGGGCACATTACCACAGTCTACAAAGGTTACGAAACCCCTCAAGTCAGTCCTTGCTCTTAGGCTCCACAGAAATAACCTCTTTCGGAGCCTCCCGGGGCTGTTGCTGTTGTTGCTGCTCGATGTCACGGACACTATCTGCTGACGCCTGCTCTGAAAGCCCGTTTCCGCTCCCAACCTGCTTCAACGCCGCCTCTCCGTGAGCCCCTTCGGCTTTCTCGGCGCTCGTCATGTTTCCTGTCGCACCAAACTTCAGCCCCAGCCCGCGCCCGCCGCTCTTGGCCGACATGCGCGCCGCCATTTGCGGGAACAGGAAGCCTGGCGGGAACACGGCCAGTAAGACGCACGAGATAGCGACCATGCTGCATGGTAAGTTTTGTTAGCATGTCGGAGTGGGAGTCGAAATCAGTTGGCAGTAGGGTTACAAGTGATGAAAGTTTGGATGTTGATGAGAAAAGGGAGGTTCCTGTTCTACTCACAATCCCTCAAGGACAATAAACGACGGCTCGTCCTGCATGATCTTGTTTCCCCACCCGCCAGCCATCTCGGCGATACTGTTGTGGCGTGGACAAGCCCGGGTCAGCACTTGGTTCAGTTATCCACGCTTTCCATCCGGCCAAGCAATGACTCCGACCACTTGAGAACACCGGCACAACTCACCGATAGATGCAGCGGATCAAGATGCCGCTGTACGCCGCGGTGGCGGCGTAGATGAAAGCCCTGAACTTCTTGTCGTGCCACAGCGCGACCGCGTCCTGGCGCGGCACCAGGCCCGTGCCTGCCCCGTCTGCCGCTGCTATCCACCGCTTGACGCGGAGGTAGTAGTCTGCGCAGGTGGTGCCGAAACAGAGCAGCACGAAGACCTGCAGGGTGATGCCGGCGATGATGGCGCGGTTGCCGTGCTGGAGCATCGAGAAGTTCGTGGAGCCGGCGCTGGCCGCGAGGGCGCCGCCGATGGCCTGGACCAGCAGGCACGACACGTCGAGGGGCACGAAGATGAAGGGAAAGAGGTGTGGGCGCACGCGTGAGAGCTCTGGGTTGAGCGACAGGCACACGTGCTTCAGCGTCAGGTAGATGGACACGCACGCCAGTGTCGGCGCCAGGACGATGGCGCAGATCTGCGTCTCAAAGGCTTCCTTGTTCCAGGGGTTGTCGCTCAGCGGGATGCGGGCTCCATAGCCTGTTGTGTGAGGCGGCGCCCAGGCGCACGTGTCAGCCGAGTGCCAGCAAGAAACGAAACTGAAATGAACATGAAAGATTGTTCCTCATCGCTCATGTCTCTTGATGGTTGGCGACAGGACAGTTCTTATCACCATCCACCTCGACAATTTCAAACAAAGTAAGTGCACAATGGCTTGTGACTGCGAATAAAAAGCCAGGGATTGGCCTACCGGCGAGCTCCAGCGCACAGCCAGCAGTAATGAAAGCCATGTAGCTCCACGTCTTCTTCCACGTGCCTAGAGTCAGGGTGGTGACCATGGCCAGGCCGAACACAATGGCGAAGAAGTAGTTGATACCTCTGTTGGGAAAATAGCCAAGAGTGGTGGCCTGGACAGGGCAGAAGGCCGATATCTGGGTGCATGAGTAGTAGTAGGCCCCTAGGTTGTCAACACCGGCCCCGCCCCCCGTCTCGGTATCAAAGCCTGTGGTGTTTTCCATGGTTGGCGCCGAGATGGAGGTTGAGAGGGATCGGGGTCACCGGCGAACGAAAGGAACGAGGTGATGGTTCACTCTCCCGACCTACTCAAGCCTTTCGGCTGACTACTTTCAAGGTTCGGGGCGGGAGCAAACGTGTCTTGAATGTTGGCGATGCTGAACTAGCGATGTTTCACAACCGGAACGGGGCTCCCTGCGGAACGGGGCTCCCTGCTGAATTCCGCAATCGAGGATTCTAGATTTCGGGGTAAATACGGATTGACCAGTGACTTCAGCGATGAATATCATGGAACGAAAATGTGTCACTTGGGCGCCTCGGCCGGAAGCGAACTAATGTAGTCGGTCAAGCACGGACGGAGGCGGAGATGATGCAGCAGTTCTCGTGTGTCGCCTCCATAATGAGACATGGGATATCTGGCGAGGCTGTCAACCCGGATTGCGCGAGGGCGAGGGCGGGGGGTGGCCAGACCAGTCCATATCTTATATGCCCGGCTTGTGAATTGCCTATCACCAGCGACTTGAACACGGCCAAGCCAGCCAAGACAAGCCCCGCCCTATCGAAAGGTGACGGCGACAGTTGATGGACGAGGGTTTTGGCATCCGCCGTTCCATTCGGCTCCAAATCAGACCAGCAAACGCGACTGCGCTCACCCCTTGGGAGTCCTTCCAGTCGGGCATACCGTATACCGATCCTTTTCGACCACTGACCATTTACCATTGGCCATTGACAATTCAACACCAGACGGAACACACGATATGCGGCTCTGGAGGCGCATCTTGCGCACATAACCCCTCTTTGCAAGACTAATAAAAGTCTGCGACGACGCCCGGGCATGTGAAAACGGGTCTCCGCATCAATTTGCACACGTGGGTTGCAGACCATGTTACTAAAACCCGAGGCGCGGGGGCCGAGTCTGGAGTTGTCAAACTTCGATGGGAAAGACGGCAGAAGAAGGTGCGGAGACGTTCCAAAAAAGGCGACAAGTTCACCCACACTCGAATAGAGATTGGCGGGAAACGGCCTGGGCTTTCCCCACAAATCGATATGCAATGCTAGAAGGTAAAAAAAAAAAAAAAAGTAGAAAGGCGTTGATGGAATGTCAATCCTGGTCAGAATTAGACTTCGACCTACTGTACAAAATGGTAATGGTAAAGTTCTCGAGGTGGAGCACGAACCAAGCCGCGACACACGTGTCAACTTTATGCCCTAATTATGTTATGCATGCATCGTTTTATGTACATGTACATTGGAGCTCGGCCTTGCACCACCAGCGCCAAATCTCGACAAAACGTGGAGGGATGACCGACAACTGTCGTCGCGCAGACGTCGAATTGGCCCAAAGCCGAGCCCAACGCCACGCCATCGCCCTCTGCACCTAGCGGCACGCAACGGCTGAAGCTTCACTAGGGCACTACTAGCTAACACGGTAGCGGTGGCCGCTACACGCAGGCGGATGCCGTGAGAAGACTGCCTTCTCCCCCCAATTTTTGTGTTGTTGCTGTTTGTTGCGTTGCTGTTACCCGACCATTGACCATTCGAGGCAGGCTGCCGCGACATGTTCACTTTTCTCCCGAGCCCGACTCCTCCTTCCCCGCCCCCTCGTCGCTGAGCCAGCGGTAGACGACCGAAAAGTCGCGCCCCTTGCAGCGGTCGTCGGCCTCGGCCGCCTCGTACACGCCCGACGTCTCAGCCGCCAAGGGCAGCCTGGCGCCCTTCTCGTCGGCGGCGCGCATGGCCAGGCGCAGGTCCTTGCGCATCAGCCCGATACCGAAGCCGCCCTTGTAGTCGCGGCTGGCGGGCGCCCCGGCCACGACGCCCGGCACCGGGTTGTTCACCTCGCTCGGCCAGCACCGCCCCGTGCTGACGTTGATGACGCGCGCGAGCACCTGCGGGTCCAGCCCCCACCGCACGCCAAAGTGCATGGCCTCGGCCGTCGCGATGTTCTCCACGGCGAGCAGGTAGTTGTTGGCCAGCTTGGCTGCCAGCCCGGACCCCTGCGCGCCGCAGTGCAGCACCCTCGCCCCCATGCGCAGGAGCACTGCCTCGGCCACCAGGAACACGGCTTGAGACGCCCCTACCATGAATGTCAGCGTCCCCGCCGTGGCCCCGACCACGCCGCCCGACATAGGCGCGTCCACAAAGTGCCCGTCCCACGCCCCCGCAGCTGCCGCCGCCGCCGTCTGCGCCGCTACCTTGTTCGACGTCGCGGGATCAATGGTCGAGCAGTCGATGAAGAGGCGGGTCTCGGGTCTCGGCGACGATGGCGGCGGCGCGCCCGTGAGGATGTTGTTGTACGTGGCCAGAACGTGTTCTGGTTCCGGCAGGCAGGTAATGACGGTTGTCTGTAGAGTCCGGCGTTCAGGTCAGCCGCTGGTGCCATCCACAGAAGCGCAAAGGGAAGTATGCTTTTTCCTTATTTTCCTTCTTCCGCGAGAGACAAAACCGGGGGAGATCATACCGCTTCTCGCGCCGCTTCATGCGCGCTGCTTGACACCTCGGTCGTCGCCCCGAGCGGGCCCTGTACTGTGCTAGTCTCCTGCGCCAGCTTCACCGCCACCGACCGATTGATATCGTAGAGCCGGAGCGTGTCAGACGACGGCAGCTTGGCGCCGAGGTTGCGAGCCATTTGGTAGCCCTGCCAGCGAGCGGGGTCGCCGAAGCCCCCGGGTCAGCCCACTTACGACTCCCAATCTCGAGACCACGGCGTCCGCCGCCAATGGCGCGTAGAATCATAACATACCATCTGCCCCAACCCAATGAAGGCGTACGTGTCCAGTCTGCGCGGCGTCGTCGAGAATGCCCGCCGTGGGCCACGAGCCGCCGCCAGCGTCGTCGCTGACGGCTTCCTCCATGCTATTCTCCTCGTAGCAGCTTTCATATCTGCCCAGTCGGCCGTATGGTGGTCAACAAACCGTAGACTGCGAGTTTCCTAGGAGTCCCCAATCAAGAAACCTAGCAATAATAGAATACCAATGCACGTCCTCGGTTTGCTGAAAGTATTGATCGTCCCAGGTTCCAAGGTTCCTCGCTCCCTCTATTTACAGCCTACATTCCCCCCTCCTCGCGTCTCCCTTCACTAAGATGGACGGAGTGATGGATGCAATGGCGCGTGACACAAGGCGGGGAGAGTGGGTTACCCAGAGGCTAGCTAGGTACCTAGGTAGAGCGAGACAGCCGTCCGTCGACCCGAGACCATTCACGGGCGGCTCTTGTGCCGACCCTTGCCGAACTCACATGGTTTCCCCTCACCAGTCACCCACGAACCCCCGAACAACAAGAACCCTCGTAAAGAATAAGGTCAAGGGGGCATCGGAATCGGGTTGGTGTCTTGGTGTGTGCTAACAAAGAGCCAAGGAGCGCTTGAGTTAAAAGACTGTGCCTGAGGTGTCAATTGCTACACAATCCCTAATGAAATAATCCGGGGTCGTTCCCGCTTCAGCCCCAGCCAGCGGTTCGTGAAAGTTTGTCGGGCCGGACCACCAGCGAGGGAACATCCATTATTTCAAGACAATGCATTCTCCGTCTTTGGAGTTGGCTCCGGCGCTACAGGCATCATGCCTGCCTACCATAATCACACGCGCAGCTTTCGTGTCAAGGATGCACAGCTCAAGAGCAGTGCACTCATTCTCTATATTCTCTCTCTCAGCGCGAGACAAAAAGGTTCCTGATCCATTTCATTACAAAGGGTTGGGCATAATGCGCAACAAAGCGATCGTGCCTACAAAAACAAAACCAGAAAAGAGAGGAAAAAGGAGAGCCGACCGAGTTTCTTCCCCTCCTCACTCCTCACGCCTCCCAACTCCTCCCCCAGAGTCCTCCACAAGTGCCTGCCAATCCCGCATCCCAAGACATGTATGCGTATATGTGTGCGTGTGTTCGCGAGGTGCTTCCAACGCCCAAGATATCAAAAATGTAACGCGAGTGTGTGAGTGTCCGTGTGCGTTCGCGTTTGCATATTCGTACATTTCGGTGACTCGAGTCGTCCATTCAATACGACGCCTAGGCCCTAGCCATTGAAAAGACATGCGCTCAAGCATATCGACTTTGGAGTAGGGGGGGAGGCGGGGGCCGGCGACCAACTCCTTTTTTCCCTCCTCTTGTTGTTCTCTCAAAAGCGCGAGCGATAGCCGTCGCAGGGGTATGTGCAGAAAACGACAAATGAAAGAAAAAGAGCCAAAAAGAAGATTGGAAAACTTTCGAACAGGAGGGTGGAAAAGAGACTGCCCTCATCTGGTTGTAGACTTGCTCTGAACACTCCTGCCTTCGGTAAACCCTTGAAATATTTGGTGGTAAAGCGTTGTGTCGGAGGCGGTTATTTGCAAAGAGCGGACTGTCAACTACTGCTCTCCCGAAGGTCAAACGACACAAAACCAGCGCACTCTCACATACAAAAAACAAGCCTCAGCTAAGAACTACCGACAAAACGTCAAACGTCCTGAGGTGTAGTGGTTGTTCCACAAACAGACTCAAGAGTCGGTTCATAGTACGTTCGTCACAAACGATGTGAGCACTGGCCAAAATTGACTAATGGGTTTAACCGGGATTAGCTTAAGACTATTCTCATGTCGAGGAGAATGAATCAAGAAAGGAGTTTTACCTAATAGCTACCCCCGCAGCTCCCACAGTAATGGTGGCGGTAAGTCCCAGAGCGGCACGCTTCCGGACCTTATCCTTCTTCAGTTCCGCGTCAGTTTTTACCTTCTTTGCCTGTCGGGGCTCTTCTGTGCTCTGGTCCTTGTCTTTACCCTCGTCCTCGGCGATCTCGTCGGCTTTCCGCTTGTTCTTGTTGCTCGGACCTGCTGGAGTGGCATCCGGAGTCGGGACCGGGTCCGCTAGTGCCTTGGTAGCTGCTTCGACCATGGCCTTGGCCTCGGCGACAATCTTGGCAGAGTCCTCGGCAGAGGGTGGCTCCCCGAGAAGAGGAACCTCGACCTCTACCTTGGTGTGCTTCACCTCATCGCCGTGCTCGTCTAGCTTCACATCTTCGTCGATCTGGACCTTGATCTTAGGCTCCTCTTCTACGGGCGCCAGGACGACCGCGGGCTCTTTCTCGAAAGACTCAATCTTGATGTCGCCCTCGTCCGCCTGCTCTAGCTTGGTTACTGTGCTTGCAGTAAGAACCGGAACTGGGATCAAGGACGGAGTTTCTCCGTTGATGGACGGAGACACCGATTCCTTGGCGCTGGTTAGTGGTGTTTCGGTTGTGATGGAGGACTGGGACGAGGCGACCCGTCGCTTCCGTGGGCTGGCGATGGCGCGCCGGCTGCTGCCCGTCGACTTAGTCGGGCTAACCGAGCGGCGGCTTCGCCTGGAGGCGCTCGGCGTCGGAGGGGCGAGACCTGGCTGTGCGGCGAAGACATACTTGGGGGGCGGCGCAATCTTCTTAGGCGGGCTGCTGTCGGCCGGGGGAGTGATGGTGATGTCGGACGGGTCGAGCAGCGCGCGGATCCACGGAATAATCTGGTATTCCTCAGCCAGGAACAGGGCCTGCTCTGGGGGAATCCAGACGTTGCCGGCGGTCTCGTCGCGGCTCGTCGTCGGGAGCGATTTCATGTATTTGCGCTCAGCCTCCTCTTCCTCTTGGGCCGCATACGGGAAGGTAGCCTTGAACATGCCGGTAGCGGAAACGAAGCCATCCTGGCTGCGGCGCATGAGGAAGTAGCTGGGTGGCGAAGACTTGAAAATCCCCGACACGATACCCTTGGGCAACGGGGCTCGCAGGTGCGCGTAGTCGAAGGCGCCGAGAGCCGGCGAATCCGGTTCGAGGCCCGGCACAGACGCGATCATACGCGGAGTGAGCTGGGTCTGTCCAAGCCGGCGACGAGCGGCAAGCTCGGCATCTACAAGAGAAGCGACAGGTCAGTGGCACGGTCGGGATTGAGCGGCAAGGGGGCGGCAAGAGTCCTTACGGGCGGGCACATCCTCAATCAGCAGAGGGTTGTGCTGAGCTGGAAGCGGTCTGTTAGGCGCCATTGTTTATCGGACGGGCCCAAGCGACTGGATTCTGAATATTGCGAGAAGCGGATGGGGCTCCCGAGAAAGGCGGTGAACCACAGCTGATGAGAGTCGCGGCGTGAAAGAGAGTCGCGACGAGCGAAATCTTTGCGCGCGATTCGCAGGGGTGCGCCTTTCGCAGGTGCCGCGAAAGAAAACCGCCGTCAGGATTGGATCAAAAGAGGTGCCCTCCACGTGCGCTACAAGTCGATTAAGATGACCAAAAAAATTAATAGAACTTAAGACTGAAAAGAAAGACGTGCACGCAGCACTGGAATGGGTGGGTAGTGCCAGTTTCGCGATGCGATCAAGAAGCTCGATTTTTGAACGGTCGCGCAATCTGCAATCTGTCTCGGGGAACGAGCAACAGATTGGAAGAAAAGGCTGGGGGGTCTGGGGGAAGGAAGTACCGGCGTGGTCAGGCTCGCAGCGAGAGAGACGATGCAGCTCTTTGCAAAGCACTGGGGGGGGACCTCAATAGCGCGACTCGGGCTCTGGGGAGGGTTTAGCGTGCAGCCACGGACCACGGGCCGCCAGCGCACCTTCTTTTTGTGGGTGACGGGTGACGGCCGGGGCGACAGAGCCTTTGACAGGCGGCCACTCTGCCAAACGTCTTCATCCGCCCTGGGCCATTGGGTTCCCAGCTTCCCCACCAGCAGAATATCGGGTTGCAGGGCATAAGCGGAGAAGCAGGGGCTCTCCCACTCAGGCGTCACGCTTTCGTGGGGAGCTTGAACGCTCAACATTCGGCGAATTGCATCCTCCCAAGTTGCGCGCAGGGCGAACCAGTCCGTCTCTCTTTCCTATTCGATGGATGGCACTTAATGCGCTGTTCAGGCGCTGGGCGGGAACGGAGGGATTGGAGTTCAAGGCTCAGGCTCAAAATAGGTAGGCAAGTACAAAGCAATTGCGCAATAAGGCTTCACGAATCTTGTACCTCTCACTACTGTATCACCGGTGCCTGGATAGCGAATTTGTTCACGAGGCAAGCAGGTCAAGCTGTCATGATGCCTTGCTGTATGTCTCGTTGGCAGCTGAGTCCGATTGCCATATCATGTGGGCCTTTGTAAGCTCATCGGCTCCGGGACAGCAGAGGCAAGTCGGTGGGTATTGAAGTCTCCAAAATCTCCTTAACACTTCGGATAAAGCCTCGCTTCCCTGAGGTTGAGGGTTAAATGATGGTTACAAAGTATTTAGCCCTGAATTGAAGAACTGCAAGCTAAATCGGCAAGTGGGCTAAGCCCCCGGGGTTGTCTTGGTCTTTCCCCCAGACTCTTCGGAGAATGGCTCGTTCCGATCCGTGCTGTCTCCAGACAACCCGCCAAGCTCGGGCCCCGTTACGAATGAGCGGTGAATGCGGGTCTAGAGATTTGGGCTTCGAAGTCTTGGCCCGCCTTCAAACTTCAGACCCAGACTTGAGGCCTGTCCAGCAACCGCACATGAATACTGAGCGATTCCTTTGAAAGACTTGTGGCTAGCTTGCAGACCTTTGGGAATTACGATTTCGATCAAGATGTGGGTTCGAAACACTCGGATTAGTATGGACGTGGATAATTTTCTATCTTGGCATCAGCAAGTTTATGTGGGCAAGTGCTAGTGAAATAGCACCGCAACACCGAAGTGCGGGGGCGATTAGCACCCCCTAATCCGAATAAATTCGATATCAATTCCATTGCTTTTTGGTGAACATTTGTCCAGAGCTTACTTGGATTGGCGAACATGAAAGATGGAGCCCCGCCCCGCCGACCGCGTGGCATGGTTAATACGCTGAAGGCCAACAGAGGTCGGCCTCCGTTTCGCACCTGGCCCGTCGAAACCGCGCGGCGTCCAATTACACGTATTTATAGCAACCCGACAGCACGGCGGACCCCTAGGTTCTTAGCTCAGCGGTGTTTGATGGCTGGCCCTGTCGGCCTGGAAACACGCCCGCCTCAACGTTGTCGGTGGCATTGGCATTCCGTAGGAGTGGAAGTGCCGCTGGTGTCCGCCGGGGCCATTCAACCTAGCACAAGACCAACCGCACTAAACGATTGCGAGCGGCGTCAGTCTGTGTTCCAGAAGCCGCGGTGGTCCAATGATGACGCCGAGCCGCAGAGCGGGCGGCCAGCGAGCCCCACAAAGGGGGGGCGGGGGCCTAAGGTTGACCAAGGGAACCGAAGAGAGCTGGCGAGCCCCTCTATTCCCATTTCGCCCCTCACTGCGTCAAGGCCAAATAGAAAACCCAGGAACTCCCATCGCCGTGCCCTGCCCTGCCTGCCCCCCTCCGAGTCCCTTGACCTGCGAGTGAAGCCGAACGTATTGCCAATTTCCCGTGCCTGAATTGTTTTCCCCAGCGAACAAGCACGAGCACGAGCAAACCCAGCTGCGAAACCTCTCAAAACTCACCCACCGGTAGCTCGTCAGCTTCCATCAATCGCCTACCATGGCCACCCAAGACGATGATCTGATGCCCGAGAACGACTCGGGCTACAAGATCTCGCAGCCCAAACAGAGCTTGGCCCAGTACCAGCAAATGGGTAAGTCGACCGGACTGCGATTGCTATTGCGCTGCGCTGTAATTCTTTCCCATCGTTCTTTGGCTGTATGACATTTTGCTGCTGCGGCTGGTCACGGGGGGAGAGCGAGGTCGGGGAAGGCGATGGATTCATCAAACAGCCAAACGAGCCACGAGCCACGCGCCCAAAACAAGTGCTCCATCATCCGCCCAAGACGTTACGGAAGCTTGAAAGACCGTTTCAAAGTTTGACGGCTCTTTTAAAAACCGAGCATTGCACTATTCACAAATCCCCTCCATTGCTCCTGCAAGCAACGCCCTTGGTTTCTTCGCCTAGAGGCCCCTCCACCACTGCGCCCGGCGTCGTCCTCTAGTCGCTACCATCTACACTCTTCAGCGTCGATCTCCGACGAATAAATACCCTTCACGACGGCCCCCTCTTCTCCCACCCCGGCCTGCGCCCCTCCGCGTACGCGCTACGCGTCCGTACACACAGCTCGTCGCATCTGCCCCTCGAACCCCGAGCATACTTGCTCGCGCTCTAGTGTCGATGACGGTTGTTCCGTCCACTAGGATACGCGCCAGTTTGTCGCGCCTGAGGCCGCCGATATGCAAGCTCCCAGGACTCCGCGCCCTCAAGTGAAGTTTGCGGACCTGGACCCGGCCCAATTGGGCCCCCTAACAAGTTCTGGAAGGCCATCTGGTGCGCTGTTGAGGGTATTGAGTGACAACCCCGGCGGCCTGGAGCAGGGGACTCCGTTGCGACCACGTCGGAGATGCCGCTCTCCCTATCCGCGCTCCCTGTCCTCGTGTGATCTGGATTCTCAGGAAACCGATCGTGCGGGCTCGCCGCTTTCCCCTGCCTTTGGACGCCCTGAAATGACGTTGCCCAGTCTTCCAATTACTAACAGAAACGTCAAATCAGATGCTGGCGATGAGTCCCTGCAGCGGTACAAGGAGTCCCTTGGCCTCGGCGGCGGGGCGGATCTTTCCGACCCCAACGATCCCCGCGTCTGCATCATCCAGTCGCTGTCCATGGAGGCCGAAGGGCGGGACCCCATAGTCATTGATCTCTCGGTCGAGGGCAGCGAGAAGGAGCTGGTCAACAACCCCTTCACCATCAAGGAGGGCGCCAAGTTCACCATGACGGCCAACTTCAAGGTCCAGCACGAGATTCTGAGCGGCCTCCACTACGTCCAGTCCGTCAAGCGCAAGGGCATCAGGCTCAGCAAGACCAGCGAGATGATTGTAGGCATTATTTCCGTGCCACCGAGACAAGTTTTGGTTAATACTTGCTGACACTACGGTCTACAGGGCAGCTACCCTCCCAATACTGAGAAGAACCCGATCTACACCAAGAAGTGTATGTTTGCTTTCCACAATCCTTGCAGCGTCTCTCTTCCGTGGCGCCGGCTAACATGAGCAATTTTTAGTCGCCGAAGAGGAGGCGCCGTCCGGCATGCTGATGAATGCCCACCGAGGCACCTATCACGCCACGTCGAGCTTCGTCGACGACGACAAGAAGACGCACCTGCAATTTGAATGGGACTTCAAGATCGCCAAGGACTGGTGATTCTACGTACCTCCCCTCTCTCTTGGCGACACCTGTCTCTCTGTATCCGGCCCTGCAGTCGACAAATCTCCTTTCCCAATTTTTTTCCCTTGGGGTCAAAAAGGTTATTTTAAACAAAAAGGGTAAAAGGTTTATTTGGTCATCGGATTCGGGGTCAGCTAGAAGAGCCAAGCCTGGTCTCGAAAAAAAAGAAAGAAAAAAAAGAGACAACTGGGCCGAGAAGGGGGAGCACGCGTACATACGAAAACATATGGATATCTTATCTCCTTCCAGAAAGGGGAAACCAGCCCGGCGGCTTGTCGACTTTTTGATATTCCTCCCCCTATACCCTTTTTTTCCTTCTCATGGGCAGTAGGACGGAAACGAGCGGTGGAGGGCGAGAATCGGCCGCCGACTTTGCACCCTTAAACACACATAAATACCCCCTGTTCTGCCCATAATGAAACATAACTAAAACTACGATATTCTGGAGTGCTACAGTGGTTTTTTTTTGCAGTTTGCTTTTGCTTTTATTTTTAGTACTGCCTGCGAGCGAGAAAAGGTGTGACGGGTTGTATTTTTGTGTTGTCCTTTTGCTAGCAAGGTTTCGCAATGATATGAGAACAAAAATGGCCACGGTCGATCAGCATGAGCAAGCAATGTCGTTTCTTTCTTTATTCCTTTCTAAGTCTTTCACCATCCTACGCTTGCTCTGTGAAGTAGACAATAGACAGCTTTTGCTTGACAAAATGACAATATTTATATACTGTAACAGAAGATGCAATTTTGCTATGCCGCGTGCCGTAAGGAGTGAGGCCTTTATTGGGCAGATGACGTCCCTAATAGAACAACCACCAACCAACCAGTAAGCCCATCTGCTCCATAAACAAAACGCTCTTGGGGACATCAATTTTGGCTGTGAAAAGGACATTTTTTACTCTTGACGTGAGACCGAGGGAGTCGCTAAGTGATACCAGTCTTCGCCAAAAGTAGATATTTTCCTCATCTGGCCTCTGGGTTTAGAGGAAGTAGTCCGGAAGGACACCGCCGTCGGCTGTCTTATCCCCGCCGGGCTGCGCATCCTTGTGCAGGTCGTTTTCCGGCGCCGCCGCAAATACGTTAAAGAAGCGCTCGCCCGTGTCGCTGACCTCGAGGACGCTTGCCATGTTGCCGCACCGGTAGCAGTAGTTGGGGGCGCTCCACACGGTGCTCAGCCGGTCGTCGTAGAGCACCTGGAACCCTTCCTGGCACAACTGGTGTGCCCGCAGAATGTGGTTCATGTTATTGACCGCCAGGAACTTTTTGACTACCTGTGCGCCGAATGTGTATCCGGCACCCCGCGGTGAGAGACTAAACTCGTCGCGCTCCGGGTCTGGGTCAGACCACACCAAATCCGCCATAGGCCCTTCGTGGGGGATCTCCCGGAAGCGGTCGATGATTTTGATTTGATCGATAGAGTGGATGGAAGGGGAAAGGCCTGAACGAAAAGAATGTACTCTTAGCAAACAGTTCTCGAGGCGGACGAAGAGATAGAAACTTGAGAGGGGACAGCGGCAGCACTGACGAACCTCCATGAACACAAAATATCTGGTCGTTGATGACCACACTCAGAGTAAGATAGTCGAACATGTCGGTAAAGTAGTGCCAGACATTAGCGTTGCCGTACTTGCGCGAACATTCGGTGTAAAAGCCGTATGACTGGGTCACGCCCCTCGACTCGTGGTTGCCTCGTATTAAATGGACGCGGTTTGGGTATCTTAGTTTTAAACAGACAAGAAGGGAAATCGTTTCTACGCTGAACATGCCGCGGTCGACATAGTCGCCTGTAAGGGAGAGGGGGTGGCGCCCAGTCAGCAAAACACACAATTCTGTCTCGCTCCCACCCTCGGCCTCTCCCCTTGCATGGCATTGCGAACCTACCGAGGAAGAGATAATTTGTGTCTGGACACCAGCCTCCAATCTTGAATATCTCTATCAAGTCGAAGAATTGGCCGTGGATGTCACCGACGACGGTCACGGGGGCCTTGACGTGGACGACATTGCTCTCGCGCATGAGCAGTTCCTTTGTCTTTGCGCATATTGCCTCGATAACAGACTCGGCCAGCAATTCTTTGTTGTATAGGCGCGAGATGCACTCATCGAGGTCTACGGACGCTGCGGCGGGTAGGTTCACTTGTCAGCGTGTTGGACCCGGAACGGCTTTTCCAGGCGAGGCGGGGTATGTCTGGCCCAAGCTCGCCCTGGAACTGCGACCGCGACTGCGACGAGATGCAACTAACTCACAAGGGAGGCCGGGCATCTTGGGCCCAGGTCTATGGAAGAAGAAGGGAGATAAAACGCGAGTTGAACGAGGGTGGGTGCGGCGGTCACGGGATCCGACAACGTTGGCTTCTCCCAGCTCGAGCGATGTCAACGGTGGTGGCTGAAAGGATGCGACTCAACATATTCGGAGAGCTAAATGCGTCACATCGAAGGGGAAAAGGCCGATCAGGATTCTGCTACGGTCAAAACATACGACTGCAAATGTGCCAGTTGTGCCGAGGGTCCTGCGATATCGTATTGTGAGGTTTGCTGGACTCTGGAGGGGGCGAAGGCGATGACGAGCGATGCCTAGGATTTTTTTCCTCCTAGAGACTCGGCGCGTAGCTGTGCCTTCGAGCTCTGACAAATAGGCTCTGACGGCGACGCGCCGTGCCGATTGTCATTGGACGACGGGGCGGGCTGTCCCACTGGCTGGGCCTTATCGATAACAAATTCCGCTATCCCGTGTTAGGTTGTGGACCAGGGGGGGTCTTAATCCTCGCCGCACTTGTCGGATTCACGTGCTCTCGGTGCCCCTCAGGACTGCTTTTGCATTCAAAAGCCAGAGCCCTCCCGCCCGCACCTGGGCCATTTTGCTCCTTCCTTCACTCTTCCCTCGTTTCTCGCCGCTTTTGTTGCTGTTGCTTGCAGAAGCCTGCGGCAACTGGTTGTCGGCCCTTTCTTTTGACACGAGACTGGGACTCGCGGCGTTTCCGCAAAATGCCTCCAAATTTTGACGCCATCTGTCGCCATTTCCTCCTATCGCTGCCCAAGGTTCTTCCAGCCAGAAACAACGCTTTTTCCTGAAACGGTGGTGCCATGACGGCATTTGCCTTGGGAAGAAGACACTGAGGTCCATTTCATTTCTGCTCGTGCTTCTGCCTGCCTCTTCCTTTACGAACATCAACCCATCCCAAGCCTCTTTTCGTGTCCATCTGGACCCTTCGTCCTGTCCCTCGACCTGCCTTCTGCCCCTTCACGAACGTTTGGACAGGTTTTCTCGCAAAGGGTTTCGCTCTACCGTTCCCCACAAGCATTTATATTCCTCGCGGTCGTTTCAAGGCTGCTCGAGGTTCTCCGTCAAACTAGACTTCAGTTGCTTCCGTATCCAATATTGAGATGGCCTCATGTCCCCTATCCGGCATATATGAGCCCTGGGTGCCCATGGGGCCTTTTCCTAGCTGTCGTTGTCTTTATCTTGCCATGTTAGCAGTGAACATGGATCGGTCACGGTCACAACCGTCGTAATCGTTGTCGATTAGCCATATCTGGCCGCCTTCGGCTCGAGGCGCTTCAGTCAGAAGGCCTTTTTTAAACTATATATGTCTAGGTATGGCATGGATATGAAATACAAGTAACAGTGACGGTGCCTCGGGCGACGGGTTCCCACCTTCAGGGCGTTGCCGCCCAGCTTGGCAAGCGGGTGGGACCGTGCTGGCTCTGCTTTGGCCGCTTTCACGTGACCTATGCGTGTCAGCCCCCGCCTGTGCGGTGACACCTGGCATGCCCCTTGCGCCCGGGCCCGCGCAACCCTTCAACCCCAGAATTCTAGGATCCGCAGCTGAGCCGCCAGATCATTCAAGACGACATCCGCTTGAACCCACCCGAGCCTGCGCGCACCTGCTACTCCGGGCCGGGAGCCTTTCCACATATTTGCGAGTATTCTTGATGTCGCGATATCGTCGCCCGCTTACAGGACCAGTGGTGGAGGAACCCGAGCGCGACCGGGCGGCTGAGACTCAGGCCTCAGTCAGCAGCGCATTCGCATTCAGCCCATTCATCCATCCTGCAAATACGGCGATTGCGGTCCACCACAAGGCTACGATCCGCCTTTTGGTGATCGCGTCGGGAGCGCTGGTTTTAGTTTCGTCGCTTTTTGCTTCTTTGCGCTGAAACAGACGTCGCGCCATCGTAGGCTTTCGGCTGCCGGTGCTGTAGACGAAAGCTGGTCGCTCTCTGTGCGTTCGCCTCACCGCTCCTGGGCCAATACCGCACCGCAGCAGAGCGCTCAGCAGCACCTCAGCTCAACTCACGCGCCGCGGTCCGGGAGACTGTCCACCCCACCACCCCACCACCCCTTTTACCCCTTACTCGCATCCCTTTCGCGCCAGCGTTCAAGTCTAGGCCTTCTATTTCATTGCTCATTCCCGTGCCGTTCTCCATTTTGCATTATAGTCCGAGGTCCACTCTCCGTCTCCCGCCTCGAGGCCCTCGTTTGTGGCCTGGGCCGTGGCACCCCCTGCTGCAGCCATGACGCACCCAGCCCCTGGCAAGTCGGCCGAGCAACAGGAGCCAGTATGTTACAACTGCGGTACAAGAGGTCACTGGATGCCCGCTTGCCCAGAGCCAACTCGGGCCATTCCTGCGTAAGTTTCCCCTGTTCAGTCGTCCAGGCACTTGTGCTTGCTTTCCTGCCAATGGTGGGTTTGTTGCTCCACTTGCCGACTAACACGCTGTCCAGTGGTCTCACACGGTGGAAATCCCAGCATCAAGACAGCGCACCATCGCCGTCTGATCGTAATAGCTCACCTAGGGATAAAAAGGGAGGGGCCGTTGTCACGCGGTATCACCCACCCGCCAGTCAACCCTCTTCTTCCCTTGCTAGGTACGGCCACCCACCCGGTCTGCCGCTTCCACCGCCTCTACCGCCTCCGCCTCAAGCGCCTCCCCTCCAGGCGCCTCCCCCCCAGGCATACCCGCAGCCAATATATCCGCCACCTCCATCTTATGCTGGAGGCTATCCTCACCCTCCGCCGCCGCCGCCGCATTACGGCCAATACCCTCCATCTGATGCGCCGTATCCTCCGCATCCGCCGCCCCAGTATGGCCAGCAACCTCCCTATGGGCCGCCTCAATATCCGCCGTCGTATCCGCCGCCGCCGACATACTACTCAAACACTCTCCCCCCTCCACCCCCTCCGCATTCATTCCCCTATGGAGCTTACCCACAACCATACGTGCCGCCGCCTGGCCCCCCTCCTGCACCGCCCGCTTATCATCCCCATTTCACCACGGGGCCTCCGCCGCCGCCGGAGTACCATTATTCCCCGGGCCAACCGCCGCCTTATGGTGCTGTCCCTCCTCCGCCAGCCCATTACCCTCCCACTCCTGGATGGAACCAACCGCCATATGGCCCCCCTCCCCAGCTTCCACCCGCTTCAAGCCAGGCAATGTCGAATGGCCACCGTGGGAAACGTGACAAGCATCAGGGATCTAAGCGCTCGCACCAGAACAAAGATAGATATCGCCCTGGGAATGACAAGGGCACCAAGAACAGCCCTCGTGTCGAACGAAAACCAGATCGTCGGGCTGTCAGAGACGAGCAGTCTTCCAAGGGCAAAGATTGCCAGCCTTCAGTCTCTCGTCCAAAAGATGAAGAAGACAAGGAGGAAGACGGCGAATGGGATCCCACATCCGCTGCTGACTTGGAGAAAATATTCCCCGAAATTGAGCCAACGAGGGCGGCTGATCCTGTTGGGATTCCTCTTGCTTGTGTCTACAACGAGGGGCCTACGATCCCGCCAAAATTCGATGCCAAGTGCATCAAGTCTGACTTTTTCGACGAAGAGAGCCGAGAGGATTTTGGAGCATCCATTCGCGGGACCAGTTCTTGGCCCATTGTCAAGAGGGACCCAGTCTTCAGGAAATATCCAGGCATGACGCTGTATTACTTTCCAGCACAGCCACACGGATATTGGCTTTATGAGCGTCCCATCCCGCCTTCCCCATCGGCTGCGGTTAAAATGCCGCCCAAGTATCGAATCGATCGGAATGCCCGCAAAGCAACACCCGAACGAGAACAGGGATTGACAGTCAGGACTCCGGTTGGCGGGACTGATAGACATGTTAGTCGTCCACCTTTAGATGGCTACCGGTCCCGAGACTCGCCCTTGTATCGCTACAGCAGAGACGGCGGAGATAGCGGTCGATTCAAGAAGCGGTCCCTCGATGATCCCTCCGACTGCCGCGATCGAGATGATCACGATACCAAACGAGCCAGGATGTCTGAGTGTCGTTACGAGACATCCCGCAGCGACCGTCATGAGGTCGTCTCACCCGTGAATAGGGTAACGCCAAACGCCAGGACTTATCTCAACGGCAATCCATGGTCACCGCAGGAAGGCGAAAGTGCCGCTAGGGCTCCGAACGATTATCAGTTTCTGGATGTGCCGCTGGACAGTATTTCCCCATCATCCAGAGAAGACCGCGTGCCTTGCTCTAAAATGAGACACGACAGTGGGTATCATAGTGGACAGTCACAAGACATGGCCCCTCGGTCGCACCGTAATGCCGACCAAGGTCGCCAACAACCGAAGCGGTCATATCAGAAACCCAGGTCGGCATCTCGGAGCCGCAGCCGCAGTCGCAGTCGAGTTTCTACAGACAGTAGTAGCCGCGCCCGGAGCGAGTCACCCCTGACGGCAATGGAAGCCGAGATTCTTGGCCTCGACGACGAGCCGAGCGAGCCAAAGCCAAAGTTTGCTATAAAAAAGCCGATTCGGCGCGTGAAAGTTGCAGCGGCATTCAGGTATGCATTCCCCAATTCCATTTAAGATGGCATGTGCTAACAAGATCGCAGTCGTCGCTGGTAGGTGCAGCCAATTCGCTCCTTCGCTCACGCCGGGCGAGATCGGCATTAATAATGTATTGTAACGATTATCACGAGTTTCGGGCATGTATGTTGCTGCACGAACTTCTTTCTCGTATACTTTGAACTGGTCCTTAGACTAGCATACTTGGTGTGCATTCGGAGTAGTGGTTCTCGGGTTAGGGACTACCGGGGCGTATATACTTTCTGGTTGACACATTAGACTGCCACTGGGCCTGTTTGGTGGCGTTTGTATTTTATTTTTGCACAGGCTGGTTTGGCTTCAATGTTCTTCTGGGTAGAACAAAGACAAGCTAGTGCAGGGTTTCTGGAGAGGATTTCGGCTCGCCCGTTCGACTTGCTTCAACCTTGCTCTAGCTTGAAGAAACATCTATTATTCTGTTTTATGGTTGGCACTACGAGGTACCTAAGGTAGCCAGCAATCGTACCAACAGCTCCCAGACTGAAACATATATAACCCTCGGCGATTTTTGCTCGTTCCTTAGGTCGCTTACCGTGACAAGTATGTGTGTTTCGGCTCTAGTCCGATCATCCTGTCAATGTTGTCCTGCTGCGACCAGAACAGCAAGACTGTTTTGAAACAACATGCCTATGCTGCTCCAGCCACGCTGTTCTCGCAAAGATGATGCGTCAATTTAAATGGGTATCCCCGCCGCAGGCACCCGGAGTTTGTCTCTCCGTTATTCTGCACGCACGCGTCTGTCGACCCTGTTGCTGAAGGCTCGCCGCACGAAGAAAACAAGAACCAAGATGAGTGTAAACAAACATCACTTCCATTCTCTCTGACCCTTTTTTAGCTTCTGCCCAACTGAGCCTAACACATACACGGATACCGACGGACTCGACCGTTGAGGATTTTTGTTCCAATATCGCGGTCCTCCTCGCCCCCGCTTCAGCCACCCACCATCAGCGCAGCACAAGTCTGCTAATTACTCAGCTCAGAAAAGGTACGTAAGATACCGAGCAAGGAGCCTCTGCTAACTAATCTGTCTCTACAATGGGCGGCGCGGCATCAAAGCCCATCGCCCCCTCGGACAGCGCCAGCTCGCACTGGTCATCATCGGCCCCGACCCCGAGCAGCTCGCGCTCCCTGTCGCCTGCCCGCCACGCCCGCCCTTGTCATCATCATTTCCGCCCCCTCGCCAGCCAGAAGGACGTCCTCGTCGTCGCCGAGGTCGAGACGGGAACGTTTGGGTCTTCGCGCGATGCTCTGCCCCTGTCGCCCCGCCGGCGGAGGGAGCTCGCCGCGTTGCAGCAGCGGACTTTAGATGATGGTATGAACGGTCCTTCTAAGAAGACGGGTGGTAGTACTGGCGGTTACTTTATCCAGCGCTAGTTTCGCTGGTGGTGATTTGTTGTTACTGGAGTTATCGGAGTTGTTGTTTTGGGAGGGAGGTTGTTGTCATAGCGAATGTTGGGTATTTATTTCTTCTGCGTTATAGTGTATTTTTGGGAATTTGGGAAGTGGTGATGGGATATGGGATTGTCATTACGAGCACCAGATTGTTTTGTGCTGAGGGATGATGAGACTGTGTATACTAGGTTGCACTCGGAGGATGCAGTGCAGAGGGAGTGCTGGGACACAAGTAAATTGCAAGAACTTCTGGTGGATGTTGTTCATGTCTTCTGGTGTTGTGAATTGTGTTTGAAATTTCTTTGTCGTTGGTTAGTTGCTGTCAAATTTCCTTTTCCTGTTCACGTACTAAATTCACGATGTCGAAGTTTCAATTAGTGAATCTTGAACAAGGCAAGGGAAGGTACAACTCTTTCGGCAAGTTACACTAGGAGGTAGGTTGGTCTGGCTATAATCGTGAGCTGCTACAACCAAAGATCAAATACGACCCATTTTCATTAGTTGTTGGTATCGAGGCGAAGGAAGGTGCCAGTTATGTTTGCGTTTATATAGCCAGGGTTGCTTAAAACAGCGTGGATTGAAAGTAAGATAAGGTACTCAACCTGTATAAAACCAAAAAATGCTACGCATGGTGAACGTGGTTAGTTTCGACTTCCGAGTCAATCCCGGCCTCAAACGTGAAGGTAGACTCGAGCGTCCTCGCCCATGGTGTGCGGCGGCTTTCCGTTGCGATCGTGCTTCGTGTATAGGTCACGTAGAGCTTCCACGCCTGCAGCTGGTGTGTTACCCTCCACAGGTCTGTGGTTGGTTGGTTAATTAGTTGGCGAATCAAGTAATTGTCTTTCCACCACGGGGTATCAACTTACTGGCCCTTGCCGCTCCAAATGCAAGCCGCTGGCTCACTCCTATGCGTGACAATCTTTCGAACCGGCAACTCTGGTCTGGGAGAGTAGACGAGCGTGTTCCAATCAACCTTCAGGTAGCCTCCCTGCACCATCCAGGAGGCGTCCACGTATCTTTAGGACGCCGAAAGCTGGCCCACTCAGCTCCCCCAGCTAGCGCAAGAGCCTCTTGTCTTCATTGGTGTACTTAGGGTCGTGAAAGTAGAGATCGACCCTATGGAGCTGTTGCTGCTGCTGGCCAGGGTGCGGATGCGATTTTCGAAACTCGTTCTATACCTTCTCCGGCAGTAGATATCGGAAACGTTCTTGGAACCACACGTACTCATATCACCGGCGGCGCATATAGGCATCCGCAACGGGACCCCCAAGCCCATGGCTGACCTGAATCAGGGCTGCGATGTGAAATGCAGCCACATGGCGGCGGAGAACCTGGGCTGCGCCGTTGAAATAGTACGGCTCGCTGGGATCCTCGGCGGCGGGATAGTTGCCCCCCTCCCTGACGTTGTTGAAAGTACCCAAGCTAAAACAGACAACCTTGTTAACCCCCTGGAGGCAGGTGGCGTCCGGGCGTCCGAGAAGCAGGTTCAGCTGCTTGCACACGCACGGCAGGGTCCCGGCCGAGGCGGGCCGGGCCTCCTCTCCAGCTTTCGCAACCAAGAACTTCATGAATTCCGTCAGGAGCTTTTCGGCGGGGACTGGACCTGGAAGGTTGTTCAAGTCGTTGCCAACATATATGTCGTCGGCATGAAGTGCTGTCAGGTACTTAGCGTACTCAACTGTTGTCCGGCGCCATCTCTCCTTGTCCTCGTTGCTGGCGTTGACACTCAGAGGGCTTCGCCCGCCAAACAGTTGGGCCTCGTCGATCCCGGGCATTTTGGCTGCAAGCGAGATGTGTGCTATTATCAAGAGCGAGTATGCACGAGAATTCTTGACAATGTCGGTTTCCCGATCCCTGAGCAAGCTGTCGAGGCTCGGGTTCTTGATCTTGGGCCCGTGAGAGAAACCCCCAAAGGGTGGGCAAGATTGAGTATAAGTACCCATCGGATTTCGCCACTCTCCATCCAACCTAATTGTTTGCTGCCCCCGTTTGGTTCTTGCCACTGTCACGAGAATAATTGAGTGTTGCGTCTCTGACAGCCATGAAACGGAACGACGCTTTGGTGACTCTCTCAGGTGGCGGATTTCAGCTCTGTCTACTTACTTAAATGCCCCTTCCTTCCCCTTCACGACCCCGTTCCGCAGCTAAATAGCCCTCGTGAGCAACTCAACAACCCCATCCTCAACGTCTTAAACGCCACCCAGCCTCACCCAGAACCAAAAGCCACACTCTGACCCCAGCCCACCATGTCCTCGCCTGATGAATACGCCAGCGCGTCTGGTGGCGGTAGCGGTAGCTCTGCCTCCCAAGCCCTCGAGGAAACGATCCAGACGAACGCCATCCGCCGGCTGTTCTGGAGCTACCAGCTGAACCCGTCCAAGGTATGCACGGTCGCGGGCACGCTCGTGGCGCAGATGAGCCCGAAACTCGACTTCAAAGCCATCAGCAAGATCGTGTGCTTCAACCTCGGGCCGTTCGCGACGGGAGGCCTAAAGGAGGGCGACGCCGGCTGGCCGCTGGACCTGAAGCCCATCCACCGCGAGTCGCACGACATGAAGCTGGCGCGGTACCACGACGCGCTGACCCGCGACGCGTGCCGCATCCTCGCTACGGTGGGCGACGCCGCCGCGGCGCTGCAGGCCATCTACCGGCACAACGAAGTGGTGGAGCTGGCGTGCTCCGACACGGCGAGCGACGATGGGCTGCGGCACGCGCGGTACAACGTCAACCGCGTGCACGTGCACTTCTGCGACGCGCGGTACGGGGCGCCGGAGCTGGCCATGCTCGAGGGCCGGATCCCGCTGCGGCGGCCCGAGACGCACGCGCACCGGCCGCCCGTGTACGACCTGTCCGCGTCCGTCGAGGTCCTGGAAGGCGTCCGCCGCATCGACCGGCACACGGTCGTGTACGTGGCGGAGCCTGGGGCGGCGCTGCTGAGCCTGGCGGCACTGCTGGGCATGCCCGAGGCCATGAAGCCGGCGGCGCTCGTGTGGAATGCCGTGGATAGCGCCGACCACGAGGCGCATGGGTACGTCAAGATGCCGGGCCGCCCCCCGGTGGGAGACGGCGTCCAGACGACCGACGACCGGCTCGCCCAGTATGTTCCGAATGCGTCGGTGCTGTACGTCCGGGCCGACGTGCTCGCGGCTTGAGCTGGGCAGAGTCGGGCATCACCACCGTGGAAAGTGGACTAACCGACTGACTGGGAACTGACTGACTGGGGACTGACTGGCTGGGAACTGACTGACTAGGGACTGACTGAATGGGAACTGACTAACTAACTAGGAAAGAAAAACCGAGAGGAGTAAGAGTAGACGAGTGTTGGGCATAATTTTGAAACGGAATGGGTTTCGCTATTGTTTGGGGCTGCTCATTATCTTTGAGCTTTAATTAGCTTAATTAGCTAGGCCGCTAATACACCCTCTTGTATCCCCTTCGTGATTACATGGTGATAGGTGCAGATCGTAGCACCGGGTATTCAACAATATTACCGGAGAGTTAGCTTGGGCTCAATTGTGTTCTAGTGGCTATTAGAAACGTGTTGTTGCCCGAAATACCTCTCAAATGTCTGGCACTTAAGGAGCGTAATTGAACAAAACTTTATTCAGGGAAAGTCCACTATAGACATTGCATACAGTACGAGTAGATATTCTTCTTATAACCACCCAAAACACACTCCACAAATACCTAACTATCTGCTCAAGAACCATCGAAACTAAGGGCGTCATCGAATATGGTTTAGAAGCAAGAGGGTGCGAAGAAGACACGGAATAATTAACGCACCGTTGAGCCTACATACATCCATCTCCGATCTCGGGCAGGGCTGGTATTTGCGTTGCCCACTCTGAGGTGCTAAACTACAAACAGGAAGCGAATAATATACTAAGCCTTGACATAGAATCCACTAACATACGGGGCGGGGCATTCATGAGACACAACCAAAGTTCTCAAACGGACCCCTTTTCTCATTTTCTTTCTTTTTTAACTCCCAATGTACCGAGTTCGGACCTTCAGACGAAAAAAAACCCAAGAAAGATATAAGCGGGGTTTCATAAGCCTCGATAGAAATGAGAAAAGCTCATATGAGTACAAATACACGGCAGTCGAAATAACACAAAAGCAAAGCCCTCCGAGCAACAATTTACCGTTCATTTTCCCGTAGCTCGTTCATACATCCCTCGAATGAAACAAAACAAAACCGAGCAGACCAACACAAAACGCCAAACCGTAAAGCTCGTCTCGTACAACAAGTCACAAACAAACCATCTAAATAATATCCCCGCCCCATCCGCCACCTCCAAACGCTCCTCCTCCAGCTCCAGGCCGCCCGCCGCCAAACCTCGGTGCCCCGCCTGGGCCTAGCGGATCCCAGCGCGCGCCAGGCGGGATCTGCGGGTCGAATTCCCCCCCTCCTCCTCCTCCCTGGCCACCCCCTCGCGGGCCCTGGAACAGCGGGTCGTCAAACGTCGGGTGCATACCGCCGCCGCGGCGGCCGCCAGGTCTCGCGGGGCCGCCCAGGAACCCGCCGCCCACGCCGCCTCCGTTGATGGGGTCGTTCGGGCCGAGGCCCGCGGGGTAGAGGTCGCTGCGGCCAAAGTCGAACGGCGAGCGCGCTCCTGGGTGCGGCACCAGCAGCGGCCCGCGCGGCGGCTGGTTCACCTCGTACTCGTCCTCAAAGTCTGGCGGCGGGAAGTCGCCCGCCGGGAACGGGCGGCGCGCTGGCGCCGCGAGCGGGTCGATCAGCGGGTACGGCCGCGCCGGCTCCGGCAGCGGGTCTGGCATCTGTGGCGGCCCTTGCGGGTTGCGCGCGCCCGACCGCAGGCGAGCGTCGGCGTCGGCGTCCTGCCGCGCTGCTCGGTCGTCGGCGTCCTCTTCCTCCTGGTAGCCTTCTTTTTGGAGCCCTGGGATCAGGCGCTGGATGATGTTGATCTTGAGGAGCGATGCGAGATCTAGACAGAAGGTGCGGGTGGTTTATTAGCATTGCTGTTGAGGGCTATATTGGGAGAGGGCTGGGGAGTGTATGTTGATGGCGAGGATTCCACCGGAGTGGGAGGGCAGACTCACCCTTGATCCGGTCTTCAGAAATGAACACCCTCTTGAGCTTATCAGACAAATCGCTGCGGTCCTCGGCGCCCTCAGCTGTCATGGCGATGCGCACGGGGAGGGCCGCAGACGAGATGTAGTCGCGGGCGGAGAGCTCGAGGCGGGCGATGCGCTCGTCGCCGACGGCCAGGCCGCGGATTTCCATCTTGGCGCCCATGCGGTCGACGCGCACGACGAACTGCATCGACGACTGCGTGTGCGCGTACACGAAACTGTGCGAGCTGAGGCTGCAGTTCCACTGGGCGGGCAGCCGCGGGGCGAGGCGCGTGCATTCGGATTCTGGGGTTACGCAGCAAGCAAAGCGTTAGCAACAAGCGGACCGACCGGGAAGGCTAGGTTGTGGACTAGCGACGACGCACCAATCTTTTGCTCCTCGTCAAAGCCAAGCAGCCGGAACCCGAGACTAATCATGCAGGCGTGTGTGAATAGCGAGATGGCGTCGAGCGAGCTGCTCAGATCCGACGTCGTGTCATCCTTCCCGTGGGTCGGGAGCGCCTCGGCCATGCGCTCCAGGGCGGCGGCCGGGCTGAGTGGGTTGGACGTCATGGCTTCGCTGCCGTAACGTCACGCTGCCGTAACGTCACGCGATATTCTGGTTTCTGCGTGAGCTGTAGTTGGTTCGGTGAAATGCGTCAAAGTCGGTTGGTTCGAGCTGGTGAGCTCTGTGATTGCTTTGGACCGAGGTGTAAGAGCATGGGAAGAATCCAGGTGAGGAGAAACGAGGTCAACGTCATGGGCTCGCTGTAGTCACAGTGATGTCTGCCCAAGTGGGTAATTACTTGTGCGGGGTTACTGCACAGGGTCTCGGGTGTCAAAGCTCCGTAGCGAAACGCGCCACCCGCTTCAGCCTAAAAGCTGCGGGGCTCATCGTTTGCTGGCCCCTGTTCTGTACTCTGTACCAGAGGGTACGGTGCAAGTACATGTACCTGTACATACATACCAGTCAAAGTTACTCAGGAGGCCAGGTTCACCATTCGAATCAATTCAGCTTCGCTGACAGTGAAGTCTTGGGCCAGACCTCCAGTTACACTTAAACTACCAAAACGAATATAAGAACAAGGGTCGAATTACTACTATGATCGGCAATTAATCCACACGGGGACCGTCTAGGCTGGTCTGCCCGCAGCCCCGTCGTGCTTTTGCCTGTCTGTTCTGGGATGTGCCATGTGCGATACTACTAATTTCTCCCACGTGGTGGAATATCCGTTGCTTCTACCAAACCATGCGAAGGAAAGAGCTGAGAGAAAAATAAACGCTGTGCTACGAGAGAGAGTGTGTGTGTGAGAGGGAGAGTGAGAGTGAAAGGGAGAGTGAGAGGGAGGGGACCCATCCGCAAAGGTATCAACATCAATGGACAAACATCTGACTAAGATGAAGAGGATAGTCTTGAGAGCCGCCATGCTCTCTCTCTGGCCCTTTTTCGCTCCTAGCCACTCCTCGAGCCACTATGCATGCTGCTCATACATAAATAACAAGAAACCCACATGTACCTACCTACTTTATGACAAACCAGACCCAAGGCAACAAGCCTCGGCCTCCTCCAGGGCAGCTGAGATCGTGCTGTCTCTAGCACCAAGCCTAACTATCCTGCACCCGTTATTGGTGAGCGCATTTCATTGCGCGAGACCCCGATATAGATCTGGTAATATTCCCGCCGCCGTAGCCACCAGCGCTTGCGAAAGTGGAAAGAAAGGGACTGAAAGAACCCTTCTCATCCCCGGCTGAAGCGCGTCATGATTCACCTCACCGCTCTCTTACTGCGCCGCGAGCTCATGAAGCTTCGTCTTCTCGTCTTCGGTAAGCATGGCGAACCAGCCCTGGAAGCCGGCCGTGTTTTCGCGGGCGGCGCGGATGAAGAACTCGGTGAGATATGCCTGCGTCTCGTCGTCAGGTTGCTTCGAGTTGGTGCTGTCGAGCCAGCCCATTAGGTCCGCCTTGGTGCTTCCAAGTGACAGATCAAGCATGTCGCCCGGCTCGTCCTCCCAGCCCTCATCGCCATCGTCGTCCTCGGCATCGGCAAAGTCGGTAGCTGCCGCGGCTGCTAGATCAGCCGCGGCTTGGACGCCAGATGCCGAGAGGAGATCCTCAATTAGAACCTTGAGGATCTTGAGCGGCGCCGGGATGATGGTGTACTGGTCTGGGTCTGGCAGATGATTAGCTGTAAATTCAAGTGAGCCAAAACCCAAGTTGAATGGGTCCCGCCAGGCCATCGGAAACGACTTACCTTGCCTTGACCGAGACCTCGTCAGTATCCTATCGCTGCTGGTTATTATCAGATCACCCTTGACCTGCGTCTGGGCCACGCGGGCATCGTTGAGCGAGTAGAGTTTTGAGAGGGCAATGACGCTTTGATGAGACGAATTAGCTCAGGCCTCTGTGAGATGTGGTGTTCTCATATGTTGACTTACTTTTGACGTATCTCGTCATAGCCAGCAAAGCTGACGGAATTCTCAAGCCACTTGCTGAGGACGACCTGAAGACCGCTCTGGCCGCCGATCTGGATCTCGCTTAGGAAATTCACAACGTCCTGGGCCCCGACAAGTGAGAGACGGGCGAAGATGCTGATGAGCGACTGTATGAAAGCTGCTGCCTGCGCCGTCTCTAGGCGGGCTGCAACGGCCTGGAGGAGCTGCGGCAAAAATGGACCCAGCCTCTCTTGGCCGGCTTTCTCGACGAGCTCGGCAGCCAGGCCGCCAACCTCGGACGCGGCATTGTCCTCAACCAGAGGACCGAGCAGACGATCAATTATGAGGAGGCAGACCTCCAAACCGGAACGGCCAGTTTCGTCTTGCCAACCAAACACCTGATGGTGGTCATGCATGAGCATGTACCTGACCGCCTCGGCACCTGGGCGCAAAATATCGCCCTCGGTGGAGCTCATCAAGAGCCGATTGAGCTTCGGGAGGGTAGAGGCAATGAACCCAGTGGGGAGAGGCTCCGCGCCATATTGAGCGAGAAGAGCCAGCAGCTCCGTCGCCAACTGCAGCACTGTTAGCAATCGCAACTGGGACAGGCCAGCAAAGCCAAAGGGGAAGTCGGGAAAAGAAGAATTACCGTGACTAGCGGGTCGTCCTGTGTCATATTGGCAACGTCAAAGGCGCCTATGATGGACGGCAAGACTTTGGCGCACAGCGCCGTGTAGGCGGCCGACTCACTCAGCGTCTTGACGGCCGACTCAAACGTCTCGCAAACAATCATGGTGACCTGGAAGTTCGAGGCGCCATGCTTAGCAATTACAAAGAGCAGGTCGATCGCCTTGCTGTCCGGCTGGATAGCAATGCGCATGTCCATGCTGATGGCTTGACGAAGTGTTTCGAGGAGGGTTACCAAGAGGTCGTCGGCATCCTCCAGCTCGGTGAGATCCTTCGCCTCTAGGAAGTTTTGAATGGCCAAGATGATACTGAGCTGTCTATCGGCCGGGATACCTGTAGCGATAAAGCCCTCGATTGCCTTGACACACGAGACCTGCACGAGCTCGGAGCTGTCCATAGTCGTCGACTCGATGGCCCGGTCAAGCAGTGCTGTCGCCGGCTGGTAGCTCTGGCACAAGACGCCCGCAACTAGGAAGCCCCGAGCGCGCAGAATTGGCTCGTCTTGCCTGCTGATGGCATAGTTGACAAGTTCGAGGTAAGCGCCTGCGATACCGTCCGGGACCGGCTTCTCGCAGTCCTGGAAGTCGTTTAGGAGGGCATTGAAGAGGTACAGCGCCGCTTCTTGTCTGCGCCAGTCCTGGCGTCCGGTGGTGAAGATGGTCTTTGTGTACGCAAACAACCCCTCGAGAGCCTGTTGGCCTAGCCATTCCGAAAGCTTGATCAGAAGGTCACCGCAAGCGGTTCTGGCGGTGTAGTTGGAAGAGAGCGAGGTCTCTTCGGCGAGATAGAGCGAAATATCGATATCCCACAGACCTTCCTCCTCCTGGGTTATCTGCGAGTAGGATACAAGCAGCTTCATGAGGTCCAGGACCCAAGGGGTGTCGTGGGCGGCACCATGGGCGGCAATGTCGGCCCGGAGCTGCTTCTGTACAGGCGAGGCTCGCATGCATTGGTTGAGGAAATCGAGCTCGTCTAGAACAAGGAAGTCAAGCGTGAATGGGAGACCGTCGATATCCTCAAGACGCCCCTGCGCGTCCGCCTCAATGAACAGTTCCTGGTACGAGCCCTGCAGCCTCGAGAGCTCCTCCCAGGTGGCTTTGAAGAACGTGGGGCTCTGGGGGAGCAAAAGGATGGAGAAGACAGACTTGATCTTAATCAGAGTCTTGAGGGCCTGGACCTTGAGCGCGACAGGGCCGTACCAGCTGTCGGGCTGCGAATCGGCGCCGCCACGGTCGGGGAGCGGCGTATTGATGACCTGCTCCAGGAACGGAAGCCACCCCTCGAGAACCTCGCCGGCAAAATTCCTGACATCTTTCTTGTGGTCGTCCTTGACAATATCCATGAGATTGAAGCAGCTCCTAAAGACGAGCACTGCCAAGCTGCGGTGGGTCTCCTTGCGGTTATCGTTAAGGGCGACGTCGTAGCACGCCTTGATGATGTCGCGGGCCACGGAGAAGAACTGTTCGTCCGACAGACTCTCTTCGACCAAGTCTTGGAGAATGCATAGAGCGCCGTGGAGTTGGTTGTCTGTTCCCGCGGGCATGATGCCGAGGACGGCGGGGAGGAGAGCGGGCCATTGGTCGGGGAAGTCGACCATGGCGATCTTGGAGACGACATAGCTGGATTATACGACATTCCCCGGTTAGTGTCTTGGCCCGACAGAGGGACTACAAGGCTTGGGGAATGACTTGAGCTAACCTAGCGGCAAGCTTCACTTTGCGCTGGTCTTCGCCACGACTCAGCACCAGCTCGAGGACAATGTGGCGGAGCTGGTCCTTGACCTGGTCGGGAATGGGGATGTGAGGCCCATCGCCGCCCTCGGGGCTCCAGTTCTCCTCGAGGAACTTCCGCAAGACGGTCAATGCAGACTGGCGGATCTCGACGGGGGCTTCCACGTGGGCGCCGATGCGGGCAAGCGACAGAGGGAAGTCGGGATTGTTCCTGGCAAGTGCAAGCTCGAGCTCGGCCTGCCTGCGTGGTGCCTCTAGGGCCAGCTGCGTACTGGCGAGCAGCTGCACTAAGTGCTCTTCCATCTTTAAACAGCTTTACCTTTAGCCGTCTGTTCCTATTTTCGTTTCGAGTGGGGAGGCCAGTGCTGGCTGGGGAGACGGAGCTAGCGTGCACGCACTTGATGGTTAAATATTTGGCTGAGGCTAGGTGGTTTTGTTTTGCATGTAAGGTGAAACGCGAGTTGACCAGCCAAGGTAAGCTTGCCGAGTAGGGTGGAAGTAGGCCGCAGATACGTAGTGGTGGTATGGTTCAGTCAGCAATAAGGTTTGCTTGCAGAAGGTCCCTTCTTATTTGCAGGCGGTGGGCAGCCCTGTCAAAATGGCGAGTGTGATGTGGGGTTGAGCGCGACCAGTGGGTTGAGACGCGCTGCTTTCGACCTGGCAGGGGGAACAGTGAGGCCACAGTTTAATCACCACCAAGTCTAGTCATTGGGTGTAAGTTCGCAGTTAACTGTAGGGATGTGGGTACCATTGAAGTCACATGCTTTGGCGTTGCGGGACTGGGCGAAAAGGCAACGCGTCACCCTGGCCAACCCCGCGATTGTCAAAGGATACACCTTCCGCGCAAAGAGCTTCACGAAACCTCGAGCGACTGAAAGAGCTAAGAAGATCTTCTAGGCTTGACGAATTGGCAAGATTTTTGTAGGCTGCCGATTAGCTAGTATAGTGTTCTTTTAAAATTTCCCTTTTTTTACTATTCGGTTTCTTTCTTTAGAGGCTTAGCTGCCGCAATGCCCCCTCCTGTCACTCGGGCTCCAGCCCCGCGCCCCAACACAGCAACCGCAGCCTCGTCGTCGCCATCCCTGCCCCTAGACCAAGGCTTCAGGCTCTTAACGTCGTTCAACTCGTTCCTGACGGTCGCCATCCACAACATCCTGTTCTACAGGGGCATCTACCCCGCATCCACCTTCCTGTCGGCGCGTGCATACAACCTGCCGGTGCACCAGAACCGCCACCCCAAGGTCTGCTCGTGGATCCGCGATGCCGTCGACGCCGTGGCTGCCCAGATTGCGGGCGGCCATGTCGCACGCATCGCCGTCGTGGTCCACTCGCCGCCTCCTGCTGCCTCTGACCCATCATCGTCATCCGAGTCAAGCGGCTTAGCGGCGGGGGACGAGCAGCAGAGGGCAAAAAGGCTGCCGCCGCCCGGCTCGGTCCTCGAGCGCTGGATGTTTGACGTAAGCCGGTTTCCGGCGTGGCCAACTGGCGGGAGTGCCGGGGGCGACGCCCCCAAAGCTATGCGGGATTTCGGCAAGATGCTTTCAGAGCAAGCCTGCCACGAACAGAGCCGCGACAACCCCCCCTCCAATAGCAGACCCCCGTCCAACGCGGCGGCAGGAGCGTTACGAGATGAAAAGGTCAACTGGATAGACGTGGATGAGCAGTTCCGCGGCGCACTGCGGCGGATGGCCTACGCAGGCGAGAAGATGGACAGTCTTCCTGAGGGATGCACGTTCACGATAGCAGTAGAACTGCGGGACGAAGCACTGGCGCCGATAGGGGTAAGTTATCTTCCTTTGCTCTCTGTCTCGTTACAAAGGGGTCCACGCGTGAGTGATACAAGAGACGTGGGAGAGTTGACATCTCATGCCGTCATCCGTCCCAATAGCATCCACAGGCTTGGATCCCCGCGAAGCCAAATCTACTATCTCCTGGAGTCGAAGACCGATTTGGGCCGACGACTGAGGCTAGAAACGATCTGGCCGGCGTCAAGACGATGCCGGTGCGGTCAGTCGAGGCTGGCCCTCTGTTCTTTGAGTGCTGGATCGAAGAAGCACAGGCAAGAGATGAGACTGTATATGATTGACCGTAGGCGCCGCAATGGCATGGCAAACTGTTGTGTTTTGCTACGCATTCAGACAATGCGGATTCCGGCAGGCAGTCAGCAGAAATTAGCTACCTTGCCGTAACTATCTACATCAACTGTACAGACTTGAAGAGGGGAATGCCGAGCAGCCTTTTTGCGGGACAACCAAAGGTCTTCATTGTGATCCTTCTGCCTGTGAGGCTGGTGTCCACACCCGTAAGAGCTCCAACAGGCACCCTCAGAACCTAAACCGGAATCTCAGATGACCAACAATGCATCCGTCTCGACAAACCCAGAAAAGTTATCTCGGTTTAATGTAATTAAAGTGCGACTCTCCATTGTGGGATATCGTCGAGAATTGAGAAGAACCCAACCGCAGCCGAGAGTAAGTCTATGGTCGAAGTTCTCACAAACAGAATTACATGAAAATTCGCCAGATAACACACAAGTATATGTGGGCCACAGCAGAGGAAGAAGCGTGCGTGTAGTATGAGTGAACATTGAAGCGAACATGATAGCAACAACACCCTTCACGCTTCATGCTATCGTATCGTACAAAGGAGTTCCGAGGAGCCACCACTCCCACTCTCACTCCCGCTGTCACCACACCACACCGCACTGCATCGCTCATACCTGTGTGTGTATATGCGTATGTGGCCCACTGAAGCCAAGTTCATCATGATCTCGTGCCAATGCTGTCCGTATTTATACAAGTCAAGTCCCAAAGTCCAGTCCAAACAAAGCAAGGCGCCCAGACGAGACGGCACAAAAACCGCTTGCCTGATTTTGCTTTGGTGCCTCTGCTGGTCTCTGCTGCCTCAGCCGCATTAGAGAACAACGTATACCCAACAGAAAAGCAGAAAGTAGAAAAAAACCGATACAATGAAATAAAAAACCCCTTCACGAGCGAAAATGCCCAATGCTCTGCCTCCCTCCCTCCCTCCCCATCCCGCCCGCCCGCTCGCCCGTGACCCATAATTTATATTTTGATCGAACCATCAATCCATGCAGCCCCACCAGAAAAACCACAACAGAATACCCCCATTCCAACCCAGCCTTTCCAGGCCCAAATTCATTGCTCCTCCCTGCCAGGGAGGGATAATGTCTTCCCGTTATCCCTGCCAGCCCCCGCCGACCCATTCCATACAATAAAACTAGATAGATCAGCCCATATTAGACAGGCAGACAGACAGCCAGCTCGCTCGCTCAGAATTTCATCAGTGGTCTCCGCCCACATCTCTGCTCCCCTTGAGCAGGGTCCTGAGGCTGACCATCTCGCGCCTCAGGCGGGCGTTGTCCTTCTTGACCCTGGCCGTCTCCTCGCTGCTCTCTTTGACCTTTGTCATGAGCTCCTCCTTGTCGTCGCGGCCTTTGCCCTTGAGGGCCCTGACGATCTTGCCCAGCTCCGAGTTGAACTTCTCGTAGAGGAGCTCGTTCTCGGCCGTCGCCTCCTTGTATAGCTGGTCGATCGCCTTGACCTTGGCCTCGGTCGCCTTCAGCGTCGCCTCCATGTCCCGCTGTATCTCGGTATGCCGATCCTGCAGCTCCTGCATGGCCTGGGGGACTCGGTCCTCCAGCGCCTTGACAGCCGCTGACAGGTTGCGCAAGTCCGTGGTGGCCGAGCGTGGCAGGGCAGAGTTGACGCGAGCCATGTCTTCAGAGATCCGCGAGAGTTCTGACTTGAGCGAGGCATCTACCTCCTCAACAGCCTTCTTCTGGACCTGGAGACGCTCGCGAAGTTTCTGGGGCGACTGGAGACGGAGTTTTTGCGTGGCGGTTCCGGTCTTGGTGGGACTGGAAGTTGGACGAGTAGGTGACTCGTTCCCATTCATGGGAATGCGCGACGGTTTCAACATCGGAATTTGAGATGGTGAGAGGGTCTTGCTTTGAAGCTTCAACTTGTCGCCGTCTAGAGACTGCTGTACAGGTTGTTGTTGTGGTTGTTGTTGCTGCTGCTGCTGCTGCTGGAATGTATCCCCAATATTCTCCTTCTGCCGTGAGGAGCGTAATGGTTGTGTCATTGAATGTGGGCTGATCGGTATCTTTGACGGCGACTGGCTTCGAGAAGACGAGTTGAACTTTTCAGACGTCTGCTGCTTGTTGATGCGGAGAGGCATCAGAGGCGGGTCTTCGAGACTCGCGGCTGCCAGCAATGTCTTCAAATCGGAGAGCGAGCTACGCCGTTTCTTCTTAAGAGACTTCGCCTCTGCCGTCTCGACTTCAGGTTCGCCAATGGTCTCGAGCCTGTGGGAACTTGCAGGCCTGTGCTGTATATCATCGAAAGCGCCGGCTACCGGGGGTCTATCCCTAGACGCTGGGCGACGGAGCTTGTTGGGAATCGAGCCTGGGATCCCCATATCAACCGATCTCGACCGGGACGATGCCTTGGACAGGCTTGAACTCTCGCCAGCTCCAGGGTTCCTCGCATGCTTGCTGAGAGAACGCCACATTGACGGACGCTCCGAGTCGGTTTTGCTGTTCTGGCGGAGGATGTTGTCAAACCCAAACTTCCTCCGCAGTGAGGAGGTGTTGGAAGTCATGGACCCTGTGGCAGACTTGTGGCTTCGGCTGCTTGCATTCAGGGAGTCATACGCCGAACCTCCGAGATTGAAGCTGGCGGCAAACCCAGAATCCTCAAAGATGCGGTCGCAGTCCTCCACCAAGCGGTCGAGAAGATTGATATAATCGGGTGCTTTCCCATTATCGGCCAGGAGCTCCGCAAATGCAAGTGTCAGTGCGCCTCTATCACCGTCGTTACTGCAGCCATCCAAGAGATCTGCCAGGAGTTTGATGAGGGCGGTGAAAGCGCGACGGTTCTGGGGGGCCATGTCGCCGAACAGGAAGCGCACAAAATCAGCAAAGTCGCCAGGGACTTTCTTCGAGGCTCGGATTTGGAGTGCATCGAGTGTCTGCATAGTCATAACGGGTCCTATCTGTTCGCTCCATGCAATGCGGCAAAACTTCTCGAAGGCCGCGAATATCACCTCAGTGCCTAGCTCTGAGGAAGCATCGAGATCATAGGGGAATTCGATCAGCCGATTGTAGAGGTCGTTCACCGAAAGTTCGTCCGCAAACGATCTATTGAGCAAAGAGCGGCCAACGAAAAACCCCTTCCGCGCCTGCAGGCTTGCCACATAACCGGTAAATGTCTGCTCAAGACGAACTAGCGGGTTCTCTAGGCGGTCCCCCTCGGCACCTATTCGACCTCCATCTCGATTACTCAGTGAGCCGGAGGTCATCGTCAGATCTTTCTGGCTATTATTGCGTCCAGGTTGGCCTGAGAAGAGCGTCCCGGAATTTCCTTGAGGTGCCCGCTGATGCTTGGATGCATTGATGACCGTGGTATCGGTCGTGAGATTCAATGAGGATGTGTTGTTCCCCGCGAGAAAGTTGGAGAGCATCTTCACCGGGGAGGACGCAAGAAAAGACCTGTTGTTCTTCTCTACTTTAGAAGTCATGTTGAGGCCTCTGAGAATCTTGGTGTAATAAGAGACCAAGGCAGGGACAAGCCGTGGATTGGCCACGCTGAACTGGTTACTGAGAAGCTGGACGATCCTGCGCGACATTGTGGGGAGTAAATCCTCGAGCGCAATGTCGTCGGTATAGTTTTTGCCACTCAGACCTAGCGTGTTCATGGAGATCCTTCTCATGTCGCCGCATTTGACCTCAATGACAATCTCAACTCCGTAGTGCCCGACGGGCGCACCCTTAGTGCCTTTCTCGTTGTCAATAACAACGCGGATAGGAGCCGGTTCTTTGCGGCCTTCAATCAGTTGCTCGGCGGCCTCCTGGAAGACGGCAGCATACAGGCCGAAGTTGTTGTCTTGCATTTTGACTGAGCGCAACGTCCAAGCAGGATCTTCCCTCTCCGCCTCGGCAAAACGGCCCTCGATCCTCGCCTTGACAATATCTTCGGCCCATCTGCTGGCTTTGCCCTCATACGACTCCCTGAGCAGAAAACATCTCGACGTGATGGCTTTGCTAGTGAAGTACGATCCGGCATGTGCCCCTTTCATTTCCTGGGTCGATGTCATCCAGACAAGGCTGCCGTCAGACGACTCGGTGAAGCGGACGTCGGCGAGATTGTGCCAACCAGTAAATGCAAACTCCCAAGTTCCTGCCCCTCCGGCAACATTGGTCATGGAAGCAAGCAATCCCGCAGGCGAAGGCTTGTCGATCTCGCGCAAGAAGTCGCGGCCTGTCACCCCTGACTTTGTCTTTTTTTGGAGGATGACGATGCAGTCCGAAAAGAGGAGGAAAATGCCCGCTCGGTCCTGGTGGTCGCCAGTAGGCGGACTAATATCATATGGCGCAGCAAGTTCGACAAAGTCTGTGGCATGGAGTAGCCGTCCTTGCGGCTCAAGATCCAAGGGCCAGCACTCCACCATTGCACGCAGGCGATTAGTAATGTGAGGTTTCTCTGGCAAAGGGTCGTCCATGGAGCAGATATTTGTGATGATGTCCCTTGCGCGAAGCATCAAGTGCAAGGCGGGGTGTGTAATAGGAAGGCAGCTAACGATCTGGTCAATGAATAGGCTGTAACGGGGAAGTCTCTGGACAGGCTCTATAAGGAGGGAGCGGATGGTCTGCTCTCCCGTCTGGGCGACGCGTTGGCGAAAGCTCGACTGCTGATCCAGGAAGGAGTTGATAATCTGAGGGAAGTTCTGACTTGCTCGGATGTAGTCCTGATAGCAGTCGGTGAAATTGGGAAACCACTCGAGAAATATTCGTGCCATAGCCAGCGCCCCACTGGGATCTTTGACCCTGTTGGAGCCTCCCAGGCGTGGCGTGGGGAATGGAAGTTCCATATCCCTCAAGGCATCCTCCTCAGTGTCGTCCATAACCCGGCGCATTTCTTGCATGAAGGCCGTGTTGACTTGCAGTATGCTGTCGACCGATTTTGGGAACAACCTCTCAAGGTCTTGCTCGGTCGGGCTGTTGCTCTCGGGCAGTCGATGCCTCGCGCTCTGGCGAAAGTCGTCGGCAATGTGCTTGACCAAGTCGTTGAGTTTCAGAACGTAGCGTTCTTCAGTGTCGACCAACTCCCCCAATTTCATGCGTAAGTCGACCTTTTGGTGCTTGTTGAAGGACTTGCTCCGATTCAACGAGTTTGGCCGTGACGGGGCTCGTCGCAGCTTTGTGGTCGGCACAAAAAGAGGCTCCCCAAAGAGCTTCACGAAGGGAGTATAGCCGCCATACTGTCGCAAAGTTGGGTCTAGGATGTCATCCTCATCCTCAGGCACCACTTCGAGATCGATAGACTGAAGGGGGACAATGGACCCGGGGGGAAGCACCAGGTCGATGTCGACATTGCTGGTGTGCTGGGTCTGCAGCGCATCGCCTAGAATCCGAACAACCTCGGCGGTGTTGTCGGCCTGGACGGCAGACTTGGCGAGATCTGCGGCATGCTGCTCGCCGAACAAGTTGGGGGCCGAGCCCGGTCGCCTGCCGCGCGTCGTAGGATACTGATTCTTCAGGTGGTTCTTCACGGCGTCGGGAAGTTCGCTGAAGTATTTGTAGAGGCCAAAGGCGAGACCCCTGCAAATCTCGTCGCCCTGGAACTCGCGGGGAAGGTGGTCGACAACGCTGTAGAAAGGCGAGTTTGGGGAAATGGTGATGCGCGGGAAGGATTGGAAGCCAGCCGGGGTGTAGACGTGTATCTGGATCCGCGAGCTGTTGAGCGTGTAGTTTGCTGTCGTCGAGGGACCGTGGAAAATCAAGACAGGCAGGTGGCCGAGCAAAGGGTCGCTGGCGTAAAAGAGAGTGAGGTGCTCGGGCGAGAGCGCCAACTCCTCCGTGACACGAACCATGGTCGCCTCAATTGGTCGTGATCATGGCTCTATGTCGCAAAGCCCAGGAAATTTGGCGGTGGTCGAGTCGGGCGGCCAGGCGACCTGAGCTTCGCGGGAGTTCCGGGGAGAAATAACCGCGGTAGTCTGGGTTCGAGAATCGCGCGGGACGTGAATCGGCCGGGGAGAATCTCGGAATAGATACGAAGTAAACAGACGGAACACAGTAGGCAGGGAGCGCGTTCGGGATCGAGGCGCGAATCGAGTCTTGCGAGTTCTGGTGTCGGCGGCGGCGACGGGATCGGGAGGGTACGTATTTTCGGTCGGTTCCTGCAGGTCGAGGGGCACTACGGCAGTAGCGCTCTGCAAGTGTCCGCGTCGTCAAAACAAACCAATGCAGCTTCGCGACACAACAAAAGCGCAAAAGCACCGATTGCGATTGCGGCGCCAGGCAAAGCAAAGAAAAACGGCCGGAGCACAAAGGTTGTACAAGAAGCGAAAATGCGAGTGGTCGGTAAGCCAAGGCCCGAATTGACGACGCAGCGCAAAGATGCAGCCAGCAGCAACCAAGCTTACTCGGTGGAGGTCGAAGGTCGGAGGGGTTAGGTTGCTGGGCTGTTAGGTACTGTACTGGGATCGAGCTGCGATTCGAGGCTGACAACACGGCCTGGCGCAAGCTAACGCGTCCAGGGCGCGTTGGAGCTCGGACCAGGCGATCCACTTGGTGTAAACAACCCTGGCGCTGTTGACGCACGGATGCCATGACGTCCACTCCATCCATCCGTTTTCCAGCTTAACCAAGGTACTTCCGTCCTCCATCTCGAGCGTCGGATAGCCCACGCCATCAATGGTGACAGGAAATTGACAAACGGTAGGATTGGGAAATTTCTACTAGTATTAATACTTCCTATTTGAGTAAGGATATAGTGAACAGCAGCCAAAAAAAAGAACTAGAAATAAAAAGAGGGGCTCGTGTTATTTTATTGCCTGTGACGTTGGAATCTGTCTCGACTCTCTCGACCAAGGGTATATCTTGTAAGCTAAGCACGACCTGACAATATTCTGGACCTTGAAAATCTACAGCCTTGCCGCTGTAACAGAAAGCCCACCATCGGATCTAGGGTTAGGGTTAGTCTTCTCGCCGAAAGCCTACCATCGAATCTCTTTGCATTGTAGGTTGCAGCCGCCAGCATCGAATCTCTTTGCATTGTGGATTGCAACCGCCAGTACCGGAACAGAACCTTGCCGAGCGTGTGGTAGTTCTCAGTGCCTAGTTGACTGCCCTGTCGACTGCCCTGACTACCCTGACTACCGCGTCAGCCCGACTGTGGACTGAACCTTCCTCTTCTTCTTGCCAAGCTCGCTTCTCTCGTCAAATGAGAGCTCTCTGGCGCTGCCGGGGATCTCGGCGGCAACCTGGAATAGGATTTTACAAGTTGGCTACCCCGACTGCCCCGACCGCCCGGGCCGTCGTAGCCATCGTCCTCGCCCTCAGAGATGTTGGCATTATTAGTTGTCGATATGTTCTTTAGGGTTGGACGATATTGTATCGTCCCTCAAAGCCTATTCCTGCCGCATCGACCGCCCAGTCAACGACTGCGTACCGAGGACTAATAGGTGGCGGCGGCGGGAGTGGGGGAGGCGCGGCCCGTCGTTGCTGGCCGTAATCTTTGACTCGCCGGGCATTGCTGACGATGACTTTCGATTCGCCGGTAATTGCCGACGATGACTTCTGATTCGCCAGTCATTGCTGACGATCACTTTCGATTCGCTGTTACATCCGGCTGACTTGCCACCGCTGGCCCGGCCCAGGCCGCAAACTGACGACAACGTCGTCAGCCGCCCTGTCAACCTCCTTGCCCTCCTGCAAGTCAGCCAGCCAGTCAACAAGCTTGTTGACTGCCCTGTCAGTTGACAGCCGCATCAGCCGCCCAATTTGTGTTGTTACATAAAACCGACCTGAAATTTCTGGGGGTAGGTGATTTTTTTTTTTGGGGGGGGGGGGGGGGTTGGGGTTGTGTTTTTCTCCTTTTTTTGTTTTTCGTTTGTTTTTGCTTTTTGTTTGTTTTTGTTTTGTCGGTCTGACACAAGTCGACTCTGCCCACCATTCCCCAATCGTCCTTCCCCGCCAAAAGCCCCTTCTTCTGTCTTGTACTCTCTTGAAGCAGACATTTCCTCTCTCCACAGGAGCTTGATCTTTCAAAGTACATTGGCCGATCTAGCTGCGAGGCTGTGCGATTCGAGAGGTTATTATGAATCACCCGAGACCACCTTTGACCTAGAGGTGGTCTAAATCTTGCGAGATAGAAGCAATGCGTGGAGCAACAGGGATGTTCTGATACCAGAATAGGACGCTTCATGGGTGCGAATCAGAAGCACCAAGTGCCTGCCCACGCCTTGCCAAAGTTTCGAAAGGAGAAGCCCGACGACTATATCCCACCCGTCCCCGAAATATATTACTGTCGAGCGGCCTCGGGCTCGGTGGGTGCCGCCCGCCGAAGCAACGGTATGGGTGCGTTCGCGATGGTTTTTGGGAGTCTTGCAACTCTAAGACCGTCTCCCAGCTCGTTCGGCAACGGAGATCCTACTACGGCTTTTCGAGTTCTCGGTGTGACCGAATTGGATAAAGCTTCGTGCTTGGGGGTCGCTGCCGGGCCTCTCGCGAATACGCGAACAAAACATTCACGATCGTACCAGCGTTGATACAATAACGGCTGTGGATTTCTCGGAACTCATATAATACAACACCCAAGAAGAAGTAATTACCAGAGGCGCCTCTTTGTTCCGGCACCTCCGCTACCAACCAACGATCTGACAGACGCCGATACGAGCATCTCCGCACCTGCCGTAGTTACGATTTCTACTCTCAATCAGACAAGAGCCACGCTCGCCTCTGCTCAATGCAAAAAGTTTACAGCTTCGAGCTGGTCCCAACAAAAGCTTCTCCAGATTGATGCTGCGGAGAGCAGCAAACCCTTACCGCTCTGTGGGGGTCTTCTGGACATCAAGAGGAGGCTGTCACGGATTGCCGACACACCAACAGACAAAACAGACGCCTGTTGTCTGACAGCTCGGGGCAACAGCAGCTATATCGTCGCAACCCTCACCACAGAAACCAGGCCCTCGCAGTGACCCTGAAGAAGTTTTCTGGCCGCTGCGGTGCGCTTGCATATCAGACCAAGAGACCCGTTGTTGAAAGTTTTAACATATTTTTGACTCCCGTGCTAGGCCGCTTGTCTCTGGGATGGGGGCTAGCTTAGGCTTGTGCCGGGGGCGGGCACGCCAAGTTTATAGACTTCAAGATCCAGAACATCGTTGGTTCGGGAGGTGCCGTGGACGGCAAAGCCGAGTTTACGGATTTCAAGATTCAGAACCATGGCACGAATGTGGCGATGTCAGGCCATACAACAGGCCATATGCCGACTCGTAACCTAGCCCCTCATCGCCCTGACCTGGGTGTCCACCGAGGACCCAGTCCTCGGGCCATCAAAGGTCTATATAAACCCGGCCGTCTTCAGGATAGAAGACAGACATCTTCTATCTTCATCTCCCTACAAGAACATTGCCGGGGCAGGAGGTGCCGCGGGCGGGCACGCCAAGTTTACCGACTTTAAGATTCAGAACACTGTCGGGCGCGGGCGGCAAGGCGAAGTTCACGAACTTCAAAACTCAGAACATTGCTGGGTCTGGACTCCAGCGGGAAGAGGAGGAGCAGACCTCAAGACCTAGAATATTGCTGGGGCGAGACTGAAGCGGCAGGAGGAGGAGGAGGAGGAGGATCAGAGCCGAGCCGAGTTTACCAACTTCAAGATCCAGAACATCGTTGGATCGAGCGGCCGGGTCACATACAGAAGCGGCGTCCAGCGGCGGCCTCATTCGGCGGAGAGAGCCACCGCCCTGAGCGTACGTCGGTGGCGAACGCTGCTTTCCCTCTTCCTGCCTTTGTGTTCCTATCTTTCTTGACCTGTGCTGCTGCGTGCACACAGACCTCCTAGTCCCTACTACTTTACCGTTGAGATTCGGAGCTGGCATCGGGTTTGGAGGTTACCAGAGCCAGAAGACCTGCTACTCGAGGCGTCCGCTGGCGGCCTCACAATACGTGGGAGAGGTGAAGTGTGCGAGGAGCACATGAGCAGGAAATGCGTGGTGGATTGCTTGAATCTAAGCTATCTGAGCGCAGGCGGGAAATCTATGGTGGCGGTTATCCGAGCCAGAAGACCTTCTACTCAAGTTGGTCCTCCTAGTTAATCATACACGGAAGCTTATTTTCGAGCTTGCTGGCGGGAAAGTGTCACTGTTTTTGAAAGTGTATCTTGTTATCCCTCGTGTTTATTACCGTAGTCCTAGCAAAGCAGTGCTGAAGAAACTCGATGATATCTCTATATTTGAAATATGTGAAACGAGGGAGTGCAGTGACTATATTGATTTCATTGCAAATATCTTCCCAACGGACATGCATCCAACCCGGCAGCCAGGAAAATTTTAGTTAGAGCTAATGACAGGGTACTTGCTGTCGGTACCGATACATGAACAGTACCGTTGCTTAGCGAGCTACCTGGGGTTCTTTCACACTGTACCGTACTTGGCCGTATTGACGGGAACTGGAATTTCTTAAGTTGCCTCTCCTTGCCTTAGGCCTAAGTCCTCGGCCCTTCCTAGCTGCAGGCCTTAACCTGCAGCCCTACTCTCCCCAATTGGGACTAGCGTAGTTGCCCTCTCGCTACCATAAAACCACCGCCTAAAGGACTCGCAGGCTTTTTCTTTTCCTTTTCCTTTCTTTAGCTCAGTTACCTACGAAAATAGCTATTCCTTACTTGCAGCTCTGCCTCCTATATATGCCTGCCTTTATAACGGCCGCCACGCATCTAGGACGATACGCCAACTTACCAGCCACGGCCGACACCTAAGAGATCCTGGATGCGATCCAAGGCATGGAAATCCGGCTTGGTGCCCGCATCGGCGACGTAGAGGCTCGGCTTAGTGCCCGCATCGACCGGTTAGAGACACGTATAGTGGTCGCGTAAGCGCGTTAATTCTCCTGATTTTCAAGTACCTTAGAGTCTTATAGCTAATAATCTCGCGATAGCGATCAAAACGGCGTTGCACGGCAGCAAAACGGCCTCCTCGTCACTACTAAAGAATTCCCGCTCGAGACGTTACACTCCGTCCTAACCGGCAGCCCGATTCCGGACTTCCCCGCCCAGTTGGCTGACATCGACCAACTAACTGGTAGGTAGCTAGTGAGCGGTATCCGATTTGACATATTGAGGCATACTAAACGTGGAACATAGATACGCAGGCGGATATTATCCTGCGTCAACTAGGCGCTCCAATGCAAGCGGGCATTCAAGAAAAACGGAAGCCTATCAGGGCCTTCTGTGGCGTCAGGCCCGCCTTCTGAGGTAATTAGGGACCATCAACCCAACTGCGATCAAGGACGTAGGGTAAGGCCTGAACGAGACGGCAAGGAGGTGATGTAGGTGACTGGGGGTTGGTGAGGGCAACTTTTGCGTATTTTGCGTAAAACAACGGGAGCTACTGAAGGGTCCTGGGAGGTAGCTTAGTTGATGTGCTGGGTGTAGACTTCGCGGGCTAGTCGTGAGATGTCCAGTTGATGAGAACGGAAGTTTTTATGAATTCGAGGACCCCCCATTTAGGTAACACTCGATAGGTAAATCAATGAGGGAAAGTACATGCTTGTCGTCCAAAAAACAGTTCTTTTACAACGCCAAAATCCGACGTTGGAGCCAGGCAAGCAGGTACGTGCCGACCCCCCTAAATCGACCGTAGACTTCTGGTAATTCGACGGACTCTGGCCGTTTCTGGGAGGGCGCCTGCGGGCAAGCCCCACCATGGTTTTGCAGTACGAATCTCGCCACAGTCCTCTCTAGAAAATCTAGACCAAGGTGCAGATTAAAGGTCGGGGCTGCAATTTAATTGGAACAAAATCGGCCTGGAGGCAGGGCGAGGCGGGTCAGCGCACGGGCTAAATTCGACCAGTCAAAAGGGGCAGCCCAGCAGCGACACAGATATTCCCACGAGGGAGTGCACACCCTTATTTTTGGAGGTAGTTGGGTGCGTAGGCATGCTAGCATGGTAGGCGGACAAAGTGTGTACTATGTAGTAGGCAACTTGAAGGTGGGCAGATAAGGTGGGCTGGTAAAGCGAAGACCCACCAAAGCTCCGACTCAGGCTGCAACTCCGCTCCCAGATTCGTATCCGACACCTACCATAGTGAACAACGTTGGCAGATCCCTTGAGTACCTGCGGACCGTACTCTCGGCACCGACTCTGTTTTTCGGCCTCCGCACCAGGTACTTAGCGAATGACTTGCAAGACCCCTGTTGTCCCAACTCGGCGTGAGCAAAAGGGGCTTCTAGTCTGGTGTATTTGGCAGCGATGCGTAGAAAGCGATTCATCGTCGTTGGCTGTGAACTATATTCACCTTCGTGTTATCGGAGTGTCTTGGTCGAATAGGATGTCGCTTGTTTCCTCGGTCCCAGTAATTCTGAAGTTCCTCACAGGTAAGCGGCGGGGCTTCCGGTGTCTCTAGCGCCGCAAGCTGCGCTTGGATGCGAGCAATCTGAGCAGGGTCCACGCTCCCCATTGGCTCACGGGTCACTGTAAGCAACTTTTAGGGCAATAGGTAGATAGGTTGGGGCGCGGCGCCCTACAGAACGTACCAAAACAAGGGACAAAACTCGTAGGTTCGGCTCCGCTACGGCGTTACTTCCCTGAATAAAGTCTACACCGTCTCTGATTAAGAGTGTGATCTTTTTCCCAGAAAGAGGCTCGGAAGGCTAGCGCCAGAAATGACGGTACCTCGAAGAAAGTGGGCTAATATTTTTTACCAAAGTCACTCTTACCTTGTACCCTTCATTTTATTGTTAAGGAGTTCTGGGATTTGAAAAATTCGGAAAGAGTCACGTGGTCTGCACCATTTCCTATTGGTCCAAAGAATTTAAGCGAGCAAAAGTGGCTCGTGCGGGAGCCAGGATTTTCCCGGGCCAAAATAGGTCCGGAACCTTTCTGGGCCTCTTTTGGTGCACGTCTTTACCGAGAGGGCCCGACTCCAGAAAGCCAACAAGAATTGGGGTTAAATTCGTAGAGGGTACCCCACCCTAGGAGGGTGGCTCTAATAGCCGCGTACTGTCATTTCTGGGGATAGATTTCAGGGTGGTTTTTCTGGAAAAAAGATCACACCCTAAAGCACACTCTCGCGATAATATAACACGTCTCGAAGCTGGTCTCGGAAATTTGCAGCGCAGGAGACACGGCGGCATGGCCGACGTAAATACCTTGCCATTCTTGCTTCTCCTGCCCGGAGCCCTGGATCCTGGCGCACTTCGCCGGGAACGAGCGCTTCAGCTGTGTCACAGCAGTGTGGGCGCTGTGTGCATCAGTAGGCTTCAAGAGGTGCAAATGCCCTCCAAAAATGTACTTATCGAGGGTGTTTTGAGGTGCCGTTTTTGGTAGCTTGGACCTGCCAGCCGGCCAATGTCGGCACCCCAAAACACCCTCGATAAGTACATTTTTGGAGGGCATTTGTACCTTTTGAAGTCTACTGCATACATATAGTACATTACTCATTAAGACCTGCTCTACTTAGCCTGCGTCCAGGCTGATGACGATTTGAAGAACCCTGAAGGCCATCTGTTCTAGGCGCCGACCGTTCTACGCGAAAGAACAACAAGATCGTCCAAAACCCAAGAGGCAGCGGCGAAGTAACAAAATGTCGAAAACTCCAATTCAGCACGACCCAGCCTGCATCTGAAATGCCTCCACATGTCCCCCGGAAACGTGTCCGCGATCGATCCCCACCAGCCCCGGACATAACCAAGCAGCAGCAGAAGGGGAAAGCAGGGGCCGGCGCCTTTGTTCCGCCGCGCAAGCCAACGCTGTTCGAAGATCTCGATGCCAATTCCACCCCGCGGTCATCCACCCGCAATGGCTCGACGGCGCAGCAAATCGACGACAGCCAAGACGGCGAGAGCTCTTTGACGTCCTTGTCAGATGCGGATTTTGGGGACAATCCGCCCGCCAAAAGGCAAAAGCTCTCTCAGACCGCCAAAGAGGGAGAGGCGAATGACGATGCCGGCGACGATGACGATGACGACGAGGATGAGGACATCGAATTCGAAGACGTACTGATACCCCAGGACGCCATCCCGAATCGCCCTCTTCCAACAGGCAACCTAGAACTGATCTTGACGAGGGACACGAGGATATCGCTAGAGAATGCGCTAGGGAAGAAGGGCCCGTCAAAGCTAGAACGGAAGATCCGCATTGCTACGCACTGTGTGCACGTTCAACTTTTGCTGTGGCATAATGCGATCCGCAATTCTTGGCTATGCGACCCAGAGGTCCAGGGAATACTGCTCTCGCACATACCACCGAGGCTGTGGGACGAGGTTGACAGGTGGAGGCGCAACAGCGGGCTGGACAATCATGAAGAGACGCCCAAGAAAGGCGCCAGCCCGAAGCCGACTACCAAAGCAAAGAGGCAGAAGGGAAAGGGCAACGCAGAAGACCCGCCGTCTCGGGACTGGGGAGAGGCGGCCAAGCGCCTAGAAAAAGGCGTCGTTGACATGAGCCACGGAGACCCCCTTTTCCGCCTGATGAAGGCACTTTCAGCGTGGTGGAAGCAACGCTTTTACATCACCGCGCCTGGCTTGCGAAAGTGCGGATACATGTCTCTGGAGAGACTGGACCGTTTGACAAAAGAGTTCAAGCAGGAGGGTCATGATCCGTCAAAGTTTGGAGAGCGTATTCAGGGCTTGGACGAGTTCAGGAAGCGCGCACAGGAATGTGCCGGTAGCCGGGATGTTGGAGCACAGCTATTCACAGCTCTTTTAAGAGCTCTAGGTATGGAGGCCCGAATGGTCGCCAGCCTCCAGACATTGGGTTATGGGTGGAACAGACTCGAAGAGGCAGACCCTGAGAAGGGCCCTAACGCGTCGGGCCATACTCTGCAGAAGGATACGAGTGCCCTTCACGAAAACGGCCCTAGCTTGAAGCCAAAACCTGCTCGATCGGCCAAACCTGCCGCCACTAGTCGACCGAGCCGCGCGACCAAGAGAAAACAGGACGAGTCGGACTCTGAACTTCTTACGGATCTCGAAGACAGCGATGATGACTCTGTTATTGACCTACCTCCTCCACCACCAAAGAGAGGGAAAGCCTACGACTTCGACCTCGATTTCCCCAATTACTGGACCGAAGTTTTGTCTCCGGCCACACACAAATACCTCTCGGTCGACGCTATTGTCAAATCCGTGATCGGGACTAACAGGGGACTGGTGGAATCGCTGGAGCCTCGCGGTAGCAAGGCGGACAAGGCGAAACAGATGATGGCATATGTCATAGGGTTCTCACAAGACGGCACTGCCAAGGACATCACTGTCCGCTATCTGAAACGGCAGACCCTGCCTGGCCGCACCAAGGGCATGCGGGTTCCCATCGAAAAGGTGCCCATATACAACCGGCACGGCAAAGTGAAGCGCTATGATATGTTTGACTGGTTCAAAACGGCCATGGCCGGTTATGTCAGGGGAGGAAAGGACCACGCCATCACTGAAGTGGATGAGGAGGAGGACTCCACCGACCTCAAGCCGAATAAACCCGAGAAGAAGGAGGTGAAGGAGGGAGAGGAGACACTACAGTACTACAAGCAGTCCAAAGACTTCGCACTCGAACGGCATCTCAAGCGCGAAGAAGCGCTGCTCCCAAATGCGAAACCAGTCAAGACGTTTAAGCACAAGGCCAAGACCGCCGCGTCGCAAGAGGAGCCTGTTTATTCGCGTAAAGATGTCGTCCAGGTGAAGAGTGCCGAAACATGGCACAAGCAGGGCCGAGCGCCAACTCCTGGCGAACAACCCCTGAAGAGAGTCCCCTACCGAGCAGCCACTACCAATCGACGGCGCGAGATTGCCGAGGCCGAGGCCGCCACCGGGGGGAAGGTGTTGCAAGGCCTCTACAGCTTCGAGCAGACGGAATGGATCATCCCACCGCCGATCCAGAATGGCATAATCCCCAAGAACGGATACGGCAACATCGATCTGTTCGTTGAGCACATGTGCCCTGAGGGCGCCGTACACGTCCCGTACCAAGGTACCATGAGGGTGTGCAAGCGGCTGGGGATCGACTACGCAGAAGCTGTCGTGGACTTTGAGTTTGGCAACCGGATGGCCGTCCCGGTTATCCAGGGCGTGGTCGTCGCCGAGGAGTACCACGACACCGTCATGGAAGAGCTCGCCAAAGACGAAGCAGAGAGGATCAGGAAGGAGGACGAGAAGCGTAGGAAAGCGGCCTTGGCCAAGTGGCGGAAATTCCTGATGGGCCTGCGCATCGTGGAGCGGATCAAAAAAGACCACGGCCACATCGAGGACGGCACCAGCGTCTTTGGACGCCACGGCCGCGGCCAAGCGGCAGACGAAGACCAAGAAACGCCAGACACAGGGCAGGAGGACGACGACATGGGCGGTGGCGGCGGCGGCGGCGGTTTTCTCCTAGACGGCTACGAAGGCGACGAAGAAGCGGCGGGCAAGCTGACCTCGGGCTTCTTCCCGGTCGCAGATGACGACGCCGAGGACTCGCTTCAGGTCGAGGCTGTTTATTATGAGCCGGACATCGGGCGGCTGCCCGCGCCGTCTTCGCCGGAGCCACCGCCGTCGCCTCCACTAGAGCCACCGTCTGGCACTTCCAAGCGCAAGTCGGTGATGAGTACCAAGCCCAAGCGGCAGGCAGCCGGCAAGGCAAAGGCGTCATCGTCCCGGCGGAGGAGGAGGCGGGATGTGCCTTGGAGCGAAAGCGACGACGATGATTCTTACCAGGAATCTGGCAGCGATTAGAGCGGGGTCTTGATTTGCTCGCTTATGCGGGAGTTATGATATGTCGTCTGGAGGGCTCCCCCAGGCTGAGCAGTACTAGATTTGCAATGCATTCTACAACCGATGTGGCCGCGGGTGTTTGGCCACATAATTGGCGTCATGCTTCCAGGTTTGTGGATGGGATGTTTAGATGGGATATCTGGATAGGATGTCTAGATGGGATGTCTGGAGTTTTGAGACTTGGCTAGGGAAAACCTAGAAAGGTTATTAGAGGCCGATGCCCGAGTAGGTTGCATCGTTGCATCGAGATTGGCATCCCATTGTTTGTTTAATTACGAGCGGAAAGCCACAACATTTTTCTCGGAATAGGTTCAACCAGTTGCGCTTTGGTTTATTTTGTGGATGTTGTTTACTTCCTAGTCCGTCCCCCCTTTCGAGTAGTCGGAGCTCCCTCGACTGGTCTTGTATATCCGCCACCGGCGCATCCACGTAAGTATACGGAGTGCCTTGCACCACTTTTACGGGGATATATATAAGAGAAAAATAAAGTCGAATTTTTTTCTGCCTGCGAACAAACCAAGGAACCTTTAGCGTGAACTTTGGCATTTGATGTGTCTGGCTTAGATGAGTTTGGCTTAGTAACATCCCAGCCGCTGCAGCGCCAGGCATGTGCGGCTCCATTTAAGCACTGCATGGATGTTGTGCAGTCAATTCCCCAATGCTTGTTGGCGAGGAACTTTCCATGCCTCGATAGCTCAGGCTCGCCCAAAATTTCATTGGCTGAGAGAGATAATAGCTTCTAGAATTCCTATTCTAGAATCTCAGAGGCCTATCTCGCCTATATAAATACCTTTCAAAGGCTGTTCTGGCTGGTTCATTTGGTATCATCGTGATTCTTCTCGAGTACCCCGCTAACAACCATTAGGCTGTATTTTAAATACGGTGTTACATACGGTACGGCCGACAGTACATGATCGGCACCGGGTTTCCTCCAAACAAAGCTTTATTTGACGAGTTGTGGATTCTATCTGGAGCAAGTAAATGGCGTTTGTCTTTCCTTCCACCAAGTAAATCATTGGAGCATCACGTGGAAATGCGGCTGCCCCAAGTGTTTCCACGACTGAAATGACAAGTTCCCATTGAGAATATTCCATCTACCTACGTACGGAGGGAGGGACTCAGGTCCACTAATTCCGTGGCGCTGCACACGACTCAGCTGTCGGTGCGCTCACCGAGCCAATAACGAAGGGGATTGGGTCCGTGGGCACGGGGAGCGTTAGGTTTTGGGACTTGGGGGACCTTAGTGTATGGCCTGTGCGCTTGCTTGAGCCTTTGTCCGCGATTTCCTCCAGAGTCGGACGGACCTCATCGAATCTTTTGCTGCTGGACTCTCTCCGCCGAGGCTCGATTGAGGATGTCAGGCGACTGGCTGTGAAGATAGTGTTTTGTCCTTGGTCCTCGCACATGAGCTGCCCATGACTAGTCCGACGCAGCTTGCAGAATTGAGGCCGGCCTGCCTTCCCAGGCTGTGTGCGCGCGGGCGCTGGCAGCAGCCCCGCTAGCTCCTCACCTCACCATTACTCGTTGCCCAGCGATTCTATTCGGCTACCGCAGGCACTAACGGGTGTTAGCTAGCCAGCCCTGGCTCGTGACTTTTCGGCCCTCAGCTCGCTAGGTGCCCCTCGACGACTACCTCGACCTTGCTACACGCCCGAAACCCAAACGTGAGCGATATCTTGTTGGAGAAAGGCTCTTTCTTCTTCTTCTATTTATTCTTTAATTTCTAGCGAGCCAGCTTCGCATCCTCTCGCCAACTGCACCGACTGACTGCCCCGCCCACGCCGCTGCCGGTCCGCCGTCTCCAGTGCATCCATGGACGGCGACGACCAATGTATTTTTGGGGCCGAGCCTGGCCTTTTAGGCTTCATGGGTGGCTTGCAAAAGTGAGTCTGGAACTTCTCTACCTTTTTTACCTTTGCGTGCCATTGAGCCCATCTCCTTCCCCCGGCCATGCTCTTAGGAAGCCGACAAGGTTTTCTCCCTGCCGTTGAGTTGCCTTCGGGCGAGGCCGTGGCCAACAAGTGTTGGCCGAGCTCGGCCGTCGACGACTGCACTGCGCGCAGACTGCCGCAGCTCGGAAAATCGAGAATTCGGTGTGCTGCACCCGCAGCCCCGAGAAGACGAGGCCTGTTTCATTTCTCGCCCTGTATCCTCGTTTCCTGCTCCAACGGTTCAGCGCGGTTCCTTCACATTTTGGTTTCGACCTTTTTGTTCGGTCGCCTCGCCAGAGGAGCAACAGCGTGGGTGGTGTGCCGCCTTGACTATGCCTCGGCGCGTGGACGCTGCACCCCTCGTTGATACTAGTCCAGCTTCTGTTTGCTGTTCGGGCAACAGCTTCTGTTCTCTGTCCTGCTCTCTGCAAAGCTACAGGCTGCTCAAACTCCCCTCCAAAGGCCTGCCTGTCCTCACTTTAGCCTTGTTCCTCTCCTCAATCTGCGAACCCAGACAGCCGCAACCTTCCCAACTAGAAAAGACAATCTCGCAACCAGCGTGCGGGCCTTTGGTCACATGGGTGGCATCTTCTCTCGTTCTCCGTGGGCTACCTTAAAAAAGGGTGTAAGGCGGCTCACGAAATGCAGGCGGAAGGAGTACGGCCATGTTATTCTAGGCGCCCCAGAGCCCCTAAAACGCAATTGATACCGACAGGTTCTAACGAGTTACTCTAGTGCGCAAAACATGGAGCAATTTGAGCCCCCCAAAGCTCATCTTGAGCACGTCAGCAACGATCTGCAGCTGGAGTGTGAGAGTGCGGTTCTGAGCTGTTTCCCAGACATGTGCCCAGACCATCTGAAGGAACTCGCTGCCCAGTACCAGTGGGAACATGCCCAACTTATCACTGCCGTTCTGGATTCTATGGAAAGGGGTATCTCGTATCCGAAGCGGGCCAAGTTGCTCAAACGAAAGCGCAACGTGGAGGAGAAAAAGGACGACTCTGGAGGTGCCGAGAAACGGTTCGTGAACCGTGCGCCGGGAGATCTCATCATCAATCACCACTCCCACTACCTAAGAGTATATCGCCAGGTCACGTAAGTGGAAGGCTCTGAAGCATTCGCCCCATACCGTCCTGCCCCAGAGCCATCTCATACTAACCCAGCCACGCGCCAATAGCAAGAAATTGCTCACGGTCGAGTTCCCCTTCATTTATGTACACGACCTGCAGAAGGTTCTCAAAGAGAAAAATGAGTACCTTTTCCAAACTTACATGGCCTTGGATACCGCCTACGCAGACGGAGAGGCGAACTCGCCGTTTGCACCCAAGAAAGTCCCAACCAAGCCGCTTGATATAGAGGTAGAGTTTCTAGGGATGGAACGGCATCCAGCCTATAAGGACGCCCTAGCCGAATTTCACGCTGCGCAAAAGATTTGCCAAGACAAGGCCGCCATACGAGCAGATAAAAGCCGCCAGGAGCAAGAGGAACTCGATAATATCAATCGAGCAAAAGCAGGAGGAACAATGTCCGAGTGTGGGTGTTGTTTTGACGAATTTCCTCTGAACAGAATGGTTCACTGCAATGGCGATGAGATTCACTGGTTCTGCCGCGGCTGCACGAAGCGAATGGCGGAGACCGAGGTTGGCCTTTCCAAATATCACCTCGCGTGCATGTCCATGGACGGCTGCACGGGGGGCTTCTCGCGGGATCAGAGGGAGATATTCTTGACTAAGGACCTGGCAGCTGCCTTGGAGCGGATTGAGCAGGAGGCCATTCTACGCATGGCGGGTATTGAGAACCTCGAGACATGCCCCTTTTGCCCTTATGCGGCCGAATATCCTCCGGTGGAGGAGAACAAGGAGTTCAAGTGCGACAATCCCCAATGCGAAGTGGTAAGCTGCCGGCTGTGTCGGCAAGTGACCCACATACCCAAGACCTGCGAAGAGGTAGTACGGGAGGGGGGCCACAGTGCTCGACGCCAAATAGAAGAGGCCATGTCGAAGGCCATGATCCGCACATGTAACAAATGTGAGAGCAACGACCCCCCCTCGCTTCATTGACTGACTACAGCTAGGCAACACACCATTCATCAAGGAGAATGGATGCAACAAGATGATGTGCACACGCAACGGATGTAGAAATATCCAGTGCTACGTCTGCTCAGAGTCGTGTGACTACCGCCATTTTGACGATCAAAATAGGGGTGGGAGATTAGGCAACTGTCCCCTGTTTGATAGCGTCGAGAAGCGGCATGCGGACGAGGTTCGGGCAGCTGAGGAGAAAGCTCGGAAACAAGCCACCGAGAAAAACCCGCACGTCAAAGCCGAACTTTTCGAGATCAAGTTCTCTGACGCCGTGTTGGAAGACGAGAAGCGCCGCCAGAATCTTGGCCGAGCTGCGGCTGTCATTCCTCCACACAACTTCATACATCATGTCATACATCGTCACCCATATGCCGTCGTCCCACCCACCGTCCCCCCTCAAACCCCCCTGCAGAAAGCACAGCCGGCACACCCTGCAATTGGCGCGGTCCCAATTTCCCCATTGCCACACGGTATGTTTGAGGGTTTAAATTCCTTCGAGGCAGCCGGTTCGTGTCGTACTAATTATCATCTTTGTCGCTAGTTCACTACCATAGGCCGGTGCCAGAAGCCCCGCCATCCCCCAAAATTGCTGGCGAATTTGAGCATCTCCAAAACTTCCAACCTGCAGTCCACCAAGTGCCGCGAAGGCAGAAGGCTCAACAACCGGTACCGCAAGTACAGCATATCGCTCAACAGCAAGGACAGGATGTCGCTCAACAGCAAGGACAGAATGTCGCTCAACACGTCGAGGACATCCATCGACAAGTTCGAAACCGCATTCGTCAACGAGTTCGAGACGACCGGACGCTCCAGAATGTCATGCGTGTGGCAGAAGCAGTACCTGCCAGGCAACGACCCGAGATAGTTCGGCGCCGTTTTGGCCAGGCGCTAGCGGCGCTTGCCCCCGGCGAGCGCCGCAGGGCCGTGGTGGATCACCTTGAAGCAGGAGGACTGGAGGCATTGCGGCCTCCTGCTGGCTTGGATCAACTGGAGCCACTTGAGGACATGAGTGACATTCTGGACGGCCGTATTAATGGGCTTGGCCCTCCACTCAACGATGGAGGACATGACCGTTTCGCCTATGACCGTTTCGCCTATCCGTTTCCTCATGCTGCTCGTCACGCAGCAGAGCTCAATCCAGCCAACTACCTTTCTTTCGTTGGCCTGCCTCCTCTACTGAACCACCTGGACATGGATCCTGCAAACCCCTTTGGTCCCTTTCCCCCTCAGCCTGAACCAGGCAAAGCTGGCAACGCTAGACAGCGCAACCGGGTGAGAGACCTAGCAGATGGCAGAGGGCCCGGAGATTTCGACGTCAATGACTTGACAAGCGATAGTGTCAGACCCCAACCCCGGTACGCCTCTCCGTACCAACGAGACCTGTCCAATACAGGCCATTCGTACCAAGTGGCTTCTCCGAGGAATAATATGCGTCCTGGCAATGTTGGCGGTGCCGCGTAGGAAGGGGTGCCACCTAAAATCGTAGAGGGAGTATATTGGCTTGAAGAATTTAGCGATTTTAATGCGCAATAACTTCTGTTGTTTGGAGTTGGAACAGTTGCGTGACAAAGGGTGCGTCCTGGGGATAGGAAACACGGTTGGAAACTCGGAAGGCGTCTCTGAACGGCCGGTCGTCGGAACGGGAAACCGCCCACCGCACACTGATCTTTATCCTTTACGGCGTTTTGGTCGGCAAAAGAATTGGGGGTTATGGTTGTCGGGGTTGATATACTAGCTTGGGATTGCATCACGTCATTATTGAGCAGCAGGAGCCATGGTCTCTTTCGGGAATGGCTTGGGGGCATCAAGACAGCTCTTGGTATTGCCTCGTCCAGTCTAGCTGTTGTTAGTATAGCTGTTGTTAGTATTACTTTTGTGACGCTAAATATTGGGCCCATTCTGTTAGTACATGTAATAAAGTGAGGCATCACGGCTTCTGTGAGATATTGGAGGTGTCTGCGTAGATGAGAGCTAGTCGACGATTGCCGCTTGAGCAGAAAGCTCTGGAGCTTGAGGTTGGTGATACGGGCATGAGCCGGGGATGCATCACCTCCCCAGTTTGCAGAGAGCCGGTCCCCCCTTTATTGGGTTCTGTTTGTACATTAACATATATCGATGAGGTGTCAGTTATGTCTGGGCGATATAGCGAAATAGGATTTTAGTAGGACAATCTGTTGGTCCGCGTTTCTATGAGACTGTAGGCTAATTAACCAAGGACGAGTCTTCATCGAGACAGGTCCTGCATGTCGTGAGCGGGGATGGCATGTATCATGGCCTTTTCTAGCCAGTGTGCTACATACAGTATTCGTAGATCGTACATGGCCTAGGCTCCCATCCATGCATCCATCCAGCACCCCGTTTACTCTGAAGATGCTTGCTTGCTAGTACCATCCTTCCGAATTTCTATTTTATTCTTTTCTCACTGTATTCATCTTCCCACTCCCCTCTGCTGGCCGATCGACTGCGCTACCGCGTCCTCCCAAACTTCTCATGCCACTTGCCCCGCACTACCGGCGCCGGCGCCGCCTCCCCCGTCCCCGGCACGAGCTCGATCGTCTCGTGCACCGTCGCGATGGCGTGCAGGCCCATTGCTGGCGACCCGTCTTCGCCTTCGGCGGTTTGTTGCTGCTGCACCGGCGCCAGCAGGATCAGCGCGTTCGACGTGTTCTTCTGCCGCAGCGAGTACGTCTTGTCGGCCGTCTTAAGCAGCGCCGCCGCGGGAGACGAGGTTAGGGTGAGTCTTGGTGCGAGGCGGCTGGGTTAGTGAGGGGGTGGTTTTTTGTTCTGGGGGAATGGGAAGGGGAAGGGAAAGGGATGGGTGAGAGCAGGGTGTGAGAGAGAGAAGGGAAGACATACACCGGTGCATCGCCGCGCTCCAGCAGTTCGGCCAGCTCCGCCGGCAGCTCGAGCAGCTTGTAGCCGACGCCGTCGGGCGCGTACGACAGCGAGATGCCCAGCCCCCCTGCGGCGGCGCTAACTGTTTGGCCTTCGCCTGGCATTTTTTCCCCCCCGTCTAGCGGTTCTCTGTTCTTAGTCAAGCAAGTAGGTGGACAGAGAGGGTACTGGCGCCGGGAGGTTTGCGAGTCGCGAGGCTCGGTTGGATGCGACTGTGGGGTGGCAGCACCTGAACGGGGTAGCTGAAGTGAGTGCCCCGCGGTGGGGTGCGGGGGCGTCAAACCTGGGAGAAGCGGATCCGATCCGTGCGTCCCAGGGTAAGGGTTCCTACCTGGCGACCTTCGGAATTTGCATCTGAGTTGGGACGTTGGGGCCCGCTACCTCCTTACTAATCATTCTCATCACCACTGGAAAAAATTAAAATAAGACCGCTTTTAGCAATGAGACTTACGACCGTTGAGCCGCCACCACATCACCAATGTCTTTCTGTAAGATCGGGTCGATGAGCGGCCTGAACTGAATGAGGCGGCTGTTTAGTTGAATAGATGTTGCACGCGATCGAAGTTTACAGCGCATTAATTGTCTGGTTAAATCAAGTCTAGTAATACACGAATGAAGGCCTTCTTATACTTCAGGAAAAGGACAAAAGAAAACCCTTTTCAGCAAGGGATTCAGCCGTACAGGGGGTATTCGAAGTTCGGCCATACAGGGGTTATTTGAAGTTCAGCCGAACAGGGGGCATGCCGACTACGGCTTCAAATGTGGCTCAAAGTGGCTCAAATCTAGGCGACAATAGAGTATCCAAACTGATCTTCTCAATGATAGATAAAAAAAAATGGCAGTACCTACCTGAGGGATGAACACAAGTATTCTTGCGTCTTGACAGGTTCTTGGTATTTGGATTATTAGTGATAAGGTTGTCTTGTGGGTGACATCAAATTGAATAATGCAGGCAAGGTAGGCAAGGTAGGTACTCAAATGAGTTCGCCATTCACGAACTCGGTCTCGTTTACCCGCTCACATGAGATGCCGGCTTCTTGAAAGCAACATGGCGGCTGGCGATGAACTTGACAGCCTTGGCCGTGTTTTAATTAGGTATATTTGAGCACGGAATAGCTCACTTCCCCATGCAAAGTTCGACTCGACTGAGTTCCTGCCATGAGAGATGACAGAAGGCTCATGCGTTCGGTCCAGGCGGCATCGCCCCTAGAATTGTTGGGGATTAAAAGGGCATTCTGCCTCTTACTCTCTAGACATGGCTTGAACATTGGAGCAAAGGTCAACGAGAAGCTCGAGGACCGCGACAAGCTAGTAAATGCCATAGCCGAATTTGGTGTAGCAGGAGACAAGACGGGCCTCATAACTCGTACAGAGGCGTCGTATGTTTTGCTTTTGTACGTGAGGCAGCTATGAAGGCCTAGGAGCAGCGAAGTATAGACGAGAAATCCCCAAATCAGCCTCCTTCTCCACGTCGCTACCCGCAGGTAGCGAGCACAGGGAAAAAGACAGTGAGCGAGCGGGTGGTTATCAAAAATTAGTTGTGGCACGCCAGAGGCTAACACAAACCATGGGAGCCCACGGAGTGCAATGCAGGCCCCCATAGCCCCCCTGCCAGCCTTCTTGATCGCTAGCAGAGCGCCAGCCTGTCTAGGAAGACGGCCGGCACGCGTGAGTGGGAAAGGAAGAATCGATGGGCGAGGATGAGACAGGCTGAATACTTACAACCCCAGAGGGCTGCTCGTGCATGACTGAAAATTCCCGAGTGGAGCCTTCGTCTCGTCATCGCCGTTGCCTATTCGTTTGTTTTGTTTCCGTTACGCATCTAGAGACGCGAGTTGGCCGACCTAGACAAGGTGCAGGCAGGTGGAGACACGTTAATTATTGTAGGACCTCAGGCAGGCAAGACAACCAGATACCTTGGTTAGATACTTGCACCGCGCAGTTCTTGACAGTCTAGTCAAGTAGCTGCTTAAGTTCTTTCCATTCTCGATGTTCCCTTGAGGTGGTGAAGTACTCGCAAACTGCCCTCAAACCTACCGTGCAGCTAACAATCGCACCCCTACCTAGACTCACTTGCTCATCTAAATACATCAACTGCTTCTTTGACCAGGTTTAGGGAATAGGTTGCCGATGCTGAAAACCTCGAACTTGCCATCAGCCTGCTTAGCGGCAACGGAACCGCATGCAGTCTCTGCGAGATGGCATTCAGTAACACCCTTAGTGCATTTCGCTTTGTGTCGTGAAGCTCTGTATTAGTTCCAAGTACCCGTGTCTCCAACAAGATAGTCATATAACCAGAGAATAATCAGGCTGTGCACCCGAGATCTGAGTTTCCAACGTGGCAGGTCCAGAATGGCAGCAACGAGCCAACAGACTTGAATACACGAAAACCACGAACGAACACACGCCAGTCAGCACTCGAGCACACGGCCTGAAGACAAACATGACATTTTCCCCGCCAGAAAGGACTCGCGCGCCGAGGGCAAGGGAATCACAAGAGAGGGTCTGGGCCGAGGACACGAGCACAAGCCAAGCAGCTTTCCGCGGACAGCTCCTTTCGACAGATCATACTTGGCGTTTGTCGGTCGGAGATATCCACAGCAGTGAGCCCGCACGCCGAGACGACTAGGCAACAGACGTCGTGACAATAAACGAGGGTGGGAGGCTATGTGTGTGGTTTCAATTACTGATCAATACGCGTAACACACCAACGGGACGCTCGCCCGAGGTCCGAGCCGAGCAACGAGGCTGGCTACCTCTCATCCTTTTCTGCAGCCCAAAATCTGAAACGGAGATTGCAAGTGTTGGGTTGGCTTTGGCGCCTGCCTGGCGCCTCGTGCTCGGTTCGGTTATTATGTGATATGTCTCCGAGGGCACGGCATCACACGTTGAATAATAATGTCTCCGAAGCTGTTATAGCTGCAGCAATTTGTCAGCAAGTCGCCGGCCGGCCAGCCATTCAGCCAGCTAACCAAACAACCAATCAAGCCATACAGCAGATGCATGTGCATTACGGAGTAGAACCCCCCACCCCCCCAGTGATTGGCTAGGCCACTTGTTTATCCGTATTCATACTACTTAACTTACTTATCAAGACACCTACTTAATGATGAGTTGGAAAGGGTACCCAATCATCTATCCGGACCTGGGTAAAGCGGCAAGCATAGTAATTAATTAGTGGTCACTTTCAGCTGGGCCATCTCTCCGTCCTTTTCTTTTGTGTCTTGTTCCGCCGAGGCGGCGGAGTCTAGACCAACACACAGCAAGCACGTAGCTGAATGCGAAGGGGGGAATGGAAAAGATCGTAAACGCAGCTAAAAACTGTGGGGCAGAGTTTAATGGCACACTTTGGAGCAGCAGGGCAACAAAAGGAGATGGCGCAGACGGCGCCTGGGCGGACCTCCGAATTCCGTCCAGATTGGGCATTGCGTCGGCGGAGTCCCGCTTAGCTGCAGCTTGTTCAAGCATGTCAAGAAAAAGTTTCTATGATCCATTGGTTTGATTAGGTCTAGTGCAATCCGCATGGTGACTACACGTGTGAGTCGAAACCGTCCTATTCAGCCCAACCAAGCCCCCTCGACACAACTCGGCGAGTAGTCTGCTCGGCCCAGCTCAACCACCACCCTCTCTAGGCAGCGCGGTCGACTATCTCCTGCACCTCCTCGTCGGTCAGCTCCTTGACGCCCAGCAGCTCGTTGTCCAGCTTCTCCTTGTCGAACAGCGACCCGTAGCCGTCGGCGTAGACTGCGACGATGATGAACTTGAACGAGTGCGGGTCCTTGGCCTTCTCGGCCTCGGCCAGCGCCAGGATGTCCGCCGTGTTCGCTTCCTGCACGGTCCAGCCGTCGGGCCCGCCCGTGGTCTTCTGGGCCAGCTCGTAGAGCCTGCGCTGGCTGACGGTCGTCTCTTGGATGTAGACCGGTCGGTTGGCCGTCTCGGCAGGCTTCTTGAGGACGCCGGCGACGCCCTTGGCGATGCCGCCCAGCGTGGTGACGCTGTAGTGGCGGTCGCCGCCGTCGTACAGCGTCACCTGCTTCTTTTTGAGGTTGATCAGGAAGCCCACCTGCACGCCCCAGTCGAGGAACGGCCCGTTGATGACGACCGTGTAGGTGAAGTTGGGGTCGGCCGCCGCCTTCTCCTGGAGCAGCTTCTGCACCGCCACCTTGCTGGCGTAGGCGGGCAGCGCGGCGGCCTTGGGGTGGACCGTGTTCGACCCAAAGTCGGAGGGGATGAAGCGCTTGACGCCCGCCTTTGCGGCCGCCTCGACGAGTGCCACCTGCTGCTTGTGCAGCGCTGCGTTGCCGACCGACGCCACAACGGCGTCTTGGCCCTTCAGGGCCTTGGCGAGGGAGTCGACTGAGTCGTAATCGACGTGTGCGACAGTGACGGAGACGGGAAAGGTGTGGGTGCTACCCTCGCGGGTGAGCACTGTGACTTTGAAGCCGTCCGCGAGGAGCTGCTTGAGAATGACGGAGCCGAGATTGCCCGCGGCCTGTAATTTGGTTTCATGTCAGTCTGCGAGATTCATTTTCAAGTTTAGAACTGACCCAAACAGATCGGGTGGACGCTGCACTTACACCGGCCAAGGCGACCTTGGTGATGGCGTTGCTGCTCATAGTGTCTGTGTGCGAGGCTAGGTAGCTAGGCAAGAGTCAAGTCTAGTAGGCAGAAAGCGAGAATGGTAATTGGGTAGGACTGGGACTGATGTGGTGATGGCAAGAATCAAAAACCAGCCAAGCTCTGGCGTGGGCAAAGGCCCCTTTATAGCTGGGAGCTGGAGGGAGCTTGACGTTGCACGACCCAGCAGGTGGAAGCGGGTTTCGGAACTTGTAGGGGCCGGAGTACAAGGTGACAAGGTGACAAATCGGCAGGTCAGGCTGGAAGGCCTCTCCCGAATCAAACTCCAGCCGCCAACGGCCCTGCTGCCCTGCACCAAATGAGCGGTACTGCGGCTGGGTGGCGCTCTGCATTTCAAGGTGGAGCAATCCATTCAGACCAAGGCGTGCGCAGTGGATTTGGTAAGCGGTGAAACGGGAAGTCGTAGTTGGTGGGCAGTTGGTTATTGTTCAGCTCGGCCGAAGCCTCGGACGTATTCGCTAGGATTAGTCAGGATGAAACGGCCGATTGGGGGCCGCCGTCGTCGGCCGAAGATAAAAGATAAAAGGGCCAACGTTTCACAACAGGCAGCTTGTCCAACGTGTCGGAGCCCGTCGGCATTAGCATGCGCCGCCTTCTCGCGTCTCGGTATCGATCTGGTTGGGGTGCACTGCATCGTTCGGGTAGGCACGTCAGATGTGAGGAAACCCGAAAACATCGAATTGCATAGGTACCTTGGTGGTTGTCATTTACGAAGGGAACGAATAGCGACAAACACTGTAGTTAGAGTTCGGAAAGTCGCTGTTCTGCATGGACGGCGAGCAAATAGATGCGTACTTGCAAATGGTAACCTCATCATAGCAATTGTGGTCATTGCTGAACCTATCTTCTCCTAGCATAATGTCGATTACATCGCCACACGAATTCCGTGCCGATCTTATCGTCATGCACTATGCAGATAGAGCCCCGGATCGATCTACAACTGCCAGGACAGAAGTGCTGGTTACTCTATGGTATCAAGTTGTAGGTAGACCTTCCCGATTAAATCGCGTATGGCTTCGTCCCGGGAATTAGTGCCTTTCTTGGTGCAAGAATTGGGGTTTTGCTGGGCGCGGCCTAAGCGTCTTTCTGCCTACAGTCCGAGTAGGCGTTGCCTATAGTCTGAATAGACTTCCTCCTTTTAAACTTCGAGACCTTCCCCAGGCACCTTCTTTCCCCAGCCACACCAAGACACATTTTCACAACCACACATAACCGCACCAGTCACAAACCCCACCAGACATAAACCCGCCCAAGATGCAGCGGTTTCAGTACTTCTTCCTCTCCGTCTCGTGGGTCGTGTTTTTCGGCCTCATCATTTTCAAGATGGCCGCACACAAGGCCGACGGAGGTAATTTCCAAAATCCAAACACCTGCCCCCACCTTCTCTCGCCTACAGCTGCGTCCCCTCCCCCGATGAATGTCATGATACTAATCTGTGATGCGAAATATAGGAGACCCTGAGCTCCTCAGACTCAGCTTCACCGTGCTGGCCGGAGTCGTTGCGGTTTTTTCGAGCCGCTATTTTCTAGCTGTTTTCAGCCCTATGCCCAACGCTCTTGTATTTTCTACACGTCAAATATCTCCTATTCTCTGCACACTGCTAGCCTTATTGCACCTCGCCAATAACACGAACGGAACAAGACGTGTAAGGGATCAGAGCTGACTTTCCAAGTGTTTGAGTATAGTAAACCAGAAACCCAGAAGGGTCGCACACGATGAAGGCGAGGGCGGTAGTCCACCACCGCCAGCGGTCTGGTCTTAGACCAGCACCCCAGCCGGCCTGGCTGGGGCTGCCATTCCTCGCTCCTTCTAATACTCGGTGCGGCCCCCCGGGGGGGGAGGGGAAGATCTAAGTCTTCTAACATGGGGGCGTTACAACGTCACCGAAAAACAAGCTCGCCTGCCGCCTCCCGCCGCCAACGAATTTCTCTCAGGAATTTGGAAAGATGACGTATTCTCTCGCCGTCAAAAAAAATTCTTCTGAGGATTTGGGGAGATAACATATATCAAGGCGGCGCAGCCTCATCCAAACCACTTCTTTCAAATCCGGTGACAAAAATTCTACATCGCGCCGGAGAAGCTATTGGCCCATAATTACGGCTAGGCTTATACTGAAGGTCAACTGCTGGTGTGCAGACTGGGTCTCGCCTTGGACAAGGAAAAAGAGAGTGAGGATACGATTTGGTCGCGGGCATCGCTGCCATCGTACTGGAGAAGTTATAACCGCTGCAGAGATTTCTCCCCAAGCCGAGGCCTACTCTAGGCACTATTATGAGCGTGGCTAAGAAGCCCAGCCGAGGTGGCATGTCGCGTAGTGGACGAGGAGTCGGGGAGCTAATAATGAATTTCGGTTGCTTTAGGGAGAGACTGTACCATATGCTTGTGATTAACTGTGCGTGTCTGCTTGAACTTTTGCTATCCTAGTGGCTGTTCCACTCGCTTGGTAGCGTTTTTTCGCTGCCGTGTAATTAAACTGGGATGCATAACAGTGCTCTTTGATTATTTGCTTCCTGGGAACGTTTCAAGGAGCCGAGGAGACAGAATCGAAAGAGGAGCCTCGGGGGACTGGTATCATTTTCATGCATTCCGAGCTGAGAATCCTAAGATTACACATAATTATTCAGCTTGAATCGTGGAGCTATGCCCAGTCCTTGTCTCTCTGTATCGCCTGTTTCAAATTTCTACCCAATAAATACAAGAGAGAGCAGTTCCGTCTATTTCCGTACTAAACAAAGCTAGGGAGCTACATGTAAGAATGGTCTAGCTATAGTAAGCGCCACAAAAGTATACAAATAATACACCCACTCGCAACAACCTTGATTCGCTAACAAAGAACAAATCGAACAGGTACATCACCCGCTGCTAGACTCGAACCAGAGAAAGTCTCACTCCTAGCCATCTGAAACCTTCCAAGGGGAGGAATAGAATACTGCAGAGAGAAACTAGAATTCTCTATCCACCCTGGCACACCAAGAAAAGAATCCCCTAGATTCAAAGCAAAAAGTGCAAAAAGAAGATAATAATCGACATTGGCCTGATTTGAACAAACGCCTCCGAAGAGACAAGATTTCTAATCTGGTGCATTAAATCACTCTGCCACAATGTCTTTCCGATTCGTTGCATGACAGGAAGAGCCGGAGCGGGTTCCATGTGGGCAGGGCAGGGCAGGGCCAATGGTAATTGATTGCTGGTGGGAAAGAATGGAACTGCCGTGCCGGGGGTCATGACTCGTGAACCTGGACGACGAGGAAGACGCTAGACGGGGATAGGCCAGAACAAGGGTATGCATGCACCTGGTTGGATAGATACAGAGACATGGGGTGAGGTGACAACGGAAAGTGGCTGGTTATTGACAAGGCCTCGAAGAATATATTGAGCTGTGCCATGTTGGGCACCGGGCAGATCTGACGTTACACTTGGGACTTCTGGGAAAAGCCTCCCTTGGTTAGAAGGGAGGGGGGCACAAGATTGCCAGGTCGCACGACATGCGGCACGCAATGCGCATACGGCTGTTATCCTAGCCAGTCAGCTAGTCAGCCACTCAGTTCTCGTGGGAAAAAAAAACTGCATTGTTTCGTAACTTCGTTTCCAACTCTGCCCCTGAGCTGTCTAAAAGTACCCTTGAGTACCTTGGTCCTTGATTACCAACCAACCCACGACAACAATAACCCTATCTACAGACAGAACCAGCCCGCTATCCTGCGCGCCCACGTCCTTCTGGGCGGCGGCGGCGGCGGCACTATCTCGGCCTTGAGCTTGTCAAAGGCGACGTCAATGTCCTCGGCAAAGATCCACTTCATCATGCTGTTGACGCCCTCGGCCAGCAGGGGCATGTTGTCGTCGAAGGCCCGGCCCTTCATGGCCGGCGTCTGTGCCTGCAGGATGTCGCCCGCTAGCCGGCTCGTCTCCTGCACGCGCTGCGCCCGCGGCAGCCGCACGCGCTGGTACAGCTCCATCCACGACCGTAGGCTTGTCTGGTTGTTGTTGTTGTTGTTGTTGTTGTTGTTGTTGTTGTTGTTGTTGCTGCGGAGCAGGTACTCGGTGAGGGCCTTGGCGATGATGTAGCCGTCCTCGACGGCCTGGCCGGCGCCGGCCTGCTGGTGCGGGACCATGGCGTGGGCGGCGTCGCCCAGCAGGGCCACCTTGCCGCCCATAAAGGTCCAGTCGGGCACGGGGTCGCGGTCGTTGATGCGCCACTTGGACGGGCGGGCGGGCAGCAGCGAGATGACCTTGGTGGCCAGGTCGTCAAACTCGGCAAAGTCGGCCTCGACCTCGGCGCGGTCGCACGTGTTGGTCCAGCTCTCCTTGAGGTCGGGGATGTCCTCCTCAGCCTTGGCGACGCAGGCCACGACGTTGAGCGTCTTGTTGGCGCAGATGGGGTAGGCGACGAGGTGCTTGCCCGGCGACACCCACATGACGGCGTGCGACGGCAGCGGCCACGGCTGCGGCAGCTCCGACATGGGCACCAGCCCGCGGTACAGCACCTTGCCCGAGTACACGGCCTTGTCCTGGATGAACTGCTGCCGGATGGCCGAGTGGATGCCGTCGCACCCGATGACGAGGTCGGCGTCTGTGGATGTGCCGTCTTCGAACTTGACCCGCACGACATGGCCCAGGTCCTGGATTTGATTTTTGTAGTTAGCCTCTCTCCCGTTTCGTTCTCGCCGTCGACCCGATTAGCCTGGAAATGGAAAGGGACATCGGGCTGTCTCACCTCGACGGCCTTGCACCGCTTGGTAGTGTGCAGTTTGGCGGCGCCCCGTTGCTTGACGGCGTCGAGAAAGATCTGAAGCTGATCGGCGCGCGAGACGGCGACGTAGCGGACGCTGCCCTTGTCGTTGGCGGAGACGGTGGTGATCTCGGCGCTGTTGTCGAAGCGGCGGATGGTGAACCAGATGCCGTCGCGGGTGCCCGAGATGGCGTTGGAGGCTTCGCCGAGGCCGATGCGGTGCAGGAGCTTGGTGGCGTTGACGCCGAGCCCCATGCCCGCGCCGTGCTCGCGGTACTCGGTGGCCTGCTCATAGACGTCGACGGTTATGTCCAGGTGGCCGCAGAAGTGGTGCAGGAACAGCGCCGTCGCCAGCCCGCCGATGCCGCCGCCCACGATGCATATGCGGAAGGGCACCGGCGAGGCCGCCTCGGCCTCTTCGGTCTTGATGTCTTCGAGTCCCATGCTTTCTCTTCAAAGCTTCTGTGACTTGTCGTGGTGTCGTAGTGTGTTGCGAGTTTGACTGGACTGGATCTGGACTGCTCACATCTGCACCGCCTTCCTGCGCTCGCACGCCAAGTTAAGGTTCCCCTCTTGTTGGGCAGGTAGGTGTTAGTTATACCTAGGTGTGTTCAGTGTTTGTGTCGCACCCAGTCAAACCCAAACTCCAATGGCTCAGAGAGCGGCGACTTCATGCTCGGTGTGCCGGGACAGAAGAAGCGGGGGAGGCTTTATTACTAGGCCGGTAGGTAACTCTTGGTCTGGGACTGACTAGGTAGGTAGCCTTTTGGTAATAGTCGCCCGGTGGCCGGTGGCCGGTATTGATTACATTGAATACCAGTACTGCCTTTACCTGAATTATTGGGATTGCAGGCTCATGCCGCGCTAGTCGTCTGATGGGACGATCCGTTTGCGTCCACCTCAGTTTCCCCTCCACTGGGGACCATCCAGTGCGTGCGGTGCGTTGGGTTCCGGGCATGGAGATAAACCCGATTCCGGTAAAGCTGGGTCAGGTTGCACGCCGCTTCGTCGCTGTTACTGCTCCATGTCCAATTAGCGCGGATGCAAGGCGAGACACGGTGGACAAGCTAAGACCGGGCGACTCCGCGTTGCGGCATGTAACAGGGTCCCGGTTGGCTGGTTCAGAGGCTTCGGTTGCTCAGTCATGCTTCCCCAACTGCATCGACTGCATCTCCTTCCGCATTCCGCCTGACGTGCGGCGAACGCGTCCGGTCTGCTGGGAGGGGCTTTTTGGTGGCCACTTTTCTATTGGCTGCTCCCCCAACTACCACGCGGTAATGACCCCCAACCGAACGTGCAGAAGTCCCATCCGTAGCTCACCCCATTTGCCATCCGTTATCTGTGGCCTGGTGGGTCGTCGGACCATCAACTGCCTAGCAAGCACCTGGCGAGAAACTGAGGTGTCCCCGTGCCAAGAATGACGTGCATTGCCATCTGTGCCGGCTCTTGCGCGAGATTGGACACCGCCTGGAAAGAAACACGAAATGCGCACTGCTGTGCCGAAACGAGTTCACAAGTGGAATTCTTGATTCTAAATACTACCATGATCTAGGCCTGGCCCGGAAATAAACATGTCATTTTCTCTTGTCCGTACCCTTGCCAGACTGGCTAACGTGGAAGGCAAACCCCAAAGCAACGGTCATGGGCATGGGCAATTCAAAGAGAAAGCCGAAGAGAATCCGAAGAGAATCCGCAGAGAGTCCGGGGTACCGAGTCCGACAGACAACAGACTCGCTGCACCGCTTCCATGGAGACATGGCTACCAAGGTGCGGGGGAACAAAAGAAAACATAAACCCCCGACAACCCGGCGATTAAATAGTCCCTAGACACCTCTGACGCTACAGAAGGCCCTGATGCGCTTCCGTTTTTCTAGAACGCCCGCTTGCATTGAAACGCCTAGTTCACGCAGGATAATATCCGCCTGCGCACCTGTGTTCCACGTTCAGTATGCCTCCATATGTCAAATTGGATACCGCTCCCTAGCTACCTACCTGTCAGTTGGTCGATGTCAGCCAACTGGGCGGGGAAGTCCGGAATCGGGCTGCCAGTTAGGACGGAGTGTAACGCCTCGAGCGGAAATTCTTTAGTAGTGACGAGGAGGCCGTTTTGCTGCCGTGCAACGCTGTTTTGATCGCTATCGCGAGATTATTAGCTATAAGACTCTTAGGTACTTGAAAATCAGGAGAATTAACGCGCTTACGCGACCACTATACGTGTCTCTAACCGGTCGATGCGGGCACTAAGCCGAGCCTCTACGTCGTCGATGCGGGCACCAAGCCGGATTTCCATGCCTTGGATCGCATCCAGGATCGCTTAGGCGCCGGCGATGGCTAGTAAGTTGGCGCATCGTCCCAGATGCGTGGCGGCCGTGTTGAGAGAGGTGGTAATGACACCGAAATCCGGTTGTAGACCGGCGGCGTTTGCGGCCATCGTTGTTGAATGTAGAGAGGTAAACGGCTCGAGCCCAAATCAAAACAGAGTCGCGTTGTCACAGGTGTTTCTGCCACGCTACACCGGCCTTCATCCCACTCCGCTTTCCGCTTTAGAGTTCAGATTTAGATGCTATTACTGATCTGCAACCTGGTGAAGTTTAGGCCTGACGCATAGCATCCTCGCTATATGAGAATAGTATACGCTTCCCAGCAGTATTTCATCCAGAATCTCCTAAGCCCGTATATTCGAAGTTGTACCTTGAACCCTTTTGAGCCGTCATTTCCAAAATGTCACACCTCCCTGCTCTAAGCCGCCTGCTAGGTTGCCAAGGACCCCTGCCACGTTCACCTTGCCGCCTGGAACCCCGCTGCGCTGCACGCTAATTTACCAACCCCACCACCAGCGCCACTGGGCAGCAGTCGTTGATTCTGGGCCCTTCCAGCTGCCACACCCGAGGCCTTGAAACCTCCAGCCCTTTGTCTCTGGATCTTGGTCAGCAAAGCGCACTGCGGTTTCCTTCCGCCGTTGGTGTTGCGCAACCATTTCCTTGCCTAACGGCCGAGACAGCTCGGCTTGGTTGGCCACCGGCTTGCGTGGACCTCGCTCTCGCGCAAGCCGCTCTTTCGCTTCCTTTCCTATTTATACCGACAATCCCACGAGGCTCGCGCCTCAACCGCCTCCGGCATGGGCCCCTCATCACCTAACCCCGAAGACAACAAGACCGACAACAACGACACTAGCTACATCAACATGGCGTCGGCCGTCGAGGACAGCAACAGCAGCGGGGGGCTGAGCCCCGGCGCCGGCGACGACCCGACGCTGATCGGCAAGCACTGCGAGTTCGAGTACTGCAACCAGCTCGACTTCCTGCCCTTCTTCTGCCAGTCGTGTCGGGGCACGTTCTGCCTCGACCACCGCAGCGAGGGCGCGCACCAGTGCCGCGAGGAGGGCGCGTGGGCGGCGCGGCGGCGCGAGGCGGCGCTGGCCCGGCCCTCGGCCGGCGAGGGCTACCGGATGCGCGACTTTGTCAGCGAGAAGCCGTGCGCCGACGACGGGTGCAAGACGGTCGTCGGCACGAGCCTGGTGCCCGGCGTGCACTGCGCGACGTGCAACCGCGACTACTGCCTCAAGCACCGCCTGCAGGAGGACCACGACTGCAAGAACAAGGAGCCCATCGGCGCGCGGCCCGCCGCCGCCGCCGCAGCCGCCGCCATGGCCGACAGTGCTAGGAAGACCCTCGACCGGTTCCGGCTGTGGAACGCGGGCCGCAAGGAGAAGTCGGCCGGGCTGAACCTCAAGGCCAAGAAGCTGCTAAGCAGCAGCGCTAGCAACAGCAACGCGGCGCGCCTGGTCGACCTCAACACGCTGAAGAAGACGGCCAAGGGTGACGCCAAGCTAGCGCCCGAGAGGCGCGTCTACCTGCACGTCGAGGCCGAGGCACAGACCACCAAGTCGACGTTCCCCAAGGGCGAGTTCTTCTACTCCAAGGACTGGGTCGTCGGCCGCCTGCTGGACGCGGCGGCCCGGAGCCTGCAGGTGGAGAACATCAATAACCAGTCCGACGACGAGAGCCTGAGACTGCGCGTGTTCCACGTCGAGGGCGGGCGCCTGCTCGACTTCAACGAAAAGGTTGGCGCCTCGTTGGCCACCGGCAACACCATCGTCCTGCTTAGAGGCGTCGGGCCGTCGCCAGATCTAATTGAGGTATGATGGGCCTCGATATTTCACTTTTTGCCTCCGTTTCTTCACAATGTCGTGAGCATGGAGTTTTGGCATCTGAGAGGGTCTCTGGATTTTAGGAGCATAGATGGGTGGAACTAGGCCCTGGGGGTAGCAAACTGATTTTCTATTTATTTTTTTGGGGCTTTGGTGGTTATATGTACCTACCTTACCTGGCGTTGGATGCCGTTTCCCAAGGGAAGATTTGTCATAATGCATCAATCTCATTGTAAGCTGTGGAAGATGCCAGTTGCATATGGCACGTAGTGAATCAGGAGGACCTGCCTCGCTAACTACAGGTGGCCCGTAGTACTACTGTTCAAGCATTCGATCTCGTAGGCAGACGTAAACTCAAAACCAAGTATTTCTCACGGTGTTTCCATACCGTACTGCTTTGTAGTATTTTCCAGCCTCTCGATACGCGTGCTGCGTAGAAGAGCGAATTATCGTTTTACTTGGTGGCGGCATAACCCTTTCAAGTAATTAGAGAACAAGTCTCGAGGCTACCTACGGATAGATATACTATAGAGGAAGTGGTGGCACCATTCACGGCTGAAGATGTGGAGCTGTACAATGTACAAAATAGAGCAACAGCGGCCACCAAGGAATCCCCTCGGGGGAAAAAGTCTCGATTTGATCTCGGGAGCCGTGATTTACAGTATATACAGTAAGAGTAGGGGGTATCGTGTGGGACCCGCCGAGATGTCAGAATCTTGATCCTTTGCAGCTCATTAGAGGTCTTTCTCCTTGGGCTTCTTCTCCCTCGGCCTCTCGCTGAGCTGCTTCTCTCTTCCAATCTGCGAGGCCGCGCCCACGGCCTCGTGGCCGCCGACGGACTCGAAGGCCTTGTGGAACGTCCACTCGACGGCGTTCTCGACGGGTTTGTCGAACAGCGTGGGGAGGAACGGGACGACGGCCAGGCCGAGGCCGATGGGGCCGTAGGTTCGGATGGTCTTGTTCTTGACGTCCTTGAGGGCGCGCCCGCTGTAGCGCACCACGCTGTGGATGGTGAAGGCGGGCAGGCCCATGCTGGCCAGGCTCTGGAAGATGCCGCGCTGCAGCATGACGGTGCGGTAGTCCTCGAGCGGCGGCACGACGCCGGGGGCCAGCTGCCGCCGCGCGGACCCGCCGGCGGCGTCCTCCTGCAGGTCCAGCCCGAGCAGCTTCTGCTGGCGCTCCGTCAGCTCGAGCTGCGGGTTGCGCACGCGCTCGTTGTGCAGGTACGCCTTGTAGCCCTCGTAGCCCACGTCGCCGAGGATGTAGGCCCACGAGATGCCGTACGCGCCCCGCACCATCCACGGGTGCGCCACGGGCCGGAACGACTCGCCAATGTCCGACGTGTAGGCTACATAGCGGTGCGCCGAGACGAGGATGGTGCGGAACCGGGCCGCGTAGGCGGCGTATCGGACGTTGGACTCTGTCGACGGCGGGACGCTGGAGGGTGGGTTAGCAAGAGCGCAACACTGCGCTTGTTGTAGTGTAGGGTGTAGGTAGTAGCGAAGGCGGCTATGCCCCGTGCCGGATCAAGAGCGCGACGTACTATCCCTCGACCAGCTCGTCAAAGAAGTTGTCCTCTCTGTCGTCCTTGTCGAGGATGCTCTGTAGCTTGGGCGGCAGCTTTTCTCTCTCTGGGAGCTTGTCCGGGTCGAATTTGCCAGTCTCCTTTTTGACATCGAGCGTGGCAGACGGCGCCGGTTTGGCCTGGGGAGGAGAGTCCTTGGCTGGGGTTGTGGGCGCATCCGAGCTTTTGCTCCAGGGCCAGACCATCTTGAACTGTTTGAATAGAGGCCGACAGCTGATGGAGGAGCGAGCGGTGAGAGGTTGGTTGCAATGGATGCTTCTGCGTCTTTCGGAGAGAAATGCGTGCAGCTCCGCTGCCCCCGAGTCAACCCGAAGTCTAAGTGACGTAGGCAAAGGAAGCTCGGTTGCGCCGGCCTTGGGTTCGCGGCGGGTACGAACTGGGCGACAGGGTCCCCGCTTCCTTCCGATTAGGTAAGCACGAACTGCCTTAGCCTAGGCTAAGCCAGGCCTGTCACTTTCCCGGCCCGTGCGACAATGCACTGGACACAGGGCACGACGGTAAATCTTCGGATGGTTTGGATGGAGCTCGGTCGCTTCTCGACTTTGCGTCGTTTTCAAGATCCTGACAGCCCGGAAAGCCACCATCACGCCCTCTGCCTCTCCAATTGCACGCGACAGGGCCACCAACACACGCCTTCGAGCTCGTCCCTTCATTTACCAGCCAACTCGTCCCTTCCTCTACCAGCCAACATGACTCAGTACTACACCATTTTCGGTCGCCAGATCGCCTCCCAATACGTCAGTCTACCCGTCCTCGGCCATTGTCTTGCTTCCCCTCTCGCTCGAGTCCGCAGAGACGCCGTCGGATGGAGGGAGGGAGCTAGCATGCGATTGAGCTTCTGAAGAGCCCCAGACGCTAACAAACTACTCTCTACAGCTGGCCATAGGAACCCTCACCACAATGTTCACCGGTGTCTACCTCTCGGTTGGCGGCAGCAAGGCGCCCGCTGCGACTCCCCCTATCAACGCGTCTAGCTCCGACGAGGCCGATTTTATCAAGTGTGCTCCCATCCATCACATCCCTCCGTAGTCCCTCCGCGGTCCCTCTGCCGCCAATGGCAAGATGCACTCTGACAAGATCCCTACAGGAAGTTTATTGAGAACGCCGAGGCTGAAGAGAAGGCGAAGGCGCCTGCCAAGCACTAGATGGTGGCATCAGCTCGGGGCCGGATGGAGGCGCATTGCCGACGGCCTGTCCTGTGTACATATATGTAGAGGGGGGTTAATCGAAGAGAGGACGCCCGATTTACTAGCCTGCCGAAGCCACGAACAAGATGCCGTGCCTTCCGCTGCCCGCACTCTGTCTGCGAGTTTCCTTGTGCTGTACATTCTGACGGAGCTAGGATCTCTGGCATGCGCGGTGCTACATATATGTGGGTGCGTTGCAGCGACTGTTTAGCTCCGAGAAACTCTTGGGGGGTTGCGAGAATCACGCCCCTGAAGCAAGCCTTTGAGACGAGGCATCTCGGTCACAGCAAGCGCTGGGCAAGTCATTCTTTACTGTTTATTGCACTGTCATGTTAAGGAACAGGGAGGATGGAGATGCTGGCTAGACACTCAGGTACTGAAGCTCCGCTTGCAAGCGCGCCACGATACCTTTTTTTTTTTTTGCTGGAGACAAGCAAAGAATGTTGGCGCCGACGTCTTTACTGGGATTTTTGGTAGAGTTGGAAGTCAATTGCTAGTGCATGGCTGCAAGGCCGCCCATACCCCTCACCCTAAATGGGAACAGCGTCGCTCTTCCTAAATGCACCTTCCATGCAGCTATCAAGCCGAACACTGCTGCATCTTTCTAGACTAAACTTCAACTACCAGATTGACCAAACGCGATCTGGCTCACATCGAGCCAGTCTATGACAAAAGGTCTGGTCTGGGACGCTTCGCATATCTTAGCAGATCAATCACGTCAAAATGGCAGCTGTGGCTATTTCGTCCATCACGGAAGCGTTATGCGCCGTCGAGGTAATTAGCCAAAGCTTACCTCACTTTGTCGTCGCCGTCTTGTTTGAAGGCGCCCGACCTACAACGTGTTATATCTAATAAGTCTTGACTCCAGCACGTAGATCTGTGTCAGATCGCAATGAGAAAGGCAGCCAAGTCTGTGTCCTTCATCCTCCCTCATTGGACTTGGTCGGCTAACTCTGAACCCGTGCCAAGATCGTTCAAGGACATCGGCCTTGATGAAATCTCCATCACGCAGTACAGCCCGGGATTCGCCTCGATAACGGGGCCGGGGCAGTTCTGGTACTCTATGATACTTTCGACTCGGGAGTCGTCCCGCAACCCCTTTTTCCATGACGTCTGCGCCTATCTGCCCGAGCACGACGAGCTGTACATCTCCTCCAACACGCTGCCGCCCACCAGTACCTCTCAGCTGCCCATCATCCTCATATCGCGAATTCAAATCGCCCGCAACGCAGCTGGCGCCGTCCGGGCCGTCGACTGGCAGAAGCTGCGACCGCCGCCCAATATGCCCATGCCCGCTGGCGGCGCTCCCTACCTCCGCGGCGTCCTGTACTGCTCGCAGGGCAACACGGCTCCGGACACGGGCGGGCTCTATTACATGCCACGGGGCAAGCCGCCCGAGCCGGTCGTGACCAACTTCTTCGGCCGCGACTTCAACTCGGTCAACAGCGTCGCCGTCGCCAGCGACGGGTCCCTATGGTTCACGGACCCCTGCCACGGCTTCGAGCGGGAGCTCCGCGGCCCGCCTCAGCTGCCCTGCCACGTCTACCGCTTCGACCCGGGCTCGCGCGACCTGCGCGTCGTCGCCGACGGCCTGGGTCGCCCCCATGGCATCGCCCTCAGCCCCGACGAGAGCACCGTCTACGTCACCGACACCGACGCCGTGCGCGCCAACGCCTCGCGCGACCTGACGCGGTAGGAGCTGCCCACACACATCCATCCCTCACGTGCTCTTTTCAAGTGCCGAGTCCAGTCAGAATGTAACTCACTGGAACTCATGCTCCGACAGTGCGGCCACGATATACGCCTTTGACGTTGTCAAGCGGTCGGGCGCCCCGTTCCTCGCCAACAAGCGGGTTTTCGCCTACGCACTCACCAGCATCCCCATGGGCGTCGCGTGCGACGGCGCCGGAAACGTCTGGGCGGGCTGCGCCGACGGCGTCGAGATCTGGAGTGCCGGCGGCGAGATCTTGGGCGTCATTGAGGTTCCCGGTGAGTTCTCCCCAAGCACACGACGCCAGACATATTACACGCTAGACTTGGTGCTAATTCCGAGACTGGCCACCAGGCGGCGTGACGAGCATCGCGTTTGGAACAGACGGCGAGGTCTTCCTCTGTGCCGAGCAGAGGCTGTGGATGTTGAGACTGAAGAGTAGAGACCTCATGTCTGATTCTTGATGCTGCGGTTTGGAATTTGGGGCGGCTGTGTTGGGCACGGATGTCATGGCAGCCGTAGTACTTTGTACACCGCATAGTTCTGCCTGGGGTGTGCTAACATGTAGACACATCATGTTGACGCGGTGAAAAGATACCACAGCACGAAAACAGCCCTAAAACGAGCCGCAGAGTGAGGGCACAGGTAGTTATAACCAGGTGGCCAAATACAGCACAGAGAAAGGTACTACTACTAGGCGCAATGGTCCGGGGGTCTCAATTCATGGTAAACGAACGTGGTTTCCAAAGGTTAGCTAGGAAAAGAAGGAAACGAGCGGTGTCGGTTTTCTAACCGGAAGGATCGCAGGCTAACTACCTCGTACGAGGCGGTTTGGCTAAGAAAAATGGAAGAAAGGAAAGGAAATAGATCTAGGTTACATTAGATGGATTTGCTGTTGCCTGAGGCCCCTAAACGTATGTTAGCATGTACTTGCTCATTCATAATGGGAAGGGGTGCCGGTTTAGATGGATTTGCTGTTGCCTAAGGCCCCTAAACGTATGTCAGCATGTACTTGCTCATTCATAATGGGAAGGGGTGCCGGTACTGTTGAGGATCAGACGTACCCCCAAATCCAGGGTACAATGATTCCAAGGAGCCCCAAGGGCCTTGGAAGTCCTCTCGGTTGAATCGTGGTGCGGGCCGTATATCCACTTTAGGGTTTAACCAGTAATGCTCAGAGCAGTTGCTGTCGTCCATAATCCGGCCCAACGCAGCAGCCAGCTCCGCTGATGTAGCACGATACCGTTGTAGCCTAGTAGGTTCTTTGTCAGCGGCCTCATGAGGCGGCAGCTCTACCACAAGTAGCCTCTTTCGAACCAGGTCCAAAAGTTGACCAAGAGCCGTCCGACCGTCGCAGGCTGGCCCTTCGGCCAGGTAGTCCATCCACGTCTCGACGACGTCCTTGAGTTTTCCCGTCGCCTCTCTTCTGGGACTCTCTTCGACTGTGTAACAAGGTTTCGGCCCTCTATGCTCGCCTTGGACGTCGGACCGGATGTTCTTGACGCCTTTATAGCCGTGCGCAAGCCCTACGAAAATCTCCAGGATGAGACAGCCCATCGACCAGATGTCGTATTGTCGGCTCATAATTCCCACCCCGCCCAGCCCAACTCCGGGGGGTTCATACCAACCATCGCCAGATGCCGCACCAAGAAGATACTTGGTTAGACCCCAGTCGCCGATTTTGAGTGTGCCAACAATGTTGCCTTTATGAGGACTAAAACGAAAGATGCTACTCGGATTAAATTACCAAGCCGGATGCCAAGCCCGTGAATGGCCTTCAGCGCTTCAGCGAGGCCGATTAGTTCCGTTACTATTTACTTCGCCAACTTGGCGGACAGATCGGAGCTCGGGAATTGGGTAAAAAGGCTCTCAACATCCCCCCCGTTTGCCCAATCGGAAACCAGGTAATACGATGTTTCTTGACCAGTTTCGGATTTGGTGAAGGCGGTTATGAAGCGGAGTATGTGGTCGCTGCCGACGACTTGGTCGCTGATTCTTCTCAGCGCTTCGGCTTCTTCCGCCCAGCTAGAGGCGATAGTTTGGCGCCCAAGTGAGTTAGTTGGCACGATTTGTTTGACGGTGAAGAACATCGGCTATTCGGATCTCTATAATAGGTAAGGTAAGTAGCTGCTCGGGCGGAAGCTGTTAGTAGATAAGGGAACGAGAACGTACGGGGCGACTTTTGTCTACGACATGACCTTCCTGTATCCGTACCTGATGTAAGTCAGGTGGGGGACTTTTGGAACACCCCTGCCTATGGAACAGCCCCTGAATCGGACCCCGCACAACACCACAAACTTCAATTGCCAACAACTTTGTCAATTAATTAGCTACAATGATGAAGTCTTCAGTATCGGATTCTCCTGATTCTTCTCTTTCAGAATAACTAAGGTCCTCTCTGCCAGCCTCTCTCTGTGAGGCACGAACCTCCTCAATTCCAGCGAACTGCGTATTAGGGTCGACTTGGACCTTCCTTCTCTTTCGGCCTCTTGTGCGTTCTAGGCTTTTTTCTGCAGCCTCCAATTGATGCGCCGTATTGGCTAGTTGGAAAACCACGTAATCGAAGGCTTTTGCGGCCTTGCGTATGAAAAGTCGGTCGTTGGCAGTCCGTTTCTAGCCGGCTAGAAAAACCTGCTCCTGAATACGGAAATCCTTCGGCTTTTTAGGGGTAAACCATATAGGCCGGCCCTCCGAATTCTTATTTAGAATGGGGTTATGGACCTCTTGAAGGTCTATAGAAACCGTAGAGGTCAGTTGACCAACGTCGCCGTTAGAATTCTTAATAACAAGGCCGTTGCTTAGGGGCTTCCTGAGGCTGACCGGCCAGAGGCCTGTAGCTTTCCAGCCGGCTTTGATATTAGATTCAGTCATTCCATAGACCCTGGCTTGCCGGTAGCATTCTAGGAAGGCCCTCTTTTCAGCAACAGTGCCTTCGTCGAAGCCGGAAACAACCTCGTTATGCTTGGCTCTGTACCGGGCTTTTAGAGGGCCGAAAACCGATAAATCCAGGGGCTGGAGAACGTGGGAGGTGTGGGCTGGTAGAAATAACAGTTGTACGTTATTAGAAAAGGCTAGCCACATGAATTCTTTGGTGGTATGACTACCGTGGCCATCTAAAATAAGGAGGCGCTTCTCCGAGGGGGTAGCTGGCCGAGTCTCTGGAAGAAAGATATTGCGGAGCCATGCGACGGCAGTATCATCGTCAGACCAGCCGTTTTCAGTGGGTTTCCACTTCCAGCCCTTAAATGGCTGTAAATCGCGTGGATACCATTGTTGTTGAAGGCTTCCACCTTTGAAAATGACGACTGGGTTCAAATACCGGCCGTCAGCGGAAATACATTCGATAATCGAGGTCCAAATTCGGTCTCCTTTCTTCTTTTTCTGGAATTTCTTTCTTTCCTTAGATCCAACAACCAGGCCGTTATCTCCAATGCCAGAAGCAATGCCAGTTTCATCCATATTATACCTATGCTTGGCTGGAATAGCCTCCACGCCTGGAGGCTTCAAATAGTCAAACCAAGGCCGGATAACGGCCTCAGAGGCTCGATCAGCACGGTTTGCATGGATTCTCCGAGGCCTAATTGTAGAAATAGATGGATTTCTAGCCAAAAACCGGCTAGTCCAGCGTTTTCCGAGGGTCTCGTTATCTTCGAGCATTCTTCTAGCTAGTTTCCGAATTTGGGCGTGGGTTGGAGGGTGACCGAGCGACCCTTGGAATAGAATCCATTCGGTTAAGCGTTCTTCCATAGCCGGAGAAAGCTTTTGATTAAGAATTTGGGCCTTGGAGGCTGGCTCGGAACCACGAACCCGATTAAAGAGAGTAGTAGGGGGGATGCCGTGATTTTCAGCAGAGCTACGGAGTAAGCCGGTTTCTGCATACTCTGCCAGCGCATTCTGCAAATCCAACTCTGTATATCGCTTCATCTTTCATTTCTCAATTGAATGGAGAAAAGAATATAAGTATTGAAGCAGAATTGGTCGAGTTGCAAGCGATTGAAATAGGTGAGTTGGGTGGCGAGCGGCAAGTCCTTGATGACAAACCTTGTTCCAAATCCAGGGGTGTTCCATAAGCAGACCACCTGACTTACTTTGCCGAATGCGCTGTTAATTTTACTTAGTTTGGTGAAAGGCAAAACCGCCCTGTAATCAAAGTCGTAGTTCGCCCGTTCAGTCGATAGTACGGGTACAATGATTTTCCACTGAGTCTCACAAAAACGTTAATTCTTTCCGCGGACTCCAGAGTTCTGGGTCAAGCTGCTTCAGACTTTCTGGGGTGAGGAATTTTGGCGGGTTGACCTCCGCAGATAGCCAACTGTCCTTGAACCCGTGTTCCATGAAGAATCTCGATGCCTCCAGTAACCACCTGGAATCGGAATCTGTAAGAGCTGCGATAGTGAAAAGTTTCCTGCCGTCGCGGAGGACGAAGCTGACCAACTCCTTACTGTAGGGCTTCCGGGCCTTACGCAGCTCGAATCGAACAAGGGGTTCCTGGATCAGCCTGTGAATGAGGGTTTCAGGCCAGTACTGTTGCACTCCACCAACAGTGAAGTCACCTATGCTCGTGGTTTTGCAGTTGTCGTCGGTATAGAGCAAGTCTGTCAACCCCACCAATCGATCCGACGGAGAATGAGAGGTGGCAGTGACGGGGGCTATTTCTTCCTTGGTATTATGTTCGTCAATCGTCGACTTCTTCATTATGCCGAAGTTAACCTGTGCCTCGACCGGTAGCTCCGGGGTATCTTCGTCCATGGGAGTCTCCCGCCTATCTTGTTCGGGGAAGTTCTCGTTTGAATTTGGACTCAATTCGTCGAGTTCGAAGTGGTGGTCTCCCTGTCCCTGGGCGCTCGAGTCCCTGGGCGCTCGACAGCATCTCCTCCACGACACCTGACGCGGCCCGTTTGCTCCCTTCCCCGCTCTCATCATCATTGACATCGTCAAAGTAACGGAGAGACCTAAAAGCAAGGGACTCCAAATGGCTGGTTACGTGTGTCCCGAGTCGTATTTGGTTGGTTCGCCACTGGGGAGTATTGGCCGCCAGTTCGTCGTCGTCAGATGCGCCCCTGCGCGAGCTTAAATGGTGCTCATCCTCGTCCGAGTTTTTTGGATCTGCTGGTCCTGCTGGTCCTGCAAACCTGGGCCGTTTGACGAGTTTCTTGGGAGGCGAAGGTGGCGGCGTGGTGGTCGATTGAGAAAGAGGCGGCGTTGAGTCTGGCGGCGGAGCGTCTGCCAGGGAAGCGATGTCAGTCTTGCAAAGAGGGCAAACGCCGGGAGCTCGAGAGAGGTAGACAAAGTTTCGTTTCAGCGCTCTATCTTGCTGCTCCAAATCAAACATGCCTGGATGAGTGGTCTGTAAATGAGAGCGCAGCTCATTTTCGGTTGCGAAATCCTGGTAGGCATGATCCTCGACTTCGCAGAAACAGGTGGCGGGCAGGTGCATCTCCTCGATCCAGCCCGGCGAGTGCTGGTTGTTCATGTGATGTCGCCACTCTCTGAGCGACGCGAAGTACTGCAGATCGGACCTACACTGCTCGGAGATGCAGACATAAGGTTGCAGGTCGTGTTTGAAGTGTTCTCTTGCATGCTCTGTCAGTTGCGGCCCCTGAATTACAAGACACTTGAGATTAATTACGGGGATTAAATAAAGGCATAATTACTTCCACGCCTGCTTCCACGCCTGCTTCCACGCTTGCTTCCATCCATCGCCACTTTTGAGGACATTATGGTCACAGAAGCACCAGTTGCATTGGGGACCACTTGGCAGACGGGGATATGGATTTGTGTATCCAACCCCCGAGACTGTCAAAGGGACAGACGCGCCAAGTGTCTTGATTGGCGACCCCTCAGCCTCAAGGCTCTGCTGGAATAGTTGGTCGTCGAGCGGTGTCAGATCCGTTGCAGTGGCGGGTGGGCCATGTGTGGTTGAGGCAGTGGAGCGAGCCTCGCTGAGTTTCGCTTTGTCCTTCGAGGGCTTTGTTGGAGCAACGCTAGGTCCAGACTGAACCCCCCGAGCTGTCTCGTAGGATCGTGGTGCTGGGACTCGCCTGGTCTCTAATCTCTGCTGGCGGCTTCTTTGGAACTGGAGGCGTGCTCTCCGAAACGAGAAATACTCGGCAAGTTGCTCCGCAAGCGATGGAGCAATGCCGGGATAAATTCCCTTTACAGCCAGTAGGTCGATGCGTTGATAAAAGTCGAAGTCGAAAAGACTCTTTTCCTTCAAACTCTGGGTGAACTTCATGATTCTGCCTTTGAGGCTCGACGTCGAAGTCGTTCGAGCCGCAGCACCGATTCGATGGAGACTCCCCAGGGCGTCTTGCATTCCCTGAAGGGCAGCCTCGGTTCCTAGCGAAATCCCTCGTTCCGATGGTAGGCGACTGACACCTATTCCTTGCGGACTGCCTAGTCGCCTTCTCGCCGATTCAAATCTAATGGCTTGAGGGGCACGTCAGCGTGAATTGTATCACCACTTGTGGTATCGTTATTGGAGCATAGTTACCGTGTTTTGCATTTCTCTCCACAACGATGAGTAGCCGAAGAAATCCAACACGGATCTGCGGGTCTGAGTCCAGGCGTTTATCCAAAGAGGCGTTCCCTGGGCCAAAGACGCCGAGAAAGCCGGCCCAACGGTCGAAGCTAGAGCGAATCTGCCGTCCAGTATCGTAATGCTCTTTCCCGGCCTCAGAGAGTACTGTTAGCAGCTGGTCTAGGAGAGCTTCGCAGGCTTCAGCTAAGTCGTAGATGCGGAGGCCGTCTTCACCAGGCCCAGGAGCCATGATGCCAGATCATGGATTGATGGATGGGTGGGTGGATGCCAATGATGCCAGTGCTAACGACGCTAAGCTGATTCGCTCTTTTTAAACGTCTGTTAGTAGGTGGTCTAGATTCGAACTCGGAAGATTATTGAACCAAGCAACCACACAGCTTTCTTGCAGCTGGGAAGCGTCGTGCTGATACAAGATCATAGGTAGATAGCGACTGCTGCGGTGATATCGGCTTTTTTTTTGGCCCAATGCCTTGGGAGCAATGAGCAAGTTCAGATCAGGTCGATCTGTCAACGAGGCATCGACGGCAACATGCCACGAAATCCGCCTCGGAACAGGGCTTCCAGAGATTGGCCCCAACCCCGCTCAAGCCTGTGGTAGATGCCCCCCATGCCTGACCTGGCCTGCTGCCTTCAAAACTGCGCTCATTCCTTAGGTTCCATGCCTCAACGACTGGACCGCAGCTTTCCAAGTACGGCAGCGCTTCAGTCCCACCCCTCCTCAGCCGCGGGGCGGTGGCTTCTCAGATAGCGGAGTACCTTCTTATCCCTCACCACAAAGGTGTTTACCAAGATGAAATTCTGTTGTGGGCCGCCGCATGAACCTCCAGGCCCCGCAACACAGATACCCCGATGCTCGTTTCGACCTCCAAACTCGATTGCGCGTAACCGGTCGCGGTCTTCATTCTCATCGCCATGTCCTTGTGAAGTCATAATTACCCAAGGTATCTCCTACCTACCTAGCCAGAGCGGACGACTTGTACGACCATGCTACATCCCGACTGCAAAGAAAAGAAGCAGGCTCACTTCCTAGAAAACACCCCGGAATGGCTCATCTTTTCCCGCGTCCAGCCCATCTTTACATCAGCCGCCCTTGGGTGGAGCATCGCAGGCATTGATCTCTTTTCGGCAACCGAGAACTCCTCGTCGATGCCGTCGATGTCCTCAATCTCCTTGACACATATGTTGAGGACACCGCTCTCGAGCCAGCGGAAAACATCTCTCCGGTAAAAAACAAACTCGCAGTCATATCGATGCATGGGAATAATGGGTCGGTACGGACCGTCAATCCTTTTGAACTTCGCTTGCGGGATTCTGCCGCCATCAGCTGCTGCAAGACCCTACTTTAAGGTTCACATCTATCTGCTGACATATTTTCTGACTATTTTGTAGATGGCGAGTGGTCATGGCCATGAATCTGCTGCAAAACTAGTAAAAAGCTGGCCGAAGAAGATGTTACGCAAAGCGCAAAGAAAATTTGTGAACGGGTCTCGGCGAGATATGCCACCGCATGTCCCACAACCAATGCCCCGCCGAACTCTCATGGAAAGTATTCCAAGCTCGAAGCACTGGGCAAACTTACTAAGAAAGCCTGTGGAGACGGTTTAGATGGAATTGAGACTTCTTGCTCTTCCCACCTGAAGCTGGCGCTTGATGCGGACAAGTGTATGAATGCCATGGATACACTGCGCCGCTTCATTAGCTTTTTTGAATCAGCCGAAATCTCTAGCACGTCCAACCAGAAAGATCTATCATATCGACTCAGAGTTCCTACCACAAATTGGTGGGACAAAACTGCGCGGGAAGCACTGTGTCGCCTGTTCAGCGTCATTTGTAAAAGTTCCGAAGACACTTCTGGAGGATAATGTGATTCGTGATCGATTTGAAGACGGCGACAAGGCCGTTCTTGCACTGTCTCTCGTGCGCTGCCTCCTCCACATCCCTCGTTTCCACTCATCTAGCAACCCCGGCCCCTGGGTGGACTTGCTGTTGACTGCGGATTCTGTTCATTTTCTGCATCAGACCTCACCCCCAGAAATCCTGGACATGCACCGCCCGTATATTCGCTTCTCCACTTGTCAGAGCAAACACGACCAAGAACAGGATGAGAGACTGGCGGAGAGCTGCCGATCGACTCTTGTACCACTCGCCCGATTTCTTCTTGAAATCCTTCGCGGTCACAGCCTTGATGTGGAGTTTTCGTCATCCACAAACATGTATGATGTGAAGAACAAGCTGTACGATATCTTGGAGGCTGAGAAGCCTGACTATACCCGAACACATTATCTTGACGCTATTCGCGGATGTCTGAACTTTACTGCGTCTCGAACGCCTCCTGGACCTGGGTTTCGGTGAATGTACGGTCCGACGGCCGACTATGCAAGTCGGCGACGATCTCGATGACATCGAGGAGCACGAGTCCGCCAGGGCGGACGACAGACGGCAGGCTAAAGGCGACTATGATCCAGTAAACGGCGTAACGGCGTAACGGCGCGCTCTTGATGTCTTTCCTTGGTTGTTCTTATTGTTGTAGCAAGAACAGACGAAATTGACAACTATCAAGACATAGATTTGCCAGCGATTCAACAGCTCGAACCAGAACAAGCCGAAGAAAACGGTCAGCAGGAGGACGTTCTTGAAGATGCGCTGAAAGACGTCGAGCCAGGCCTTGTATGCTCTCTTCGAGCTCAGCCCGGACAGCCCTGGGATAAATGCCGCAGTGGTCTCTGCTGATGCTCTTGTCGAGACGGCCTGCTGCGGTGGAACACCAGCAGGGCCAGCAGGCTTGGCGGACTCGGTGTCGTCGGCGGCCCCGACTTGTCCTGGCGGCGGTGTTGGCAGGCTCTATGATGCTCGGCCCCGTTTCCGATCGCTGTGTCCATGTTGAGTAATTACTAATTAGGCGCTCATGCTTCTCGGTGGCAGAGGAGGATACGGCTGGCGACTGTGAATGTTCAGCTGGAATTTCTGTGTCGCTGTTGGGGCTGCCGTTTTTGGCCATGTGTTGGGGTCATCGGTATTGATTTTTGATTGGCTAGTCGAATACTGGCGCCTCAGCCCAGACGTCCTCTGCACATAGCTGCAGGCCCTGAATGCTAAGTACAAAATCTCCCTCTTGCGGGCCTGGATCGCGAAGAAAAAGAAGTCGAAATCCTAGTATTAATGCCCCCCTAGTGATATTGTACGATACTGGATTTGTCATCTTATCGCAGGTGATGGTGATTGACTGCCGTTTTACTGGCTCGAGAACACTATTCTACTATAATGTAGCAGTAGCTCGTCTCCGCGTATTCGCTCCTTATGGGCCCGAGATTTCTGCCTCCTATTTCTCTAGTAGAATATGATATTGCCGGCGGTCGAATTTCGCTAGAATAACAATCTTGACTTCGTGATTTGATGTCTGAAACCACTCCGTATATCGTTGTAAAGTTCGCCTAATATTTCGAAGTCTCCAGCCTCGATGACTAGTGTTGGCTACTTGCCTATTCCTATACGTTCCGGCTTTGGACCGCCTATCGAATCGCCTTCTCCGTCGTCTCCTCTACGATGGCCTTGTTGTCGAAGTGTTGTAATTAAAACCTAGATCTCTCTAACTTCTCTCCTTACTATTCTGGACGAGCTGGTCACGATACTATATACAAAGTCCTAGTCTAGATGAAGGGTCTCGTATAGATCGGTTGGGATTGTGATGATTAAGATCTAGGAATTGCTATTATAGCGGCGAAAACGAAACTTTCGGCATCGCCTCTCTCGTTTATGCTCGATTTCGGTAAAATAGTTAGGAGATGTGCTAGGCACAGGCCAAGCCTGGCTCAGCTGGGTCCACCAGTTGGCCCCTGCGTATCCACCCTATCCGCACCACATAGATTTCCCGCCCACGGGCGGATAGCGTTAGGTTCCTCAAGCCATTCATCATCTTTCTGCATTGCTGCACCCTCGCATAGGAGAGACGTCTAAATAATGAGTATACTATATGTGTGATATATAGATCGAAGTTGGTTACGAAAAAAGCTAATACCCGGCGGAGGCACGAAGCACAAGTCCAACATGAAAGGTTCTCGGATCCGGCTGGCTACAACTGGCGCATCACATGCCGGCCGCTCCGCTCCACACACCCGAACTTTGAACGGCCTAGACAGTATACTATATAGAAATAAGAGGGTAATACCATACTTATGATAGTAAGGAAATCCCTAGTAGTGCTATTAACCATGTCGAAGAGATCTTGCATATTGGTAAATCGTACGGTCTAGGGATCGTTATCTGGCTTCGATTCTACCGAAGTAGGCATAGTAGACGCCGATGAAGCCGATACCGACGTAGATGTAACCGATGAAGATGCCGCCGCCGCCGGCCTCGATGCAATTAAAGCCATGGCGAAGCGTTGTTGAAGCTAGGATCCGTGAAGCGGGATATATGGGGAAGCCATTGAAGGGGTAGGGCGCTCAAACTGTTGAAAACGGCCGGGGCCAAAAACGGCAGTCCAGACAGCGACACAGACACTCCTGGACTGATGTCACGGTATCCGGAGCTACCAAGCCTTCTCGCCGAAGGTCGAGGTGAGGTAACGAGAGAAGTAGATGAAGAAGTATACAGACGACGATGAGGTAGTGGCTGGTGTCTAGGTTCAGTAGACTAGCTGTTGAGCTTACAATAGTAGGTTCAAGGTTGTAGAAAAGAAAAGAAGATGATGTTTGTCCCTGAATCTAAAGGTGCCCTACATGCACTACAGCGAATCTACCCAGTCATTATCTTGGACATTAACGTACATTAACATACATCAGGACCATGTTCTTCTTCACCATGGCGAGAAAGGTGATCCTGTGCCTAATTACTGTGATTATCAGCCAGGCACTACGCCATCAGGCATTCGCCACACGCAATCTAATCTGCGCAGGGGAGGTCTTCCAAATCAGGAACAAGAGTCCGAGTATCTATACACCACTCCGATAGAAAGAGTCCATGCTCAAAATTCCTATTTTCCGCAGTCCCGAGGGCAGTATTGAGAGACGATATGGAGCTAGACGCTGGATTCGAAAGGTCATTTAGCCCGAAGGCATTCCGCAGAGGAGCTGCCAATGCGGTCAACGGTGGGTTCAAAAACTTACAAATTACCCCCAGGCATCAAAGCTGACATAGTGCTGCGATTATCGATTGGGAGTCCGCCCAAACCGCGCTCTGGCAGGTCAATCACTACCCAATGCCATTTCCGCTGCTGGAGTCCGACGCGGAGATCCAAGGCATCCTTCAAGATCCCAATCACCCTGGGCATGGGGACGTGTCGCGGCAAGAGTCTGCTCGAAGGTTATACACAAAGCAGTTTCGAGACGCCGAGGTAGAACTGCGGAAGAGAGGGCGATCCCTTGGAAGCTCATTTGCCGAGGTGTTAGACAGCCCAGCATCGAGGGTATATGCTTGCTTCACAAAACTTGGCCGCTTGCCAATGGCAGATGCAGGCCTTGTTCACGAGATAGTGCGGCTCGCCTTTGATTTGGATGCTGAAGGGACAGAACGGCATCTCTATGTTATAAGGGATCGGCTGAAGCGAGCAGATAAAGTAAGGTGGTTACAGGTACACAAAGCACTCTTCAAAATTGACTCTGGCCGCGGTACAGCTAGGCTTGTGGTAACACGTGTTACAGCTTGGCCACCTTCGGATCCTTCTTGTCACGGCACAGCGCATTGCGAGTTCATTGTCGCTGGCCGTGTTACGTCATCTTCCAAGAAACCCAATTAGGCTTAGTTTGTGAATCACGTGTAAACTTCGCCCGCAAACCTTCTTGGAAAAAGCCCAATTAGGTTAGCGTGTGGGTCACGTGCAAACTCTGCCCACGAACCTTTTTCTACCGATCGCAGCTCCTGCGATCCTTCTTTCTTTCTTTTTCTTCTCTAGCTTAGTTTTACACTAAATAAATACGATATCTTATTGGCATTGTCCTATATAATCCTATTAACCGTAACACTTCTGGGCTTCCTGAATGATCTGCCGTATCCGACCATATAACCCCTCCGTCTCAGCAAGGCGGCGTCATAGCGGCCTTGCTGAGCAGCTCGCCCCGAGCGCGAGCGCGACGGCGTATGCCCAGACTAATACACCGGGCGAGAGAATCCTCCGTACTTTTGATACCAGTGGTTACAGAGGGTCTCACGCCAGTCGGCGCTGTATTCGCTCTCCCAGATAACCGCAGTCTCTCGCGCCACTTCGTCGCTCACATCGCTCCATCCCCCCACTTCGTTGGTCTCGTCTCGGTGTCTCGCGAGCGTTGTAATGCCGAGGCGGTGCCCTGCCCATACGCCCCGCGAGATATTGGCTGTATCGCTCATGCTAGCAAATGAGGATGTCGACCAGCATATACGCGACATGACGACTTCGCCGAAGCCCAGAACGCTGATGCTTGGGCCGCGAATGAACTCTGGCTTCAGGGCGATGACTTCCGAGCGGACGAACTGCTTCGTCAAGTTTCGAAGAATCCACTGCTGGTCTTGGGGGAAGTAGGTCTCCTCTTTGACCAACATCTCCGAACATATACAATCGAAAGCGGGATCCTTGGAGATGTCCAAGTCGGAGAAGTGGCCAGCCAAAGTCCTCGACTTGCCGGACAGACAGACGTCTTGTTCCGTAGTTGAAATACTAGGAAAAGTGAAGTGGTGAAGCGTGAACGGCTCATCCGCAAATGCCACATGCTTGTCCTAGTCGTCATCGTCCCAGTCGTAAGGTATATCGCTCGTCTTTTGACGCAATACGTCTAGCTCTTCGGCCGAAAACAGGCCGGGAGGATAGTCGCCCGGCTTGCCATCTTCTCCCACGCATACAATATTCTCGCTGGCCCATCGTCCGAGGAACGAAGCGTAATAGTCGTGCATGCGTTCTCGACCGATCGACCAGAAATACCGATTCGCGAGACCGAGGCGAAACACGTCTTCGATGCATTCGATGCAAGTAAAGATGAGTCGATGCACTTCGGGAGGAAGCGTGGAAAAGGTGACGGGGCGGTCGATGACGGAGTGATGGCCGATAACGGAGTAGTTATCGGTGTCGGCCCTGTTATCGCCGTCTTTGGTTTTTGCTTCCTTGTGGTATTGTGAGGAGCTGTTGACTTCGCTGTCCGCTTTACGCTTCGGGCGCTTCTTCATCCCATCCATGTCCTTGGCCGCACTGTGCGATGCCATTCGGGTGGTAATGCAGCGGCCATTCCGCGTCTGTGCCGGTGTAGAGGCTGTCTCGGGGGGATTCTCGGGGGGATTCTGCGGCTGAACAGGGACGGCGAGGAGGCGTACGAGCTCCATGGCTGACCCATCAAAGAGCATCTCTCCAAGCTTACCTCCCCAAGCCAGTGTTTTCTTGGCTCGAGGAGCCACAAGATAAAAGGTTTGCCCCCTCAGAAAAGCGTACCCTCCTCGTGTGTGTCCGGATAACGAATGTAGGAGACAAGGGCCCCACCAAGGGTTGACAGACCAAACGCCAAACCCGGTTGCGTAAGGATTCGAAAATTTGTCAAAAGACGGTCACGTACCTTTTATAGCCGCTGGCCGCAGGCCCCACTTTCCGCACCCTTCCAATTTGTCTCCAGGCTGCGCGTCTGCAAACACGTCTGCCGGTAGAAGCCAAAGAACGAGGACACGGTGGAAAGCTTCATTTCGATACAAGGTACCTAGGGTCTATGAACTCGCCCGTGTTACAGCTGGGCTGGCTTCGGGTAGGTAAAAAGCGTATTTACAACTCGGCCACCTTCGGATCCTCTGGCCCGTCATCAAAGTTGACAGTGGCTTGAAGGGTCTTGAATTGTCTGTCTAAAAAAGGTCTAGAGATGCAGGAAAAGAAGCCACTATTTATACCCAAAAAGTAAAACAAAGGAAATTTTGTGATACTAGGAAGTGAGCGTCATAGAGGGCCTTTTAAGGTTCAACTTGGTTATGGCTCGGATGTGGCTCAATTATCAGGTGACAGATCCTCTTGGGCTTCCTGGAGGATCTGCCGCATCCGAACATATAACCCTCCGTCCTCCCTCTCCCAACTCCCACCATTTGGAAATACAGCTTTCCGTAATCGGTTGACCCAAGGTATTAATGGCTGATGATAAGGAGTGAAATTATTCTTAGCGGACTTGATGAATATCCAGAACAGCACCCAGAAGAATGACTCGAGATCATGCATGAAAGAATGCTGCTCGCCTAGAAGCGCCCCGATCGCCATAAACGCCCTCGTGCCGGTCTTCCATTTGGCTCCCGACGCACCTACTCGATCCATTTTGATGGCGAGATCCAGGTCAATCAAAGCGAAGGCTAGGGGGGATTATTCGTGTCCTCGTTGATCAAGAGGTTGTTGATGGAGATGTCTCTGTGGAGGATGCCAGCCTTGCGTAGAGACTCGTGCCCTTCGATGCAGCCGTCAAACGCGGCAAGTAGAGACGTTCGAGAGTTAGCTTTGTAGATAGGAGTTCCGTAGTCGCGAAGAATAATATGACGATACACCCGATTTGATAGATTGCTGCTAGCTTGAGATGCCGAGCAAGACCGCTTACTGCGTGGGGAGTCAACACCAAGAAATCATCACCGCTACCGTTTTGGGGGACATTCAGGGCTTCAGGTCTAGCCTACAGGCAGACCTGAGGGGGGTGTGTCATGTGACTAGGCCCAATTGGGCTGCATGTTTACCAAGCGAGGATCTACGCCTACAAAGGCCTAGTGCGTACAGGTTGACAAGGAGCATTTTTTTACAGATTGTAATGCCCTCAGCGAGGCAGCAATCATGTCACACATTTTTCTACTCAAAAGTTTCGGCTGAGCAAAACTTGCCATGTTCACCGATTGCGACAATTTTCTCGCAAGAACCGCTCCCCGATCTGCTGAAAGCTGAGACGCCGCTCGAATTTGTAATAAAGAGCCTCCAAATCTCAAGAGGACATCCCAGCACAGGGTTATGATTAGCAGGGAGGTGCAGCCCAGTCCCTACTCCATCGGCCCTTTGCCCACCCAGCTCTCGATCCAGTCAAATACAGTCTGGTGCCATACCAGCGAGTTCTCGGGCTTCAGGACGAAGTGGTTCTCGTCCGGGAAGTTGAGCAGCCTGCTGGGCACGCCGTGCGCCTGCAGTGTCCTGAACACGGCCAGCCCGTCCGTGACGGGGCACCGAAAGTCCCTGTCGCTGTGAATCACCAGTGTTGGTGGCGCCTGCGCCCAGCGTTGCAGCAGCTCGGGGCGTGCTGGATTCCACTTGTCGAGAGATTTGGCGTTGGCCCACGGGTACGGCGGGCCGTTGAAGTCGCTGATTCCGCCCGTCTCGTCGCTGTAGAGAAACGTCATTCGCATGTCGAAGCACGGGTCGTGGCAGATGATGGCTTTGAACTAGCGGGCTGTTAGAGCTTGTGTATTCTCAAGGGGCTGGAGGCAAAATGCTCACTTTCTGCGCCAGGGCGTGGCCCAATATCCAGGCAGCCATGTACCCGCCGTAGCTCCCTCCCGCAGCAACGACCCTGTCCATGTCGAGGGATGGGATCTTGGCGAGGTAGTGCATGCAGTGTACAAGGTCTTGATATGGCTTCCCTCCCCACTCGCCGTAGATGCCGGACGCGAATTTTACCCCGTACCCAACGCTGCCGGTGAAATTTGGGCGCACGACGACGTAACCTTGCTCAGCCCACAGCGCTGCGTTCCACTGGTGATTATCGTGTTAGCTTCTGACATCACTAAATTGACCGGGTAGTGCCACAAACAGACAATCAAAAGAACTTACCCGCCAGTGCCAGTCATCTCTCCACGAGTCTGCGGGCCCGCCATGAATCTCCAATATGACGGGCCATTTCTTCTTCTCATCATAGTTTGAAGGATATGTAACCCAAGCGTGCACGCAAGTCTCGTTGGCGCCCTCGAACCAGATCTCAGAGACCTGGCTGCCGTGCAATCCGAACTTGGCGCCGTAGTTGGTCGAAGAGATTATGCGGTCTTCCAACTTTTGGGCCGTGTCAACAACTGCGTATATGCTGCCCTCGATCCCCGTCGAAGCAGTGACCAAGACCTGGAGGCTTCCGCTGCCGCTGGTGAGGGGGTAGACCGCCGACACGGACCGGTTCTTCACGAGAGCTATCGGCTTGGTGTGGTGGCGCAATTTGAGCTGGTGCAGAGCGCGGCGGCCGTGGTCGTCGGCAACGATGAGAATCGATTCCCCGTCGGGAGCGAACTCGAAGGATGAGGGAACAAGCTCCCACGACGAGTCGATGACCGTCTTGAAGACATCGACGGCGATAAGTGAGCAGATTTGGCCGATAATCAGCCGCGTATCGGCCTCGTTGGCAAAAGGCGTCTTGAGATATGCGATCATGGTCCCGTCAGGCGAGAACCGCGGATTAGCAGATATTCCAAGAGCAGCTTCGTTCCCTGTCGTCATGCATGTTGCGCGGTGTTCAGTAGCCTCGGACCACGAGTCCACGGGGGCAAAGAAGACGTCGGAGGCGTTGGAGTAGTGAATCTTGGAAGGGTTCGGGTCGTGGGCGACGAAGGCGATGCCCTTGGCGCTGATATCGAAGTTTCCAGACGGGTTGCCCGGGATGTACATGTCTGCTGGAGCTTCTAGGGCCGTGTCCTTGACGCAGTTGTGGAGCTGGCTTGCCACGGACCACTGCCCATTGTCCCTGCGGACCAGTTTCGAATAGAATATGGCATATTTTTGTGGCTTGACATAAGTATCCCACTGTTGGCGACCTTTAAATCAGCACGCCCTACCAAGCCTAACTATACAGGGGCGAAATCAATTTGATAGTCGATTAACAGAGATGTAGCATACCTCTCGAACGCGAGCCGTGTCGTAGATGCGGGCACTTGATAAACTCTTAGGCGCCTTCTCCTCGTTGTACAGATTGCCGTCCTCTCCAGCCAGGCCGACGACAGCAAAGGCAACCGAGCCGTCGGCTAGCAGGTGAAGCTTCAGATGCTGGACCACGCCGTCAAACAAGTCAACAGACTGGATCGAAAGATTCGGGTCAATAGTGGGAGGCGCCGCGTCGGCAATGACCAGCTCGGTGGCTCCTCGGTCATAGCGCCGAAGGCACGCAATCTTTTTACCATCGGTCCCCGGGAGCCAGCTAACATCATGAGTCTTGATCTTGTCGTTCTTGATCAGCGTCCAAGACTCGCTCGAGCTCAGACGGACGACCCGCCACTCTTCTTTGGTTACCCCGCCAAGCTCAGGAGTCGAGACACTGAAGAGGCCCAGGGTGCCGTTTTCATTAGGTACGAGGTCGCCTCGCCGGGGGAGAGTGAGAAACGTCTCGGGCGTCAAAGAACGTCTGACGACCATGGCTGCGGAGTATTTTGTCGTCGGCGACAGATCGGTATCGATTAAATGAGCGGCTGCACAAGACGGTAAATATTAATCAAAATCAAATGCCGACTCACGAAAACGAAAGAGAGAAAGAAGAAATAATCTTATTTGGGGCTCAAGAAACGGAGAGATAGAACTATGTTCATATAAATCAACGGGGTGGGGATGCAGGAAGGGAAAGGCGCTACCAGAACCGGGGCAGGGATTACGCAACTTGTCGAGCCGGGACGCGCACACCTTTTATTGCCCCTGGGCCTGGGCCTTGGTGCGGCCGCAGTGGGTTGTGGTTGGTTGCACCTGATTGGTAGGCCAGTGAGGACGGGCTGACTGTCAATACAGTACCTTACCTGAGATACCTGGAATACCTAGAATACCTGAGGCTGCAACAAACAGCTGCGCAATGCGAGAAGGATTCAAAGAGTTCGCCTCCCCCTCATTATAAATGCGAGGCCCCACCCCTCTCGACTTCAACTTCTGGGCTGGAATAAGCTGCTGCCGAATATTTCATGCTATATTTACAGCTTCATCCTACTTCCATGTTGGATTCATAATTACTGATTAGGCCTGAAAATTAAGAAAAAATGACTCTTATACGACTTGTAATTATTCAGGTAAGCTATCTGCAAGATATAGTAAGAGCAGCTCCCTAACAACGCGGCAGGCAATAATCATACGAATCAAATGAATGTATCGGGGCTTGGGCGATGCTACAGATTTTCAAAGGCTTGACCGCTACTCGTCAAGCCGCTACTCGTCAGGGCTACCAAAACGCCTCTGACCAGGGGTTTACCCTCTTGGTCCCAGCGTTTTTAGAGCCTTAACGAGTAAGAACTCCATGTAGTAATTGCATATAGGCACCTTACACCATGGCATGTTACAGCGCCAGGAGTTGCAAAGATTATTTGCCTACTGTCAGCGAATTAGTGATTATTGTCTGACGAGATTGGTCAAGATTATTTGAGCCTGCCTCAATCCCCTCGTAATAACCTTGTCTCACAGGTTAATAAGGAGCCAGCCTATGGGTTATCATGATGGGTAGGAGTTCCATAGTTTAAGTTTTTCACGATATGTGGTTTTTGCGGCACAACAGTCGAGAACCTTGAAACGGCCACAAAACCAGCGGGATCTCTACAAAAGAATTTTTCCAACTCTTTCTCCCACCTTGGATCAAAGTCTTACCCCAAACAACGACCGGCTACGGATTCCAGCTTTTCCCACGAGAAAAACACGAAAAAGACAAGAAATTCCTCTCATCAAGGGATCACACACTTGTCGAGACGTTGCCATTCTGACAGCACCCCCACTATGCCTCGAGAATCGCGCAAGTCCCAATGGGGACCAGACAGCACGTCTGCCAGTCTTGCTGGCCTCAGCACAGCAATCATTGCGCCCATGACGAGCGAGCAACTCGAGGTATATGCCACGCACGTGCGTATTGAGGAGATAACCCAGAAACTCAAGACGGATGATATTGTCCCAGCTGACCACTCTCGCAGGTCTCCGTCTCCCGCTCCCCAACATGGCAACTCCGGCAGGCGAACCAACACACGCTACCACCGCTTCCAAGAACGCCTCGAGGTCGAACGCCACTCGCTAATCCAACAAGCCAGCCGCACCATCCCAAACTGTCGACCGACCACCGGCTACTCGCGCCAGAAGATGCGCCAAGCCATGAAAGCCAAGGTCTACATCCCTGCCAAAGACTTCCCAGAAGTGAACTTTATCGGCCAGACCCTGGGCCCGCGCGGCCCGAGTCTCGTCGCCATGAACACCGAGTCAGGCGCCAACATTGCCCTCCGCGGCCGAGGTTCCGTCAAAGAGGGCAGCTCCAAGCGACTACTAAGAGCTAGCAGCAGCAACGTGGATACTCACCATCACGACCGCAACCGCCTGCTAGCTGCCGAGCACAACGAACCGCCCCACTGCCTCATCACAGCCGACGCGCAGGACAAAGTCGACAAGGCCAGGGCGCTCGTCCAAGCCGTCATAGGCACGGCCGTCACGACACCCTAGCACGCCAACGAGAGGAAGCGCGGGCAGCTGCGCGACCTGGCCGTCGTCAACGGGACCTTTCGCGATGACGAGGGGCGCCGGAGCCAAGATGAGAGCGGGCTCGCAAGCCGCTGCGAAACACCGCAGGGCCTGCCAGGAGTCGTGCGCTATGCGTGCGGTGGCAGCGGGCACATTTCGCGCGACTGTCCCGACAGGCGCGTGGTGGCGTGCGGCGATCGACGGCCACGACCACGACCACGACGCCTCCGTGGCGTCCGTGGCGGAAGACGGGCCGCGGTAGGGGCACGGCGGAATCGGATGCCCTCAATGACATGTATGCTCAGTTCTTGGCAGAGATCTGAGCTGTTCTGGGAGGGAACCACGACCGGGAAGAGAGAGCATCAACGTGGCCGGGTCTGTCTATTACGCCTTGTCAAGCTGCCGGGAACTCGAGAGTGCTGAATCGGCAAGCAGGTTTTTAGGCATGAACATGATGATGGAGCAGTGCAAAGCAACGAGACGCTTGGCATCGCATTACAATGCTCTTTTCTCTCATGTGTGTATGTGTTTTTAGTGGCCAATTGACGGAATTATCAAGTCCCGCATTGTGCTGCCGCGGGCGTGCATGGCGGCATTGGGTATTCGAAGCGGTTCTATATTGGCAAGCCACACCCAGCCCGCGGAATCCGGGGTAGCAATCAATTGTCTTTCCGCATTCGTCCAGGTGATCAGCCGGCCGCCCGCTCCGAAAAGGACCCACGGTACTCAATGCGCGACAGCCAGATTGGCAACCCCCCTTTTCTTTTCTAGTCAAGCGTCTCTCGCCCCTTATCGACTGACTTACTGACTGATGTGCCTGGTCTGCCCATTGGGTGTATACGAGTATAAGATGGCCGGATCCGGCTTGGCAGAAGCCTCTGTACCTGCCTGTCCTCTGCCAATCCGTCTAGAATCAAGTTGGGTGTAAATCTTATATTCATTTCCAAACCCCCTCTGATTTCGCCATGTTTTCAACCTTGCTGTCCATCATAGCTCTCGCGGGTGGCACCTCGGCCTTCCCAGCACAGACGGATAGGCGAGCTGTCAATGCCGGCGTTCAGTTTGGTAAGATACCGAGAACCGTACGGGTGCTTGCAGGTAAATGCCTAGGCAACCAGCTAACCTGAGGTCTATTTAGTGGGCGTGAACATTGCCGGATTCGACTTTGGATGCTCCATGTTCGTCTCCCCGGAAATCCTCGAAGCCGGCGTTCAGAGCTAAAGTCACACAGCCAAGGAGCCTGCGATGTGAGCAAGTCCGTGCCGCCGCTCTCAGGCCTGGGCGGTGCCGATGGGTAAGTATAGTCGACCGCATTCTTCTCCTTCAGCTGAACCTTGAGGGTGCCTTTTCTTACGCCCCGGCTCTAGACCCGGGCAAATGCAGCACTTCTCCAAGGACGATGGCATGAACATCTTCCGCTTGCCCGTGGGCTGGCAGTACCTCGTCAACGGCAAGCTCGGTGGCACGCTAGACTCGGGCGCCATTGGGCGATACGACCAGCTGGTGCAGGCCTGTCTTAAGACGGGAGCGTACTGCATGATTGACGTGAGTTATTAGCTGATGCACCCAAGAAGAACGCTCGTTGTGGGAGACACTAACTCACCGCGCCACCTAGATTCATAACTGTATGTAGTTTGTCTGGCCTACCTATTGAGTGAGTCACTGGCTTCTAACGGATCCGAAGACGCACGCTGGAATGGGCAGATCATCGGCCAGGGCGGCCCCGACAATAGCCAGTTCACGAACCTGTGGACCCAGCTGGCCACCAAGTACGCGAGCCAGCAGAAGATCATCTTCGGCGTCGTCAACGAGGTTAGTGCTGGTTTGGGAGAGAGTAGTACTTGCATGAGACTCAGTCACTGACGCAAAGGCACAGCCTCACGACGTTCCGGACATCAACAAATGGGCCGACACTGTGCAGGCAGTCGTCACCGCGATCCGCGGTGTCGCAAAGACGCAGATGATTGCGCTCCCCGGGAACGAGTATGTCCACGCACCTCGCAGTCGAGCTTGATAGCAAACACCAAGAACGTATGCTGACCCAACACCCACAGCTGGACTTCGGCAAAGATGATGCCGACCAAGTCGGGCCCGGCCCTGCTCAAGGTCACGAACCCCGACGGGACCTTTGACAATCTCATCATCGACGTGCACAGTGAGTCGACTGCATACCTTACCTATCTGCCTATGCTCCTGCCAGCTTCGCCTGCTGACCAAGTCCTGCCACAGAGTACCTGGACTCGGACAACTCGGGCACGCACACGGAATGCGTGACGGACAACATCAGCGACACGTTCCAGCCGCTGGCCACGTGGCTCAAGGCCAACAACCGCAAGGCCCTGCTCAGCGAGACGGGCGGCGGGAACACGGACTCGTGCAAGAAGTACATGTGCCAGCAGCTGGACTTTATCAAGTGAGTCTCTATCCTGCGTTTTTCGGCCCCTCATCATGACGGAGCAGCATGTGGCCGGACATTCACTAATCCATCTGAACCCAGCCAAAACTCGGACGTCTTCCTCGGCTACATCGGCTGGTCTGCCGGGTCTTTCAGCCCTGCAACCTACGAGCTCAGCGAGGTGCCGAGCAAGAACGGCAATTCGTGGACCGACAGCTCGCTCGTGAAGGCCTGTATGACGAAGAAGAACTAGTCTGATTAGCTAGACGCGGCCGGTCCGAACAAACGGGGAAGAGGGTGTCGCCAGTAAAGCGCTGTCGGGCTCATTCCGTAGTAAAAGTTACAAATCCAATTGCTTTAAACGAATTACCAGTGAGCTTTTATTGGCGGCTGGTGTGAAAGTTGACTGGACTTGGTCCAAGGTGATGGTCCACGCTGGCTGCCCTTGGCAGCGCAACGGAATATGAGGCGGGAACTACAAAGTAGGTAGAGTAAATAATACCGATAAAAAGTCACAGCAACAAGTGGAACACTAAAATGACGCCAGCAGCGCTCCAATGCCTGGAAATAGTCTCGTCTCGATATTTTAATTATTGATAAAACTAAACGGGTCAGGACTTGAGTTGTCTTCGGGTCCCGTTTCTGCCTCAGTGGGAGCCGGGGCCGAGAGAATGGAGATACTGGGAACTGGGACTGAGCAAAGAGGTAGCACATGATAATAGTACATCTCTTGGGTACTTGTACTGCACAATATTTACACGTGGTCACGATCCAGGCCAAGAATAAGGGGGAGACTGTCGGCGCCACTGTGCGCCACACGGCCCCTGTGGCTGGTCTAGCGCAGGATCAGAGGGACTTAGAATTATCTCCGATCTCGGGACAAGCTTATGCGAGGCGCGACAGCTTCCCGTCCCCAGCTCGGAATTGTGCTCGGACAGGACGCTCCTTCCCAACGGTTGCTCCACGCTGACCAAGGAGCTTGATCTTGCCTACCTGCCCTGCCCTGCCCTTGAAAACAGCCGGTGGCTCCTGCAATGCACAGCAGTGATCTCGTCCATTTGAACGCATCCATCGGCTGTCCCTCCGCAATGACCCCACTCCAGCACTAAGGGAAACCCTTCACGCCCGTCCTGTCCTTTTTTCCCTCCACTCTCTCGTAATAATTCGTGGCAGGGTGCCCATCACCTGCCCACGGCAGTCCCGCTCTACCTCGGGGGGCTGGGAACTCGGCACCGGACTTCGGGATTTGCCTGGACAGCAATCGGATTGCCTGTGTGCTCGACTTCTGCCGAACGCGCGCACGCTTCCGAAAACTCCACCGAACCCCAGGCGACTCAACGTCGCCCACGAGCCTGCCTGCCTGCCGACCTCTCGAGATGAAGAACGACGGACTGGGCGGCATCGAGCCTCGTCCTGCCTCGTCCCACCGGCCGCCGCTGCAATTTAAGTCTACAGCAGCAGCTCCACTGGCCTCCATCGCGACAACCCCCAATATCGTCGCCATGGACAAGAAAGATGGCGCCGCCAGGGCCGTGACGCAGTGGAACACTAAGAACCTGGGGCTGCGCCTCGGCGCTGACCTGCTCAGCGCCGCAGCGGCAGCTACCATGGTGGCGCCTATCATCTCTATCATCGACCGGTAAACAAGCCCCCTTTCTTCTCCACCGCTGGCTGGCTGGCTGGCTGGCTGGCTTCCGGGTCTGGCTGGCTTCCGGGTCTGAGACACGAGCTTACACGTCTCTCCGTCTGCACAGCTCCATCATGGAAAACGCGTCAGGCCGGCGCAGTCTGGGGCAGTCGCTGCGGTCGTCGCTCCGGACACTAATACTGCAGCCGCACCGGCTGGTGCTGTCGCGGCCGTTCGCGCTCATCTTCCTACTGTACGGGGGCACGTACGCGACGGCCAACTGGCTGGACACGGCGACGTCGACGGTGCAGAACCGGGCGGCGGCGCACGTCACGTCGGGCACGGCCAAGTTCGCGGCCTCGTCGGCCGCCAACATCTCGCTGTGCATCTACAAGGACCAGGCGTTCGCGCGGCTGTTCGGCCCCCCCGGCGCCGCTCCACGTCCCGTCGCCATGCCGTCGTACCTGCTCTTCGCCGCGCGCGACTGCATGACCATTTTCGCGTCGTTCAACGTGCCGTCGCTGCTGGGGCCCGCCCTGACGCGCCGCCTCGGCGACGAGGTCCAGCGCTACGCCTCGGGCCAGACCATTGCCCAGTTCGCCGCCCCTGCTGTTGTCCAGCTCGTCAGCACCCCTGTGCATCTGCTGGGCCTCGACATATACAACCGCCCCTACTCCTCCGCCGGCGGCCTGCCGACCCTCCGCGACCGCTGGGTCGCCGTCCGCCGCAACTGGGCTATCAGTACTGCGGCCCGCGTCTGCCGCATCATCCCAGCCTTTGGCGTCGGCGGCGTCGTCAACTTCAAGGTCCGCCAGGGCCTCATGGAGCGCCTGTCGTAAAGGGCTGCACGCCATAACACAGCACAGCATAGCGGTTCCCTCACGGCACCAGCGGCAGCAGCAGCACCCAGCACACCAGCGGCGGCAGCAGCAGCCAGCAAACCAGCGGCAGCAGCAGCCAGCACACACGAGACTCTACATACAACATCACCACAACCACATGCTGTTATCGTTTGCTTGTTTCTTTTTATTTGGTCTTTTTAGATACCCAAGTTCGAGCGGTGGTTCTCTTCTCTTCTAGTCTCTTATTTCTGTTTTTGGATCTTTCCCTCTTGCCTCCGCCGAGGCAGGACAGCGACAATAATGACGAGTGTGCGGCAACGACAACAACGGCAACGACAACAACAGCAACGGGAGTTTGTATACCTCAGCGGGCGCGGCGTGTCCTTTTTCTTCTTTTGGGATAATATTTTGGGTTTCCAAGGTCGTGTATACCACTTTTGTTGTCATTGTTATTGTTATTTTTGGGTTATTAGATTAGGGCTTTCTGCTTTGCTTTGCTCGTACGGGGAGACGACCCGACAGACACTTGCTTGCTTGGATAGGTAGCTTACTTGGTAGGACGTTAGACGCTTGGATACATAGTAGAATAGATAGATCATGGGCCTTCTTGTGTCATGTAGCTAGCATGGCCGTAGCGGTAGCAGGGGCAGGACGTTGTCAAGCGCTTAATTACCTACCTTACCTTAGGTGGGCATGTAATTATAGATGGAGGCCAAGACCGTGGCAGAGTCGAACAAGTAGCCCTAGTGTTCGTATCCTGTGCGTGCGTACGTATGTTGACGGAAAGCGCTTCTCTCCTCTCTTACACTTGTATATCTCATCTTGTATATCTCCTTCTCGATTACCACAGAGCAATGACCTGGCAGCAAGCGAGTGTCTAGTAGTAGTAGAAGTTAGGAGTACGCCAGAGAACTCAGGACTCCTGTCCCGTTAGCATGCACTAGCAACCTGCTAGCATGTATGCCTCCCCAGAGAACTTGGGATTCCTGTCTCACCTCACAGAGTAGTGGTCTGGTAGCAAGCAAGTGTACCGAGGTATGGGAAGTACGCCGTGAACAGGGGTAGGCCAGACAACTCGAGATTCCTGTCTCGTGATCACGGAGCAGTAGTCTGATAGCGCGCGAGTATCTCGTGGTATAGGAGGTCAGCACGCCAGAACGGGAACATGGCGAGCGGACTCGGTTCTCCGGCTATGCCTAGGTACCTAGCTAGATCGACCTTGGCAGAGAGAAGCATTTCTCTCCCATACTGGTAGGATGCCATAACAAGGTAAATAGCCAACTCCCAAATCAACAAGAGCAAGCAGGCGAATGATCAAGTAGTATCGTGTTATTCACCCCCCCCTTAGCTAACTGACCGAAAAGCCAATGCATGTACCGCAACGCCCGATAATGCTGTCTAGCCAACGAACTCCCCCCGTCGAGAGCCCAAGGCTCCTGTCGTCCATGTATGTATGCATGCATGCATGTATGTATTTACAACTCCTCCACGGCCTGCTGCATCTGCAAGGGAAGCCCCTCGCTACAGAAAGCCCGACTCCTTCAGGGCGCGCATAATCTTGTCGCGCTCCTCCTTGGCGGGGTCGCGCCAGGCCTTGCCCTCGCCCGTGTCGATGTAGTTCTCCCAGAAGCGGAGGCCCTCGATGCCGTCCTCGCGGCAGAGGACGCCGCGGTCCTCGGCCATCTCGAGCTCCTCCTCGGCGACGCCGATGCTCCAGCCGAAGCGCTCGGCGGCGTCGCGGGCCGTGACGCCGCGGCCAAAGACGCGCCAGTCCCAGGGCACGTGGCGGTCGGGGGGGAACTCGTGCAGGTCGCGCAGCCAGGCCAGCAGGGCGCGGATGGTGGTGTCGTCGGTGCGGTCGCGGGCCTGCACCACCTTGACGCCCGACCTGAAGGTGCGCAGGCGCACGGGCAGCTCGAGTTTCTCCCACAGGTTGGCCGCCTTCTCGAAGTCGGCAGGACTGACGAGCTCGACGCCGCCGCGGGCGCGGTTGAAGACTGCCCACAGGTCGACCAGCGACATGATGCCGCCAGCGCGGCGTAGCACGCCGCGGCCGTCGTCGGTCAGGAACTCGGCCAGGTTGCGCGCCAGCTCCGACAGGTACAGCGAGTCGCCGCCGCCGCTGCCGCTGGTGCCGACAATGTCCTTGGTGGTGATGAGCCCGAGCTGGCTAGCCGACTCGGCGAGCAGCAGCGCGTTCTCGACGCCCTCGCCGCCGTTCCCGCCGCTCTTGACCTGCCGCGCAAACTTCTCCGCTAGCTCCACGATCTGCTTGGCCGACGCCATGAGCGCCTCGAGGTCCTCAAATGCGCTGCCAATCACTAGCTCGTTGTTCTTGCGCATCGCCTGGCCCCGGTGCTCGAGGCCCGCGATCCCGGCGATCTTGACCCGCTGCTCCGACGCCGCCCCCCCAGACGAGTCGCCGCCGCTGCCGCCCACGATCCCCAGCCCGCTCGACGCTGCGTCCCCGGGCCGCGCCGACCGGGGGATCGGTGGCGCGCCCTGCAGCAGCCACTTGCGCTGCGTCATGCTCCTCTTGAGCCTCTCGTAGAAGATCTTGTCGCCGCCGCCGCGGAACGACAGCTTGACGGTCTCAAAGTTGTCCAGGCCCTGCGGCACGGCGCTCGGCGACGACTGCAGAAAGGGGCCGGGCGACTCGGTCTCGCTCCGGGGCTGGTGCGCGAGGTCGGCGGGCAGGTCGTGCGAGATCAGGGGCGCCCCGCAGATCTCGCACGACATCAGGGACGGGTGGTTGAGGAACGTGCACCGGGGGCACTGGAAAGACGCGTCCGGGTCGGGCGTCTGCTGCGGTGCGTCCGGGGTCCGGGGAGACGTCGGCGGCCCGTGGCTCTGCTGCTGCCCTGCTATCCCCGACACAGGCCTGGGCCGCACGGGCAGAGGGGTGAGCAGGGCCGGGCCCCCAGGCGACCTGCTCGTGGCATTCGAGATGGCAGCCTTCAGCACGTGCGTGAGGGTTGGCTTGATGCCGCAGGCCAGGCAGGGCGGGAGCGGCGTGTGGGCACTGGCCGTCGAGGGGTCGAAGTTGGAGGGCACGGGGTTGGAGAAGCTGCAGATGGTGCAAACCCACGTCGCCGTTCCCGCCGAGGGCTGGTTGACGGGCGGCGAGCGGTGGGCGCCGTCAGCAGTCCGCTGGACCGGCGACGAGGTGGCGCTGCGCGAGTGGTTCGAGGCGAGCCCCGGCGCCCAGGGTTGGAGAGACGAGCGCTTTGTCGCTTTGGGGACCAGCGAGATCTTGGCTGAAGTCTTGATGAAGCCGGCCTGGGTGGGGGGGAGGAGAGGTCAGCCAAGCAGAGGGAGGGAGGAGGGGCCGCCGTACGGAATAGTCGTAGCGCTCGACGTCCTTGAGATCAATGGCGAGCGAGTTCTTCCTCGGGTCGGCCTTGTCGACGTAGCAAACACGGTGTGATGTCAGGTAGACCTGGCCGATCTGGTGGTTGGGCAGCTTGTACTTGCCCTCGTACAGGCCAACGTTGTCCTGGACGAAGAGCAGGTCTTCATCGGGAAGGTACGACGGCCGCAGCGCCGTCGTCAGGTCGATCTGCTTTAGAAACATTCGTCATAGCTGGGGGGAGCTGTTCCTGCGCGTCTGCTCGCCTTTGCGTGGCTCGGGAGAGGAGCAGAGAGGGGGGGCTCGATTCGAAGCTTGTTGACGTAACTAGCCTGGGGCACGAAGTTGCTGCGGAACCGAGTGCCTTAGCTAATAAGGAAATCAACGGGTGGATACCTAACCAGCCGCCGCCTTCTCCGTGGTCGGCAAGGACGTGCACGCCACCCGACAACCTTGCTAGGGTCTTTGGAACCATTCGATAAGCCTTTAGCGGGTATCCGTTTGCGCGTGCCTCAAAATATGTATGTATCTGGGTACCAAATCTGTGCTCGTCGGATGATAAACTCGCGAGGTTTGGAAAAAGAAATAATGAAAAAAGGAATAATAAATAAACAAAGGCTATAGTAGCAAGTGCATGGGCAAGAACAGTATCGTGTTCAAAGTAAAGGGACTGAACGGTCCCAGTTGGTGCAGTTCCTAGTATTCGTAAGCCGATACCGTTCCGCCCCGGGCAAGTCTTGTGAGCTGGCGGGTCACACGGGGGACCCGAGGGTATCGGGACGATTGCAAAGTGCAACGACCTTGGGGTAAAAGCCGTATTTGACATCCAGTCCAAGTCGACTTTCCATCGAACTGCTCGGTCTTCTCGTCCCCATTCTACTTCCTCCCAAAGTTCAAGGCTTACCTAAAGCTAGTCTAGGCCCCCTCTTTTAGCGTTTTGGTCTCGACTGCCCGTCCTCGACTCGACTCCCCAGGCCGCCACGGGTGCAGGCCAGGCAGTAACGGAAGGCCCCACTTTGACTTGACCAGCCGCCCGCCCTCGCCGCAGCACCGGGCACCCTTGCCCTTTACGTTTTCCGACCTGGGCCGCGCTTTTTGTTCAGCCACTGCACTTTCTTTGATCCTCCCCACCACATCGACCTGCCCACCTCACCGCTCTCGCCATCGGCCGCATCGCCACAAAGGTTTCCTCGGCTTTCCTACCTCAAGATCACCGCCGTCAAACCCACGACGGCAAATCTTATATCGCGCGCGCTTCTTGTCACGCGGTAGCACATCTTCCGAAACCTCTTCCCCTCCCGCTTCTTGTCGCCGATTCTCCTTGAGCAGCTGGTCCCGAGTACCTTCTACCTACCTTCCAAACAGTCACTGCGGCACTGTACGGTGAATGTAAACGGTCTGCTCTCGCCATGACGAACACTTCAACCTGGCCGCATGCTGGCGATTCAGGCGATGCAGATCAGCGTCATCCTCAGAGTAAGTAGCCCGCCCGTGAATGTTCTGTCCTGCCTGATCCATCTCGATCCCCTTCCTCTCTCCGAGCCGCGCGACCGACACGACGCGTATTTGTCTAATTTCGACCACCGCTCTCTTCTCCTCTGCTTTCTCTGCTTCCTCTTCGTTCGCTGCCTTCGCTTCTCTCGGCCCTATTTGCCTGTCCCCCTTTTTCCTGTTACTTACTTTCCCTCTTCCCTATTTCCCACTCTCTATTTTCCGTCTCTCTACTTTCCGTCTCTCTACTTTCCGTCTCTCTACTTTCCGTCTCTCTACTTTCCGTCTCTCTACTTTCCGTCTCTCTACTTTCCCTCTCTCTGCTCTCCCTGTTCTCTACGTACGCTGATTTCCCGAGCTCTCGCTGACGTTGACCTTCCACCTTCAGTCACGGCCTTCACTGCGGTTCCCGTCCGTCAGTCATTCGCTGCTCGCGCACCTGTTAACCCCCCCCATCCAACTAATAATCAATCTGCGAGCATGGTTTCCACGGCTGAGCCCAAGAAAAAGATTGACTGGCCGGAGTCAGTCCGCTCTTATGTCCAGCGCTCCTTCCTTCCGGCCAACATGATCCCTGAAGTCAAGCGCGATGAAATGGAGGCCAAGCTCAAGGAGGCAATCTCAAAGGCCAACGACACCGGTGTCATGTACACCATTAACTGGGAGACCATGGAACTCCCGCAACAAATGATCCAGAACGAGCGCAAGCAGGCACTCGCTCTACAGCAGATTGTCGGCCAGTACCCACTGGCATCACAGCAGTTTGCCCAGTCTTTTGATCCCCCAGCCATTCCAGCCTGGCAGCCGTCTATTCCGGTGACTAAGAGTTCCCGGAAGCGGAAATCGTCCGACTTGGACGAGAAGAAGCTGCCTGACCCGATACCTCCTTGGCGCTCAGGACAGGCCGGCCAGCCCCTGGCCAACCGCACAACCTTCGCTGATCAAGAGGCCGCACCAAAGCATTCGGCAAAGCCGCAGAAGGAGAAGCGGCAAAAGTATGACGGGGGGTACAAGTCGACGTACCGTATTCCAAGCCCGCCCCCTAACGATGGACCCGTCAAAGGCACTTGTGAGAATCTTGAGAAGCGTTACCTACGCTTGACGGCCCCCCCCAAACCGGAACTGGTCCGCCCGGAGCGCGTCCTTCGCCAGACACTGGAGCTTCTGAAGCGGAAATGGAAGCAAGACCAGAACTACTCGTATATTTGCGACCAGTTCAAGTCGATGCGTCAAGATCTAACTGTGCAAGCCATTAAGAACGACTTCGCCGTTGAGGTGTACGAGATACACGCTCGCATCGCATTGGAGAAGGGGGACCTCGGTGAGTATAACCAGTGTCAGACCCAGTTGAAGGCACTCTACCAGTTGGGATTGAAGGGGAAGAAGATAGAGTTCAAGGCCTATCGGATTCTGTACTTCATTCATACTGCCAACCGCAGCGCGCTGAACGACGCGCTGGCGGATCTAACCCCTACAGAGAAAAAGGAGAGAGCGATCAAGCACGCGTTGGACGTGCGCTCGGCCCTTGCCCTTGGAAATTACCATCGGTTCTTCCGTCTTTATAACGACACCCCCAACATGGGGGCATATCTTCTGGATAAGTTTGTCCGCCGTGAGCGTCTAGCTGCTCTCTGTAACATCTCGAAGGCGTACGTGATATCCCCTCTCCTGGCAGCAGTTTCCTGGTTTGCTAACAGTGCATTAGGTACAAGCCAAGTGTGCCACTCCGCTTTATTGCGGAGGAGCTGTACTTTGAGTCAGACGTTGAAGCCGCCCAGTTTGTTCTGGATCTCAACGGCCAATCCCTTCTCGAAGAGCGCCAGGACACGATCGTCTTTCTGTCTGGCAAAGCTGGCCAGTTATTCGAGGGTCCAAAGAAGGAAGCCTTCTCCAGAGTTGACATCAAGGGGCAGATTTGAATCGTCCCATCCGAGTTTCTAACCGCAGGCTTTCTCCATGATCGACCGGCATATGACGCCTCGAGCCGACTTTCTCTTTGTTGTAGCCCCTATTCTCCCTCCGCATTGGAGAGCTCTATCCATTCATATCGCTTCTGACTTTTGACGCATTACCGCCTCGGATGCTTTGCTCTTGTCCTCGACTAGTTTCGAGCGTTGAACGCTAGTCTTGAAGTAGTCAGACTTCTCGACACGCTACGACAAGCGCGTCCGCAACCTCGGAACAGCATCATATTGTTCATCTGACTACGGTGCCCAGCTACCGTTCAGCCTCTTCTACTCTTCAGCCGACAGGCGACGAAATTTGGCTCATATCACCATGTGAGGGTGGCAATTTCGGGCGGAAAGGGCCAGATCGAATGGCGAATGCGGCACTATCTCACCTCTTCCTTTTCTTGACAGCCCGACTGATGATGATATTCTGGGAGCGTCGATCTATCTCAAGATCCCCCCAAAGTCAAAGTAAAACCTTTTCATCGAAGTTGGTATCCATTGGACGACGTTTTCGAGACACAGGATATATAACCCAACAGTCGGTAACATTCAGCATTTGACGGAGACGTTTTGGCTTGCACGGGAAAACGACCCGCCTTTATGATACCCACGGAGAGGAACGGTTGGCTTTTCGTTTCTTTGGGAACATCCGGTTTTGATACTGGCCACGGTTTCCGGCGGGCAAGGAAGGGTTTGCAGGCATGGAGTTCCGGTCTCTAGGGTCTTTGGCGTTGGTGGGGGGATAAAACTAATATTTCGCGTTCACAATGCGGGTCATGCCTAGACAGCATGGCCATATGTACAAAGTATTCTGTCTGAGTAGTACTCGCACTCGCTCTTGCGACCAAGCCAAATCACATAAGCAACATTGCGCATGAAGTCTGAAAACCACATCCAGGTTCCTGTTCAGGTGGTACGGCATGTGTAATTTTGGGTCAACTTTAGTTGCAATCGCTCGTTCGTCATGGCCCATAATCTTTGGATAATGCCTCGGAAGTGTTGATCGTCCTTGTACCCTTGCTCCACCTGTGCCTTCATTTGGCCCGACATTTCGGCGTGTGCAAAGTACGCCCAAATATCATTGAGTTCGCTTGCATCCTCATTTGCGTCGTCTGTAATTCCGGGCGTCGCTGGCTGACGTGATCACTGCTCGCCGCGTGTCTTGCTTTTTTGAAATGGATCAAGTGACTTGGGCACGTTCAACTTGTGCAGATTTTTTATAGCCCTGACGAGTTTTCCGTCCTGATGCTCAAGCATGCACCATCGCCATGTTCCTCTTATTCCGTCTATTGTCATGACAGTATGACAGTGGCAAGTCTCGAGCCGGATGGAACGCACAACACAACAGTCACCCATTGTCTTGATTAGATACCTAGGTATCTGAATAAAATGCCTATCCTTGCACAGCATGGCCGAGTTGATTCTAAATGCCATCCTTACTACCCACGACGAGAAGCTAAAGTGACTAGCTAGTCTTGCATGTGTGGGACAAGGAGTAAATAGGGGCTTCCTGCCAATAGGCAACGTGCCCAACATACTTACACGCTGTGGGAAGTGTGGTCATGGCTCTCTGGTGGGGGCTAGGCCGTGGCAGGCAGGCAAGCCCGGTGTCGTTTGCTTTGGAGATTGTCTCCTTCAATTTGGCTTCCATCTCATGGCCCGATAACGATGTTGAGCCTCACGGCTGACGCTTTTTGCCACTGTGTCACACACAGCACTTCCCGAACTACACTCTAAGGGCATATTTGTTTGCTTGCTTGCAGGGCATGTCTACTACAGATCTGGCGGGGGCACGTTGGGGGCTGCGACTGTCCTGAGGCGTGGCTGCTTGAATCTACGTTGTGCAGCCTCGATCCTTTCGTCTGTAATGCTAAAAGAAGAGATAACTTGACCCAAACAGCTAGGGCGGTTGCGGACATGTTTTACGTGAAGGCACGATGAGCCTTTTTCGTGATAAACCGAGGCGTTGCTGTAGACACCAATGCCTATGTCGTTAGGCTGATCCATCCAGCCAGCCCTTGGGCGCAGAGTTTTACCACAGTCGTGCTGTATGCAGTTGCACACAAGCAGCCATCACACACTCGATTGCGGTTAACCATCGTCAGGGGGGCAAAGGGAGAAGTCCCACGGGGAGGAAGGCAACGTAGGTAAGAAATACAAATACAGAGATATGTGGAACTAGTGTCAGCAATCGCATGTAGTAAGCCGCCTTGTCACAGCTCCGAACAAGTCCAAACCGCGTCCTTTGGTCGCGTGAGAGGAAAATATGTCCGCCTGTCGGCCCCCCCCCGGGCGTGGTCCCGGCGGAGGGCCGTGGCTGAGTACAGTACGCCAGCCGCGTGATTAGTAGTGACGCAGACTGGAGTTGTAGGCTGCCGTCTGACGACCGCCAACCGACGCCCCCTTTCATTACCCGGCGGAGACATGGTCGGCTAGGGCCGGTCTTCTTTTCCTTCCCTAGATGATGGAAAAGGGGGCTAGAACGGAAAATGAGGTCATTCCCGAGCCCGGCCCGGCAGATGGATGGATGGTTGCCGGGGGGGCGTGCGGTCGTCATGATGATGATGATGTAACACGGGACCCCCCCCCCCCCCCCCCCCCCCCTTTTTTTTTTTTTTTTTGGAAACGCCTTCCCTATCCTGCCTCTCTCACATGTGTGTGCCTTAACCGGGTCGTTGCATTCATTCATCTCATCTAGGCAAAGCGGAAAAGGCGAAAGGGAAAGAAGGAAAGAGAAGAGAAGAAAATAGAGAGTTGTGTGTGGCTGTTTCAGACCCCATATCGCAAAGGGTTTCACGTCGCGGCGGCTGCCGATCGGGACGGCGTGGATCCGAGGGGGGCGGAACCCCAGCGTGCAATCACTGCACGCACGGGCGGCAGGAGCATGAAGACTGGAATTTGGAATACCTATTTATTATTATTTTTGACATTTGTCGGTTTCTTTACCCTTTTGGCCTTTCTGCTACGTACTCCGCGTAGACGTCCGTATGCCCGTGCATCCATGTCCTTCTCGAAGCCTGTGGCAGCCTCCCCCTAGTTGCGAACAGATATATCTGAAGCTACGAATGAAGATGCCGGCCCTGATGCGGCGGCAGCGGCGGCGGCAATGGCGCGGGCAGAATTCTCCGGCAAGGTTAAGCTTAGCATGCCGCCGCAATGCTTACCTAGGCACCCTGGGCTGGTTATCCCAGCTAGGCTCGTGGGTGTCAGAGTTCAAGCCAATGAGTGCTAAGGTGAGTGTTGTGTGTCTCTTCCGTCATAGATATCTTAGCTCTACGTGACGTGTTGGGGATTTCTTCAAGGCGGCAAACACCGGGCACACTGTACAGAATGCCGATACACGCCTTGGCGAAACGGGGTACGTATGTGTATGTGCATACATAGTCTGCCGAGGCGAGAAGTGGCGCTCGCCTACCTTGCCGGCGATCGAGACGGGAGAGAAAGCGTTGAGGCGGGGGAGCAGCGGACCGGCAATCCTCGAATCCTCAACCTGCTGTCGAGATGCTCGAAACACGGGAAGCACCCAAGGTTTTCTCTCTGATTGCCTGCCTACACTGGGGAAAGACGTAGTCTTGACGGGCGTGATTATGCGTTAGTAGCTTTTAACAAGCTTCTCGGCCCTTTTCTCTCTCTTTCTTTTTGGTAATATGGACGCCATGAGACCCTGGGCGGGGACCTGTAGACAGGAGAGAGAAGAGAAGAGAAGATCCCGGTGTCTCCGGCGTCAAAGAGGTGGATGAGAGGACGTGTTGCCACACGATACGGCTCTGCAGCAAATGGGCAGCCGGTGTCATGCGCGAACACCATGATTGGCGCCCTGGGACGACGTCAGCGCGTAACACAGCGTTCAAAGTGTCGGCTTGTCGAGTCCAGCTGCACGTCGAGTTAGGTCCTAATTTGTGTGGATGTGCTTGCCTGCGGGCAAGTTTGCATGGCCGACGACTGGATAGGTGAAGCAAGCCACGTTTCCCCGTTTTCCACATGCGCTTGGCGGAGCGAGAAGGGGAGAGAGAGAGAGAAGCTTCTCACCATTACTATCATCGTCATACTGTGCTATGCGCGGCATTCACCACGTTCGTCGTCGTCTCTGGCAGCAGTGTTCGAGAAAGAAAAAAAGACGGGAATCACTGGCGATCACTTGTCAGATCGCCCGAGCGACATTGCTGCTACTGACTGCCACCCCCCTGCAATATGGGGGATTGTATCACCTGCAACACACAAAAGTCGGGGCCGGCGACCTTGCCTTGGACTGCAGATTCGGAAAAAAACGTGGGAGCAAGGACAAGAGAGAGACATGATAGGGGGCAACGCAACGCAGCGGCAAGGCAGGAACAGAGCGGCGAATATGCAAGACTAGAGACACTCGGCAATGTAGGTATATGTACTGTACCTGAGGTAGGTGTCGTATAGCGTCTTGTACCTAACACGCTCGATGCCTGAGGGATACGCCTTCCAGTTTGCAACCTGCTAGGTAATGTACCTACCACCTATTGCCTTTGACTGAATTCTGCCAACGCCGTAAGTGATGTCTATGATAAGGGAATTACTGGTGGCCAACTCTATAATAAAGGCTTGTTAAGTCAAGACAAGCCAGTTTGGCCGTCTGTCATGTCGGCCAAGCATTGTCGATCTAGGCCGTACAAACCATCAAGTTTACAAACCGAAAAACACCGACTTCCTTTGGATTATTCCAATCCGGTCCCTGAATGATTCTCGGTACATAAATACCTCAAAGGGACAGCACGATGGGGGTTCTAGTAAACAATACCGGCCTAGAAAAGCAAGGCGCGAGCCGCAAGGCAGTGAGGTCTTTATGCCCGATCCTGTCAGGAGGGACAAAGAGGGTGAGGGGCTTGTGGGTGGTGGGGTGAAGTTCGTGCTGGGCCTCTCTTGACCGGGCCCATCAGACAGCCAGTTTCAGGCGGACCTTGGGCCAACAGTGGATATGTCCCTTCTGATAAAATGTGCCATTGGCTAGCGGCCTTGGGCCGGGGATTGGGGGCACTTGACTTGGTAATGGTAATTGATTCGGGCTGGCTGAGTTGCTCGCAAAAACAAAAACCATGTTGCGCACCAGATCAAAACTTCCCTTCCCCTTCCCCCTTCCCCCTTCCCCTCACTCTCCCAAATGGTGCAATTTTTCTGCATCCGGAGCGCGAGCTGTGCGGTGTGGGCGCTTTTCGAATGGAAGCGGGGGAGCCAGTGGAGAGAGGCATGGCATGGATGGATTGGGAAAGGCAACAACGCGCGCGCACGCGCGCCCACCTTGCCGTCCCTGGTCCTGGTCCACCCACTCATCAATCTACTTAGTGCCCGTGCCACCCAAGCCGGGGGGCGGCGGGTGGTTATCGATAAGCTCCGGCGCTGCAGCAGCTTCCCTTTTCCTTCTTGTTCCTTTCCCTTTCCCCACTCCACCGGGCTGCATACGCGCGTGGTTTCCAGCAATGAAATGGCATGAAAAACAATAGCAGTTCGGAATAAATACCGGTTTGTGTCATTCCAAGGCAATTGGCTGCCTCTCGGGACTTCAAGGCCGATGTGAGGCTGCGCGCTATGGCCTTTTTTTGTCTCCTTCTCTTTCGCTCTGTTGTCGTCAAGCCTGAATACCGACGCAATGCGCCGCGCATGGCACCTCTCTCGGCCAATAGGCGGCACCCTGCGCCGTGGCTGGCCTCCCTCTTGGGCCCGGTCCGGCCGGCTTTCTCTGAGAGGACGATGTGTAGAACAAGAAAGACAAACGTTTGCATGGAGTTGGAGGTACAGAGCACGCGTATATATCAATAGTTTGACGTCAAGGTCGTGCATGTAGGTCAGTGCATACAGCACTGTATGTACTGTACCTACTCTCTACCTCCTCTAGATATTAGAGAGAGGTCACAAGGCGGTTCAGATACAAGTTTGCCAGTTTGCCAGTTTGCCAGTCCAACCCCGACGACCTTGGCTAACCATCACGGAGCCCCCGTCGCCACAGGGATGGACGCAAATACGCTGCTAAAATCCCAGAACCTGGGTGCTAATTAGCTAGGAACGGTCACAGAGATTCGGGGCTCCAAGTGCTTCCGTTGACCTCGACCTTAGCTGACTAGATGGCCCTGTTTAGCCCCGTCCTTCGGAATCACTCTGGTGTGGTACAAAGTAAACGCAACACACTAGAACTCCTAGTAGGTCTAGAACGATCCTTGGGTCTAGAGTTTGTAGTGTATGTAACTGTAGGTACCTTGTGTCTCCAACGGCGCTCGCCCTGATTGTGGCGGGTAGACGGAAAATAAAAGCCTCAGACGGCGGACCGGACCAAGTTCCAACAGCAGTTGACTGGCCGGGTCTAAGGTCTCTGCTTGAGGATAGTCCAAATCCATGGAAGCGACGGTGCGCTCAGTTGCCCAATGCGCAAACTAATAAGAAGCTGCCGAACCGAACCTTTGACGTGATGAAGTGTTGCCATCCTAACATTCATACCTGGTAGGTAAGGTATGTACTCGAGCATAGTAATAGAGTGCACACCAGTCCGGCCAGTACGGTGGGCACTAAGTACGGGTTCGAGCGGACGGTTAATGCGAACCTTTGCTTAGTGCATGATGTGATGCAACTTTTGGCCGGTGCACCGCGACAGGTGCTCAAATAACAAGTGCCTGGCCGAGCTGGGAAGCAAGCATCCCTCGCATCGCTCCCCCGCAACTGGAACGGAACACACCTACCTTTAGGTTACTCCTTGCTGGCTGGGCCGCCCAACAGGAAACTGTCTGTCGCGGCAATGACATGGCGCGTTAGGGCCGACGGGGGTCGACGAAAATGAAATGGCGACCCGCGTTCCTCCTCATCGGGTCCTACTGTATGTTCAGTGCCTATCGCCACTATGATTCGTAAGTACGAGGGGGACATGCTGCCACAGCTCGCAAGGTAATCTGCACCAAGTACTAGCAAACGGCCAGTGAGTGTGCGCCCCTCGTTCGTTGCCGCTTCCGCCGGCACTGCAGTCACGTCAGGCGAGAGAGTGTGTGAAAGATGGCGGCTTTGGTTGTCAAGGCATGAGGTGAGCCTGCAAGTCTACGCGCAGTCTAGTACATATGCTTCTGCTTCTTTTCGGTCTTTCCATCAAGGTGGCTTCATACCTAGTACTACTACGTACCTACCTTAGGTACCTGCCGAAACAAGTCATCCTTCAGCAATCCGCTGTCCAGACCCAGCACTAGTTGGGCCTGCCTTCCTTATTACATGTGCAAAATTAGCCTCTTTTGTCAACGGCTCCCTCACATGCCCATTTGACGGGATAAGGGAGAGATGGTGAGCCTCAAGGCGACTGGGCAATGTCGGCCGATCCCGCCTTGGACGGTGCAGAATGGCAGTCGCCCAAGGCGGGCAGGTGGGCCAGAGTCGGGGCCTTTGGCGGGCGCTGAGGGCACCCCGGCACCCCTCCTGGGTTTAGCCCACACCTTAGCCCCTCCCTCCCACCATCAAGCCTGGGCAAGCCTGGCACCTCAGGCCTGGCACCCACCCTGGCAGGCAGGCCTGGCACCCGCACCCTGGTACGCTGGTACCCTTGCACCCTTGGTGGGCTGGGCTGGGCTTCCAACAATTTCCGTCGATTGGCCAGTCCCGTCCCAACCTTGCCGTTCCCTCCTATCCCCTTTTAATAGGTACTCGGCGCCCAGATCGCCGCTCCTGCCTGCCTCTCCCCGCCATTGCCCACCGCTGCGCAATCGTTAGGTCAGGCTGCAAAAAAGTCGATTCCTCCCGACGACAAACCCCCAACATCCAAAGCGCCGCCAGACAAAGAGACGGGCTCGACAAGCTAAACCACGACGCTAACTCCGACGAGCCGAAAACAAAGGCCGAAAGAAAGACGGACGACGGTTGCGCAAGCCCAAGGACGAGGGGGAAAAGACCGGCCAACGCTCTGCGGAGACGAGACGTCAACAACGACGGGTAGCTAAAATAGCGTCGCAAACAACCCAAGTTCCACTCGATCGCGTGCAAAACCGTCCAGCTACGCGGCCGCCAATCGAAACCTAGCCGGACTCCAGCTCATCGCGACCTGAGAGATCCCAGAGTTCAAGAGAGCCGAGTAAACTCAATTCCCACCGTTCCGAGACTGTTCGAGCGGGCCAGCCAGAATCCTCCGCCGTCGCTCCCGCCCACAGCACTGCACAGCAGCTCGAGACGGCGCATGCCATTTCGTTACACTGATTCAGAGCCACCGACCCAACCCCAGAAGCAGCAACGGCTGTTCAGGATTGAGTTGGCGTAACCTAAGAGACTCTCCCGCACGCGCGCCGAGTCGATTGCTCACCACTCGCCCGCCCGCATCTCTGGCTGCGCGATTCCGGGCCTGATCCAGCAAACGACGACACCATGAAGGTACGTCATTCTGCTGCCCGTAGCCCAGCTGCCTGTCGGTCCTGCGGCCTCCCATCCGAGTCTTGTTCTTGCGCGTGCCTTGCAATCGTCACGTCCCAGCCCGCGTGCTCTCTATCTGTCTTTTTCTCTGTCCTTTTCTCTGTCTCTCTCTCTGTCATTGTTCTTGTTCTGGTTCTGGCTCTGCCTCGGGCACGGGGTGTCATGTAGCAACCCCCCCTTGACTTGGGCCCCAAACTTCAATCCCGGGCTGGAAGTTTGTTTGCCATCGTCGCATCTTCCTCGGGTTTCGCAAAGCCCCGCCTGCTTGGGCAACCTGATTACACAGCCGGCTGCCTCTTATCCCCCTCCCCATTCCCGCTAGGTTCTGGCACTTTTTCCCAACTGCTGCTGCTGCTGCTGCTTCTCCTGGGACTTGTGTTCCCCGCCTCTCGGACTGGCCGCTAACTACGATGCGCGTCTTTAAGGCTTTACGAAGGTCGATCAAAGGGGAGAAGGAAAACAAGCCGCACATCAGCATTGCTCCAAAATCTGCTGTTGCAATTGTTCCTCCTAAAAAGGTGCGTGCCCGAGCTGGAGCGTTCTCGCGGTGCATCGTCGAGCCCGGGTTTGTTAGCGCAAACCCCGCCCGCCCCGGGCTCGGCTGGCCCGACCCATGCGCACCCCACTGCCTGAACCAATGCCGGTGAGTGCAACGCTGACGCCAGTCGCCGGCCTCGCAGGTTATTCGTGCGCTTTACGACTACGAAGCGCAAACTGCTCAGGAGCTGAGCTTTTCACGGGGCGACTTCTTCCATGTCATCGGTCGCGAAAACGACCAGGATTGGTACGAGGCCTGCAATCCCGCCCTGCCCGATGCCCGAGGCCTAGTTCCCGTCGCCTTTTTCCAGGCTCTTGGGAGGACAGAGCGCGACAGTGGCCAGTCCCAGCCGCCAGACAGCGCGCGCTCGATAGCCGCCAAGCATCCCGACCACGACTCCGGGTACCACGACGCGACGACGCCCAGCCAGAGGAGCTCCAAGACTGGCAGCAAGTCGGGCGCCATGGTGTACGGCGTCGTCATGTACGACTTCCAGGCGGAGAGGGCAGACGAGCTCGAGGCCAAGGCAGGCGAAGCCATTATTGTCATCGCCCAGTCCAACCCCGAGTGGTTTGTTGCAAAGCCGATTGGAAGACTCGGCGGCCCAGGCTTGATTCCCGTGTCCTTTGTCGAGATCCGAGACATGGCGAGCAACACCCCCGTCGCGAACCCGCAAGAAGCTGTGCGGAGGGCGGGTATCCCCCGCGTCGAAGAGTGGAAGAAGATGGCTGCAGACTATAAGAATTCGAGCATCACACTTGGCAAGTTCGAAGCCGCCCAACAGCAACCCATTGAGCAGGGGATGGAACGTATGAGCCTTCAACAGGCGAATGGCCGCATGAGCCAGCCGAACGGCGTCAACATGGTAAGCTCCGCTTGTACTTTATACCCGTAGTAGCCCGCCCCTTTGTCATATCTTTAACGATTGTAAAATGTAGCAGCAATCCCAGCAGCAATCCCAGCAGCAGCAGCAGCAGCAGCAACAGCCACAACAGCAACAGCAACAACAACAGCAGCAGCAGCAGCAGCAGCAGCAGCCGCAACAACAATCAGGGTTCAACACACAACGGAACACTGTTCAGCAAAACGCTTACGCAGCCAAGTCGAGCTCGCAGCTCTACGCACCCACTTCCGCTCGGATACCAAGGTACTGCTTCGCAGAGGAGAAGTACTGGTTTGTTGTCGAAGCCATACTGGAGGACGGCAGGACATGGGAATTGTCCCGGTATTACGAAGACTTCTACGACTTCCAGATTGCGCTCCTCACAGAGTTCCCCATCGAAGCTGGGACAACAGGAGGCAAGCAACGGACGCTCCCTTATATGCCCGGTCCCGTTAATTACGTAACCGATGCTATCACGGAAGGCCGACGACACAACCTAGACGCTTATGTTAAGAATCTCCTCGCACAGCCCCCATACATTTCGAAGTGCAACTTGGTCAAGCAGTTCTTCGCGCCGAGGGAGGGTGACTACGAAATAGACCCGAATACAGCCGGCGATGATTACCGCTTGTCAGGGGGGTCGCAGCCGTCGTCAACCGACTCGCCTGCCGATGGGGCGTCGCGCCAATCGTCGAGACAGAACCTCAACGGCAACGGCAACGGCTATTCCGGGCTATCTGCCCCCACGCGGCAGATGAGCGGGAGTAATGGCCAGCCGCCCATGATTCGTCAGACGTCGTCTCTGTCCCCGCCGTCTCAAACCTCACTCTCGCCGGGCGTCCAACAAACCCCGGCTCAGATGAAAGTTAAGCTGAACTATAATGGCGACATTGTCGCTATTAAAGTACCAACCGACATCCTGTTCCGAGGCCTCTACGACAGAATTGTGGAGCGCCTCAAGATCCCGCAGGGCGAGCAGATCCAGCTGTCCTACAGAGACGAGCCCACTGGCGACAAACCGCCCCTGATGAGCAACAATGATCTCGATGTCGCATTACAAAGAAACGATAAATTGACGTTGTTTGTCGACTAGCTAATCTCGAATGCCGCAGCGTCTCGCTCCCTTAGCCAGCTTTTATTCATCTTCGACCTATATACCCTGTTTCGCAGCAGAATCCCGCTCTTGATGCTCGTGAGCTGTTGCGAATTCTCACGAATGGACCGAGCGCGACTTGCATCTGCATTTGCTATTCGGTCCTGATTGACGTGTCACTGCCCATTACGAAATATCCGCCTTACAACCTCCCTACGCAGACGACTGGAGGATTTCCGAGATATCTAGCATCTCGGCCACCCCCTTGATACCCCTACTCGCGACGCACTTGGCCTGGGTGAAGAATTCGGACGGGGCCACGAGAAGTTCATACGTTTTATAGGAGGACGCCGCCAGCCATTTTGAACGGCGTTTTTTTTCGTCTTTTTTCCCTTTTCCTTTTCTTTTAAAATTCTTGGTCGATTTCGGACTTTTTTTTTTCCTTCTTCGCCCCCTTTTTTATCTATTTATTGGATGTCACTGAATGAATGATGGCATGGGCAGGGATGATGACAGGTCCAAAGCAACGGCAGGTGTGGATATGGGACGTTGCTTGGAGGTTTTGGGCGCCTGTGTTGCTAGCGTGCTTCGAAAACGCGTGTCTGTCCCTCCTAGCCAGGGCAATCTTTGGTGTGGAACATTACGACCCACGAAGGATTTATTGGTGGGCTCGTTTGGGAAATTCCCGTGGGCGTGGAAAGGGGGCCCCAGGTCCTGCCCGGCCGGGTGTGGCCGTTAGATGTGGCGTAGCTCTCGCGAATGAACTTGGGAGATTTTGAGCAGCCTTGTGTCCGTGTGTCTGCCCTTTCGTCCTGGCCGTCAGATGTGGTGAAAGGATCTTGTGCTGGCTCGTGGCCTTCCCCTGTAGTCTTTGCTGCGTATGGCGCTCAGGTTTGCAATGCCCTTCCCGACACTAACTCACAGCCTTGCCTTCTCGCCTGGTTGGGTGTGTGAGTTGCTAAGAATGGCGACGAAGAAGCGCCTTCACTTTCCAAATAGGCAGCAAACAGCGCATCCTGAATTCAGACAGTGGAGGAAAGAGCCTGAAAAGAATACCATGGAGACTAGGACTTGGCGAAGGTAATTCCGCTTGCTCCCTCCCCCCTGCTCTCCTGGCCCGAAAGAAAAAGGAAGAGAAATACAGAATATCCCGAGTCTAGGTAGGTAGTCAAGCCGATCAAGTCATCCCTGTTTCTCCTTTACGAACACTCTTCCCGACTAGCCATTTTCCTCCAGAACATTGCACAAGTAAAGTAGTCTCTGTTTGGCTGCAGTGTGCGCAGTTGATACCGTCGTCACTCTCCCATTTGTATTGCATACCTAACAAAAGAAGACGAGATATAATAAACTTGGGAAGGCCTGCGCGGTTTTTTTATACTGTAATATTATGCTTGCATGTTCTAGTAAGTGTGGTAGTGCACTGTGAATGCCGGCCTTGGTTGTCAGTGTTAGTGTCGGTGTTAGTGTCAGTGTTAGTGTCAGTGTCAGTGTCAGTTCAGGGCAAGTAGTTTGTTTCTTGGAAAGACTCGGACAGGACTAAGGGTTTAGTTGTTGCAGGTATACTGATACGTACCTAGATGTTGGATGGTTGAGCTGGATCGGCCAGATGCAGAGTCATTTTCTGTACTAAGCCGTCGTAAAAAGGTCTATCCTCTAATCCCCGAATGTTTCTCGGTGGGGTACTTGGGAAGGAAAATAATATAGCAAATAAAGCAGCTAGGAAAAGCCATTAAATAAAGCTGCGTCCTTTGCTGGGAGGAAGCGGGAGCAGCCCTGGAGCAGCTAGCCCTTCGCAGTCGGCGCATCTCTCGCTTTCGTACAGATACCTGCCCGTTTTTTTCTTCTTGTCAGGGAGGCTAAATATGAAGAGAGAGATAGACGGAGACAGAGTCTTACCAAGGTGCTCGCAAAAGAAGCTCGATGTAGTCTGACCCCGGCTTCAGCGCACGCGGCATCCTGCTGCCCGTGGCCCGGGCAGAGAGGTTCAGGACGTGGGGCAGACACCGCGAGCATCTGCCCCAAAGCGTGTAGACGTAGCCCTGCGTCTCGTCGGACCAGGACGACGGAAACAGGCGGCAGAGGAGCTTGGCGGAGAGGTTGAAGTACTTCTCCCACTCGGGCAGCGAGAGCTGACTCTACACGGCTTCCTAGACGAGCTGGTGGATGGCCGAGTTGCTGGGCAGTTTGGAAAGAGCAAAGCTCTAGAGGGTTAGCATGGTATGGGGGTAGTCGAAGCCGGCGGGCTTGGAGCCAAAGATTTTAGCGCGCGACTTTTTGAACAGGGGAAAAAACTCATCGATGCTCAGTCTGGACTGCTGCATGTAGGTCGACGCTTGGTTCAGGGCCAGGGGAAGCCCGCCAAGAGCGTCAGACAGATCTTTGGCGAGGGTGAGGGATTGGTTATCCGGGCCATAGAGGAATTCCTGTCTAGGAGCGTCAGTAGAGCGCTAGTTCCCTTGTTTGCGTCGAAGGGCTGCACATGGATTCCGTGAGAAGCCGGGTGGAGAGACGCGTTGAAGTCTCGAGTAGTGATGAGAGCAGAGCCGGTGGCTCCAGTAGCCCAAGAGTGCTGAAGGACTTCGAGATCGTCGGCATTGTTGAACACAATAAGCCAGCGGAGCGAGGTCTCGGCGAGCCATTCCTTTACCAGGACCCTAGGGTCCTGCACAGTGGACGTCGACCGAGGCACGAGCCCTAGGCGATGGGCAGCCTGGGCGTAGCTTCGGTGATCTTGACATAGGACTCGGCCGAGATCCACAGGATGGCATCGTACCACTGCTTTTCCCTTGCAGTACAAGCGTACTGGAGCGCAGTCTGCGTCTTGCCAACACCTCCAATTCCATGCAATGCGAGCGATTTCGAAGAGACGTCGTCCGAACCTGGCTGGAGGCAGGCGACTATCTGGTCAAGGAGGTCCTGGCGGATGACGAACCGCCTGTTCGGCGAGTTAGGGAACATGCGTTTTGTCTCCTTAGCATTACTACTTCGGCCGCCTCCAACAGCGACGACGACGATGACGACGACGACGACGATGACGACGACGCCACCGCCTCGTTCGCTGCCATCCACGTGTAAGTTCAGCCTGTACCCCCATACACTCCCACCGCCCAAGGAAAAAGAGGGCCAGCTGGCCGAACACACCCAGTCCATGGAGGGTTCTTTTTAGTAACTGGAAAGCCAAGGGAAAATACCTGCACCCCAGACGCGCGGGAAAGGCTGAGAATCAGTTCAAATGGCCGTCTGCCCTTGAAATCGACGCCTTCTAGGCGAGGTGCTCTTGTCGTACCGGCTGCTTTTCGGACAGACGGGGCGTTCCCGCCGCCTCGTTGCCAAGACGTATCGCGCGGCTCTGGCAGGAGAAGAGTCGCCAGCGTGGACGAGCTTGTCCTTCTGCAGAAGGACTGCTACTGCCTGGGCCTGGACTTTCCATTCCTGGGGCCCCGCCTCGTGGCCCTTCAGAGGCACCTGGAGAAGCAGAATCCCAGGGGGTGGTGCCAGATCTGGTGGAGCCGGCGCTATTCGGATCAGTGGTATGCTTTTTGGGTGGCTTGCCGTTGGGCTTTAGGTGTCCTGTTATCACCCGTTCAGACTGGACTGTAGGCGTAGCAGGTGGTGCTTGCGGTGAGAAATAGTGGCTAGTCTAGGTGGTGGACTGGGCCCAACTACAGTAAGCTCCGGGATTATGATATGATGCCGTAGTTTTTTTCATTGTCACGGCATCTGTCGGGGTTAGCGAGTCGAATGTCGTTGGAAAGTTGGAGTCGGGGGCTGCCGTGTCGTTACGGAACGGCAGCTTCTCTCACGAACTCAAAACAGTATGCAAGTACTTGTGAGAAGCCGTTAAACACGCTGCCGCCGATAACCAGAAAGATATGCTACGGGGATATATTCGGCACTTCGAAACAGGTGACATGAACCACTTTAGGGACTCCCAGAAAGCGTGGCTCAAAGACAAAGACTCGCGAGTAGAGCTCATCCTCGGCTTCGTCGAGCCATGCCGTGACCCTGCAGGTTTGAGGGCCGGGTTTGAGGTATTGTCGCCATAGAATTGCCCGCTGCGTCAGATGGTCTCTCACGACTAGTCTCTGGATCGCGCGAGTTTATTAGGGAATTGCCGTGGATTCTACCCAGTCCTAGTTCCGGCAGTCTCGGGCCCTTCGAGTCATCCGATATTGAGCTTCCAGACTTATACTGCAATCCCAACCCCTAAATTCCCTGCCGTCTTCCCACAATCCACTGACGTAAACGCCGCAGCACTGGCCTATTCGTCCATAATAATCTTCACCGGCATAAACCTCCCCAATGCAAGTACCTTCTCTAGTAGACGTGTTGCTGTTTCTTGTCTGCTAGTGTTCTGACCCGCTCATAGTCCGAGGACATCCGGGATACATGCGGCTTCAAGAATGTCATGATTGCGAATCGCAACAGGCCGCCAAACCTAGGCCTTGTTAACGCCGAAAAGGAAGCCCCCTTTGTTGCGGCGGAAGAAGCCAGAGAGTATCTCAGCCACGAGTACTACTCATCCGAGATTCGCATTGCCGCTCATGAGCTGCTCGGCCACGGCACTGGCAACCGGCTGGCTTCGTGAGACGGCCGACGGGTCGTTCAACCTTGACTGCGACACTCCGCCCGTCGACCCGCTGACTCATGAACCCATTCGCACCTGGTACAAGGATAATGAGACCGTATCAAGCGTCTTTGGCAGCCTCGGGCTGACGCTGGACGAGTGCCGAGCTGTGCGGTGACGGTGTTGGCATCAGAAACTGAAATGTGGAAAGAGGGTGGGGGGAGGCGGCGAGCCTGGCGGCAATTCAAGCCGAAAGGGGCGACGGGCATGTTAGCAAGAGCAACGTGAAAAGCATAAACAGCTTCTCTCTATGTAATGTCTCCAGGCCGGTTTAAGCCAGCTGCATCCCCGAGAGCTCGGCAGCCCCATTTCGTTCTTCGTTCTCGGCACTACACGCAAACATTGTTTAGTAGGTGGGTATTAATTTTGCGGTTTTTTTCTGTCTGCTTAACCGCGTCCTCCTTTCCCGCAAGTCTTGCTCGACTCTCCCGGCGCGTCCAATTGAGAAAATAAATATCCCCGCCACGCCTAGATCCGAAAGTAGCCCCTCTCCCTCCCCCCAAAAAGAAAACACATCTCGTCAAGAGAGACACACCCTTTCCCCACCGCGTGAAAACAAAAAACAAGAAAAAAGAAAAAAAAAGCGCAGTCTCCCATAGTATTCCACGGTACGGTATACAGCTGGTACAAATGTGACCCTTGCCGGTAACTATACACGATGAAAGAGGGGGAGAAAATAGCACTAGGGAAGTGGTAATCGAAACATGAGAACAAAAATTTACCTGGGCCGTCGAACCGTTGATTGACAATGATAGCCCGGTGGCTTCTCGGAGCTGACAGCGTCCGTCCACGACTTCACTCGTTCAATCGCTTCTTCCTCACCTTTCTCTGCTTCAGAGCTACACTACATTACACGATGACGTGCGTCGACAGGTGTTCCACCGCCTCCTTAATTGTGCGGAGCATGCGCTGGTTGACGCAGAAGGGACACCGCACGGGGCGGTCCGTCACCGAGACGGGGGCGCTGCTCGCGATGGGCGTCAATGTGAGGTCCTCGACCGAGGGGCCGCCGTTGGTAGGGGCAGGGGCCTGCTGCTGCTGCTGGGGCGTTGGAGCGATGAACCGTGGCGCGGCCGTAGCCGGCGTGGGCACCGAGGTGGCGCCTCCGCGGTCGGCGGCCCCGCCTGGGCCCGCGCTCGACCTTGACGGCGTCGACATGGCGCTGACGGCAGCCGCGGCGTGCTGGGCGTACGCCTGGCCCGCGATGCTACCGAGGGGCGGCAGGCCGCGCTCGACGCGGTCGCGGTCCTCGCGCACCACGGCGGCCTCGGCCTCGGCCTCTGCCTCCTCCTGTTGTAGGGCGCGCAGGGCGTTCTGGAGGACGACCTCGGGGTCGTCCTCGCCGTACATGGAGGCGTCGCCGTTGGCGGGCACGCCGCCGTTCTGCTGTTGCTGCGGAGTCTGATGCGGAGTCTGCTGCGATTGGTGGTGGGGGTTCTCGATGCGGCAGATGATCTCGTCGCGCACGCGGGCGCAGGTAGCCAGGGTGGTCTCGACGCCGACGATGCGGTGGACGTTTTCGCGGATGGTGGCGGGTGAGGTTTCGGGGGTGATGTTCATGAAGCGGGGCACGGCGTCGACGAGGTACGGGATGTCGTCGGCGGGGTTGAGGGCGGTGCCGTGGCGTCGCTGGCGGCGGACGAGCAGGCCGTAGCGCTTCTTGAAGCGGTGGATCCAGCCGGGAGAGAACTCGGGGGGTTGCTCGTCTTTGTAGCGCGGCAGCTGGCAAAAAATGGTCTTTGCCTTCTCGGCCAGCTCCTCGTTGGAGGGGTGGCGGCCGTTATTCACCATCTGCTGGTGCCATAGTAGCACGAGCTTCTCGACGTCGGGCCAGTTGCCGAAGCGCAGGCGCGATCCCGACAGCTGGGGGTCGCCGTCGAGGCGGGCGTACTTGGGTGATAGCGAGTGCGATACGGTCGACTGCGAAATGATCTGCTGATACTGTGCATGGAACCAGTCGATGCACGCCTTGTGGCTGGGGCGGACCTGCTGCGAGTTTGCCCAGCGACGTAGCGCCCGTCGCTGGTCGAGGGTTAGCGAGTGCCGCTCCTTGGGCGTCGTCGTCTCGGCCGCCATCTCGTCCGACATGGCGACGGCGGCGGCGGCGTCGTCGTGAGCGACTGCCACTACGGCGGGGTAGCGGCGGGGCGGCGGCGCCGACGCCGACGAAGACGAATGAGGTTGTGGCGACGGCGACGGCGACGGCGACCGCGCTACGCTTAGCGCGGGCTAGACTGGGATGCGCTTGGTGCCCGAATATTCAGGATGCGGTGGGCTGGGCCTTTAGAGAGGCAGTCAGCGTTAATGGGATATTATGCCTCTGTAGGAAGCGCACTTTAGCATCGGGGCGACGAGCTTGGGTTTGGTGATCGTTGTATCCGTAATGATGCTTCTGGCAAACTCGCCCACGCAAGGCGGGGAAATGGGCAGATCGAAACGCAGAGGAACACGGCCCGGCCGGGGGTGCTCCGGCGGGTGGCTGGCAGCTGGCATGAAGCTTCCTGATTGGCCAGTCCCGCACTGCTACTTGCATGAAAACTAGCAATTGCACATGGATATTAATTATCTGTATCCGCACACAATCCAGCTGTTAAGATAAAGCACCCAAATTACGGAAGTCGGGGCCAAAAGAAAGGATACCGGGCCCTTAGTAGCCAACAGCACAGTATCAAGGATGATTGGCATATTAGCCCCAAAAAGGAGCCCAATCAACCCACAACACCGCAGCATGCATCACCACTTTGATCAACCTTCCACTTTCAACCGACCTTTTCTTATTCAAATTAACTCGTAGTTGTACGTCAATTGCAGCGTTTTTATTGCTAGAAGTAGCGCTTTCGAATGGTACTATTTGCATCAATTTCCAATTGAACTGTCAACCTCAGCCTCTACCGACAACAGACTCTCAAATTGCGAGTCATCAAGGTCTGATATATCCTCAAACTCTGGGTTCTCGGTATCCCCAACTAATTCCTCGCGCCTTTCCTGATACGTTTTTCGAAGCCATTCCCGCCAAATAACGTCGCCTGGCTCTTCTTGTCCTTCTTCAAGAGGCTTTGGAAGTGTTCCTTCTTGATATTCGTTACCCCCAGCTAACCGAATCACCCACTTGATATTTCCTTGGATCCTTTCCACGAACCGTTGCAGTTTTTTGAGTAGAAATTCGTGCCACTACTTCCCCCAGTCTTTCTCAAGAAACTTCCTCGACTTTGGAAGCCTCCTTTTTCTGTAAGAGAACTTGATAATCTTCCAAGGCGGCTCAATCGTATTCAGATCTGGTGAATTAGGTGGCCACTCGATAACGTGAAAGCCAGCTTCTTCCTAAATTGCACGATTCCAACGGTAGATATGCGCACTTGCGTTGTCTTCCTGTACGATAAATTTGCCGCTAAATTTCTCGCGAAGCTTTTTAAGGAAAGGAAGGAATCGAGGGAGTAATGCTTTCTGCTGGTAACGCTTCTAGTCGACGCCCCCCTTATTACTCTCGCCACGCGTTTGAGCTCCCGTCTTCTTGGTATATTTCCACTTCGGTTTACGCCCGCTTTTGTTCCTTACGATCCCTAAGCGATTCATTCCAACCTTAACTTTCCACTGACGTCGATCCTCTTCCTCCTGAGCGTTGTTATACGATTTTATCTGCGCCTTATACTTCTCCTTCATCGTAGCTGTTTCCTTTGGCCAATAATAAGAAGGACCTATCTTATACTAGGTGAAATAGGCCCAAAATATGAACGTTATGAATCCTTTCCATCATCGTTGGGTAACGCTCTTAAAATAACGTTCCCAAGGACGTCGCCAAAGCCTTCTCTTCCTACGTTGCTGACCGAGTATAATAGAGGTTTCATTACTCCAGACAATCTTCCTCCAGTCTTTAAGAGTCCAGTTTCGAACTTTCATAGCGAACTCCAGCCGCTTCATCTTCTGTGCCCTTAAAAGGCCCGGTTTCGTAGTGATCTTGACGTTCTTGAACTTATTGGCTTTAAGCTAACGTAGGACCGTTCGACGGCTTGGTTGTTTTGCGTCCGGTATTTTACTGAGCTTATCGGCTGCTACAACCGTTATTTCTTCGCTTGAAAAACACCGTGAATCGAAGTCTTTTGTTACTACAGCTTCAAGGACTTTGGCTTCAATAGAGCCAATAACTTTGGGGCGGCCAGTCTTCGCGGCATTCTCAACGTGGTGGTTTTGGACCCTTTTACCAGGTATGTATCCCCTCTCTTTCGCTCGTGCCAATAGCCGATAGAATGCGACCCTCTTGATGCCCGTGATAGCTTCAATTTCCGCTGGTTTGGAGCCCTTTGCGTGCAGAACCAACTCCTGCATGCGTTCGGCGATGGAGGACTGTTGTTTGGGCGGCATTGTCGTCGTCGAATTCGGGTTAGTCGATTTTCTGGCTCTTTGTGGAGCGGTCCGGTTGCACGAGTCTTTCGCCTGCCGTTTTATTAGCGAAATTCCTCCTTACTTCGGAAAGAGGTCTTACCGCCAGTGGCCTATAGTGCCTGAGGACTGTAGCTAGCCTGCCCTACCCACCAGTCGCTACCACCCGACAGCATCATGAACTGCCTAGATTGCGCGTTTTTTGGCTTCAAATTTTGGCGTGTGTGGGTGCCAAAGTCTGAATCCAGTGGTGCATTAGGGCGGGGTTCAGGAAGATGCTGACTACATACAAATTACAGTATAAACAGGATCTTCCTAGCTCTTCATACTGTGACAAGGCCCCCCAGCTCCTTAGCGCTGTATCGTTTCTTTTGGCCCCGACTTCCGTAAAGCGCGGATATGCGGTCTCCTTGAAGTTCAAGGCGCTCCAACTTTCCAGCAAATTCCATCATGATCAGAATCACAAGCCTGAGGCACATGAAGGGTGTTCTCCAAACTTTTGCAATGTCTTTGGGTTATTTATGCACCAGCCCCTAGAGCTTAAAGTGGCGAAAGAACGTACGTTAGCACTCATCAGATCACAAAACGTCCATTGCCAAGAAGGAGCACGGCGACGGGATGCGCACCCGAGGGCAGGAAGATCAAAAGCCTCGACATATCTAGGACTCCGGGGTTCAAGGCAGCGGCTTTATTGGGAGGTCTTACATAGGCGAAGTATCGAGCAATCTGAATGTGACTAGGCGGCCTGCATTCTTACTGCAAGATGTGAACCTGCGACTTTCTCCTTTCGAGGTGCGAGCTTGAAAGACACGTACGGATACTCGGTTTACAATACTAGGACAACGTATTTAAGACACTTCGACTCCGGCTAATTACCAACTCGTATCATCAATATCAATATCCGTGCAATAGCAAGAGCAAATACCGACGCGATGCCGATTATGCTGGAAGTTGCCAGTGTCGGCTGGTGCTGGAGATGCACCACAGTCTCAACTGGCGCCCCGCACGGTCGGCGGGTCTACTCTCGCGCCTAGCAACCAATGGTTACTCGGGCCGCACTTACACGAACAACACCGCAACTACAGCTCCAGATCCAGCTCACTTCTCGTTCACTTCTCAACCACAATCTCAAGAATAAAAGCAATGAAATAATAGGGAAAAACAAACACGAAGCTGTGGATCCGTAAGTGGACCCCTCAAAATTTGCAGTCGTGCCCGGACTAACTACAAAAATTATTTAAGTTATTTTCCTGCGCGCGCAAAGTCTGCACGATCCTGCAGCTTCCTTATGCGCGCGTCGGCTACCATGCTTGGCGAGCAAACACATTTTTCACTTCTGCTTTAAAAAAATTCAATTCATTCCTCCCGTCCGACTCCATGACTACCATCTACTCAAGGCCATCTACTCAAGGTACCAGTCGCCAGAGCCTCGCCGCCCAGCGTTGGAGATCTGGGATGTCAATGATGACGTCTCCCTCTGCCGATCCCGGCTGCGGTTGTTGAAGAAACAAGAGGTCAAACTCCAGTCGTAAAGCACCCCTAGTGACAGTATACGACGTGGGATTATCCCTGTTCGTGCCGGGATTTTGCGTGATGGTGATGATCTGGTCGCAATCGGGTCTGAGTTGGGCAGCCGCCCGAGTTGTCGTTGCTCCCTGTCGAGCTGGTGCTTGGATCTCGACCCATTTTTCGATAACGGCGGCCATCTGCTGAGTGTCGAATTTGGTCAGCAGAACGATTTTCACCTGATGGTCCGACACGCCAAACCACCATTTCATGCCGCCTCGTAAGGCTTCCAAGCTTTGTGAATGCCCCGCCTCGATGACAAGGGTTGGCCAGGCGCCAAGATGTTCACGTTGTGGCTCTGGACCTCCGGTCGAGTCTCCTTCTCCCTCATCTCCGTTTCGGTGGCCGCGTGCTCGATACGTCGTGCTGCCTATCGTGCTCCAGCTATCGCCGCGCCCCATCCGGACAATATTATCACGTCCAAGATTATAAAGTCCAAGATGGAGTTGTTCGTGAAGTTGTGTCGGGATTGTGACGATGAGCATCCCGGATCCAGCCTCGAATCGAAAACGAAGTCTCCTTCCCCGTTTCGATCTCTCCTTTTTGATCTCGGCAAAGAGCTGGATCGAAACACCTAGGAACTAGTTAATAGCGTAAGTGCGTGCGTGTGTGCATGTGTGCATGCGCTACTTCCCATGGACGACCAGGGCATCACCATCGGTACGATTGATCTCGTCAAACAAATTCTTGACGGCGGCGGCGAATGGCATTCCTGGCGTGGACTGAATTCCCGACGCTTTCATGTGGAGCGACGGTGCTGTGGAAGGATTGGTCGAGACTGATGCCAGGCCCGAGGACGATCCCATCGACAATGTCACAGATCCGGGGATGCGGCCGCCATGATGTCGAGTCTGCACACGCAGCTAAGTTGGCCGACGTTATGGGGAAGGTAGATGGAGGTAGCGAGTTAAAGTTGAAGGTTAGCGGGGAGGGATGAGGAATCGCGGGTGGGTGACGGCTGGCCGCCTGGTCACGTGCTGTCGGCTGGCCGCGGGGTCGGTTTTACCTTTTCGGAAGGTGGTTAGAAAGTTGATGTCTCTGCCCGGCCCTAACATACCAAAAACGGCAGTCCTCGCACACGCAGACACATACTTGTAGGAATCGTCCCCCCCTCCTCTTTCCTTCCTTCTTCAAAAATGACATTGCCGTTTATTGTTGCCTTCTTCTGTTCCAACTTTTGGCCTGCCATACATCGTGATCGCTGTCTCTTTTGGAGTGCCATGGACGCGTCTTGGGTGCCATAGACGCGTCTTAGGCGCCTGAACATGTTTCGAATTTCCATCCTCGGACGCGTTCAAGCTGAGATAGCTACCTAGCCCACACTCACAGCGTTCGCTGCTTTTCTTCCACCCCTTCGTAGATCATACAAGAACTCGAGGCGACACAGAAACCCCAAAAAACCGCTTACCTCCTTCCTGTGTACCTTCTTAATGGAGCGAAGGAACAGAAAATCTCAAAAAAGTCGAGGCGGAGAAAAGGCGGATCGTTTGTCACCTCATTTCAGTGATTAATTACCAGACGAAGTCGACGTCGCTGAGCCAAGCCACAAAAGAAAAGACGAAGGAAAACGAGAAGAAGAAACACTTGCCCAGAACCTGAAGCTCAATATGGCCAGAAAGGCCGCTACAAGGAACACAGAGAAGCTTTCTACCTTACCTATTTTCCAGGCTACTTCAGAACCCTACGACGACGCGTTAATTAGAACCCAACGCTATGGGGATGGTCCCTTCCCAAACTGATTTACAACGAAATAAAAGCCCAGAACCACGGTGACAACGTCAGAAGACAAGGTCTGGGGCTTCCCTGTTGAAGGCGTTGACCATGATTTTTTAAGCGTTCAACAGGAGCGGCTGTCACGGCATGGACGCAGCGAGGTACCTAATCGAGGCAATGAGAATCGTGCGAGAGATCACGAATGCCCATACCAAAGCTACGTCCCCGCACGAGAAAATGGCAAGCACGATAGTTGCAGACATCACCAACCACCTCGATCACGAAGACAGGCGGTCAGACCATGGCCGCTTAATCGCAGAGTCCTGGCGATGTTTCTTTTCTTCCACATTTTCTTCTTGTCCGTCTATCCAAATTGGCCCAACTCAAACAAATACATCTAGATCTTCAAGACAGCTGTAAATACAGACAAGCCATGGAGGGGATCCGTTCTTATAGATCTTCCTCATCCCGGCTGCCCGTGTCAGCACGGCCCATGTCGGTCCGGATTTCCAATCCGTCGACTGGGAGTGGGCTGTCGGGGCGCTCAATGAGCCCCATATTATCCCGAACGACCTGTAGCCTCCTCGTGTCGGCGGCCGGCTGTGTATTACTTGTATTGCCCGCTGCGCGCCTGATGGCGCCGACGTGGCGGTCGATGACCATGGGGTACGCGACCTGGTGGTGGTGGTTGTGGTGGTGGGTGGAGTTGTTGCCTGGCGGCGGCGGCGACATGTCGTAGCTAGGCGCGGGCGCCATGTACAGCAGCACCCGCAACATGCTGCTCTGGTCCTGTGGCAGCTGGACTATGGCAAATGTATGGTTAAGACCGTGCCAGCGCGGGGGCGCGAGGAGGCCGAGGATATCTCGCTCGCCGCCGCCGCCGTACGTGGCCACCTCTAGCGTGACGACAGAGCTTGAGCTTGCGGGCAGCGCCGCAGGACCGGATTGTGGGGCGGTGGTGGACGAGACGGTTGCGTGGATCATCTCGCCGGGTCGGAATGGGGTGCGCGAAGTGGCGGAAGATCTTTGGTCGGGAGAGACTGGACGATTGCTCGTATCGTGCAGGTCGCCGGCGGCGAGGTTGAGGACCGGGCGCGGATGGGTAGATGGGTAGAGCGGGGCGATCGTGTCGTCGATTATGGCAAACGCGGCCTCTTCGGAAATGGAAAGACGGCTAACGACCTAGGGGATGGTACAGACCCAGGCGATTCTGGTGACGTAGAAGAAACGAAAGGTTAGCTTCGGCGGCAACGACATGGCAGAAGTAGGGATCCTGAGGATTGAAATGTGATATACCCTCGAGAAAATTCCAGCGATAGAGCCTCGAGCTGTCGCAAAGGATAACGAGCGGCTCAGTACCATGAAACACCAGATGGAGTTCGTTCTGACGGAAATTGTGACGCGCTAAAGCGACGGGCCGGTACCGCAACGCGTCTCCTGGCTCAGATCGGGGATCGCATTCAAGCCAAGCAAGAATGACTGGATCTCGTGTGAGGCTGTTGCCGTGGCAGGCTTCAAGACGATACGGTCTGCAGAACGAAAAACTGCAAAAAACTCTTGCAGATAGCCAGCGGGAAAGAAATCTTCAATCCCAGGTTGGTATTGTAGTAAAGGGACTGACACACAACCAACCATATCTCGTCGGGATTACAGAGTATTCGGATATCGGCGGCCTGGACGGGGCTCCCTTCAATGCTCCATATCTGGCAACGGGCTACCCACCCGCGGCATGCTGGACGAGAACTTTGCCGTTGGCCATGTATTCAAGGTTATTCCATTTGTTCTCGAATGGCCTAGAAGGTTGAGGGTCAGTCTCTCCAATTTGCCCAAGATGGAATTTCACTTTCGTCTCACCTTGATGGCCAGATGCTCAGGACGACTAGTCCAGTAGCTTACCGTCAGGATCAGCTTCCGATGTCACGCAAAGCGGGATCGTACTGCTGTAGGACGATTCAAGACTCGCGGGTGCTAGTGACGTTGCTTGCGTCGTTCTCGTTTGCAGCAAGAATCGGCTGGGTGTAAACGTGGTAGCTTCGTCCTAGATGATCTCGGGGCTTTTCAGCAGAGTGTCGCCCCAATCGAGCTGCGGTTTCTGCATGTCTCGTTTAAACCCGACAAGGTCGGTTTCGAGTCCTTTGCCCTCCTTGCACCCACCACCGAATTTCCGCCACGTCTGGCCTGTATCGCCGAGCCGCCTCGCCAATTTCGAAAGAATACATGATTGTGGGCACAAGCCTAGCAGCGTGGCACCCACGGAATCCAACATCTCAAGGTGCCGGATCCAAAACGGCGCAGCGTACGAAGTGAGTGAATCTAGAGAGGCGAGACCATGGGCCGTCGCTGTGGTCGCCATGTGTTGAGAAATATTCTCTCGCGGAATTGTGGATGAACCGGAATCCCTGGTGCGGCCGTTTCTCGACGCCAGGTGTTGGGTCGTCTCGGAGCCTCTCGACGAGACCTGCGCACGCCCAGAGAGCACGCTTTCCTGAAATGGATCGTGGGCACGGCGAGTCTCGGCTTCCGAGGGAGGTACCGTGACATCTTGGGCCGGCATGATGACATCTCGCAGCCGCGCGGTGTCGAGGCGTTTGAGAGAGTATGTCAGCCAGACGAGGACCCTCTCTTTTATGAAAACTCGCAAGGTGGGCTCGCTCGCGATGCCAAAATTTCCACCTGCACCTTCGTTTCCTGGCTTTCTTAGTTCTCCCGCGGTTATTTCATTTCGATCGGTCCTCGGACCTCTTTCCAGGCGGCAAATCCCTAGATAGTCTACATCAGCATTCTAGGAGTTGGTTTTTGCCTGCCTTTTTTTGTCTTTTATCTTATGACCGCCTATTTGACCAGATTATGCCTTCCGTTGAGGTCTATCAGGTACCTTGCCTGACCATTCAACGCATTAGGAATCGACACCATACCGCGACGCAGCCTATCCCATCTCAATTACGTACACCCGAAGCGCTTCGAATCTTGGGTCGTACTTCTAGGCTACTTGCTTAACAAGCATCAGATGTCGCTGCAGCAGGTCTCATGGGACTCTTGGACTTATACTTGATAGCCGAAGCTGCTAGACTCCGTGCTTTGCTTAACAGGATTTGGCAATTCCCCTCCTCTTGTGGACCTTGTCCACCAACATATCCAGTGCAACGACTTCCAAACCTTATCCATGACAATACACACGCACTAACGAAATGTCAGGCGCGTCGCCGCCAATGCGCGCGGCTATGCGACGCTCGCAGTTGACCGACTCGGACACGGCGACAACCCCCAGCGCCCGGGCCCGCTCTTCGTTGTGCAGCCGCAGCTCGACATCAACGTCGACCCTGCCCTGCCACCCTTCGATTTTCGCGTCCAAGACACTCTCACAGTGGGCCAAGCTGCTGCGATTCCGGTCCTGCTGGAGGCAGCGCAATTGCCACGTAACCTCTAAGGGGGATGTAAAAAACTATCTGTCTTTTCTCCGTGACCCCAAGAGAAAATCTCTCAAGCCTCCTCGGCGAACTGGCCAACCATCGCCAGGACACGAGGTGCGTGTGCATACCCCGCTCCATCCCAAACCGCCATCTCAGCCCGAGGGGGCGAAACGGCGGATATTCTACACTAGATATCATGCGAGTTCGCACTTCTTCAAATTGCCCTCTACCCTAGTTAAGCCTTGATCGGCTGTCATGGCCACGTTGTGCGTCAACTGCTCAAACATCAACTTTTTGGCATCACCAATCCAGAGCGAACCCCAACCAGACTTCTACGAGAGGTGCAATTTCTCGGCAGAAGAGCAACCGTCAGATGCGACCGGCCGCTTCTACGCCTACCAGCACTCGACGAGTGCCAAGGTCCTCGAGGCATCGGCCGCCTCAGGCTGCCATCTCTGCCTGCAGTTCCTCCGAGCGCTCGAGCGCACTGGTCTGCAAGTTGGCTCGCCGCACGACTATCATGATGGTCCCGTTGAGGCGCGTTGGTACCCGCACCAGGAGAAGGTGTTGCGTCAGAGCGGCACAGTGAAGCGCGAGCTCTACGTCGTGGCCAGGACCGGTTTGCGGGACATTAAAGCCGTCTTGGCATTTGTGCGGTATGGTTGCGAAGAGGACCGCGAGAGCTCGTGGCTGGAAGGGGGCCCATCGCTGTCTGATGTCTTCCATGTAAAGACAGCAGCATCTCGCCAGCCATGGAACACGGGATGTGATGAGAACTTCCTTCTAGCTAGCATGTGGCTGAGGAAATGCTTGGAGTCGCACTCTTTGTGTGCTATCTCAACGCAACCGAACCCGCCGCTGCCTGCTCGAGTACTCGACGTCGGTAGTCGGAGCGGCACAGAACAGGGGATCCGCTTGGTAAACGGGCTTAACCGGCACGGGCCGTATGTCACGCTGAGCCACGCCTGGGGGCGGTCGAGGGTCATTACCACGACGGCATCTACCATCCAGCAGAGGCGAGATGGCATCTCTTTGAGCGAGCTCTCCCAGACCTTCCGGGATGCGGTCACCGTCGCCCGGAAGCTGTTGGTGCGATACCTGTGGATCGACTCTCTGTGCATCATCCAGGACTCAGCTGAGGATTGGCCTATCGAGGCCGCTAAGATGGGCCAATACTACTCCAACTCTCTTCTCACCATATCGGCGGTATCAGCACCGGGCGGAGACCACGGCATTTTTTGCAGCCGCAACCCACACGTTCTGACTCCCTGTCCTACGTCGGTCTCCTTTCCGAAATCCGAGGACTTTTACGCAGACAGTGAGGCCGAACGAGAAGCAGACAGCGCCGCCACGCCCGATGTGCTCACTGGCTTCATTCATCCCGTCTTTGCCTGGGACCCATCTGAGGAGACACATGGGTACCTTAGACACCGCCCGCCACTATGGCAGCGAGCTTGGGTAATGCAGGAGCGCGTCCTGCCTCCACGGCTGCTCATGTTTTCCGACGCGCAAATGAGCTGGCTGTGCCGATCCGATCACGCGTCCGAGTGCGTGCCCGAGGGCGGCGCAAGAGGCCAGCACCTCTCTCCAGAGGAAAAGGAACTACAGAATGCTCTGTTAGCGTTGAAGAAGTACTATTGCGATCCGCTGCCCGATAACTTGGACGGTAACAGCAACCCAGAGGCACTTCTTTCTTCAGCCACTGGCGACAGAATTTCTCTCATCTCTTTAGACATCGGAACAGGCTCCGAGCTTGAGAAACTGCATAACGCATGGTACGACTTGGTTACTGACTACACCAAGTGTGGACTCACGGTCAAATCCGACATTTTCCCCGCAATCTCTGGCATCGCCTCGACACTGCAGCGCGCTATAGCCGGAGAGCAGTTCGTCGCAGGTCTTTGGAGGAGCGACTTGGCGCGGGGTCTCCTGTGGTCGGCCGTGGACTCGACCAAGAGTATGCCCGACTTACGGGAGTATAGGGCCCCGTCTTGGTCTTGGGCGTCCCTTCCCGGCCCCTGCGTGTTCACAGTGCGCCAGATGCTTTTGCAACATGTCGTTGTCCACCTGCAGGTCGTCAATGTCGCCCTGAAGACGGACCCGCGGAACCGTTTTGGCCAAGTGGACATCGGGTCAACATTGACGGCGGTGGGGCCGCTGAAGAAAGCCTATCCGGCGAGATCTGAGGATCTGGCGGATTGCGTTAAAGCGTTATCCCCGGAGTTTAGGGGCTCGGAGAACCTCTTCGACTTGGAGGTTGGAGTCCCAATCGGTTGGTACATTGCTGACAACCAGGATCGGGTCAATTTGACCCAGACATGGTGCGTTCCTATTCTCTCCTGTGGCAGCTCGGAAGACGATCTGCATTGGTACTGTCTTGCTATGGTTGAGATATCGCGGGGACTCGAGCATCCACTTTTCATGCGAGTCGGAATGGCCTGGATTACCAAGCCACAATGGTTTGAGAAGACTCCAGAGAAGTCTTTCTCTGTTTTGTGAGGAATCGACCTCGGGCACTTAAACGCGAGAGTAAAGCCTCGTGATTGGATCGTGGAGTGAAAGGAACATCACGGTGATTAACATACGGAATTGTTTGCCACCAGCCTCAATGGTCATTTCTAACCAAATGACGATCCCTGTATGACGATAAAATCACCTCCCTGATGCCAGGCGGAGACCTGGGAGACGAATAGGAGCGGCCAACAGGCGAAATCCCATCACACCCCTTTACACTGGGCTGTCCGACGGCGCGATAGGAAGCATTGGCCTCTCTTCTTAGGTCCACCCCAGATCCCGACGTCCAAGATCGCAACGGGCGCTCCCCGCTTCACCTTTCTGCACGCTCTAGTCTACTCGAAATCACAACCCAGCTCCGCGTTGGAAGCAACCCTAATGCGCGTGATATCAATGGGAAATTGCCTCTACACCTAGCGGTGGGATCTAACGAGCCTGGCTCAACAGAAACTATCCGTTTGCTCCTCTAGCATGGCAGCCATCCTGATTTTCGTGATAGCGTCAATCAATTCACCCTTGATCCACTTTGTTCACTCCAACGTGGCTAGCGACCCATGGGACAGCGAGGGTAAGATCACCGCCCTACTGAAGGCAGGTGCTAACATCAACAATAGACTGAGAGGATGATCCACATGATCCAACAAAGATTATCTATTACTTGCTCCCATTTACTCTCATTATAATATTGTACTTAACCGGGTAGTATGAGTTTCGATACTTATGTTAGAATGATAAGGTCATTCGCAATAGTCAATATTGTGGGTGAGCTATAGCAATGGAGTCTGGTTGTCCCCGTAGCTCGCGATCCCTGACAGCAGAGAAAAGAGAGGAATACACAATCAATACACAACACCCTACCTTCCGTTCTAGTTACTGCAGTGACTACCATGCGAATGACCTTGTTATTCCAACAGGTGCCAACGCTGATCCTGTCCGGAGGCCAATAACTCCAACACTCTGGAGCTTTTTTCTTACAACTACAGCTAAACCTACTCAGCTAAACCCTGCATCTACACAACAGAGCTATCAGTTATGTACCCGCTCATATCGCTTGAGTCAACCTCCTCTTCTTGTGGATCCAACAGCTGCTTCCTTGCCTCGTAATCTGCTATCTTCAGTCGCATGCTCTGTACTGGCACTTCGCGGTATATCTTGCTCCGATCAAACGGCGACTCAAAAAACATCAGGCCATCTAGGGCCTTGACCCTGGAAACCACCAGCTAGGACAAGCCGGATGCGAACTCTGGCGCAGAGATATCATAAACCACCTTGTCGAGAGTGACGCCCTGTGACTTGTGTACCGTGATTGCGTAACCCAGGCTCAAAGGCTTGGCTTGGCAGAGCTTATCCATCCAATTACGGTAGCCCAAGGGGACCCGCAATTTTCTTCTCAATTAGCTGCTTCTTACAGCGTACGCACGGTCCGTGGTTCCTTTTCTACTTAGCTTCAGATTTCGAGTTTTTCTTGGGTTCCTCTGCTGTGGGTCGCAGCTTGGTGTGCCAGAATCATGGTTAATCCACAACCATTCGGTTCTCGGACGAGTTAGGACGAAAGACTTGGGCCTCGACCACAAATGTGCATCGGTGGAACCACGGCTAGTCGGGACACACCTATCTACGATCAGTTTGGATCCGGATCCTCGTTGGACGGAATGCCATGCTCTAGGATACCTGAATGCTTCTCTAGTCTATTGTGTGTTAATGAACTAGCTCTAAGTTAACAAGGGGCATGTGTGTGGCAAACAAAGATGTGAGCAACGGCATTTACATCGAGTTATCCCCTGCCAAATTCACATATCAAGTCGGTTTTGTGAGCCTGGTCCAAGACGTCTTTCGCAGGCGAAGATAGAGGTAAGATACTAGGCTTTCAACTCCTGATCCTTGAAAATCCTGAATCCTTTGCACCATGTCTCCGCCACAGGCCTAAGCGCGTATCTAATAGAGAATGCTGTGAACCCTGTGTAAGAAGAAAAGGGAGCTTATAGGCTAGTTCAGTAGAACTCTGGGTCCTAGTTGTATCCGAGTTCGCTCAGTCGTGCTTTAATGCGCTGCTCTATTTCTTCATCACTCTCTCCGATGCGCTCCTGCCGATGCAACGAGTCTAAGTGATCATCAGAAAGATCAATCCCCACACACAGTGGACAGACGAGAGAGAAGCCACACCCAAGCTGTTCACGATCAAAACCAAACATCTCCATGGCAAGCCCCGCGCATCGGCCGCCAATACATCCTATGAACCTGCCGGAGCACACCCAGCATGAACCCCGGTCGATCCGGGCGATGACGTCCGGAACATCAATATCATAGTACAGACCCGATTTCTTCTCCTGCGGCGCGTCTTGGGCCTGCAAGATATAAAACACATTCCCTAGACTAGACAGCTTGTTTAGCTTCGGGATCTTGGCGATAGACTCGTGTATTGGCTCGTATTCGTCCTCCAATTTGGCAAGCACTTTGTCGCTAGCCTCGTTAATTTTAGCGGCCACTTCGGGCGTGGCATTTTGAAGGAAGTACTCGAAGTGGGCGATGCTGGCCGGGTTCCGTAGATTGCCTGCAAGTGCGTATTCCAAGTCTGATCTTCCAGGGACCTGCAAGTCGAACTCGTGTCGCACGCAGCGGAGGATTGTTTCGGTTGGCGAGGACAGAGATGGCACTATGGTCGCCTTGGCGAAGCAGAACCGGGGGGGGTTGCGTTCCGCTTCCTCTTCCATCTCTTCCAGAATCATGTACCAGAGCTCGGCTGGGAGGGCAAGCCCGCCTTGGCTTCTGATGTTGATGTTGCCAGCAAAGTTGACAAGCTTGCGCATATAGCGAGCGGCGGCGAGAGGGATGTCGAGAAAGAAGAGCTGGTCTTGTAGAAATTTGGCATTAGATGCCGTATCAAAGTTCATGGGCCTCATGGTTGCTTTTTTTTTTTTTTCTTTTTGTATCCTCTCGTCGAAGGTGATTGAGCTAATGTTGCAGAGGGAGAGTTTAGTCGGTCTGCAGGCGAGGATGGGCTGGTAGGCGTTGGTGACCGTGATGGACGAATCCGTCGTGGACTCGACTGAACAAAGGATTGAAGGAAGGAAGGAATGGAATGGTGTTAGGCCGGGCTCCTCCCAAATCAGTGTCCGTACAGATCGAGCCGTCGGGCTACGTCTCAGGTACGCCTCTCCACGGGTAATAAAGCGGACAGGAATGAAATCGCAACTGACCGGGGCCCACTGTTAGAAACCTCTAGGCATCCCGCCCGGCGTGCTAACAGACAGGCCCTGGCGAGCCACCATTTAGCACCCTGGCCAGGTGGTGTGGCTCAAGGATCTGGACAAGTTTAATGGCCTTATTAACGGTGCCTGGGACCATCGCGAATCCGGTTCCATCGTGGACTTCCGGCGTGGGAGCGACGACGGGCTGGGCCCTGGCCGCCACGAGGAATTGTTACCCGGCGATTGGGAGGTCCTCCTTGAAGAGGCCGTGGAAGCCAAAGTCCTGACCAGGGACGCGGCGGAGCGGTGGGCCAGATCGTTTCAGGACGCGGCCTACGATAAGGCCGTACGAAGAGCCGAGTTTCTTGCTAATTTAGTACCGGAAGAGGAACTAGCTTCGTCAGAGGAAGAGGAACTGGCTTTGTCAGAACAAGAGGCGGGGGGAATGGGATTGGGCAGATAGGGTCTACCTCAATGTAGGCTTAATACCCGAGGTAAATACAGTGCGCTCTTGCTCCCTCGCACTGGTGCCAATTTCATTTTACAGGCTGGCGCATCATAGTTTTGGGGGAGCGTAGTAGAGGGGGTCAAAAGTTCCACTAGTTTTTTTTGCATATTTTATTTGCACTCAGGATACGCAACCAAATTAGATCGGTTGCACACTTTACTAGCACCCAGGATACGGAACCAAATTAGGTCGGTTGGATCGCATCGTAACACCCCAGTTTCACATCTAGCACGCTGTATCTCCGCGCAGTCCGCCGAGCCGCCCATGACGGGCTCTTAACTCTACCCTTCTCTCCCCTTGGACCATCGCAACGCCCTTCACTTCTGGCACCGTTTCGACCATCACGTTTCGCGCCGCAATGAGTGCCATCAAAACACACAAAATTGCCGATCTTACGGGCGTAGCGTGAAATGCACTTCACGGCAGAGACCGCGGCATGTTTCCATTCCCCCAGCGCTAGTGACATTGCAATGCAGGAGACCATCCCGCCAGTCCCCGGATCAGATTCCATAGAGCCACGATTCCAGCCGATGTTTCTACGCCCCTGGATTCACCTCGAAGCCACGACGCACCGCGCTTCAATGGCATCCGCCAAGTATCTGGCATGTTTGCCCTCCGCCCTAATTACGCCACACACTCATAAACCACGCCGCTAACGTATGCTCAAGCTTGCTTTCAAGGTTCCGGCAAGTATGCAGGCATCTTGACCTCACCGGTGCTCAGGTGTCTCCTCCAAGACTTCAAAGTCCGATTCTCAGCACAATTATTGCCACCAGACCAGGACCGAGGACCAGAGCGAGAGCCCGGCAAGCAGCAACTGAAACCGCCCAAACTCTGCCCAGTCAGAATCATCATCTACGCCATGAGAGGAGACGAGCGCGCCATCGGGGCCAAACTATCTGACGCTGGCTTGTTTTTGCAACACCCAGCTGCGCATGAGTGCAGCTCACAAAACGTCAGCTTTCAATCTCTCTCACTCCGCAAACTAACACGACATGGTAGTCATCAACTTGTGGCTCTTGCCATGATGATTGAGAGAGAATGCGGCATTGTTGAAAACCCACGGTACCCAACACTATGGGCCTCTACCACAGATAACCAGTAAGGATATGCTTAAACTGTTGTTAGCACCTATTGGACAATCATTAACATATGATCATCCAGGCCTCGTCAAATAATTACGAGCAAATATCGTGACTCGCCGGTTCCAGTCTATGGTGGTGTGTCAGCAGATGTGAGTTACTTGGGCCGTCTTCTACGCACTCAAAACACCTGCTAAAACCGGGAGCCAGGAAATGGGTCTCGGAAAGACCTTGAGCGTTCTAGCATTAATATGCTCGTCGCTTGATGATCTCCATCATCACCAGTCCGCGAGCCAGCAAGAGTCCATGGTTACAGGTACCCTGATGGTCGCACCAAAATCCAGTGAGCCTCCAACCGTTCGCCCCAATTGTCGAATGTTAAATGTAAGCTCAACTGACACATACCCAGAAATTACCGCATGGCAGGAACAAATTGATAGGTCTGGTGTGGCCCCTTTCAACGTCTTCGTATCCCTCTGGCCGCTGTTTCCAGGCACGTTTTTCAGAACCAGATCAAAGTCGGGTTATATCATGGCACCAACGGCGGCAACTAGCGTCACAGCCGATACATAAATAGTGTCGATTTCACTGTTGCCAACAATTTTCATATCATGGAACCGCATTGGAGCCCCATGGCGGAGGCGCAAGCGGTCGACCGAGTGCACAGAAAAGGGCAGACAAGACGTGCCACGATTACGAGATACATTGTTCCCACGTCAATCTAGTATACTACTCTATAAGACCTTAATATTTAGGAAGATATAATAGATTTTTCAAATAAATATCAAGAGACTTAAGATAATCGAACGCCAACGCGGCAAGGCTACGGCCGACTCTCCTGCAAGATATATGCACCTGCAGGCAAACCGGGCGAATCTCCTGGCCTTCGCTGAGAAGCATTGGAAGCAGCACGACGCCGGCGAGCAGACCAGTGGAACGGGCGGCAGATCCGCAACGCCTGCTCTTTACATTCTTGCCCAGCTAAACCTCCTACGTTTAGAATAGGATCCTTAATCTTCCCCTTCTTACTCAAGGCATACCCTTTTTCTTCGTCAGCTTATAGAGTCCTAGTTATAGCTACTCTGGACTCTGCTAATATATTTATTCTTTATATTGTGGTCAATTACGTCTGCAACTGCTGCACTGTTTTACCGCGTCGTTTCGGCTTGTAGGGACTAGACACCTACATGACCTGGGTGTAAGAATGGCTCTGCTCGATACCCGCACGACATTCCTATAACTACAATCGCAGATAGGTGCGGGCGAGTCCGCGAGATAGACTAGGGGCCGAGACTAGAGGGGCCTGACACGACTCGTTGGTCTCGCTGCGCGGGCCCTATAGTAAAGAGCTTCCAGGGTTCGCCGTAAACTGCGAGAACAGTCCGTCCGGGGATCCAGCCTGCTGCAACAGAGGTGGCGCAATTCCAAGGCCTGTAGCAGACGGACCGCGCATAGGGACCGTAGGCGATGGGCCGAAGAAGCTACTGATACTACTGCCACCGCCACCATGTCCCCGAAAACTAGAGACTCCCTGTAAGCCCAAGCCCGGACTTTCTGAGAGGCCAGGCGCAGAAGTGAGAGCCGGGCAGAACACCATGGGCAGACCCTTGGAGCTCGGCAACAAGATCTCCGAGGTAGAACCCCACGCCGTAGTAGACTGGCTCATGAGCTGGTCCATCAAAGCCGTCCCATAACCCGTCCGCTTCATATCCGCCGCCAGCTGGAAGGCATTTGCCCGCACGAGCGGACTGCTCCTCGCGAAGAAGACCAGAATCCGGGCCAAGAATTCGAGGCTAGCCTCACTCTGCCGGCTTCGATCCTGCACGTCAGCTCCGCTTCCGCCCGCGGCCGCCTGGAAATAATCCTCGAGGAAGACGGACGCGGCCATATATGCCGCAAACGAGAGCAGCGGGTTCCGGATCGCGGTGCCGACGCCGTCCCCGGCGGCACGGAACACGGCGAGGATACCCTCGGCCGCGGGCAGGAGGCGCGCCTGGCTCTGGGCGACTAGGTGAAGGTCGGGCGAGCGGCGGTGGTGGTGGATCCGCCCCAGCGCGGTGCGGTGCAGGTGGATGGTGGCCATGTTGGTGCTCACGTGGACGAGAATGGCGTCGAGACTACGTGGGTTCCGGGCTAGATGCAGCCTCTCGGGGAGGAATATAGTTAGCGTGCTTAGGTTCGCGTCAATCTCCCTGTGGCGCTGCCAGTATGGTCCGTCTCGCACGTCTTCAGAGCCGCTCTCCGGAGAACGGCGTGAGGCGTGGTCGAGGCAGTGGAGCAGCTCGTTCGCGGCTAGAATACGAACGGCGAGAGGGGGTACCTGAGCGCCCCGACCCTGTGCCAGTTCGCGCAGGCCGCCGGAGAGGGGAATGGCGAGCTCATTTGTGCCGCCAGCCGCGAAGGACTCTTCGGTGGAAGGAAGGTTCGTCCGGATATGCCGCTCGTCGATCAGAGACGGCCAACCCGTCGTGGACGTGAGGTAGCGGTCGGCCAGGAAGACGACCCACCACGTCCGCCGTCTCTCCTCGGCCTCGATCCAGCTCCTGGGCGGGGGTAGGCCCGAGCGCAGAGTCTCGGGATCGCGAATGTCGAGTTGGTGCAGCCTAAGCATCTGGGCAACCCGCACACCTCGGCACAGGCTGGTGGATGCCCTGGTAAACAAGGCATACACGTGGCACTCGTAGGCCGAGATGAGGCACCAGGACTGTACGTGGGCCAGTGTCGTAAAGGCCTCGCCTTGGCCCTTCAACTCGTCTGCCTCGGCGTAGATTCGAGCACGTAGGTAGAACGGCTCCGAGAGGTGGCGATACGTGTCCGAAGTCGCCGCTGCCGACGCCATGACAATGTACTGAAGACACATTGGAGGGCGCATGTGCGGTGGGAGGCGCAGGCCTGCTGTGTAGCTTGCCCGGTGGAGCATGGGCGCACCAGGATGGATTTTTTGGAAGTAGAGTGCGTTGCTAGAGGCATGTCAACACTCAGCAGCCACTCTAGCGAGCTGGTTAACACATGGTTGTCCTACAGCTCATCAACGACATCGAAAGAGGGGAGCTGCTCGAAGAGACCGAGGTCGATCAACTGATTTGCCGACTGTTGCGGCGGACTAAGTTCTACTGAGCCGATCAGCTGAGGTTGCCCAAACGGCAGGTCCTGGTGTAATGGTAAAGGGCCGAGGTCGAAGAGATCAAAGTCTTGGGCTGGCGGCGGGCGCCCTTGGCTGAGGTCTGGTGCCGTCTCCTGCGCAGTCCTGAGGTCGGCGGCTCGCAGGAGCGCTTCGAGCTCCTCTGTCACGGTAGCACTATTTGTTAGCCTGGCGCCCTCGCTCTCACCGGTGCTGGCAGGCCTAGGGAGGGTCCGAACCCACCTATCCTTTTCTCGAGTTCCCGCACCGTCTTCCGTGGACCAAGCGCCCGTAGCCGCGATCCGGGATAGTTGCACGTCTCGTTCTGCTTGACGCACCGGTTACAGGCTGGACGATTCCGGTCGCACTTGAGCTTCCGGCTGCGGCACTGCACACAGGCCAGCTGACCGGTCGACGTGGTCTCGTCATGGCTGTCCGCGCCCTCCTGCCGCAGCGGGAGCTGCCCCGTTTCCATGCTGGCACCCGACGCTTGGGCCGGTTATGTGCACAAGATTGGGCTTGAACACAGGTCGAGCGCAATTTGGAACGGCTCCGAGGATGGGATGCGGAGGGAGGGCTACGGAATGGCCGCGGATAAGGGGGAGGATGTGGGGGATGCGCATAGCTCGGGAGGCGCAAATGCTGACCATCTAGCCAAGAGCCAATGGCAGGCAGGTCGGCGTCCGAGGCGGGGCGTGGGAGCAGACTGGCTTTGCTATTTCCGGTCTAGTGTGACATGGATACTGTCACAGTTACTCCAGGACAACTCAAGGAGCCTCTAGAAATGGGATTCGAAACAGCTTACCAAGCGGTTACTCTGCCTTCATGACCCGCCTCGGCCTCCGGGGTCTGAGATTGCTTTGAAATGGAAAGAGGGCTGTGGCGTTTGCGAGAATCGCGTCGAAGACAAATCTTGTCTGAAAAGGAAGACGGGCGGCGCATAAAAGCCAGCCCTGGCGTCACCCCCTCCTCTCACCTCACCATCGGAACGTCAGTGTGTCGACGCAGCACATATTACAACCAACACCTACACCTAATTCCAGACCCGGATACTCAAGTTCTCCGCAATTCATCATGTCGAAGCTTCTGACCGTCTTTGGCGGCACTGGTACCCAAGGCGGCTCCGTCATTCGAGCAGTCCTGGCCGACGCAGCCCTGCCCAAGACCTTCAAGATCCGCGCTGTCACCCGCGATGTGTCTAAGCCCCCCGCCCAGCTCCTAGCTCAACAGGGTATTGAAGTAGTCGCCGTAAGTCTCTGCATTGTCAGCACCAGGACGCGTTCCCGGGCTCATGCTCACCTTCCACGTCCAGGCCGACATGAACTCCCAGCCCTCCCTCGCCAACGCACTCAAGGGAACCCACACTCTCTTCCTCGTCACTCTGCCCGACTTCGTTACCGGGGCAGCTCCGGGTACCGAATTCGAGCAGGGCAAGAACGTCGCCGAAGCCGCCAAGGATGCGGGAGTGCAGCATCTTGTCTTCTCATCCCTTATCAACGTCACCGATGCCTCCAACGGTCGGCTGCCGCACGTGGCGCACTTTGACCGCAAGGCCGACATTGAGAAGCACATTCGATCGCTGGGAATTCCGGCCACCTTTATCCAACCGGGCTACTACATGACCAATTTCACAAACCTGCAGCTTCTGAGGAAGGGTGATGATGGGTCGTATACCCTGGCGGGGCCCACCAGTGCGACCAAGGCCCAGTTGCCGCTCTTCTTCCCCGAGAGCGACATGGGTAAGTCGCTTCAATCTTCTCTCTCCCTCCCTCCCTCTCTCCCTCTCTCCCTCTCTCCCTCTCTCCCTCTCTCCATCTCGCCATCTCTCCATCTCTCCATCTCTCCTTTTGACGTTAGAAGAGTGCGAGTGAAAACTAACCCCATCTGACCAACCCAGGCAAATACTTCGTGGCGGTAGTCAAGAACCGCAGCAAGGTCCTGGGCAAACAGGTCCACGCCGCCGCTGACTATTACACTCCCACCCGCATCATGGCCGAGTTCCAGGAGGTGACGGCGAAGAAAGGGCAGTATGTCCAGCTCGACCAGGATGTGTATCTAGGCTTTCTTCCACCGCCAATTGCGCAGGAGATCTTGGAGAACGAGCTACTGTGCGAGGATCCTGGTTTCTTTGCGGGAGGTTCGCTGACCGAGGGCCATGAGCTGCTTGCTGAGGTTGGTCTGGCGCCGACCACGTGGAAGGATTTCTTGAGCGGCAAAAAGGACCTCTTTGTCTGAAAAGAGTGTATCCCTCGGACTTTGCATCTTTGGTTTAGGTTAAACAGGTAGAGAAACGAGGCACTGTCTTTATTCCAACGTGCTCATCCACCACCAACCTGTTCCCAGACTCACTCGACCACCTTGACTGAAATCTCTCCCTACAAATTCGAGCGGCGGGGCTTTACACGGGTAAGCCCCTATTAATAGGGAATGAAGAAAACCTGGGATTGCCGGTGGGGGAGACGAGCGCGGGATGGTTGAGACGGTAGCTTGGCCACCGTGTTGTTGCCGGATTTCGCAGGTAGTCGTTGCATTTCTTAACAGCATCCAGGTGCAGGCGCTTGACAAAAAAAATAATAAGCGGCATCTTTTGCTGAAGTGTGAACGATTTGTGGTGGCAAGTTCGCTTACATTAGGAAATGGTACTTCTGCTTCGAAAGTTGCTTGTGGCGCTGGCAAACCTGAAGGCCCTGCCCGGGCCCCTGTCAAACCCCCTGTAAGTCAGCGCACTAATATTTCAAACCCCGACGGAGGCGTACCTCAACTGACAAGCCTGGCTACCGACCACTTCACTGAGAAAGTCACCAGGTCTTGATAAATACACCGCATCCTACCCTGTTTCCATATTACACCAACTCCAATCGCGTTACACCTATTCTCGAAATCTTGAATCTTGTCACACCTACCTCCCACATTGTAACACTAACCCTCCAAAACTTTCCTAGCCCTCTGAAGACCGAACAAGCGACGCGCGTCCAAACCTCGTTAACCCCCCCAAAAGCCTACCACCGATAGTTAATCTCATCATTCATCAACCTCATCGAATTAACTCGTCGATATTATCATCCACAACTTGGCGTAACTCGTCGTCATGGGCTACGCCCAGAGGTAAGGGTACATAGTGTAGTTTTCCGTCTTCGTGAGTCTCAAGGTCAGTAGCCTCAACCCATAGCTGCCAGAGCGCTTTTGCGTAAAACATGACGGAGCTCTTGATGGAATCATATTCTGGGTGGATCCAGCCGACGGCTCTGTTTGTTTTGTCCCGGATCCGGGTTAGGAGATGGAATCTTTCTCTGAGGGAAGAATCATCATACACAAACTCACCTGGTTGCCGAATCGAGACTAACAAGGGCGGCGGCATCGGCGCGCGAGAGGCTTGCGAGCCAGTCCCCATCTCGGCTCGTGATCGAGGGCACGACGTTCCAGGAACACACGCCGGGCTGGTCACGCACTAGGGCGAGCTTGATGGTGCGCTCATATGTATGCCCGCCGACCGACGTGGATATACCGCAAGGCGTCCTAGCGGTATTATTATGATGGTACGCCTTGACCATCGTCGTTCCTGATTCTGGCTGGACGGTGAAGAACGGGACGGGGTAAGGATAGTCTACAAAATCGACTACGTCGCTAAGGCAGCAGTCGTCGATATTCGCCCGCCACGGGATCGGTGGTCCCTGTAGGAGCTCCAGTAAGTTATTAGACGCGAATAACAGCCTGGCCTACTACCAGCGTGGCGCGCCCTCGGGTGGTACTTGCGGAAAGTGGTAGCAGAGGACGTTCAATGAGTAGAGATAAGCGTTCGGAGGTGGCACGACCAGTAGCGGTAGCTTCGTACACATCGCACCGTGGCCGCACGTCATGCCGTTATACATTACCCATCTCGGAAGTTTTAGGATATCGAGCTTAACAATCCTACTTCCTTAAGTAGGAATAGGTGCCGCTGTAGGCTCTTTGTCGCTATTACGCGCCTGCTGCTGAGATGCTTTACGTGATGGGACTGGGACTCGGCGGAGCGCCCGCCGCCACCAGTTTCTAAAGCTGCCTTTTTCTTTCCTACTCATACAATCTTCCTGCCGTTGGGCTATTGCACCGTCATACTGTCGGCGTGTGTCATAGTCTAACCCTGAATTAGACATATAAGGAGGAGGATATGTATCGTATATATCCTTGTCTTCCGATAGCCAGCCCGCCTTTTCGTCTGACATAATTGTTGAAGAGCAGTGCGCGCGCGCGCGCGTGTGTGTGTGTGTGTGGGTGGAAGGAGGGAACGGCAAATTTCTAGGAAGGGAATGGCGACAGTATTCAAAGTGCTCGCTAGACTAAGTTTAGTAGGTAGCGGTTGTGACTTGCTGCCGTGATTTGGGTTTAGTTCTGCTAAAATTTTAAATTCAGGACACATTATGCGCCTGTACCCGCTATTATGCTTGAATATCTACTCACACTTGCCGCGAGGATGCCGATGCCGTCGTTGTTGCCCTGCTAGAAAAAGGTTCAAGCAGTAGCCGCGGGGATGCCGACACCGTCGTTGTTTCCCTACTAGAAAAAGTTTCAATTAGCAGGAGCAAGTGGCTAAATTCCAAAACCCTATAAATTCTAGATTTCTTTCCGCAGATTCCAGATTTTCTCCTCAGCCGCGCTCATCTTAATTCTTTTTTTTTCTTGGGCACTCAAATAGAAATTGTCAAAATAAAATCTTTTCATCATGGACACCAACGTTCTCGCCACCGTCGCCGCTACCACCATCGGCACCACCACCGGCACCACCACCGGCACCACCACCGGCACCACCACCGGCACCGGCACCAGCACCAGCATCAACACCGACACCGGCGCTACCACCACCGGCAATGGCACCGGCACCGCCACAGCCGCCAACCTCTCCGTGGCCGCTACCGCCACAGCCGCCATCGCCATCGCCGCCGCCAACCACTGCCACCTATCTCGGTGCCCGTGCGGGGCCATCCATCTCTGTTCCCTGCCCCCAGCTGACCCCGCTGCTATGTAAGTCGGACCATAATTCTGCTTTAATCCGACATCTCGAGTATGTACTAATTGGATGCTAGGGAGGGGGCCGCCTTGCTGGGGTGGGTGAACGAAGAGGATGCTGGCCGCCGACTGACTCGGGAGCGGTGGTTGCGATACCGGCGGATGGTGGTGGGGTGGGTAGGCTTCATGGCCTTTTCGTTCTCCATCGTCGGTAAGTTTGCCATTATTTTATCTCTCCTCTCGCTCTCTCCCTTTAATCGCCTTTGATCTCCTTCTAATCATTGCGTCTCTGTCTCTTGATTGTGGTATAATCTGACAAAAGTTATAGGCTGGAGCTAGACGCTCGGCCATGGTATTGCGGCCATAATCGTGGCGGTCGTCCTCATCGCTAGGGACATAACGCTAGGGGGCGTGGCGCGGGCGGGGTGGGCGTGGTTTTACGAATTTTAAAAGTATATAAGCACTCTTAAGAAGTACTTCTACTTTTTGGTTCCTTCTCAATTTTCACCTGAACCAGCGTAATCGCATGTATACTACAAAGTTAATATATGCCTGACCTCGGTACTGTCGCTTTGGATGACTTCGAAAGGGGGTTAAACACGTTGGTCTAGCTCGGCCTCGAAAGGGGCGGTTTAAATAATTAGTTTAGCTCGGCATAAACGGGGACGGTCAAACACGTTCGTTTAATAACAAAAGCCAAACTAATTAGTTTAACCGTCCCTTCGGTTTAACAAAGAAGGCAAACCAACGTGCTAAATGGCACCCTCTTATATTTCAGAACGTCTGGATGTCTGAGAGCAAAATTGGAAAAATGGGTCAATGAGTTGCGCGCCCCCATACAAATCGGGATTTTCCAGAAGATTGAAATGTTAATAGCTTTAATGCTACAACTACTAGTATAAATTCAAAATATTTTTGAGGGTGCTAGAGATGAGGGCATTCTTTTCAAGTCAGTTTCAACGCATTTACATGTAAATTGCGGATTTTGGTACGACTAGACCTTCAAAAGTTACTGTTAGAATGTGTCAAGCAGAAGGGCCTCGAAGGTTCTAGATAGAGACTTCGCCACCCACTTCGCCACCACAATAGTAGTATAAGAAGGGGCTTTCTGGCACTGCCAGAAAGCTAGAGAGAAGAACACACATCTACAATCCATCACTTGAACCACCAGATTTTCGGCGTACAGTTACGCCCTGTTGATTCCAGTACCGGTACCCTGGTGAATCCAACAGTTACTGAGTTACGCTTTTGGTCCGGCTCGATGGCCCCCAGTTGAAAAACCAGCCAAAATATTTATAGGTATAGAAATTTAATACCGGGGATCCTCTTCTTCCTGATAACTTTGGTGCGTAATTTTTCATTATTTAATCAACCTATTGCCCTGGCACCAGCCTCGAACGCTTCAAAATGGCCTCTCTAGGCGATCTAGAGCTCATTAAAGCGACGATTTACTCGACTATTGGCCACTAAAATGCCCGCGAAGGTCAGGTTGAGGCGTTTGCTTGCTTAGTCATCGAATAAGCCGACAAAGTGCTCGATCGACGTAGCTTACCAACAAGCTGGAACTGATTGCGCTTATAAAAATTGTCAAAATACTGTTGAAAAGGCCTCAACAATGAAAAATGCCAGCGAGTGTAGGCACGGTGGGTTTTAAGCCAGACTTGTGGCCTTCATCGCCGCAAGACCGCCATAGTTACAGCTTCCCGCCAACCAGCTGAGAAGTGCGCAGCGCTTGCGTGCGTGACGGGGGGATGGACGGTACTGTGCGGGTACAGTTAACACCGAGGGGACATATGCCCCGCCTGACATGTACTTATCAAGGCGGCCGAGACTGCTGAAATTTGAGGCCCCACGCCTGCTCAAAACAGCAGTCCAAACTGCGGCACATGTAGTCTGTGTGAAAGGTGAGTGTCATTATCCAACTGCAGGCGCGGTTCAGGATCGTGTGTGTTTTGGGCGTGCTGACAAAATCCAGATGCTCCAGGAGTGTTTAGGGGGTAGGTCGGACTAGCTCAGCGTTCTCCGAAGTCAGTTGGAATAGAAAGAGAGTGTTTGGGATCTACCTCAAGACGCCAAGGTACTTGGAAAAACGATGTTTCGAGAGCCATTTCACTTTGTGATAAATGTAATTAACTGCGGAAGTCCCTGCTTGAGCAGAGCTTCTTTGAGTAGACGAAATAAGAAAAAATATCATGTTTGGAGACCGTGTTTCAATACTTTGTGTTTGATCGGGGTCAAATAAAACTCATGGGAAAGAAATATGAGTGGATGGAATCTGGATCCCCCTTTGAGACCCCCACGTCTCAAAAGTGGGATAAGGGTCATTCCGTCTCGGTGTATTCCATGTCTACCTTTTCCCCATATACAAGAGTTCCAAAGCCAAAATCATGAGCCATAACCACGCCAAACACTAACTATTAGAATCACCAGGCGAAGGAACTCAAGGGCTCCGATTTCCACAGGGTGCCCGGCCGTCTTCAAGACCTTATGTAGGTGGGCAACCGACGGGTGGCCAAACCTGCGGTGGAGCCGGCGTAGCTCTGTGTCGGTAAGGTAGTTGTCTTTTCTTTGGTTAGTTGGAGCCAGGGGTGCCCCCATTTCCGTACGACGGGGGCGGTTAGGTTGCCCTGCCGTAGTTGGTTGCGTAGGTTATCGAACCTCAAGCCCAAGCGATCCATATCCTGAAGGCACAGTAGGAACGGTGTGTCTGCGGGGACTACGTGGAAATCAACCGGGCCGAACGGGGTAGGTACAGTGGTAGTACCTAGAGGAGTGAGGGCACCGCCCTGGCCGAATTTGATCGCGGCGTCCGTAGTTGGCGGTCCGAGCCGTACTGACGGTAGCTCCCTTTGTAGGGCACGGAACTGTAGGTGCCCGGCTGTTGAAAAGCCGGATGCTCCTGTAGCGGGCATAATGCCGTGGAATTCCATAGCTAAGTAACGGCCTTCAATGGTGAAGATCGAAGTAGGTTGACGGTCCTGATCCTCAGCCTGTAGGAAGGAATCTTCTTTAGTCAGGCTGTGGCGGACCGATCTATCGGTAAGTAAGGTACGTGGTTTTCCCTGATCCTTGCGCCCGAAGCGGGCCTCTCCTCCGTTGACCTTGAACGTTCGGTCAGTCCAGTGCTGCCGGGCTTCTTCAGGGCCGGGGGTGTTGAACTGGGTGTTGAATTGCTGGCTCTGGCCATCAGCTGCAATACTGACTGCCGATCGGAGCTGTTTGCGTACACCTTCGTAGGTTGCGGCCGGGTTGTAAAGGCAGAGGTTACATTTAGGGATCCCTCGGCAGGCGTTGATGACTTGCATACGAAGTAGCTCTTCTGACTGATGGGTAGCCGTCAGGGCACGCTGAACCCTGCTGAGCCTTTCAAATAGAAGCTCTAGGCATTCGATCCTTGACTTTCCTGGGCTTTCGTCGATGACTGTGCGTATCGTAGTGCTCCCCCACTCTCGTAGATGTAGCTGGTTGTTTTCTTCGCTCTCGAACTGGGCCTTGGTCCGGGCGATCAACGTGCCGAAGTCGTAGCCGTGCCCACAGAGCCGGTCGTAGTAGTAGGTCAGGGCCCGATTCTTGAGCATGGTCGGGAAGGTTGCGGCGTACTGGCCTTGGATAATGCCGAGCCGTTGGCAGCAGTCCTGGAAGATGACTAGCTTGGAGGCGAACACATCGTACGTATCGCTACCGTACTTCATCTCGTCGTTGTAGATCTTGGCCAGGTCAGTAAGCTACCTTGCGTTTGGAAGTTCTTGCAGTACGAGTGGGTACTCGAACTGGGCGGCTCTGGGTCGAGGGTGCTGGAGGCCTTGGTGAGGGTCGTCTGCAGGCCTGCGTTGCTGAGGGTACTGGGGGCCCTGATGAGGGCCGTCTGCAGGACTGCGTTGGTCCCTTTCGGTGAGGGGCTCCCGAGGTAGCGTGGTTGCCTTTCCGGGTTCTTCTGAGCCGTCGTTAGGCCCCTGGATGTCCCAGAGGAAGTCAGGGTCAAGGCAGTTGATCTCGAAGGCCTTGGTTCGTCCTTTTTCGTATTTGATGTCCGCGTCGGACCAGATATGGAAGTCCTTGGCCGTAACGGTCCGTTGTAGGTTGCTATGAATCCTATCGCCGTCCATAGCTACGAAGACTCCGTTGCCCCGGAGCCAGTTACGTAGGGTCGTCTGCGTTCGGCCCGGGACCTTCGCCCAGGCGGCGTTGTCCCAGTGTCCGAATTCCTCGCTAAACTATACCCATGCGTATCTTCCTGTCAGGGGCTTGTCCTGCCAGCAATGTAGAATAAAGTGAGCGTGGCGTTGATCTGTTTGGCTGTTGGCTTCAGAAGGTCGTCGAATGCTAGTAGCTCACCCCAGGTCGTAGGATCCACCTCTCCTCGAAGGTCGAGAGGCACGGAGGGTCCCGGGCTACGGAGGGGTTCTTCATGGGCTAGTTGGCTAGGCGTGGGGACCGGAGACGTAGTGACGTCGTCCTCAGTGCCTACGGCCATCTTGGAAGTGTGGGAATGAGCCGTTGGTTGGCCTGGAAGGTCGGAATGAGCTTGTTGGCTGGCCTGGAAGGTCGGAATAAACTGTTGACTGGCCTGGAAGGTCAGAATGAGCTGTTCACTGGTTGGAATGAGCCGTTGGCTGGCTCGGAATGACGAAGGTCGAAGGAATGTCGAAAAGAAGGCTGAAGGAATGAGTGGAGGTAATAAGAAATGAATGGAAGTAAAATGGAATGAATGTTCAACGCGTAGATCGTTTTCCAGGGCTTGTTGGGTGGTAGACGCTCTACGGCTAGGTGAAGCCAGGGAGACGGCCACGGCCACTTCTTCCGTAAATTCGAAGGTTCTTTGGCTGCGGTTGAGATTCGAGGCGCGAATGCTCCGTTATACCGTCTCTTCCGTAGCCGGGGATGCCTTCCTTAGCACAGGTTCGTAGGGAGGGCCGGCCTTCTGGTCGACCGTTCTGTACGGCGCTGTCTCCTCTGTTTGTTCCTTGCTGATCTGTAGCGTGGACTGTTGTCCCAACAGTGGTGAATTGACCACTGATCAGTGTTGGATTCACCAGGTGCCGGTACTGGAAGCAACAGGGCGTAATTGCACGCCGAAAACTAGTGGTTCAAGTGATGATTGTTGATGTGTCTGTGTATCTAGAAGAAAGTGGCCGTAGGGCCACTTATATAGAAACCGTGGCCCTGCGCCTCCACCGCCACCTCTGTGTAGCTGACTAGCGCGTTGTTCCAATATTCCAACATTCCAACAATGGCCCTCACAGATCACTACCGAGCCCTATCAGCCACGTCTTTGTTTCGACGATGCCGTAGATGGTTGTTATGAGCATCTTACCGAACAGGTCGACATCGTCTGCCCCGGCTTCGCGGATGACATCGCGGAAGCTACAGGGGAAAAGACATGCAGTCAGCAACAATTGAAAAGGCTAGGGTTGTCTAGACAGCGGACTCTAGAATTCAAGTGTTGCGGCACACCTACTTTGCATTTTTGACGACATAATGTTTCTTGTTCTGCCATGCATTTTTGAATTCAAAGTGGTCGTGGGCTTTCCACAGATGCGCCGACACCGTGAAAGAGTGGCAGAGCAAAATCTTGCCGTCACAAAATAGCGGAAACTCGCGTTTGAGCAGACGGTAAGCTTGGAGAAAGAAGAAAGTGGCGAGAAAGGTCCGGCGCGCAGACTCATGAAATACCCAATTCTGCCAAAAGTCGCGTAAGCTGTTCAAGGGATAGAGCGCTGGCAACATGTCGGCTCTAGGCGCCGGCTCAAGGGTGACTCCTAGTTCGTCGAAGGTGCCCTCGGCAAAAGAAACGTGCGACATCATGGCAAACGCAGCGTCTTCGAGGGGCTGGATGGTCGACTCGGCAGAGCGTGCCCTCAAGCCACCCTCGAGGAGGCGCATGATCTGATACAGGAGCAAGGCATGTGTCCTGGCCAAGATGTCGAGCTTGTCTTCGGGCATGGGGGAAGAGACGAGTTGCTGTACCCGACCTTCAATATGGCGGAAGATGACATCTTCGTTGACCTCGTTCTTGGCCATGAACAGAGCGCAGCAGGCGTATGCATCTGGAGTGATTGGTCAGCCGGGACGCACTTGGTAATTAAACTGCAGTTAACACGGGACGGGACTAAAGATGCGAGTGTGGTTTACCCTCCATAGAGGCTGGCATGCGATGCTCGTAAAGACTGTGGTGGCACCATGGGGTTTGGTTCTCGACGACCATCTGCCGGGGCGCCGCACGTATGTGGTCGATGGCGAATCGGAGTCGGGTCGAGATGGCGACCGAGACGGCCTCTTCGTACAGCTTGTTGTTGACAGGGAAAGCCAAGGCCGTTTGCTCGGTCGGCTTGAGACCGAGCGGCCCAAACGAGCTAGCAGCGTTGTGGAACTCTTCAAGATCGGGCATTGCGACGTTGTCGGCTAGCGCATCTCCGTTGTATTCAAATTCAAAATCGAGCAATGGGCTGTTGTCCAGCGGCACCAGGGCGTCTTCCGGCAAGAGATGGCGGCTTGGCACGGGCGAGCCCCCAGTCGAGCCAGCCAGGGTGAGGAACGGCGTCTGAGCTGGGAGCGCAGCACTGGCTAGGCCGGAAGTGGCGGGGCTTGAGGCAGCAGGAGTTGGCACTCGCCGCTTGTACTTGCACGCCAGCTTCCGCTGGGCGCATCTCTGACAAGACGGGAACTCCAAGGTGCAGCGCCGTTTAGCCTTGATACAGGCGTCGCACGACTTTTGGCGTGGGGGGGGATTCCCCCTCTCCATGGTTGACAAGGACTGCTGCTGCTCCTGTTGCCGCTGCTGATGCTGCCGCTGCTGCTCAAGCAGACTCAGGGTCCCATCTGTGCCGGGGCCGGGGCTCGTGCTAGCGGCGCTTCGGCGTGCAATAACGTTCGCCATAGGCGCGCCGTGTCTTCGCGTCTCTGACCTCTGTAAGTCGGGCTACAGGTCTGAGGGGCGGAGTACCACGCGGCTTGCCGGTGGAGTATGAGATGGAGTAGATAGTCGGACTTTCACTTGGGCTCGCTTTCCTCTCGAGATGGGACGAGCGTAGACGAGGGCTGTCGGGTTCTAGGTCTGGCACCCAAGAGCCCTGGCGGAACTCCGCCAGGTGCCCCCCTTGAGCCAACGAGAATGCAACCCAGTGCCCTCACGGTGTGCACACTGTTATCCTATTCGAGCCAAACTGAAGCAAGCCTCCACTAACATCGCAGGAAAGACGCGATGAGACCTGGGGACTGGGATCAAGTAGACCGAGAGTGAGAGATGACTCCAAAAGAGTGGGTTGACCGTCGCAGGCAGCCAGGGCCAGTTTTGGGGTATAAAGACGGTGGCTTCGTCGCAGAATTTCCGGCAGCTCTTCATCCTCTTATCTTTCACGAGACAAGGCCAAGATTTGACCAGACAAAGAACAGCACACGCTGAATGTCATCAGAGTTGCTGTTAGGACTCTTCGGCTTCCATTCAACTTCCACGATGTCTGCCACTCACACCGTCTTTGTCTCTGCGGCGACTGGAAGCCAAGGCTCGAACCTTGCCCGTCAGCTTCGCAGCATTGGATGGGCTGTGCATACAACTGTCCGCAACCCAGACACGCCAGCCGCAAAGACACTCACAGGGCAAGGCGTTGAGTTGACTGTCGGCGACTGGTATGCACTTCCCTTCCGGTCCAGTCCCAATAAGGGAAGAAATATTAGCTGATCAGCCGAGCAGGGACGACGAGGCGGCGCTTCAGGCCAGTATCGCCGGGTGCGACATGCTGTTCCTCAACCTCTCGCCCTCGTTCCAGAACCTAGGCAGTGAGCGCGTGCAAGCGAGAAAGATCCTCGCCGTCGCCAAGGCGTCCGGCGTCCGCCACGTCGTCTACTCCAGCGGGCCGGCCGCGAAGCACATAGAGAAGCTGCCCATCTGGAACGCAAGTAGCCTGGTGGGCCTGACGTTGCTCTCCAAGCAAGCCATCGAAGAGACGCTCAAGGAAGCGGGCTTCGAGGCGTGGACCATTCTGCGCGGCTCGACCTTCATGCAGAACTTCCTGGCTCCCAAGGTGGCCATGTACGCCGGGCTCGTCGACACCAACATCTGGACTATGGCGCTGTTGGCGGGCGACAAAATGCCGCTCGTCGACGCCAACGACATTGCCAAGTTCGCCGCCGCCGCCTTCCAGGACCCTGAGCGGTTCAAGGGGAAGGACGTTGTGGTTGTCGGCGACGAGCTGACGCCCGAGGAGATCATGGAATGTTTGTCGGAAGAGACTGGTCGCAAGCTGAAGTTTGTAGCGCTGACAGACGCGGAGATCGAAGCTCAGAAGGCGGTAAACCCTCTCATCACTGCCCAGCTGGCACTGCGCGAGCTGAAGAACTTCATGAAGGCTGAGGAATCGAGGTCGTGGGGCATCCCCATGGCCACCTTCAAGGAGTTCCTTGCACACAACAAGGATCTGGTTAAACAGACGTATCCGTGATTTGAGAATGGAATCCGGCCTTAGTCCACGGAACGATTGAGGTAGGTCTCGCTCAACAAGGGAACATGGCGAAACCTGTCGTGAGAAAGAAAAGTGGCAGCAGCAATGTTGGAGAAGATTATTTGGGGAAAATGAAGCATCAGACAATACTGATACAACACATTCTATTCGTGAAGCCTGGGCGTGAATCAAATTCAAGCAATTACCTAACCCGTCGTGTGCTTGGTGCCGCCCATCATGTTTTGCACCGTGCCTCCGATGCTTCCCTGGTCGGTGAACTGCTTGCCAATCGCGCCTTCCTTGTCCATCGGGCCGCCAATCTTCTGGCCCAACCCGCCAATTGCTCCTTCCTCTGGAAAGAATTAATCAGTTTCTGAATAGTCACACGGGTAAAAGAGAAGGAATGAGTGACCCACCGGTGAATTGTTTGCCAATGGCACCTTCCGAGTCAAAGACCTTGGGCTTGTCTACGCCCATGCTGGCGTTCGCGGCAGTAGTCCTAGCAGAAGCCATGCCCCCAGTTGCCTTTGGGCCGACATGCGCCCTTTCCGGCTCCGTTCTTCGCGACGGGTTGAGCGTCGAGGACGGGTTCTTGATGGGCGACGAGGGCGACGACATGATGAATGTTTTGGCGGTTGAATAATTAGATTGAATTACAGACTGATGATTGTTTGAATGAGAAATACCAGGACAGCTCAAGTACGGCTCAAGGCATTTCACATATTATACTGGATGCAGGTTAAACGGTCCGGGGGTGACGCCATGGGCCGTTTTAGTGAATTTGGGGGTCCCCCCATTCAGTGCCAACAAAGTGCCGTCATGATTCGTGATGATGTCACCACAACCCACAGGCGCGGGATACCCCTGAAAGACAACACTGGCCGTGGTAGTTAGGGCAAATCTTAGCAATAGCTCGATCAATTTCTACTCAAATTAATATCTCAGCCAGATAAACCACCCCGTGTTTAGTTGCTAGTTATTTAGACTTTGCCCGTGATCGTCCTCCTAAGCTGCTCTTAATCCAGACAGTCTCTGGAGCCGCGATGAGTCCACTGCATTACCTCACTAATTGTAACACCAAATTAGCGCCCACTCTTGTTAGCCTACGCTGGTTTGCTCTCTTTTCTGAATCGCAAGATTTCCCGGGCAACACAAAGTCATTTGGTCTCTGAATCTTACAAGTAAGCGTCTTAGGTGGTCTACTGTCGATACTTCGCCCTAGAAGGACACGGCCGACGAATCTCAGAGTTTGATCAAGATGTTTCCATTCATCCCAGACAAGGAGGAAAGCAGAACGATGAGTCAAACCATCCGCCTGCAGATATAAACGTTGGAAACCGTTGAGAATGTGAAGAGTTAGCCCCGGATCCCGGTAACTTAAATACCGGAGGTACCTCCTATACTTCGCTGCGGCAGGACGTGGTCGACGAATCTTAGAGTTTGTGTGGATCTTGTGAAAGACGCTTCTATTCTATTCCATTCATGCCCATGGAGAGGGGGAAAATGATATCGATGAGTCAACCCGTCAACCTGTAGATGTAAATGTCGGAAACCGTTGGGTCCGCCCCGGATCCCAGCAACCTGATTTATACCGAAAGGATATCTTCTAAGCTATTACGGAAACAGAGTTACCATACGAGAACCCAAATGGAGAAACGGACTTTATTCCTATCCACAGCGAAGTGAATCTCTGATTATAACCTCCCAAACCTAATAGTAGCTACAGATACCAGAACTTGAAACCTTGACCTCAGCCACCGCCCGAGGCTGAACCTACTGCCGCCGAGGCCCTATGCACCATAGGCGAGACTAGTAAACGCAAAGTGCTAAAAGTGTCGTGAAGGTTCTTGTTAAACTGCGTGTTGTAACCAGGCGGAGCGGAAGCGGTAGCGTAGGCGGGGAGCTAAGTGCAGGGTAGATTGTAGGGAACTGTGCCCTACGGTCCAGTACAACAGTGCCCTGTGTAAGGCACTGAGGGAAGCAGACTGACTGCTACAGGTGTGTAGAACTCTGCTACAAGCCTGCCACAGGTCTGTAGGACTCTGCTACAGACCAGCCACTTAGACTGTGAGGACTCTGCTCAGCAGTCTACCTCGAAGGCTACAGAGAACTCTTGTGATGAACCGCGCCCATTCTGGGCTAGTCATAGCTCTGAAAGTGGGGCCGGCCAATAGGGATGACGAGACAGGCATGCGGGGCAGGGACCCGCATTTGCTCTGTGCGGTGGGGTACGGAGCAACGGTTTGGTTGGCTCTACGGGGTTGCTCTGTAGCTCTGCCAGGGAGCAACGGAGCAACGCTCTATGGCTCTGCCAGGGAGCAACGGAGCAACGACCTAATTGGCCCGCCCTAGATAGATATATACGACGACCGTAGCCACGGTCTTAGATAGTTCTTGCTTGGTTCTTCAAGCAAGCAATACACATTCACTGCACTCATACACTTTGAGTGGCATTCCAATTTGACTGTATTACCCGTGCGATAGGAGCTTGCCCTTTGTTCTATCTTCATAATTACCAACCCCAGCATCCTGTGGAGCCCGTGCTCCCTTACAGACAGACGACCCTAACAGTCGAGTGGTTTGTAATACTGTGGGGCCTGGTTAACAATTCGGGTATAGCGCCCACAACACCAACCACACTAACACAACCACTATAGTGCCCTGCACTTTAGGGCCCTATAGCTGTAGTGGCTAGCTATACTTTAACAGTTCTAATATCTCAAAACGCCTTGACTACTGCAAGAGAAAGAAAACTAAGACGCTACTGTTCTAATACGTGCCTAGTAAGGCAAGATCCCTCCTAAGCGGCAAGTTCGTATTGCGACTACTGTTGCTCTAATGATCCCAATCTACCTGAGAATATGAGAAAGTATTGCGCAGGCTGACGCAAAAAAAGACTTAGTTATGTAATGATAGAGGGCCGTAAATATTAAAATTATCGTGAGAGTCTTGAACAGGCCGAGCCCTCTCACCAGCTCTAAAGGAAGCCCACAAGAGCGCAATAGGATCAAGTGAATCCCGAAAGCACTGTCATGTGCAAGATGGCGTCGATATACATGGCGTTCTGGACGGTGCAGGAAACGCCGGCCCGGACCTTGAATATGCCGTGGGGGCCAATGATGAACTCAGGCTCGTCGCCCACCTTGACGCGCAACTTCCCACTGGCGACAGAGCAGATGCGAATATTTCTCGACTCAGCTGCTAGGCTGAGCGCCGTGCCCGAGTGGATCGTCTCCACGCGGACAGCCACGTCTTCGCATACCTGCACAGCTTGGTTCGTTGACAGGTATGCCTTGGAGAATGCAATGTCTGGATTCGCGGTGAGTCATGAGCTCGTAGATGGAATAAGTTTGGGGTGTGTATCTTACTTTGAGGTTTAGATGATGACGACTCGTTCAGACGGCCAGGGGCTATTTCCCACGTCTCCATCTCGAGAGTTTCGGCCGATTGGAAAGCGCCGACAGATATCAAGGACGACTTTGGAGCTTTCTTGTTTTGGTTACGGGGCCCCTCCGTGGTCGAGCCTCTGGTGCTTCTGCCGCGCCAGTTGCTCAGGCTCTGGGATATGCAGGGTGGGGAGAGCCCGCGATCAGACGACTGTTCTCTTCCTTCAGCTCCAGCCGGAGACTGGAGCTCCGTATCCATCAGGCCAGCTTCTTCTGTCAGAAACGGCCCTCTACTACTTGATATCTTCCGCTTCGTCGGGAATGGCGGCTGCATGCGCTTCGGAACCCATTCTTTCATGGAGCAGTACGTTGACCGGCCGTGATACAAACAGTTTGCGCAAGACGTATATTGCAATCTCGCTTCTCCGTCTGTCTTGCGCGCGATCGCTACGCAACCCGAGAAAGGGCCTTTGCCATCTCGGCATCTCTTGCATTTCTTGACCACTGCCTCTCCCGTCACCTGAATGACCATGGCCGCCACATCCCTTGCCGACTTCTCGCCGTACTCCAAGGGGACCCGATAGGGGTTCATGTTCAGATCCCGCACCTGAGGCATCTGGAGGAGTTCACGGACGAAGCCGCCGTCCGGGATGTCGCGAGTATTGGTGAGATACGGGCGCAGGGACTCCCAGAGACCTGCCGGGTCGACTCTAGGAGGCCGAATGGGACCGACCACAGTATTCCATGATTCCGTGGTCTGATTATGCTCGACAGGGCTGTCAGAAAGATATTTGGGAACATAAGTCGAGGTTTCGGGCCCATTAGGCGGGGCTGAAGGTTCTTCGTTAGGGTCCAAGGCATCCTTGGAAACGACAAAGGGGGGTGCTTTGCTGATGATTTTCCCTCCCCTGCCCACGCCCCTCTTTTTGCTTCTATATATGCCTCTAATCGAGAGAGTCCCATCGCCATTATCGTTCAGCAGACTGGCAAAGTGGATACGCTGCCGGACGTCTCCGTGTTAATGGTGTCATAGTTTTCTTTTGTAGAGCATTGGACACATACCTGAAAGTGGAAGCCGAGATCCTGCCTCTTGATAAACAGCCGGCGACAAGAGCGAACGGAGCAGATCCAACTCCGATCCTCGGCGGTTTCAAAATCGAGTTGGTAACCTGCCGGAAACAAAGCGCCCATTCCCGGCTGAAGGTTTCCCGTGCCGTCTACGAAGAGCTTCTTGTTAGTATCTCCGAGACTGGGTTCGCCTGGCTGATCTGAACTCACCTGGCCACATTGTATATGGCCTATTTGGCTCAGCCATAGTAATGCTCGTGGGCAAACCATTTGGCGATATGGAAATGTTTGAATTCTCTATATTTTCCACCTCGCCGTCGCCGTCGTCAATTTCGTCGTCTTCTTCGCTGTTGCCGTCGTCAATTTCGTCGTCTTCTTTGCCGTTGCTGTCGTCAATTTCATCGTCTTCTTCGCTGTTGCCATTGTCAATTTTGTCGCCTTCGTCCCCGTTGCCGTCGTCGTCGGCCATATCCTCGTCAAATTCTGATAACCGTTTCTGTTTGATCTTTTCTGCCCGTTTCGCTCCCCAGACTTTGTGGCTGCAGTATATTTGTCCGAAATGGTAGAAACAATTGGCGCAAGCAAATATGGTGCCGACGGCATCCAGGTGGGCTGTGCTCGATATCATGACGCAGCCAAGGAATGGCCCTTTACCATTCTTACACTTTGTGCACGGTTCGGGAGCAGGTTCTCCAGTAACCTGGATAATCATTGCCGAGATATCTATCGGTTTCGAGTCGAGGAATCGATGGTCTACGGACCGGATAGCGTTCCACTCCAGTTCGCGGACGCGGGGAAGAGTTATCAGTTTCTCCACATAACCCCCTTGAGGCCACCTGGGACCCTTATGCTTGACCAAAAGTCCCTGTAAGTACTTCCATAGAGTCTGTGCATTCTCGTCGTGACTATAGTCAGCTGCGTCGAGCATCGGAGTGTCGCCGTCATGATCATCCAGTATTGAATCCTGTGCCGCTCCCGACCCCCTGCTCAGGGATAGTCGTGGAATATCCATGGGGGGCATCTTCGGGGCGGGAAAGCGAGGAGAGTTTGCACTGCTACCTCGGGAGACAACGATGGCCGGGTTCTTTGTGCCGTCTAGGGTATCTAGGTAGGACCCAACCTTGGTGAAGGTTCCGTCCTCGTTGTCATGAAGCATTGCGCAGCGGTGGGAAGACTAGTGATGTGAGCAATACTGTAGCTAGACTCGGGGCCATGGCACTGGTAGAACGACTTACAACAAAATGGGGCCCGAGCTTGCTGACATACTTGAACGTTTTCTGGCAGTCTCGTACGGGGCAAGTCCAGGGGTACTCGGGGTCGGCTGTAAGCTCATAAGTCTCTGGGATAAGCGCCCCATAGGCCAAAGCAAGTCCATCGTCACCTGAAGGCGGTCGTTGTTAGTCTAGAGCATCCGACAACGGCAAAGGCGTGTTCAGGTTGTTGTGTACTTACTTCGCCACATTTTATACGGGCGATCTGGAGCAGCCATCTCAATTGACATTAACCCCTCAACTGGGGCGTTTGGCGCCGGCTTCTTAATGACATCGGACACGGCAGGCCCTCCGTGCGACCCTGGGTAGTCAGTGGGGGAAGAATCAGACATCTCGTTTTCGTGTGCCCAGTCCTGATCGTCGCTTGCGGAGTCATCCATGACGAACCCATTAACCACGGCATCAGAAGTAGGATCGTTGTGCCGTTTTGAAGGAATCCGAGCCATTGAAGCGCCGGTAAAGCCCAGGTTTTCATCGTCAGATGTGGGAGACGAGTCGGAGGCGACGTATCCAGAAGATTCCCCCCGTATGGTGTTTGCACGAACGGAAGAAGGCTGTTTACTATCTTTCTCTAAAAATAGATGCGACAGCTGTGTCTGAGTCCAAGACGTTGACCGGTGGTTTAAATGACTGGACTTCGGTTTGGAGGGGCGAAGGGAGCTGGCGTCGTGCTTGTTCACTCGTTGCAGTCCTAAAAGATCTTGCTGCCTGCGCTTGAGAGTCTCTTGCCTCTTTCTTACAGCATCGCTCATGGCGCCCGATGCCCACCGTGCTTGACAATCTACAAGTCAGCACAAAGAAACATGGCCATAGGCAGGAAATTAAGGCAGGCCCGGGCCACGGTACGCCTTAGAAATGACTGGCAGTAACCATTATCCGGCTTACCTTTCAGCGCCTTGCTTAGCGCAGCTCGTCGCTCGGTTTCCTTTGCATTTTGGGCGGTGCTCTTGGAAGTTCGGGGCTGCGGAGGCAAATTCTCACTGGAAGAGACATCACGTCGTGCTCTGGCCGGGAAGGGCTGTGCAGGCGCCGAATTAGGGGGTAATGTTTCCAACGGAGCAGCGGTGTCGCTGGTAATCCTGGCCGGCGCGGGCTCCGCCACCGGGTCAAGCAAGTCCCTCGAAGGAGTTGTAAAAGACGCCGCATTTGCCGCCACCGCCGCTGCTATTGCGGCTGCTGGGATCGGGATCGGGATCGGCGACGTTGAATGGCCGAATGCGGAAGAAGCCAAAGCAGTGCGTGTAACAGCCTGGGGGCGGAAAGTGCGGGCGATCGCGGAAGGTGGGTAGGAACTGCCGGTGCGCTTCATTTTCAAGACGGGCCTCAAAGGTTCGCTACCGGCTATGGCCTGCCGCCCTCCTGTAGCGTCGTCGGACATGGCAACACCCCGTAACACCGACAAAGGATCAGTAACCACTAGACTACCGCTTTGCCTCGATCTCTGCAAGTTTCGGTCGCTTACTAAGCCGGATATTGCAGGCGAATTGGGCTCCTGCGTATCGCGGTTATCGTCGCGGGCTCAAGCTCTCAGGTCGCCTCAACTTCAAGTCATTACAGGCCTCGAATAGAATAGGCCGCGTACTGATAGTTCGAATTAGCTTGGGATGTAAACCGTGACGCTAATAGACATAAGCTCTCAGGTCTTGGAAGTTGGCGAAGCTATTCGGGTGGCCTCCAGCCTCCAGGCCTTCGAGGTGGCCTGCGAGGAAGTGGATATAGGTCCGATCGGGCTAGCTGAGCACTTAATTTCGGTCAACACCTCGTTATGGCAAGCAATAACCTTGCTGCGGGAAGTGTGAAGTTTCCTAAAGGTGGCCTTGAATGGCTAAGAGGTTTGACAGCGCAATCGAGCGAATTCGGCGACGATTGTGCTGTTCCAGTGGAGACGTGGTTCCAGCGCGTCGATTTTGGTTTCTACTTGGCCCGTGCGCGGCTCGTCTTCGCGTCAGTGATTGGCCGGGCAAGGCAGGCTGCTGCAAGGGTCACAATCTGCCCGTACAGTACGAAGGGTACGTACGGAGTACATCCCGTTAAAACGTTGGCGTGGATTTTGGGGGCATCTTTGACACGTGTACGAACCTGTACCTTGATAAACGAAGCACCCACAAAATTAAACTTCAACCGTCAAGGGCTCGGGTACCAAAGCCATAGCCACAGCCACCTGTCTTTGGGGATAAACTCTAAATTGAGTGTTCTAGGTTTGCCCTGATGTGTTGTTTCAGGAACAGTAAGTACTCGACGAACCTTCCTCAAATCGAAACAATCTATCTATTTCCATAAGCTGAAACTGTCTCCGTCAGAAGCTAATCTAAGCCCAGTGCCCACCAGAAGTACAGTGTGAAGGCAGGCATATACGAGAGTCAAGGCTGCAAGTAAAGAATGACTTTATTCGTAAATACTAGGAACTGCGGGCTCGGTTTCGTGGTGAAGAGGGGCAACTGAGCTAGTCCCAATTGGGAAGAGGAGGGCTACAGGTCGGGACCGGGACCTGGTGGTTGGCGCAGCCATGGTTGCGGTACCACGGACCATAGTTCGGCTGTGCCGTAACATACAACCCGCCGGTCTTCATTCCCGGGGCGACTCGACTTCAAAGGTATTGCAATGAGGATGGCAGACAACGCAGCTTTCCTCAAAGACCCTCACCCAACGTGCTCGTTCTTCTACTTGCCAAGTCCAGCGTCTTAAATTAAGATCACCGATTGCGAGTTGTAGGATTCAGGCACTTCTAGACTAGACGGCTTTCGAGATGAGTCACCATGTCAAGCAGTGTGTTTTCGTCAATGTTTCGATAAACATTCGTGCTCAGTTAGCTTGCACGCACGAGATTTGCTTTATTCATTTTGGTTCTGGTAGGTGGTTCGAAGAAGAGCGCGTGATCTGAGAGGACTTCAATTCCCAACGGTTAGCCATGCCCCGAGACGATTCAAAGTCAACTCTGTTCAACATAAGGTTTTAGCAAGAGCGGGTTCAGCATGCAAGGTTAGGGCTCCCTCTTAGTTTTGTCCACTTTCAAGCAGCCGCCGAGCCTGGTGGAAGACCTGACAAGGCGGGACCGACGAACCGGGACTTGCCAATTGTCTCAGTCTCGAAGTCAAGCCTAGACAACCCCGTGTGGAATCCATAGAGTTCAAAAGAAAGTGATTTTGTTGCCACAAACGCTCCTTTCCGCCCCAGAATCCTCGGCCATGAGGAAGCATGATAGCAAGTAGGTTTAGGGCAATTTGAGGAAGAGAAGGCTGAGATCCAGTATATATAGTCCCCTCGCCTCGGCCCCTGGCTCTTTCCCTTTCTCTCTATCCTCAGTCTTCTGCTCTCCTGTCTAGATTTGCACCCTAACGCCACTGGCAACGAAGACCACTCTCTCTTTCTGGCTCCGGCCAAAGTTCACATCTCAATCTGCCAGCTATCGCCGTCTCGGCTTCCAATATCCAACAGACATCATCACTCCCTTCCCTCGACAAATCTCAGTCATCGGCCGTCCACAACACGGACACACATCACCCCTCTAGACCTCGTCACATCACAAGACGGTCTTTCAACATGTCTCAAGGGAGAAACAACAACTGGCGCCACAGCCCCCGAGGCGAGCACGCCGGCCGGTTTGACCAACGGCGACCTGACAACTGGAAGGAAGGCGATGTCGCCTTCCTTCTGCCCGCCTCCTCATTTTCGGCAGAGGACCACAACAACCTCATCGCAGGGGGCTACATGGCCGAGAAAGCAACCGGTCACCCCGTCATCATCCTGAAGAGGATATCCGGCCAGTCGACGCACATCCTGGTCACCCCCGTGTCGGCCTACAGCTCCGGCGACTTCAACAATTTTCTTCCACCCTGGTGAGCTTCTCCTCTCGCATCCCGTGCCCCTTTTGTTTATCGCGGCAGCTAACAAGTTTTTAGGAGGCAAATCTGTCACTCCAGAAAAAAACCCCGCGACTTCCGGTCCTTTGACGGCTGCGAAAGATCCAACAGTGACTACCCTCCGCTGTTTCTCGAGGGAGGGATGTCCATGCCCAAGCCCCAGGCGTCTTGGGTCAACATCCAAAGCGTCTGGTCCGTCCCCCTCACCGTCATCGGCCGCTTCCACAAGTCCCGGGACCACCTTCGAGTGCGTCATGCAAGCCTCGACAGCCTGCGGGCACACATGGCCCGGAGGTGCGCCTTGTGGTGCGAGTCCAACAGGAGACTCGTCGCCGCCGAGCCTCGACCCGCCCACCCCTTCTCGCCTTCGCCAACCTCAACGACAACGGCAACAACACCAGCAACTAGAGCAGCACCAGCAACGCCAGCAACTCCAGCAGCGCCAGCAGTGCCACCACATTCGCCGGTGAGGTCATGGGCTTCCATTGCTTGCGATCCAACCTCACATGCTGCCTCAACCACCCGCCGCTGGTATATTTCCAATCCGGCAGCCTCGTGTGCGTGATGTGACACGAGCCAGACACTCTAGATCTGGGGCGGACAGGGTCCCCAAGGTGCAGGACTCGGTTCAAGTTAGCGACATCACCCAGTCACATTCTCAACATCTCGAAAGTCGACGTAGCCCCACGGGGAAGCCGACACACCATCATCAGAACACATTCTCGACATCTCGAAAGTCTATAAGGCGCGGGCGCCCACAACATATACACACATACACACCATCATCACCACCACGAATGGTTTGAGAGAGAACATTGACATCAGACATGGCTATCGAACAGGGTTCCAGCGCTTGGAAATCGACATCACAAGGTGCTTTATCAGCAAGGCAGTTTTTTATAGAAAGAGGAGGGGGGCGACGAAGCCGTACTCTGCCACCTCCCCGTGGTGTCGCCTGGAAACGCTCTTTTTACAAGAACGGCCAAGAGCAGAGACGCAACGATAGCCACCTAGGTATAGGCTTCAAAAGGAAATGTCATGGAGTTTTTGTCGCTGCTTACAGGAAAATAATAACCCGTGCCTCTGAGTGTGACGTGCCGTTCCATGATGACTTGCTTGATTGTGCATGTGGGCGTTGTAGATATTGGATATGACGGAAAAATGTGGACAAGGGGGAAAACCAACTCGTGCTGAATGTTCAGCACTGGACGTCTCGAGCTCAGCGGAAACACCTATCTGAAGCTGACGGTAACTGGACACTTTGTCACACAATCGGATGACATAGCCAAACACCAAGAGCTTCAAGGAATAGAAAGAAAGAAAGATAAGCTAGATTATAGGCAAGTTTGATATAGTCATGTGTGAACTGAATTTCCGTATCCGGAAACATAGGTGCCTATGTAGTAATATAGTACGAAACGACTAAACCTCACAGCTACAGATTAGAGCAACACTACAAATAAATCGCAAATTCCGTACCATGGCCTCGTTCTGTTTAGATATGGTCACCGGAACGGTAGCACATCATAGTGTCAGCTAGTCAGACTTGATCTACAACGTATAATGGTTGTCTCTTTAAAATTCACAGTAGAGCTACGGAGAACCGTAAAAGCCGGCCCGAGCTAAAACCAGCAGAAACCCCACCACGCCACGATCACCCGCCAACGTGCTCTGCCATGAGCGAACAGGAAGGCCAGGGCGTCTGCCTCACAGCTTCCCGACCGCCTTCAGCCCCCTGTCGCCATCTACCAGCACACACCAGCCCTCGGAGCCCCAGCCGCCGTCGCCGGCAACGGCAGCCTCGAAGTTGTCGCGCGCAAACTCGAGGACCTCGTCGTCGAACGTGCCCGGCTGCAGGAAGACGGCGGGGAAGCCGAGCTCCTTGGCTAGCTTGAGCGTCTTGAGGGTGACGGGGGGGGGCGTGATGAAGGACACGGACGTATCTGCGGGGTCGGCGATGTCGGACAGCGAGCCCACTGTGGGCAGCTCCTCGTCGCCGATCTTGATCGCCGTGGCTCCCGGGTTGACGGGTGTGACGTCGAGGTTGCGCGTGACGTACCACTTGAAGACTAAGGTGGTCTGCTTGTCAGCGACTTCCCGGTTCCCCGCTCCCCGGTGCACCATAGGCGGGAGGTGTAAACAAAGCCGCCTTCGGGATGTCGTTGGTTTTAAGACGCGAGACTAAAATCGTTGGCGGGTACGGGGCAGTAATAAGGGGACTCTTGAAACACGGGCCGCAGCTGTAGTCTAATAACTCGTGGAGTTGTAGGGCTGGCTGTCATTCTGGGGGTAGGTTTGCCGTATTGCAGCCCAACGGCCGGCGTCAAGCATAACCGTTGCAATATCTGGAGTTTCGGCAGTCACATAAAGTAACCCACTTGAGCTAAAGCCTGCCTGGATGGCGTTTCCATTACACTCCCCAAGGTACCGAAGCCCTGGAAGGCTAGAGGTAGACGTAAAAGAAGCAGGCCGGGACTAACCCTTGTACCCGAACTTGTCCGGGTTGGTGCTCGCGCCGACAACGGCGAACTTGGGGGACTGGAAGAAAGTCCGCAGAGTGGCGTCGGTGGTAGCCATTGTCGCCGTGGAGCTAGGCCTTGCCAGGAGATCGAGGTGGTGGTGGTGCTCTTGTGGGCGTGGGGGGATCTGGACCAAGGCGCGAGGCTGCAGTAGTGGTGCGGTCACGAATAGGGAAGTTGAGCGTGCAGGTCGCGGGAGAAGGTGTCGAAGCACTGACATCCGAATTTCCAAGAAAGAAAAAAAAAGGGCGCAGATGGCGTTATATCAGCCCAGACAGGCCAATGGCCGCTTTTACTCGGTCCTCGCGTGGGATCTGGGATGTGAAGACGGCATTCGAACGAAAAGGCACTGGACGGCTAAGGTTAGCGGGGGAGGCCAAGCCCAATCGAGGGGCAATCAAAGCCCCGCCAGTCCGAAGTTCCCCACCAATTTAGCAGTGCCAATGTCCCCCGATGACGTGCCTCAGCCCTTGCCCTTACATGCTGGGGACTGGGGCAGGGAGGTCGATGTGCGCCCGATATCACCGCCGGCTGGGCGAGCGGATAGCCGACCTCGGGACCCCTTGGCGGAAATCGCCGGCCATCATTTCTTCAGTGGCCGTCGCATCTTTGAACAAAGCTGTCCTAGCGGGAGAACGGCACCCAGCGGATGTAATCGGGCAGCCCCAAGGGCGCAAATACGAAATAGATTGGCAGTGTATTTATAACTGAGGTGGTCCTGCCGTCACTCACCCTATTAATGGGTGGTAACATTAGAACCGAGTGATGCCAGCCGCGCAGTAATAAAACCCGCGAGTTCTTGGAACACAGCGTAGGCAGCCTTGTCCGGGGATTTGACCGATAGGAAATGTCTATATTCGGGTGTGTCTTCTGCTCCTAAGCCCCTAACAATCTCAACCCCTAACTGACGGCCGCTACAGCCGACCGACCTTCTCCTCTGCCGGCTATGCGGCCTTCCGGCCGTCGTACCCTGTCACGCTGTTCAACAGGGTGCTGGCTTTCCACAACGCCGGCGTCTCGTCGCCAAAAAGTGGTGGCGCTCTGCTGGACCTCGGATGCGGGCACGGCCTGATCGCGCGGGCTCTCGCGCCCTCCTTCGCATCCGTCGTCGCCCTCGACCCGTCGGCCGGCATGGTCGAGCAGGCACGCAAGCTGACATCCGACCCCAAGATCACGATCCGGCAGGGCAAGGCAGAAGACCTCTCGTTCCTGCCCGACGGCTCGGTCGACTGCGTCGTGGCCGGCCAAGCGGCGCACTGGTTCGACTACAGCAAGGCGTGGCCGGAGCTCGCGCGCGTCGTCAAGCGCGGCGGCACGCTCGCCTTCTGGGGCTACAAGGACCACGCAATCGTTAGCCGGCCCGAGACCACGGCCATCTTCAGCAAATTCATCTACGGCGAGGAGGAGGCGGGGCCCATGCCAAACGGCGTGGAGAGCATGGCGCGCTTCTGGGAGCTGCCGGGGCGCGACATCTTGCGCGACTCGTACCGCAACATAAACCCCCCGGGGACAGACTGGGAGGCGGTGACGCGCATCGCTTGGGACCCGGACCGGAAAACATGCGACATCAGCTCGGTGCCGGCGGAGGCGCTCTGGCAGCGCAAGACTCTCAAGCTCGGGGAGCTCGAGGGCTACGTGCGGACCTTCAGCGCCTTCAGCGGCTGGCAGAGTGCATATCCGGACAAGAAGAGCAGGGCCGAGGGCGGCGAGGGAGATGTGATTGACCTGCTGTTTGATGAGGTCGTGGCAGCCGTGCCAGAGTGGAGGGCGAGCGATGAATGGAAGGAAGTCAAAGTCGACACTGTCTGGGGGACTGTCATCTTGATGGCCAAGAGACTCTGAGATAGCTAAGATGCAGCGGTTCGAAGCCCGAGAACCAGGTTCAAGGGCCCTGAAGAATGGAAATGTTCAGTGTCTGTTGTTGTAAGATCAATGCATGGATTGTATTAATCCGAATCTCCCCGTACTGTATGAACTTCACATTGAAATGTTGAAAGAAAGTCCTTCCTCGATTCTCTTACAAACAAAACCGACACGTGGCCCCTAATTAAATAAAGATGAATTGACGATCAGGAGCTTCTCTTGAGGACAGGGCATCGCAAGGCGGGGCAGCAATCAAAAGTGCTGAGATCGTGCAGCGCAAACAGGACGCGGCATCTCCCTCGCGGTTGCCCCGTGAAACGGGCCTAGGCGCATTTAGGCACAGGCCCAGTCAATCCCCATCACGGCTGAGACTGCAAAGCCTGGACGATCCAAAGAAAAACAGCAATCTGTCCCGCTTTCTTCCATAAACCACAGTTTTCGCTCTGAATAGCATCACGGTGACCTCTCGCAGCTCAGCATTCCACCTTTTCCACTACCCTTTTTTCGCGCGTTTTCCAGACACAATGGTGAGTGCATATCCAGCCCGTGGAAACCCCACCGGGCGCTCTTCCATTCTTTGCCCACCCATCAGGTCCATCCCCTCCCAACAGGATTGCCCCGCGGTTGCCCAGGTCAACAGAGGAGCCAAAGCAGAGCACTCTGCTCGACCACTAAAAATGGCCGATTATTAGCGCACGCGAACCGCGCGTGCGTGCCACCGTCAGAAGCAAGAACAGGGGGGCCCAACGCAGCAAGGAAGACGCATCTTGCAGTTTTTGGATCTTTTGACGATCACGTCTTTTGCATCTCCGCCGCCTCGCGCTCCATCTACCTCTACACTCTTGCGACTTCGTTCTCGCTTGCGCGGTCGACTCCTTTCGCACCAGTTCAAACATCCTTGGGCCCACTGTTACTGCTGCTGCTGCTGCTGCTGTGACCTTTGCGCTCACCCCCGCCCACTTGCGACCGATAGACTCTGCGGCGACAAAGGCTCAACAGAACCACACATACACGATGGCATCTAACTTCGACGCGCAGGCTTCGACCAACTACAAGGAGGCCTTCTCCCTCTTCGACAAGCGAGGTAATGGCCGTGTCGCGCTCGATAGCCTGGGAGACCTGCTTCGCGCCTGTGGCCAGAACCCGACGCTGGCCGAAATTCGCGACCTCGAGAAAAGCGTCGGTGGCGACTGTGAGTTGTTTACCCCAACTGCCTCTGTTTTCCCTCTAGCCGCCCCGAAAGTCTGCGGCGCCACATCCATGGGCTACCCCTCCAACATCGAGGGAGTTCGTCTCTAAGAGCGGTTGCTGACAATATCTTTTTCCCTCTGCGTCACCAGTCGACTTCGAGACCTTCCAGCGCATCCTCAACCGGCCAGGCGGCTTCCGCGACCCGGGCGATCCGGAGGAGTACTGCCGCGGCTTCCAGGTGTTCGACAAGGACATGACAGGCTTCATCGGAGTCGGGCAGCTCAAGTATATCCTGACGAACCTGGGCGAGAAGATGACAGACGAGGAGGTGGACGAGCTGCTAAAGGCCGTCGACACCACCACTGGGCAGGTCAACTACACAGGTATGTTTGCCCCATTTGGAACCTACTGCCCACCCACCTCTTGCAATGCCAGCGCCTGGTTCTCGAGTTGAAATGCCGGGCGATGGCGTTGCACAACCGAGCGTTGCATCATGTCTACACCTCAAACTTTGGCTGACATTTTCGGCCAAACAGACCTTGTCCGCACTATCTTGGCCAATTAAAAGGATCACTATGGGGACCAGGGAGATTGTCTGGATTTGTTTAGAAAAACAATAAACCTCTCTCGAGCAGGTAACTGGCTTGCAGGAGATGGGAACGGCTTTTGCGAATATTATTTGCATGACTTTTTTACGGGCGGATCGGCTGGCGTTGGTGTTTGTTTTGCGCGCTCGTGACTGTATTGCTTAGTGGGCTACGCGAGACTTGGCCGCCGGGCTGCTGGACCGTTCACGGGGGCTAGGGATGCGCCGAGGAAACAAACAGGCTCCCTCTAGCGGGATTATAGCCTAGCCGTCCATACACTGCCTCGTCGGGATTTAGTCCTGCTGGGCTTGAATCTCAGCTGCGGTCTACGGATGTGGGAGCAGTGTGGGAGCAGAAGACTGGTCCTTGTGTGAAAGGTTGCCTGAGCCCTCTTCTTTTACAGCTAAATTTAACAGATAACCACGACCCACGTCTTTTTTGTCTGCATCATCTGCGTGCTATAAATAATCTGTCAGAGGATAGCTCTCGTCCAAATTAACAGGTGTGCTGGAGTTTTTTATTAGGCTTCCCGCGGACCGCCTTGGTTGTGCCAGCCGAATGACACCTGGATGTTTCCGGCCAGACATGGACACCTCATGCAGCCCGAGCAACTGGCTTGCAGTTAACTGCAGGACCCCGGCAGCTGGCCTACATTGTTGCACGTGCTGTTTTCTGGTCACTTTCGGGACCAGCATTAGTCTCCACGACAACCCCACGTCAGCTTCCCCGCAATTGTTGGTACCTGTCAGGCACCACGTTATAGGCCCCGAATACCTGAGGTCTCGTGCCGTCCTCCGAGGCACAGCTCTCCTCACCCCGTCCGTCCCATCAGATCGCAGTTTCTGCTCAACATCGTTCACCGTGGCGCCCGCAACTGTCTCTCGGATTCGGCAGGGCACCCTCCTGTTGATATTTTCAATTGTCCTCTTCTCCACCATTACGCTCATTCTGGCTACCCCACGTATTGTGCCCCGCCTCACCGCCATCTTCAGCCAGCTCAAGCACGGTGGGCCCAAGAGACCCTTCGGAGGATTCGGCACCACCACCGGCCCTGCGCTCGCAACCCTCACCTTCTCCAGCCCAGCTTCCTTCCTGACCCACCCGTCAAACATCAGCATGGTCAAGTACGCCAACCCGCCCCAAGCGCCGCCCTTGTTCACGGGCACCAAGGACAGCATCGTGGCCGACGCCAAGGCTCTTTGCGACACGACCAAGTCCCTGCTGGACAAGCTTGTGGCCGATATCGACCCCGCCGCGAACCCCGAGGCGGCCACGTTCGATTCTGTCATCTGGCCGCAGACCCAGGACGAGAATTCCGGGGCTCTGAACGCCCGTATCCTCGGCTTCTACCAGTATGTGAGCGCCAACATCGAGCTGCGAGATGCCAGCACCGAGGCCGAGAAGATCATGGACCAGTTCGGCATCGATTGCAGCATGCGCGAGGATGTCTTCCGCCTGGTCGATGCCGTCTATCAGAAGAGCGGGCTCGCGGCCAGCAAGGAGCAGGACAAGGAGCGCCTCATTGACGAGGCGCTGGCCAAGAGCGTAGGCCTCAGCAACACGGAGAATGCGCTGCTGTTGGAGAAGGAGAGAATGAACTACATCAGGAATGGCCTAGGTCTGCCAGCAGGCGAGAAACGTGACCGCTTCAAGGCCATCAAGAAGCGGCTGAGCGAGCTCTCAACCGATTTCCAGAAGAACTTGAACGAGGAGAAGGGGGGCATCTGGTTCACCAAGGAAGATCTCGACGGGGTCCCGGAAGATGTCCTCGACACCCTGGAAAAGGGCACCGACAAGAACGAAGGCAAGCTGCGGCTGACCTTCAAGTACCCGGATCTCTTCCCTACCCTCAAGTTCGCCAAGAATCCAGAGACGAGGGAGAAGCTGTTTGTCGACAACGAAAACAAGGTAATGATGGACCTTTTGCATTCTGGGGTGCCGTTGGCTGACAAGCTTCCCCTACAAGTGCAACCAAAACGCTCCTCTGTTCAAGGAGGCTGTCCTTTTGCGCGACGAGGGAGCCCGTCTTCTCGGGTACCCCGACCATGCGTCGTATCGCATTGAAGACAAGATGGCCAAGACCCCCAAGACAGTGCTGGACTTTCTGGGAGACCTGAAGTCCCGGTTGCTGGCTGGAGGAGCCAAAGAAGTTGACCACCTCTTGGGTCTCAAGAAGAAGGACTACGAGTCCCGCAAGCTTGATTTTGACGGCAACTATTACCTCTGGGACCATCGATTCTACGATCGTTTGATGGTGGAGCAGGAGTACAGCATCGACGAGAACGCCATTGCTAATTACTTCCCCATCACGTCTACGGTGGCTGGCATGCTGCGGATCTTTGAAGAGCTGTTTGGCCTCGTGTTTGTGGAGTTGGACGCCGAGGACCGCAAGCGCATTTCCCCTACTGGAAAGGCTGAGGATATTTCATGGCACGAGGACGTCATCATCTTCAGCGTGTGGGACGACGCTACGGAAGGCGAGGGCTTCGTCGGCTACCTGTATCTCGATCTGCACCCGAGGCCGGGCAAGTATGGGCATGCAGCCAACTTCAACTTGCAGCCGGGCTTTTTGAAGCCCGATGGTACGAGACGCTACCCGGCAACCGCGCTCGTCTGCAACTTTAGCAAGCCGACGCCCAAGAAGCCCTCTCTGCTCAAACACGACGAGGTGGTTACTCTTTTCCACGAGTTGGGTCACGGAATCCATGACTTGGCAGGCCGCACTCGTTATGCTAGGTTCCATGGAACTTCGACTGCGCGAGACTTTGTTGAAGCTCCGAGTCAGATGCTGGAGAACTGGTGTTGGACGCCAGGCCCGCTCAAGAGCCTGAGCCGCCACTATGAGACAGGCGAGAAAATTCCCGATGACCTTATCAAGAAGCTTCTAGCTACCAAGCACGTCAATGACGCCCTCTTCAACCTGAGACAGCTGCACTTCGGCCTCTTCGACATGACGGTCCACACCCCGAAGACACACGCCGACCTGGAGGCGATGGATGTGAGCAAGGTGTACAACGAGCTCCGGGTCGAGATTGCCGGCATCAAGGGCCCCGAAGCCCGGGGCAAGCCGAGGTAAGACGAGCTAGCTGTCCCGCTTCGCAATTTTAAATCCCATGGCTGACAATTCTGCAGCACCTGGGGCAATGGGCAAGCGACCTTTGGTCACTTGATTGGCGGATACGATGCCGGATACTATGGCTATCTCTCCTCTGAAGTGTACTCGACCGACATGTTCTACTCCGTGTTCAAGGAAGACCCCATGAACAAGGCCCAAGGCCGGCGGTATCGTCACACAGTGCTCGAGAGAGGTGGTTCGCAGGACGAGATGCTCACGCTGGAGCAGTTCCTGGGCCGCAAGCCGAGCTCTGAGGCCTTCTACAAGGAGCTTGGCATTGAGAACTAGATACCATGGAGTATGGCGTTGGTTTGCGAGGCTGGCGATATGGGTAAGATATTCAGTTAGGACAAGGCCAAAAGCACTCTTCATTGAGCGCAACTCCAGTTGGTGATAGCAGCAGCGATGTTTGCGCTCAAGGGATAAAAGTTTGTGAGGGCCGAGTCTTTATAACGCACCTACTGGAGTTTGTAGGTTGCCAAGTTTGCCAGGCTCCTCATGTCAGGTTCATTACTACCTAGTGTATGTGCTGTCGCCCTACCAACACTTGGAACTGGAGACAATACTAGCCTACTTAGCAGCCGGCTTGACAAGCGGTGTCTGATATCCTCCGCACTCTCGGGTTTGGTATTGTTTTGTTAAGCTAGCGTCGAGACTGCGAGGCCCGGCACCACGCGTCCATGGATATAGCTGAGGTCTCCTCACGGCGCAGCTGTTTAATTGCTGTCGTGTCAACACTCTTCTCTCGCTGTGACGTGGGTGCTGCTGTGTCTCGACGCAGGATAAATAAAGCGAGGCACCGCCAAGTCCCATTCTCTAACAAACTCATCTTTGGCCAAGAACCGCCTTTCCCCATCGGCCAACAGCCAGGCCCGAAGGTAATTGGTTGGTTAGCCGTTGATGGCGCATCAATGAGATGGGAGGCGTGGAGTTGCTCAGATACGATACATGTTTTGCGCAACCCCTTTTTCCCCCTTTTCCATGTACGCATGCAAGCACAGAGCCGTTTGTATGCATAATATCTGGTTTGCTTTTGCATCTTCTTTGTCTGGTATATTGCCTCTTACCTTGGTTTGTTCCCCTTTCCTAGGAATCGCGTGTTTTTTGTTAAATAAGTACTGAGGCCTTTTCGCTTCCTGTGTTGCTGTGTTGTTGCGGTGCGTGTAATGTTTGAAGAGGCGTCGTTCACGGACCCCACAAGAAAAGAATTCGACTCGAGTAATTTGTGGCATTAACTTCTTTGATTCGTATCACACCTATGCAAAAGGGAGGGGGAAAATACAGAAAGATGAAAGAGGTATTGTGCGCGTGACGCGGTCGTGGCAAGAGAAAAGAAATGACAAGACGCAATCATAAGCAACACCGAAAAAAACACATTGCCGCCCATCCCTCGAAAAATACGGCAACACCCGGCCAGACGCCTCGTCCTAAATAACACGTATGCATATCCAAAGGCAGTTGCTGCGGAGTATAAACTGAAGCATTAAGAAGCTGCTGCGCAGCTGAAAGGGGTCCCAACGTTTCCATCCTTGTACCTCAGCATCTAGCAAAGCTTGTTAGTTTTTGGGGGTTTTTATTAGTCGGGATTCGGGGCATCACTCACAATATCGTCAATGCTCGAGTATGTCCCGAGCCCAAGGATGGCAATGCCAATGATGAACGATACGGCGTTGACAGTGGCCAGGAACCAGTTTTTCCGCTCGTACCACTTGCCTTCCACGACAAACATGAACCACATGGTAGAGGGTAAGTAGAAGGTGAAGCCAGAGATAAAGAGAGACGACGAAATGGCGAGCAGGTCCGAGAAGAAGGGGATGGCCTCGGCGATGATCCAGGCAAAAATTGTAATGACAGCGTCGAGGGCTAGCCAAGTCATCCACCCCATGGGGGTGTTGACGTAGCGGACGATGGAGTCCTTAAAGACTCTGCCGTGTATGTACCGCGCGGCGACCGTGGTGTTGATGCTACCCGAGATGAAGATGACAGGAAGGGCAATTCCAAAGGCAACCTTGGACACTAGGGGGCCGGCCGAGAGCAGGGCTGGCGAGCGCACGTCCTGGCCGACAAAGGCATAGATCAGAGCGCCCGTGAGGGTGTAAATGCAGACCTCAATGATGCCGAGGGCCCAGATGCTCTTGGGAAAGTCGGCTGGGGTGTGCATCTCGTCCATGAAGGTAAACTGGCACATGGCAAAGCTGAAGGCAAATACGATGTTGGTGATGGCGATGAAGCCCTCGCTCAGAGTGACATTTTCCTTGGGCCAAGCAGACCAGTTGACGTTGGCAAGCCCACCCCCGGCGTCGCTGGCACGGATGCCAGTGGCGATTATTGTGATGAGGATTGCGGCAATGATGGAAACGAAGTCGATATATCCGAGAATGGCGACCTCGGCAAAACTCGGGGGAATAGCCAGTAGGAACAGGATGATGGCCGAGACAACCGCGAAGGCAATCGAACAGGCTCCATTGTCAGTGATGGCTCCCCACATGATACTTCCAGTCAGTACATGGGACCCGACGATCAAGACCAGCTGTAGGATGAACATGACGCTGATGAGCTCGTAGCCGAACTTTCCAAACATCAAGCGGCCAGCGTCGGCGTAGTGCGAGACATCTGGGTACTTGAGCTTGACCTGGCCGACGACGTAGCTCGTGTACATGGCGAAAATGCCAATCCCGATAGTCAAGATGACGCCGGCCACCATGCCCAGCGTCGCAAAGGCCCCTGGCAGACTCAGGCTACCCAGCGCAATTGCCTCGACGATCAGCACAACCGTCAGCCGCTTCCAGCCCAGCCTGTGGAAAGTGGCATCGCCCTCGGCTCTTTTCAACCTCTCAATGTCCAGAGTCACGGCCTGCACCTCGCCCACCTCGGTCTCGCCGTCGGATGACGACTCAAAAAGCTTGCCAGAGCCTGGGCCGGCAGAGTTGGCCGGCAATGCATTGGGACTTGCGACACTGATCTTCTCCTTGTCGGATGCATTTTGGTCCGCTAGTGTCATTGTCGCAATCGTCAGTCTAATCACGCTGGTATTCTGCCGCCTGCTTCTGTCAATGGCCGGGCTGTGACTCGACCAAAGTCCACGCTCCCAGTGAAAAGACAGACAGGCAAGCAGAAAGGCAAGAGAGACCCTGGCGTGTGAGGAGGGCGGGGGTGGCGTGTTTACCCGATGTCCCAAAAGTCGTTGAGGACTTTAGGTTTATAGGAGAGTAGTTGGGCGACAGCCGGGTGAAAGATGGCGCACGAGCAGGTAGCCAGACAGTTGAGCCGAAGGGGATCAATTAAGTTGAGGAGAGATATAACAGAAAGTCAATAAGCGGAGAAGAAGGGGAGAGGCGCAAAGTTAAGAGGACGAGCGAGACCTAGGGAAGCCCGAGTCAGTGTCCACGCAAATGGAACTCGGGCGGAGAGATCCATACCAGGAAACGATAGCCGTCCGACGCCGGAAAGACCCTGGCCAGCCAGCCCTTGTTTTGTCAGCGATCCAGGCCAGCTAGGTGGTCCCTCTAGAGCTGAAGTTATCGCCAGGCTTAGCAACGCGGCCCCCAGGGTCCCGGAATCAGCAAAGTTGGACATTGCGACCAGACTGCCCCGTTTCGTCAAACCCGTCGAGGCCCTTTTCGGGTTGCGAGGCGGCTGGCTTCGAGTTTGCCATCCACTTGTGCTTGGGCCTCCGGGAATCAGACAGGTCCTAAACTTTAGATTTTATTTATGGGAATGGGCCGTACAGGGAGCTCGGCTGTGCGTCTCGGTGAGGGTTGAATAACCTTTTTCTGCCATCCTGGTTTTCACCTGCGTCCATGACGAGGAGTGGATTGGGGACCGGCATCTCATTGCTTGCCGAAGCCGTTATGGAACTCTGTCTTGGTGCGATCTCGGCCCCGCGGTCCACTCAGCCTCTCGGGCTTGGAAATGCCTTGGATATCGTATGCCAATTCGCTGCCGGCCATCGCCGACATTCCCCATACTCCACCAACGCCAGTGCATAGCGCCCTCGCCGGGTCTGGATTCTTGCCGGACCAGAAAGACCAGAAGGACGGCGGAAGGGGGAAAAGGGGGGCGGCCCAAGGCGAGGCCGTCCCCATCCCGCAACTTAGGTTGCGGTACTGGAACTGCCTAGTCTCGGTCCTAGGTACCTTACTGAACAACTAGGTAAGGTAACCCAACCCCAGGGACAGGAATGGGAACAGGACGAGATCCCAGAGTAAATTGCATTTCGGTAGTGCCTTGTTTGCTCGGCGATGCCTTGTTTTCTCGGCGATGGCTGTTTCATTGTTTCATGACAGCTTCGTTGCTAACAGTCTGGAAACACAACAAGTTTAGCTTGGGCTGTTGACATTGTCACTGCCTCACTTGTTCTAAACCTTTGGCCGTTCGTGACCAGGAAAAGAAAGAAATTGGAGGTAGGAGAATAATGCTGAGCCCGGCGAAATGCAAAAGCCTTATCCATGGTTTCCATGCGCAGAGTTGTGGAACCCTCTGAAAGTCAACTTTTACTTTTCTGCGACTCTCCGCCCCCTTTTCATCTAACCTGGAGGGGAGGGCGTTAACACCTAGTCCGAGACGCAACCCTAACCCTGGTTCTTCGGAGGTTGGAACGAACTCGAAGGAAATGAAAGGTGAAATCGTGGATGGGCGAAAAGAATGCGTTCGGCGACTGCAAGGCAAGGGTAGTATCGAAATATTCTGGAATCAATTCCCTAGATAGGTGCAGCGAGAAATAACGAGGGGAAATTGCCTATGCTCGCTCGGAGACATCAACTGACTCGAGCAAGTTCATCTCATGCTTTGTGGGCTGTTGGCGGTTCCGGGCTAGTGGATTTGGCTGATGAGCCAGTGCGGTGGGGTTGAGTTGAGATTGCGGATAAGAGATAAGTGAGATCGTAAGCCACAAACATACCAGCCACTGCTGCAGTTGATTTGGTTGCCCCACCTTGAGAGCTAGGGCCCTCAGGTCAAAGTAAACAAACGCGAGCCCTTCTGTCCAATCACTATCACGCCCTAGGATTTTTGCAAGGTTGCGCCTACCACCGTCACGAATTGCCCTGCACAACACGGCTGTTGATCCTTTTCTACCCAGCCCGAGTCCTTGCTTTGACAGTCAAGAGCGATACAGCGATACATGCTCATTCCATTTCGACCCTTTCGACAAAAGATCATGCGCTTCATTTCTTGAAGTCCTGACTCTGACCCCTCCACGTCATTCCCAATTCGAGCCGACAAGGTCGCGCCTGCTCCCGCTTCGCGCGTCGCCATCCACCATCCCTTGCCCCAAGTGGCAAGCTGCGACACTCCCGTCACCATAAACCCTCACCTCACCATAAATATTCCATACTGCCTTGCCTAAGCTGCGGGCGCCGAATCGCAAAAATGGCTGCGACGATGGCTCCGAATGAGCGGTATTTTGTATACGAGAATCGGCTAGCCACTTTCCAAGCTCCCCAGCCTGTCGGAAAGCGGAGGGACTCGCACGCAGGCTCACGGGCTCCCAAGTCGCTGCACTGGCCGCACAAGTCGCTCTCGCCAGCTTCGGTACGTGGTCAATCCTTCCCCCACCCCAATCCAACGGTGTACGGCTAACACGTCAACATTAGCTCGCAAGCGCAGGTTTCTTCTTCGACCCTTTCCCCGAGAGCCTTGACAATGCGGTCTGCTTTCTGTGCAACAAGGGCCTCGACGGCTGGGAGGAAGACGATAACCCGTTAGAGGAGCACTTGAAGCATTCGCCGAATTGTGCCTGGGCCATAATGGCTGCCATCGAGGCCGAGCTGGGCGACTACGGGACAGTGCATCCCCTCGAGCCTGCCATGGTCGAGGCGCGGAAGGCCACATTTGGAGGCCAGTGGCCCTACGAAAGCAAGAAGGGTTTCAAGTGCAAGACCAAGCAGGTAAGCAAATGCCCTGCACCTTCCGCGCTCTAATTCGTTGCTGACCAGTCCTTGTAGCTTGCCGAGGCTGGCTGGAAATACACCCCGACGCTTGAATCGGATGACATGGCAACCTGTGCCTACTGCCAACTCGCACTTGACGGCTGGGAATCCGGCGACAAGCCAATGTAAGCGCCCTCTCTTTTTCTATCTCTCTAGGATTCTTACCCACGCAATCTAACTCTCAATTCAGTGACGAACACTACAAGCGCTCTTCCGACTGCCCGTTCTTTGCCCTAATCAGCCAGTACCCCGCCCCCAAGAAGGCAGGACGAGCCAGAGCTGCTACAGTCTCTAAAGCGGTCCGGCTCTCGAATCAATCCGTCGCGACTGTCGCCACTGGTATTTCCGATCAGGCATCAGCCGCTGATGTCACTGCCGACCACGACGACAGTGTGTTGACCACAGCGTCCACCATGACACAGGGCGGCAAGAAGGCGCTAAAGGCGAGGAAGGCCGCTACCGCCAAAGGGCGTAAGACAAAGGCCAAGAAGGATGAAGCCGTTGAGATTCTGGAAGACGAGCCAAGAGAAACTCGAGAAACCCCACAGAAGCCAACAAGAGGACGCAAGCGCGCCAGTGACGCGATGGAGGACTCGGTCGTCACCAACTCGGAGGCGCCTGCTGCAAAGAAGCGTGCCACACGTGTTCGCAAAAGCAATGCTGTGGACAACACTAATACGACCATGGCGGCGCAAGATGTTGAGATGACGGATGCGGCGCCTGCACAACCGCTGGCCCGCCAAAAGAAAGGACGCGCCTCCACCGCGAAGACAACGCGTAATGCCTCGCAGTCATCACTCAGGTCCCAGGCTTCGACGGCATCCTTACGCAGCCACAATGATGACGACGAGATTGACCGCCAGCTCCAGGCCGACCTTGAGAGAGCTTTTACCGACGATGAGGATCTTGCGGCCGATTCTGAGGCCGAGAGAAAGAAGGCACCAGCACCCGCCAGAGGACGGCCTAAAAAGGCGGCGGCAACTCGTAAAGCAAGTGCCCAGACGACACAAAAGGCACAGCAGAGCAAGGCATATGCCATGTTCGACCCAACACCAGTTGTGCCAGACGAGGCGCAGGTGGAAGCTGAGCTCAAGACGTTGGAGGCCGCTGCAGAGAGCGAGACAGCCGCGCCAGAGGCTGAGACGCTCGCAGTTCCCAAGAAGGGCCGTAAGGCAGGTACCCGGAAAGCATCAAAACAGACGAAAAAGGCGAAAGAGCCTTTGCCGCCACCGGCTCTGGCGGATGAGCAGATAGAGGACGCTGCCACAGCTCCTCCGACCGTTGAGGATGCAGCTCCGGAAGTCGGCCGACATCTCGAGGAAGATGCAGAACTCCTCGATAACCCAGATCTCAGCACTGGCACCGTGGTCACCAAGTCTGCCGGTCGCCCGAGTCTCGAGAAACGCGGGAGAGGACTTCCGCCCAAAACATCCACAGCCTCGCAACCCGCCGTAGAGGCGCCAGAGCCACAAATATTGTCTGGCATTCCTGTCCAGATTGAGGTGCGTATAGAGTCATCTTATACTCGCGAATCACTACGCGCCCGCGAGTCGTTCTTGCCAGTCAAGGTAACACCAGCAAAGATTGCTCGGAAACCTGTTGCTGCTCCAGCCCCAGTAGCTGCTACACCGGTCACAGCGCCTATTCCGGCTACGGCACCTACTCCAGTCCCTCCTACACCGGCGAGGACCGAGAAGGCTCTCCCACCACCCCCGCCGCAGTCGGAAAGCCGGCTGCCCCGGCCGCCCACTACCCCTCGCTCACACGCCACCCCATCCGCATCAGCAAGGCAAGCTGCGATCTCTCCTTCTCAATCACCGCAATCCTCGGATGCAGAAAACCATCCACCTTCCTCGAAGCCAGCCGCCAGCGCCATGGCTACGCGCGTTGTACTGGCGCCGGTTGCAGCGACCCCTATGCGCGGCTCCCCGTCCAGACGTAACATCGTTGCTGGCCTCCAAAGCACAGCGCCATGGTCTGCTGTCGACCTGGAGCTGGTTTTCTCCCCCACCAAGATGTCTGAGAAGGAGAATGGCGTCGATAGGCTGCTACGCAAGGGCGGCGAGCTGACGAGTCCGGAGAAGCGGATGACAGTTGAAGAGTGGATATATCACAACGCCGGGCAGGCAGAGCAGAAGCTGAAGCACGAGTGCGAAGCCATGGTCACGATGTTTGAGAGGGAGGGAACCAGAGCCATGCACACTCTGGAGGGCTTGGTCGTTGAGTGACAAATGCTCCCGGAGGGCTTAGTCGTTGTGTTACAAATCGCGAGGCTATGATTAGGATGAGGGTTCATTAGAAGGAAATGTTTTTAAGGAGTGGCATTTGGCGTTTGATTATCTAGGCATTAGGTCTAGACGGTGGGCATCGGCGTCTTGGTTCATGTCTTCATTGGGTGTTAAGTTTATCTCTGGGCTGTTTCGATTTACTATTAGGCGTACGGGCCGTCCTCATAAGCAATCAACTTTGGCAGGGTAATCGATATACTTGGCATCAGTTGGCACTCATTGCTAAAGGGATGCCCAAAGACTTCTACAGCGGGATCCGCGGAGTCGTTAAGGTCGGTCAATTGTACCAGCATGTGAGATACCCGTAGGCAGTCACTTGCGGGGGGTCAGACGGTCAGCACAAGTACCTCCTGTCTGTCTGTTTATTAATATAGATCCCCTGTTGAGGGTAGTGCTCACCGCAGTCACAGCTGCGCTACAACCCCGGCTGCATATGATGCGGTGCTATACGTGTCCATGATTGCTTGGCGCTGGCTGTTCCGTACACATCGTGTACGTCCGTACTTTGCAGCATGCACGTCAACGATAATCGTGCTTATCATCAGTGAGCCGTCCATACCGAGGCTCAACCTGACCGCCCTGCCGAGATTGGATGCTGACGATGATTAATGAATGCTTGACACGATTCGAATGCTGACCGCTTATGCCGGCGGGCCGTGACCGACATGTCGAATTTTCCACAGCCAGGAACCGTTTGCGTGAAGTGATTGATTGATGATTCCGGAGCGTCGGCTGAGGTCAAGCAAGCAAGGAAGAACCAACCAACAACGAAATTGGTCCGCTAGCTCCCTGCAATCAAGCCAACCCACCCTGCCGTCCCCCGAGTTGGGCCAGTCAGATGAGCTGTTACCTGGCAATGCATGGCCCTTCGGCCGTTCTTTCCCCTCGTGAAGGATTATTTAGCAGTTTTTGATTAATAACAGCGCAACCAACGACACAGAGTACACGGAAGACGTCAGTCCCGGGAACCCGGTTTCGGATCAGATCGAGGCTCGAAGCTATTTAGGTTGGGCCCCCTCCCCGCCCCCCAGGTGCAGAGCCCGCTCCCGGGGTGACACAGCATTTGCGGCTTTTTTACCCCCGGGATAACTTACAAGATGTATGTAATAATTGAGTGGCTGTGTTTACCTAGGTAGTGAACATTAATAAGATGGGTTTTTAGCCAGGGGGGGACCAACACAACAGCCGGAAACGACGGCGATGAAACATAATCATGATGAATCGTTAACCTTCGCTGGTGCTGGCAGAGTTGCATGCATGCCGATTGCCGGATAGCAGACGGACGGGGTTAACAGGTGATTGGGGGGGGGACGGAATGTATCTATGTACATATTCGGAACAGCACGAAAGCTACCATTCTGGATGCGGCCTGCCTGCCTCCCAGCCTACCAGCAGTCGGTTCTGTCGGGCAGGCAGGCAACGGAGAGAGCTCCGCCCAACCGCATGAGCCCCGTTCGGATTCGATACCTTGTGCATGAGACTGGTCTGGATTCGGGCCAGCGCCAGACTACCAGGCAATAGGTGCCGGGGGGTGGGAATACCATTCCCATTACCATTACCATTTTGAGAGCGAGATCGTCCATAACTATGACATGCCTGGCCTGTTATGGCTGTCGGATCTGCTGGGTAAAAGGCGGTGTTGGCCGCTCCCTCTCGGTCCGGGGGTTCTCTCTCTTTTAGTTACATCCTTGGTTTGTGTCGTACCATTTACCTACTCACCCCCTTCCCGCTCTCTTAGGTCGGCATTTGAAATCAGCTGATCCGAGTCCTGCTGCTCGTCAGGTATTGATTGCCTGTTTTTGTCTGTCTGGTCACGTATTAATTACCCCGTCTCGCACTCTCTCATCAGGCATTCTTACACAGAGGCGCCTCGTCGTCATCGTGTATGCTTAGACTAACAGATATAAGTTTCGAAAAGCAGGTATAAGTCTCTGTGGGAAATAGCAGCCACCAGGACCCGGCTTGATGAGTTCACACTTGGTTGCCCTCGCCGCCCTCGCAGAGGTTGTGGCTTGGGCCGCATGGCACAAGTCGCTGTCGCTCGATCTCGCCATGCCGCTGGCGCTGACACTCGTCTCGCGCTTCTTCGCCTACTTCGCTCTTCAGTACGGCGCGCTGAAGTTTTACCACGTGGTCGTCTACCCCAATTATGTCTCTCCCCTGCGCCACCTGCCGGGGCCAAAGGTGCGTTTTCTTTGCTCGGAACGTGTAGAAGAGTGAAAATGGCTGACAAGAAGCTTTTGCGTTCTCTGGCTGTAGGACAACTTCCCGTTTATGGGCCAGGGCAAAAAGCTGCTGACGGCGTCGTCGCCTATTGAGGACTATGTGAAGTGGTATGTAGCCAGTTGAAAACGGACCCTTCAGGGGCTCGTTGTCCTTTTACGCCGTTCTCCCAGAGAAAGTCACAGCTCAGCCAATCATTCAAAGAGATATTGCTCTTTGCATCTTTCTCGAAGTGTCCTTTGTATCCCTGAAAAAAGACATCAAATCAAATACTCACCCAGACCCCCCTGCTGACCGAGTGCAAACACAACACCGTCACCAGGGGCAACACGTGGCCCGACGCGCCCTTCATCCGCCACCTCACGCTCGGCAACATGGAGGTGCTGCTAGTCAACACGCCCGAAGCGCACCGCGAGGTGCTGCAGACGCACTGCTACTCGTTCCGCAAGCCCGACATCCTGTACCGCCTCGTCGGCGAGATCATCGGCCGCGGCCTGCTGTTCACCGAGGGCGAGGAGCACAAGAAGCAGCGCCGGATTCTGGCGGGTAATTACGTTTCTTGTTTAGTTTAACTACCGACGATTTGATTTGACTAATTAATTGGTTTGGTCTCTAGGCCTGTTCTCGGCGTCGAGCATAAAGCGGATGCTCCCCATATTCCACGAAAAGGCACGGAGCTTGACCAAGTTCCTCGAGCAGGGCTTGGACGAGAATCGCAGGGTCACGTTTGAGGGTGAGTTGGGTTGTGTTTGTCTCTGTTTGTCTCGTCTCTTGAAGGCGATAGTTTGTCGACACCCCCTTTTAATTCATGAAAAACGTGTTGCAACAAAGCAGAGCTACTAAACGTGTTTTTGAAATCGACGAACCAGACCATAGCTAACCCATCAAACCGCTGCAGCCGTCGACGCCTTTTCAAAGATGACCATTGACGTCGTGGGCGTGACCGTCCTTGGCGTTGAGCTGGGCAACCTGTCAGCCTCAGACAAGAAGATGGAGTCAGTACCTACCTACTTACTCACAACAGCTTTTCTTAGGTTTTTTGCTCGCTCTGGGAACGAATCCAGCTGACACGTACCTGCCCAAACCAAGCTTCCTGAAGTGCTACCACCGCCTCTTCAACCAGTCGCCGCTGGGCGCGCTGATCGGCTTCGTCAACATCTACGTGCCCGTGAGAAAATGGCTGCCAGTCGAAGCCAACCTGGGCTTCATTCGCGCCAACGCCGAGCTGCGGCGCATGGTGAGCATGTGCGTGCGCGAGCGCGTGCAGGAGATTGAGGAGAAGCAGCGGCGCCAGCAAGCGGACGGCAAAGCGAAGGAAGGCAGTGTCGACGGCGACGGCGGCCGCGACCTACTGACCATGATGGTGGAGGAGCGGCGGAACTTCAAGAAGGAGGACGAGCTGACTGAGGAGGACATGGTGAACCATGTTTGTTGACTCCCCCCCCCCTTTTTTTTAAACCTCTCTTCCATCCCACCAGACCCTAACAAGCACGGGGGCTAAAAGCTGACACGAAACCAAAACCAAAACCAAAGCTCCTCACCTTCCTCGCGGCCGGCCACGAGACGACGGCGAGCGCCATGACGTGGGCCGCGTACATTTTGGCCACCAAGCCCGGCGTGCAGGACAAGATCCGCGCCGAGATCTCGGCGGTGCTCGCGACGAGCGCCAACGCCGAGCCCGACCTGGCCGAGATCGAGCGGCTGCACTACCTCAACAACTTCTGCCGCGAGGTGCTGCGGCTATTCTCTCCAGGCATGGCCCCCCCTCCCTTCCCAACCGCACCTCCCTTGATCTGATGAATGCCCTTAAAAAAAGGGGGAAAATAATGACTGACAACCCCCCCCCCAAAAAAAAAAGCTATCTCAAGCTACCGCGAAGCCATAGCCGACATGACCATCTGCGGCACATTCGTGCCCAAGGGCACAGCAATGCTGGTAGTGCCAGCAGTGACCAGCCTAGCGCGGGCGTCGTGGGGCGACGACGTGGACGAGTTCGTGCCAGAGCGATGGGACCTCCTCGAGAGCCCAGGGTCAAAGAACCCGTACGCCGTCGGCGCCTTCATGCACGGCCCCCGTGTGTGCATTGCCAAGCACTTCTCGCTAGTCGAGTTCAAGGCGCTGCTAATCGATGCCGTGCGCAGCTTCCGCTTCCTGCCCGGCCCGCAGCTCGAGGCGCTCGCCGGCCGCCTGCCCGCCGTCGACAACCCGGCGTTGGCGTTCAGGCCAAAGGGCGGGCTCCATATCGTGCTAGAGAAGATTTGACCGCCGGGACTGGGGAGGGGGGACGGGAAACTGGATGAAGGTTGAGAAGGGAAGGGAAGGATGGCCCGTGGTTTACTTTGGAAAGGTGCGCTATTATTATGTTGGAACGAACCGTTGTACATGTCTCTATCCCTAGAAATCACGGAGCACAAATTCTAGGCAGTACTCGTCTCCTGATACGCCACCGCAACTGCTCGCAGAAAATAACGACACAATCGACGTTTCTTTACCATTTCCTGTTCCTCTCTTGGGAACCAAAATATTTACGGCAACCAGGCTTCTCTACCGGCCCTCAGACAAAAACGCAATCGACTCAGCCTGCGCCTGGTGCCCGACCGACAGCGCGACATCCTTGACCTCATCCAGTTCCCTCAACTTCCTCTTGACATCCTCCCTCAGCGCGCCCCACGAATCGGGCCCGAGCGGCAGGCGCAGGGGAATCGGCTTGCCAGCAGCAACGAGCTCGAGCAGGGCAGCAGCAACACTGGCAGGTTCCGCCCAGTTCCGCGTGGAGGCAGGATCAGCAATATAAGCCTCGAGCACACGCGACGGCGAGTCGGCAGCAGCGTACGCCGGGTGCGGCGGCGCGATGCGCTGCATGCTGCTGCCGGCATAGTTTGTCCTGACGCCGCCGGGCTCGACAAGACAAAAATGCAGGCCCCACTCGGGGCGCACCTCGCGCGCGACCGACTCGGTGAAGCCCTCGACGGCGAACTTGCTGGCGTGATAGAAGGCCTGCGAGGGATATCCGACCCGGCCGCCCATCGACGTGACATTAATAATAACGCCGCCCTGCTTGCCTCCCAGAGCAGAATTGTCGTCGCGCATGACGCGCAGCGCCGTCTTGGTCAGGTCGACGACGCCCCAGAAGTTGGTGTCGAGCAGCCGGCGCGCGTCGCCGTCGGCCGCATTCTCCGTGTCGCCGATCAGCGTGTAGCCGGCGTTGTTGACCAGCACGTCGATGCGGCCGAACCGCGCCAACGCCGCGGCCACGGCGGCGTCGATAGACGGGCGCGACGTCACGTCGAGCGCCAGCTTGAGGATCTTGGTGTCGTCCGCGGCGACGAGGTAGTCCAGGCTGGTGACTTTCCGCGCCGTAGCTACTACGCGGTAGCCCTCGGCGCCCACGTGCGCGGCCAGCGCCTGCCCGATGCCCGAGGAGCAGCCCGTGACTGTGCCGGTGTTAGCGGGCTGAACAGGCTTGGGTTGGCGAGATAAGGGGAAGGGAACGTACTGAACCAGACCGCATCAGACGGGAGGTGGTAAGCTGACGCCATGGCTGCAGTTGCAATCCGAGATATGCAGTCTGGGTGTTGGTTGCGGAGCTTCCTTCACTTGTTGTTGATGAGACTCAGGGGTAGGCTGGTGCAAGTATGCGTGTGTGGATGGAGGGTGTCAATACCCGAAGACAAAGAGGACGGCGTGGTTGATGAGATGTGAATATATTCTTCGTTTTGTGCCCCAAAACACACGACTATGAACTGCAGAGGGGATATCCATACTTATACTGCTTGAGCCGACCGAGTCCATCTAACTCCGAAAGGACATGAACGCCGCGGAGGACAGGCCGATGATGTTTGATAATGTGGAAATTGTTAGGAGCTAATGCGTGCAGCGACATCCTCCGTAACCTCCAGGGACCGCGTGCATTAAATCCGAAAACTAGAGCTGGCGGCACTGCGGCCGACGCGGCCGAGCCCGCCTTAGGTCCATTGCCCCCCTATGGCAGCCCGCTAAAAATCGTTTCCAAACCCCCGACCCGGCCACTGTATATCAGCCCGCCACCAGTTCCACCACCCCCCTAAACGCCCCGAAATAAACCATAGCCAGCATGCTGTAACATGGAGCTTCCGAACGAAATGTGTCACCCCACCTCGATGCGGCCGCTCTCCTTGCCCCCCCCCACTCGATAAAGACCAGCCGCGGGGTACCGGCCGCGGGGTCCCTGCCTTACATAAACTGGCAGGGCCACCCCAGTCTCGATCTCTTTAGAAGGTGAAAAAAAGAAAGATCATTTCTCGTCCGAGGCGCCGATAGCGTTTTAATAGTGATGACCCGTCACGGGCCCCTTATGGCCTCCAATGGCGGGCACCACGACGGCCCTCTTGGTGCGGTGGATGATCCAGAAGGCGTGGATGACGCCGGGGAACCAGGCCAGGATGGTCAGGCAGATATTGATGAGAAAATCCGCGTCGCAGCCGGTGCGGAAGAAGACGGCCAGCGGCGGGATGAAGAAGGCCAGGATGTACAGGACCAGGTCGCTGACGGTGGAGTGGTTGTGGGCCATCTTGATGACCTGGAGCTTGAGGAGTAGTATGTTGTTTTGGGTTGGTGTTGGAGTGTCTTTTTGTGGCGTTGATTTGTGTGCTTGTAGTGTGCTGTCAACGGTGATGTTGCAGGAAAAGAAGTTTTTTTTGGTTATGGGTTCAAAGAAGGATGGCGTGGCTTTGGGGAAGATTTTGCTTGTTTTGTACTCGACGAATTTCGTGGAGAGAACCTGATGCCGACTGGCGGGTGACTGGCTCATCAAACATGTGAGACACGACGTCATCGCTACACAGCGCGAGCCGCTAAGCCGCAGAACCGGTTTTTGCCAAGCCAAGTCATCATCTTATCGGCCCATCGCCACTCAACCAAGTTTACGTGCGGGCACTGACTGGGAGCAGTGCATGAAACAAAGCTAACCTGGAAAACTCGGCAAGATACGACGAAAAGGATCAAAACGGCAAAAAGAAAGAGGAAAAAAACATACAACACCGAGGCATCATTTCCGGAAGTACCTTTTACCCGTGATTGAAGTTGACAGCGCATTAAATTGTCTAGTTAAATCAGGTCTAGTGGTACACGAAAGAGAGCCTTCTTACATTTAAGAAAAGGACAAAGAAACACCGAAGTAGCCTCAGACTAACAGAATGACCGTGTTTATTTACAGCCCTTTCTCGGCGAGGATGGATAATATACATAACCGTTATTTTTTTTTTTCCATTGCCCGGCCAAGTAAACAATGTACATATGTACAATACAGTACCGCTCAGCAAGAAACGCCCCCTATCTAGTCTTTGCCCATGCCACCCATATCGTGCCATGCATAAGGTCTCGCTTTTATCTTTTACAAAAGGAACGCTGTGTAAGTACCCAGGTAGTATGTGTAATCATTCACTTCACCTCTTTTCCTCGCCCGACTTGCCAGTCCCCGAGGCTGAGGCCACCTCCTCGTCCTTGGCAGCCTTCTCAGCCTTTTCGGCCGCGCGGCCCTCCCAGTACTTCCCAATTTTCTCGCTCATGTACCGCCACGTTCGACGGAACCCGCTAGTCAGAGGCCCTTTCAGAGACTGAGTCGTCGCCGGCCAGCCAATCGTCTGCTTGATCACAGTCCTGATGTAGCGGCGGAGCTCTGCCGTGTCGTCTTGGGCGATTCGCTGCTCAAAGCCGCCGCCCTCTCGCCGCTTGAACGAGATGGCATCCTCGTTCTTGCTCTCCGACATCATCTTGTCAAAGTCCACCTGCGGGATGGCAAACTTCTTCTGGTACTGGAAGTAGAGGCGTGACCGGAACGACTTGGGCAGCCGCCGCACCATGTTGCCGCGCTTGACCGGGTCCATATCCTGGACGAGCTTCAGACTTGCCTCGCCCCGAATCCAGTCTTTGTCGCTAGCAGCCGGGTCGTTGAACTCGACGTTCGGGAGCGTCTCGATCAGCGGGAGGTACAACCGCCGGAAGTTGGCCATGTTGTTGCCCACGATGTTCTTTACCTTGCTCGGGTTTTCAGTTGGGAGAGCCATTCGCGGATCTCCAAGGTAGCTGATCCCGGCGATGGTCCCGTACAGTTCCTCTTCTGTGAAGTTAGGTGGCAGGAGCAATAGAGCCGTCCGTAGCGCCGAGAGGAGGTTCATCTGGTTCGCTAGTCTGATCTTGGGGTCGTCTCGTAATATCTTGACGGGTTTTTGCAGTCGCCCGGCTAGGTAGAGCGTGTCCCATTGCGTCAAGTCCTGTTCTAGTGTGCTCAACTGAACGACTCCGTACTTGATCAGAATCCCGTTCACAACGACGTAGGGGTTAAAGTACACTCCAGCACCCCACTTGTCTTGCACGTAGGAAACGGCTCCGGACCCCAGGCTCGCGAGAGACGAGTAGTGGTCGTGGTGTTGCTTCATGTTGAGCGAGTGCCAGTGCTGCGTGTGCGAGACACCAAAGATGAAGTCAATCATCTTGGGCGTGCCGTCCTGGGCCCGTTGCACGGCGGGCGGCGCGATGGGGTGGATGGAGCGGATTATTTCAGCTGAGGCGGTTTTGCCATTGGCCTTGGACTGGGGGAACACGCCGGACCCGTACGCGAACGCATAACGGATTGGCGCTCGGAACTGCCAGGGAATCTGCTTCAGTACATCCTTGAACTCGGGGTCGAAGGGAATATGCTGGTTGACGCCGAAGTTGGCGTGAGGCAGGTCCTTGAACGACTCAATCTTCCAGTTCGGGTTCGCCTCCCAGTCTTTTATTTCGCTCGTCTCGCCGGAACCCGAGGACTGGGACTGTGAGGAATTCGAGGCCTCGTCCACTATCGCCTTGTGCGACAAGATGTCATCGTTGGCAGTGTCCGTGGCCGCATCTGCCACGGCATCTTTCTGGGCGCCTTCCCTCGCATCCTTCTCGGCACCTGTCCGGCTGCTCTCGTCGTCGCGCTGCGTCCCAAACCTCCTAGCGTGCGCGGGAGCTCGCCTGCTTCGGAATACCGGAGCCGGGGTGCGACAGGCGAGAAACGGGCCAAAGCGGGCAGACGGCGGTTGCGACGGCAGAACGAGGCGACCCTGTTTAAGAAGCTTGGTGAGCTGCTATACCGATGACTTCCGGGCATCCGTGAACCAGTGTAGCCGAGCAACCCAACCGCTGGACCACATTGAGCTAGAGCTGCAACTTACCAGGAGCTGGAGAGGGAGTCGTCCTCGAGCCATTGCGTAACGTGCGTCTCGGAAGAATATGATTCGATGTTGTATGGGCTGCGAGTCGGCGAGAGTGTCGCAGCGGAAGCTACGCAACGTCACCTTTGGTCGAAATCCATGCGTCAAAACAGTCGGGGTACTCCGTAATCCGCCTGCTTAACTGCAAGTTGGAAGACAGGAAGCTTGAAAGCCGGCAACCTCGACCGCTAGTGGCTCTCGCAATTCTGGGGTTCGCAGGGACAGGGGACACGGACCGCTTGGCGCCTAGTTCGAGCCACTTTCACTTACATGTATTCGTACCTCTTACAGTACCTTACGGAGTACGAAGTACCTAAAACATCAAATTCCATTAATAAACGTTCTGTCTCAAACCCGTCAACGAGCTTGGCGCAGCAAGTGCACGTGTGGGTAGAGCCAAATGATCAAAGTTTTTTTTTTTTTACCTAAAGCATGCTCGCCTTCTTTTCATCCCAAACTGAACACTGTAGTGATACATACATTCCTTTGCCCTACCATGAAACTCCAAAGGCCATCACTACAACACCCAAAGCCAGCGAACAAAGCCGGTCTATATCCATCACTTTATTTGTTTTATTCTGCAGTCTCACGTCTGTTAATTTTCTCTCGGTCCTAGCTTTCTTCTTGTGGGCTGTCTGCAAGTGTGACATCGTGCCAGGTCAGACTGACGGCAGCGTTCCGAGCGTGCGTGCACTAGAGCGCGGCGTGGAAGCCCCGTAATCGAGCACCACGGGAACCAATTAAACGCGCCAACGGCAGCTGGTTGCTGTCCCAATCAGGTGGGTTGGTAGGCGACCATATGGCAAACACCAAGTCAGCTCAACACTCGACTCGCTTCCGACGCCCAATTGTGCAGCGCTGGCTTCAGCAGAATGCGCCCATTCACACCCCAACAGGGCGACCGCTCCGGGGATGCGAGACGGCGCAACTCTGTCAACAGCAACTCACAGTTCCGGACGAGCGTCGGCAGCGGCCTTCCGCGCCCGAACACAAACCTCCGAGACTCAAGGGTACGGTCGCGTCACCTTTTTCCAGTTCCAGACAGACAGCCCTGTCCTGTCGCCTGTTTACCTATTGACACATTTGACAGTTTGGCGAGAGTCGCGGAATATCGACGCAAGCGCCATACAACATTTTCACCGGCGAGGCAAATCCCGCAGCGGGGAGCATGGTGCGCTCAACTTCACGGCAAGGCAATCCCTCAGGGCCCTCGCCCCCCCGTGGCCGACCCCGCGCTGCCACCACTGCCAGCAATTTCAGCCGTGAGAGCAGCAAGGAAAACCTCGCGCCAGCCGATGCCGAAGAATACGAGGCGCAGAGGCGTCGCATTGAGGAGCTAAAGGCAGAAGCCGGCACACTCCGCTACCAAATTAGTAATTACGAGCAGGAGAAAGAGCTGGCGCGGTTGCAAACCGAGAACGAACTGCGCGACGCTAAGAGACGCGCCGAAGACGACTTCAAAGCAAAGCAGGCGGCCGAAGCCGAAAAAACAAAAGCCCTCCGGCAACTCGAGGCCTTGCAAGAAGAGCTGGACACTGAACGGGCCGAAAAGGAGTCACAGAAGCGAGCACTCGAGGTAAAGACACGAGACGCTCTGGAGGAGGCGAGACTGCTTCAGGAGCGGCTCGAGGACCTGGGTGCCGCGAAAGACGAGGCCGCGCGCATCGCAGAGCGCGAGGCCACGGACTTGAAGGCGAGGCTTGCCGCTTCCCAAAGAGCTGCACGCGAGCTGGAGCAGGAGAGTACGACGCGGGAGGATGTGCTGGAAAAGACACAGGCTCTGCTAGCCGAAAGAGACGAGACAGTCGGCAGGCTAGAGGCCGACGTGCTTCGACTAAAGGCGCAGACTGGCGATGCAGAGACCATAGCCGTCATCCGAAGGGAACTGACGGAACAAGTCGCCCATATCCGCATGCTGGAAGCGAAAAACCGAGACCAGCTGGGAGAGCTCAAGCATCTACGACAAGTGCACAAGGCCGTTGAAATAGTTGAAGAGGAGAAGCGATCCCTTCAACGGCGGCTGGAGGCAAACGAGTCCGTTCATGCTGAGCTTGCTGAAGAGAGAAGGCAGCGGCAAAGGTTGGAGGACGAGAGGCAGGCCTGGGCGGCGTACTTGCAACGCGAAGCCAGTGCATCGGACCAATCGTTCGAGTTTGACTCGCCCGAAGCCGTTGCTAGGGCTTTGGTCTCAGAGCGTCTAAACTCTGCTTCCCTCCTCGACAGACTGGGGGCTATGCAGCCCGAGATTACCGATCGTGACAACATTATCCGTTCGTTGGAGAATGAGCGAGCCGGCCTGCAGAGCCAGATTGAGAAGCTCAAGACGGCGACCGTGCCCGGGGCTGTCGACAAGGCCCGCGCGCGCTTCGACCGACAACGCGCTCTTGCCCTGAAGGAAGTCGAATACCTACGGGCCCAGCTCAGTACTTTCGACATGGAGGACATTACCTTACAGCCAGAACGCGTGGACCAAGAACAAGCCAAACGCGTCAAGGACCTCGAGGATCTGGTAGAGAAATACAAGCAAGAGGTAGAGGTGCTGCACGCAGACCTCTCAGCGCTCGAGTCTGCGTCCGCAACCGAACAGCCCCGGTCTTCAGCCTTGCTCGGAACAAAACGGAGTCACGAAGAAAGCAGCGGCCGCGATCTGGAAGCCGAGTCGGAGCAGCTGGGCCAGCTGTCGCGGAAAAACAGAAAGTTGCAGTCCGAATTCACAGAGCTGCAGAATGCGCACTTCCTGCTGCAAAAGGAGCAGAAAGTAACCGCCGAACAGCTCGCAGCCGCCAAGGAGCAGCTGAAGACGCGCGTGCTGTCGCTGCGGTCGAACCCAACGTCGGACCTCGAGGCCGTCAAGACGGCGACGCTGCGGGCGCTCAAGCGCGAGAACGCCGAGCTACTGGCGCAGATGGAAGGGCAGCCGACGCTGTTTGCGACGGTGCCGACGTCGCAGCTGGCGGCGGTGCGGCGCGAGATCGCCGAGGCGCAGGCGGAGACGGCGTCGGCGCAGAAGGCGGCCGCGCGCCTTAAGCAGGTCTGGTCGGACAAGTCGGCCGAGTTCAAGGAGGCCGTCTTCAGCACCCTCGGCTGGACCGTCTCCTTCATCCCCGGCGGCAAGATGCGCGTCGAGAGCGTGTATTATCCCTCCCAGACCGACGAGCACGAGAACAGCATCGTCTTCGACGGCGAGAAGGGCACTATGAAGGTCGGCGGCGGCCCCCGCAGCGCCTTCGCCAACCGTATCGGTGACAACATCAAGTTCTGGGTCCGCGAGCGCGGCTGCGTCCCCTGCTTCCTCGCCGCCCTGACCCTCGAGTTTTACGACGAGCACACCAGAGCCGTGAGGTCATCCTGATTTTTTTGTCGGAAGGGGTTTTTTTAGGCGCCGCCGGAGGAGGCAGGTAGAGTTTGTAAAGGGATATAGTTTAAAATGTTCTGTAGAAAAAAATAACGGGCAACTTCCTTTGGGGTCTCTATTTACGCTTTGCTAGTTTTGGGGAGTTATGGGCTGGGTGGAGGGTCGTAATCTCACAAAACCAAGAGTCGCATCTTCCGTGCATAATCAACATCGTCCCTTTATCTCGACACATTTTCTGTTACTCTCGGACTGGCGGGGCATGGAGGACCAATCATGGGCAGGCTATGTTTGTGCGGAGCGTACTCAGCACATAGCCCATCATTCGTCATTAATTGATACGGAACAGACGAGTTGAGAGCTACAGCTACAGTACAATACAGTAAGTAAAGAACATCTTTACTACGACTAACTAGGTAGTTAGGACTATGATTTGACAGTGTTGATATGCCGAGAACAATATATTCCCATTATTATTATCCTATCTAGCAGATAAATGCCCTCTTCAGTGCCTATATAGTTAAAAAATAAAAAGTACCTACCTACGCTTTGACAGCCTAGAGCTCACTCTATTGATACCATCGTCCAACACTGACCATACCCACCTTACCTACCTAGGTAGCTCGCAAACGGGTAAAGTGGGGAAAAGAAGAAACTAAACCACTTATTAGCAGGAAAGCAACAGAGAATAGGGTATTCCTGGTACAAAAGGATTATTTGCATTGTTGTTGTGTAATGTGTGTTGAGTCTGATCAAACTCCTCCATCGTCTTAATCATCTCCTTCTGACTCTCTCTCTCTCTCCTCTCATCCCCTTTCACCAATTTTTTCGGCCTCGATCACTACTCCTCCCCGCGCTCCATACATACACCCCCCTCAGCTACAGGGCGGGGTAGTGATCGCATATACACCGACTGCTATCCATCGCTTCCACTTAAAAAAAAACGAAAAGACAAAACAGAGTCAGAATAGGTTGACACGTTTCTTTTCCTTCAGCGTATGACCCCCCAGAAACAAATCTCCAGCTAGCTTTGACAAAATAAAAAAACCAACCAGTCAAGACTATATTTGACAAGACAGACATGCAAACAGACATACGTTGCCACAACTCTTGTTACCTATTTAGCCTCATACTTCCCACTCACCAGCCTCTTGGCCAAGGGCACGTCCACCCATGTGCGGGTATCCTTGGCAAGGGCAGGAGACAAGGGGCCACCTTTGTCGTCTGCAAAGGGATCCTCCTCGTCGGCGTCAGCACCGCTCAGATCATCTCCTGACTTCTCCTTGCCCTTGCCATCCACCAGTCGCGACACGGAGATGCCGCCGCCGATTTGGTCGCCTCCTTCAACGGCCCTGGTAGGCGGGGTGTAGTCCCAGCGCACTTCGATGTGCCCAGGCTGGGGCTCGGCGTTCTGCTCACCAACAATGCGACATATGATCTTGGACCAGTCGTCGGACAAGGTAATATCGCCCAGACGCCAATAGATAAGATGCTTCTCCTTGAGGTGAGTCCCGGACGGCTTGGTCTGGGCACCACTGGCCCGTGCCCCCTCATATGTTGCTACAAACGCCACATTAGACAGCGTTGTTGGCCGAGGAAGTGAAGAGTTTGGATTCAGGCGGTATTGCAGGAGTAGGCCAAGTTTATCTCCCTGGAGCTTCCAGGTGGTCTGAATGGCAATTGGACAATGAGATGCGAGAGTAGTCTCGTCTTCTGCATGGACGCGATAGGTGAAGGCGGGCGAAGGCCCAGACAGACGGGACACATCGACAGTAAACTCGTCAGCAGAAGCCGACGTGTTGCTAATAAATACACGATTAGGGCCGATGGAATCGAGGCGAACAAAATTATTTAGCCGAATTGTTTCGTGGTCTGAATCTCATTAGCCCCGCGAAGCGCCAGTCAGCAAGACAAGTTACAAGACATACCATGGTGGGTGGAATCCGAGTCCGAGTTATAAGCAAGTGCGATTTCGCCGGTGATTTTGGCTGACTTGACAACTCCGTCTTGGAACAAGGCAGAAACGGTTTCTATGATGGAAGACTGCAAACCAGGTCCGTAACCTGTGCCCTGCAGATCCGGGTGCTTTAAGCGTGCAACGCCGCCATACGACGACGCGCCTCCAAAGGAGGTTCCAGACCGGATTGACTGTGTGTCAGAAGCATGGCTGGTTTCTGAAGCGAATGTGGCCGAGTGGGTTGGTCTCGGCGTAAACGAAGCTGGCAGGGATGGAGAAGGCGGGAACGCGCTTTCGGAGGAATTTTCGGGCACGGGAAGAGTTGGCATGTACATCGTGTTTCGAACGTCTCTTCTGCCCCTCACCGTCCCTGTCTTCCGAGACGGGATCCCCATGTGCGTGAGGGCGTTTGCCACATTGGAAAGCGCGGCTTTCTTCGCGTCCTGGTCTTCTTCAGCTATCGGCTCCTTCTGGATGCTGACTTTGAAGAACTGATCCGCCTCTTCGGCCGCAGCCGCAGCTTCCCTTTGAGCTTCAGAGATAGGGTCGTGGGTTGAGGTCGGGATTGTGAAGCCCTCGGAATCCTTGGTGGGCTCCGTTTTGTTTTGCTGAGAAGGTGCCACAGGAGTGGCAGGGGCGTCAAAAATGTCCTCGGCGGTTCCGTTTAGAAGACTGGACGACTGCTGCTCTGGAGAGGCGTCAATTGGTGCCTTCCCACCGTTTAACCCATTAGTCCCCTCGTGCGGACCCTTGGCATGCTCTTTCTCAGCTACGCTGTCACTTCGCTCCGCCGTTGTCGGCCTCTCCGCTAGAGACGAGAGCCTGTTTTGAGAGTCGGTCAGGTTGTGGGAGGAAGCTCTTGGGGATAGCGACTGGCCATGGCTGCTTCCAATGTTCCTTGTGAAGGAGCCCAGGCTTTTTGGAGGGGACAGCGGACCAAAACCTCCATGTATACTTTGCCGCCGGCGTCCCAGCATGGTCCCAAACCGACTCCGTATTCTCGATTCTAGTCCCATGTCAAAAACCACAAAGGTGAGGAGACGTCAAAGACGGTCGATAAAGCGTACCTGAATGCCCATCCCTGTGGCCCGAGTGATCACTAACATCGTCGTCGTGGCCCGAGATGCTAGGCGCAGGCAGATTCGGGCCAGCCACAACGCTCGACTGGCGAGTCATGGGCTTCCTCTCGATTTTTGGTTTCCCGGCAACTGTTCGGTGTGCAAAGTTCTGAATCTCTTGAGTCGTATTGACTTCAAGCATCGTGTTTAGCACCTCCTCGGCCGATGTTTGGGTGCGAGTGGCCTGGTCAACTTCGTGGGTTCCGAACTGGGTCAGGACATCGCGTAGGTGGTTGATTCTCTGTTCATCGAGAGCTTGGAGGGTCTCGAAGATAAACGGCGCCTGCGACTCCCATTGCTGGCTGGCCGACTCGAGCCTCGACGCCGCGGCGTCCACTTTTTGGGCATTAGCTTTACCGCCCTTCTTGCTCAGCTTGTCAGACTTCTCGGCAGCATCGTCGAGCTCCTTGGCCATTGTCTGTAAGTTGGCACTTATGGTATGCATGTTTTGCATCTCCTTCTTGTTCTGGAACCCGCGAAGGGCGAGCTCGACATCCTTCTCGACGCGCTGGGCGAATAGCTGGTGCGAAGCCGCCATGGCGTCGGCCGACTGGAGAATCCTGTCCCATGGCGTTTGGAAGACGCTATCAGTAGCGAGAGGCCAGTTAGCGGAAGGGGCCAGGGATGACAAGCGGGGAGGGTAGAGACGGGAGTGACGGGGGCGCGACGAACCCTAACTCGGATGCTGCACTCGGAACTTTGAAGACGAGCAGCTTGCGCAAGCCGGCGACATATTGTTCTTCGACTCTCCGGCGCTCCTGTGGGAATTGCTCAGTTCCAAGAGTCCTTACTGTCGGTAGCAGACATGGATAGCGCAGTGCGTCGTACCTGTAGCCAATCTGCAATTTCTTGGTTGACTCTCGCAATGCGCTTGACCCGCTCCGAGAGAGCGTGCACAGCTTGACTCGGCTGCAAGTTGGCCTAAAGTTGGAAGCAACAATTAGCGGCTAGTCGTGGATGCGGCTAGCAGGCACAGACGTAGAGGAGTCGCGGCTCGATTGGAGGGAGCGAGGGGCGGCGAGGGCTTACCAGCATAGCCGGATACTCAGATCGCGAGAGGTCGTCCATGACTGCCGGCTGCCGACTTTTTGCAGCTTGGTTTTGTTTGGGCGCAACGAGGAGGAAGGAGCAGGGAGGAAACTGAAATCAGCACATAACAACTCTAAGGGATGCAGTTCGGCCCGGGGACGACAAGGAGGACGACGGGAGGGGATGAAAGGAAAATTATACAAGGAGCGGAAGGGCAGAGAAACAAGATGCCGCGTTGAGAAGTCGTCGTGGAGCGATCTGAATACGGTCCTGCATGAAGAAACCGCCGGGCCCTTGCTGTTTCCTTGCGTTTTGTCACGGGATGGGCGGGATGGAGCTCGCATCCCTGTGGCTGTGGAGCAGCTCTCTGTCAGCCCAAGCCATTGCAGCAGCAGCAAGATGAATGGCCCGTGCATCGTTCCAGCAGTAAGGGTTAGGGTTTATGCATAGCCACGGCGGGATTGCTCCCTTCACCGGCCTCCGTGATTCAATGTTTGAGACCGGCTCTCGGAAAATGGACACAGCCTCAAATAGAAAGAGAAATACCTAATCATAGCGTCAAACATTAAAGAGGTCGTAGAATATCTTAACCGCGACAACTCAACAACATCATTTTCCCACTAATAATCCTTCGCTCTCACCCAGTTTAGTAGATAGTATCTACTTCATAACTTCCAGATAATCACAGTACAGAATATTAGGTTGCATTCCAGCTGAGCTGTGGAAGTCTGCGCATGAATTCGCCCAAAATTTCTCCAAAATGTCTTGAGCCAGCCCGCACCTCTCTTCTCAAACGAAGAAGCTTGTTTGGGTCGGAATTAGCTGTCATGAATACCACATTGACTCATTTAGTCGATGAGGCCCGTGCATGTTTGCCCCCTAACCACGTTTGCCCAACAGGCTGCGAACGAAGCCCCAGGCCGTGCGTTCCGTGCAAGCTTTTTCGATAAATGCGAGCAAGGGAGGGCCCGCCAAGGGACCGGAGGTGAGGCACGGAAAGAGGAGTGAGAATCCAGCGGCACGGAAACTCTGTCTCCCCAGATTCTGCAACTCCCGTGCAAGCCCCATAATTATAACGTTATCTGGGCTCCCTGCCGTGAACGTCGAAGCAAGCCCGCATTCTGCACATTTTGCGCGCATTCAACGCAGGGGAAAACTCAGGTGCCATTTCCCCAGTCGTCCCATGAACCGGGAGCCTGCATTTACCGATACTGTGCTTTAGTGCTTCAATACGTATCGGGGAAAGCCAAGCTGAACTGATCAGTGTGACGAGAATCCCAACAAGCCCAGCGCACGCACGCACGGCCCGTCACAATCAGGTCCAGGGCAATTAATTCTCCACGACTGGAAAGCAACCAATTCTTATCGCCTGTCTGTGTTTTTTCTCCAGCCGATCATCAACGCCATCCATCATTATGTCATGAACCATACATAGCATTAATCGACCAAAAATGGCATCGTCGCGCGATTGGAGGAATTCACTGACTGCCTCACAGCGCTATGAGAACATTCAAGCACTGTGAGTATCGCCCGATTCTTGATGGATGCGGCACCTTGACGAGATTGCTGATGGGCGGTGGTGGGGCTAGGACAAGAGCTGTTGCCGCTCGTGGCCTTCGCCAAAGTGCGTTTGCGATAGAAGACTATGCCTACAAATGCGCCGCCAGCCGCGTAAGCTACCTAGAAATCACGGACCCGGCCAGCTTATGGGAAAGGGGCTGACGACAAACCAGGAAGCTTATGATGTGGCATGTCGCAGCCTCTCAGGCGGTGGGCCAGCCGACACCAGCGCTCCTCCAGAAGATGCACCCCAAGAACCTTTAGGGAGTGCCCCTGAGTCGGGCGATACGGATGAGCCTAGGACCAGGATTGGCCAATATTATGACTGCCACTACGTCGCCAGTGGCGTGACAGCCGAGGTCTATCGCTCGCAGGCAAAGGCATTCAAGGTCATCGTTGAGACCAAGAACATCGAGCCTCACAACCCGTTTCTGGAGGCAAGGATTCTCAAGCTTCTCCAGAAGCCGTGCATCCCCCTGCTAGAGACTTTCCGGGACCAGGAGCAGCGATTCGTGCTGGTCTTTCCCTACATGCCCCTAACTCTGGCCAGCCTGTTAGAACAGGGGCCGCTCTTTGCCGTCCAGATCCGCCGTATTTTCCGCGATCTCTTCACCGCGCTTAGCCAAATACACTCTCAGGGGATCATCCACCGCGATATCAAACCGTCGGCCGTGCTGCTGGCCTCGCCAGAGGGGCCGGCATACCTATCCGACTTTGGCACCGCCTGGCACCCCTCGCTGTCCTCGGCAGCGGAGCCCGCCGACAGCAAGCTCCTCGACATCGGCACGGGACCATACCGGGCGCCCGAGGTGCTGTTTGGGAATAAATCATACGGGCCGCCCGTCGACATGTGGGGCGCGGGTGCCATGCTCGCCGAGTGCTGCCGGAGCCCGCCGAAGCCGCTGTTCGAGTCGCGCGGCGTGCACGAAGACGGGAACCAGCTGGGGCTGATCCTCAGCATCTTCAAGACCATCGGCTCGCCGACCAGGGAGAGCTGGCCCGAGGCGGTCGCCTTCAAGACCCCGCCCTTCGACATGTACCGCGCCTTTGACCACCGCCCCTGGGACGTGGTCCTGCCGGATGTCGCCCCGGACTGGTGTGACCTCGTGGCCGCGCTGGTCAAGTTTGGCAGCAGCAGGGCCTCGGCCGACCAGGTGCGTTGCCTGACAAGTCATGGTTTGATTTTGGGATATTGTGCTGATGATTTCGATTTTTTTGTCTCTAGGCTTTGCAGTACACTTGCTTGAGTGGAGAAGAGGGCTCAACAGCAGACTGAAAACTGCTTATTGGGGTCGGCGTGTTTCGTGACCGTTTTCAGTCTTCAAGGAAGCTGCTCATAATGGCCCCCTCTAGTTAATTATCATCGGATTGGGTAGCGGGCTTGTTAGATATTCACCACTTAGGACTCTCAGTTTACTGAGCTGGCTGAGGCAAATATAATTGACTAATAGTTGACCACAAGACATGATGACCTACCTACCTCACTTACTCTGGGTAATGATCTGAGTAATTAGCTAATTGAGAGCTGATTGAGTCGTGTCAAAGAAAACAAAATATCAAACACGGGAGCAAAGGGCTCTATTCGGCCTTCCAGTAACCCCGTTTGTCGGCATTATTGGTTCCGCGGAGTATGAACCATACATACTGGCTCTTCTCTTCTCGACTGTGACACAGTGCATCGTGTGTATATTAGTTGCTATAATGTAACCAAGCCTAAACAGATACGGCGATTTGTCTAAAGGAATATGGAGGGTAATTATTTGCGTATACTCCGTACAGCGAATAAATACATGAGACACGCAGATGAGATGAACAGATGAATGAAGACCTTATTTTGCATTATTAATACAGACAGGTTGACGAGTATCCAGTTTCCTGTCCGTGACGAGGCCAACGGTGATTTGCCCGGACTGCCCGTCGATGCTGCACTCCAGGGTAGCCCGCATTATGCGGTTGGAAGTTGACGGATGGGATTTGTATGGAAGCTAAGGGTTGGCACTGGGTGGGGGGGAGGATGGGGGACGGGAGAAGGGGGGGGAAGGACCGACGGACTGGCGGGTTCCCACTTCTCTGACCGAATAAGGTACCTTAATTCTTGGCAAGAACCCTTGCCCTGGTTGCTCCTTCCCAACCCTGGGTTCCATCACTCCCGGCTGCGCTGCCTTGGCCGGAGCGTGCGTGGACTTGGGGTCGATGAAGAAATGTTAAAGCAGGGCACATTGCTTAAAGCAAGCACTAGGCCACCTCGAAAGTAGAAACACTAACGACCTCGGGACTCAGCCCTAGACCTGGCGATCCCGAAAATCTTGGCTGGTCCCATCGTTCGCTCCTCGAGCCCTTAGCGAGTGCGGCACTCCACCGTTTGGTGGCGCTACTGTTGGCGTGATCGAGAGCTTAAGTGGACCAAAACCCCGCTCCAGCCCTTCACTCGTCGCAGCCAGACCCAGCCCGCAACGATTGTCGGGACCTCTTCGATTGGTTGCACCTGCGGGCTTATCAACCTATTGTCGGCGTCCCAGGGCGTGCGTGGGACCGTCCAGGTCAAGAAGGCGTCGGCTGCGCCCCCATTCAAGGCCTTGTCTGTCTGTCGTCGGCCACGTCGTTGAGGCCCCGTTCCTACGCTCTTTTTGTCCTCATCCAGAACCCGCCAGCCCAGATCAGCGCATGCTCTCCGCAGCCCAGAGACAAGAAGCAACCCAACAGCAATAGCAAAGCGGCAACCAGCGCCAGCAGCAACAGCGGCAAAAAGGCTTGCGCTTGGCTGGGCCATGCAAAGCGCGAAATGAAGAACAAGCAAAAGTCAAGAAGCGGCTGCCGGACGTGCAAGCTCAGGCGGGTACGCGACCCATTGAAATCCGTCCCATGCATTGGATGGCCCCGTCGTGGCGCGTGGTCGTGGTGGGACGTACGTGGGAGTGCACTGTATGAGAGACTGATGTAATGTAAATTAACAGCTCCGATGCGACGAAGCAAAGCCGGGCTGCCGGAACTGTGCCCAGAAGGGTCTCGAATGCCCGGGCTACCAGCAGCGCCTGCAGTGGTCCACCAAGCACGAGAGGCCCTCGGCCGCGACAACAAGCGGCCCCGTCAACTTCACCCAGCTCGTCTGTGCCGCATCAGAGTCCATCTCCCATCCCGGCGGCCCGTCTTTCGACGAGACGGCTCCGGATCGCTCGGATGGCCGGGCCTCGAGAACACCAGAGTTCGAGTCTGGCAGGTCGATGACACCGTCCTTGTCGCCCACGCCTGAGTCGTCATCCGCGAGTCCCGCCGCCGACAATGCGGCTTTGGTGCCTCTGGCCGGGCAAGGCGCCGTCGTCCAAGAGACGCCTGATCTCATGCTGTTTCAGCCAGTCGTGGACATCCCCTCCTTTCTTGTCGAGCACTGGTTCAAGTCTGTCTGCGCCTCCTGGTCAGCCCAGGACTCGGTCACAAACCCGTACCGCCTGCTGACGTCGTCGCTCTGGAACACGTCGAGGCCTGTCTTTTACGCTCTGCAAGCCATCTCGGCGGCGTCCCTCGTCGAGCGACTTCCCCATGTGATGAAAGAGACTGCCAGGGCGGCGCCGCGACTGGCTACTGACGCCATCCGGAAGGAGCTTGTCGCTTTTTCAACAGCATCGCGCCGCAGGTTTCCCAGTGAGTTGCTTCTGTCGCTGTTCTGCATGAGTTCATCCATGTGTTGGATGGAAGCCCGCGAGCTCGGTCTGCAGTATGTAAGGCAAGCTCGCGCGTTGCTGAGGTACTTGGATGGGTGGACATTGGACGAAAAAGAGCAGCAGATGCTCGATTTCTTTAATGGATGTCTCATCTACGAAGAGATGCTCCGCAGTGTGGTGAGTGACGACGAAATAGACTGCGAGAATATGCTTAGCTGGCCGGAGCCGCCTTCCCTCGGGCCTCTGGTTCCTGCAATCCCACATGCTTGGACTGGTGTTTCCCCCGACCTCCTGAGACTGTTTGGCAAATCGGTCGCGCTCTGCCGGAGGTCCCGTACCCGATGGAGGAACAACGACGGCACCAGCTACCGCATTCTCGAAGGTGCCGCCAAAGACATAGAGGAGGCTACAGTTGTCGAGGAATCCCTTTTGGCAATCGAAATGATCGACCCGCCAGAGCTGGACCAGATGACAGTCCGGGCCCGCAGCCTTCGTGATGTTACCGAGGCTTATCGTCTGTCGTCTCTCTTGCAACTTTACGAAACCTTCCCAGACCTCATCACCAAACGAATTCCGGCCCTAGCCGACGCGGATAGGTCTGCCGTCTGGAATGCCTGGGTGTCCCCGTTGGCACTTCATATTACTGACATTCTGGAGGGGATACCTGCCGGAAATTTGCGCTGCATCCAGCCTCTCTTGTGTCTTTGTGCAGGCAGTGGGTTAAGGTTCGACGCCAAAGTACCCCAAGGCCGCGATTCTCGGAGCTACCTTTTGAGCACGGAGCCTCTCTTACCAGTTTCACCAATACCATTGGAGCTTGTTGCTACAGACGTAGCCTCGGATGTGGCGCCCGATGTCGCTTCCGGCGTTTCTCCGGCTTCCAGCGTCCCTTCGGCAACCCCTAATATTTCTGAGAACTCGGTCAAAATATCACACGCACGCCAGTCTTTGATGGATCGGCTCGACCAGCTCGAGGTCAGTTTACCGCCAAAGCCCATCGGTGTGGCCAAGCAGCTTCTGCGGGCTGTTTGGAGTGCGTATGACGAAGAGATCGGCACCTCGCGCCGGACCCATTGGCTGGATGTGATGAGCCACACTGGCTTGCACAGTCTCTTTGGCTAGTAGCAGCAGCAAAAAAGAAGAGAAAAAAGACTTGGAGACATCAAATGCAACAATGTGCCCAGACAAATGACTTCCTGTGATGGCCCTTTTTGGGGCTGCATATCTAATCGAGCCTCGCAGCTCTGTTTGGCATCAACGTACAGTTTCATCATGTGCCTATGCTTCACGTGTCTTGAGATTAGACAAGGTCTCTGACTTTCTTCATCACCGTCATCCCATTTTATTTTTATTTTTATTTTTTTTTACCACGGGCCATTTTTTCTAGTCCAGAGCAATATTCCCCTTTGCTGTTGGGGTGTAATCCACCTCGTCGGGATATTCCAGACCGGCCAAAGATTCCTCCGTCTCGTTGAGGTCAAGTCCTTCATGTATATGCCTGGTCACACATTAGTTTCAGCGGTTCGGTCTGAAGGGGTTTCTCGATTTGGACTGACTTATCGATGGCCAGGACCTCGAGGCCAGGCACACAGTCGATCAGAGCTATTATGATATAAGACCCCCCAAACGCCCAGGAAAAGCCGACGATAACCTCGACAATCTGGACCCAAAGCTGGCGGATGTTGCCGTCAAAGAAGACGCCACCTGCAATATCGAGCCCGCCGTACGCGGCAACCTCTTTTTGTGCGAACAAGCCAGTGCAGATTGTAGCAGCCATGCCGCCAATGCAGTGCGTAGCAAAGGTGTCTCCGTTGTCGACCCAGCGCCAGTGTTGTGCGAGCTTGGTGAACTTGATTCGGAGAGCTTGGCGACAGAGGAGTGCCCCGGATATGCCGAAGAAAAAGGCTGTCGGCATGTCTATGAAGCCAGCAGCCGGCGTGATCATGACGAGACCAGAGATTGCGCCCATAAACGTCGAGTCCAGCGACCATTTCCCTGTCTCGAAGTACGTCCAGAGAGCCCACGTCAAGGCACCGGACGAGGCACACAGGTTGGTCACACAGAGCGCCATGACTGCCTGGAAGTTTAGTGCGAGAACTGTGCCGGCGTCAAAGGCGAGCCATGACCCCCAAATGATGATCATGGCCAGCAGCTGGAAGAAGGAGTTTCCCGGCCGGTGGAGGCGAATGTGCGTCGGGGTACGAACCGCCGATTTACGGGACCGGAAGATAGGGTACGACAAGTAGATGCTCAGAGCAGTGGCCGATGCTCCGGAACAGACATGGACGGGAGTTCCTAGGCGGCAGGTTCCGTGGTTAGCCACTTCACCTCCCAACAGGTTGAAGTTTCGGCAGTTTCTTCCTACCTCCTGCGAAATCTAGCACCCCGAGGTCTTCACCGAGGAAGCCTCCGCCCCATACCATGTGGGCCAAGGGGCAATATATGAAGGTCGACCATAACTGTGGTGCCTGTTAGCTTGACCAGTTTTGCCCTATAGCCCCAACATATGGGAACTTACGGCGATAAAGAAAACCGCCGGCCATAGTCTTCCACGCTCGCAAATGCCGCCTATTGCAATGGCACAGACGGTTGCCTCGAAAACTAGCTGAAACTCGCTGAAGAGGATGGCTGGAATTGTTCCCACTGGCTCGGCGAGCACACCTCGGTGAAACAGGTACTTGAAATCACCGAAGAACCATCCGCCCTCGCCATAGGCGATGGTGTAGCCAATGACAAACCACTGGACCGAACACGTCGCAATGGCAAGCACGGCCGCCATGGCGGCGCTCAACCCGTTGCGCTTCCATGTGTAGCCTCCATATGCAATGCCGACCTATTGGAGAGGGTGAGCGATCATGGTCTGGCGTGGCCCAATACTCCGTTCCGCTGGGGGAGCAAAGGGAGGACGTGCACACGACTTACTGTAGGTACGATGGTCCAACAAAACACGGTGCATACTAGGATGAAGAGGGTGTCGATCTTATCGCATGCCTCCCAGGCCTGCAACACGGACGAAGCCATGGCTCGGGAGGGCCGGAGGGGGGGTTTCAGGAAGCTGGAGGGGAAAGTGGAATTCGGGTCCCTGCATGGAGCTGGTCGAGATCTCCGATCTTTGGAGAACCACTCGCTGCCTGGGGCCGAGATAAACAACGCTGAGGACGAGCCGGGAAGAGATCATTGCATCTGGGTCGCCTTTGGTGCGTTGGTATTTTATGTCATCTCCCTCGCTTGCATGTGGCAACACTCGAAACCCCAAACCCCTCGACTAGCCGTCCTAGCTACAATTTCGGGATCGGCTTCGGAATCGGTTACGGAATACAGTAAGAATGTCTACGACTTTTGGCAGCAAACACTGCGATCTAGTCGATCGAGCTCGTTGATAAGTCCTCGATAAGCCGGTCCAACACACCAACAGCGGCTTATTTGGGGGGTGTTTGCGCCCGATAAGCAAGCTACCCAGTACTTTTTTCCTCAAAGAAGCCTAGCCTGAGGGTGATCCCGCCTACAGCTCCGAGCTCGATAACGGCCCCCCTCTGAAGTTCCCCTAGAAACCCGGAGGCCGACCTTGATGGGACCTAGGTTGATGCGAGCTTAACCACCGCTAGCTCACCAGTAGCACCTCGACGCCAACATCACCCTCCAATCGAGTGACACAGTACGCAATCTGCAGAGGACGGAGTACCTGAGATACGGTAGGGCTAGACAAATCAACGGCCCACCTAGCCATTCATTCGTGGCGAGAGCTCCTCACCAACCACGTTCCAGAACGCACCGCAGGGAGTTATTGTCTTGGGGCCTCCTTGTTGGTTCCCTCGAGTTCCCCCATTGAACGCTACCGAGGCTTCCCCCCACACCATCACACCCAGCTAAGCCCGCGCGGTGGGCGTCTGCATGCATGCAGGCCGGACTCGTATCAAATCTCCAGAGAGGGCCGTCCCACGACCGATCCGAGTGCAATCGACGGCGGTCCACATAGGCGATAATGGCTTGTTGGCTACCTAACTTCCAGTGGCCGGGGTCTGACTCTGCGGGGAAGAGAGAGCTCCCCTGCGGTAAGAGGTCAAAGCCAGAGCTTATTCGTTCGACTAGGCTCTGATAGCAGGCACAGTTCAGTAACCAGTAGGTAGCTATCTAAATCTACACTCGCCCCATCGGCTTGGCTATATATGCATCCTTCCTTGGCCGTGAGACGCGTTTTCCCCAGGGCATCCACAGATAAAACAAATCTCGCGGCCAAGCCCTTGGCCTGCCTCTTTTCTCCTTCTTGGCCCGGCACCGTTCTTGTGTTAACTACGGTACTTTCTCCGTAACGCTGCCTTGGTGTTGCCCTTGGCCCTCACGAGCGGGACCCGAGTATCTCTCGCAGTGTAACGCAGCGGATCGATCCTGGCTGGCATCCTGCACGCACTCCACGCCCACTTTATCCACTCGCACCGCACCGCAACCTGCATCCGACTGCGTCGCGCGCCGCGCCGCGCCCCCCCCCCCCCGAAAGCATCCAAGCGCCCGTAAAAGCCGGGCCGCCTAGAGCTGCTATTTAGCCGATTCCCCGGCTCCGGGTCTCGGGAGCCAGGCTCCACCTGAGCGCCGAGATGGACGAGAAGAAGGACGCCGGCCCGCAGGTCGAGGCGCAAAACGCCTCGGGCGAAAGCCAAGAGGTTGACATTCTCAACATCTTGGGCTACAAGCCCGAGCTGCGGCGCAACCGGTCCATGTTTACCTTGCTGTTCCAGTCTCTGGCCATTGCTGCTGTATGCTGGTTCTAATTATCCCTTTTTGATCTCTCCCCGATTGCTACTGCAATGGTGCTACGGCCTGCAGCAGCTGACATGAAAATCTTTTTCTCATGCGCCTCAGATCCCGTATGGCTTCGGTGGACCGCTGATCAGCGCCATCTATGGCGGAGGTGAGTCAAAAGACGCGAGAATCGAAGTAGAAAGGATTTGCACCAGAACTGCATAACTAACCGCGATGACGTTGGCATTGAAGGCCAATTGCCCATGTTCCTAGGCTGGATCGTGGTCCTCATCGTCGACGAGTGCGTGGCTCTCTCCCTCGGCGAGCTCGCGTCGCGCTACCCGACCTCTGCCGGGCCTTACTACTGGTCGTTCCAGCTCGCGCCGCACAGCGTCCGTACGGTGCTGTCCTTCATAACGGGCTGGACGTGGCTGATCGGGAACTGGACCATCACCCTGTCGGTCAACTTTGGCTTCGCCTCGCTGATCGCCGCCTGTGTGGCCATGTACCACCCGGAATTCGAGGTCGAGCCGTACCAGCTGCTGCTCATGTTTTACGCCATCTGCATCATCACCTTCTTTGTGTGCGCCTACGGCAACCGCTTCCTGCCGCACGTCGACACCTTCTGCGCCGCCTTCACGGCCCTGGCCATCTTCATCACCCTCATCTGCCTCTCGGTCAAGGCCGACGTGGGTAGGAACTCGCCCTCGGACACCCTCGGCCACTTCGACAATTCCATCTCGGGCTGGGGCGACTTTTCTTTCTTCATTGGCATCCTGCCCGCCGCCTACACCTTCTCCGCCATCGGCATGATCTCGGCCATGGCCGAGGAGTGCGGAGACCCGGCCGTGAAGCTGCCTAAGGCCATTGCCCTGTGCGTGCCCGTGGGAGGAATCGCCGGGCTGTTCTTTGTGAGTCGCAGCGCAACCCCCTGTTTTGTTCTGTGAGCTTAGGGATGGGTCGGAAAGAAGACGGGCAGCTGGGGAAAGACTAGGAAATCGTTTTCTGACGCCCAGCCGATCCATGTCTAGATTATCCCGATCTGCGCCACGATGCCCGCGCTCGCCGACATCCTGAACGCGCCCGTTGCGCAGGCGCTGCCGTACATCTTCCAGGCCGTCATGGGGTCGCCGGGAGGCGGGCTGGGGCTGACGATGCTGGTGCTGATCATCACCTTCTTCTGCTCCATCTCCATCACGGTGGCGGCGTCGCGGTGCACGTGGGCGTTTGCGCGCGACGAGGCCATCCCGCTGTCAGGGCTGTGGAAGAAGGTCGACGCGCGCGCCGAGACGCCCATCTGGGCGCTCGCGCTGACCACCGTCGTGCAGATGCTGCTGGGCCTGATCAACCTGGGCTCGTCATCGGCGTTCCTGGCCTTCGTGTCGGTCGGCGTCATCTCGCTCGCCGTGTCGTACGCCATCCCCATCTGCATCTCCATGTGGCACCGCCGCCGCGAGGTCAACGGCGCCCGCTGGACCATGGGCCCTAAGATCGGCTGGCCTGTCAATGCCGTCGCCGTCCTGTGGATCGCCTTCGAGACCGTCCTCTTCTCCATGCCCCAGGTCCTGCCCGTCGACGAGATCACCATGAACTACGCCATCGTCGTCTTCGTCGGCTTCATGGCCCTCAGCGCTCTGTGGTACGGCGTGTATGCGCGCAAGGGTACGTCTCCTAGTTGTATCCCCCGACTCTTTTTCTCGGCTTTGGCTAACAGCTCTCGTCTTGATGCAGTGTACAAAGGACCGCCTGAGTCGGACGGGTTGGCGGCGGAGTAGAAAAGATGGATAATTAATAATAATAGCGATGTAATTAGTGACTTCATTTTGGAATTCTTCTGCTTCTTTTGTTGTTTACAAGCCTTCTGCAAGTACAAACCAATCCTCTAGCAGTGAATGTACCTAGTACGAAGACAGGCTACAGCGCTGGGATAGAAGTAGATGTTCAACATTCGGTGCGAAAATATAATACACGAGAGAAGAAAAGAGGACCTAGTCTAGATAAAACTTCCATTGTGACGGTGTGTCGTTATGCCGGCAGACAAAACAGATGCCTGTGGCTCGGTGCTCTAGGCTTCCATGTCTGGCTGGGGAGTGCGTCCTAATCAGATTACTTACCTACAAGGCAGGCCCGGGACGCTCAATGCTTATCAGATTGTCTTCGTGATAGCAGTTACGCTGTGAGGTGAATTAATTATCCTTTGGTCTGGATAGAATTACCTGGCTATTTACCATCGTTCTATCTTCTGTAGTCGGTTGATACTCGTGTGATACGCATGGCGAATGTCTGGAAGGTGAAAAAGGGAGGGTAAAAATCTAATGGATAAAAGAACTACGTCTAGGTTTACCTACACTAAGATAAGATATCTTAGGTGCCTACAGTAGGTATAGGTACTGTAGCAGCACTATATCAGGCGAATTTGGAAACTTGAAAGTAGGCAACATGAGTAGTAGTAGGCCTGTGGAGTCGTCGTTCCTGCCTCGATTTCGTCGAGACTGCGTTTTTTAAATTTGCTTCATGGCCACAATTCGCTAGGGCTCTAACAACTTTTCTTTTCATCCGAAATCAAAAAGTTTGAAAATCCCCGCCACCCAACCGCGCCCAGTAGTCCTCTTCTCTTCTGGAGCCCATCCAAATACGATGAGCCTCTGAGGCCATCAGATGCTTCCTAATTATTTCGGACTCGCGGCAAAAGTCTTTCTCCAACACCGCCAGTCTTTGCAGGTGCTGCCGTCGGTAGTGGTGCAACATGGAATTCGAGACTGGGGAGAACCTGCTTACCTTGAAGGGGTCCTTTCAGGGTCAATTTCCAGCAGTCACCGCTAAGATTTCTTCTTCCAATATCGCCGTGGACGAGTATGCACAGTATAACGGCTTGACTATCGACAGCTTGGGACTCGACCCTTGGCCCGGCTCTCTCAATGACGGCGGCTTCATCGCCGCCTCCAGTCACCGTCTCGAAGACGAACAGCTCATTGAACTCAAGGAACTCACTGAGTGTCTCTTCCGCCCCATCATCCCCACACCGGAGCAATGGCAAGCACCTATCAAATCACTGCAGTTTCTCCAAAAAGTCTGCCGGCCCTGCACCAGCGAGATGATCTCGGACCTCATGCTAAAGCTATCCTGCTCCGAGACAAAAGGCTTCAAGCTGGAACTTCCCACACTCCGCAGCGACCATGCCAGCGACTGCCGACGCCTAGCTCGTCGCGTGAAGGCCTTCCGAACAGAGCAGCTTCCCCAGCACCGCCTTCCCCTTCATCCCACTAACGCCAACAAAGGTGAAGGGCTCGAGTTCCCCGACAGCTCGAAGCACAAGCATAGTGCTATCATTGAGAGCCTAGAAAAAGAGACCCTCGAGGTGAATCGAGACACATTGGGCTACTTGGTCCAGATCCTCAAGGAGAATTGGTCGGAAGGCGACCGGCGGGACTTTGTGGAGAGTATTTCAACTTATACGGGGGTAAGTTTCGAAGCAATCAACTATGCTGCTTTGATTTTACTACAAACACTGTGGATTCAAGAAGCACGATTGAGCTAATACGTCTGCCAGGTTGGAGATAGAGAGTGCTTCACACCGCTGGTGAGCCCTCACTTACAGCCACAGCAAGAGTACTTCATCCCGGACGAGGAGTCATGCGAGTTGGCAGAGCCATCCGACACGAGTCTGGGGATAAGCGCCGAACTAGAGGCTACCGAGTCAAGAATATTCGAGCAAGATCTTGAATTCTGGGCAGAAATTGGTTCCAAGCCGCCGCCTTCGCCAGAAGGATACAAAGATATTGACGTCTCTCATATGATCAAGACTGGAGAGCTTTCGGAATCGATCTTTACAGCCTCACCCCTGCCAGTGTCCCGAGATCTCAAGATGGACGTACCGTTTCTGCTTTGCGAGCGCTGCGACGACGGGATAGCAAACCAACCGCTTAGAATCATGGGCCCGGAAGACCTCGCCCAAGCAAAGGCACTCGCGTCTAGCAGCGATACTATATCGATTGGACCAGACAAGGCAGCAGACGAAGACTTTACAGAGTTTCTCCAAGCCAAGGCACGATCCGTCATGATGTCGGCCGAGCAGGAGAAGCTGCAGCCGCTGGACGCCACCGCGAGGGTAGCCGTCCCGGTAGTTGACTTCTCTCTCCCGGCGCCCCAGTGGGAGACGCAGCTCTGGGACTCCAGAAGAGCCTTTGTATGGATCAGAAGCAACACTTTGGTCGACTGGCAAGGCCCAAAGTGGCCCGCCAACAGGATTTCAGAACAGAGAATGGTGTGGGCGCCCCTCGCTCACATGGGTCATAAGACGCTCGTCTCCGAGAAGATCGAAACAGAGGAGAGCGTTCTGGAACCATTTATCAAGATACCGCGAGAAAAGGAAGTTTTGAAAAGTGCGGATTACATTGAGAAGCGCCCTGGACTGGCCATTCTTCGGATGGACGATGATGACAACGATGACGACGGTGTCGACTACGAGGACGGCGAGGTGGATTTGATCATTTGCCACGATGCCCCAACTAACCCACCCAGCACAGTACGAGTTGTCTCTACGAGGCCTTTCCAGCAAGAGGCAGCAACAGTGCCAGCAGAGCCCGTGCCGCCAGCTCCGGTTCCTACGAGGCCGCTTCCACAAGATTTAACGGCCCTGGTGAAGGGAAGAAAGCGTCAAATAGAAGAACTGTCTCAGAAAAGAACGGCAACTGGAGAACAGGTCTCTGGGTTCACAACGGCATCAGAATCACATGCATTTTCCATTGACCAGGCAGCGCTGAGAGGATTTCTGAACGAGTACACGGACTTTTCGCCACTGGTGGACAACAACTTTATCGAGCTCAACTTCCCAAAGAAGCCAAAACTCACGCACAGCTTCTATTCTGGCCCACAAAAGACGATAGCCAACCCTTCAGACCAGAACGCACTCCAGCGTCTGACACCCAAGGGCTTGGATAGGCTACTAATGCCTCCACCCAAGCCCATCCAGGCACTTGCACCAGAGTTTACACTACCTCCGACGCCGCCGAGAGTGGTGGTGGCATTCACCGTTTCTAATATATTGACCAGCCATCTTGAGAAGCTTCTTCCCGGAGCCGATCTGGTGTTGAGAGACTACCAAAGGCACCGACCCACCAGGTCGATCCCACACAACCAGTCTCCCAGCAATGACGAGGCCGACATTATTCTGTCACCTGCGACAGGAGTCATGATGACAACAATGATACGGCTCAGACAGAAGCCCATACCTGGCAAGGCGGCAAGACAGCTACCCTTCTGCCAGGTGGTTGAGAACATCGCCGCTCGGTATGAGCGCCTGATAATTATGGTTTCCGAGGGAAACAAACATAGCGAGACCATGAGCCCGCCCTCACAATCCGACGCGAACGCCCTCGTCGAGTTTCGGGACTTCGCAGCAGGGATCCGAGAGACAGACATCCAGGTCATGTACGCAGGAGGTGGCAGTGGGACGCTCGCCAGGTGGATCGCCGCAGCCGTGTGCAAACATGCGTCCGAGGCCTTGCCCGTTCAACATCTGTTGCTCCAGGAGGAGACATGCTGGGAGCTCTTTCTCCGCCGCGCAGGCATGAACGTGTACGCTGCGCATGTGGTTCTGGGAACTCTCAAGCTTCCGGACGGCGAGCAAGCGATTGGTGGCAAGCAGCTGTACGGGCTGCCACAGTTTGTCGCCATGACACGCGAAAAGAGACTTGAAATATTCGAGGAATTATTCGGAGGCCGGAGGCTCCTGGATAGGGTGAGCAGTGCTATTGATGAGCCGCGGGGCCAACGTGTAGTGGACGAAGGTCGGTTTCTGCAGTGAAACGACAAAGCCTCCGGATGGGAAACCTGGCGGAATTATGTGGAGGTTGAGTTGCTTATAAAATGTTGCATGTTGTGTTGCTGACTGGTATGATCCGTATATAGGGGTTGCTTTCGGTTGGGATATTTGCTGAGCCGTTGGCTACACGGGGATTGATGCGATAGTAGAGGCCCCATATCCTGATACTTGCTGAATAGATTATTGGCTCCGCTGGCGATGAGCTGGATTAAAGAGAGCTTGACGTTAGCTGGCAGCATGAAAGACACGAAATTGTGCTTCATAATCCAACGGTCGGATGCGCAAGATTGCTCGGTAATTGTTGGTGGTTGTCGTCTCCATGGTATGCGGTCTCGGCATGTGATGGGCCGGCCGGCTTCGCACCCACGCTCCAAAGCTTGAGACTGGTCTCTACCATGGCCGGGGGTTTCGGGACAAAGCGTTTGTGCTGGCGCTGGCGTGGGCGTCGAGCCCTATTCGAGGCTGAACCGGTCTCGACAGACATGTGGGACTCCCCAGAGCCGCCGGGCTCACCAGAGCTATCAGACTCACTCTCATCCGAGCTCTCGTCATCCACGTACACCAATGAGCCAGAGCACGTCGCAACGACCGAGCCTGAACTGTGCAGTGCGGCACCGCCAACTGACGATCCATGAGCTTTCCAGTCCCAGGAGGGCTTGACAGCGCCCTCCTGCCTCCCGACTCCTTCCCAGACAACCACGGTGCCGTCCATTGTCCCGGCCCAAAGCTCAAAGCCACCTCCGTTGGCCTCGGCTTTAGACGGCTGGAATACATCACAACTCATTCGTTGTGGTGTTTCTCCATTCCGGCCAGTCAGATAGGCGAGCAACCGAGACGTACTTCTCACGTCGTACACCAGCAGCCCGCTGGACTTCCGCTCGTTGATAGCCAAGTACCGTCCGCACGGGGACCAAATTGTTTGCATGATGCCGAGACCGCCAATCTTGGACTTGGCCGCATCGCGCTCTACGTTCCACGAGTTGAGACAGAGGCCGGTGCCCCCCTTCAGGTCGTATAGGCCCACGTCGCGAATCCGTGTGCCAGCGGCAAGCATCCCAGCGACACCACTAGCATCGGGCTGGACTGCCAGCGCTGATACATGGCCGCGCAGTCCGGTGACTTTGACACTATTATTTATGTCTTTCCGAGACGGAATTGTCCGGATAGTCAGGATCGGCTCGCTGTGCACTGCGCTCGAACGCGATATATCATATAGGGCGATGCGATTCAGCGTACCCGCAATGAAGTGGGTTCCAGGAGCAGGCCAGATCAAAGACGACACAGGCATGTACTCCTCGGTTTCTTGCTTGATGAGGCGGTAGCTCGCGATGGGAGGGGGGGAGTGAGGAGGGGGAAGCGACATTGCGCAGCCATCACCTACGGACTCCTCGCTTTCTGGCGACGGCAAGAATGCATAGTGCAGTTGGATGGGCTGATCTGCGCAGCTGGTCAGGAGTACCTGGGTGCCTAGGTGCCGGATGCTGAAATACGGGCAAGGCGCAACGGCGCTCGTTGCCTCGGGGAGAATGAGGGTGCCGAGCGCATTCAGCGGGGTGGGCTCCTGCCGCGGCTCGAGAAGATCCGCCGAAAGCACAAATGAACAGATGCGATTCGACGAGGAGGTGGTGAACAGCGTCGACCCATCTGCGGACCTGGAAACAGAGAATGACGTCTTGTCAGCAACTGAGTTTGCAGCTCGAGAACTAGAGGTCGAGAACTCACCATTGGACGCTCCGAAAGAAGGAGGCCTGGTCGTGCAGATCAGGCCGGCGGTCTTTGCTCCTGTGAGGAGACGATCCGTCAGGGTTGCTAGTCGAAGCCAGAAGGGTGAGTGGCGGCGCCGCCTTCATCCTTGAGTTCAAGCGGAAGAAAGGAGAAGGACTGAATGATCGTGCAGGCGAGTGAGAAGTCGTGGTTTTTTTCTTCTTCTTCCTTTCTGATTGCGTTCCGAACCCGCGACCAACATCGGATGGAAGAAGGACCTGTCTTTTCCAAGCTGTGGGGTTGGCTTGCTGAGTCGAATGCGCTTCAGGATCTTGGCTGGATTCGACCTGAGCTGGCGAGGTACCTCACTGCTATGATTTGGTGCTGAGGTACATTCACATTTCGGTATCTGTTTTACGGTCACTGGCGGGCCCATTCTCTGGTGTCCGTGCCTGGCGCTGAAGTGGATCCTAACGCTACCCGTGACCCCCGGCAGGCAGTAGGGTAGCTACAGAGCTCCACTGCAGTGACCTGCATTTAGGGCAGGAGCTCCTTTTACCTTCTACCTTACGACAACGACCGAGACGGCTTCAAGCTCCCAGACGCCAGCTTTAAGTCTAGGGGCATCTTCATCATACGAAGACGCCGTCCCTCAAACTGAGGATTGCGGTCGGGGCCTGTCGTTTCTGTGCCATCAAGATCGCCGGATAAGCCGCCTTCGAAAGCCAACACGGGCCATCCCCCACGCCCTGCGAGGCGGCGAACAAAGGAGCCAGCAATCGGAGCATATCAGGCACCTGCCACTGTCTCGGATACCTACCTGCATAACACCACGACCGGAAAAGAACCCGCCAATTGTGCTGTCGCTATGGATTCGCTATGGCGTGAGGATCTCTGCGAGGGGCTTCGCGACCTCAGCGTCGTTAACCTCATTGTTTCAATGTACGTGGTGACGACTTCCCCACACATTCCTTCCCTATCCATTCTCTGCGGGTTAATGCTGACACTGACACTGCTTCAGCCTCATCCTCGTAGGAATGCTTATCAGTTATCTCCCTCAGCACGCCCGCATCATCCAACGCGGCACCTCCGAAGGCATCTCCCCCTACTTTGTCCTACTCGGCACCACGTCCGCCACATCGGCCTTTGCCAACATCCTGCTGCTTCCCCAGTCGCGGCAGGACGTTGCTTGCTGCAAGGAGCTCGAGACATTTCACTGCGTTGCCGGGCTTTTGGGCATCGCACAGCTTGGCGTCCAATGGATCTGCTTTACCTTCATGTAGGTGCTCCGGCGCTGCAGCATGATGCATACACAACAGCTGACCTGCCTCATATCCAGTTTCGTTCTCTTCCTTGTCTTCTTCCGATACAATAATGAGCAGGATGGTGGAGAGCTCGGTGCTGACGAGGAAGCGGAGCCTAAATGGCAGACGGCCTTGCTGGTCGCCTCGCTGACCCTCGTGCACGGCCTTGTCGTCATCGTCGTGACGGGAATCCTCACGACCATCGCCCCCGAGCATCTCTCTGTCTGGGCCAACGTGCTCGGAGTCATGGCCGCCCTTCTCGCTGCCGTGCAATACATACCGCAGATATGGACCACCTACCACCTTAAGCACGTTGGCAGTCTGAGCATCCCGATGATGTGCATCCAGACGCCCGGGGGCTTCGTCTTCGCGGCCAGCCTGTTCGCTCGACTGGGCTGGGCGGGATGGAGCTCGTGGGGTATTTTCGTTCTGACGGCCACGATGCAAGGCGCGCTGCTGTACATGGCCATCTACTACGAGATCCAGGCACGCAACCTCCGCGGCCTGAAGCCGCTGCCGATCCAGGGACTGCCCCCTTCGCATCTACACGCTAACGGCTTTGATGACGACGTGCCGGGCCGTTACACGTCGCACCCCGAGCACTACGCCGAGACGCCTGAGCAGCTTCAGAACATACTCGAACGCCAGGAGAGCGACGCCGCGGCCGAGACGGCGCCTTTGCTGAGACCCGGCGGAATCGGCGACCCGCACAGGAATTACGACACCAACCGTGGCTAGGCGCGCCGGAAGGTAGTTCGTTATTGAGCTAAGCGGAGCCTTCTGGGAGGTTCTCTCTCGTCCCCATTCTTCTTGTCCCTTCTTTCTTATTTATTATTCCAAAACAGGGGAATCATCCCGTCACCGATATAGGGATACCAGCAGGAAACCCACCGTGTTGGGGGCGCATTGTCTCTTAGCGTGGGTGTTGTATGGTGCGGATTAGGAGGGCGAGGCTAGCTGGAGGAGGCGAGACATGTTAAGGCCGTATCTCGTTTTGCTATTCATTTAGCTGCTGGGTTTTGGACGGCGTTGCATTAGTTAAGGCGGGAGACCTCAAGCCTGCGGACAAGCTATGGTGTCTATTTGCTAGGTTTGCTATACAGGTCGATTTCATGTAGACAGGTCACTGCCGGAGACGGGAACCGCTGCTGGTGCTGCCGTTTTGGGAGTCACACATGGGGGTTAGGGTTCGGAGTGCATTTTAGTGGAAGACCCACAGCCCAAGTTGCAGCACTGTTTTGTCGACGCTCCGGGGTTCCCCTTCCCCTGCCAAACACATGCATGCAGTGCAGTCCGAGCCGCCAACCTTGTCTACGAATTCTTGAGCACTGTCTGCGAATAGGCTGCTAGATATTGAGTATACGTTTGCTTCTATTACCTCTCCTATCGTCTTCCAATTACTTGCAATGCGTGATTTTCTTTCGGTCCCGAACCTCGACTCTTATTCGTGCCGAGATGGCGGTGTCGTCGTCAGCGCCAGCAGCAGCAGCGTGTAAAAACAACGCGAAGCATTGAAGACGTGCTTCCGCTTCACACTCGTTCGGTTTCGGTGCGACCAGAGACAATATGACAATTTGGCAAACACTTTGCGCCCCTCGAGTGAGGGTGTGACGGTGTTTCCTTCTTACCTACCTTACCTCTTCCCGCCCCAGTCCCCCCCGCGAGTATCATCCGATCTTTGCCCTGGGGGGTTGCGACTTGCGAGTCTGAGCACAGCCATGCAAGTCGGGCATTTGCGGGGGACTGGCCGACAGCATCGATGCTGATGCGATCGGATGCGCCTCGCGAGATCCGATGCGATGCGATCGATGCGGAGGCGCTCTTAGCGTGCGTGCGTGCGCGCATGCTGAAGGTGGTTAGGTGTTCTGTCTGCGCACAGGCTCGCTCCCCTGACCTGCAGACGATTTCATCTGTTTCCAACTCTTCGCCATCTCGGTTCGGATCTGATCCCGCGTTGCGTGCTGCGCGCTGTGGCTGGGCAAACAGCGACACCCTGGAATCGCCTCTGTTCTCTCGTCCCCTGCAGAAAGGCGAGATGACGAGACCGGGAATCTCTCTCTCTTGCGTCGCGATGGATAATACCTACAGAGTACCTAGGTATGGATGGATGGGGGCTGGTGTTTCTACTCCGCGAGAAGAAGGCCCCTTTTTCCTGCCCCTTGAGCAACACAATTCTCCGGCAAAATTCGCCGCGCCGGGAGAGCGATGACTGCCAACAAACATAAAACGTCGCTGGGCATTTTCCCGACGCCAGAAAAATTGGCCAGCCGCAAGGCACCGCTGGGCAGCGTGTGCAATATTCAGGCGCGGCTGGTTGGAGAACAGAATGGGTGTGCGCTGACGCTGAAATGATCTGCCCTCTGGAACATGGCAGAACGGAGCCTCGTCGCCCTCGTCGTCTCATGTGGCACTTTAACCGCCACACCAGCCCTCGCCGCGCAGCCACGACGCAGAATAGCCTCGGCCGCGTCTGGTGCGCATTCCAAACCGCATCCTCCGGCTTTTCACAGGCGCACAGTCGATCACGTCCTCCGTGCAGCGTCTGGCGCGTTGGGGCAATATGCGTTGCTCCCCCCCTCCCCTCCGCGTGTGCGACTGCCGATCCCGTTCACGATGCCGAGAGGACGAGGCGGCACTCGAGCGAGTCCCCCCCCCTTCATAAGGGCAGGCGGGTGGCGTCACTCTGTCTTTCCCCTAGTGTTCGGTTTCTTTCCTTCTTTCTTGTTCTTTCTGCAAGTCCTCGTCTGTACTGTGCGGCACCCTACACTCCTTTTTTGTCTTTTCCTTTTCTTTTCATAATGTTTGTTGTTTACTCGTACACACTAGCGTGACAAGACATCAGAACATTCCCTAGATATAGACGCACAGCACCGCGCCGCCCGACACATACAACAGCTCAAACACACAACCATTGACGATGATGCTTCCGCGAAAACTGGCCATCGAGAGAGCGAAGATGGAACGGAGACAAGGCGGTGGAGGCGGGGGCGGGAAGGACTCGGCCCCGTGTCCAGGCGGCAACGGAACCCAGATCGGAACGGCCCAGCAGTTCACCGTGCTGTGCAACTCAAACGTGGGAGGAGACGTCATAAACAGGACAGACGCCTTTGACTTCACAACATGCGTGGATATCTGCTCGTCCTTCCATCCAAAATGCGAGGGTGTGTCGTTTGATGGATCCAAGTGCTTTCTGAGGAACAACCTGAACGACAGAACACGCCCGGCGAGGAGATTCGATGCTGCCATCGGCACATTCCCGGGCGCCAGTTCCAACTGCGCGACCCTGAGCGGCGCACAGCAAGTCTCGGGCACCAGCTTTGCCCCTATGTGCGGCTTCATCCTGGCCGGATCCGACATCAGCCAGAACTTCGCTCCCACTTTCCAGGACTGCATGACGCAGTGCTCAAAGACGACGGGCTGCGCGGCGCTGTCGTTTGATGCAAGCCAGAACCAAGGGTTCAAGAACTGCTACCTCAAGTCGGCGGTGACAGACAGCGCCAACGTGGCCCCGGATTCAACCATCGACTCTGCCATGCTGTCTAATGCCGCCCTCGCGCCAGCAGCGCCGGCTTCCCCCGCAGCCTCATCACCAGCAGTCGCGCCCCCGCCCGCCCCAACTACTGCCGCCACTCCCGCACCTGCCCCCGTAGGCACAAGCGCGTCGGCGGTTGCTACGCCGCCAGCAGCAGATCCTGGCAGCAGCGGTGGTGTGGTGTTCTTTACGCCTCCGGGTGGATCACCCACTCCGGTTGCCACCACTCCAGTAGCGGCCACGCCTGCGCCTTCCACGCCCATCAATGCTGTACCGACAGCAGCAGAAACCTCTTCCCTCTTATTACCACTACCGCTAGCGCCGTCGTCCAGCCAAGCCACATTCCTGTTCCCCAGCAGCATTACTGGCGCCTTTTCGGCACCTGTAGCCACCACGGATGCCGCCGCCCTCGACAGCAGCGGGGCCACGAGCAACGCCTGGATTGCCGCTCCGGTAGTGGGCAGCGTTGCGGCTCTGGCCCTGATTGTGGTGTCTTTTATCATGCTGAAGAGGAGGCGGCGCCGCGGCAGCGACGACACGTCGTCCAGCGGCAGCGGCAGCAGCCGCCGCAACATGACGCGCAGCTCGCCCGTCACCAATCTCCTGTCGACTTGGCTGCCGGGCTCGCCGCGCCGCAAGATGGGCAACTTCTCGCAGGTAACGGGCAAGCAGCCCATGTCGCGCAACAGCATCCGCGACAGCGTGCCTGCCATCCTGCGGCCCGGCGGCGGCGGCGGCGGCATGGAGAGGCTCGACGACATTGAGGAGGACGGCGCCAACCGCGACAGCACCCCCGTCTACGGTCTCAAGAACGGCAAGGCCGAGCTAAGGAACAGCCTCAACGGGCTGGGTCAGAATAGGTGGTCATGACATGCTCTGTTTCTGAGCATGTTATCTTCCTTGACCACGTAGGCCGCTAGTAATTTCTCTCGCTCGCCATTTTTCATGTTTAGGGTAAGAGGACGGCACGGCGGGCTTATAACAGAGGGCCGACAGGGAACGGCGGGGATAGGAAGGGAACTAACTAACTAACGATATGTGTATCTATGTATGTAGGTGAGGCAAATTAAGGGACGGCGATGGCGAAGGAAACTGGATGGGCTGGGTGGGTATCGTTTTCTTTTGTCTCAGACGGAGTTTTTGAAGGGTCTTTTTTGTGTTCAGGATACCAACAACCAAGAGAGGCAGGCAGGTGCCTCCTGTGGCTTTTCTGTATTTACGTACTATTTATTCCTCTATATTACATATTTTTCTTCTTTTTCTTTCTCACCTTTTAATTTAGTCTATCGACTGTGTAAATTCACAATCTTACATTGGTAGCTGGCTTGATCTGGAGATGGGATGGATGCTGAGGTGTTTCTACTTTGGCGGTTTGCATCATGGATGGATGTCATGGGGGCTTGTTGGAGAAGCTTTAGGCCCCCCTGGATTTCTTCCTGGCCAGGCTTTTGGGGGCGTGCTTGCGCTGAGCTGTTGATTGGCCCATCTGGAACACTGCAGTGCTGAACCTTGTCAGCAGCCAGCGGGGTCACACCCTGGGGGACGCCCGCGTGTTAAAGAGCTCAGTGACCTCCACTCCCCTAGCCAGCCAGTGGGGATGGGATGTACTAACACCCGTACTGCGCCGGCATTAGATGGGAGATAGCACTGTGGGTGAACAGAAAGGTGTCATTAATCCATGGCTTCTGGGATGGATGTCATGACCTGACCTTGGGAATTTGTAACTACTTCGACTGCTCGTTCGTCTCCTTTTGTTACTTGTTGTTTGCATTCCTCGGCGCTCTTCTCCGTGCCTTTTCAGCTTCCATTGCTGTTTCCCTCTCGGCTTCCGACCTTAGCTAGCTAGCTCCCCCCTGTCCTGCCGCCTGTCCGCTGGGAGATAAGCCTCTTAGAGACACTTATCAAGCCCAGGCAACCAACCCTCTAACTGCTTACCTACCTTACCTTACCTATCTTACCTATTCATATATTCAGTGACTCAGAAGTGCTGCCCTCGCCGACCTACCTACAGCCATTTACTCACGCAGCCAATTCCCCTTGCTCACCTAAATAGCAAATCAATGGCAGTCACCAACCTCCCGCCCTCGTCGTCTGACGACGAGGACATTGACGTCCAGCCGCAGCCGCAGCACCAACACCAGCACCAGCACTCCTTGTCGGAGGTCTCGGACGCGTCGACGGCGGCGATCGACATCGAGACATGGACCGTGGCGGCGCTCGAGTCGCTGCGGATCGGGCCTTCTCGTCGCACCGGCAGCGTCTTGTCGATCCCGCTGGACGACGAGGCTGATGGCGCCAGGACTGAGGCGACCGCCCCGCGGATGAAGCTGCGCAATGTGGCCGTCGATGTCGCTGCGGCACGCCGCCCGGCGGCGCCCGCTCGCCGCGAGACCCTGGCGCTCAAGGGAAAGGAGGGCAGCCGGCACCGACGACGGTGGGAGAATGGTATTACCCCCCCCCCTTTTGCTTGTTCCGTCGTAATGCCTGCTATGGTTTCTGGGAGAGAGAGATAGAGAGGAATAACGGGCTTGGCTGATTCTGGACATCGGTGTGTAGACCATCTCCTCCACGTGCCCAACGTGCAACCGCCGCTGCCGAGCGACTTCGAGGTCCGCCCCACGCACCCCGTGCACGGCACCGTGCCGTACGAGCTGGCCAAGTTCTGGGACAAGGGCCTACGCGAGCGCGTCGAGGAGCGCAAGGCCGCGTTTGCCGCGCACCGCAAGAAGGCCACTCTTATCGCTGCAGCCGCTGCTGGAACTGGAACTAGAACTGGAACTGGAACAACGGAGGCCGCGGTGCCTGCCGACGTCGGCAAGGTGCCCAGGGACCTGCGCGCCAAGGCCAAGCGCACCCCCGCCGTCAAGTCGTGGCTGCGCGTACTCGAGGAGCCCGTCCGCCAATTCATGGTCGATCGCGGACTCGTGGCTCGCCCCGCGCCGGAACTCGAGGTCGAGGCTGTTGCAGCTGAGTCGGAGTCCGAGACGGACTCGAGCGACGAGGAAATCGTATTTGTCGGCCGCAACGGCGCCACCATGCGCGACGGCAAACCTGTGAGGGATGATACTGCTGAGACCCGTGACGAGGATGTGTCTGGCAAGATGAAGAAGACCCAGCAGCAGCAGCAGCAGCAGCAGAGCGAGCGGGATCAGCAGGACGCCAAGTCCCCGGGAATGCTGCTTGACACGCTGGGAGAGGACGAGAGCGGAACGTCGTTCAAGTATGTCCCCCCCTTTCCTTTTTTTTGTTTATCCCCCCGTTTGCTCTCCTCGCTCTTGCTGGCTTTCCATTGCATTGCATGCATGCTCACGGCTTTCTACTCTAGGCGATGGCTGAGTCACCTCATCTCCGAGTACTACGGGCTCGACTCCAAGTCGGTCACGGTGGGCAACCCCGCGCGCCGTGTCGTCTACGTCGGCATCAAGCAGCTCAGCTCCGCGCACCATCGTCGCGGCTACCCCCTGTCGATCCTGTCGGCCCTGCCGCCGCCGCTGTGGGAGATGTTCTGAGCAAGCCCGGCACGGAGTCAGGTTGCATCTGTCACCTTTACGTTGTTAGGGGCGGGTTGTCCTGTCGTGATCTCGGCATCAGTCACAGGTGGGCAGACGGCGTGGTTGTGTGTGTATGTGTGTTCAGAGAGAGAAATAGGGGGTGTGTGAAGCGTAGCCCTATTAATTACATCTACTGATGCCGTCCATTTTGACGCATTTGCCGAGACCAGAACTGTGAATTTCGCATGCATGTTCTAAATTCTGCCCTTGGCAAATGTTCCCGGTATTCTGGCCTTCCCCGTCGCCTCCAGTTTACTGTCGCAGGACTTGGTTTATCGCATGATTAACGGAGGATCTGGGCGACTCGCCCTGCCTAGCTCTTAAACCCTCTTTGACGAGTTCGTATATACCCACTACTTACTTGCTTCCTTCATACTCGCCCTTCCTCAAGATTCAGTCATGCTTCATCATGAAATACTTCCATGTGGGTGGCTTTGGGAATCTGTCGTCTCTACGCCAGCCTACATCAGGAGGGAATACCAGGCAAGTACTAAATATAAAACCGTTGACTAGCATCATGGTCGATCAACCTCCTGCTCCTAGATCCAGGCCTATTAACGTCGTGGGAAATGTAGTAATGTTAGTACAAAGTATTTATCTACATATATATATATATGATCTCCGAGCGGACACACAGCGTGCTGGTCATTCATCTCTAAAAATGAATGCTGAGAGAAATGAAAGCGCCGGGATCTATTTCAGCAAAAGGAAAAGAAAAGGGTATTGGCATGCATCATTCTGTCACAAGACCTGTTTCAGCAGACATTGGCAGACAGCAGTGTGTGTGTGTGGGTGTGTGTGTGTGTGTGTGTGTTGATGTTGGTGTGGGTAGGATGGGTTATGGGGGCGCGCTCACTCACGCATACGCATGAAGATTCGTCTATGTAGGTACCTAGTGTGTGGCTCACTGGCGACTCTTCTTTTATCTCCCGCCGTCATGTACCGCCGTCATTTACACGCCAGTTCTGTCCGTCCATGATCTATCTTTGCTTGTGTCAGTGGTGTTCTGGTGTTTGGGTGATGGACGTGTTTTCTAGACCAGAGGTAGAGATCTCGTGGCTCGGATTTTATACCAGTCGTGGCAAGTTAGTTTAACAACATATTTGTGCTCTAGCGCAAGACCTCTCTGGCCTCTTTAAACAGTGGCTTATCAAATATCACGGAGACATGCTGCGGCGGTCGTTGTAGTTTATACAGCGTGTATGTAAGAGGTCGTAGGTAGGTGGTATTCGGGTAAAGAACCATACAAAGAGAAAAGAGAAAAGAAAAACGAAAACCCTGCATCGTCCCACGTCATACTTTGTTCTTGTTACATCTAGCCTCTCAAAAACCCACACTCGCTATGCTCGCTACTATTGCTCCTCTAGATTATCCCTTAAACGCCAAGCGCAGAGTTGAAGGCGTCGGCAGCAGCCTGGCCCTTCTGGGCGCTGGCGGCCGAGGCGGCGCTGTCACAGGCCGCGACGGTCGCGTCGGACGCCTTGCACGTGCTCTCAAGCTTGTTGCAGGTGAATTCGGCAATGACCTTGATGTTGAGGGCCGAGCCGTGGTTGAAATCGGCCAAGTTCTCGCTCTGGAAGCTTGCCTCCTTGCGGCCGTCGAGACCGTCGGCGAACTGGATGGCGGGGCTGCCGCACGAGCCAAAGTCGAGGGCGGCTTGGCGCCGGGCCTTCTGAGCACGGCGGCGAGCCTTCTTGGCGGCGGAAGCAGCCTGGCACGCCTGCTCCTGGGTATCGCACTGAGCGGTGCCGCCCGCGAGCTGGCCCGAGTTGGCGGCGTTGGCGCAGGCGTTCTTCTGGATCGCGCACGACCGGTCGATGGCGGCAGCCTCCTTCAGGAAGGTGTTGCCGTTGACCGAGAACGGGCGCTCAGCGTCGGAGCTGATGACGGGCGGGGCGGCGCCGCCGAGGGAGCCTGTAAACTTCTGGACGTTGACGGTAGCGGAAGCGGAGGGGGCAGCGCCGCTGGGAGCACGGGCACTAGCCTTAGCTGAGGTATCAGTGTTAGCAGCACACGCTTCTCGAATTATCAGCTTCTAGACTGGGTAGGAGGGGGACACGGTTGCTAACATACCATTGGCATTGGCGGCAGGGGCGGCGGCGGCGGGAGCGGCAGCAACGGCGGCCTTGATATCGGCCTCGGTAGCTGCCGGGGTGAGCAGCTTCTGGGAGATGATGCAGCCAACGGCGTCATTTGCATCGTCGCAGGTGTTGCCCTTGCCGGTCGGGTCGCCGATCTGGAGCACAGTCAGTATCGCGCTGCTGAACTCTACGTGGGGCAGGGTTTCTCACCTTGCCAGGGGCAAATGTGCCGCTTTGGAGGGCAAGAATCGGGTCGGCCCCGATGGCTGCCAGCTGGAGGGCAACGGCGATCTCGATATTCTTGTTGCCAGCAATGCCCTCGGGGGAGGCGGGGTCCTGATGCTGGGTGATGGCAGCAATCTCGGGGTTGACAGCCGTCTGGGTGCAGAGGACGCTGGCTAGGCCGACGCTGCCCGTGTTGCGCTCTAGGGCGCGGAAGAGAATGGCCTGGGCTTGGCCATCAACATCGCCGGCAGCCTTCGAGTTGGTAAAGGCCTGGTCGGCAATGATCTGGGCCAAGCAGTCGAGGTTCTGAACCCCGGGGGCGCCCTCGGCAGCGGCCTTGTTGCCCAAGAGACCGAAGACGGCGTTGACGATTTTAAGAGGGTTGTTGAGCTTGAGGGCGGTATCGACCTTGTCGAGGATGGCCTGGTGAGAGTGCTCCTGGGGTACCTCGCGCTTGGCCACCTTGCCCGAGTAGATGGGGATCTCGCGGGCCGAGGCAGCACCCACGAGGGCGAACATAACAGTCTGGTACTTCATGGTGCTGGTTGTTTTTGTTTTGAAATCGTAGCGATCGACGCGATGCGAATATAAACAGACGAAGAGAACAAGGCCCGGCCTAACGAGAATAAGATAATTAAAACTAAAAGAGCGTCAAAGTTCACAGAACCGAACAAGGAATGTAAGCACCGGAAGAGGATGGGTTGTGAAAAGATTTCAATGACAGAGAGGGCTGGCCCGGCAAGACTATATGTACCTATGGCGCCAAGGAGAGAGGAGAGCGGCATGGGCAGGGCATCGTGAACATGGGTGAATATCCAAGATTGACGGATTCGTCGTCTCATGATGGGCATTGACCGCAACTGGGCCTAGGATCCTCGAACAGTCGCTAACAGAGGTTGGGCGGTTGATCGGCGACCAGGATGTGCAGCTGAGGTGGCGGCATGGAGCACCCTGGCTCTGCGAGCCGCTGTCCTGGGAGAGCGCCACCGGCTATACTGGACTCCGTAACAAGCTTCCCTGACCAAGGGCTGCACCAATACGCAAGTCCAAGCCCAAGGTAAATGCGAAGTAGAAGGGTAGGGACTATGGAGTATGGGACAGGTGGCCAAGGGGTCGTTCGTGCGGAGAGCCGAGAGGCAGGGAGGGCTCAGAACTTCAGATGCCATCTCATCTAGTGTATATCCATCGTTTTGCTGTCAGAAGTGACAGGCGATGTAGCAGATCTGTAACGGGAGATGCCATTTAGAAGTCTTAGCGAGAGGTTGCAGTTGCACTGTTTGGCATCCAGCCCATTGCTTCCTAGCCGGGCAGGTTGACAACCAGCCCTACTGCCACTCTGGCTGCTGTGCTCTCCGAGTTCAATAATCGGCCTTTCCATGTTGGCACTCTACTACCTGGAAGAGGTAGACGCTGCCTAACCCCTCGGTACCAGCTTTGGCCTCGAGCGGGAGATTTCTTAGCATTCGATCGTAAATGTCAACAGGCGCTTGGCGGTGACATAAGATTCCACGATTCGACGAACGGTCTAACGGTCAATGGCCAATGGCCAATGGTCAATGGTGGGTGAGTAATTGGGAGGATACAGCGAGTCTAGCTGAGGACGAAGCGGCGTTTCGAGCCCTTTGCTGCGCTTGCCGACAACATCAGATCAGACTGAACTTGGCACGCTGCTCGTCTCAGGCAAGGGGGCGCGGTTGGGAGTTGGCAGCGGCAGAGCCGCACGCACACCCAAAACTCTCATGCGCCAAATCTTGGGGTCGATGCAAGATGCAACCCCGACGGGATTTCGAATGGGTGGGTGGAACGGCTGGTCTTTCCCGAGGAACCTAACCCCGCCCCGCCTTACTACTCGAGTAGGTTGGGATTGTCTTGGCCTGTCTTGGCTTGCCGCCAGGGGGTCCCTGCTCCACAATCGCAAACGTCAGGAACCGTCCCGCACGGCCCAATCAAGTCACCACAGACCGCCACCCTAACAGCGCTGCCGCGACACACTGCGGAGAGTGCGATAGCAGGAGAACTTGCCGCGACTTGGTTCGGAGATTTCCTCAGACACTCGAGTCGATGGCAAAACAACTCCGTCCGCTGCCCAAAACAGGCAATCCCACTTTCCCACTGGGCCCATTTTAGTGATTCGGTGGCTCTCGTCTTCTAGCTCTCTTCTCTTTCTTCTGCGCCTCTTGGGATTGGACGCATTCATGCGCGCGAATTCACGTAACGTCTCGTCTCGTCTCGTCTCGTCTCGTCTGGTGGGAATTACCTTACCTAAGCAAGGTGGTTGAGGACTGCTTGGGCTCATTTTGGGTGATTTCAGCGATTCCCAGCAAGTTCATGGGACGACGAGGGAGAATACACCGGGTAGCTTCAAAGTTGGGCAGAACCGGACATCAGACGAAACGAAATGAGAAAGGGAGCAGCCCGTCTTGTCGCTGTGATGTGAAAACCCCCCAGCAACGCTCTTGTATCATCGACGCGCTCGCCTCCCCTTGGCAGTGTGTCCCCCCCTTGGCAGTGTGCCCCCCCCTTGGCGATCAGTGTCCTGTCCACATGTTTCCCTTGTCCTGCCATGCCATGCCCGAATCAGCCACCATCGTCCTCCCATCTCTTTCCCTCCGCCTCTTCCCCCAGGATCTCAATCCAGATCTTGCTTGGCAAGGCGCCCGGAATGAGGGGAAGAAGGAGGCAGAACATTCCCCAATCCTCGTCGGCCACGCAGGGGGCCGCAGGGGGGACAGACACCAGCAACGTCGGAAGCAACATGGCGCAAGATCCGATCGGACCAACATCTCTTGCAGTCTCGCTGCTCGGAACGTGCCGTTGGGGGGAGTGGTGCTTGGACCAGGAGCTCCTACGACGAATGTTACACCACAGGTCAAGAGTTGACGTCGGCGATGGACGTCGTTTCGATCACCGCGCCGTATAATCCGGACGAGAGACCTACGGGCCAGCATAGCGCTAGAGGCGCACATCATCTCAGCACCAGGGCCTGGCTAAACATATTGTGGGAGGGGCTGGCTGGCTGGAAACAATCTGCGGACGTGAACCGCTCTTTGCGAATCAGATCCGAGAGAGCGACTGGCTTTGTCTCCGCAGAGATTCCCAATGCTTCAACCTCGAGTGATGCAATGATGCAATGATGCAATGATGCAATGATGCAATGCCTTGAAGCCACTGGCATAGAGACGGCGGGAAACTGCCGTCGACTACCATCGCAGGCATCTATCTGCTCGTCATGTGTACTAGAATCGCATGAACTGCCGAAGAGGGCCTGAGTAACTCCGTTTCCAGTAGAGTCGATCTCGTGTGATCGACGTCCTCAACCAGCATTCCAGCCGTCGCCACAACTCTACACGTGCTAGGTCAGTACAATAGATAGCGAGCGACGAGTCTCGGCTGGTTCCTTGTCTACGCCATATCGTCACTCGAACTGGTCAATAAACCCTGCTCTGAAATACTGCAGGGTGTCGGGAATGATAGAAGAACATCTGTAACATACTATTGCATACACATTATGTGTCTCCTAGCCAGCCAGGCTGCGTAGACATTGCTACAACGCCGTAGTGCACATTTTATCTAGGGGAGTCGTTGCTCTGATTAGCACCACACTCTCACAATATATCAGTCTGCAAGTTAGACCTGACGTGCGTAGCCAGCCCAGCCAGCCCTATAGCCGTTTTCTCCTCCCACAATATGCTTTGTAGGGAGGCAGATCCGCCTACTAAACCATTCATCTGCTTCTGTTGAACACAGTATGGCCGGACGATCAAGCCACTGACTGGATCGCGTTCAAATAATACAGCACTCATTACGTGACTTTCGAGACTATACGCCATGACTAGACACACAAACCCAGACTACTCCGCTCTGGCGTAGTAGAACTAGTCAGGCTAGCTGGCTAGCTAACATAACAATCCCCTTGATCTCACGCCCATCACGGCAATCACCTCGCCGAACCCAGGAACAGATTTTACCTGGCTCGACAGCTCATAGCTTAGTGTTGCTCTAGATATCACCTGCCTGCCTACCTACCTGCCTTTACTAGTATACCGTGCTCGTCCTCCGCCCCTTTATTATGAACGTTTTGCCATCTCTTCTCTTCCATTATGCCGCAAAAATAAAAGCAAGAAAGGAAATAAAAAGGAAGGGAAAAAAACACCGTGCGTGTGTGCTTTGGTTATCCGCAAACAACACCCGTTGAGTCTTGCGGCTGTCTCTTTCCTTCCCCCAAACCAGCCAACAAGGGAAGTCAGGCAAGATGGGCAGAGCAAGGCAAGATCCATCACCACCACACCTTGAGATTCACCGCACAGCAATCGCTATCTGGTATACGAGACATAACTGAAGACGACGAAACGCGGCTCACACCCACACCCACATCCACACCTACACCAACACTTACACACGTGACCTATAAACCAAGATAAGATGAAAGAGCTCTATGATGCAATTTATTCTATGCTTCTTGATTCTTCTCCTCCCCAGTATCTCTAGTTCTTGTTCTTGTACTGTACTGTACTATACAGTGGCAGTGCATTGCATTGCATTGGCCAAAGCAGCGAGGTGTCTAATAAGAGGGTCAAAGTTTTTTTTAAAAGTGCCAGGAAACAAAAAAGGGGTAAACCAGCAAAACAGCAGCAGTAGGAAGAGTAGGCAGCACCGCTGTCAACATCAACATCATCAACAACGACAGAAAGACATCCCTCTACCCTCCTCTCTCTCGTGTCTATGGTCAAGAGTGAAGAAAAAAGAGAGAAGAGGGAGAGCAAAAACTAGTATCCGCAACAAGTCTAAGTGCGTGAGCGTGAGCGTGAGCGTGAGAGAGTTCGAGAGAGTGTGTATGTGCTGGTTTTGTGTGTATGTGTGTTCTGTTTTTGTTTCTGTATCGTTGACGACAGCGAACCGAACGAACAGCAACAACCACCTCCCGCCAGATGTAAAAATAAAAAAAAACCCTCCATTGACTAATATACACCTCCCCTTCTTGTCCCCGCAACATGCTTTCTTTTAACCAATGACCAGCTTGTCGTCGTCGGAAAAGTCGTACGCCGGGATCTCGAGGTTCAGCGGCGCGGGTCCTTTCCTTATGCGGCCGGAGATGTCGTAGTGGGAGCCGTGGCACGGGCAGAACCAACCTCCGTAGTCGCCGGCCTCGCCGATGGGTACACATCCCAAGTGTGTGCACACGCCTGGTCAAAGGTGTCAGCAACTCTCGTGTCCGGTTCTCGGGACTCCTCCCTCGGTTCTCTTTTTCAGGCTAGCTGTCTCGGAAGCCTCGGGGATCGTAAAGAGCTCCAGCACAAACACAAACCACATACCAAGCATGATGAGCCACTCGGGCTTCTTGACACGGTCCTCGTCGGACTGGGGGTCTCTTAATGACGCGACGTTGACTTGGTTGGCCTCGTCGATCTCGGACGCTGTGCGGTGGCGGATGAAGACGGGCTTGCCTCTCCACTTGATGATGACCTGCAGACTGGGATCAGCACGTCTTGCTAACGTCGGAGAGTGGTGGTGGTGTGGGGGTTTGGCCTTACGTTCTTGCCCTCCGGGATGGCACCGAGGTCGACCTCGACCTTGGCCATGGCCAGGACATCAGCCGAGGCGGCCATGTTCTTGAGGAATTCTGCACGCCACACACAATACCTGTCAGCATTTATCCCCGTCATCGTCTTTCCATCCTCCGGCATCAAAGAACCAGTCTTCTCCCAAGTCCCCAACGAGCAAGCAAGAATCCGTCTCGGCTCATCACACCCGAAGCCGGAGTCCGACGGATTGCATAGTCCAAGCCCGTAGGCCAATTGATCTTGCCCCCCTCTCCTCCGGCCTGTGCCCGATCCTTGTCATCGAAAAACTCACCCTGGATGGTGGACTTAGCGCCGGCGGCCGAGATGGCGCCGAGGGCGCCGACCATAAAGTAGGAGAAGACCTGGTTGCCGCCGCCGTTCTTGCTCATGTATTTTGTGAAGTCGGGCATCTTGGTGCTGTCGCTCTCGCCCTTGAAGGGGCTCTGGTAGGTGGACGAGGCGTCGCGGAGCGCCGGCGACGTGCTCATGGTGGCCGCGGCCGTCAGCGGGCGGAGGAGGGCGGCGGCTGGTGAGGACCGCGCGAGCGCGCGCGTTACGGTCGTGAGGGGCGCCATTGCGGGCTTGTGAGAGCTGTGAAGCTGCTGTGGTAGAGCGAGAGACGGCGGGCGGGCGGTGACGGCGATTGCGGATGCAATTGGGTGAGCGGGCGGGCGGGCGGAATTGAAGCTCTCGTCGAGGCCAATTCCCGTGGAACTGAGGTTTTTCTGGGCCGAGCTTGTTTCCACACTTGCCTGTCGTGGCCTGCAGCTGGGGCTGGGGGTCTCTGCGTGGCCTCAGGCACCTAACAAGGTAAATAGCCGAGCGTTGATTGGCCAATCTACCCTCCGATTTATTCCGCAGCTGGGCCCCGCCTGCCCACCTCGTGCTGCCAGCTGATGAAGCAGGGAGAGTCGCGCCGCTCTCCCCCGGGCTCACCCTGATTGGCGGGAGGGGCAGAGCCAACCGCGTATTTTCCACAAAATCCCATCCACCGAGTCCGAACCACACGCCTAGAGGCACGCCGCGCTGCTTCACGACATCCGTACGCTGGCGTAACACGGCATTGATGCATCTAAGACCATTTATCCTGGAGCACTTCGACCCCGCAAACCGGCCGTGACGCGCTCAAGCCCAGCTGCGTCATTCGTCAAGTAGGACAGCAGCTGCTATCGCCTGCTCGAGATGATCGCAGATAATAGCCGATATCGTGCACTTCAAACCCAACCAGAGCACATTCTCTGGATATAATTCCTGGCCTGCCGGCGACACAGGCAGAGTTAATGTCACTGGAGAATTCTACCTTGGACAGTACCAGTATTTTGGAGATGAGATTGGATATATGAGCCCAGGACCTAACCACATGTGACCGCCTTGTTTCCCAGGAAAAAAGCTATCTAAGCTATCGTAAACCACTCTTCCTTAAACACTCCATATTCCAATGCATCAATCGATTCACCGCACATGTACCGCCGGATGCGACATTCGCTCAACAGCCGATACAATCCCGAATCTCCTCCCACAGGCCGCAAGACGTACAGCCCTGCGCCACCAAACAATACACAGATTACATCGCCAACCTCCATATTCATTGGCCCCAGCCCGACATCTCCCCCAGAGTCAACAAAAAAGTTGCTGTAACTTTTATCCCTCATCGTTATGAGAAACTTCTCGATAAAAACTTCCTCGTTGCCCGTTACGTCGTCATCAAAATCCTTCAGAAATCGTAGAAAATAGATAAGATTGGGTACGTTCTGACCCTCGTTGCTTATATACTCCCAAAAGTCGTGGATGCGACACAGCGGAGCCCGAACGTTGAATACGTCCGCAATGTCATCAAATACTTTATTGAAGGTGTTATCCGAATTCGCGGATCTTGCACACTCGTTTATCTCCTCGAGGCGGTGGAAGAAGGAGGCTGGGTTCTTGGTGTCAACCTCGAACGTCGATTTGACTGTGCTTAATTTTAGCCCCTGGATGATGATTAAGTTCGCGTCGAGCGATGGCCGGATCGAGGCACGTCGGTCTTTGGATGCTCGTATCCTCGATCGTTGTAATGCGAGGGAGCCCTTGTCAATGCGAAGTTGGACGTCACTTATCCTCATCGAAACTGCATTACTGTATTCGGGAACCCAGGAGGGCCACGAGTCTTTAAATCCCTGCCATCCCCAGTCGACAAGTGACCAAGGGAGGAGATTGCCCGTCTGCGAAATGATGTGCAACGTGGCGTCTCGGTAGACCTGGACCACAGGTTTCTCGTAGTCGGGAATAAGAGCGCTGGGCCACTCCGTGTCTTTATCCCTGGGCGGTTGGACCAAGCCTTGAAGCCCATAGATTTGGTCTCTGCCGTCGCTCGCTCCGTGGCCGCGCGCGAGCAGCAGCGCCGTTGCGAAATCGCAGTGAGTCATACGAAACTGTTGTGGGTAGGAGCAAAGCAGCGAGAGAGCATCTGTGCACATGCCGAAGTGATTGCGACCAGGCCGTATATCAACCATTAATGTCCATCCGGATGGAGATTCGAATCGTTTGTTGCCCAAGATGCCGATCGCCCAGAGCAGAACGGAAAGTTGGCCGACTCGAGCGCCGTATACCACCTTGGGATCTTTTCGTGAAAGGAAAACCTCTTGCAGTGTCCAAAGTCTGGAAAACCAGGAGCTTGAGCATACCTCGGCGAGTTGTTCCCACGAAGCATCGCCTCGAAGAGGCAGCCTGAGATATTTCAGCTGCTCGTCAAATATGCGGGTCCGGGAAGGTACAGACCGGATTTGGCCGTCTTCGAGCTCTGATTTCTTGTCGTAGAGGTGTTGAGATAGCTGGGCAGCCTCGTCGTACGGCTTCAGATTTAGACCCAGCCATATGACAGTCAGCTCGGCGCGTTGGTAGATGCGCCTCATGAGCCGAACTTGGTGTGATCGCTCCTTGAGATTCTCCTGGTTGATGCAGATTTGGTCAATCCAGAACCACTTGTGCGCGAAATCAGAAATGGACTCGAGCTCGTTCAAGCCGCGAAGTAAGTGGGCTGAAATCTTCAACGGCTTGCCGTTGCACTGGATAGCGCAGTCTCGCACGTAGGTGGCCCAGGCGTAGCTTAGAGCGTAGTACTTTGGGCTTTGTTTTAGGGGAAATGTCCGCAGTTCGAAATCGTTGAGGCGATCCGCGCCGCTGGCTTGAAGCCTGAGCAGTCGCACGCGAGGCCTGCTGTTGCCAGAGATGTCGTCGTAGGGCGACCTATTCGATTGTAGGTTTTGAAAGGCCTTATGTGCTGCTTCAACTCGCTGCTCGCCGAGCTGTTGCACCCTTGCACATGACTCCTCTGATGTCTCCTGCCTGATAGTTCGGTCGGGAGATGAATTTCCTAGCAAGGCGGCGCTCCGAATACTAGAGTTGTTTGCATTAGGAGACTGTGTCGAGGGAGGCCATGCCATCATCTTACGCAGCAGGTGAACCTACCTTCTCAAAGGGGTTTGAAAGACCCGGCTCAAGGACAGTGGCTCCGCTGACATGATGATGTGCGAGTGACTCAAGTTGCACCACGAATCTGGCTCAGAGAGGTGAAGGATGTGAGTTGAGCTATGAAGAGCGCGCTTGTCGAGAATGACGCGGTCACTTTCAGGCAGCCGTTGGTTTTGGGGGCGGAAAGAATGCTGGGCATACGCGCCCCAATGAAATGGCACCCTTCGCGCCTCACATCGACAAGCCAACACCTGTCCGCGCTTATTCATCATGCAACACACGTACGTCGCTCTAGTACATGTAGAGTTCCATTCGCCTTCAGTAGCCATATCTGAAACAATAGCAAGTTTTACCATTTAGGAGCGCTTGTTTACAAGAGACGACAAAATTCAAAGCCATGACTAGACTCTCATACCGTAACTAGATGTAGAACTAAAAGAAACAAACATGCAAGCTGTAAAATACATATTCTTATTCCCAGAGAATTTTCCTTCCACAAAACCAAACCCCCAGACAAACAATTTCTTCCAGTCGTAAAAACAGCCAGACCTCCCCTATTTCCGCTCTCATCAAAACATCCCCAACTCCCCTCAACCCTCTCTAATGGCACATCGTCTTATGGCAGACATCGACCCCCCCCAGGAAAGTCGACTTGTCGAGCGCTTCGGGCTCGCGGCCGCGGATGGCGGGGACAACCTCGACGTCTCCCACGTGGCCGCTCTCGCAACTGATACTGCCGTCGGCTTCGTGGCCCGTGCAGGTGACGTTGCGGCCGGGCGAGTACTAGGTCACGTCGGCGCCGAGGACGGGGGTGATGAGGGCGAGGGCGAGGGCGAGAGCGAAGATGACTTGCTTCATGTTGGCGACTTGTTGGAAGAGCTGGTGTGGGTGAATTCTGTGTAGAGTGAGTGCGGGAGATGTTTGTAAGACGATGAGAAAGAAAGGAGAAACAAAGTCGTGAGAGACGTAGGAGTTACGTGATAATTGCGTTGTAATCTAGGAAAGTTGCTAGACAGGCAGCACCCCGAGCGTAATGGGCACGATGGAAACCGCCCTGTAGTAGGTCCTTGCCTTGAAATTAACTAAGTATTCTGATGAGGTGAATTAAAGTCGCCTACCACTTATTTGCGGCCACCCATGGCCGCCCACCCTCTTCCTCGTCTTTCAAGTGCGGGCCTGCATCGAGGGCAACCAACGAACCAACACCACTGCAAGGCTGTCTGGCTTGGTTTCGCTCACCTGAGGTACGCCCGGGCGGCCGTGCGCTTACTGGTGCCAAGGGAAGTGGGAAGTTTCGTCAGGGAGCTTGGGCGTTATCAAAACCCCTCCTGAAAACAAAACATCCCTGAGACCGTCTTTTTACTCATGTATTTGTTCATGTATTTGCCACATTATTCATCTAGGCGCCTTTTCTACCTATCTACCCATTTTGTACTATCCACTAGTCAAACGGAGATGCCATCAGTGTAGTCGTCTAAGTTCCTCGACAGTGTTTCGCATATCTTCCACACTTGGGCCTAGGCCCTCACAAATCTCTTTCTGCGTCTCCTCGTCGACGTCTAGAAATCTCTCTAACAACTCCCCGTCTAGAAACCGGAAGGGGCCATCGCCCTCCCGCTCGCTGTTCCTGAAGGATCTGTAGTCCTTAAACTCAATGTGGCCGGCTGTCTGGATGGTAGTGGCCAGCTTGGCCTGGAAGCGTAGCAGCAGGTCTCGAGCATGGGACGCGATGGTTCCTAGCAGGTAGATACCGCCCTCGACCTGTAAACCAAGATATCAGCTCAAACTCTCTATTATTATCACCGATGACCTTTTGTTGGGGAGCTTACCGTTGTGATGAACGCTCTGGGGATAATCATGGCATTTGGGCTTGTCTCGACCGAAATAGGGCGGACCTTGTTTACCATCTCGCCCAAGTTCATCTCGCTCGTGATCTCGAGGCGACGCTGCTCCTCGACTGTCACGCCCTTGGTATTTTGTCGGAGAATCATGATGTTTCCATCGGCATCGGTCTCGAGCCACGAATCGTCCTCGAGGTGGCATACCGCCGTACTCCACGCCGACTGGTAGTGCCGTGCGCGCGGAGCTAATTGTGCTGGCTCGCCGCCCTTGCCGGCCGGGGTATACTCAAAGAGCGAGATCGACTTCATCAGGTCGGCCACGGCAATCATGTTGCCGTGAACGGCCACGTCCACTGGGTAACTGGCAGGGCGACAAGAAGCTATTCCTGTTAGCGTTCCAGAGGAATTCGATGTCTCCGTGTACGAGACAAGAACCACCGTCTTCGTCAGGGCGGCCACGATCTTCCCATCCAAAATGGCGAGGGCTCGGACGCCGCCCTTTAGCTCGTGGCTGACTATTAGATATGGGTTTCTGTCGCTGTCAACGCCAAACACGAGGATCCGGCCCCGCGAGTTGCCGTTGGACCCGGGCCCAAGGCCGGGGGCAGGTTCGAAGCTCGTGCCCACGATGAACCGATCGGCGGGGTTCCCGTAGGAATCCGGAAGCTCTGCTCGTACAACCGCCTCGACCAGCTCCGTAAAGGACAAGACCCCCAGCTTGAAGGTATTACCGACGCGATCAAAGATGACCTCGTCGACCAGCTTGAACGAGCTCTCGACGATCTCCTCGCCGGCCACCACATCCCGCTTGATGCAGCCAAGTCCAAACACCTTTTCGGCAGGAGAATACGCAAGGCGCCTAACCGTTTCTCCCATCTCCAAAGGCCGCACATGTGTCCGCCTCTCCGGATCTATCAGGGAGATCTTGATCTGCGAGTCCGTAGAAAGCACGATGGCATCAGGAAACGCCTCGCTATCAAACAGACAGACAAACGTCGCATCCTCGGCCGTGGCAGCTGAGTAGACGATCCGCCCCTCGGAGCCGTAAATAAGGCTAGGGTGCTCTGTGGTGGCGAATATGGTGTAGAGGCCGGTCGGCTGCGGAAGAAGATGGAAGCGAGCCTGCCGTGTGCCCAAGATGACACGCTTCCTCCCCGACAACTCCATCTCCGGGGATACATTGAACGTAACAACATTGCCGTCTTCCAACGCGATGAAGAGCGTGGGGCCCGAAGAGCCCGGCTGCAGTACTTGAGCGAGAGCGAGATCGCGTGGTGTGGATGCATCATCTTGTGTTCTTCGCAGCGACACCCCATGTATCGGTTGTAGCGTGTACATGTCAATAATGGAAACAGTGCCAGACGTCCAAAAGCCAACCACGCCAATATCACTTAGCTGGGGAGGCACATGAATGCAGGCCACCTGATCCTGCTCGCCAATGTCCTTTTCCTGAATGACCTTCAGGGAATCGGGAATATCCAGCGACACGAGGCCAGAACCCTCGATGGACAGCAGCAGCCAGTGGTCATTTGTAGACGCATTGGTGATCGTCCGCTCTCCCTCTGGGCACCACGATGCTATCGCGACGCCGCTCTCGCAATCAAAGAGGGTTGCCGCTGTTGCCGTGACCTGCAGCAGCTGGGTGTCTGGGAGACTTCTGGCCAGCAGCGTCTGGGAACCCAAGGCCATGCCGCAAAATGATTCCACCTCTTCGACCTCCCCTTGTTGGTCAAACCTAAAGATACGGGTCTCGGTCAAGAGGGATACCACCAGAGTATCGACCTTCTGAGAGCCACAAGACTTGAGGGAAAAAAGGCCGCGGGTATTATCCATATCGGCGAGAATTCCGACGTCTTCGAGGCCGACACCGCTTCGCACGCTCCGCAGCGACCCATCGTTAAAAGCGCCGCTTGCCGTGACGATCCGGGCCTGGCCGGAAGAGTACTCATTGGCAAGCTGGTTGTCGTCGCCTCTGTTACCCATATCCATGACGGAAAAGTCCATGATGGGGCCGATATTCGGGAGTGTTTGCACCAATTGTACGATCTGGTCTATTGTGTCGAGGAAAAGGTCGACGCGGAACAGCTGCGAGTCGCCGTGGTGCGAGCCAACAAACAGGTAGCCGTCTCCGAGGTAGACGAGGCTGCTAGCCCGCGACGTCTTGCCGATCTTAGTCACCTCCATGCGCTTGACAACCACGTCGTCGGACAGGATGGAGAGCAAGTGCAGGTTCCCGCAGTCATCGCCCAGGAAGTAGTGCGTGACGTCGTACTCGGCCCAGGCGACGAAGCTCGAGGCCTCCCTGAGCGTCGACTGCACCGTTGTCCTGGTTTGTTCGTCAATGTAAAGCAACCGCGTCTCGCCCACAACGATCAGACCGCCGATGTGCGCCTTGGCCGACTCGACGTGGCGCACATTGTGCCGCTTCACCTCCGCTTCGACCTTGCGGACGGGTATGAGCATGGTGGCGTGCGGGTCTAAGTCGTCCACGTCAATCTCCCTGTCTCGGTCGGGGTCGAAGCGCGACGCCACAGTGTTCCGGTCGTCAGATGTGAGCCGGTACGTGGCAAGCTTGGAGTCGGTCGAATCTGCGCGGCTCTGGTAGAGGAAGGCAACCTTGGGGTGGCCCGTCTCCGTGTACAGGAAGGTGCTCGCTCTAATGAAGAGCTCCGATAGGCGCACCTGCTCCATCCAATCCAGTGTCATGGCGTTGTTCTTCCGGTCGCCCAGCCGCAGGATGGTCAAGATGCCCGCCCACAGGTGCATGACCATGAATCTGCCCGAGGGGTCGACGAGACATCGGTCGTGGCTCAAGGACTCGCGCATGTGATGTTCGCCTGGATCCTTGAAGGGGTCTATTGTGTCGAGCTGGGAGGTTTGCGGGTTCCAAGCTAGTGTGAAGTACTCGAAGCGCTGGGTGCCGACGAAGAGCAGGTCTGTTTGCGAGTCTTTTGGTCTCAGCTTCTGGAGGATCGAGATGGTGCCATTGATGACCTTGGAATGGACCATGGCGAGCATTCCATCGACGAGACGCCATATTTCGAGGCGATTGGACTTGCTGCGAGAATGAGTAGGTTAGCAGGGCGTGTCGCGGCGGAAAGGGGGGAAACGAGGGTCCTTACGCAAGCACCAGGCTCTCCTCGTCGGCGGACAGGACATGACTTTGCAAGCAGAGGCGCACACTACTCGGCCGGTGTATGGGAGCAATGTAGGCCATCGTTACGCTCTCAGTGTTACATTCGGGGGAGGAATATCGAGGGCATGGAGCTCCGGTTCGTCGGGCTTGGGGCTGCGGCGACGGGCAACCTGCAGGAGAGGCCGGCGGTGATGCGATGCCATGGGTGCGATGCGGAGATAAGGTAAGCTTGGGGCTGCCAAACCCCTTTACATGCATCTTGGCCCCGCGTTTCGCGTCGCGCGCTGCAGCCAGCACTTAAACTCTGGAACCCCACCAAAGACGGCCCCTGCTTTTACTCTCGACCTGGCTACCCTGTCAACGTGTACTTGCTATCTAGTACTAGGAAAAATGAAACTGGTAGTTGAACACGAAGAGCACAGGTAATTTAAGGAGTACCGTAGAATAGAATCAAGCAGAGAAGAACTGGGTTTCTCGGACTGGGATAACTGAGTATTCGTACAGCATGTATCGAGTCTGACCTGGGTGTCTTGTATTCATGTGTAAATCTACTAGGTGGCGCTTGTATTACCTCCATAGATCATCTCATTGTTCCATTGCAAGTACAAAGAGACCGCCAGCTGGTGAGAATGGCTACAGGAAAGGTGACACTCACGTAGACAGCCCAAGATGGAAAGCATTATGAACTGTTGTTAAGCGCGCCCCCTTGGAGCGGATAATCAGAACTGGACAGGTGCCCTACCCTCGACTCGCCTCGCTCTATCTCTCTTGTCAGACTACCTAGAGGCCACAGTTCCAATATTGCTGCAATCCTTTGATAGAGACAGCCAGCTGCTGTCGTCCCGAGTATATATATGCCGTGGCGCGACCTGCTTGCTTGATCCCCTTGATGGCGCACCAGGTATCCTGCACGTCAACATGCCACAAGAAGCCATAGAAGGCCTAGTCGGAAGCATAGAGCTGACGTGATCAAAAGTGGTATTTTCGTTTTCCGCAATCGAGGGGATGGATTGTGACGGCGGGGCTCAGCACCTACTACCGCTGCACCACACCTTCCTAAAGGATGCCAGAATTGCAAGCTGCCAAGCTGCAATCTGTATTAGGTTATAGTATGGTCACGCACCTGTAGGCCTGCCCACAGCGCCTACGGTACTGTGCCGTGATAGATGGCCTTTTTGCCTTGCCAGCTGCTTGCCTGCTGCACACTGGGCTTGGAGCTGGCGGGACCTGCTCAGCTCGGGGTAGGTCCAGAACTGTGGAGCCCCCAAAATTTGCCCTCGTGCACGGACCAACTACAATGTATATATAAACGCCTTTCTCCTCCCACTTTTAGGAATTTTTCTTTTCCCTTTTTTTTCTTTAGCTCTCTTTGCCTTTTGGCTTAGATCAAGTGTAGTATCTGTTCTTTTCAGTTTAATCTCTGAAACCACTCTACGGAGTGGAATCTTGATTATTCCAATTTTTGTCTCTCGAAAGTCAACCCTCTGGGCTTGCCTATGGTCGGCTTCCACTGTGTCCCTGGTATAACACTGCCTCCAGGCGATGCGAAGAAGCTCTTGCTTCATCTTCTTTTCATTGCAATCTTGGGCACTGCTCGGGATGTGAAGAAGTCGATGTGTCAGCTCGGGTCTGCCTGTCTTGTTTTTTGACGATGGAACGTCGTCCCTGTTGGAGTGCATCTTGTCGTAAAGGTGATGTCGCGTACGCCTCTGTTTTTCTCCACGCGCGCCGAGGCTTTCTATAGACTCTGGGTTGCTGCTGTTTGGCGACTTCTCCGAGAGGGATCAGGCGCGCAATGATTTCAGGTCGCGGCCTCCCCGCCTGCGCTGGTGAAGTGAGGGTCGGAAGTGCTAGCTACAGCGACCCAATTTCAGAACAACTGGCAGACTCGCATGGAGTGACACGGATCACAACACGTAAATGGAGGGCGCCCGGCTATCTTAATTAAGGTCGTCTCCTAGAGAGATTCTTCTGCTCGAGGCCGTCTCTGGCGTTTGGATCACTCCCTCCTCCAGTGGGCGCCCCTAGCTAGCTCGTCTTCCGGGCCAGCAAGATACAGGTTATCCACCACCATCATTGCAGACTTGAATCGCCACTGCTGAGAGAAATTGCTGAGGGCAACATTAGCCAAGCGCATAGGTCTGTTGAAGCCGAGCCTGCTTGGGTTGTGGCACCCAAGCCGGCCGGCCTCATTAGCAATATCCTTCCATTGCCGGGAGATCTGATGGGCCAGAGCCCGAACCAACACTTAGCAAGAGTGGAGGACCCCCTCGCAGGAAACACAACTCTGTGGCGTGGCAGTATTCTCACAGCCAGTCCGTGCAGACTGGAAAGTTGTGCCCCGGCGAGAGGGTTCCACCACTCTCGGCGGTCGTATTTCACGTCCTCCCAGTGAAAACGCAGGTGGTAGTGTCTGTCTTTCTCCCCGTGGTTAGCAAGACGACGTACAGACTGGGACTAGACGCGTCGCTGCCGTCTGCGGGGTGGCTGACTTTACAGACGATAGCAGGATATCTGGTGGGACTATCTGAACCCATGACAGCAAAGACCGCGTACAGGACAACCTGGGAAGCCGTGGCCGGCACCTGCAGTGAGCGAGTGGGGCGAGAGAGGACGCAAATTCCAAAGGGACAGGAGCCATGTTACCCATGCCCAGCTACATGTGCCCACCGAAGTGCAAACCCCAACACGAAGAACATGGACTCTTCGGATACCTAGCAGCGAAACGTGAACAACAAGGGTCTCTTGAAAAAGGCAATTATACATATCTTGCGAATCATTAGTGTCAGTAGGCTACCAGCTTGACTTCTGACACCCTTAGTGGAGGACGGAGAAGAACGGTGGCCAGGTAACTTCCGGATTCTGTCTCCCACTGCCCCGCAGACTACATGCAGCTCCCATCGCGACTGCTCCTGGCTCATTGAAGCGGCAGTTTTGGCTGCAGGGGCTACCTACCTGAACGTTGAAGGCTTGGAAGCATGTGGAAACTGGTGCTGCTTGTATAAGGTAGGTGGTACATCTGCAGATACTTGGGCAGGCAAACAATGTAGGCGTGAGATCTGGTACCTGGCCGCTCTTGACTGGTATCGTCTGGTGAGTTGTGATTGCCCATTCCAGCCATGCCAACAGCAGCCAAACAAGAGCCCGGGCAACGCGGGTTGGAAGCTCCTCGGCTGAATTTCGTTACCGTACTGATACCACCTGGTTGAATCTGGATCTGCCTGGCACTCGCCCTGTCTTTGCTGCCCTAGCCCTGGCACTTGCACTCGCACACCCACAGACTCTAGACCAACTTATTGCTTCCAGTGTTGGAATAGCGACACTTTGGGCCGTACGGCAAAGGATGGGGAGGGTCGGGTGCGCAGGCACGTGACGGAGGAACGTGCTGCACGGACATCGACCCGCACCCACTTAATTAGGCCCCCTCAGCTAGAACCGTAGGTAGCACCGAACATGAATCAACGTACTATTCATTACCCCCCTAAGGTTGAATCGCGACACAACGCCTAGGCACAATCGTGGCTAGAGCGCCACGAACATCCAGATTCGTCCAAAAAAAATCAAAGACTTTTTCTTTCCAACCACCTCCAGTCCCTCGGCAGATCTGCGCAGTGCTGCACGGCTCTGCACAGCTTCGCGGCCACAAGCAACGAGACCCTACTAGCAGCATTGTTTGCTATGTCTATGACAACGCAGGCCAACTGGCTTGTGTTTGCCGCGGGCGCGGCGGCATGCTAGCCGACGGCGACAAGAGTAAGATTTCCGCATCCTCTCTTCTCCGTTGCCTCTTACCCAGTCACGCTGCTGCTCCTTCAAGTGTGGTTGCCGAAGCTAACTGGAACGTTCGCAGCTTCTAACGGTGATGGCCCGGCAGTCTTTATATAATCTCGACTTGGGGGCCTAGGCCCGAGCCCAGACGCATGGTGATTGGCTTTGCTGGCTGCCTACGGTAAGGTCTTATCCTGTCATGTTCGATTGCCGGGCTTGTGTCGTTTTGAAATCTAAATCGGCCGGCCAGGGTGGAGAAGAGAGCTCTTCTCGCGAGAGTGCAGCGTAATCGCCGAAGAGATCGACAACGGCCGAAAGAGGATCAAGATGTACACGAGACGGCCATCGACCAACTGCAGGGTTACCGTGCCCGTCTTGTCTTGGGGCCGTTCCCAGAAGCGCCGTCCCTTTTCGGGGCCAGCAGCAAGTCAGCAGCAACTCAGCAACAATCGTCTTGGGCTCGTTCTCGCCCCAGACGTGGGATAAGACGGCGTAATAGTGGAGGGATATTGCTAATAAGCCGGGCTTGTTTGGGTGCCACAGCCCAAACAGGCTCGGCTTCAACAACAGCAATTCAAGATCCTGCCGCCCTGTCGCCGACATGTGGTGGGGGCTCCGGCCCACCAGATTTCGCGACTGATTGGCTGGGCTTGTTTGGGTGCTACAACCCAAACAGGCTCGGCTTCAACAGCGGCCAAGCAGACTCAGCTTCAACAACGGCAGTTGGTTCACGAGTCCTTCGCCTTCTGTATCTTGGCAGAGTCGCCACCTGGAGGGGCATGAAGGGGTTCTTGGCGAGGTGGCGTTTGGTAGCCCTGACGAGTAAATATATCACTCAGTTCGTTGAATGAAATTGTCTCATTATGAATGCTTGCTTGCCCTGCTTATTGGCTGTGAAGGCGGCGCTAGGATTGACCTGCATTTGCCAGTTCATACTCCGTACTCTATTCATGCACCGTTCAGTTTCCAGCAAAGAGACAGCTGAAATTACATTTTGATCAAGAGCACCCTCGGTTCAGGTTCAGTGCATCTTACTGACTCTGATTCTGCTATATTTAGTAGATTTTTGGGCGATATTAACTCACTGGTTGGATGCTCGCCCGTGTCTGTCCGGTTGGGCGGGACAATATAATGGAGCTATATCTGACAGTGATGAGCCGGTCAGCGATGCCGGGTCGACTCTGCGAGGTGTAAGCGAGGCGGCTGAGACTTGTCCCATATTCTCCGACAGCTTCCAAGCCTGCATCTTCCCGCCCATCCTGGTCGTCGGACATCCGTTGCTGGCAACCGAAGCCATTTCAGACCCAGACTCGGAGACCCGTTGGGCCGGTTACTGGTGATATCTTATCAAAAGAGGTGGATTGCGGTTTATTAATTATGGCGTCCTTTTATTATCGTGGATAATAACATCAAACCCCTCTGGTGCAGAAATCATCAATCGATGCTGCGTTATAACTGCACAAATCACCCAAAAAGTGTGTTGGACGGCATTACGGATGGATACTCGCACCTTCGGAACTCCTCATTGCTAAGGATGACGGCTTTGGAGACCAAACGGAAAGACGCCCCATTTCACCAATAAACAACACACACGGGAGTGGATTTACCAAGGACCGGGTCTCTTGTGCGGCCTCGCCCCCTGCCTACCAGTTCTCGGCTAAATTCGATAGATCTCATGCTACCGGGCGTGGCGCATAGGGTATGTACCAACGATGTATAGGTAATCTCTCTCTGCCTGCAAGGGAGCAGTTCCGCCAACAATATACCGGCGATTCACAACCCCCCTCCCCTAACTACCTTGGCGGAAGTGGCATGGAGGCGTCCCGTCCCAGCTCCCGTCCCACCGGTCAAGGAGATAATCATCTCGAGGCTCACTAATTAAATCTAGCCCTAGAACCAGGACATAAACGACGGCCGTGTCGCTAGCTCGGTAAATCTCCTGATATTGTGGCACGCCAGGGGACCAACTCTAGGGTGCTAATTATAGGTCTTCGGCCGAGTATTATCGTGAGGGTGTGTGTATACAGTATGTGGTGTGGGTAGGTAATTTGGCCATGTGTTTTCTTTTCTCCGAGCAAACCAGAAACATGCCAGATCCGCGTCCAATCAAGCAGTTATCTCCAAAGGAGGGGAACTTTGGGCCCGAGCCGGAAAGATGATTGCCAGACTCGCCACACTGTTATAAAGGCCCATGGTCTCCATTGTTTTCGGCTGTCGACGGTCAGGGAGCGTTTCCTAAACGAGCTTCAAATCTCCGCGGAAAAGCTTCTTCTTCTATCCTTGACTAAACATTTTGATACTGGAAACGGCAACAGACGACACAATGCATCTCCACAATCTCGCCGTGGCTGTGGGCGTTCTGGCGTCCGTACCCATCAGCCACGCCGTCTCGGGGAAGAGCTACACGGGCTGGGACTGGTAAATTTGTCACGCTTCGCACTTGGGTCCCAAAGCATGGATGCTAATCCAAACTGTTCCGTAATTACAGCTGCAAGCCTGCCTGCGCCTGGCAGGCGAATCTTAAAGGCGTGCAGTAAGCAAACACTCACCCGGCCTTCCCCCGACCTCCCTCCCTCTCCAGCCAACCACGCAGCCCGACACTAATGACCTCTCCCACCTAGAGGCGCGCCTAAAGTGTGCGACATCAACAACAACCCACTGGCCAGCAGCAACGGGCTCAAGGCCCCCTCGGGGTGCACCACCGGCGGCACGGGCTTCCTCTGCGACTCGTACGTGCCGGTGCCGGTGAGCGACAAGCTGTCGTACGGCTTTGCGACGGTCGGCGACGCGGCCAACTGCTGCAAGTGCTACCAGCTCACGTGGACGAGCGGCGCCGCGCGCGGAAAGCAGATGGTCGTGCAGGCCCTCAACAGCTTCCCGCCCGGCGCCGACGTCAAGGCCGCCGACCTGGTCATCCTCACGCCCGGCGGCGGCAGCGGCGGCAACGACGCCGGCTGCCGTAACCAGTATGGCAAGAACTGGTGAGCACTTAATTAGTCGATAGCCACCCCCCGCTTATTTCTTTTCTTCTTTTCCCCCCTTGTCTCCGAGGAGGCTGATAATAATGAATACCTTACCTATGCTGACGGGAAAACAACAATAAAAGGGGCGACAGCGGCGGCGGCGTGAAGACGGGCACCGAGTGCGCCAACCTGCCGCAGAACCTGCAGGGCGGCTGCTACTGGCGCTACAACTGGGCCGGCGGCGCCGTCAACACCTGGGGCATCGACTACAAGCAGGTCGATTGCCCTACGCGGCTGACGTCCATCTCGGGGTGTGCTGCCTGACCTGAATTGATCTGACCTGAGCGTGGTGTGGTGTGAACTGGAGTTTGGATGGTGGTCTTGCAAGGAACACGGAGGTCATCGTGGGTTGAGCAGGAGTCTCATCAGGAATATTCTAGAGATAGTAATGAATGTATGACTGGCTGTTTGGTATCTACCTAGGTATCTAATTGCCGAAGCACGAGAAATGACCGCTTGTGTTGTTCTGCCCCTTTTGAGCCCCCGCACGTTGGAGGACGAGGGGCTTGGGAGAAAAGGAAGAAACAAGAACAAGGCGAAGAGAAATCTGGCATGCAACTTACTGGCTGCGTTCTGGACACGACTGGATATTCTATCACAATAATTACTAGGTGACTATCACATGGCGCTGCTGCCACTATAACGACGATGCTCATGCTGTTCAATGTCTAGCGGGCTTGAATGATCCCCTTCCACGACCATATTTAGTCGAGGACACGTAAACCTGGAGAGAACACGTGAGCCGTTATAGAGAAGCCACCAATGCTTTACAGGTTTTGGGAATCGGAGCAGTGATCGTGTGGCACTAGAGCCGAGCCGAGGAATAGTCACAAAGTTCCAAGCTTAAACTAGAGCATGTGGGTGCCATTGATTAGTAGACAACTCCTGCCGCGTCTGGACACATAATTTTCTCGCAGCTTCACATCATTAACGACCATAATATGTCAAGTCATGCGCCCTGGGCGGTGAATGGATGGAAATGGTCTTCATTGTTTCTGCCTGAGCGTGACAGAAAATACAAGGCCTCCGTGGTGTGGCGGTGGGCAACAAGAACTGGATAATTAATACTGTCAAATAATTCAAGACTGCGTGTCTGGGCCATGTGAGTGCTGTCATGTTGGTAGCTGAATAGTGGCAAGACCAAATTTGGCCTTCTTTGGTGTCAGGGAGGTAAAGAAAGGAACCCACAGCAACCAAATAAAGTTTGAAGGAGCGTTCTAGACGATAATCTCACCCAGCGCGAGGGAAATGAGTCTTGGGACAGCGGGCAGAAACCGTGGTCTGTAACGGAGCCTCTTCACCCGTGCCAGTGGTTTCAAAATAAGGAAAAAGGACGCGGATGCCGCGCTCCACGACTCGAACGCACAACCTCTTAGGGCCACCATAGACCACCCACGACTGCCTCGCCATTGGGGAACCTCTCCAGATGATGCAGAGATGTAAAAATTTAAATTTTTTTTTAAAAAAAAAAACAAATGATTAGAATAAATTGGCAAAAAAATACTTTTGGCCCTCATTCAGCTAATCATCCTTGTGCAGGGTGGCAGAACGACCTTGTGTTTCTTTCTTAGGGCTTCCACTTCCTTCCTCAGGGACTCGTCTGCCTGCAGGGCCTCCTCCGCCCTGTCCTTTCGCTCCTGTGAGGGGTTCCATTTTATGAAAGCCTTCTCAGGGAAAAGGTACCAACAGCCTTCCAGGTTGTGAGCATTCCCGCATACCCTACAGCCTGAATGGCTGCCCCCGGTGTATCTCCGCTTCGAGGAACCCGGTGCCTTCTCTTGTTCAGGGCGGTCGGCGCCCTGGTTGCCGTATGTTGCTCCGAAGGATCCTTTCGTGAACCGTGATGGCTTCCTTGATGCCTCCTGTGCCCTGACTTTATGGTTGAACGCACTCACCAGGTCCCTGTAGTCGAGGGTCCCTGCATCGATGCTCTTCTGATTCACCAGGCGGTAAAGTGCGCACCAGTTGGACCAGCCTGCTCCCCTGATCGCCGCCTCAAAGTCGTCATACCAAGTAGCGGGTTGTTGTGCCTCAGGGACCTTCTTTGTCTGTGCAGTCTGTAGTGCTTCCTGCCAGTTGTCGATCCATGCCTTCCATGACTTCGCGGGCTTTGTAAGAGGGTATACGGCCTGCTTGTACTTGGTCCTCGCCTTGCCGGCATTATTTGACGGTGTGGTACTTGCTTGAGCCTTCAGGTTGGCGTACCACTTATTGATCGGGTCGGTAGGCTGGCACGCAACGTTGAAGAGGTGCGCTGAGGCCGTCTCCCGCACCTAGTTCTTGAGGGCTACAACCGTCCTGCGCTCAGTGTCGTAGGCCTTCATGTCCGTGTTGTATAGGGTGAGGCTCCGCATGTGGACCTTGTTGTCTTTCTCAGTCAGGTCCGCTAGGCAGGTGGCCGGGACATCCTCCGCATTCGATGCCGGGGCAGCCTGTATTTCGTCCTGTGTGCCCTGGTTCCCCGGCGTGTTGCCTCTGGTGATGGAGGCTCTTGCAGCGGTTGCAGTGGCTTGGTAGTGCTTCTTATGGACTTCTTTACTCATCGAGAACGCCGAGATCAGAGGCCTCTTCGGCTTTGGAAAGAAATCGCCGCATTCTTCTGAGTTAGGGTCGATGAGATGCTAAATATCGTCGTCGACGGCCTTACTGATGAAGGAGTTGTTCCAGTTACGCCAGTCTTCCGAACCCTCGAGGACGACTGACTTTTCTGTCGTTGTCATGTTGTTTTTCCGGTGCCCTGCGCATGGACTGCTCTGTCGGTATAGAGGCTTCAATAAATGCTTGTCGCTGTGGTTTGAAGATGCAGCTCCCGGGCCCATAACTCTTAGAAGCCAAAAGCATGCAAAAGCAGTCAAAAATGAGGCTATTCCAAGTGTGTATTGTATTGTGTTGTGGGGAAGAAAAAAGGGGTTGCACCTGCAGGTCTGGGACCAGTGTTGATTGATCCTGTAAAAAGGCGGTCTAATTAGGGGGCCCTGCCCGGGCACCCTAGGCCATGCCCAAAGTAGCAAGGTCGTTCTGACACAGGGGTCATGCTAATCTTGTATTGAATGCTGTGACTTGTTAGCATGTGTATACCTACTTTTTTTTACAGCGTTGGCAATGGCTCAAACAACTCAATCTTGAGAGGCTATATTTGGTTGAATTGAGCCGCCAAAATGGATATTTGACTGGGTTGAGGCTAGAATTGATTGATATGGCAATAACTAATTGATGATACTTGACGGCATCTTCCGCTCCACCAAAAAAGATGTAAAAAGTCGTCAAAGAGGTCTAAAATAGTAAGAAAAAATGCCGTGAAGCCCGGGAAAGCTCGTCAACGTACCTAATCCTTCAAACACATGATGTCGCTGAATTAAGTTGGTGTCAACGCTGCTTTTTTAAGGTGACGGTATGCCCACGTTGACCATGTACTGGTGCCCGAAGGCAAAAGACAGAACGCGGGATTACGTACCCAGGGCAGGCATTAGGGGACCAACCAGGTCCCGTACCCGCCTATCTAAACAAACACCCAGGCACCCACTCCTAGGTACGTGTCCTGACAGATGCGCATCTCCTCTTGCATTGGTCTTCATGCCCTTCTCGCCGCTGCGGCTCTTCCATGTCACTTGCCGTCCCCCTGTCAGCCGTGACTCCGGTGCGAGTGTTGGGAATTGCAACAACACCCTGCCTACCTACGTCCTCACTGCCTTTCCCTGCGTATACGTAAGTAATGACGGCTTTCACGCGTCATCTTGTCTGATTTTCGGTAGACACTACATTTGTTCCGGAAGAGTCCTGGACACATGGGATGGCCGCCTTGCCCGCCTTAAATGGGATCCCAGAGCTTGATCCGGCTGAAAGGGTCGACTTTCGAACACGGGCCGTGGTAAATAACGTGGCGAGACAGTAGCCACTCCTGACTACTTACCTCATGGGCACTGAAACACTATATTGTCATTTCTGTAATAAAACCCGAAGGCTCAACCTGTATTGTTGCTTACATACATGCCCAAAAATGCAATAAAAACCTGCCCTGCCTAGGCATCCTCAAGATCGCTGCTTTCTTGCGCTTCAAAGGCTGTGGCCAAAGCCCTCGTAGTACGACGGGTTGTTGCACCGCGCGTAGAAGCCTTTGTAATGCCTCCTCGCGCCCTGCGCGCCGTGGGGTTGAAGCCTGCGCACCAGTTGAAGCCTGAGTGCGTGATGCCCCTGACGATGCCCGTGGTGTTGATATCTTTGCAACACGACCGCCTCGGCTGCCAGGGCCTCCTCTTGTTGCCCGGGATCCCTGCGCCTTACCGCCTTACCGCCGCGAGCAGGCGGGGGGACTGTGAGGGTTGACGGCGAATGGAAGCCTGTAGGCCTGACTCACGGCCGGTAGACGTAGGCGCCGGCGTCGGTGTTGATGCCGTAGAAATCGGGACTGTTGACCGGGGTGCCAGGGGGAATAGACCTACCCAACCACTAGTATGGGCGGAAGTCTAGCTTCACGAGCCCCAAATTACGCTCATTCATTCTATACAGAAGCTCGTGACTGCAAGGAATGCCGAAATGGTCGGTAGACTGGCCCGTACATTCCGGCAGGGGCGGCGGGTTCGGCGTCTTGTCAGTCGGAAAGGCGCCGAGTGCAATGCGGTGTTGTTTGACGACTGTCACGGCACGGTCCGTAGGCGCTGTGGGAGGCCTACGGGTGCGTGATCATACTATAACCTACTACAGATTGCAGCTTGGCAGCTTGCAATTCTGGCATCCGTTTGGAAGATGTGGTGCAGCGGTAGTAGGTGCTGAGCCCCGCCGTCACAACGACCCGATCCACGGCCCTCTCGGCAATGTTATAGGGAGCCTCACCGAGCCAGTCTCTACCTATATATGACCTCTTGATACGAGTCAATACTGAGTGGCGAGCCTCGCGGATGGACCTCTGCATCTCATCGAGCATGTTGAAGGCTTGCTCGATGAGCTGAAGAATGTCACTATTCCCGTTGACAACAAAGCCTTAAGGTAACGTTGAGACCTCAACAGGAGATGTGGTACGGTGGCCAAGGTTGAGGTGCTTATTAGTGTAACACGTTGCCCACTGCGGAGCTAAAGGCATCAAGCTCTCTATATAAGCTAGTATTTCCTGTTGTTGTGGAAAGAATACCTTGAGGTTTTTATATGCCGTACTAAAGCCATCAAGGCGAAGCATATAGTATATGCTCCCAAATCTTGTAAACCCCGGCTCGGGAGTACTCGACTTCGTCAGGCACGCGGCCGATAGGGACTTCGTCGACCGCGATGCGGTTGAGGCGATTCACAACGCCGGGAGTACTATCATCATCGTCATCGCCAGGTTCATTATTATTGTCCTGGTTTCCACCGGTTCGTTCGCCCTGAGCTGGCTGTGCAGGAGCCTGAGCCGGCTATGCCGCGGCATGTACGGCGGCGACCTCTGCTGCAGCCTTTTTATCCCACTTCTCGTGGATATGCAACACCATATTCTTATTGATGTGAAAGATACAGAGTTGAGGGTCTGCGTCAAGGTAAACACGTATAATCGCATTCCTCATCGCATCGTCGAAGTCGGAAATGGTAATAGTTGGTTTGTTCGCCTTGGTTCTCACGATGTTCATTGACCCGGTCCATCAGCCAGTCAAAGCCTTCCTGGCGTTCGTTATTCATCAGCCCAAAGGCACAGCTGAAGCACTGGTCTAGGTTGTTGACGCTAACGACCTGGAAGAATACTAGTCCTTTATTGTTCGTTTTATACGTATTATCGTACATCTGTACCCAAGGATAGAGCTTCCACTGCTCCTCGCACCACGGGGTAGTCCAAAAAAGACCCTCTGGTTTCTTGTCGTTCCCGGCTGACCAAAGTACGGTATACTCGATCTTTTTATCGTCAAGTAGCTTCATCGTGGCTTGGAACGGTGTATACCCGTTAAGGCTCTTCTGTCGTTGCGTATATCGAAGGTTTCGAAGCTGCCTGCGGTTGAATACGAAGCCGGGGAACCGAGCGCGCAAATCCCTAGCGATCTCACGGTTTGAGATTGTGGGCCTGTCAGAATAAGTCGCTATAAAGGCCTTATGCTCAGGGAGGAATTTCTCGACCAGGTTCTCACGGGATTCGGCGGGCGGGTGGTTATGCGTGCTGTCGACGATGTGCAAGGTCCATTTCCGCTGGTTTATCGCGAGCCACAAGTTTGAGAGGACAGTCGCACTTTATAGTCCTTTGTTCACTCTTTCGTGTGACTGCTTCGCTAGGCCGAATCTTGCCTCTCTGGCAGGAAATATCGATACAGGAATACCCGAAGTCGTACCTACCTACGCGGCGATAAAATCGCGGTGTTGTTGTTATTGTAGCTCAATTGACGGTATTGTGGTGTTGTGGTTGAATGTGGAAGGTTTGGGTGGATTTGGCGGATGTCCTCAATTGCAGGTAGAAAATGGCCTATGTGGCCTGGGCGCAGGGCGCAGGGCGCAGGCGGTGGATTTGGCGATGGCCTCAATTGCAGGTAAAAATTGGCCCGGGCGCAGGTCCGGGCGTAGGGTGCCGGGCAGGCCATCTGAAGAAGCGTTCAATCCATTGAACTAGGCTTTCTAAGGTGTAAAAATCCGATTTTGGCTGGGCTAGTGGCTTGGCGCCTTGGCGCGCATGTTACTTTCTGTATCCTACCGTACGAATAGACTGCCTCTTAAATATTACTTATGTGTAGATGGGTAATTATTAATAGCAGGCCTCTTCGGACTGTCAAAAACGTGCGCTTAATGTGAGAAAATCGCCGTCCTGTTGAAAAAGGTTCTCAGGCCGCTTAAGCTCTCTATAGACCCTCTCCCTTCTTCAATAGAAAAGAAACAATGCCTTTTAAATACTTTCCCAACGCCTAACGGGGCTTGATTATCCCGTCACATGATTCTAATAATCGTATTAAGGCTTGATAGAAAAGTCAAAACAGCTAATAGAGAAACCTAGACGACTGACAAGAAACCTAGACGACTTGACAGAGAAACATAGACTGTTGGAGAAACCCAGACGGTTAATAGAGGAACCCAAAAGTCTAGCATAGAAGAGGCTCACGGTAGAATACCAAAGACCTATCGACTCATCAGCTAGGTTTATTTGTCCCTAGAAACCGTATGAGATCTTGGCGTTATAGAGATCTTACTTACTCCCAAAACAGTCACACAAGCAGCAAACATAGTAGTAAGGGCATCTCAAATTTTCATTACTCATTCATCAGTCAACTCTAGTTCCTCTTCATGCAACAAGAAGATTTAATCCCCAATTTAACCTCTCCAAGACACACGCACACACGAAACTCAGGCCCTAATATTGGCCTTGTACAGCGCGCAGTCGGAGCCGACGGCGAGGATGGTCCCGTGCCCCGCGCGCAGGATGCGCGAAAAGGCGCGCGCGCAGTAGAAGCAGAAATCTTCCACCAACTCGTTGATGAACTCGTTCGACAGGTTGTTCAGCATCGTGATGTGCGAGTCGCGGAAGCTGGCTCTGTCTTCGAGAGAGTGTTCGTTACTTGCCTACGTTATAGGATAAGTAACTAATGGGGTTTGGTGGTTAAGATAATTAGGTAACTAATTAGGGGTTTAAGGGGTGGGAGGCTTGTGGTTGTTTGTGTGGGAGAAAGGAAAGGAAAGGGGGATGGAATGAAAGGGGGAAGGAATGAAAGGGGGAAGGAATGAAAGGGGGAAGGAATGAAAGGGGGAACGAATGAAAGGGGGAAGGGAATGAAAGAGGAAAGGCAAATGGAAAGGACTAGGGAATGGAAGAAAGGGATCGGCGATGTAAGCAGCCAACAACGTACGTCTCAACGCGCGGCGAGATACCGCAGTCCTTCATGACCTTGTCCAAATAGTCCAGCACGCATTGCTTGCAGTTCAGGCAGGTCTTTCGGTCACCCGACTCTGGGGCGGCCCGGACGTTGTACGCGATCATCGAGACTAGGTTGCGCAGCTCATCACGACGGAAGTCTCGGTACTGCTTGATGTCGTCTGGTTTTGGGATTGCAGGTTAGCACAAAGTTTTGTAGAGTGTGTAGGAGAGTTTGTAGGGAGGTATGGACAAGACAGGACGAGAGCCTGGTTCTGCCTGGCACGAAGGTGGACAAAAGAGTGAGCGAGGGAGAGTTACTTCTGGCGGTCTGGCAAATATGGCCTCGAGGACACGGCGGAACTTGTCACCCGGGTTCCAGAAGGCAATCTCGCGTTGGTTGCGCTCGTTTCTGGCGGGCCCGAACTCGCACATGAGCGCGACGAACTGGTAGGCGCTCTCGTACAGGACCTCGCAGCCGAGGTGCAGGCCGATGGCAACGTAGTCCTCCCAGGGCGCGGCTCGGGCGAACGACATCCACGGTCACGCACCGTCGGCCCGGGCGCCGGCGCGCGCCAGCAGGTCGGCGTGCAGGGCGGCCAGCGGCTCGTGGTAGTACCACTGGACCTCGAACTGGTTCCTGGCCAGGCCGAGCCCGCACGCCAGGTTGGCCGTCTCGGCCAGCTTCGCGATGTTGACCCGGGCGCCCTCCTCGAGCGGTGCGTCGGCACCCTTGGCGATCTTCAGCAGCCGGGTGACCTGCTGGACCTGCTCCGCGGTGCACCCCGGCAGGAGGTCTGGCGTGTTGACGACGACGTGGAGGTGCTTTGCCTCCCAGTCCTCACGCGTGATGAGGCTCGTCAAGGCCTCGAAGTGGCGTAGCGCCCGGAATTTGACGGCGAGCTAGTAGACCTTGCCGTTTAGCTCCACGTCGAGGAGCCAGTTGCCCGTCATTTTGCTGTCTCGCGTAGTCTGGGTAGCTAGAGGTTGGGTGAAGAGAAGTTGGTGACGAGAAGTTGGGTGACGAGAAGTTGGGTGGCTAGAGAGAGGCTTCAAATTGGAAGGGAAAGGTATAGTATATGTGGTATCTTTTCTTAGAGTAGACGAATATGGGCTAAACGATGCTGACTAGCGGGAGAAGAGTCTAGCCCAGTCGTGGAAGAAGAGAAGGAAGGGAAGGATGCCAAGTGGCAGGGGACAGGTAGAGCCTAAGTGTAAAGAAGTACGAACCGAATGATGCGGAGTATCGGGGGACAAGTATAGTCGAGGCGTGAAGAAGTGAATGAAGCCTGTCACGGTGATGAATATGGTCTAGGTGTGGAAGAAGAAGTGAAACGATGCAAAGTGGCAGGGGAAAGGTACAGCCTAGACGTGGAAGAAGAAAAATAAGGGAACAATGCGGAGTGGCAGGGGACAGGGACAGCGCAGTCGTGGAAGAATAATACGAACCTAAGGATGCGGATTTTTGGGGGACTAGTACGGGCGTGAAGCAGTGAATGTGTGAATAAGGCCTAGTCGCAATTATGAGTATAGTCCAGGCGTGAAGAAGTCAACGAAGCTTAATTAGGTGCGAGAAGAAATATAACCCAGGCGTGTAAGAAGAAGAAGAGGAAGAGAATGATGCCTGCTAGTGGGGGAAAATGCAGCCAGGAACGAAGTGGAAAACCCCAGGGGGAGCCGGGTTCCAAGTAAAGAAGGTAAATAAACGCGAAAATATCAGACGGGAAGCCGGGAGCGCGACTTGATGGACGCGAGGTCGGATGGAAGTACGTGAACATACTCACCTTCACCTCATCAGCACAATACTCCTAGGTACGCAAATTGTGTTTGGAAATAAATGGCTTGGGGGTAGGTCCGAAGGGCTGTTGCGTGAACAAGATGCCGCCCGTAGGAGTTCGCCGCTAAGGGCCTGATCGGCTCGCCGTTGCGGTGTCGTTGCGGTTGGGAAAACCTGCACAAAAAAAATCGCAGGGGGCCTTGCAAGGCCACTAACCCCAATCGAGTGGTAATTTCCCACATTTATCGACTAAATTTGAGGCCGAGCGCCCGGAACGATCCGTCTCGATTTATGCAATGTATCTTCGCGGGGCTCTTCGTGACACCCTGGTCAACGCCCTTCATATGGTATAGTGCACAGCCAAATCTAGTATGGTTGGCTTTTTCCCAACAGTACGGCAACCCTTCTTCGAGAAGGGTTGCCGTACCGTCGAGATCCTACGTACTGCTGCCAATGGCTTCCATCAATAACCCTCTGCTCAACGCCGTCATCACGAAAGCTGTAGTGGATGTAGCCCTACAGTATGTTGATCGCCGTCGACTACTAGGGCCACGCGACTGCGATATTATCCACCCAGAGGAGCCCTCGGGGGCCTGCCATCTTGCTGAGTCGATTCTCAGTAGCTCGGATACCCAATTCGTTGATCTTTTTCGTATGCCAAAGGCCGCTTTCCATCGATTGGTTACATGGCTACAAGAGCATACCGGGCTTAAGGGGTCCAGATATCTGACAGCCGAGCTAAAGCTTATGATCGTGCTATGGATATTCGCCCACGACGAGAGCCAGCGTAATGCTGCCCACCGGTTCCGAGTCAGCCAGTCTACTGTGAGCTCTGTTATGACGGATCTACTGGACAAGCTCGTACAGCTACACTGCGCATTCGTCAAGCCAAAAGACGATGACTGGCTCGACCCGTCTATCGACGATGCATTCTACGGTTGTATCGGGGCCATTGATGGTACATATATCCACGCCTTCAGTCCAGAGCCTCAGCAACACCAGTGGCGAACCCGGAAAGGCTTTATCGCACAGAACGTCTTCGCCGCAGTCCGATTTGATGGTGCGTTCTCGTACGTACTCGCTGGTGCTGAGGGCTCAACACACGATTCTACGCTCCTTAGCATCGCTACTGCGAATGACTTTGCGGTCCCCTCGGGCCGGTTCTACCTTGCAGACGCTGCATTTGGTGGGCATGTAGGGATTCTTACACCTTATAATGGTGTCAGATATCACCTCGAGGATTGGAGGAATGCCAAAAACCCGCCGACCACAGCAAAAGAACTATATAACATCCGGCACGCACGCCTTCGGGTTATCGTTGAGAAGGTATTCGGTATTCTAAAGAGGAAGTGGAAGATTATCCGAGCTACTGCGCCAGAGTACTCGATACGAAACCAGGTCCAGATCGTGTACGCAGTCACTGGTATCCATAACTTCCTTCTTGACACCAGCGATGAGGAGCTAGTAATTGAGGCTACACAAGAGGCTTGTCGGTATGCTGAGCAGATAATTAGGAGTCGGTATAGTAAGGATATCCGGGATGCTATTGCAGAGGTTCTATGGAGGGAGAGGGATTTCTAGCTAGTCTTCCATGACTCGGTCAGAGCCTCTTTAATATCCCGGTCTACAGTGTTCCATGCAACAGCATTTGAGTGCTCTTTTAGCTGCATGATACACGTTAAACGCTCTGCGGGGCTTAACTGGATAGAGAAGTTGTGTATAAAGTCCTTGATCGCAAGCTGGATCTCATCCTGCCCTTTCAGGCGAAGCATGGCCTCAGCCTGCTTAACCATAGCTTCTGCTGGCTTCATAGAGGCCTCAGCTTGCTTATCGAGGCTCTGGGCCAGTGCTAATACCTCTGGATTTGTATTGGCTTTCCGAACCCTCCGGTACGACGGCGCCACAGAGGGTTGGCGAGAGTTAGCATCAGTAGCTGAGCTCGTACTCAGGACCATGGCATCCTCGGTATCGCCCTCGCCCTCGCCCTCGTCGTCAGGCGTCGTAGTAGAGGGGCCAAAGGCATTACTCGCGCGGATAATGTTACGGCCATGACCAGACTGGTTGGCGTATATCGTCTCATAGTCTGACAGAGTGAACCGAGCAGTCCGAAGCCATCCAGCATCCTTATATTGCAAAAGGAAGTTATTCCAGACTTCCACAGAGCCTTCCACCATCCTCTCTTCTTCGTTATATTTCGCACCTGACTTGTTAAGGAAGGTCTTGATCGTTCGGAATCGCTTCTTCTCGTTATCGTACTTGTCCCTAATCTTCTCTGCTGACCAGTGGAAGTCTGGAAAGGATTCCTCCATTGTAACAGAGATCCTCTAGAATGCCGGCCGCGTCTCGGTCAACTTGTTGATACAGAACGCTCCAGCGATAGCCTCGTCTCGGAATAACTCGATAATCTTCGCCTGCATTTCGGTTGTGTAGATGATTTTCCTCCGCCTTGTACGCGGGGTCGACGAAGGCGCGTCAGGTGTCGGCTCGGAAGTAGGGCCGTCATCGGAGGCTTGCAGGCCGTCGTCAGAGGGTAGGTCATTAGCTTGAACAACAATAGAGGCCTCAGGAGCAGGAGACTCTACTGCGGTTGCCCTGATGCGGGGTCTTCTGGGCATCTTGACGATAGGTGGGTTGCTGTCGTGGCTGTATTTTGGTCAAAAAATTGCGGGAAGACAGGGCGGAAGTCACACGGGACTAAAATTAATTAGGAAAAGCCTAGTTACAGGGGTTTCGGGGTACATTGGCTGTGTCTCCACTTTAATTATGCACATAGCTCGTATCTTTTCCCAACCGCAACGACACCGCAACGGCGAGCCGATCAGGCCCTAAAACTACAAGTAACTACCACCTACTGTTTAGCGTTGTTTCTCTGACAACACTCTTTCAAAAGGCTAACTGCCTAGAGCATCTATTTCCGGGTGGCGAATTTGCTTGAAGCCCGGAGTTTCACGCATGACAGAGGCTATGGGGAGTGACAAAAGTGCTTAACTGTATGAAAGACGAAGGGAAGGGAAGAAAGCCATATGCCGTAGTTAGAATCGAATAGCGCCATCATCTTGCGCCACCACTCGGGATCACTGTGAGTATATTGCTGTCTGCTACTCCTCTATATATATATAGTCATATACTTTCATGAAAAACTCACTCTCTGCTATTTTGCTACATGTAAGAGAAGGCAGGTACGCCTGATCAAGGTGGTCACGATGGAGGGAACAAGAGGGCGAGCAATGACTGGCATTGGTAAAAGACTTCAACCTGGCCCTCGCAAAGGAAGGTGGGCGAGGGCCACTATTTATATACATAGTTGGGTGGCTCAATCTGGCGGGTGCCTGGGCCGGGTGTTTGGGGCCAGCTGGTCGCCTGGGCCGGGCCAGCTGTTTGGGGCCAGCTGGTGGCGCCTGGGCCGGACCGGGCGTTTGGGGTGCTCTTTCCTTACACTACATCAACTTGCTAGGAGTTTGCCGTGTTAGTTGCAGCATTCATATTCATGTCATTCCTATTGCAACTTGTGGTTTGATTTATCGTTTTAGCTACCTAGGTAAGGTAAGGAGTTCTCCATAACTAAGGTACTCAAAGAGTCCATCGTCATGATACTACGTCTGTCCCTCCCCCACAGCCAAACCATTGCACAAACAACGCGAATGAGACTCTACGCCGTATGTGAATAGCCATGCAACTCTACTACCTCCCACCGTACGGCAGCCAGGCTTAGAAAGGCTCGTCTCTACCCGGACGGCTAGTGAGGTAGCGCATCATATTTTCCTTAGCGCTCGACTTGGAGAGGGGGTAGGCGTCGAGCTAGTGCTGGGGGTTGAACCAGTTGCTCAGGAAGCGGCACTCGGCGGCATCATGTTGGCGCTCAGTGCGGTACTGGTACTCATGGCCGGCTAGGTGGTAGATACGGTGCAGCAGGTCCATGGCCTCGCCGCTGTCTTGGTGGGGGTCGCGCTCGCGCACGCGCAGCCAGTCCTGGAAGATGGGCAGGAGCGGCACCATGGACTCGTCGCGGTCGGCCAGCAGGAACATATCCGGCGGGTACCGCGCCCGGCAGAAGGCCTGCCGCCCCCGGCTGCAGCAGCACTGCCTATCGTCGTGGTACTCGTGGCAGCACATGCGCCCCAGGTGCGCTTCGGCGTTGTGGTAGACGGGCGACGGCTCGCGGAGTGCTGCCGCGTCGAGGTCGTCGTCATCATCGTCAAAGTTGAGGGCGTCGTCGTCCTCGTCGTCGTCGACGCCGAGGCCGCCGTTGTCGTTGTCCTCGCTGCTGGAGGAGGATTCGTCCTCGTCTTCATCCCCGTCCTCGTCCTCATCCTCGTCGTCATCACTGTCGGGCACGTCATCGCCATCTCCCTCACCGTCGGCCTCTTGAGCGCTGCTGCCCGACACTGGCTGGCCCGAGTCACCGGCCTCGGTACTGGCTTCCGAGCTGCTGTCTTCGGACCAGGACTCGTCGTTGCTGAAAATCAGATAAGGTGTTTCGTACTGGTGATGAATCTCATTGGTTGACTCGTGAAACAAAGCCGGGGTGTTGCCTGTGGGGTCACGCCACAGAGCAATGCGCTTGGCAAGCTCGACGTATCGGGGAATCTGTATGTGCATGACGAGCTCTTTCAAGAGATCCAAGGGGTTCATGGTGTTGAGTTTGACTTGCAAGCTGGGTCTATCTGCGATCTAGGCAGGGGGTTGGGGATTAGCATGCAAATAGTGACTGGCCAGTCTGATGAGGAGTGTTTTAGTCACCATGGATGAAGTGATTTCATTGAGCCAGCTCCTTTCCCTCATGAGCCGGGTGAAAGTCGACCTGAAACGAAAACGAATCTCGGAGCCGTCATCAGAATCGACCTTCAGGCCGTCAAGGTTGGCCACGCTCAGGATGAAGCCACCGTCAAGGCCGCCATTCATGACGCCAAGGCCGACGCGGATGGCGGCCACCGGATAGGGATGGCCGTGAAAGTGCCACAGCTTGGCCAGGGCAGCGGGCGTGAAGGGATTGGGGTTGTATTGGTCATCCTGGGCCGTGGTTTGGTCGGCGTGGAAGACGACGGTATTGCATTGGTCAAGCTCGCTGGCGGCGGCCGTGTCCAAGTCTAGGCCGTCTGAGCCTGAACCGGGAGATTCGACTTCGGCTTCGACATAGGAAAAGGCATAGTCGATGCGGTGCCAGGCGCCGAGGTACAGGGTAATGTTTGTGCTGGGCAGCCAGACAGCTCGAATCGGCGCTCAATGACGAACCTTTGGCGACGCGAGAGGCGGCGGAGCTCAGTCCACTGGTGGACGGGATCGTGGTTAAACGAGGCGACAAGGGCCGAGAGAATCATGTCAACGAGCTCAGACGAGAGCGGCGGGCCAGGCCCGCCCTGATCTCGACCTGCCGGTCCATGGTTTTTGTCTATATATTTTACTTTGAAATAGTGGGTAGCCTGGGAGTTGTCGGCCAATCCACGGCAGGTAGGGGAGAGATGTGGGTTGGTTGGTTGGTTTGCTGTGGTGATAGAATGAATGCAAATTATTGCTCTAAGTAGTTGAGGGGTCGACCGTAGGTGTATCTGACAGGTACAGTGGTGTGCCTGCGCTGTGCTGTGCAGGCCCGCCTGCCCGCCACCGTTTACATAAGGTTTCCATTGCAATCAGCTGCGGTGGCGGGGTGTTGGTGACTGGCTGACAGCCTGCAACCCGTGATTGCCATAACCAACTTTCAAGTCAGCATAGTTATCGTATCGTCGAAAATGATTAATGCATGATTGCAGCGCCATCTGCACACAAAAAACCAACAAAATCACTAGCGGACTGCACAGTTAAACGAGCAAAGGCGTGCTTTCTTCTTCGCATCTCGAATCGAAACCCGAGATTGCAATGAAAAAGATTGTTCGCGGCACCTAGAGGCAGTGTAATAACCAGGGGCACAGCGGAAGATGCTAAGAGGCTAGAAGCCGCTCAACGCTCTTCCCGTTTTCAAAAATAAGAGCAAAATTCTCGCAATTAAGCAGGAATCCAACTTCTACACATTTTTCCAATGAAAATGAAGAAAAAGAAGAAAAAACGCAGATTCTGTGCTAGGACCGCTGATTACATACACAGAGTGGGTGGTCCGACACGACTGCAATTTTTTGAAGTGGGTCTCTCCTTCACCTGACCTACTTGGTAGGTCAGGTCCAGCAGACCTTCCTTCCATGGTATGCGCCTGGCAGATAAGACACAACTCAAGGACCTGCCTAGGCGGAGAAGGCTCGGGCTTCTTCTACTCAGGTCGCAGGGAGCAGGAGGTCATTTTCTTGCAGCATTTGAACTGGATCCAAGGATTCGATGCAATTAAGCCGTCCACAAAGCCTGTTTGTTCACTTAACTGCGCTCCGTACTTGCCACCCCGGGATTGCTACCTGCAGCAGCGGCACCTTTTCATTCTCTTTCATTTTTTTTATTCTCTCACCGTCAGCGCTCATTACAGTCACCGCTGCGAGCTCTGCGGCTCTGTCAGTCTGTGACTGGATCCCACTTCTGTCCGACAGTTCGACTGTCGGGAACCACGTCCCGTTTTGCGCGGAGTCGCAGCTAATTAATTCCCTCTCCCTCTCCCTCTCCCTCTCCCTTTGGGCCATTAAGTCTCCGCCGCGAAGGTTCAATGCGGCTATTGCTTCTTTGAGTCTATCACTGGTTATAGAATAGGCAATTAGGTAAGTCTTCTCGAATCTCCAGTCCCTAATCAAGCCAGAAACCCCAGGCTCGTGGCTGATGTATATCTATCTAGCTAGTAATAACTAGAATATCGAATCGCTCTACGCTGCCGAAAGACAAGGGCTCTCTCGTTCTCATTCTCTACGTTCTTTTCCAGTGATGCTCGTTCGAGTTTAGCAAAGAAAGCAATAATTACACGACCATGTTTCGGTGGCAGCACTCACCTTCACCGAGCCACCAATTCCTAGCATCTCATGGCTAAGACCGCACAAAGGCTATTTAAATAAGGCGCGGGAGATGATTTAATCAGGCAGCAACGCTTGGCAAGTGTTGATTCCCCGCCCCAGGTTAATCTTATGACCCTGAAGTCTAACTAGAGATTGTAGGATGAGACCACTGACTTGTCACCTCATTAAAGTTGTGGGAACATTCCTACTACTCAGCAACTGCGAGAATCACGGACCCCGTACTTACGCTCACGAGGAGAGAGACATACTCCTTACGAAACGGCGAACGAAGCGTCATCATGGGCACAAGCACGAGAGCTGAACCAAAATTGTCAGGAGCGCCAAGAGATACCCAGCCGTACTGGTCCAATCAAAATGAGCCAAAGAACCTTCCAACATGCACCCGAAAACAGCAAGGAGCAACTAGGGGTGGGCGGCACCACTGGTTTCATGGCAGTGGCAAGACCGTCAGCCGCACCGGGGGGCCTATCTCATCCTCAAGACCTCTTCTCCGCGCCATCCGGAATACCAACTACACGCCTGATCATTACCCTTTGCCCATTGGGAATTTGCCATAGTTATCATGGATCCGGTCACTCAGGTCACCGACTCCTTCGCTATCTTGGGTTTATCAAGGGCAGACGCTGCAAAGCCCGAGACCGCCCACACTCGGCTAGCCTACGAGCCAATTCCAACAGACGACGATCGAATCCTGCGCGTGTTGAAGCTCGCTCCCGGCACTCCCCGAGAGGCCTTGGTTGGCGCACTAGAGCTCGTGGTCGGCGTAGGCAATAGTAACGAGGTCCGTCCGCCCTCGGAGTCGCTCCGTAGCCTTGGCGTCTCTCAAGCCATCGCCGAGACGGTTTGGGCCGCCCCGGAGGCCGAGGCAAAAAGCCCAAAGAATGAACCCTCTGAGCCCGCGACGTTCATCGAGTACGAAGCCCTGTCATACGTCTGGGGCGATCCAGCCAAGACCGAGTCCATGACGCTCAACGGAATGACGTTTGGCCTCTCGGCGAATTTAAAAGACGCGTTGATCAACTTGCGCGAGCGGGATACGGAGCGCACCCTGTGGGTAGACGCCCTGTGCATTAACCAGGACGACGACACGGAGAAGCACCGCGAGGTCATGCGTATGCGCGCCATCTACTATAGCGCCAAGCGCGTGGTTGTGTGGCTCGGCGATGCCGTTTTCGACAGCAACATGGCCATCGAATGGGCAGAGCAAATTCACCTGCACTTCAAGGCCTATCTAACGCGGCTTGGTGTCCAGGACGAAGGGGAGGGCATATTCGACTGGATCCGTGAGACGCAGCGCTTCCAGATGGTCGAGGCGTTTGGTCTGCTCATGCCATATCATGCCCTCCGCTGGAAGGCGCTCCATCGACTCCTCTCACGGCCCTGGTTCGGGCGCGCCTGGACGCTGCAGGAGCTTGTCGTAGCTCGAAGCTCCCTCATGCTGTGCGGCAACCGCGCTGTGAAATGGGAGGTTCTCGAGCTGGCCATCGAAGTCTGCGAGGTAACCTACACGGCCACGCACCAAATACTCAACGCCCGCCCCCGACTCCCGGCTTTCTTCTTGGCACCCCCAGCCTACAACTGGCCGCCCTATCATCTCGACTACCTCAACAAACTCACCTCCACCCGCAGCCGGTACCGCTTCCTCGACGCGCGCAACGTCACCGACATGATGGGCAGCCCCGCCACCCTTTCCCGCGCCGACGCCGCCTCGTCGCGCCTCACCCTCACCACGACGCGCAACTGCTTCCTCCCCCACGACAAGATCTACTCGGTTCTGGGCATCCTGCCCCCGCCACTCCGCGACGCCATCACGCCCGACATCGACTATGCCCTCCCGGCACGCATCGCCTTCCTCCGCGCCGTCAGGGCCTGCGTGCTCACCACGCGCTGGCTCAATGTCATCTGCCACTCGCACTACAGCCCCTGGTACCCGCCAGACCACCCGTCGTGGCTGCCCGACTGGACGCGCATGCCGCGCGCCACGGTGCTCGCCGAGCGGAACCGCGACGCCGTGTTCCCGCCGCACCGCGTCGTCTACGACCGCGAGGCCGTCGCGTCCTTCTCGGACGACCTGAGGACACTCACGGCCAAGGGTTTTGTGGTGGCGCGCGTCGTCGCGGTGGGCGTGGCGGACGAGCTGCTGTCTTTTGGGGACGGCGAGGCGGAGGGCAACAAGTTGCGGCGAACAAGCCGGTACCTGGCCAGCGGCTCGGCCGACGACGCCGCGGCCTGGCGCGCCGCCATGTATCCGCAGGACCCGGCGTTCCAGTACATCCCGGAGTCGACGGGCGACGGCGAGGGCGGCCACGAGAGCGACCCCAACTTCTTCGAGTTCGAGCTGCCGCTGAGGATCTTCGTGGGGCCGCGCCTGCTGTCGCAGCGGGCGAGCGGCAACGGCGACGTGCTGGACCGCTTCCTAGACGGGCTTAACAGGGTGCCGCGGCGCGTTTGGGACGGTGGCCTGAAGAGGGAAAACTTCCTCCCCCAGCACGAGCCGGTGCCGCCAGAAAAGGAGGCCGAGTTCTTGGGGTGCTATCACAAGGTCCAGGGGCACATGATGAGCCGCACGGTTTTTACCAGGGACAGCTGTGAGGCCGGGGAGGGCATGTTGGGCATAGGTCCGGATTTCACGCGACCCGGGGACCTGGTTTGCATTCTGCTGGGGTGTGACGCCCCGGTGCTGCTGAGGGAGAAGGAAGACCGGGCGGGGAAGTACATGTTTGTGGGTGATGCCCATGTGCAGGGGTTCATGGAGGGCGAGGGCGTCCATGGGCTGGACGAGGGCAAGTACGAGCTGGTGGACTTTGACCTTGTGTGAGAGGGCTGCACGGTGCATCTGGGGAAGCTCCAATTCTTCTAGACCAGGTACTTGGCGCCGCGTCCCAGCTGAGACATTTCCGATCATGACCATTTATAGTTAAGTCTGCTTGAATGATTTCGAATTAGTATACAAGGAGGATTTTGTTTCCATCTTGCTATATAATTCCCTCAGACTACAGGTCACAAACAACGTTGCCTCGTCTCAAGCAGCTAGAACCCAAAGTGTCCCCCGGCGGCCCCGAGACACCCTTCTAGGCACTGATGGCCTTGACAATCGCCTCGCCGACGCCCTTCGCGCTCGCGGGGTTCTGCCCGGTGATGAGCTTGCCATCGACAACTACCTTGGCGCCCCACGGCTCGTCAGCCTTCAAAAACGTCGCGCCCGCCTCGACCAGCTTGTCCTCGAGGAGGAACGGCAGCGCCTTGGAAAGCCCGATCTGCTCCTCCTCGGCGTTCGAAAAGCCCGTCACGGCCTTGCCTTTCACAAGGTGCTCGCCCGACGGTAGCGTCACGTTCGCAAACACGGCCGGCCCGTGGCACACGGCAGCCACCACCTTGCCCTGCGAAGCGAACTGGCTGATTAGCGCCTGCGACGCCGCGTCCACCGGCAGGTCGAACACGGGCCCGTGGCCGCCCGGGTAGAAGATGGCGTCGAACTGCGACGCTGCGTCGGCCTCGAGCAGCGTGCTCAGCTTCGTTGTCGACGCCCAGAGCGCTTTACTGCCCTCGAGGAACGCGACCGACACGCTGTCATCCTTGGCTGCGTCGATCGATGAGGGGTCGAGTGGCGCGGCGCCGCCGAGTGGAGACGCGACGGTCACTTCGATTCCCGCTGCTTGGAACTCGTGGTACGGGTGCGCGAACTCGGGCTGTTGGATGTGGTTAGTGGTGTGTTCTTTGCTTGTGTGTGTGTGTGTGTGTGTGTGTGTGCGTGGGTGACAACTCACCAGGTACCATCCCGTCTTGCGGCCCGTGTCGCCGAGCTGGTCGTGCGACGTGAGGACGACGAGGACTTTGGGGGCCATTTGAGCGGTTGTGGTGTGTGGTCTGTGGTTGATGGCTGGCGGTTTATTGGCTTTTGGGGGCTCAATTGACTGATGATGCGAGAATGTTTACAGAGTATTCGGGTTCGGATGATGAGCTTGCAACTTGAAACAGTAAGAATACAAAACAATCTGGACCTGCGATTAATATACTCGGTTTCTGACCCCAAGAAAGCTTACAAGCGAGGATCGCGCATTTGTCACGATCTGATCTGATCTGGTCGGAACACCAACAAGGAAGGAAAAATGGAACGCTTCTAGGTCTTTCTCGCTAGCTTGGTAGTCGATCTCCCTGCCTGGCTACGTAATTACCACGTACAATATTTGTCAGGCTCGCGCTGACTACAAACTGGAGGTTGCCGGGATTGTCCGGGATTAATGTTCTCCCCTTTCGCTTATAAGCATCAACGATCACGCATTCGGCTTGGCGCACGCTAGCCGCTGCGTTTCGGGCTTTGGGTGCCCCGCTTTGAGTTCTGCAGAGCCCCATTAACGCCTGTAAGATGTCAAGAACAACTGCCAAACAGTTTACTTTGTAATCCATCCTCAACCTGCATCACAAAGGCCGGGGTCGCCGTGTAGAGCAAAGGGCGTGCCGTTTTCTACTTGGCCAGTACTCGTAATGACGTCAAAGACGGGTGGAAAGAAAAGATCGAGGACAACTTCTTGCTTCTTGCTGCCTACCGAGACATTTTCTCTCCGCTTCGGGGGAAAAGAAGAGAAGGAAGGCGTTACAAAGATCTCTCCTATCACGGCTACCAAAGCCACCAAAACAATAGCACAGCAAAGACATGATATCCCCCGAACAGCATCTCTTCAGCTGAGAACCGCAGCAGCACGACTTCCTACAAAGACTGCATCGTTTCAGAGGACCGGACAGCCCCCAAAGACGCGCAGCTTCTCCCTCTCAGCGCAGAAGCTCAGGTCGATATATAAATAGGCACGGACCTGCACACCTGCACGGCTGGTAGGATTAGTTTGTGGAGGGGGGTGCCACGCATAGATCGCACCAGTCCATCCGCCGGCCCGTTGTCATACCTGACCTAGGTATTTACCCACCCGCCGAGATGGCACTTTACTCGGGCGCCCAGCCCTCCAGACCTTTTCTCTGCCTGTCGGTGTATACGTAGCTGCCACAACTCGCCTGACACAGCCGGTGCCTAGGGTAACGGCCCGTAGTTTTGTCGGTGCTTGCGCGGCCGAGGCGGACGCATGTTTGTAGAACAACAGGCGTTGCTCGCATGGTCCTGAAGGGCCTTTTTATTCCGAGCGCAGACATGCCATCATGTTGACTCGGAAGTCGGCACCTTGAGCGCATGCAGTGAAGGCCGGGCAACAGCAGCAGCACCCGCCTTTCAGGACGTTTAATGCAGATGTTATTGTTGTTGTCATTGCTGGACCACCGCACATCTTAGCGAGCCGACGCTACCTAGACTACGCTCACGTTCACGCAACGCTCTCGCGGCTGCGGCTAAAGTCGACTCGAGCTGAGTTGATCGGCTCCCTCGAGTATTATGATCCCTCGCGTCTCGGATCTGCGGCGGATGGGCATCAGTAATTTGCATTCTGTCCCGGTTTACTGTGTAGGTGAGGTTGAGACGTCCATCTTGCATCAGCACGGACAAGCCCCGAGCTAAGGGATGGTAGGACGCAAGGGCAGGACAGCACAGCAAAGCACAACGCAGCGCATCACAGGGCGGGGTCTCAGTACCCGTCACTTAGGTGATCGACGGTCTAGCATAACATAGGGGTGCATCCAGTCTCCACAAGTCCTCCCATGGGTATGCTGCGTAGGTCAGGTAGTTGCCGCTCGGCTCGTCCCGGTACTTGCTGCCTTGCCCCTGACGCACATGCGGAAGAGGTAGAGAAGTAGAAACGCGGACAGGGAAAAAAGATTGCAACTCCCCTAGTTCGCATTGTAATCTTACGCTCACAGCGAAAGTCGTCCGCATTCGTAAACAGGCTGGGCGTCGGGCCGTGGTCGAGAAAGGCCATCCAAACCGCTCAGCCTAGCTAATAAGATATTCTTTGGATCAAGAAAGCATTACATTGGAAAGAAAGCAACTTCGTGGACGAGCGTCGTGCGAATATTGTATCAAATATATATACCCAAGAATTAGAAGCCCATCAAACCCCAGCCCTGAGGCGGGTTCGAAGATAGGGGCAACGAAGCTGGCCCCGCCATCTCCAGACCTGTCCGCCCCCTCAACTTTTCTGTCCCAGAAACGCGCAACAAACAAGACACTCGCATCTATGCAAAACTCCGAGAGAGAAAAAACAAAACACCAAACACTATGGTGGAGGTATCGTTCCCGGTAGTAACCGCCGCGCCTGTGATCCACGTGAGCCCCAGCCCCCAAGATCCCATTATATAAACCTCCTCCAAAAAGGGGGTAAAACGCCAATATCCAAATATCCAGATCCAAAGTCCAATCCAAAAACGTATGCACATATATTAGAAGCAGAGTGGCACAACACAGCCCAGCCCAGAAATATATCACATCCACATGAGGTTCCTGCTCTGCCGGCGATTCTGCTGCCACAGCGGCCGCACTGATCCCCTGTAGCTTGCGTTGGACGTGGACGCGTTGTCCCCAGCGGCGGCAGCGGCAGCGGCAGCAGTGGCGCCGGTACCAGCAGCAACAGGGGGAGGCCCATTAACGCCATTGCCCTCGTTGACCGCGAGATCCTCGAGGCCGCCGCGACCACCCCCGTTCCCGGCACCTTGCACTAGGCGATCCTCGTCCTCCTCGCCGATGCGCCCCAGCGCTACCTGGAAGCCCTGCGAGAAGTCGTCGATCTCGCGCGTCAGCGGCACCTGGTCCGGCTCCACCCTGCCCGAGCCCGCGCCCGCGTACGCGGCGGGGTACTGGCCGGGGTAGTGGTAGCGGTTGGGGTCGTCCTGGGGCGGGTACGACGGGTAAGCCGCGTAGATGCTGGGGCTGGTGACTATGGGCTGCAGGGGAGGAGGACCAGGGGCGGCGCGCGCTCCGGCAGAGGGGGGCAGGACGCCGGCCGCCCCCGCGTATGCAAAGGGCGACGGGCCGCCCGCCGTGATTTCGGACGAGAAGGCCGGTGCCGTCGCCATCGGCGGCAGCATCGCACTTGGATTGCCTCCTCCGGTCTCGAAGGCGTCGCTGTCCTGCGCTGCCACTGCCATGAACCCCGTGCTCGGCCCCGGCCGCGGCGGGCTGATGTACTTGCCGGTGGCGGGGGAGTTGCTGCCGGGTCCGCTGCGTACGTTGCTCCCCCGCCGGCGCATGAAGAAGGCGGCCACGGCGATCACGGCGACCAGAACAGCCACGCCGCTGATAGTGCCGCCAACGATAACGCCCGTGCGGTCGCCCGAAGTGGTGGCGGCCGGGGCGGCGGTGGGATCGGCGGTTTTAGTGGTCGCGGTCGAGGAAGTCGAGGACGTCGAGGATGCTGAGGACGTCGAGGACGACGGGTCAGTCGTTGCCGGGGAAGACTGAGCTGCTGTTATAGAAGACGATGTCAACGGTCGGGTAGTGGTGGATGACGACGACGCCACGGTGCCGAGCGTTGTTGGCGTTCTTAGAGTGCTGACGGGGTCTGTGAACGGGACGTTCAACGTAGGGCGCACCAACACTTGCGTGATTCCACTCGCCGTCGCAAGGACCGTTGTGGCTAGGTCGCTCGCCGTGCCGCAGCCAAACTGCGAGAAGCCGCCGTCGAACACGTTCTTGTAGCAGACGTCGCTGCTCAGGCATGTGAAGACATATGGGTTGACCTCGGTCTGCGGCCCGCTGTTCGCGTCAACGCAGCTCGTGAACACGCCCGCCGTACATGTTTCTTGGCCGTTGGGGCAGCAGCCCACGGCGCTGTGCTGCGTGTCCAACACGCAATGCGACCCCGCGCTACATGTCGCGGGCAGCGCTGAGACGCCGCCGAGGAAGCCGCAGACGGTGTTCGTGTCTTGGCGGCGGCGGAGGTCGAGGGGGTCTAGGGGCGCCGCTGTTGGCAGCAGCAGCGGCCACGAAACGGCGCTGATGGCATGATGTGGCACTGTTGTCGTTGGCGGTTGTGTATGTCGGGGAAAGGGCTGGAGGACATGGGCGGCTGTCATGTCGAGAAGGGCGGCCAGGACGAAGGCGGCCATGGGCGGTGGGAGGCGGTGGAAGAAGTCTGTCCTCATGGTCGCCGCTGCGCAAGGCAATGCCTTTGCGACATGTGGCGGTCGCCGGAGAAATTTCACAGATTTGTCGGAGAGAAGTCGTCGGCGTGGGTTGGCGGGTAAGGGGCGAAGACTCGAAACACGACGATAACGCAGGACTGGCGAGAGAGCGTCTGATCCAAACTATGAACACGAAAGAGGATAGAGATAGAATGGGATTTTGATGACAGGAAACAGTGGCGCGCAAATACAGCAAAGCAGAAGAAGGAGGGAAGGACAGCAGCAACTGCTGCTGCTCTGGGCTGCACGAGGAAGAGGCACAGCCCTGGAGAGGGCAGTGGTGGCGGCAAATAAAAAGGTTCAAACCATGGATGGTGCGCGGTGCGGCAGCGAGGCTGCCCGCCCGCCCATTCAGTTGGATGGACTGACTTCAGCGCGGGTTGCTCGAGTACAGGACAGGTACTTTCTGGCCCAGACAGTGCGACGCCGGTACTTGCCCAGTGCCCCTCCAAGCCCCTTGGCAGCTGGACACAAGTACCTTGGCCTGCAGGGATGTGTTGCTCCTTCCCCCTCCGCTTCCACCGGGTCCAGGGGTCTTCCACGAGATGCAGGGCCAGGCAGGGTGATGCAGCAGGGCCTGGGCAGGGCCCCACATTGCCAACTGCCCGACCGAGCTGTTGGACCGAACCGCTGAGAGCACTTAACCCGGTGAGATGCATGGAAACCTGCTAGACAAGAACTTTGAGAATAGAGATGTTGTTTACTACCCGAAAGTCGACAGTTAAAGGTTCCTGTTACCCGTCTAGGTACCTGTCAATCAGGCGTCGAAACGGACATTGCGGCTGGTCGCCCATCAACGGGCCCGCCCGTCGGGCTCTGGGGGGGTCTTCGGGACACCTATGGGCTGATCGGGACGCAGCTGAAGCTAGCTTCCGCCTTCCACGCATCTCGAGTAGGACGCTGCACTGCACTTAACATCACCATGGCATGGTTCGTCGGGGGCATGATTGCAGCACAGTCGTCGCGTCGCGTCGCACCGAGGAACAAAAAGGTTTCCCAACGGCGTCCAATGGCGCACCCAAATGGCTGAGCACATGCAGTTTGCTTTTTTTTCTTCTTTTGCTTTTTGGGAAACGTCCACACCCTCTCTGTAGGGCACCTGGCGCTTATCCCGCACGCGCGAACTTTTAACGCGCCGCCGGAGACCGCTGGGCCCGGGGCCGCTGCTGCTTACCTGTTCCTGTTCACCTTCCAGTGGGAATGCAAGAGGAATGGGCTTCATTCCAACGGCACAGATACCCCCCCTCCTTTTTGACACGCGCGCGTAAGCGCTGCCGCGTGGGTCGGCACTTGGTTCCCCGACTCGCCCAAAGGACCACAAAAACGGGACCCTCGGGGCTCAGGCTCCCACAATCTCTCTTCCGGCTTCCCGGCTCTGATGAAACTTGGATTCTTTGGGTCAGAAAAGCCCCTTGGGACACGCGTTTCCCCTCAGCTCGCTGCCGACGGGCCCAGCAGCAGTGGAACGTCATCCCAAAAGGCGAGTGGAACACTGTCCTAAAAGGCGAGTGGAACACTGGTGAGTGCACGCCAGAGACGATGTCGTAGCTCGGCATCAATCCGACAGTGCTTAATCTAGGTTTCCACCAAAAGGCTCTGAAACAATTGGTAGGTATTTTTTACTCTCTGCCGGCGGGTGGGATGGCGTTCCATCTCTCGTTGTGTGGTCGCGCCCGCGGTTGCATCCTTCCTTTTCCCGGAGTAATGCACCTAACTTAGAATTCTTGTGTGAGGGTGGTGTAAAATGGCTTTTTTTAACTCGACTCTTGGATCTGTGGCAGTGCATGTCGTCAACTCGCACAGCATGGGGGGCGGGATAGCTTGGCTTTTTGGGGGGGGTCCAGTCCAGGTCCCCGGCAAAGAGGGCAGAGGGGTTGCCCCAAATCTGGAGACGAATGTCGATCATGACATGACCAGCGACGCAGCCCGACGTTATATAAACGGCCGCGATCCCACCTCGCACGCACTATGCCCGTCAACTTTCGCCGCCTCTGTCGCCCGAACCTTGGTAATTGGCGTGGGCCACGTTTGCCACGTTCCATTTTGTCATAATGCAATGTAATAATTCCGCACTGAGTATTAAGCAGAGTACTAATCATACGTGCATTCCAAGTTGCTCGGAGGGTCTCCAAGTGGAAAGCTTGCCACTGCCGTCACGCGCCATTGCAAATGGATCCAGACTAATACCCCGTAACAAAGTATGATTTTGCACTAAACGGCCGGTTTTTAACTTTTATTTATTTCTTGTCTAAACCGGCAGCGATGTCGTCACCACCAAACGTCAAGTGAAAATGGCGTTTATTCACATTCTAACCCTAACCCTCGGACCAGCACTTTCCTGCCTCTCCTTGCCGTGTGAATGCGCCGGTCGGATAGATTCCATCCAGCGCAGCCAATAAATCGAGCTTGCAGGTTATAAGGTTACGAGCCGTTGGGGCCTATGTTTCAGAGAGCGAGCAGGTAAGCATCAGCGGACCGACGTGAGGAAGGAATCCGGGGCTAATTACTCCGTAATTTCGTTGGAACCAACTCGTCAGCTTATGTTTTTTTAATGACACTTCAATCTGGCCAATCCCGTCTCACTCCCGCAATTCCAAGGCAGCGGCACTTGTTGCTGACGTGAATCCACGATAGGGGGAGGGGGAGGGGGAGGAATTGACAGCCTGAGCATTTGACCAAACTGCGCACTGCGCAGCTGTCTTTGCAATTTCCCAGAATGCTTACACAAGTGCTCGGTCAATAACATCCGCGTACAGCTTCAAAGAACATGGCTGCTGTTAACGAAAGTCAGGTCTTGGACTCGTTAGTGGACGGGTGAGAATCGCCAAGTCGATAGCTCTAATTATTCTAGTCAGCACAATCACTTGCCAGGTTGCCAGCCACACTTTCCTTCGTTGACGCTGCACTTTGGTGTTGTTCCATCTCATTAGACAAGTCAATTTCCTGTGCCCATCATAGCCAGTGTGGCAGGAAGAGTTGAGGGCAGAAGGTCCGCGAACATGAGTTAACACAAGCTAAAGCCTATAGTACTGTCCAGGTAAAGAAGCCGTGGAAGCTCCGTATTCCACAAAACCACCAAAACAAACACAAGGCGAGCCGCAGGCAAGCCCCGAAACAGGTTAGGGGTGTATCCCCTTTAGTTGTGTGTAAACAGCCCCCTTTTCCTAGGCCACCTATCCCCTCGTCAGTAACCAAAGACAGTCCCGTTGAAATACCTCAGCCTCAAGTAAACGTGCTGGGAAAAAGACACTGTTGCCTGGCACTCTGGACAAAAGCAGCTATATGGTTGCAACCCCCACCCCATTCCCATTCCCCCAACACTAGGTCCCAAAACCTCATCAGAAAGCTCTGACCAGCGCACCCTTCTTTTTTCCGCGCGCCGGCGGCCGCCATAATGAACAAGGTATACCGCCTCGACAAGGAGGCAATACCGCCTCAACAGGAAGGCAATACCGCCTCAACAGGAAGACAATATTGCCTCGACATGAAGAAGACAATACTGTCTCGACATGAAGAAAGTTACCGGACTTGGGTGGCCGCTCATACGAAGGCTCAGGCCCCAAAAAAATGCCACCCTCCCCAGTGCAAGGTCCAGAACGCCACGTCCTAAAAGGGATTAGATTAGGCTCGCCAGCTGCCTGGTCAACAAGCCAATCTTTCACAGTGTAAGAAGATAACTGTCTTCAAAGCATTGATGTTGCATGGCGGCGGCAAGGTTCGCGAGTCGGCTGGTATGACTCTGTCGGTGCCGTTCAGTTGTTTGGCGTTTTGCTATACTGCGGCAAATGCTTAACTATGTTCATTGTAGTCAATGAGTATGTACGTGGTAAGGGGTATATTTCACTTTAGTGAAAAATCCAACTGTGGAAGTCGCTCTTCGAGTAGACGAAATAAAACATACCTTCCTCTTCGGCCTGCGCCTGCCGAGCCTGCAGAGCCGTATTTAGCTCCCGGAACCAGTTGTTCAGCACCCACGTGGCCAAAACCACGACCGCCGGCCTGTTACCCTCCTGACTTAAGACTGTAGAAAAATGTCATTTGATGGGAAGGAGGGCTGATGAGCTGCCGCAAACTGTGTCCGCCGCCAAATCGTTGCTCCTTCGGCCTTGAAGACGAAGATGCGCTCGACCGAATTTTCTCGGCAGTCTCCGAATGCCTGCCCTCAACGGCCCCTGACAGCCTTGACAGCGTTGTCATTTCGACCCCGTGAAGGTAACGAGAAGATCTCGAGCGAGACCCGATGGGGTTTCCCGATTGGTTTGACGCGAACCGGTGCCTTGTGTCCTTATTCCCCTGCTACCTAGGCAACGGCAACCGGAGTTGGCGATGCCTGCTGGAGGGCTTGAGGGTTGACTACTAGGCTGCCGCTGCGACCAGACGGCAACACTCGCCCGGACAGCCTCGCTTGAGGAAGTCCGATCGAACTCGACCTTCCTTTTTCTCACACCTGCTCCCATTCTGCGGTGAGACTGGCTGTCTGGCAACTGGGTATCGGCAATGGCAATATTTGCTTGATGGCGGGAATGAAATATAGCTGGATCTTTAGATAGGCATGCTTGGGCCGATATCTCCCAAGATCCGTATAAACAGAACTTTGTATGCCGGAGCGGAGGGCCCAGTCGCAAAACGGGCTGTATCCTTGCGACCCGTTTTTTAGTCTACATTAGGGGCAGCCGTGTCTCTTATCTGCTTCCCTCTCAAGGATTCAGAGACATTGCTGCGGGTGACCTTATTTGCGCGAGACAAGACTCGGTTTGCCCTATTCGGTGCCAACACCTCGGGGAGCTTCTTTTACTGGCGGTGGGAAGGTGGAATTCTCGAAGCCGGCACGCTCGAGCTGGCTGGATTTCAGTAATGACGTCGAAAGAACGAACAAGGACGAATAACATGCTGAATGTAATCCATGGCTTCTAATTGCTCTCGAGAGGGTAGCGACGACGGCGGGCCAAGACCATTGAGCGACAGAGAGTGACAAATTCATGCCTTGATTACAGCCTTGGTGTTAGTAACCAAGTGGATCGATAGAAATAGTACAAGAACTGCTGTATAAGTAGGTAGACAGCCCGCCCCAGTAGGGACGAAGAATGCTAGCTTCGGCGTTTTCACCAGGTCAAAGGTTGGAGGGCACAGCGTGGAGTTGGAATTGCGCTCGTACAGAGGGGACGCGTACTCGGTCGGGAAATAGAAGAGGAGATTCGGGCTGGGGAGGAGGGAGGGGAAATCGCACCAAACAGAACAGACTCTTGCAATGACCACTATGGCACCAAGGCGCAATTACGCAAGACCCGGAGAGCAGAGTTTTGGCGAGAGAAGGAACAATGGCTGACTATAGGACGAGAGGCAGTGAAAACATTTGGGTGGTGAAAATGGAGAAAGGGGTTTAGCTGAAAAAGGCGTGCGGAGAATTTAATTATTCAATGCTGGGGGTGGAGGGAAGCGAATCGGTCCGAACGCCTGGGGACGTTCAGGCCTGCCTCCATGGCAGCCGTGTATCCGCTTGCAGTTGGCTAGGTGGCAGAGGCCGCGGAGGAAGAGTGAAGCAGAGCGAGGGTAGTGCCGTAAGGGTGCTGTAAGGGACAGCGACGCGAAACAAGACAGTGGAGGAAAACTTTGCGCCGTGCAATTGGGATCGAGCAGTCGAAAAAGAAAGTACCTGCTCAGTCTCTCCAGGCTTGCAAAAGTTGGTATGCTTGGGTACAGTGGGCATGTACTTCGTACTTGTTTCGTAGACCAAAGGGAGGGCAAGTGGGGGATGGTCGCAGCATCCAAAGCATTGTTGTGGTCGTATTTTTGTTGTTTTCGGTGGCTGAGTAGTGGAGTGGTCTGTCGAGTAGGAAAGACACCTAGTTGGCTGCTTTTTTGAAGTCCTGAATGCTGGCCCGAATTTGATTTCAGAAATTCAGTCTTCCCTCTACCAGTACAGATGCAACCCTAACCCTAATTATCAAAACTCGTCTGTTCGAAGTGGAAGGATATCTAAAATGTACATGTACGAAGTACAGAATATGGAGGTGTATTACCCGACCTTTACCTTGTTCAGTTGTTCAGTCCTGCTTTCGGCTTCTGCAATACAATCACGACTTCCCCCCCCCTACACACATGACGGACTTGTCAGCCAAATATCGACATGGGCCATTCTTGTGTTCTTAGCCGCTCCTCGGGAAGACACAACCTCTCCAAACATCATGCCCCTGATATGGCCCCCAATTTAATTTAGCCTTACAGCCCTACATTTCCAATGATTGGGCAGCCTCGGAGTCCCGGACGGCAATCAGTAGCGATCCTACCGCGGCACATATTGACGGCGAGAAGCGGCAGGCCACAGGCACGGCTACTGGCTAATCTCTATATTGAATAGTGCCGGTGCTCCTCTTTACGGGACGTAATATACTTGCCGAGCGGGGGGCTAGGCGACATATCACGCTACCTCCCGGAATCTAACTTTGGAGTATGGACCTCACCTCATATGAGCTGACTTAAACGCAAACAATGGGCCGACACCCTGAGCCGCGACCGAAACATCAAGAGACAAAGCAAGAGATCCAGTACATGCTCAAACATGGAGGCAGTGAGCGCCATCCTGGGCGTCTCGGAGATGGCGCTCCGCACCGGCTCCAAGCTCTGGGAGGTTTCCTGCGCCTGGCGCGACGCGCCCGAAGAGCTCCACCTGCTGCGCGACGACATGGCACGCACCCAGCGCTTCTTTGGCGAAACGCAGCACGGCCTCGCCGCCATCTACACGTCGGGGGCAGGGGCGGCGGCGACAAAGAGCACACACCATGCGGCAGCGTCTAGAAAACAGCAGCAGCAGCAGCAGCAGCAGCAGCACACGAAAGGCTCGGGGGTGGCAGCGTATGAAGGCGATGCTGCCGCTGATTCTTCCTCTCAGCGCGATCTACAGCGGCTGCTAGACAAGGGTGCGTCAGTTCTGCGCGTCATCGAAGGGGTGGTCGACAGCCTGGCGCGCGGCAGCAACAACCAGAGCGACTCGAAGTTCGATAGCATCAAGCACGATATCGTCAAAGCGAGCGAGTCCCCTTCCTTGTCGCTGCGCGACCTCGGCAAGCGGCGGCGCATCATCTGGATGGCCAACGCGCGCAAGATCTCCAAGCTTCGCAAGGAGCTGGGCGACATTGTGACGAGCGTGTGCCGGCTGCTCATTGTGCAGAACGTGTAAACACCCACACCCACAACCGCCCCTACGCAGCCACTCAGCTGACACGCTCGCAGATCGGTATCCGCCGAGATGGTCACGACGCTCGAGCGGTCGCACGCGGCGCTCGCGTACCAGCTGCGCGGCGACCTGCAGGCGACGTCGGCGACCATCATGTCGTACACGGCGGAGCGGATCCAGGCGGCGCAGGACGAGACCGTGTCGCGGCTGGGCGAGGCGCTGCAGATCTCGCAGCACACCATCATCGCCCACCTAGAGCGCCGGCTGGGCAAGGCGCCGTCTCTGGTGGTGGACGGAGAGGAATATTGCACAGAGGTAAAGGCTAGGAACAAGAACGGCAGGGATGCAAGTGCGTTGCTGCAGGGCGGCGACGGCGCCGCCTGGACGTCCTTCGTCCGCCACATGGTGCCGTCGCCCCGTAGCGGCCGCATTGCGTCTGGGCGAGAGCAGGGGGGAAACCAGTGCGAGGCTAGCTGCCGCTGCCGCTGCCACTCGGTCAGCAGCTACTCGTGGCGCATGACGTCGCTGCGGTCGGTCCTGGGGGCCATCACAATGACGTACGCGTCGCGCAACGGCGGCGGCCAAGGCGCGTGCACCAGCAGCCGGTGCCGGGGGCCCGGGGCGAGTCAGGAGCAGGCGGCCGCAGGAGGGTTCCGCGACCTGCGGCTGGTGTACCGGTTCCCAGACTGGGTCGTCCGAGCCGCCCTGTCCGTGTTCCTGTCGAGTAACCTCAATGGCAGCCCGCAGCTCAACGTGCGCATGCACAACCGGCTGCACTGGGACACGATCAACACGGGCTCCGAGACGCTGTTCCGCTACATCGTGCGAGGCGAAGCCGATGGGGTGCGGCGGCTGCTGTCGGCGGGGCGGGCGTCCGTGTACGACACGCTCGGCGACACGGAGGAGCCGCCGCTGTGGACGGCGGTCGGGCTCGGCCAGGTCGAGGCCACGCGGCTGCTGCTGCAGGCGGGCGCCGACCCGTACCAGACCACGGCCGCCGGCGAGTGTCCCGTCGAGCTGGCCCTCGAGCACTCGCTGACGGGCGACGCCGCCATGGTCGAGATCGCCCGCCTGCTGCCCGTCGCCCGCTACCTCGACGACGCCGACTACCCGCCGCTGCACCGCGCCATGGCCGGCGTGCTGCACGTCGACCTCGCCGACGCCCTGCACCGCCCCGAGTACGCTGCCGACGTCAACACCGGCAGCGCCGGCGGCATGACGCCGCTGTACATGGCGGCGGCGCGCGGCGACCTCGGCGCGGTGCGGCTGCTGCTGCGGGCGGGGGCGGACCCAGACGTGGCGACGACGTCTGGCTACACGCCGCTGCACGTGGCGTGCCGGTCGGGCCACCACGACCTGGCGCGGCTGCTGCTCGGCGCCGGGGCTAGCGTCGAGAAGAAGGACTCGATGGGCCAGTCGCCACTCGTCGTGGCGGCGGGTGGGCTGCTGTACGCGGCGGACGCGACGCGCATCCTGGCGCTGCTGGTGCGGCACGGCGCGGACCTGGGCGCGCGCGACAACTTCGGCGCCGAGCCCCTGAGCTGCGCGGCCGCGTTTGGCGCGCTCGAGTCGGTGCGGTTTCTAGTCCGCCGCGGCGCAGACGTCAACCACCGCGACTGGGAGGGCGACATCGCCCTCGTCGAGGCCATCATGCGCAGCCGCGCCGACGTCGCGCGGTTCCTGCTCGCGCACGGTGCCGACGTGCGGAATGTCAACAGTTTCGGGCGTAGTATCTTGCATGTTCTGGCATACCATGCGGATGTCGATATGATGGCCGTGTTTGCCGACGTCGGCATGCGCGGCGTGAGTACGGCGGCCAGGGACGACGCTGGCAAGACGCCTCTGCAGCTGTTTAATGAGAGGGACTCGACGCCCGAGCTGCGTAACGCGTTTGATTGTCTCTTGGATAGTGTCGAGGCGCAGATGCTAGATGACGGCGAGGGCGATCCTAGGTCTAAGGATGAGGATGAGGATGAGGGCGATCCTGGGTCTGAGGATGGGGATGAGGATGAGGATGTGTTTGTGGACGCGCGCGAGAACTGGGAGTAAATGTGACGGCGCCAGCCTGCAGCACTCACTACCACTGCGCTAGAACCCCCAAAAGGATTCCAGAATTGCAAGTTGACAACTTGCAACCTGTAGTAAGCTATATAGTACTGCTACGGCCATTGCGCGCCATGACAGTAAAAGGGATTTGCACCGGTCTGTTGGTTGAACACAAGGAAAAAAATGTCGAGGCAACTGGTTACAATTAAACTGATTATTTAATTTGACAAAAAAAACTATCATAACCTCGTATGCTCATCTCGCTTCTTGTCTGTCTAGACGCCCATCACGCATTACAAGATAGCATATCCGTACCATGAAGCCATATTCATATCCCATTCCTCCCCATTTTGCCCGCCAGGTCATAATACTCAGAAGTCAAACAACCCCTTTTCCCATCCTATCCCTTCGCAATACATCTCACCACGCCCTTCGCAACACATCTCACCACGCCCTTCGCAACACATCTCACCCCGCCTTCGCAATACATTTCACCACGCAAACCCCACCCTAGCAGTCCCAGCGCTGCGCAGAGGCTTCGTCGCCGAGATCTGCACGTAGCGATACAGCTCCGGCTCACCATACAGCCGCGCAGCGGCATCGCTGTGCTCAGCCGCAGCAGGGAAGCAGCGGCGCAGGCCGAGGCAGCGGACCAGAAACGCCGGCACGGCCGCCAGCACGTACAGGTACCGCAGCATGGGCCGCACGCGGTCCGACAGGTCTGTGACTACCACGTCGACGAACCCCGCGTCCTCGAGCATTTGCTGGTAGAGGTCCAGCCGCCGCGTGTGCAGGTCGGCTGCGCTAGGGTAGTGGTGGTGCTGCTGCTGGTGCGGGCAGCAGTAGTCGTGTTGTTTCTTTTGGTCACGGTGGGGTTGGGGGGGCTGGAGGAGGGTGGCCGTATTGTTGCTGGTGATTTCGGCCAGCTGCGTGAAGCGGAAGTCGGCCGAGTCGCTGCTGTTGAGCCGGCTCGGCGGCGGCGGCGGCGGGGCGGCGCCGCACAGCCGCGCACCCGAGTTGCAGCGGCGCCGGCGGAGCTGCTCGTCGCGGCGCCAGCGGTAGAGCTCTGCAGCTGCCACAGCGGCGGCCTGGGTGCGGTGGGTGCTGCTCGGAGAAGAGCCGCTGCTGCTGTTGCTGTTGCTGTTGCTGTTGCTGTTGCTGTTGCTGTTGCTGTTGCTGTTGCTGTTGCTGTTGCTGTCGCTGTTGCTGTCGCTGTTGCTATGATCCTTGAGAGGCGGAGCGGCGCTGCGGCGGCGGCCGTACTCGTGCAGCACGTAGCGGCCGCCAGGTTTCAGGATGCGAAAGAAGCTGGCCATGACGGCCTCGGGGTTGGCCGAGTGGCGCAGCGTCTCCATAGTGTAGACGCCGTCGTGCGAGGCGGTGAGCACCGTCTCGAGGTGGTGCATGTCCATGCGCCGCACCGTCGCCTGGCCGCCGCTGACGAGCCCGGCGCGCGCCAGCCGCCGCTGTGCCCGCGCCACCCGCGCCGACGCGATGTCGATGGCCGTGACGTGCACGCCCTGCTGCGCCATGTACAGCGCGGCGTGGCCCGCGCCGCACCCGGCGTCGAGCACCCGCGGCGCGTTGGCGCTCGTGGTGACGGGCAGTGCGAGGGCTGCGTGCAGCTTCTCTTGCATGGTGCGCAGGTGCGGGCCCAGCGGGAACGGCCACCATGTGTCCTTGTCCCAGTAGCCAAAGTGGTGCGCCGCGTCGCCCAGCAGCCAGCGGTAGCCGAAGCTGGGCCGTGGAGGCTGGCGCGCTATGTATGGCTGGTGCTCCTGGTACTCCTGTTGTTGATATTGTTGCTGATGAGAAAGTTGTGGTGGTTGTAGCTGCTGCTGCTGCTGCTGCTGCTGCTCAGGTCTTTGGGAGAGACGGCGGCGCAGCTCGCCGTGGTCAGCCTGGAAGGTGAAAGAGCGATGCTGTTCGCCGCGATAGAAGTAGCGGTGGTCGTTGTCAAAATCTGGGGCGGGGATGGTCGACGTGGACGAGATGGACGAGTATGCCGAGTCTGCCATCATGGCCATCATCATGGCGGCGATGGTGTCCCTAGGTATAAGTCGAGTCACAGGGAGATGCAGGATGCGACTGACACGGCAAGCAGGATAAAGAGAAAACAAAGGCAAGGGCGAAAACCAGAAAAAATCGGAACCGGGGAAGAGCACACAGAAATACCAAAACGGCAAAATCGTGGCCACTACGTCACGCGCGGTCTTAGTTCAGACCAAAACGCTGGGTGGCTGGCGCGGGAAGGACGAAACGGCCCAACGCCGGCTAGCGCCGTGGCAGCGTCAGCAACGGACCGGCCACAAGGTCAAGGTTTAGGACCGTTAAGCAGGACGGGGCGTAGCAGAAGTATAAATCTTCAGCGGATGTCTCCGTGCACGCTTTGGCGCGGTTTCAGCGCCCTAGACTTGGCTACTAGACTATAGTTTCCCAGCAACGGCGCGTGAGTAATCATGGCTGACCACGGAGCTGGGATGGCATCGCCGGAACCAACTAGACGAAACGGTGCAGAGTTTGGCTCCCAAACTCTGCTGCACCCTAGCGTCCATTCTGTCGGTGGCAAACAGGAGAGGGGAACATTACCTCCACCTTGAGGTTGTTCTTGTTGTTGTCGTTGTTATTGTTTTTGTTGTTTTTGTTATTTTTGTTATTTTTGTTATTGTTCTATTGGAAACTCGCGTGATAGATGAACAAGAATGGAATGCAGATTTGGTGAAACCCCAGATAATTGAAACCCCAGATAATTACCTCTCAATGTAGTCCGTAGAGTGAAATTTATATATCTTGACTCGGGAGGAGGAGCAATAAGGGCGGGACGGCAGCAGAAACAAGCGGATATGCAGACAAGTGTCACACCAGGTATTACTGAGAGTATAAGTGGTCTAGCGGGAAAGGGAGCTATTTATGCACAACCACGAGAGGGACTCAGGACTAGCCTATTGTAATCTAGAGTTCTTTATTTTTAACCAAGTACCTCGGTGGTTGATAGGTGGTTGGTCCGCCCTCTCTGATCTAATAACAGCGGTGGGTTCCTCTTCTCTTTTTCCTAGGCTTTCGAAGGTATCTCGACTTTTTTTGTAATTATCCAAGTCTTCCGGCCCTACACACGAGCCTATGCCATTCTTCGATATCCCTAATACTATCTAATATAACCAAGGTACTTCTTGAATACCTGTAGGCTCACAGTTTGCCTTGTGTTTGTTTTAGTGAGAGCTCCGCTTCAGTACGCGGCTTGTTTTACTCAGCCGCATTCCTCCGTCGCCTCTATCAACCTCTTCACGAACACCCGAATCCTGTCCTCAGCGAGCCCCTCAACGTCGCGACTGACTTGTGCGGCCAGTTTGCTAATCTGCTCGACACTGCGCTGGCACTCGGCCTCGAAATCATCCTTCTTGCGCTGCCGCTCACTCGCCGGCATGGCCGAAACTGACAGCCAGTCCATCTGTCTAATGGCCGGCTAGAAGTGCGTGTTGCTGATCTCAATATAAGCGCCGCTAATGTGGACGGTAACGCTGAAGCGGCTCTGCAATCTCGGCGCGGCGGCAATTACTGTCTGCTTGTTTGCTCAATAACATTAGCCGTTGACCTGCCGAACAAAGCGTCTCGCGGTTTTGGGACTCGGTAGCGGGGAAGAGGCGCAGTCGAATTCACCTCTTTGCCTTGTTTGCCGATTCTGAAGCTGCTTCGCGACCGACGTCGCCACAGTGCTGCACGTTGGTGCGGAAAATTGCGACCTAGAGATACGTCACTGGTTAGACTGGGCTGAGTGACAAGGACAGGACGGGGACTGACGGTAGCTTGCCACGCCGCACGAGGCCGTTGAGATCCATGATGTCGAGTGTGTTGACCTTGATACCAGCGGCACATTCCTGGTTGGCCGCTTGGAACAGGTTGACCATGGAAAAAATGGCGAATGGCGCGAGGGATAGTGAAGCAGCCCAGTCGTGGTCTGTCGGGGTATAATCTCCTTTGACAGTTCGGATGGCCTTGTCGCGGGCCCTTCCATGCATCAAGGCGTAGCTCGCCCTGGATCTTTGTGCACTTTCCTCGTCGTCCACACTGGCGGCATTATCATTGTGCTAGCCGGAGGCCTGAACTTCGCTAGCATCGGAATATTCGTACGGCGACGGGAAAAAGTTCATTGCTGCTGAAATATCGAAAGGTGACTAGGTGCATTGTTCGGTGGCCGGGACACGAAGAGTCAAGATTAGGCAGGCACCAACAGTTGAGACCGTCGCCCGAGGGGCAAGCTTCAGCCACAGTGTTCCAAGCCCACCATACCTAATGAGGCCCCGGGCCTGGTCCGTCGGGATAAATAGACTGTGCTCCTACTCGTCAAGGCTGCAAAAACGCCCTGACCAAGTCGCAAGCCCTTACTTGTACGAACCGAACCGGATATGAATAATTAACAGGAATTATTTACTAGCCTCGGCGTGGGTACTTACGCTATAATACTGCTTGAGATATCGGAATTAACGTTAAATCTTCCTAATTATTACCAAATATCAAGAACTTGTCACGGCCGGCTTGGAATGAGGGCGGAACTCCTCTATTGGGTGCTATAGACGAAGATTCTAAACTAAAGGGAAAAGGGAAAAGAAGCTCAAAAGCCTCCCCTCGCGAGATTCTTCCAGGGCGTCTCAAGGTGGGGCTCTGGCTGGTCGGGTGGATCCACCCAACTGGCGTCTGATTAGTCAGAGCGTCTGGGAGGCCTGGAGGACCAGGCCCTCACAGAACTCTTCAAGCCCTCAAATGCCTAGTCTAACTACCTGTCAACTACCTAGAGAATTCATCACCTGTGCCGACCCCGCGTAAATCATGGGTTCTCGGCCTAATCATAGATACCACACAAATCACTTCACAAACGAAGAGGTCAAAGAAAGGTGGTGTGCGTTATGCAGGTGCCTTTACACATGGTTCGGCTCGCCACAAGTGGATGTTATATGTACAGTTCATGTCGTAGTAAACATACCCCTGTCCGGGCGCAGTAATGTGGATCCCTGAGCCAACTGTCACGGTTGATAGGATTTTAAAGGGCAAATGCCAATAATGTACCGTATTCATTTAGTGTAAAGAAAGATCGCAGGAGCTGCGAAAAAAGGTTTGTGGGCGAAGTCGCACGTGACCCCATGCCAACCTAATTGGGCTCTTTCCATGAAAGAAGGCTTGCAGCGAAGTTTACACGTGACCCACAAGCTAAGCCTAATTGGGGTTCTTGGAAGATGACGTAACACGGCTAGCGACAATGAACTCAATGCGCTGTGCCGTGACACCAACTGCCACCCAGGCATGCTCGCACCTACGGTGCCGTGCTTACATTTACCCTGCGCAGGGCACCTCCCCTGCGCACTCTCTTTTGTATAAATAACTAGACTTTTCCTTTGTAAAATAGCTTCTAAGAGATATGCCTTTCTAAATGCACTTCCCCAGCTCTATTTTACCCGTGTGACAGTTCATCACACCGATCGTGGTCTTGGCGCCGGTTCTCGGCAGCCCACCGGTCCCCGGACCACATTTGTGTTTTAGTATATCACCACCTAGTCAAGCGGGAGACAGGAGCGGCGGGATACGTCAGCATATAAGTCCCCCATATACGTCCCCCATCGATAGACTCTTGACGGTGGCTTCAGCCGTCAACTCGCACACCTCTCTGCGAAACCCAACCACAGCAAGGACTATGCAAACACCGCCGAGAAGTCAAGCCGTGTGGACAAGGCGGGAGGCTGAGACATGGCACTTGTGGACAGGCAAGTGAATAATTAACTAATTATATTTATGTACATGGAAGGAATCTAACCCTCGCTTCTATGTTTGTAAGTAGTTTACATCTAGAATAGGTAGTTATAGTCGGGGATGCCACTTTATCCGGGGTATCGTTTCATCTTATCAGTACACATGATCATGCGTTCTTTTTGTATCCGTTCACGGCTGGCGGGCTTCTACCCGCCCCCCTCTGGTCCACTGAGTTTATACCGGCACGGTTCCGGTGACTTTCCAGTTGGTGCCGTCCGTCACCGCCTCGATCACGTTGCCACCGCGCTGGAAATAGCACCTGGATTCGTTGGACGGCGGCTGTAGGTTGATAGGGTTTCCTGCCACGTTCACGGGCGACGTTGCCAGGGTGATGCAGGCAATGTCCGTGCCCTTGTCGACGCCCTGCAGCACCGACGGCTTGGACGTCTTCCACCCCGAGTCCGAGTCGACGTAAACGACGTTGATGTTGGACGAGGCGTCTACGTAGAGCACATATGTGTTGACGCGCTGGAGTGGATCCGAGGCGCGCGCCGTGGAGAAGGCCGTAAAAGCGGCGTTCTTCGGGATAATGGTCTTTGGAAATTCTGCTTGGGGGTCTCACGGTCAATATCCTCGCCTTTCCCCGCGCATTCTCCAAGAACCGTATAGCGACGTACCTTTGTTCCACGACAAGACCATCTGGTCGTCTGGCACGTTGGGAAGGTCGTGCACCACGGCGTACAAGCCGTTGTCCTGCCCCTGGTACACGATGCCGTAGCCGCCCCGCACTGCGATGAGCGAGAAGTTGGAATAAACAGGCACTAGGGCTAGGCGCGTGCCGCTCAGCCCCGTGATATTCAAATCCTTGTTGTCCCACTCGGCGGCGGGCGAGAAGCCGCCGAGGAGGCGGTCGCGAACCTCCCTTATCATGCCCCTCGAGTCCTGGTAGACGAGCCAAGGCCAGTACGCGGCGATGCTGGTGCCCGGGGCTGCGGTGAGATGGACTTGCCCGATGCTATCGTCGCCGAATGGAGGAGTGTAGATGGAGTTCATGTTGATGCCGAGCACTTGTGCGCCTTCGCCAATGTAGAAGACCTCGGTTTGAGGCTGCGGATCGGTTAGTGAACGGCTCGTGGAAGGAGGGCAGGGCAGAGGGGGAGAACGGCCTACATTGAAACTAGACCCGTAGATAATCTGAGTGACGGCCAGTCTGGTGGTGTCTGTCGAGAATGTGCTGTACCCGACTGGAGACGCCCAATACGAGTTGTCCACGGCCGGCTTGGAACTGTCGTAGATGGATTGGTAGACGTTATGGTCCGTATCTTGATAGAACATGGTGATCTGGGCGCCATTTCCCTTCTGAAAGCCAGTGACGGTCAAGGGAGAGCCTTGGCGTATAGTTCGCTTTGCGGTCGCCGTGCCGGCCGAAGCACCGGCCGACGTGCTGCTCGATGTGCCGCTCGAGGTCCCACCTGATGTGCCGCTCGACGTTCCGCCCGACGTGCCGCTCGAAGTGCCGCTCGATGTGCCACTCGACGAGCCACCACCCGACGCGCCACCACTCGACGTCCCGCCGTTTGACGAGCCACTGCCCGACGAGCCACCGCTGGACTTGCCATTGCTTGAAGTGCCGTCGCTGGAGGTGTCATCGCTTGACGTGCCACCGCTCGGCGTGCCACCGCTCGGCGTGCCGCCGCTCGACTTGCTGCCGCTTGAAGTACCGGTGGACGTGCCGGTTACGGTGCCGGTGGACGTTCCGGGCGAGGTGCCGGGGGTAGAGGCGCCAGATGTGGAAGAAGTGGATGTTGGGTTGACGGCCCCAGTCCCTTCCTGGCCCTGCCCCTGGCTCTGGCCCTGGCCCTGGCCCTGGCTCTGGCCTTGTTGCTCGGCCAGCTGGTTTGGCGAAGATGCCCTAGAGGCCCTGGTTCCGAGGACGCCTCCCACGACAGCACCGACGACAACAAGCACGGCCACGACAACAGCCAAGATGAGCCATAGGCGCTTCCTGCTCCTCGGCTGTGGCTCTTCGGGCGGGGGGTAGGCGAGCTCGGGTGCTGTGTCGGCGCCGTTTCCGGCAAACGGCGTGTACTTGTTGTGTTCCGAGTAGGGCTTCGGGGCTGGCTCGGTGCTGTGGGTGGGCGAGGAGATGTACTCCTTGCCGTAGTAAATTTGGGCTTCCATGTACTGCTGTGAGGTTCTCAAGTACTCGTGGGGGACGACCTCGAGTCCCCCGAGGCCCTGGGGGAGAGGCTCGAGGCCGGGCTGTTCGTCTTTATCATGGTGGTAGTAATAGACCATGTTGATGCAGACGCCGGCGGGCACGAGGCCGGCGGGCACGAGGAGGGAGGGTTAGAGTGATCACGACATGGGCGCCTGCAGAGGGCTCGAGGCTCAGGCAGCAGTGTAGCAGGTGAACTAGGGCAAGGCAAGGCACCGGCGTTGCACTTGCGTTGATTACGCGCTAAGATGGGACGACGAGAGCCTCAGCCAGAGGGAAGGCGGACGCAGAGGGGAAGCAAAGAGGAAGCTCAGGAGGAGCGGGTGTGGAGAGGGGAGGGGAGGCAAACAAGATAAAGGTGGCGGCTTCGGGACCAAGGAGCGAGCCGGGCACAGCATGGGTCGTGCCCCATCGGCGGGCGGCCAGGGGCGTTTTCATGTCATGAGATGAGATGGATCGGCATGCGGTGGAGAGGGCGGTTTGATTGGTAGGCAATATAGGGCTGAGGATGACATGAGATTGGGGTCCACGGGTTGATGGAGCCGAAATCATTCACAAGAGAGGTATCATGGGCATGACGGGACGGGAGCCTCGGGAGGCACGGGCCCAGGTACAGGCCAAGGCAAAAAAGAATCCACCCTCGCTGTTGTGTCGTGTCGGGTCGTGTCGGGGTGGAGCTTTCAGCAATCAATTACAAAGGTAAGTCGGGATGGCAGGTAGCTGCGGTGATTGCAATTGGTCACACCAGTCCCGCATGCAAATGCCACTGGCTGGCTCGTTGGTCTGTTGGTAACTTTGTTGGCTGGCTGGTTGGCTGACGCGACTCGAGCTTGGTTGAACGCCGCCGCATTGCGCCGCGCAGCCACTCAAAGTCGTTCCTTCCAGTTGAACTTGAAACCGTCTGCGGGCATATTTGCGCTCTCGGCCCTCACACCACTAGGCTTCCAAAGTTGGCCGCAATTTAAGCTCGACACCTAGACCCCATCATACATAGTACCATCCGGACCATTTGGGTAGTTGCGGCCAAGTGCGCACTTGCAGTCGTCACTGCAGTGCAGTGGTCAATCTTGCCATTGCCCAATCACGTCTGTCGTTCAATTCAGCATGGGTTCTCCAAGATTTAGGCCTGCAGTGTTCCCCGCCAGATCCATCCACTGTAGCTACCTTGGCGTTGCGGTGGGGGGTACAACCGACATGTTTCAAACATGTTGTTCAGCATCGCATCCCCAATCCTGCCAATACTCTTGCATCTGAGCAATTACTAGTGCAATCCTTTGCCGTTAGTTAATGGGCCGGTGTTGCACCACTATCCGCATCCACCGCGCTTCTCCACCCTTTCTCGGGCTCTCGTTCGTTGCAGCGCCCCTAGCGCCCCCAGTGCCTCGGCGTTTGACGCGCAACCCCGCGGCAAAGGCCTCCTCCTAGCTCACTTTCGTTCCTTTCATCGCCTTCACCTTCATTCATCCATTAGTACCACTCAATCTGTGTTATTATTAGCCGACGCAAGCGCCCGTTTTCCCCTGTTAGCTAGCACGGCCACTGCAGCACCTGCCTGTTTAGCGCTTAGCGTCTTGACCTCGGCCAAGCTCGAACAGCGTCCCGGTTCGCTACCAACATTGACTGCGCCAGAGCACATACGAACTTGGCCCGATTGCCTAGTGAGGATGTGCACACGCCAGATGCCTGCACCGCCACGTTCGTTGCGGCCCGCCATCCGTAATGTCGCCCCACAGGCCCACACTCATTCGGGCGGCCCAATCAAAGGGCCATTGCGCCGGCGCGCTCTGAAAAGAAGGAGCTGTGCTGCTCGGCCGAGACCCGAGACCCGAGACCCGAGACCCGAGACCCGGTGGCCAAAAAGAAAGGATCAAGAACCACGGGAATAAATATAAATGATAGTAATCCCCAGCAAGTTAGCTGCCGACTTTCCATTCGTCTGATAAAAAAGCAAGCAACCAGCCACCATCCCAGCACAAAAGTCCCAGTGTTTGACACCATACCATGTCTGTCCCTCCCCGCGGCAAGAATCATATATGGTAGTAAAAGAGTTGTCGTGGCTCCAGCGAGTCCTGCTGGTGCATCAAAGCGGCTCACCGACGCCACAGGAAGGCGCCACCGTTTCTAAAATATAGTAAAAGCTGGGAACTTCTGAAGACGTTGCCCCACACCAGAACGCCGTCATGTCAAGATTCAGGTCCCCGAGGGGGCGACCAATCTGCGCCCGAGAAAAAAGAGAGGAGAAAAAACGAGAAAGAAAAAAAACAGCCGAGACGACGAGCCCAGTCGTTTCAGCCTGGCTAATAGTCGCGGCGGCAAGTCGCGCCAGTTGCGAGGCACCAGTCGCACGTAGCGTGCTTCAGCTCCTCCACGTCAGCCGCGGCGGCTCCTCTAAAACTCCAGCGGACGGGCGAGGCAGGCCCGGCGCTTGCTGGCTGGGCCGGGACACGAGCAGCTGCTGCAAGGGCGGCAGCAGGGGAATTTATCTGCGTGCCCATCGATGGCATCGTGGCGGTGGCGGCGGCAGGCGGGGCCATCGCGGATCTGGCCGCCTGGCCAGTCGTCTCGCTGTGTCAAGCAGTTTGTGATTAGCAAATAGACTTGGGACTTGCTTTTCTCTCGTTCTTTCTCAAGGTTTGGGTTTCTGTGCCATTTTGAGGCGTTTTGACTTGTGTGTTTTGGACTGGGACCTCGGAGCAGACTCATATCTCGACCCGGAGAGATGAGAAAAAGGAGTAGGTACTTACTTAGCCGCGCTCATCTGCTGCTTAGCGGCGACGGCGGCTGCGGCTGCGGCCGCCTCTGCGGCTTCCTCCTCTTCGTCCTCCCGTTCCAAACAATCGCGCATGGCGTTGATTTTAGCCTCGGCTCGGGCCAGGCTCGCGAAGAGCCGCTCGACCCTGGCATCTAGCTCTCTCACCCCCACCGCGATGATGGCGGCGGCATTCCCGATACTGTTCAAGACGGCGGCGAGATTCACGCCGCCCTCCGAGGAGGCGCTAGGGGGGTTGGGGGCTGCCACCGAGTTGGCAGCAGCGGGGGACGCGGCAACACCCGCGCCGGCACCAACTCCGAGGCCCATCTGCTTGGTTGTGGTGGTCATGGCGACGAGGACGACTAGTATGGATTTTTTTTTATGTATGTTTTGTTGTGTTTTGGTGATATGTGGTGATGAGTAGTGATGAGAGGGCTGCTTTTGTGTGAAGATTTGGGATGTCGGGATCCTGCGAGGTTGTGACGGAGGAAAAGAAAACTCGGCTAAATATTTCACCTTGTGCCTTCTCACTAAACTCTCAGAAGTAAAAAAGAGAGGAACCCCGAAGGCCCCACTTTTTACATCGGCTGCCTGAGCTGTGCGAGAGACAATAGACTGCGTTTTTGCTGCCCTTGCTGCAGACGGCTCGCTGCTTCGAGTTCAGCTAAAGAAGAAACCTTAAGGCTCCATTTCTGCGTCTGCTGCCTGAGATGCACGAGACAATAGATTGTGGTTTTGCTGCCTTTGCTAGGAACTAATTACGTAGTTACGGACGGCTGGATGCTCCGGGTCCAGCTGAAACGGCTGAGGTGAACAATAGCTACGTTTTCTTTCATTTCGTCTGCTACCCAGTCTAGGAACGAGTTGTACGATTAGATCCATTACCAAGGCGGGGTGGCTTATTTTCACGCATCGCCATTCAGACTAGAATGAACACAATGAATAATTCTTGTATTTTTAGGGTGCCTTTGCTTGGGCATGTAAGCTACGTTACGTTAACCCATTTCCGTCCCAGTTAAATTGGGCGTGGATTCATCACCAGTAGACGCACTGGCCAAGTAGACGGTGTGGCTGTTCAGAGCTTCTAACTCCGGTTTTTCTTTGGTTCAAGCCGGTAAGGTAGGTAGGTATTACAAACCACTCGACTGTTAGGGTCGTCTGTCTGTAGGGGAGCACGGGCTCCACAGGATGCTGGGGTTGGTAATTATGAAGATAGAACAAAGGGCAGGCTCCTACCGCACGGGTAATACAGTCAAATCGGAATGCCACTCAAAGTGTATGAGTGCAGTGAATGTGTATTGCTTGCTTGAAGAACCAAGCAAGAACTATCTAAGACCGTGGCTACGGCCGTCGTATATATCTATCTGAGGTGGGCCAATCAGAGTCCTCCCTTTACATGCTCAGCCGTGCTCACTCGCGCTCAGGGTGCTATTACAAACCACTCGACTGTTAGGGTCGTCTGTCTGTAAGGGAGCACGGGCTCCACAGAATGCTGGGGTTGGTAATTATGAAGATAGAACAAAGGGCAAGCTCCTATCGCACGGGTAATACAGTCAAATCGGAATGCCACTCAAAGTGTATGAGTGCAGCGAATGTGTATTGCTTGCTTGAAGAACCAAGCAAGAACTATCTATGACCGTGGACACGGTCATCGTATTTATTTAATTATGGCGGGCCAGTAAGAGCTGCGCTCTTACTTGCCCGGCAGGAAGGAGCTGCCTGGCGCCGGGCACTGCTAGCGTGCCGGGCCATTTGCCTGGTGCCAAGACCCTTCTTGGCACCGGGCCACCTCTGATTGGCCGTCCTTCCGTTTGCCTGGTGCCAAGAGCCCTCTTGGCACCGGGCACCGTCTGATTGGCTCTCGACGAGCGGGGCCCCCAGTCTTGCCTGAGGCGCCTGCCTTCTGCAGCTGGTCCAGTACGAACCAGGTTCGTCACAGCTCCCTGGGCGAGTTGGTGAGCGCTGGGTAGATCGGGTTTTTACCCGTAACCCCCGGGTAAAGACCAAGTTAGGTACCCTATTAGAACGGTCTCGAGTCAAAGAATCTACCCGTGAGCGATTCCATGATTTTTTTGATCGTTTAGAAGCTTTAATCAAGGACAAGAAGCTGGTACCTGTCACGGCCGGCTTGGAATGAGGGCGGAACTCCTCTATTGGGCGCTATAGACGAAGATTCTAAACTAAAGGGAAAAGGGAAAAGAAGCTCAAAAGCCTCCCCTCGCGAGATTCTTCCAGGGCGTCTCAAGGTGGGGCTCTGGCTGGTCGGGTGGATCCACCCAACTGGCGTCTGATTAGTCAGAGCGTCTGGGAGGCCTGGAGGACCAGGCCCTCACAGTACCTGCGAATATCGCCAATATGGACGAACATGGCATGCAAGAGACGGAAACTACGGTTGGGAAGGTGATTGGCGATGCCCTCACATCTCGGGCAGTCCTGACTGGCCCTGATCCAACGACCTGGGTCAGTGTTATCGAGTGTGGTACCGCTGAGGGCAAGCGATTGACGCCCGTAGTGATCTTTACGGGTGAAAATCTACAAGGCCAACACTTCCCGGATAACTTCAAGGAACTACCAGTCCTCAAGACCTGGAAATACGACTATACGCCCACAGGCTGGAGCAATAGCAAAATAGCTCTTATGTGGCTCAAGGAAGTATATCTTCCTCAAACAAAGCCCCAAAGGAAGGACGATTGGCGCCTATTGGTCCTCGACGAACACGCCACTCATATCGACGAAGACTTTATGCTTCTAGCTAAAAGAAACCGCGTACACCTACTATACTTGCCTTCACACACTTCTCACAAGACCCAGCCACTCGACCGGTCTGTCTTTTCGGCTTTGAAGTCCTATTTTCGCCAAAGAACCCTCGAATTGGCTTCCTTCACAGCCTCAGCACCTATCAACAAGCAACGCTTCCTTTTTTGCTACCGGGACGCCTCAGCGCAGGGTATGTCAGCCCGGAATATTATATCCGGCTTCCGGAAGACCGGAATCTGGTCTTTCCAACCCGCTCGTATACTTGACGACCCCGAGGCGGTCCGGGACGAAGCTGCAAAACCAGTCCCCCCATCCATGTCACGGTTAATAGGTTTTGAAGGACTGTTGCCAACAATATACCGTATTGATTTAGTGTAAAACTAAGCTAAGGAAGAAAAAAGGAAAAAGAAGAAGAATCGCGAATTGTGCGATCAGTAGAAAAGGTTGTCGGCGGGGTAGCTCGCAACCACGTGACCAATGCGCTAGACCTAACTGAGCTTATCGGGAAGTGACGTCACACGGCAATGCGATAAGGAACCCGAAATGCGCTGTGCCGTGACAATCCACACCACCCCGGAAGACCCGGGCAACCCGGAACGACCTCTTCAATACACCTCAAGGTAGTCACGACGTCCGCAGGCAACAGGGCTTAGCCAAGACGGCCACTAGTCCCCGAGATAGGGTCGTCAGGACTATGTTGACGAAGGTAGGGAGGGCACTCGATCAGAAGAATACGGAAATCGCTGCTTTGAAGGCAAAAAACGACTTCTTAGCTAACGAGTTAGAATCCAAAAAGCCCTATTCACGTAAAAGGGTCAAAATAGACGCCAACGACAGATTTGCTACTATTGACGAAATTGACGAAGCTCAAAAAGCTAGTCAAAAGCCTCCCAAGAAGAGATCCAAGAAGACCAAGTCCAGGCCTGCACACCTGGTCCAGGAAGCTGAAGAAATTATCGCCCGTGGGCTTGAGCAATATAGGGCGATTGACGAGGACTAGAATGTACCTTTTTCCATAGAATTTGGCCTATAATTGAGTATTTTGACGATTCTTGTGGTGGGCCGTGATGGTGGTGGGCGATTGCAAAGGGGGGCGATTGCATAAGTGGGTCGCCCTGTCTAGATACTTATCTTCCGCGTCCTGGAAGCAAATTAGCTAGGGAAAACAAGGTAAAAGGATTCATGACGACCTACTCTGTGCTTTTTGAGATGCCAGGTGCGGTCGCAGTCAAGTGGGTCAACCAAAACACCGTCTTCGTGATCATCATTGTATCTTTCGAGCATCGTATGCGCGCAGGGCAAGCCGTACTGACTACCGAATCTTCCGGTGCAGGGAGGAAGAGGTCGGCCGGACGTTGTAGCGGTAGGGGAAGTAATCTTCCTATGTTGTTCGACAAGGAGATCTAGAGCCCACCAAGTTAACTGCATAAGGCAGGGACCAAGCCACTTCTTCGAAAGGTATGTCTTTCGCACCGAGCTTGACGACTTAGCTGTTGCCTCTTTGTAGACATCGTAGCGGTAGGTAACATGCCGATCTACAGCCTCAAGGACCTCGATGAGGCCCGACCGACCCGACAGGCCTTCCGACTTTACCGAGCCGTTGTTGGATTCATTTGGCAATGTGGTTCGCACGCCCGCATTCCTGTACATCTTCGTATAACAGCCCGCCCACTGTTCTTTGTATAGAAGCAGGTCGTTGTTGATGTGATCGACGATTCGTGATTGAGTCGTCGAAAACTGACGATTCAATATAGTCTTCGCTTTGTTGAAGTCCCGGACCGACCGACTAAACACCATATGCTTCCAAAGCTCGAAAAGACCCGCTCTTGTGTTGGCCACCTTCGTTGGTACAGCGCCGAGAACAACGGGACCTTTCTTCGTCGACTGGGTCTTCGAGTTGAGGGCATTCATCGTAGCGATGTCCTCGGCATCGTCGTCGTCGTCGTCGTCGTCCTCGGAGTCCCCGGAGTCCCCGGAGTCCCCGGCTCTCTCGGCGGCAGTGGCATTCCGGGTAGGCCGGTCGGTTGGGGGCTTGATCCAGTATTTCTTGATGTACAACACCATGTTGCAATTCATGTGCCACACACAACGCTGTCTCTGTAAGTCAGGGAAAAACATGATCAAGGCGCCGACCAACTGTTCATCACCGTCTGTAATAAACACGCGAGGAAGGGGTGTAGAAAAGTGCCTCCGGCAGCGAGCAACAGATTCCAAAAGGAACTGGTAGCCTTCTTCCTTTTCGTTGCTCAAAAGCGCTAGGAAAAGAGGCATCGTGGTTTTCTCGGGAGTTACAACAACGCCAGTTACTAAAGGCATGCGCAGGTTGTTTGCGCGGTAGGTTGCATCGATGCCTATGCAGGCCCCGAACTTCGCCCACATCTTCAACTGACGCCGTGTTACCCAGAAGGCATGTAACATCTTTGTTTTCGTGTTGTCCTTGTAGATGATGTTACAATAGTAATCTCCCGATTCTAGCTTCTTGACAAATGCTTGGGCATCAGCGTAGCCGTCTCTCTGTGACTGCCTGTAGTCCCGCATGATGTTGTAGACGTCGGCCGTGATGATGTTAGAATATGGGAACTTCGTCTTGAAGAGGCGGAGGGCTGCCTTCGCTGGAATCGACTGATGCGTTAAATCGATGATGTAGTCCTCCTCTTCCTGATAGGTTGCTTTACGGCGAAACATTTCATGCTGTGAAGGAGAGCCTGAGGGTCCATGACCTTTGTGTGTGAGGTTGAGCGGCCTAGCAGTCCAGCCGTCATCACGATCCTTTCTCTGAAGGCATATGCGAAAGGGGCAGTCTTTTGCTTTCTTCCTGCTGCTTGTCTCCTGGGCCTCGAGGGTTTTGACGGGATGTCTGTCGTAATCGGCTTGATCGCATTGAAAGAAGAATTTGTTCGTCTCCCCAGTCTTTTTGTGTTGATAGCTTCGTTGAATGAAGAGCCCGCATTTGTTTTTCTTCACCCACGTTATCATTCGGTCGATTATTGTGACTTCGTCAGCGGGGTCCCCGCAGAAGAGAGGCTCGCCGGCGGCATCGACAGTCCATGTATCTTCAGGTCCGTACGCCTCGGCTTCCTCTGAGTCTGAGCCGGCCGAAGGCGCAGGCGAGAAATCGTCACGGCACGAATTACCCGGCGAGGGCGGGGGAGAGGGAGAGGGAGTCGGAGCCGGGGACGGCAACAGCGAGGGCGAGGGAGCCGGGGACGGCGAGGGCGAGGGAGCTAGGGAGCTCGAATCGTCAGGAAATCTCGATCAGAGGCATCATGAAGGCTGTGAGCGGAAAGGTAGGTTAACGATGTGTTCTTTGGCGCAGGAAAGGACTGCATATGCATACAAAAGCCTGCAAAGGCCACCTGGCCACTACAGACCTTAAAACACCAAGTGCGCGCAAAAAGCCGGGCATGTGACGGCGTAAATAGTGGCATTTTTACTTTACCGGGCTTCCTTAGTGTATGGTAGGCAGGGTGGGCGACAATCGATTCGTTGGCTGACAAATCAATTTTCAATATTCGTCAATTATTTGCTGACAGATCAACGAATATTCGTCAGTGTGGGTCCGAACCACCACAATCTGCTTAGTCATCCAGATCCTCCTCCTCCACCTCCTCCAAGCTACTATTTACAAGGCCTGACCTTATCCAATGCTTCAAACACTCAAGAAACTCAATAGTATCTTCACCCAGTTGCATCCTTTCCCAAGATATTGTACGACGACCCCCAGAAAACACTCGCTCTGGCTCAGCACTCATTGCAGGAATTGATAAAACATTGATCGCCAATTGAGATAATCTTGGCCAGCGTCGTCGTTGTTGTCCATTCAACCACCAGGATAATGCTGATGTTTCGATCGAAATTACTGCTTCTGAGATATACTCTTCAAACTCATCCTTGACGTGTTGCCGTGGAATAACATCAAGATTTTGAGCAAGAATGTCGAATTCATCAAGATCATCAATTTGCATTGATGGTAACGTTGGAGAAGTATTTGCTAATTGATCCTTATGCTTCTCCCAGAGTTCTCTGACAGAGTTGATTGCTGGCCGTATCCATTTTTTATCCCAGTTTTGCTTGAGATATAAGGTTCGTCGTGATGGGTGAAAAATCACTGCTGCTGCGTAAAATGAAGACTCCTCCGTCTTTAGATAATATTTGTCGAATATTGCCCAGCTTTTCTCAATCCGAGAAGATAGGAAAGGATTTGACTGATATACTGAAAGGCTTTTTTTGAAATGCTGAATCAGGATATCCATAGTGAATAAAACTCGGTCGATTGTTGCATGATCTCCTTCTGTTGCTTTTGTTGCTCGAAAGAATGGATGTAGGAAAGTTGATATTAATCGAAGATTCTCCCAATCATCTGGAGAAAGGTAATCCTTTTGGAGAGATTCATACCAGAGTTTGATATACGAATCAAGTGCAGCTTCTTTTTCAAGGGCAACTTGAATCATTAAATACCAACTGTTCCACCTGGTAGAATTATCCAAAGGGATCATTCGGCCAGCAAGCTGAATAAACTGGCTAATTCGAGTAGGGGATCCTCGGATATGTTTGACGATATTATGAAGTTTGATCAGGGGACTCAGATCAAAGGAGATCTTCACCTCCTTCACATTCATCTCTTCATTCTCTTCATCAATATCTTGAAACAGAAATGCTTGAACAGCAAGGTTGATGATATGGCCATTACATCGGATTCGATTATCTGATGATGACCAAGGGATTGCCATTTCGCTGAGAGTTGTTTCGAGGGCTTTACAAAGCTTATCGTTGGTAAAAGCATTGTCGCCGATGATTGCCCCGATTTTTGAAAAGATATTATAATCCTTCAAAACGCAGAGAAGAGCTTCGTGTTGTGTTATTGCATGGTGTGACAAAATAGATGGGAGGCCGATAAGTGCTTTCTGAAGGGTTTCCGATTCAAGATCAACGAAATGAGCACAAACTGCAAGGAACAGTTTCTGATTTGGGGAAGTCCAGACATCAAGAGAGAGGTGGATTGTTGAAAGGGATGATTGAAGCTTCTTCCGAACGATGTCCTTATTCGAAATCCAAGATTTTTTGATATGCTCTCTGATTGTCGAGTGTGATGCGATGACTTCGTTTGATACAGCTGGATTGAGGGCTTTGCAAACGGTGTGAAAGTATGGACTTTCAACAATCCGGAAAGAAAGGCTCTCAACAACAATAAGTGAAGCAACCGCTTGTGTGATAACCTCTTTATTTAACACTCGTTTCATAATTTGAGCGTCTAACTCAGAGGTCTGGTTGGTCACCATTGCTTTCTCGTATAGAGATTGCAATACAGTATTGCTGAGATCATCGACGTTCCTCGATTGGTTGGTAGTTGTGATTCCATGCTTGGATTTGAGGTGGTTCCGGAAGTTGGTTGTGTTTTGAGCACCCCATGATTCGCAATATTTGCAATAATACATGCGGTTTTTGCCTTTTCGCGCTGGCTCGTCGTCTTGTGGTGGCCGAGTATGCTCTATAACAGAGCTTGAGCCTCGGCCTGTATCTCTGGATATTGAAGAACCCTCAGAAATGAAAGACATCTTTGTGGATTAAAGGAATTGATGAATTGGTGAAGTTTTGGTGGTTGGGTTGCGTTGGGCAGCCAAACACTTGTTGGGTGGCAGGTTGTGCTTAGTCAGCTACGAATATTCGTCAATATCCGCGATATTCCGGATCGGAATTATCCGTTGACGAATAAGCGAATATTTTGATTCGTCGCCCACCCTGATGGTAGGGCGTTGGGTGGCTGCCATGCAATACGGCATTTTACCATACAAAAAGCGGTCCCTGCGTTGCCAACTGCCAACATGCCCAGGTGGGTGCGACGAAAAAAGTGGTGGGTGCGTACAATAAAGCTCTTTAAAAGTGCGCTGGCGACGGGTCGATATGAATTCCAGTGTGGAAGGTGCGGTTTTATAGGAGGAATAGCGAAATGATTTAAACCCCTAGATTGCGCGGCAAAGAAAACTGCAGAGTACCTACTGCAAATGACGTACCGATCTATGCGTGGAGCTATGTCGTGGTTGGGCAAAGTGGAAAATTAGGTGCGACTTAGTGAGAATGCAAGTTCGGGAGAGGGGGCTGGTCTGAAATCTGAAAAGTTTTATAGCAGGGAAGACGTGGGGAAGGGCGAGCAGGTGGAATCCTTCTGGGTCTACCTCCGGAGGCTACTTATTGGGAAAGTCAAATCGATCCGCTGAATCACAGTGGGCACACACAATACCCACACACGTGCACAATGTCCCCAGTTTCTGGGCTTTGCTGCTTTGGTTGATTGTCTTGTTATGAGAAGCCTGCCTAGTTTGAACTGCCTAGTTTGAACAATCGAAATCGTTTGGACCTGGGCACAGGTAGATAAGGTAGGTAGGTACCTAGGTAGCTATTGTGATGTCATGGATATCAGGTGGTGTGCCGGGGTGGCCTTCAGCCAATACACGTACTGTTTCCCAGACCTCCAAGCAACAGACAACTGCCTTGTCTGTTAGTGCAGCAGTAACTTGCGACAGGTCACCTAGTCAAGATTCATTTAGTTTACGCGACGAATATATGAGTAACAAACTGACAGTGCTAATGAAAGGCTTGCTAATGAAAGGCTGGAGGGTTAAGGAACCCGTGGTTTTTGCTTCATAATCTCATCCATCATTCTAATTTCCATGGCCTCGGACCCTGACCTGACAGTGTCCTCCTGTCCACGCCATCAGCTACGACCCAGATCCCAATGCGCCGCGCACGATCCCCGAAACAGACACACTCCCTCCTGAAAAAGGCAGTGAGACAAGCATTTCCCTCCACAGCAATGGAAGGAAGAACTACGTCGTCAGAGGCCTCCCTCTCCTGCCTCGGCCACAAGGTCTCACGTGCTCCCAGAAAGCCGCGTCGGCAGCATCAACCTCGCTGTCCATGGTGTATCCGCAGAGACAAGTGTACGGCAGGCTCCCTTCACAGGTGCCCCGCTCAAGGTGCTTGCGGAAGTTGTCCTTGCGGGTCGACCCGTGGCCGCAGCGACAGCCAAACTTGGCCTGCGAGTGCGCCGCCGCAGTGGTCAGGTGGCGTCGAAAGTTCTTGCGGTTGAGGAAGCTTTCGCAGCCGGTGCGGCCGCAGAAGAAGGGCCTGTCGGGATGAGAGGACACCCCTGCGTGCTGAGTGGCAAGGTGATCGCTGGAAGACAAAAACTAGGGGTAAGTTGTCGTAAGTGCAGGCAAGGTAATTTGGGAGGAAGGAAGAAATGGAGGGCTAGGGAGTGGAACGAAGCTCCGGGGAGAGGTAAACAGAGAGGAGGGAATGTAAGGGGCACGCACATCAGCTGCTCGACAGTGATGAAAAACTCAAAACAAATGTCACAGCAATGCACGGCAGCATGCTGTCGGATCAACAGCGACATCACATGAGCATCGACTGCGGCGTGAGGTGGTTGTCCCGATGCTTCAGGGGCGTTGAAACTATGGGAACGGGTTACTATTAGCGAGAGAAGGAAAAGATGCACAATGAAGAAGGTACTCACCCCGGCCACATCGCCGCAGCCGCACTGTCGTCTTGACCCGGGACGGATGACAGCCACTCGCCGAAACTGGGATTGACCTGGGGGATTCCATTCACATCATATGGTGATGGAGGGAAACTATGGAATCTTTCCAAGAATCCAGGCACACTTGGGTCCATGGCAAAGTCGCAATGGTGTGATCTGATCGAATGGTTGTTGGCTTGGCATTCAGCCTCGTCTCATCCAGGAACAGGCCTAAAGTTGTGAAGCGAATATAGCTCTGGTATCAAGTGCACCCTTGAAAATGCAGTGGTTGTAGAGATCGAGGGACAAAAAGGAGATGGCATGACGAGGGTGGACTTGCCCGGTACACTGTTCTCAGATTTAAATAAACGTCGAATTTGACGGACTGCCCAGTGACTTTTACATTCCTTTCTCATGGCCTAAAAAGTGGAAGAAGGTGGCGTATTTCACAGGCGCAACCTGCAGGCGCAACCTGCAGGCGCACGCAAAGGAGCTAAGTATGACCTGTTTCGGGACTCGGGTTATCGGCCACATCATTATTTCCCCTTCTAGAGTTAGTTACCCAATGAAACAATATACATCGACACCCAGTACATGACCTATCAACCCGGGAATTTATAAAATTCTTCTTAGCCAAAGCGCCGCAGCCACGGCTCGCCAAAATTTCCCGAACGTACAGTACCTAGGTACCGCCCCAACCCACGGCTAGGACTGAGCGCCACGGAATCACTCCAGTTGACGTAATGGGCAACGAATGATGCTGCTACAATACACATTTTTCAGAAGTCTTAGGTTGGTTTCTATAAATTCGAGGTAGCCGCCGCTTAAATTCACGTCGGGGCTGCAAGACTCAGCGATTCCAAGGCTAAAACTATGGGTGGTGCTATCCTCATGTTTTAGGATCGCACTTTTGTCCATAAGCCACCAGTCCTAGGCCAGCTAGGCTTCGCGAGTAATGCTAGTTCAGGACAGGGTGTCGGGCTCGGCTGTCTGCGTGCACGTTGGTTGTCGGGCTCGGCTGTCTGCGTGCACGTTGGTTGTCGGGCTCAGCTGTCTGTGCGCTGCATGCATGCATTGTTGGGTGTCAGGGGCCTGGCCGTCATCTAGGCTCGCTTTTCCGTCAACCAACCGATTACGCCCGCCCGGGCAGGGGGTTAGTGCATGCCAAGCCCCCCCGTACTAGGGCCCCTTTTGCCTATCTGGATGCTCCTGGGCAAGAAGGTGGGTCCAACCCCACTCCTTGCTGGCCAACTACGCAAGAGCCCGTGACGCATCCTGCACATATGACATCCCCCTGTTGTCAGGCTCTGGAGTGGACGAGAGGTCAACGGCCAAGGCAGCCGGCTAATCGTTCCATAGGCCAATTTCACATTTTTGGGCCCTCACCCGAACTGCTCGTAGGTCGGTTCTCCCAGTAATTAGGCCCTTTTGCCACCAACCACCCCTGCCAATTCGATTCGCTTTCATTGTCTGGTTCGCCTCGCCACTTGCAATGCCATCTTTCGGCTCGTGCTGGTGCAGGACTTTACAGATAGCTACTACGTGTTGAACCTGGCAAGGCTAGCTCTAGTCTCAATCTAACACTGACATCTTGTAACAAGCTACAGTTACATCAGCAGACAATAAAAATAGACGCCAGTTGCCTGGGAGCTCTGGGCAGCAGCAGTGAAATGGTCGCAACCCCTACAAAACATCATAAACTTGGCTGATTTGGTACTGGGTGTCGGTGCCGTTGACTCCTGAGTTCGAAGTTCACAACAGTCCCAATTACACCCCGTAACATATAGGTATATACGATAGCTCTTCTCAGAAACTCAGGCCTCGACTAAAGTTCCTATCCGTTTTAAAACAAAAGGCCTAGCGAGTTCCTTACAAATTATTACATACCCAGGCGAACGAGCATTATTATTCCCGTCCCTCTCGAGTGCGGGTATCGTTCCCGCGGCGACCTATAAGTAACTGTCCAATTAAAGAATCATCGTAGTTGATAATACCACTCGGTCTTTGATGTAACAGCTGTAGGCTTTCATCGGTGTCTACAGTAGCTGGGATGTACTTGCTCAAGGACGTAATTATCAGAAACGCGAGTGTGTAACCTTTACTGGGCCTTGAGCAAACAACCAAGTGTACGACCACAGTCAAACCTCTCAACAGTCTCGTAGTCTCGGCTCGTACGCCCCAAGCACGCTTCTTAGGCTACCCTGGCATCTACTAGGCTCCGCCACTCAGCCATGATCCAAAGTTCTTTACCAAAAAGATACTGGCGCAGGTCGACGACCAAGTGACGGTGTGATCCGCCACGGAGAGGTCGAAGCGATGATGAAGCTGTAATTACAAATGTCCATAACTTTCTTCGTCTCTCTCTCTCTCTCTCTCTCTCTGAGCTAGCGTGAAATAAATCGCCTATCTCAACAAACGCCTTGTTCAGGTCCATCCATGAACAACTCTCCTGTCTCTATTATCGTGGGTGTAACTGAATCGCAGATATTACGTAGGTATGTAGACAAAGGCGCTTCTTTGACAGTAGTTCAATTATTTGGCTTCTTGCTATACAGCGGCAAATACCAACATTTCCGCCTAGTATTTACGTGGTAATAGTCAGAAGCCAATTTACTTCTGCAATGAATCTAACAATGAAAGTCCATCCTTGAGTAGACGAAACAATATACCACTAATTAGTTCGAAAACTGCCTGGAGATTGATTCCAGACTGGAACTATGCAACAATATGTCCATTGAGGTTGCCTGTTCTTATACAGGCTCGCTGTTACGTGTGTTTCTTGGAAGTAAACGGCTGATATTATACTTCAGTTCAGTCTGGTTAGCATCTCGAGCTGGAAGTTCAAGTTTTCGAGACTCGGCCTTGGGACGAGACGGCCGTCTTCAAACACTGATATCACGAGTAGATACCCTAGATACCACAGCTTTTCTCAGATATCGATCAGGAAGAAATGACTTGTAGCCAACCACATGACCTGCCCTCGGCCCCGCCACCAAGTTGATGACAAAGGGCACTTGCTCCTTCGAAATATCGCTTGTCCCACAATAGCGCTAAAAAACTCGCTTGCCCGCGTTACAACGGTTACAGGCTGTTAAGAAACAGAGACAATCATTCACATATCCGGGGGTGAAGGACTGCAAGTTCGGAATCGCAGAGACATGACATATATATTCTTGTTCCCTCGGCCTCGACCTTGACTTGCACTCTGGACTCTCTAGCGCTCACTTCTCAGTCTTTTCTGTATCTACCGCATACCCATCTTGGCGCTTGATCTACCTCGTTACCTACTGCCACGTCCACATCCCAGTCGCAAAGATGCCTCACGCAACTCGACCACCCATAACCCAGCTGGGCAAGTTCTCCGCCTTGGACGCCACAACCGTCGAAGGCCTGTCACACGAGCAGAAACAAGACATTATAGCTGCCACCAGCCACATCTGCCGCAGTCTGATGGACGACATGGGCGTCAAGTGGAAGCCGCAGCCCGTCGACCCCGCCCTCCGCCGCCGCACCATCGACTGGATCAAATCCGAGCTCGAGCCCGTAGTTGGCCCCGTCAACAAGCGATTCCTCGCCGCCGCCGACTCGGGACTCATGTACACGGAACGTGTGTACGAGGGTGGCGACTTCGAGACCAAGGTGTCCATGGTCAAGTACGGAAGCATCAGCCTCTATCTCGACGATATGATCGACAAGGACGCCGGCATGGCCAAGCAGGCCGAGGGCTTTCTCTCCAACACACTCGAGGGCGGAAGCCTGGACTCGCCGTCGGCGGGCCTGCACGGCACCTGGCTCGAGCTGTACCGCAAGGCGTCGCTGGAGCTCGCGCGCCACCTGTCCGACCCCCTAGCCAGCAACATGCTGCTGCACTCGTGCACCCTCTACATCGAAGGCTGCGCCCTCGAGTACCACATCCAGCGGGACCAGGCAAAGTACTTTCTGATCAATGACGCCGGCGTCGAGCGCGCCAAGGACGACGCCGAGCGGAAGCTGGCACACGAGCACGGCTTCGACATCCCCCTGCCGCTGGACAACGACCGCGTTGCTGCGGCCGCAGCAGCAGATGGCACTTATAACGACGAGTACCTCGTGCCGCACGGCTGGCCGCTGTGGCTGCGCGAGCGGTCGGGGGTGGCCGAAGTGTTCGCCATCACGAGCTTCCGGGCGCCGGGCGGCGTCGACTTGCCGACGTGGCTGTGGGTGACGGCGGTCCCGGAGCTGCGGACCGTGATCCTGGCCGTCAACGACGTGCTATCGTTTGCCAAGGAGCTACTCGCCGACGACACCACGTCGGCCATGGTCGTGCTAACCAAGGAGCGCCACCTGATCGGCATGCCCGGCTCGGCGCCCGACGGCGGCTGGTGCCTGCGCGACACGTTCGACGAGTTCTACGGCAAGATCGTTGTTGCCGCTGCCCGCATCAACCGCCTGCTGCGGCCCAACACGCTCACCGCCCGCTACGCCCCCGATGGACATACGTATAGTATTGCTGAGCTCGCTGACATGCTCAAGGGGGCTGAGGATGAGATGGAGGTAAGCCGCGACGAGGTCATGAAGGCGCTGGCGCTCAAGCTATGGGAGACGCACCAGCGAGGTGAGATAGCATGGTACTTCCAGAGCCCCCGATATCGCACCTTTGAGCTGTTTGACTGGGTTAGGGATATGATGGGAGACGAGCCTTCTGATGCCGAGTGGTTGACCTCGTGCTTCCCGACAGCCGTCTAATTGGGTGCCTACATGGATTGGATTTCTGAGCATGGATTAATCAGAGTCAGCCAGTGAACATGTAGCAGCGTCTACTGGCTGAACATGTAGCAGCGTCTACTGGCCTTAATCATGTCAATATGGCAAGTGACAAACGTGAAAAACGAGACCCCCATTATGCGTACTGATGTTCAGCTTGGTCTCCACTGAGAACTCCATGAAACTTTGACTGAAATAGGAGCAGCCTTTACCATAATTAATGTTATATCTAAACATTCCTCATTGAGCTTTCGTAGTACTTCTTTACTTGCGTGATTACCTACTTCATTACACCCGTGTTGAGACGAATCTTGGAAACCGGGCTGTACTTGGTAGGCCACGCTGAAGAGACCCTAAAATTAGGCCACGCACACGGCCATCCAGGCCAGGCTCACAAACGGCTCACCTCCACTACAGCACAGGCAGCCTGGGTAGGGTTGCACACCGCCTTGACTACCTATGTACCTAGGTATCTTACCTTACTGAGATACCAAGATACCGACATCGTCCGAACTAATTAACACCGTGAATAACACTGTGCACGGTTTCGTTTCTTGTTCAAGGTCCTGCGCTTTGATTTGATATTTTAATAATTTCAATTTCACCGGCCGACTGTTCACATCCCGCACCAGAGATGCCCACGCTTTTCTTCAAGCACTTCACCACCGCGGCTGCCACCTCATCTTCCTACATCTCCATTCATCGTAATGCCTCTCTGCTTCCGTCCGCGTCCGCGACCGCCTCTCTACACAATCTCTAACAGACAAAAATAAACCGCTACCAGCAATACCACCACCATCGCCGCCATGTCTGAATCCGAGAGCTCCGCTGCCTACATCTATGGGGCCAAGCAGAACCCAGACGGCAGCGAGCGCGAGTTCAACCGCTTTGTCCGAAGTACGTTGTCCGAAGTACGTTGACTGTTTCCCCCGTCACCTCTCAAAGCCATCCATCCTACCATCTTCCATTAATCCCTAATTACATTCATTTTCTAATTACATTAGCATCCTAACAAACCCTTTCACAGCGGTCCCAAGCGACCAGACTTACGAGTAGCTCGCCCAGACCAAGCGGGAGGATCCGTGGACCCCGTTCCGCTGCCAGAAAACCAGCCACGGAGCCGCCCTCCCCGAGTTCGGCTACTTCCCCGAGTTTTGGCCGAATAAAAAGGGCACGAGCGAGAATTTCGAGGCCGGATTCGTCAAGGCTAAAGGTGGTGACGGCGGCGACGACGGCGATACCAAGGCGGCTGGGGGTTTGGCTACGGCTGGTGCTGGTGCTGCCGAGGAGAACACCACCATGACCGACAAGGCGGAGGAGGAGCCCGTCAAGCGTGACAAGGCTAAGGCGTCTGGCGAGCTGGTGTTTGGGGCTGGGGCTGGGGCTGGGGCTTGGGCTTGGGCTACTTAAAGATGGCGCCGCTAGAGGCGTCGGAAAGAAAGGGGTTCATTGCGTCCGCAAGACTGCCAAGATCATTGCCGATGAGCTGGACTCAGAGATGGCAGACTATTTCGTTGTTTTTTTCCTCATTCTTTCTCACGCAGGCCAAACGATGAGTGAGTTTCTCGGGGAGGTTTGCCGGGCATAAGCCTACGGGTTGCACTTCTATGCTTGGAGAGGTCACCAGTGCCGGGGTTTCAATCAACTCGGTCTCTAACTGTCATAATTATGTTCACACTCCAGTAAAGAGCTCTGAACGGGACACGATAATACTTCCTTTTCCGTGAACTTTCCCACGTACTCGCAGTCCTGATTTCAAGAGGAGGGCTAGCGCTCATTCCTTTTCCTAATTTGCAGAAGTCATTTGCTGACTTCTATCATGCCTTGTTGCTCTCGCTCGAAGTTATGTAGCTTCTGTAGGTCTCACTTATCTTGTGCCCTGCTGATAACTATCTCTTTTTCTTGGGCTCGCCTTGGTATTATATTGATGAGCTTAGTTGAAAACGGCTCTCTTCTTCACTACTGGGTTTGAAATCTGCTCGAGACACACTGCTTCCTTGTTCGTGCACCCTTCCATGTATGTACCTGTGATACCGCTTCTATCTGAGAAAAGGAAAATAAATATTTGTTCGTTAGACCGGTAAGTCGCCCCCTGTTCCACCCTTTCTTTCATTTCAATTTCTTGTGCTATTGGCATATCGCTTTGGCCCAAATGTTCTCATTACAGAAACTGAATTCAAATAATAAACATGAGTACCTACCTAGTCATATGGCCTTTGCGGCTTCTAGATCGCCGAGAGCAAGCTCTTTAATTAATTGTGGTTGGCAAATACCCCCAGGGTTCGCCGCGCACCTCGTGCTCTAGCTCCCACGCCTCATAAAGGCGGGTGTAGGAATCACCAGGGTACCGGTACTGGAAACAGCATGGCGCGCTGCGCGCCGTAAGGTGGTGGTTCAAGTGATGGATTCGTTTGTGTCTGTCTTTCTTCTTCTCTATCTGAACAGGTGGGCGTAGGCCAATATATATGCATCTGTCAGGCCCGCTCCTCCACAGATGTTGCTGTGGCCAGGAATGCGGAGCCGCATTCCTTGGATCAGCGCGTCATTCCAGTATGTTATTCCAACAGCGGGGGATATATCATCTTGTGGCTACCATACGACATATACTGAAGCCATCACTATGACTGCCTAAGCTGCCCAAAGACGTCATTGGAGTTTGGAAATTCGGGGCGCTGAAATATCATAGCTACTGACACGTGGTAGGACTCATCCGACAATACGTGAAAATTTGCTCGAGTTATCTAGTGATAGCCCTACTATTTTAGAATATAGAGATTGCACTAGTGAGCATCCCGTTTCTGCGAATCTGCCGTGTGCCGCCCACCGTACAGCCTAGTTCGCACGACACATGGAGAGATTCCAAAGACGACCTGACAGACGTGGAAGACCCTCTCCGAAAAGAATGTGCCTTGCCTATTCTGAAAACGTGCCCTATTCATCCTTGCTAATAGATACTAACGGTGCTGTCACGGCATGGCCTGGACAGGCGCCTGCGCCCTGATTAGTCGTATCCTATTTAGAGTGTGGCCCGTGCATGACGTGGCACGTGGCCCACAATCACCTATTTCCCCGCGCCCTGCGCGGTCTCTGCCATAGCTTTCTTCTTCATCTTTAGATTCTACGAATTCAGCAATGATTACTATTACAAACCACTCGACTGTTAGGGTCGTCTGTCTGTAAGGGAGCACGGGCTCCACAGAATGCTGGGGTTGGTAATTATGAAGATAGAACAAAGGGCAGGCTCCTACCGCACGGGTAATACAGTCAAATCGGAATGCCACTCAAAGTGTATGAGTGCAGTGAATGTGTATTGCTTGCTTGAAGAACCAAGCAAGAACTATCTAAGACCGTGGCTACGGCCGTCGTATATATCTATCTGAGGTGGGCCAATCAGAGTCCTCCCTTTACATGCTCAGCCGTGCTCACTCGCGCTCAGGGTGCTATTACAAACCACTCGACTGTTAGGGTCGTCTGTCTGTAAGGGAGCACGGGCTCCACAGAATGCTGGGGTTGGTAATTATGAAGATAGAACAAAGGGCAAGCTCCTATCGCGCGGGTAATACAGTCAAATCGGAATGCCACTCAAAGTGTATGAGTGCAGTGAATGTGTATTGCTTGCTTGAAGAACCAAGCAAGAACTATCTAAGACCGTGGCTACGGTCGTCGTATATATCTATCTAAGGCGGACCAATCAGAGTCTTTCTCCAAAGGTCAGGGCGATCACTGCGGTCAGTCCACACTGATCGCACTGATCGCACTGACCGCTTCCTGACTGGTTGGTGTCACGAATCCCTGTTCGTACTGGTTGGGAAGCAGGGCAGGGGTGGCTGGACCCGCCTCGGCTAGTCACGTTAAAGGAGGGGCTTGGACCCACAGTTGCTCTGTTCGGTGGAGAACAGAGCAGAAGGGCCCGCATTTGCTCTGCACGGTGGAGTACAGAGCAACAGTCTGGTTGGCTGCTCTGTAGCTCTGTCGGGGAGCAACAGAGCAACAGTTTGGTTGGCTGCTCTGTAGCTCTGTCGGAGAGCAACAGAGCAACGCTCTGTAGCTCTGTCAGAGAGCAACAGAGCAACGCTCCAATTGGCCCAGCTTAGATAGATATATACGATGACCGTGGCACCGGTCTTAGATAGTTCTTGCTTGGTTCTTCAAGCAAGCAATACACATTCACTGCACTCATACACTTCGAGTGGCATTCCAATTTGACTGTATTACCCGTGCGATAGGAGCTTGCCCTTTGTTCTATCTTCATAATTACCAACCCAGCATTCTGTGGAGCCCGTGCTCCCTTACAGACAGACGACCCTGACAGTCGAGTGGTTTGTAATAGTTGGCCGTCCTGCAAGTGGTGGTCAGTCGGGCCTTGGCGGCTCGTCGCGACTGACCACCTCCTGGTTGGCTGCACTAGCCCCTAGGTGGGTCTACCCCGCCTGGCTGCCCCAGCCAATCTGTAGGGGGGCAGAAGGCGCCTCCTGCACGCCTGTGCCAGGATCGTAACAGGGGACTGGTTTTGCAGCTTCGTCCCGGACCGCCTCGGGGTCGTCAAGTATACGAGCGGGTTGGAAAGACCAGATTCCGGTCTTCCGGAAGCCGGATATAATATTCCGGGCTGACATACCCTGCGCTGAGGCGTCCCGGTAGCAAAAAAGGAAGCGTTGCTTGTTGATAGGTGCTGAGGCTGTGAAGGAAGCCAATTCGAGGGTTCTTTGGCGAAAATAGGACTTCAAAGCCGAAAAGACAGACCGGTCGAGTGGCTGGGTCTTGTGAGAAGTGTGTGAAGGCAAGTATAGTAGGTGTACGCGGTTTCTTTTAGCTAGAAGCATAAAGTCTTCGTCGATATGAGTGGCGTGTTCGTCGAGGACCAATAGGCGCCAATCGTCCTTCCTTTGGGGCTTTGTTTGAGGAAGATATACTTCCTTGAGCCACATAAGAGCTATTTTGCTATTGCTCCAGCCTGTGGGCGTATAGTCGTATTTCCAGGTCTTGAGGACTGGTAGTTCCTTGAAGTTATCCGGGAAGTGTTGGCCTTGTAGATTTTCACCCGTAAAGATCACTACGGGCGTCAATCGCTTGCCCTCAGCGGTACCACACTCGATAACACTGACCCAGGTCGTTGGATCAGGGCCAGTCAGGACTGCCCGAGATGTGAGGGCATCGCCAATCACCTTCCCAACCGTAGTTTCCGTCTCTTGCATGCCATGTTCGTCCATATTGGCGATATTCGCAGGTACCAGCTTCTTGTCCTTGATTACAGCTTCCAAACGATCAAAAAAATCATGGAATCGCTCACGGGTAGATCCTTTGACTCGAGACCGTTCTAATAGGGTACCTAACTTGGTCTTTACCCGTGGGTTACGGGTAAAAAACCGATCTACCCAGCGCTCACCAACTCGCCTAGGGGGCCCGGCTTCGTTCAGGATTGCTTGTGCGAATCGTCTTAGCCGTGCACGACATGGGGCACGCCCTGCAGCTTCCTCCTCAAGAGCCCACTCAGCGACGAAGGCTTCCTGGTCGTCAGTTAACTTCTGGGTGTTTTTTTGGGCTTGTCGTGGATCCTGTTGTCCACGGCGTCGTCTGCTGAGGGTGGATTCAGGGATCCTATATAGGCGCGCTACTTCCTTCTGCTGCGCACTCTGATCAATAGCCTCAATAGCCTCGGCTATTAGCCGCTCTCGTACGCGTCGAACCATCGTATTTTGAGCCTATTCCGACCAGTATTGAGGAAGTTGTTGGTGGTGGAAGGTAGAGGGTAGGAAGTTGGCGGTGTGGGGGAAAAATTGCAAAGTGGGGCAATTGCAAAGGTGGGTCACCCTGTCTACGGATCAAAAAGCCCGACAAAGCGATGCCGAAAGGTCGCCCTGTCAATCAGGGCGGTCCTTTTGAAAATGAAGCCATCCTCCCGGAGCCACCGGCGCCGAAGACGAAGACAGCAGCCCGGAGCGGCACGATTCGCCGGGACGCGCGGCGTTACTATTCACAGTTCGAGGTAGCCGGGCCGAGCCTAGAAGAGCGGGATGAACAAGATGAACAGGATGAAGAAGACATGGAGATTGAGTCGGACTGCATCGTCCTCGGCGCAGGGACAAAGAGAAAGGCAACAACACAACAGAGGAAGAAAGGGAAGAAAAGAAAGACAACGAAGAAGACGAGCAAGCTCGTCAAGGACAAGGCGAGCCGCCCGGGCCGGGCCAAGACTCACCTCTATGACCTACGGGTAAAAGAGTGGTGGGACCGCAGGGCTCAACGCAGGAGCTCGTGGGAGGTTTCAAACACTGATGAAGACGTATTCTTCGATTCCTTGGATGAAGATGACCCTTTTCCTCGTAAGGAGGACTTCATAGATAACTAAGTTGCTAGATTGACGGGCTCAACACCAAGGAATTGCATCACCATAACAAACTAGGTTATCATTAGACTAGATTGCTAGACTCAACACCAAGGAATTACATCACCATGTCAACAAATCAGGATTCAACGCATTGCTCGGGTAGCTGGGCGCATGCCATGGAATTTGGCTAATTTACGTACAAATCCGAGCCTCAAAGTTGCCATTTGCAAGTTGCCTTTATTTCGAGCTGACTCAGCAACGAAGAAATCGTCAAAATGGAAAACACCACGGTAAACGCGTTTTCAGGGCATTTGAAGGTTTTAACGGCTTCAACGTCGTTAACCCGGGCTACCGAGCTGCATGGCAGGCGCATGGGTGGCCGGATGGTAATTCAGTATTTTACCGGCTTAAATTAGGTTTGAGTATCTCAGTTGCCAGCAGCTGTCAATATGCCCAGGTAGGTGCGACGAAAAAAACGGTGGGTGAGTACATCAAAGCTCCTTTAAATCACACCTAACTAATTCAAGCGTTCGTCGCTGACCTGCGGGCTCTCATAACTCCCGATAGCTATAACATCACTTGCATGATCACAGCCTTGCGTATTCGGCCCAGTTATAAATACAAAACAATAAAAATAAAACCACATCCAACAAAACCACATCCCACAAAACCACCCCACAAAACCACGTCCCACAAAACCACATCCCACAACAATGGACCAGAGTCCTTCCGCAAGAACATTCTCATCTGCCCGCAGCGAGTATGGCAGCGGAAGCGACAGCGACTCGGAGGCTGCGGTGGACGGGGCACACAGCGGCGCGAGCTCGGAAATGGGGGGGGGGTTGTGGGGGGTTGAAACGAACAGCGCGTACGGCGGATCAGGCAAGAAGAGCACCGTGGCGGCGCTGTTCGAGATGGTCGTCATGATGGCAGCGACCGGCCGGATCTGCGCCACGAGGTGACCAAGGGCTGGGCCCTGTGGGAGGCCCACTTCAGGACGAACCGCGAGCGGGTCATCTTCAGCCGCGCCGCCGAGGAGCAGACGCTGCGGATCGCCTGGAGCTTCATCGAGACGTGGGCAGACGAGGACTGCGCGGCGAGGCCGTTCCCGCTCTTCCTCAAGGACCGAGAACCCACACTCCCGAGACGTCGCAGGCCCTCCTCTAGATGGTGGAAAGCTGGATGGACCATGTCGGCGGCATCGTCCGGAGGGAGTTCGGCACACCGAAGCTGTTGTAGCAGGCGGAGGATCAACTCAGCAACTAGGGGCTTCTTTTTTTCTCTTTTCTTCTTTTCTTTCCTATTTGTCAGCGAACCAGCGAAGGAGCAGATGCTTGTTATAGAATGAGGTGGTGCTATACCGGACAGGAGGACTACCAACTCACCTAATTAGCATTAGTACTAGATAATGAGCATCGACCCCAATGCACCAAACTGCCCGAATTTCGCCTTAGTGAATCTGCCTGTCTACGTATGTAAGTGAGACTCGCTGCCGCAAGGTAGAGGCTCACATCTCTCCCTCTCCAACACACCGAAACAAAGAAAGACGCCGCTGCCACCAGCCCCTCTTCCTCCATGTTCCCCGCGTTGGAGTCGAGTTTTGCTTTTATTGGTTAGCTCAACGTAAGCTGTGGCTTGAGTAGAATGAACGGCTAGGATCAACCCCATGCGACCCAATTTGCACTCCCTCTCCCTCAGGATGCGCTTGTCAAGGGTCTCAAAGGAACTTCACATGTATTTTCACACCGCTCTCCGACCTAACCGGCGCAACTCGCTGGCCGTGCTGTGGCCCATCTTCACAGAAACCCTCAGAGTACGGATGGGCTGTAATTAGTGGACTGCATCTAACCCGCAGAACCGATCTGTCTCAGGTCGCCGGCTCAGCAGCGCTCATCGACCATGGCAAGCCACGACGACAATGACGGCGACGACACCACGGAAAAAGCAGCGAGCTACAGCCAGTTCGCGTGCATCGGGGCGGGCTTCTCAGGGATCGGACTGGGGGCCATGCTGGAGCGGCGGCACGGGACCGGCGACGCAGGCGCAGACGTGCGCATCTTCGAGCGCGCGAGCGGCCCCGGCGGCGTGTGGGAGGCGAACCGCTACCCGGGGAGCGCGTGCGACATCCCCGGCGTGCTGTACAGCTTCTCCTTCGCGCCCAACCCGCACGGCGCCGCCACGTACCCGACGGCCGCCCAGATCCGCGCCTACTTGACCGCCGTCGCCGCCAAGTACGGCCTGCTGGATCCTGGCCAGGAGCGCATCACGTTCAACGCCACCGTCCAGCGCTGCGAGTGGCTCGACGGCCCGCGGCGCTGGCGCCTGCGCGTGCGCGACAGCAGCAGCAACGGGACCGTCTTCACCCACGAGGCGCAGTTCCTGTTCGCCGGCACCGGCGTGCTGGTCGAGCCGCGTGCGCTTGACGTGCCGGGGCTCGACGCGTTCCACGGCGCCGTCATGCACTCGGCGCGATGGCGGGACGACGTGGCGCTGGCGGGCAAGCGTGTCGTCATGTTCGGAAACGGTTGCACTGCTGCACAGATCGTGCCGGCCCTTCTCGCTGGCGGCGCCGCGCACGTCACCCAGGTAGTCCGCTCGCGCCACTGGGTCGTGCCGCCCGTCCGCGACTCGCCCGTGCTGCGGCCGCCGACGACGGCAGAGGCGGAGGGTAGAGGCAGTGCGGCGTGGGCGGCGCGGTGGCGGTGGCGCCTCCAGCGGCTCGTTGTGGCGGCCGCTGCCGAGGTCGAGTTCCTGGCCTTCCGCGGCACTGCGGCCGCGGACCGGCTCAACAGACGCCGCCGCGCGCGCGCCGAGCGGTATATACGCCGCACGGCGCCGGCCGAGTACCACGAGCTGCTGGTGCCCGACTTCAAGATCGGGTGCAAGCGGCGCATCTTCGACCCGGGCTACCTGCGCAGCCTGCACGCGGCCAACGTGACGCTGACGGATGCCGGGGTCAGCGAGGTCGTACCCCAGGGCATCCGCGCGGCGGCCGACGGCACCGTGACCGAGGCCGATGTCATTGTGCTGGCCAACGGCTTCGAGACGAACAGGTTCCTGGCCGGCATCGACGTGCGCGGCCGCGGCGGCGAGTCGGTGGTTGATCACTGGGCCGCGCTCGGCGGCCCCGGTGCGTACGAGACGGTGGCCATGAGCGGGTTCCCCAACTTCTTTATGCTGCAGGGTGGGCATCCTTTCCCATCTGTTAAGGGGGGTTGTGCTGAACATGGGCTGACTGGCGACGCCGAGCAGGCCCCAACACCATCACCGGACACACGTCGGTCATCATGGCCATCGAGAACGCCCTCGCGCTGGCCCTGCGCGTCATCGAGCCTGTGCTTAACGGCGAGGCCGCGGCCGTCGAGGTCACGCGGGCCGCAGAGGCCAAGTACGTCGCGCAGGTGCAGCGCGATTTGCAAAGCAGGACCGTCTGGTCCCACGGCGGGTGTCGGAGCTGGTACCATGTTGAAAAGGGGGGAAACGACAAAAAGTCTTCTGCCGACGACGCCGCTGTAAACGAAACCGCTGCGGCTGCAACTGCGAACAAGGAGTGGAACGGCATCATCTATCCGTACTATCAGCTGCACTTTTGGTACCGCTGCCGCTTTCCAACCTGGAGCGACTGGGCTTTTCACGAAGTTTGTTTCCTTCTCTTTCCGACTGACTTACTTCCCCCCCTTTATTCAGAAAGAGGACCTTGCTATGTTTTGAACATCAAGCAGCTGGCGTTTCCCGCAGTGTGGTCGGTCTGCTGCTATTAATAGTCCATATGCGTAACAGCTAATTGACTAACACAAAACTTGAATGGGATCTAGGACTTAGCAACTCGCGCCAAGAAGGCGGCTCGCCGCCGCACCAACGCCCTCCGGTTGTTCAAACTGGTTTCGGTGTTTGGGGGGCTGCTTGCCCTGGCTATGTATTCATCTTATCACAACGAGAGGACGGCTGTCGGTGGGGCGTGGTCAGGGTCTCTCGCCTCGGTGGCTGGTTTCTTCCGGTCACAGATGATATAGCAGAGACGTATTGATCACTTTCCTACCTAAGAGTGAGGGTCTATCCTACCTAAAATACCTACTTTGCCCGGATATCGACCTAGATAACTATGTCTTAAATCAAGATGGTGGCAGGTCGCGCTTGACTGATTTCGATAGGACGGCATACTTAGGACGGCATACTTAAACTCTCGGCCAAGTCAACTTCATACAGTAGCAATCTTGTCATCGTTATCGTTAAAAGCTTTTCCCAGCCAGATACCATAGGAAAAATTCCAACGCCCGACCTGTGCATTAGTTCTTGTCTCATCGGTGAGCCAGACAAGATATAGCCACAAAGTCAGGATAGCAATCATCCAACCCGACTGTGCTGCCATAATAAAGTTGGACTGGCAGTTGGCAGCTGCGGAGGTGGCAAGCACAACAAACGCATTGAGCCCGCGCCTTTTCCAGCTTTCTTGGGGGATTTGGAGACAAAGAATAGCCCGTTGCTGAGTTGACTGGCCTCTCTCTCCATAACTGCTATTCTGATTCCGATGTAGTAACGAGCAGTGAATAGTCTGCGCAAGATAAAGTCATAACCGGCACAGCAATTACCAGGCAACTATTGGACAGTGCAGCTCATCTCGAGATTAAGGTTAGGTGATACTGGTCGGAGTTTGTCATACCACCATTGTTTTCGGAATACTAACCTCACCTATGCATGGCAGCCGCCTTAATAGGCACGGGATTTACGCATCACATAAAATCAGACTGACCAAAGGACCATAATTACCAATTCAGGTAGATGTCTAACTTATCTAGGAATAGGTGATTTCTCCCACTTTTTTTCTTTTCCATTTTCAGAAAGTCACGACTTTGACGCCGCTCAAGGAGAGCGCCAACGCATTGCACAAAACAACAGGAGGTTAAGAAATGTCCAAAGCAGCGGACGAGGTTGAAACTACCTACAGAATAGCATGTTGGTGCTGTCAATGCTTTGCCGCGGCGAAGGGCTTGGCGGGGGATGCTTCCCGAAGCTCAAGCGCAACCTAATGTTGCGTTCGCCAGGCCGACAGAACGGGCTTGTAGAACCAACAGCAGCAAACCCGATCCGCGGAACCGACTACTCTATTGGCACGCACGCTGGCCAGACGGCAGCATCCGATCGCTGTTGCTGCCGCTGCTGCCGCCGCTGCTGCTGCTGCTGCTGCTGTGGAACGCTCGGCACAGTGGTACAAGATGCAAAAATTCGTGTCGGGTGGAACGCACAAAGATCGATCGGAGCTCTCTATAAATAGGGGAGCAAGCAATTAATTACCTCGCCTACTATGTAGTAGTAGACTCCTACGTAGTAGCAATAACAGCGATCCGCCGACAGGAGATTGGCTCACCTGGTGGCGCATATTGCCACGCCTGGCTGCAACATCATCCTCTTGGCGTGCACGCTGTCGCTATCGATGACGCGAATTGAGAGCGCGCGCGCGCTTGGTTATCTGTCCCTTCGAAGTTCGCACTTTCCAGAATTGACAGGGCTGGTTCTTGGGGCTCGCTAGTCTCGTAACCCAAGAAAAGGGGGGAATTAGAAATTACCAGGGCCGTCTTGCGCGATCCTCCCTCAAAGTCTTGCCGCGTCTTGGCTCTCGCCATTGCGCTCTAGAGTCCGCTTTACGTACCTACTGCTGCTAGATAATTCAGGTACTATAGACTGGCAATGGCTAGGAAAGTATTGTCACTGGCTGGCTCGGGTATCCGTAGAGCGATAATTACAGAAGCAAATGCCGTGCGAGTTACTTTCCAAAACGAGACGCGATCTACAGTTCCCCCGCGAACCTGAAACGAACGGAAAGATTGGGATGTGCTGCATCGTGTCTGGGAGGGTGTGCGTGAGAATGAGATGAGCGTTGCAGTAAACTGTTAAGAACGGGAAAAGGTCCAGAAAAAAAGATAAGATAAGATAAGATAATCGGATGAAGCCCCTGGAATCCCAGAGGCAATTATTCCCATTATAATTCCGGCCTTGGCAAACCATTTCTCACTCCGTGGTCGTGGTCGTGGTGCCTTTGCACCTCCTGCCGGCCTGCCTGCCTGGGAAATATTACCACTGTCCCCCTTTTTGAGAATACAACATTGCCGCCCGTCGGTAGTGCCTTGGCCGTAGGCTTGGCAAAGGAGCATTTCTTGGGTTTATCCCACTAGACTGGGCATCCTTCACGCCCTTTTTTTTTTTTTTTTTTTTTTTTTTTTACCGCCTGGCGATCTCCCCTTTTTTTGTTACTTCTTTTTATTTACCGGTCTTCGCCCTGTTTCTCATCATTTTCACTAGTGACAAGCGCAATCCCCTTCCGCGGCGCATGCTCTCGTCAGCCCTGTGCCACTGCGACATTTCACATGCCAAAAATGAGCCGACAGCCCCTCACCTCAATTCACCCCCTTCTCCAAAAATGAGCTATTACTAATATGGACAAATTTTAGGGTTGACAAGGGGAGGGGGTGCTTGCGAGGTGTGCGGTGGCCGCACGGGACAGAACGGGAAAGATGATGCGATGCAACCCTCGCTCCGCTGGCTGCCAGGGGAGTCCCATTGTTCGGCGAGGGTTCCCAAGCTTGGCTTAGTACGGGGGGGTTCCTGCAAGTGAGCGGAGCCGAAAAGAGGAGACACGAGAGACGAAGAAAAAAGCAACTTCGGCCTTGCTGCTGCAGCCTGCGATACGGGCCAGGTTCACCTGGCTCCGACTTTTCTAACTTCTGACATCTGGCAGGGAAGAAGAATAACCCCGCCTTGCCCCTCGAGCCTTATCATCACCCACTCGCTTCATTGGGATTGAGATCATCGCGGAAACCGTCGAGACGATTGAGACGCGCCGCGCGGTTGTTTCGCATTCGAGGTCGCTAACTCGCTTCGCTTGATACGATCATGTGCAAAACTGAGGGTTCGGGAAATAAACCCACGTGCAACGCTTCCGAAGTGTCAAAAACGAGTTCGAGCCGTGGCTGTGACAGGTATACTGTACACCCCGCAAAAAGGGATCATTAAGTTTGGGAGTTAAATCCGACGTCGCGCTTCACTCAACACACCACACGCCGAATCCCATGAGGCACGGCACGTCAGGGGTTGATCACGGATTATATGTACCCTGCCTGTATCCCACCCGCTAGAACAAGGCAGCGGCGCCTGGACAAGTCTAGTATAAAAAAACACAGTAGTAAAAGACATGTCTATGAAATGTCAAACGGATGTCCCGGGGCACTCCCCGCAATGAAAATCTCGCCAAATGAAACGTTGACAAAAGTTGTCATAGCACGGGCTCCCAAGAGACCCTTGCTGAGGTTATATACAAGATATTAGTGTATTTGTTTTAATCACGCCAGCCGCCTCAGCGGCAATGTGCTCTCTTCTTGCTTGGGCGCTGGCGGCGTCCCGCCCTGTATCCTCTTAAATAGCCAGGCGGCGAAGCGGACCGAGGGCTCGTCGACGGCGCGCGTCGTCACGTCGGCCACCCACAGCGTGAACGGAAGGAAGAAGATTTGGGGAAGGAGGAAGGACAGCTCGAGGCCCATGGGCCCTATCCTGGGCAGGGGGAACAAGTTAACCCAGTTGGCTAGCATCTTGTCGCTGTCGTCGAAGCTGCGCACCCAGCCGACAGCGTGGAAGATGCGGTCGCCTACGGCCCCGAGCAGAGGTCCGTGGACGAGATAAAGCGAAAAGGAGATGCGGCCGAGGAACTGGCAGAACCGGGACTCGAAGAAAGCCTTGAGCAAGCGTATGCGAGGTACCGATGCCACCAACATGTTGGCGGCGAAGAAGAGGTAGAACCACTTGTAATCGAAGACGGCCTGCGGCTTAAGGAAGGACAGGTAGTACCAGCCGGGCGCCGCGCGCAGATTCTTAATATCTTGCGAATCAGTTGGCACGCCGGCGATCAACATGCCGAGGCCGAACAGCGTGTAGAAGATTGTCGTCTTGTGCTCTTCCAAGCTGCGGAGGAAGCCCGGGAAGTACGTGTTCCCTTCGGAGGACCGGCGTGCGAGCTGGTCTAAGTCGCACTGCAACATGCCCGAGATGAAGAGAGCGCCGTAGTAGCCGTCGACAATGTACATGAAGTAGATGATCAGGGCCACCTCGCAGACTAGGCGGGCCTTGATGGTTGCGCGGGCCAGAGACAGGCAGGCGCAAAACGTGATGATGGACCCCCGCATCTCCAGCGGAATGGACCACAGGTGCGTGTTGAACGAGACCCAAATCTGCGAGCCCTCCTTGAAGAGAAAGCTCAGGTTCTTCATCTCGACATACCAGTTCCACAGCTCCTCGCCAATGGTCGGCTTGACCTTGCAGCACTGGACCCAGTAACCAAAGACGTGCCACGACATGACCCAGACGATGGTCGTGATGATGAGCGGGAGCCACAGGCGGAACCAGCGGCGGAAGAAGGACGAGGCGAGGCTGTCGTAGAGCTTCAGGTAGTCGCCGTTGTGGATCTGGGACAGGGGCTTCGCCGAGAGCACGTAGCCGGATATGACGTAAAAGGTGGCCACGGCGATATGGCCGCCGGTAAAGAAGGTGCGGATGACGGGGGCGGTAACGAAGCGGTAGTTGCCGTCGACGCCGTAGCCCTTCTCGAATATCGGGAACTCGTCGTTGGTGGCCGCGTGCACCCAGAGCTCATTGTGGTGGACGTAGACGAGGAAGGCGGCGAAGCCTCGCAGGCCGTCGAGGTACGCCGTCGACCGCAGCTGCTGCCGGGGCGAGTCGGGCGCGTTCTTGGGCCACGCCATGTGCTTCAGCCATCGCAGCGTCTCGACGGGCGAGGGCAGCGACGACTTCATGGCGAGCGCGCTGCTGTCGCGTCGTCGGTGGGGGGGAGGCGTCGACAAGGTCAAGCCCGCTGCGTCGGCGCCCGTGCCGTCGAGAATGCCCTCTTGCACCGAATGCATGGGGGCATCAAGAAAGGGCAAGACAGGAAAAAAAGTCGAGAGGTTGGAATCCGCTTCTTGTCGTACGTGCGCGTGCTCGGCAGCAGGAAGGAGGTTTCGGTCCGTTCCGAGCGGAGGAATTAGGTAGAGGATCAGATTGGCGCGACACTTTTCCTTCGCGAGAGTGCAAACTTCCCGGTCCTCGAGCCCGCGACGGGCTGAAAAAAACACGAGCGCGCGCAGTATCGAGCCCGAATAAGGATAGGGGGACAAATATCAAAAAAAGAAGCGCCAAAAAATTAAAACGGCTAGAAGGAAAAAAAGAAGATGGAGAAAAACGGCTGAACGCTCCGAAGCTGGGGCACGTTTTACACAAGTCTAAACGAGCGATCTACACCTTGATCGACTGTGGGGAGAACGGGTATGGAAAGAGCGATGGCGAAAATAACGTCAAATGGGTTCCGCGCCTGCTTCTTGCGACGCAGCACAGTGACAGTGAATGTCTGGCGAAGTTTACTTGGGTGTGACCGCTGCACAGCACCGCTGATGAACGACAGGCGGGCGAGCCTGTAGGCCGTAGCGTGTTTCCACCCCCTTTTGCTCACGCGCGCTGGGTTGGGATGTGCGCTGCACTGCATTGAACTTCACTGCATTGGACTGCGCTGCATTGAACTGCACTGCACTGCAATCCGCTCGCCCGTGTCCGGATTAACCTTCTGGCGGGCTTTCAGCTGCCATTCATGCTAGAAAAACCTGCTAGCTCGCCAGAAAGGGGACAATTTCCTTGGAAAGGGAGGGGGGCCCGTCCACGACCATGGAAACGGGGGAGTAGGAAGATCTGGGGGGCGATCCCCACAGAACGGTTGGCCAATCCCGTTGGCGTCCGAGTTCGGAGCCTGTTCGGCTGTTTTGCAGCTTTTGCGAGAGACGGATTTCGGTTGGCCAGCGCATCTGGCCGGCTCCAATTTATTTTAGCGTGGGAGGGAGAGGGGGGACCCAGCCAGTCGAGCTTCTCAGCGTTCGTACTTGGGCAAGCCCCTATCTCGCTTCAAAGCGGCTCCCGGGATGTCACTGCGAAGCGCCATCCATTTGCCAGCGTTGCTCGACGAATGCATCAGGCCCGGGGCGAGCCGACTTGATTGGCTCCCATGGGAGGGAGGACACCGCAGCTGCGAAATTTGTGCGCTATCACTTGCCACGACGAGGTCGCGAGGCAGGTGCCCGCCCTGGGCGGGCTGGCCTGGCTTTGAACGCACATCTGTTCATAACGAACGAACTGGCTGCAGAGTTGGGATTGTCTTCGGTTTTCTGGCGTCTCGGTCTCGCAAGAGTGAGTTTTCTCCTTTCCATTTCTCATTTTGGGAGGCGGGGGCGCCACTGATTGGATGCCGCAGCGCAGTCAGACTCAGCACGGGGACCCTGGCTCGGCCGGGTCGCACTAAGATGACCGAAATGGCCCGTAGGAGTGATGAATGGGGTTTTTGCTTTAATGGCCGTGCGGCAACCCACCGGCGCGACGTGAGACATTGGGTTGACGAGAGCGAGCGAACCTGGCTGATCGATCGGGAGAGGGGCCAAGCCCAAGCCGCCACCAGTCCAACCCGAGCCATCCCAGCCTATCCTAATACGAATTCCAGGGGGGGAGCAGCAGAAAAAAAGCGGGCAACTAGGTTCTCCCAGGTCAGGCAGGCCGTCAGTCAGGTCAGGGCAAGCCGCCGACCAGCCAAGCAATCCAATGCAGTGCACTTGCAGGCAAGCCAGGCAAAAAAGAACGAGCTGACTTCATCGTTCGTTTCCCTCCTTTTCCCAACCCATCACCACTCATCACTCACTTTTCTCCCTCCCGCACCCTCCCCCGCCACGCTCACAAGCACGCCCGCATAATTCCCTGCCTGCCGTGTTTGTTGTTTACTGCTTGTTACTTGCTACCGATTCGTGTTCTTCTCTTTCTTCCTTTTTCCCGGCCGATACGTAGCTGGCCGCCGTCAAGTCACGCACTTGCGCCGCTCTGCTAGTCACTCGTTTATTTTTATTTTTTACGATACGATTGCTACCGCTATTTTGCTACTATTTTTACTAGCGGCGGATATTCCCCCGAATAATCTCGTGGCCCTCTCGTGCCCTCTCTCCCTCTAGGGCTCGTGTTCCCTTGCGTGGCTCGTGTCTGTTTGTCCGAGTCTGTCGAAACAAATTCTCGACACGACACCACACGGCCAGCAATTGGATGCCCTTCTCGCTTCCGTAAGGGATTGCAAAACCGGCACCTCTCCCTGCTGAGGGAGGCGACGGGCAGATGCGCGTTGCCAACATGATCACCAAGATGGCCAAAATCAGCTCGCCCATAAGCTCGCCCACGCTGGCCGCGACGACGGCGCAGTTCCGCAACCGCGTGCCCATGCAGTTCCGACGCGGCATTCCGCTCTACGCGGGCCTACTCGCCCTCATCTTCCTCTTCTACAATCTCGGCCTCTTCCACAACGGCTCGAGCCCGCCGCCCCATCTGCGCACCTACAAGCGGCCGCCGCCCTCGCCCGGCTACGTGCCGCCCAAGGCCCGCAACGAGTTCCCCAAGAAGATATGGCAGACTTGGAAGGTCAACCCGCTGCGCTTCGAGGAGCGCGACCTCAACACGGCCCGCTCGTGGGTCAGCAAGAACCCCGACTACCGCTACGAGGTGCTCACCGACGGCAACGACCTGAACTACGTCGAGTTCCACTACGGGCCCGAGGGCTTCAACCGCCCCGACATTGTTGACTTTTACCGCAGCGTCAGCGCCCCCATCGTCAAGGCCGACCTGCTGCGCTACCTCATCATGTACGCCGAGGGCGGCCTGTACGCCGACATCGATGTCGAGGCCCTCAGGCCGCTGTCGAGGTTCATCCCGGACCGCTACAACCACAACGACATCGACATGGTGATCGGCATCGAGATTGACGAGCCCGACTGGCGCGACCACCCCATCCTGGGGCCCAAGTCGCGCTCATTTTGCCAGTGGACCTTTATGTGCAAGCCGCAGCTGCCCGTCATGATGCGCCTGGTCGAGCAGATCATGATGTGGCTGCACGACGTGGCCAAGGAGCAAAAGTGCGGCGTGTCCGACGTCAAGCTCGATTTTGACCAGATCATCAGCGGCACCGGCCCGTCGGCCTTCACCAACGCCATCATCGCCGACATGAACGAGCGTAAGACGGACAACCGCGCCCCCATAAACTGGGACGTGTTCCACGACCTGACCGAGTCCAAGGTGGTCAGCCGCGTGCTTGTCCTCACCGTCGAGGCGCTGGCGGCCGGGCAGGGCCACTCGGACTCGGGCACGCACGACGCGCGCGCGGCGCTAGTACGCCACCACTACCACGCGTCCAACTGGCCCAGCCGCCACCCGCGCTACAGCCACCCGGCGTACGGCGAGGTGGAGAAGTGCAACTGGAACGACGAGTGCGTGCGCCGCTGGGACAAGGACGTGGCCGACTACGCCAAGATGCCCGAGTCCGAGCAGAAGCGCATCGTGGCCGAGAAGGAGCGCGAGAAGAAGGAGGCCGAGGAGAAGCGCAAGAAGGAGCGCGAGGACGCCGAGCGGAGGCGCCGCGAAGACGAGGAGCGCGAGCGCAAGATAAAGGAGGACGAGCACGCCAAGGAGCGCGCCAGGGAGGAGGAGGCCAAGGTCAAGGAGAATCAAAAGGCCGAGTCGGAAAAGGCAAAGGGGGGGAACAAGAAGGAAGAGTCCAAGCCAAAGATATGACGTGGACTCTTCTCTCTTTTCCTTTTCTAAACAACAAAAAAAATCCCGCCTCCCTTCCTCACCGATACCCGTCCATCAATTTCCTCCTTGGCGTCAGCATATATCAGGAGCTGGTGGGGGTGTTTTTATCTGTGTTTTTTTCCCTGGCGCTGCTTCTGGAGACTTCTTGTTCGCTTCCTCCAAGATGGCTCTCTTCTATTGTCCTTTTCTCTTACCATTTTTGTTACTAATGAAGAGACGCTCATGCGGAGACAAACGTCGGGATGCGTCTGGCTGGCTGGCTACCGGCCACCTATAGTTGGGGAAGAGTGGCAGGGAAAGATGATTCAGCCTTGTTCACTTTCTCTCTGTCTCTCTGTCTCCCTCTCTCTCTCACGAGCTAGCTGCTGCTGCTGCTTTGCCCTTGCAAGCACCGACCGTCCCTCTGGATACAACACACAAGACACACGAACGCACATACGCGCACACGTATATATGGGAGTAGGGCTTGCGACGGGCCAAACTTGCCGGGTTTAGAGGAACCGTGCTGGGCGGGCTGAAGGCGAGAGGAGTATATAAGAAGGCATATACTGTGTTGTGTGCTATTTGGGGTGTGTGTAATTGTGATGGATGGGTTGCTTTACGTATTTATACTGTAAATATATTTACTTTTTTTTGCTCTGTTACTTTGTTTTCTTCTTTTGTCTTGTCTGTTTTCCGCTTGCTTCGACGTCGAGTCTGGACACTTTTTATATCTTCGCTGGGCCGTAGACACAGACGACCCCCCTTTCAGGCGTGGGAAAAGAGAGGAAAAGAGGGGAGAAGAGAGCGCGAGCAGTTATGTGAAGGGCGCGGCGTTGAACTGACGCGCGTTCACTTGGTCTTGGCAGCTCAGCCCTAGAGATGGGGAAACGGGGTGGCAGATGCTCGAACAAAATATAATACTATAAAATGACTCGGCTGTGTTTTTTCTGTCCTGTCTCATCCGTCAGTGATACACACTTCGAGTACATAGTTGTTAGTCCTACAACCAACTTACCGCTTACAGAAGGGTTTGAGGTCTTGGAGGAATCCAATATTGACGACGCAAGATAAACGAGTCTTGATATCTCCCACTTTCAGGATCGGCTCCCTAACAGTATATACACGGGTGCACACGTCATCGATCCGGCTTCATCTCTGCCCAGCTCAGCCCCACTCCCTTTACAGTTTACAATCACATCACCCAACCCACACAACACATCACCCGACCCAGCATAACACAACACAGCTCCCCCTTGCACAGGCCCGACCCGAGACAATCTTGCCCACAGTATCCCAGCCCAGCCGCGCGTCACTCGCTCCCGTGTGCCCAATACTACTAATAGTCTTGTCACACACACAGCAGCCAGCCACCGGCTTAACCCCTTTGAGTTAACTAGCCGCGTGGCTAGAACCAACTAGGTACCTAAGCATTAGCCTGGGCAGTGAAGTTGCTGAAGCCCTGGGCGGTGGACACGTCGGCGACGCTGTCGCCGTTGGCGGCGAAGGCGGCCTTGAGCGAGGCGGCCGAGTTGGTGTTCTGCACGTCGGATCCGACGACGGCAGGGTCGACAAGCGGCACGATGCCGCGCAGCGCCTCGGTCGCCGGCAGCGACGCGTCGCTGCACAGCGTCGGGATCGACTGCGCCGACGGGTTGAAGTTCTTCTCGGCCGCCACGAGCTGTGCGGCTGCGGCCAGGACCGCCGCGTCGTCGCCTAGCTGCGTCACGATGTCGTCTGCCAGCGAGAGCTGGGTTTTCTGGTCGTTAGCATCCTTTTTAGGTATAAGGGAGAGGGGGAGAGATGTATGTACCTTTGCGCACGCGTTGGCTCCGGCAAGGAGCACGCCGGGCGTCTGGCCGGCAAGCGTGCCGGCCGCGCCCGGGGCGCCAAAGTCGGACAGGGCCTGGACAGCCGCCTGCACGAGGCCCTCCTGGCCGAAGCGGGCGTGGGCAACGGCCGCGAGGGCCGCGAGGATCAGGGTCTTGGTCTGCATGGTGGTGTTGGGTTTGTTGGGTGTGATAGAATGTAGAATATAATTATTAATCTAGAATTATCAATCCTAGCTTGACCGGCCAGATGCAGTCAGTGTAAAGACAGTATTATAGAAACAATTAAAAAGGCTGCTAAAGAGCGTAAGGCGAAAGGAGTGTTGATCGAGCCGGTCGGTCTGAAAGAGAGGAAGTGAAGCTTGAGAGTTGAGAAGAACCAAAAACCGGAAACCAAGTCCCAGCCTGTGTTTGCCATCGAGGGCACATCTTTATAATGTCGTCCGAGGCGTCGAGTTTCACACTTTTCGGGAATGATTAGTTACCGGGGGGGAAGGGGAAGGGGATGTGCAATTGAGCCAAGCTGTCTGGCAGGACCGGCAGTCACCGGCAGAATGCGGCCGTGACAGACATGCTGAGCGACCCCATGGCGATCATACCGCGCGGCATGACACTGGCCACATCGACGTTCTGCCCTTGTTTTTCAAGCCTCTGTGCACGCAAGCGAACGTTGTTCTCCTCCCCTCCTGCCCCATTGGCTTGGCGACAGCAGAATAATTGTTTGATGTTGCAGATCGACGAACATCTGTCCGCACCCACCCCTTCCCCTACGACTCTCTGGCGCAGAGCAAAGCCAAAACCCGAAGCACATCGCGACTCGGGTGCGCACTGGCCCAGCATTGGCTGTTCATGCCACGACAAAGGGCCGCCACTCGACACCAAACAGCCAAGGCTAATCATGTCGATGGGCTCGACCCCGGGCGGGCCTTGTTTTCATATTCCATCCCCTAAGAGTAGGTGGATGATGCCCAGATGCGTCGAGACATCAAACCAAAACAATGCCCAGGCGATTTGTTGTGCTCCTTTCCCCCCCCCCCCCCCCCCCCACCGTCACCACTTTGCATTTTATCCAGGTTGCCTGGGAAAATCTTCTCCCAATCTTTCTTTTTCTGATCGCCCGCTCTAAGAACCCGAGTTTAACAACGCGGGATCCTCAAACAGCACGGACATTGTCCAGGAGGGCGACGGTGTATTGTCGTCATGCTCGGTTGGCTTCGCGGCTCGCACCTCGCTCGTGCAGGTCTGTTTTTGGCAGCTAGAAAGCCAAGCCCACTCCATCGTCCCAAAATAATGAGAGATGTTTCGTGTATCTTGGCTTTGCATTGCAAGAACCTTAGCCAAAATGACGCAAGGCTATGGCAAGGCCATTGTCGATGTCCATCGCGCAGTCATGCAATCAAAGCCCTCTTGAATGTCGAATAGGTGAAAGTTGAAGAGCATGTGGAGCAAGACGGACAGCTGGCCGATGTCAGGAATATGTTCAAAATATAATGCGCTCAAGTAAAAACGACATTATCCACGCATAAAATGATCTTGTAACATCAGTGCGGCGGGGAGCCATCCACGGCAGCGAAATACCTCTCGGCTTCCGGGACCATGTCCATCCTTGCGTACAGCGAGGCAATGGTATATAGGTACATGTGGTAAACGCCCGGCGCTGTCGAAAACTGCTCTTTGGCCTTGCTAGCGAGCCGGAGGTACATCTCAACGGCGAGAGTTCTGTTTTTTCGTTCCAAAGCCATATGCGCCAAAAGCACCGGAGACGCCCTGCAATTTATAATCGTGCCATCGGTGTACCACGAGGGCCTCTTTGTCTTGGCAATGAACATCTTATCCAGCAAGCGATCAACCATTTCAAACGCTTCCCAAATCTCTCCCATCCTTGCGTAGGCGACGCCGGCCGAGAAGGTGACATATTGTCGGGTCTCAGGGTTATGGTTGGCATACCTGCTGGCGAGGTCTAGATATCGGAGGTTTCATTTGAGGCTCTCTGGGAGTCTGTCCTGAGCAAAGAGGGACTCTGGTAGTCTGGCTAGAGTCTGAAGAACATTGTGGTCACCTTCGGGAATCGAAACGTTCATCTCTGCAAGAATCCAGCAGTTCGACTTTTCCCAGAGTTGATCGCTGAGGTACTTGCGGTAGTTGTGACTCTCGGGCGACGTGCCACCACGGTCGATATCCAGGGCCGCTCGTCTAAGCCGTTACAAGTAAGCTGCCAACGGCCCTATTCGCCATTCTTGGCAGAAAGCCGAGCTGTGCGGAGCTATCGTCTCCTATGGTTTTCGGGGGTTCTAAGAGACATGGCGATGCGTATATGGACAACTTCTCAGCTAGCTGCGCTTCGGCTCGCGGCAGCGTGTCGTAATGTCCCATGACTCTCGTGGCGTTGTACCTTGGGTCTGGGTCGTCCTTAATCGCGTCAAGCGCGGTGGATAGCAGGGCGAGAACCTTGGTCGCATATCTCTTTCTAGCCTTTTGATCGAGCTGCTCTTTTGTCCAAGATGAGTAAATGGATGCATTAAGTAGCCACCGGATTATTATGGAGATTCGTTCAAAACCGAGTTGGAGGATAATATCCAGAGGGCAGTATCGATTGACCGATATTTAGGGTAACGGACATGTCCCGTTAGCATCACGGCCGAAGTCACGGTAAATGCAGACGAGGTTTGAAAGCTATTTCTTACTATTCTTATTATTTTTATGCCCACTTGAAACAGGCTCTCCCAGATCGTCCTTGTTGAGAAAGGCGCAAGGTTGGAGCAGATTGCCTGCCTCGGGAGCGCTCTGCTCAACTGCGGCGAAGGAAATTTCCCAGCTGGTGAAAATAGCTTCGTTCCCGTAGTCCCAGACAGCGGTTAGCCATCATTAAGCCATTTTAGCCGCAGTCCAATAGTATATATCCAGGTAGTCACGCTAGGGATTGGCCGAGATGTCCTCATGTTCATATATGCACCAGCTTGGGCAATGGCCAAAGGGAGGTGACTAAGTACCCCGACAAACTCGATGGCGTCTTTTTCATTTGCTTTTGGCGTGATTGTTTAGTATCAAAGATTGATACCTCTTCCGTGAACAGGGTGCTGATGTGTAGACATACCGTGGGGTCCATAGCTCTGAATCATGTATCCGACTTTTGCTCTACCAGCCGCAGGCTGTCTTGTAGGTCGAGCCCTGTGACCTCGACAAGGCGAAAGGTAAGACTAATATCCTGTCTTTTGAACAATGAATATCCGGCCTCCTGAACTATGCCATCCTCAATGGCATCCCACACTGCGGTAGCCAGTGCTTCATTGCTTGTGCCGTCGAACCAAAAGACGCCGTTAAAGGATGGCCATTCAAAAGAGGCAAATTGTTGAGTAAGCCGCATCTTGCCCACACCTCCGACTCCATAAAGAAGTACAACCGTCGGCTCATTCCAAGAGGGGTTTGCATAGAAGTGCGAGGCTATTCTCGCAACAAGTCTCTTTGTTCTGCCAAGTCCTGAATAATTTAGCGGACGCTTGATTTTAGTTCCAAATTGATAGAGCTTTCTCCGATAGGGCTTTCTCCGATACACTACGTTCCAGCCATGTTGCTGATATGCGGCAGCTGCTGTTCGAACGGGTTAGCTAATGAACTTCGGGACAAGCTGCGACGCGTTAGAATGCCAGCCATTGAGCTGAGATGCTGTGTGATCTTGAGGGCGGAAATCTTACTGTTGGAATGTGGGCCTCGAAGGAGCTAGGCAAAGGATTTGCAGCATACTTCGCGACCTACTTCGCAGCCTACCATCTCCCCACCCGATCACCCAGGCTAGGCGATCACTTTTTACACCAAAACACTACAACTTTGAACAACCGTAGCATAGTCAATTGTGACGCTATTTATTTTCAAATAAAACATAGCAAAATGGAGCTAATTAATCGCGTAATCCATATATCGTACCGGCACCCTGGCTGAACGCCCTAATCTGGTCATTCTTGCAGGTGGAATGTCGTCATCTGCAGCGTCATCCTCATCGTCTTCTTCATCCACCTCTTCTTCTTACGGCTCTGCTTGAGCCGCATTTTGAGCCTCAACTTGAAGCTCTGCAAGAGCCCCGCTACCCAGTAGTATGGTAGCCAAAGTCATAAACCGTTTACTCGGGTTTGGAATTTTCCCCCTTTTCTTTGGCTTCAAGCGTTCTAATTCGGCTTCTAAGGCTTCGATTCGTGCCTGCTTCAAAATCAACTCGGCTTGAAGCCCGTCAACTGCTCGGCCGGCCTTTCTGAACTTCATTCTTGTGCCCGGACTAGCCCCCTTGCTCATATCCGTTATCTGGCGGCCTGATATGGAGGTATCAGGGACTTCAGGGAGGGCCGAGGGTTCCGGGGTATCACCGCACAGTCAACTGCATGAGACAAGGCTGCAATATGGTCACTGTATTCGTAGAATCTAAAGCTAAGGAAAGAAAGAAGAAAGGAAGTTTCTAAAGCTTGGGCAGGGCGCAGGGAAATAGGACGTGGGGTGCACGGGCCATCTAGTCTAGTGGGGTCCGGGTCGGGCCCACTATTCCAGAGTTGTCTGCACTTGCCGTGACACGGGGTCTCTTTTCTGTCTTGTTGAATCTATGGGTGACGCAACGCCTTTTGCCTACTAATAGGCCAATTCCCGGTCGTTCGCCACCAAGATTTGACGGTTCTTTGTGTAAATCCTTCCTCCCTGGCTACCTTGTAGCAGCGAATGAAGTTAATCTTGTCAACCGGTGCTGCGTCGGTTAGACTAGCCAACTTGACCAGCTCACGCCTATAGTAAGCTTCAACCGTATTGAAAGGTCCGTTGTCAAGTAGATGTAAGCCGTAAGTAGTGTAGGCCGGCAGGAAACAAAGATATATATTGTTAAAGAAGCATATCGTCATGAAGTTATCCTATATAATAAATGTAAGAATATGAGTCGAAAGAAAGCACGGGACTTATCTCGTACAGTTGTATGACTGCCGTGGCCATCAAGAATAATGAGGTGAGCCTCACTATCGTAGCCTTATAAGCCGTTAGTTTGTGGAATAAAAATATTCTCAAGCCAGCTGATCGCGAGTTTATTATCTGTCTAGCGGTTTTCGCTTATAACAAAGCTCTAGGCGGCGAATTTGTTCATTTCTTCCTCGAACCATTGCGTTTGAAGCTCTTTTCCCCTCAAAATGATGCCTGGATCAAGTAGTTTGCCGTCTGCACTGATGCATTCGATTATGGTGCACCAGCCACGGCCCTGATCACTTTTGAGGTATGTTTTTCTAGTCTCCGAGCTCCCCAAGACTAAAGAGTCAAGCCCTATATAGATTTAGCGGTAGAAAACATTATAGAGACTCTTTTCTTACCAAAGCCCGCCATAATACCGGCCTTATCGACGTTAAAAGTGAGCTCAGGCCTGACCCAGCCGTATTCTTTGTCCCTAATGTCACTTTCTCCCTGATGTCAAAATACCAGTTGACGGCTTTAGGAGTGAAGCCATTAAATTGAGCGGCTCTTATTCTCTTGCCTATTTGGCTTTTATCTCGGGATTACGGGCTTTGAAGCCCTCAATCTCCTTTTTCCCTAGGAATTCTTTATCCCCCTTTTTTACGAGTAGTGTTCTGACAATACTACACACTTGCGATTGGCTAAGGGCATAGCCGAGGCTCTCTTGACGAAGGATCCGTTGAATGAGCCGCTTTTCTTCTTCAGCCGTAAGGCGACGATGCAGCTAATTAGCCTCATCATTAGGGGGTATTCCTTTGAGTCTGTCGTTCAATGTTGTGTACGGTATACCGTGTTTTTGAGCAGATTTTCGAATCGAAAGCTTATTATCTGTCACATCAAGGTATGCGTTAGGCATATCGTCTTCGGTATAGGTAGATATGGTGGTGGTACAATAAAATACACACTCAAATATAGGGAGGAAAGAAGTCAAGGAAGCTAAAGGACGCTAATTTGCAATTGATAATTCAGGTAGCTGATATCATTACGTGCTGTTCTCTTTCCCCCCGAGCACGACTCGAACAAGCTGGCACACTAATTGTCGTCGCGGCGGACATCTATAGAAATCAGGAACATCGTAAAGTTTTTTTTTACAAAAATAAAATAGCACTAATTATACACAAAAAAACCCCCCCCACCCTCCCCCCGCAGCCCGCCCACACCCCCCTCCCCTCCCCAGTTTTTTACTCAGCGGAGCTCCGCGTCCACGAGCGAGTCGAACTCGCTCTCGGCGGCAGCTGCCGCCGCTTCCTCGGACTTCCCCGTCAAGTCCTGGTAAATTCTCGCCGCCTCGTCTTTGTACGAGGCAGCATCCTCAGCGTCTTGCGCCGATAGCGCCAATTTCAGCGCCTCCGACAGCATGAACAACACGCGAACACGCTCGCAGGCCGGAGAAGACCTGCGAGCGTGCTCGCCGAGGCTCTGCTCGAGGTAGTGCCTGCAAAGTGCAGAGTGCGGATTAGTAGACGATACAAGTGAGGCGGGCAAGTTAAAAAGACAAAGGATGAGAAAAGGAGAATAAAGAAAAAGCAGGATAGGAAGTAGGGAAAAGAGCGAAAAGATTAAGAGAAAACTAAAATCTAGGGAAGTAACAAAAGAGTGGAGAAGAAGGGAAAAGACGGGTACAAATAAGATGGTTAATACAGAGAGGAGGGAAAGAACGATGTGAGTAGGGTAGTAAGTAGGGAAAAGAGCAGTGTAAAATGCAGCAAAAGAGAACAAAGAAAAGTAGAATACGCAGAGATTAAAGAAAGGACGGCTTCTCGATAGAGTTGGCGAGTATGCAAAAAAGGAAGAAAAGAAGAAACCCCCCCCCCCCCCCCCCCCCAAAAAAAAAAAAAAGGGAAAGGGGGAAAAGTGACGGGAAATAAAAAATAAAAAAAAACAGGCAAATCTCTGAAAACGAAACAAAACAAAACACAGTACTCGACAACGCCAAGCGACAGATAAATGTCACGCAAAAAACATACCGAGCAAGATTGAGCATCCACGAATGCGTGTAGATGCAGCCGACCTTGTACAGGCAGGCGGCGTGGAGGTGGTCTAGGAACCAGTCTGACGCCTCGATGGCCTCGATCAACAGTTTAAAGGCCGCGAGGGCTAGCAGAATGTGCCCGCGGGCCAGGAAGAAGACGGCGCGGTGGTAGGCGGTGCTATTTGCAGAGGTGGTTAGTTTCTCTGTTCATACTAATGTGGATAAAACGGGAAGTTGATTAGTGGATGAGGGAGGGGGTGTGAAGATGTCGAGTGTTGGGTGCTTGATTTGCTACGCTGGTTCTTCTAGAAATCCTTCGAAAATGGTGGTGGGTACTTGGAGGCGGTCAATCAAGGTTGGCAACGGTGTTCATTATTACTATTACCGTTGCCATTGCCGTTGCCGTTGACTCTGTCGTTGTGTTCACGGGTGTTGTTGCTGCTCTTTTTGGGGGAAGAGGGGTTGTGCCAGAGGAAGAAAGGGGGGATCATAGCAACAAAGCAAAGGGGAGTATGCTTACAACAGCCTGATCTCCTCATGGCAGGGGACAGCCTCGGCAGCGGCAAGCATCTCGTCGGCCTCGTCAAACCGGCCCAGCGCAGTCAGGGTCCGGCCGCAGTTGAGCCAGGCGGCACGCTGGGCGAGGGGGGGGCCGGAATGCGCCACGCACTTCTGGTGGTATTTCAACGCGAGCTCGAGCTTGCCCTGGCTCAGGTAGAGGTTGCCGAGAGCGGAGTTGGCGGCAAACAAATCGACGTCGAGTTCCCCCGTGCTGATGTCCAGGCGATGGAGCAGGGCCCTCTTGGCCCGGGCAAAGTCGCCGCGCCTCGACGCCAGCCGCGCCTCCCAGCCGCAAAGCTGGGCGCACTCCTTTGCGGGCAGGGGCAAGCCCCAGGCGCGGTCATACGGCATGTTGACGCAAAAGAGAGCTGCTTCGTAGGCTGCCGTGACGCTCCGCTCCAGGTGCTCCAGCTTGCTCAACCCACCGATCTCGTCGTCGTCCTCGCTCTCGGTGGCGAGGCAGTATAATGCGGCATTGCGCATGAGAACGCAGAACTCCGGGAGGCGCATGGAGTCGCTCGGGTCCACTGGGGAAGTCGCAATCTCTTGCAATCTCATCCGGTTGTCTAATGCTGCAATAAGAGTGGCGCGCCCGGGATCTTCGGCGTTGTCAGGAGATTCAGAATCGTCCGGGTCTTCGTCTTTGTCGTTTTCGGGATCTTGGGGGTCTTCCCCGCGGTAAAACTCATCCCGAAGGTCCCGCAGGTTGTACACGTCTTCGATAACCCACGAGCACTCTTCAAGGATGTCTGCGTCGTAGGACCCGTTCTGAATCAGGACCTTGGGGAACGCGGCGTTTAGTTCTGCTGTCGCAAGTTTGAACCAAATTCGTCTATCGCTATCTCGGATATGCTTGATCCACTGATTACGGATGACCGACGGCACTGTGCCGTCTCGGCCGAAGAACCCCGAGTCCACGAAGGTCTTGATGTCAACACTAGAGTTTGCGGACCTCTAGTTAGCAACGAAAATCAAGTAGACAAAAGGTTTGGGGTCTGCTGGGGAAGGGACATACCCGCCGAACAGCTCAAACCACTCGCGGCCCTGCCGAGAAAACAAGCCATCGAACGTCTCAAGCACTTGACCAAGTCCTCGATCAACCTCGGAGGGCACGTCGGATAGATATGCCTCATCGTAACTGAAACCAAACGTCTCGAACCTGGCCCTGAGGTTGTCACTGATTGAGTAGATGTGGTCCCAAGGCTCCCGATAGAAAAGCCGGGGAACACCACCGGCAGCTACCACCTCCCACAATCTCGACGCGTCCAAGCGAAGAATTTCCTTTTCCATCTTGTTTGAAAGAGGCCTCTGTTTGAAGAACGACATGATGGAGAGCAAGATGGAAACGGGTGGGTAGATGCGGCCGAATTTGTCTTGCAGAGAGTCGGACATTGGGTAGTCGTACCCCATGTGGAGGTTTTCAGGGACATGCTCGATGATCTCGTTGGGGTCCTCCCTGCACAGCACCAGGAGGTCGTGCAGTCCCATGTCTTTCTCGGCTGCGAGAGAGCAAGCCTGAGCGAGCGCCATCGGGTAGCAGCACAGCTCGCGCGCGAGTTCCGTGGCTGCTTCCGACACACCGCTGGAGATGAATGGCCAGGACTGTACCTCACCGGTTGCGTTGATCCGTATAAAGTCGGCCGCTGTGCTGAGCGGGAACGGCGGCACGTGAAACTCCTCGGCCCATTCAAGAGCGTGTCCGCCGGCAGTGATGGTAACGCCGTTGCCCCTGCAGAATGGCCAGAACGCCTGATTAAAAGCCCACATGTTGTCGAAGATGAGTAGCCACCGTTTCTCTGTGAATCGTCAGCATGCATCTGAGTGTCATATACCTTGACTAGAATTTCAGGAACTTACTGGTGCGCTCAAGCCAAGCCAATAGCATGATTTGGTTCTTGATAGAGACGTTGTACTTTGCGTCGGGGATGCCGAGGGCGATAGCAGCTTGGTCAAAGCTGTTGTGCAAGTTCTCGGCGGAGTCGGCCTTCATCCAGAAGATCGCATCATACTCGTCGGCACATCTGAAGGCATATTCGAGGGCAAGCTGGGACTTTCCGATGCCGCCAAGACCAACGAGATTCAGCGAGTTGGCGGCAGAGGTTTCCGCCATCTCCTTCGGCATGTGCAACTCATGATATTTGAAGTTCCAATTCCCTTGCAGCGGCTTCAGTTCCTCGCGCATGTCCTGAAGCTCTTTCTCTCGGCCAATAAAGCCAGGGTTTCTCTCTGGCAGAAAACGGCATGGCAGGTTGAGGTTGTTTTCATCCTCTATCATCCGACTATAGCCAAAGGGCAGCTGGTACTCGAAGTTCCAGTCGACGGGGTCTGGGTCCATGTTTGCCATTTTGGCAGAGTGATTACGCGCGGCGGAGATCAGAATGAAGGAAGGATGACGACGGAAGGATGATGACGAGCGGATCAGGGTGGTGACGGAGAAAGACGACGAGAATGAGGATGATGGAGACGGTGCGAAGATAACGACGAGAGAGTAGCGACAAAGACGGCGCGACGATGACGACCAGAAGAGAGAATGTGAATGTGCACAGGCAAGCTTCAGTTAGGGCTTAAGCTGGGGGTACTGGGTGTAGTAGTTTGTGCGCGAAAGGTCGAGGGTGAACAAAAGCTGGAGTTAGGTAGGCAGGTTCCTAGCGACGCAACGATTTTTTGGGAGAGGAAGTTTAGCTGTTGGCCCGTTGCGGGGGAAACAAATATGCGAATCTAGGTACCCCTCTGCCCCTCTGTGTTCGCGGGGCAGCTGAAGACAGATGGGAGAAAAGACACTATCGCTGTTCCAGCAGACACGATAAGAGAACCACCTGTTGCGTTAAAGTGCAGCACTGTGGGCAACTACGGCTGGCAAAAGAGAAAGGGCCGCCCTTTATAGTAGCTACTGGCTAGATAGGCGAATTATTTGAAATCCCGCAGTATCACCCTAAAGACCTCCATCTTCCTACCCTATAGTTCTAGATGAAAGGTTGGTTTGTAAACCTGCCAGCGACGAGCGTATCAAACTTTACTCTTTTAGAACGCATTGTCTTGGGCACTAAACTAGGAAGGGCTTGTTAGAGCCTTAGACTCTGTAATTCAGATTTGATTGGCTACCAAATCGCTTCAACCACGAAGAGCCACGACCCTTATATCTACTACGGCTGCTTTAGTTCCAGGGTTATTAGACGACAGGAATGCTAATTTTTGGTTGGTGGCGGCAGCCGAAAACAAGACCTAACTTTTCACGACACTGCCACACAAAAGCCACGACCGCACGACTTGCGTGTTCTAGCCATGTACACTGGAACAAGGCACAAATCGAATGCTGTCTCGGTCGTGCAACAGGACACGAGAAAAATAGTCACGGCGACTGCCATCTCGGGAGTTGCGGAGTGGCACGTCGATGCTGAACATCTACGAACCTTCTTCTCCGCAGAATCCGAACGGTCGTCTACAAGGAGCGAGGAAGAAATGCATCCAGAAACTGCTGGAATCGGTCCCTGAGTGACAGACATGAGCGATTGATCAGTTACTCTACCTACTGAACTCGAGCGGCTCAAGGACCGAGTTTGAGCCCTTTCGCTTAATTGAAAAGCTGTTCATAACCAACCTTCCCCGCTATTGGGAACTATCAACCCACCGCCACGACCAACACTTGGATTCGCACAAAGTCAAACCTCAGACTGTTAACCACCTTCACAGCTTCAGATTTTCAGAGAGACCACGACCCCACCTCGGCACACCGCCAGGGCCTCCCACCCGTCCTCGACCCTCACGCTCTTTTCTCTTAAACTCTCGACGCTTCACAAATAATCCCCTCTGCAATGCAGTTTGGAAACATAACAATGTGCTCAGGGGTGTGGCGGGGTCAGAGAAACACCAGGCGACATAAAATTACCCACACTAGCCCCCTTTCCGACGGCTAGCGGCTAGCACGATGGATCTCGAATTCAGTCACGTGGCGGCTCTCTGCTGTGCCGTCCACGCCCCGTAGGGGCGGCTGATTGACTCCTGACTCCTGACCCCTCACCCCTGACCCCACCCCCCCCCCCCCCACTGCGGCCGATGGCGTTTGGGGGCTGGGTGGGGGGACTTTGGTCCGCGGCCAGGGATCAGCTCAGCATCTGGCCAAGACAGGCAGCATCTGGCCAAGACAGGCGGCATCGTCTAGTGAGATGGAAGGAATCAAGGTTCGTGCTCCTGCAAGGGTACGGTTCTAGTAGGACGGCTTAATTATATAACTGCATGGCTTTTTGGAAAAGAACAGGAAAGAAAGAGAAAAAGGCCATGAGAGGATTGACGATTCGGATGTTTCTCGTGCCGAGACGTTGAACGGCTTTGCTGGGGGTCTCCGTGCTCGCGGAGATCGGTTGGGACGCCATTTTCTTTTCAAAAAAAACAGCAGCAAAAGCTCATTGGACCGGCTCATTGGACAGGCGGGGGCTAGCATTTCAATCCTCCCCCTTTCCCCCTTCCGGGAGCAGCGGACGAATCGATCCAGCATTTCTTCCCGACCTCGATCTGCACTGGCGACAGCAGACCCCCAGGTCGGCAGCCACAGCAAACCAGCCGTGTCCGCCCGTCACCACCACCGCCGCGCCAAGGCGGCAAAGTTGAAGGCTTTTGCCCGTGCCGGTGTGGCGGGCGGGGCTGGGCCGGGCAGGGCGCGGCAAAGCGAAGGCCTAGGCCTCAGAGGCAGCAGTGGGTGGTGGGTCTCTGACAGGCTGAGGCTGTCGCATCCCAACTTGGTTGGGCTTGGCCGCCGTCGCGCGCCGCAGCTGTGCAACTTCAGATCGTGCAAAAGGCAGGCCGATTTCAAAGCAGGCCGCACCCACGGCCGTCCCGGGACCCCGACGGAATTTCCGATAGGAATTTTCCGGCAAACGTCTGGCCCTATTGGCACGAATTCCACTCATGTGGCCCAGCCCAGCCCACCTCCACGGCCTCGGCCCTGCCCAGCCCCGACCCAGCTTTGTGAAAACAACGTTTGTGCACGCTTTCGTGACTTGTTAGCCCCCAGCTTTCAGCCCACGGCAGGCTAATGCCCGTAGATAAACATAGAATCTGCTTCTTTAGGTTAGTTTGCATAGCTGCGACATGAGGGCATTGTGTTACGATCCTGGCTGTGTTCCAGATTGTAATTAACACATTGCGAGCCGGGGCCCAGGGGTTCACGATCAGACCCCGCCCCTTATTCAGGGGCTCTTTTCGGCCAGGCCTACGTCTGGTTACACAGCAACCAACGCCTTAACTCCCCCTCTCCCCAAAAAAAAACCAAAACAGACTCAACAACCACCTCGAAACAGACTCAACAACCACCTCGACAACGAACCTCGCCCCAGCACACTCAAAAACAGCTACCAACAACACATCACCACACTGAAAAACAGCCACCCACAACACATCGCCACACTGAAAAACAGCCACCCACAACACATCACCCCTAACCCTTGATGGCAGCGACGAGCGGCGCGAACCAGCACGTGGCCATCTTCTCGTTGCCGGCGCTGTTGGGGTGCACGCCGTCGCCCGTGTCCTTGGCCGGGTCGAAGCCGGTCCAGCAGTCGACGACGGTGACGGGGCTGGCGGGCGACGTGGCATTGGCGGCCCAGGCGGGGATGGCCTTGTTGAGCGCGACGACGCGCGCGCCGCAGTCCTTGCAGTTGGGCGGGTTCATAGGGATGATTTGCGCGACCTATTAACCCTCGATTCAGTCCCCGACAGGATATGAGCGGGAGGGAGGAAAAACTCACGAGGATCTTCATCCCCGGCTTGCTCGCGCGCATCCAGTCGACCATGGCTGAGAAGGCAGCGAGGATATCGTCGGCAGGCTTATTGTTCCAGACGTCGTTGGTGCCGAGATGCATCATGACCACGTCCGGGTGCGTCTGCGCCAGCCAGCCCGGCAGCTGCTTGTTGGCCACGATGCCCGTCGCCAGGAACCCGCCGTGGCCCTCGTTGGCGCCGTCGTACGTGAACCCGCACCCCTGCGCCGGCAGCGTGCCCACGAACTTGGTGTTGGTCACGCCCGCGGCCTGCAGCTTGCGCCACAGCAGGGCCCGCCAGCAGCCCTGTTTCGTCTCTCGTGTTAGTGGTGAGTTTCTCTTGTTAGGTGGTGCATCACGTACCGGGCTGCCCGTGATGGAGTCGCCGAGGGGCATGATTCGCACCGGGCTCGCGGACTGCGCCGAGCCGAGAGCCGCGGCGGCTAGGATCGCGCCGAGCACGCAGAGAAGCCGGTCCATGGCCATGGCAGAAGAAACAAAAGATCTAGCGACTTTCCCGAATCCCTGGTGAACCAAATGGGCGCGCAAGACGAGGTGGCCAAGAAGAACAAAGCACGGGTGATTATATACTGCTCGCCGTCTTCACAAGCATATTACATGCAGCGGCCCCTCCCTCTCCACGGCGGCTACCTTAGTTAATCTGCCCCCGGACACCTGCCGCGAGCCGACTTCCCAGGAAAGGGGCTCGTTCCCCAGCCGGCACTGCTCCTTGTTCGCTGCAATTAGACTGCTGCCTGAATGAAGCGCCGTGATTGGCTCCCGGCGAGTCAAAGGGCATGCGGGCGGGGAGGCTCCGCGGTCGCGGTTGAATTGCGCGGCGGCGCATGTTGCGTGCGTGCATGCGAGCGTGCGGCTATATGGCAGGTGTCCTATGATCTGCCTGCGCTACTCTACTTACTCTACTCTACTCTACTCTGTGGGGAGACGGAGACCTCGTTTTGTCACGTACGGCGTTGTTTGCAGTGTTGGCTTGTAATTATGTCACCTGAATTTATACACGGAAATACTGCTTTTATTCATAAACAAGACGAATCTTATTTTGTCTCGACTTTTACAGAAAAAAATGACCTGTGGCACTTGAATATAAAGCACATGAAAAGACAGACGGAAAAGCACGACCGGTCAAACCAAGTACATCGAGTTGATGGCCTTGACATTGTCCGTGATGAGGCACGTGGCGGTGCTGGAGCCGTAGTAGATGGTGTTGCCGTCGTTGGGCGACTGCCCGCTGCTCAGCTTGTCGCCCCACTGCCAGAACATGTCGCCGGCCATGCCGTCGGCGGCACGCGACGCCTGCTGCCACGTCTTCTCCACGTTGCACTGGTCTGACGTGACGCCGTCTGCGAGGTTTGAGAAGATTGTTAATGAAACGCCTCTTTCAGCGAAAATACGGAGGCGGCACTTACACTCTTCGAGAACGCAGGGCTTTCCGGCCTTCTTGCAGGCCGCGGCGTGGTCCTTGACCCAGCCCGGGCCGAAGCTGTTTGGAACACTCCCTAGAGCCCCAAATGGTTAGACGAGCGCTGGTTCGGGGCATGCGGCGATTACATACAGCTGCCGGGATACATGTGGAAGACGCCAAAGTCGAGGTCCTTGACCCCCAGATTCTTGACAAAGTCGACGCCCTCGCTGGTGCCGTAGGGGTAGCTGGTGCCGCCGGGCAGCCCAAAGCCCTCGTCGCCGAGCGTGATCATGTGGGCCGGGTCGAGGGAGCGGATGTAGGCCGACGTGTCCGAGGCCCACTTGAAGATGACGTCGGTGCTGCAGCCCTTGCAGCGCGGCTCGTTGGCGAGCTCCCACGCGAAGATGGCCGGCGAGCTGGCGTAGCGGCCGACGACGGCGGCGATGTACTTGCGGTACTGGGCCTGCGCCTTGTCGTTGGCGAACCAGCTCTCCTTGGTGCCGCCGAACGCCGACACGTAGGCCGCGATGCCGCCGTAGTCGTTCCAATAGTTGACGAAATTGACGATGAGCTTGATGCCGCGCTTCTCGGCCGACTGCACCACGTAGTCCAGCCGCTGCAGCCCGTCGGCGCCCGTGTTGATCTGCGACCCCGATGACGAGACTAGCTGGTACCACACGGTGCCGCTGCCCGGCTTGCGCGTCACGTCGTTGAACCCCCACACGCGCAGCACCTTGAGGCCCGACGAGGCGATGTTGCTCAGCACCGAGTCGACGTCTTTGTTGTTGGTCAGGAAGCCGATCCAATACGAGTTCGTGCCGGCAAAGTAGCGCGTCTCTCCGTCGATGGTGAACCTCGTCCCGTTCACCGACGGCGGCTTGCTGGCTGACAGAGTGGCTGGAAGCGCCGCTGCCAGGGAGAGCAGGCCGACGCCAAGAGCAAAGACTGACTTCATCGTGGCTGACTAGGTAGGCACCTAATTTCTAATGTTGCCTCTTCACCTTTTCTTAAGCGTGCAGCCCGAGTGCGCCAGACTGGATGCGGGCTCGAGCGGGCTCGAGGGGCGCAGCCTAGGTTTTATCCATCTCGAAGCATCCTCCACTGCTCTGTTGCAATGCAATATGCGTCCCATGGCCAAGACATCAGCGTCGAGAGTGTTGCGCCGTGGAGCCACTCCGGGCTCAAGGCAATGGCTGCCACAGGTGTTCGCGATTGCTCCGGAGACATAACCCGGATTAGCCGGGTCGTCGGGGGCGGAGGCGGGGTGCCCGCGTCCCAGAGCGGGAACGAGTCAACATGGAATGCAGTGTCTGAACTTTGGGGGTGAAAGGGGGTGAGAGGTGAAAAGGGGGGCGCGTAAAAAGTGTCGGGGGAACAGGGCAAGTGCGCTGGCATTTGTGAATATTTATTTTATTTTTGTCCGAGCCTCGGGCCGTTCAAAGTTCTGGTGTGTGAGCGGAGCGGCCGGCACGTGATGCGCCAGTTGTAGCTAGCCGGCCGGATCCGAGAATCTTTCACGTTGGACTCGTGCTTCGTGCTTCTGCTGGGTATTGGCTTGTTTTTCGTGACCAGCCTTAATCTTAATATCGCATTTTATTTTTGTTCTTTATTTTTTGTGGAATCGCACGTGGTTTCGTACGGTCTGTGCATGGCGGAAATAATACGTGAATAAGCCAAGGCACCAGAGCATTCCTCCCGTCGTTTTCCAAAACAATCGTGAAGAAAAAAGAGGAAAGGGAGAAAAGGGGCACGCACACTTTGGCCGCAGTGCCCTCGGCGCCGTGTCTCACCTAATGTTGCCTGCCGGTTGACTGTCTCAGTATTTAGTAGCCTTGCCGGCCAAAGGGCGGACAGAGAGGCGCTGTCGCTGATTTCGTGATTGACAAATGCGGCACAATTGCTCACTGTGCCCAGCAGACGAATCGCCGACGTCGGTTTGTCGCCCTTGAAACAACAAAAGTGCAGAAGGGTGGTCAGGTCAAGACCCTTTCGCCTCGCACAGCGACGCGACTGTTGGCCCCTCTCAGCCTCTCAACCTCTTTTCGCAATTACAAGGCCCATGGGAATTCCAGTCTGCTGTGCACGGAAGAGTTGTTGGAAGGCCGAGTGAAGACGAAGACGGGAGTGCAGTGGTTGCTTGAGACAGCGAGCAATTTCAGGGGCTTCTAGTGGTCGAGCCCTATTCCAGCACCTCCAACTTCCATTCTGTCGGCGCTCACCTAATACCCGGACACCTCCCCTCCCAGCCGCAGCCAACCCCAATTCCGACCCCGCCATCTAGTAGCCAGCCCGAGTTAGCGGGCTGCAACTCGACAAACAAAGCCAGTACAGGACAGCACAGGCTAACCGAGCAGGTTAACCGACAACCTGGAAGAAGCCCGGCCAGTTGCAGTGGCCCATCATCCATCCCGTCGGAGAAACAAAATTTAAATAAAACCTGCGCTTCTTGGCTTTGCCAGGGTCCATCATCATCATCGTCATCATCATCGTCAGTCCGTCGCTTTGCCGCTTCCCCTCTTTGGCCGTAGCGAAGCTTCCCAGCTCTTTTTGCTTTTGCTTTTGCTTTTGCTTTTGCACCGCGCCAGTGTCTCGTCTTGTCAATCTGCCCAGCCAATTGACGATTTGACGGCGTGACGACACGACACGACTTTTGACGACGAGTCCACGCAGCCAGCCAGCCAGCCATTTTATTTTATTTTTATTGCATTTTTCTCCACCCTAGTAGTAGTTGCTACCCCATTCATACTTAATTGACGGCGCATCGATGCCGCTCCGCGTAAAGTCGCGTGCGCAGGTGCAACAGCCCGAGGACCTGCGGACCCCATCGCCCTTTGCCAAGGTCCGCTTCGGCGTCGAGCTGCCCAATGTCTCGAGCGACGACACCTTCAGGATCGTCGTGAAGAAGCTTTCAATGTGTGTCCACCCAATTTCTCCGCTCGCGAACAGTAGAGCCAAAAAAAAAACCAGAGACAAAAGCCTCGGGTTGCTAACCAGAACAAATCTCCTCTGGTGAAGCTTCATTGCCGAGTCGATCCGACTCCCCGGCACATTCGAGCAGCTCCGCACCACGAGCGCTGGCGAGAGCCTGCGCGTTCTCGTCGACCATCTGGACCGCACCTGCACCCACCCTGCCATTGTGAATGCTTTGCTGTATGTCCCTGGTCCACTTCATGTGATTCCGTTTTCACTTTGCTTTCCCCTCTCAGGATCCAGTATCCTTTGGTCTTCTCTTCGCGTCACCTGCCATCCATCTACCGCCTACCACGTCCTTAGTTGCTGTGGAGGTGGCGTGGTGGCGTGAATGAACCCTCCGCGGCCTCCTTCGCCGACATCACGAGCCAGCTGCTGACAACAAAACACTCGCCCCTTTCCAGCGCATTGAGGTGGCATTATAGTTCCAGCCCGGTGGAGAAGAGCTTGAACGACGCTCGAGCTAATGCCTGCGAGATTGTCGCCTGGCGCTTTCTCGGCCACCTGTCGGAGCGCGAGGCCGTCGACTACTGTCTCTATGAGATCCCCGACCCAAATAGCCCAGATGCCGTCACCCCTCGCACTCCCGTCGACGTCGAGGAGGGCGAGGTCGATGAGCGCAGCGCCCTGCTCGCCCAGGCAAGGGCCGGCACCTCCAGCTCCGCCGGCTCGGCGACCAAGCTCCTCCTCACCCAGTCGGGCAACAGCAAGAGGAACCTGCTGCTTCAGTCGCTCTCCCGCCTCACCCAGAGCATGACGGCCGACGACGACGACAGCGAGGAAGACGATCAGGGCAAAGATCCCACCACAGCTTTCACCAATCTCAACGCTCTCGAGATCGCCGCCATCGCCGACGCAAAGCGCTTCTTGAGTCAGAACGTGGTCCAGAAGATCGTCACGGGCATCTGGAACGGCGACATCATCTTCTGGGACAGCTTGTCCGTCTACTCAGTCAAGAAGCCGCGCTTCTACAACCCCGCCACCGCCGACCCCTTCTCCCGCCTCCGCGTCCCCAAGTACCTCAAGTCGTTCGAGGTCTTGTTCTTCGTCATCTTCCTGGCCCTCTACTACGCCGTCCTGGTCGAGCGCAATCCCGACTACATCACGCCCCTCGAGAGCTTTCTCTACCTCTGGCTCGCCGCCTTTTCCTACGACGAGCTCAGCGAATGGATCGACGCCGGCTCCATCTTTTACGCCACTGATGTCTGGGTACGCAGCAACAAGGCCCTTGCATTCGCTGGCCGTGCTCAGTCGGGTGGGACGGTTTGGCTAACCGTGGACTGTAGAATATCTTCGATATGGCCATGATCGTAATTGGCTCCATCTTCGTTGTCCTGAGTATGCTTACCTGCCCTGTCTGTCCGGCGAGAAGTGGTGCTGACTGGGATCGTTGTATAGGGGTGGTTGGTTTGGCGACCGACAACGAGGGGCTTGTAAACACGGCATTCGACATCTTGGCCCTCGAGGCCTTGTTCATGGTCCCTCGTGTTTTCTCCATCCTCAGTTTGAGCCCTTATTGGGGAGTAAGTGTGCCACCCAGTCTTTCTAGCACCAGTCGCTATGCGCGCCGCTAACGACTCCCAGACTCTCATCCCCTGCCTGAAGGAAATGGGAAAAGACTTCATCAAGTTTATGGTTCTTGTTGTCATCATTTACCTGGGCTTCCTGACGACGTTCTCCCTCATCGCCCGGGACGCGTACCCGCTGGGAGACATCACCTGGTTCCTGACCAAAATCTTCTTCGGCTCGAGCTACGTCGGCTTCGACATCATGCGCAACATTGACCCCGTCTTTGGCCCGCCACTCATGATGCTCTTCATCATGCTCAGCTCCATCCTGCTGATGGGCTCGCTGACGGGTATGCTGTCCAACAGCTTCTCGCGCGTCATCACACACGCCCGCGAGGAATATCTCTACGTCTACAGCGTTTTCGTTCTAGAGGCGTCGACTAGCAACCGGCTCACCCACTTCTATCCGCCCTTCAACCTCCTGGCCCTCGTCATCTTCCGGCCCCTGCGCCTATTCTTGCCCTCCGACTCGAAGTTCCGCAGCGCCCGCATCGTGCTCCTCAAAGCCACCCACCTGCCCATCGTCGCCGCCATCAAGCTGTACGAGTGGATCCGCGGCACTGTCCCCACCGGAACCCAGTACAACAACTTCAAGGGCCCGCGGGGCCATGCGCCGCCCGCCAGCCCCGGCCCGCTCAAGAAGTCATCCCGGCCGAGCATGCGCGCGCGCGACTCGGCGTCGTCGCTCCGTAACGAACAGCGGCAGCAGGAGCCGCTGCTGCTGCAGCAGGCCTTCCGCCCGCCCGCCGTCCCGGACCGCATTTCTGAGCGCGCCGCCTCGCGCCAGGCCGCCGAAGATGAGGCCGCCGAAGATGAGGCCGCCGAGAACGAGGCCCTCGACCACCCCGTCACCGACGTCGAGGTCCGCATCGAGGAACTCGCCTCCAAGATCGACCGCCTGACGGACCTCGTACTCGCCATGCAGGCGCAGCAGTCGCGGTCCGTGACAGACGTCTCGCTTGCCTGATTTTTATATTTTCTGTTCTCCACTACAACATAAGCTGGCGCTAAGGAGTATGGGGCGTGCCCCTGATTTTCGTTTGGATTCCTGTCGACTGATTAATTCCGCATATTTGGCCGTCCATGTGCAACACACACAAATTGAACTCTTGGAAAAAAGTGATTCCTGGGTATTTGACATTCAAGTCCAGCTAGCGTCGAGTTTGGTCTTATGACGCCAGAGTCTATCTGATCGGGACTTTGGACAACACACACACACACACACACACACACAAATACACACACAGACATACATATCTCTACCTTATCCTGGGAAGTGAGGGACCAGCTAGGTTCATCATCCGTGCATCCCAGCTGGCGCAAGAGCACTGGCGTATGTCTTTTTCTTTTCTCCGCCTCCTGCTCCTCCAAGACGGAGGGGGCAGGGGGCGTGCAAAGGGAAGCCAAACGCCAGTGATTCTACACCAGATGGGATACATGGGTGGGGTATCTCCTCTCCCCCTGCAGGCTAGTATGGTTTAGCATAGTATAGTTGTAGTGTAAATATATATCCCTTAATTCACTTAATAGTAATTACCTCAACAGTCACCCCTGACAATAGTTTTTGGCCAAATCTATACCAAGCATTACCCTGAGCCCATGTGCGGCACGCTGACTCCCTGCCGTCTATCCAAATGTCTTTCTGCGAAGGAGATGAAATCCCGGGCGTTTGCTGATGGATGTCGCGCGAGCCGCTTCTCCATTTTTCCCCCGAGCAATCGTCGGCGAGCGCTGCCTGGGAAAGCCTTCGTCAGCTCTTGGGCGTTATTGGGCAGCGTTCGGAGTCTTGTTGGATTTTCAGGCTCTGGCAAGGCCGGAATTCACCACTCAACAGTCAGACCTGCGGGCATATTCAGGGCAACCTTTTGGATAACCTAGCCTTGGTCGGGTCTCCTTGCAGGAACACCACTATAGATCCTTCTTCCTTTCTCTTAAAACGTACCTACCCTACCTTTGAACTTCAGCCTTTAACCTTCTCCGAAAAAACCACATCGTCTTTTCCAGAACACCTTTTTTCCTTAATTCTTCGCCGGAATTTCTAGTTTTCTAACCTCCATCCTCCCAAGCAGCGCTCCAAGAGAACCGCGAAACTTCTTATCATGTCAGGCCCCGCTCCCATCGTCCCCGAGAGGCGCTCATCTCTTGATTTCCCGACCGCGGGCTCCCCTGCTAGCGCCCCCGAGATCCCGATACGCTCGAGCAGCAAGAGAAAGGATCTCTCTACTTAGTCATCGTCCCTGATACTGACTTGGAACTAAAGAATCTCGTAACTCCGTGGGAAGATAAAGAGGAACTCTCAGAAGCCAAATCGCATGCAAAACAGTCAAGAATGAGAGTATTTGCAGTGTGTGTATTGATTGATGTGTGTAGAAGAAAAAGTCTGCGCCTCCAGGTCGGGGTCCCGTGTTGACCTTGTGGAAAAGGCGGTTTAACTACAGTGGCCTGTGCAGGCCCTGCCCTGCACCATACCCGATTTAAGTAGGTCTTTCGACAGAGGAAAGTCAATCACTTGGTTGAAGATTTAGTCTATCTACAGGAAATGCTGGGTGTGGCCCTACCGACATAGGACTAGCCGTGTGAGCTACGCGCCAGTGGCCACGCTAACAAATGCACGAAAATCAATGCGTAAAAACGGCTCCGACGCAAGTGCTGCAAGTAATATAATCTAAATTTCTCTCAGGTTTCCAAGCTATAAGTCAAAGCATTCTAATCTCTACATTAGTGGTAATAACTATAATAGTTAGATCTTGTTGTACATTCAGATTGTTCAAGTCGGGAAATGAAGGCGTTGAAGCGAGATGGTTCTTTCCACCAGATATGAGTCCAATGGACGGTGGCAAAAGAGGCGATGTCAAAGCCCATATTAAGACCTTCCCAAGTCTCAGACTGCGGTGACTGTTCCAAGATGAGCGATATCAGCCGTCGTGCCTCCCGCATGTCGGCCTCTTGTTGGGGCTGGTGACATGGTGACCGCATCCAGTCAAGCGCGATTTCGACGAGAACCTCTGCATTCGTCTGCGCAGCAACGCTCGGGACACAAAACGTCGGCCGCATCTCGATCACATCGACAAATTTTCTGTCCACATCGGTCTCTTTAAGACGCCTGTAGCTCGGTATCGGCATCAGGTGGTGTGACACCAGGTGGGGTTCCAGCAGAGAGACAGCAACTATACTGGCGGTGACCGCTGGTGATATAGGTAAGCCGTAATGGGGCGGAAGCAGGGGTAGATCCTCGGGGAGCCCGACTAGCAAGTCGGCGTTGCGGTGGGTCATGAGTTCGACGACGGTGGCTAGATCCGTTCGGATGGTGAGCCCGAACGACTGGTCCTCGGGCTGCTGGTGGGGGGGCATGCTGAAGAAGGTGTCGATCACGCCGAACCTGGGTGAGGCTATGCCCGGTGCGGGTTTTTCGTTGAGGGCGGACATGTCAACAACGAAGAGACGGAGGCAAAGTGTTGTGTCTATATGTAAGCCTGAACAAATAAAAGCATGGATGGTGCGCATAGAATCCACCAGCGCCTTGCTCGATGGCTCCATTTCTTCATTAATGTCGTGGCGGAGGAAGGCGTTGTGGACAAAGCGTATGCCGGCCGCACGAACGGCCTCGGCAGCATCTACTGTAACGCGTGTGCTGATCGAGGGGGATTCTGTCCTCGTGCGGATCTGATCTAACGTGGTGCGGATAAGCCAGCAGCGATGACTGTAGGCATCGTTGTCGTCTTTATCGATGTCGCACAGGTCTTCAAGAAGGAAGAAGAGGCACTCGGACGACGAGATGAGCAGTTGCTGCATGACGAAGTCTTGGGTCATGAGCAGCTCGAAATGTCCATAGGCACACACTATGGCTAGAAAAGCCGGCTGCCGACGATTAAAACGGGCCGGAGGTCCCGAGATCAATGGCGCGCTCTCATATATTTTGATAGTTAGCTGCAGGACGTCCTCCGCCACTGTGTGGGGAATGCTCTTCGCTTTGAGCATTGATGCGACCGTCTCGAGCAGCTGATCAGGTTCGGGGAGACTTGTGATGCACTGAAGCGTAGTGATGAGGCTATGCTTACGCATCCAGGGGGCGAGAGAGAAAAAGATCTGACACTCAAGTAGCCATCCCCGAAAAAGTCTGAGAAATAGGCCGTCTTCGTCAAGCTCGCAGTCTCGACGTATGAAACCGCCATCCTCCATTAAGAAGTCGTATGCCGTTCGGTGGATAAATTGGACACCACAATCCAGGTACTGGATCAAGCGCCCATGCGATGTTTCTTGACAAATGGGCCCCCACCAGTCCGAACGATTTAGGTCAATTTTTCTTGATCTTGGCGAGACCGTGAGGAGGCCGGCGCAGCTAGTTTCCAAGTCTCTGAGAGTTCGTTCACATTTTCCCGCGAGTTCCGCAGGCGATGGTAATATGTCCGAGTCGAACTGGATGGACAACTCGGACGCTATCGTGAGCTGGAGAACAGACAATTGCTTTCCAGCGACGAAGGCAAAGGCGCCGTGTTCCTTAAACCTGAGTGTTAAAAATAACTGCAGAGCGGCCGTTCTCCGGTAGATGGCCTCATCTTCGTTCAATCGGGACCACATGTCGCTATATAGGCGTGAGAGATCGGTAGGCATCAGGTGAAGGCGTTTCTCCAGCTCCGCCCAGGAATCACCGTTATGGAGGCCTCGCTGTAAGCTGTTGAGAACTAAAACAACCCACAAAAAGACACCCTCGGCTCCCCTGACGATGTCGTCGATGATACTGTGCTGATACTGGCTAGGGACGGGAACGCCAACCTCCTCCAAATATGTGGTGACGTATTTGCGAATATCGGGCTCTGTCAGATCTTGCATCAGGAGATGGGGGTGCTTCTCGAGATGGCTCCTCAGTATATGCTCCGGCCTGCTCGCTACGCAGAGTTTGACTCCAGAAACAGCTCGTAGTTCGTCGATTAGGCGGAGGAGCTTGAACGGTCCGTCTTTTTGGGATACCTCATCCAGACCGTCGAGGACGATACAGCGCGGACCGGCACTGTGGAGATGGGAGAATATGACCTCTTTAAGTTCGGCTTCCGACCAGTCAGAAACAGAGTCCTTTCCCAAGAGGTTCGGAAACCTCTGCACCAAGTCGTCGATGTTATCTTCATTCTCCCGTGTTGGATCACCAATAGCAAGCTCTTCACGGGGGCTGGCGGCTCTCCACAACGACTGGTAGAGAAGCGAGCAGAGCATGCCTTTGACGTTCCGCTGGATATTGGTACCCGGGGCCCAGAAGAAGTGCGAAAGGATGCGTGCGCCAGGACGCCACTTTTTGAGCCCCACTTGCGTGTCCTCGCTAGAGACAAGAAATTTGACGAGCGTGCTTTTCCCCGAGCCGGGCTTCCCGCTGATCCAGTACAGCTTTTCATCTGACTCAAGCCATGTGGGTAAATGGGACCACCGAGCTGTCGGCCGCACACCGTGTTCCTCGCTCCCCACGCTGTCCCCTTGGAATATCCATTGAAAGGTGTCCGGGTGCTTCTCGGTGATTGTGTTGGTTCGATCGTTCATAGCGCCGTACTTCAAGCTGCTGAGAATCCTTGCACGCCGAGATTCGCGCTCGTCCTCAATGTGTAGCTGCTGGAGCTGCTGTGAAAGGTGATGACGGACCTCGGCCGACGCTGACGCAAGGTCGAGTCGCGTGCGACGTGCCTCCGCCGATACATGGGAACGAACCTTATCTGCCTCTTCCCTAATATTCCCGGACAGAGCTGCACTGCCCTTGGCATAGCGGTGGACAAGATCTTGCATCGCAGAGCCCAATATAGCAAAGCCCTTGGCATCCTGACTAGCCAGTGCTTCGGCTCGGGTGCATATACTCGCCAACAAATAAGTCTCCATAACGCCTTGGGATCTGGATAGCTCCTTTTCTAGTCTCTCTAGCCTTCGCTTCCTCCAGATTGTCTTGGCAGCGGCCTTGATGACATGGCCCAACTGTTTCGGGTCTCTCGGTGCGAGGAAATCCGCCTCTTCTCTTAGGGCGTTGGCTGCGTCGGCGCACCTAGTTGCAATTGCCAGCAAAGCTTTGTCGTCCTTCTTCCAGCCAGCGGCCATTTTTTGACAGCTTCCAAGTTCATGGTATAGAGCCGTCGCGAGTTCGTGAAGACTAGAGCTGTGTGATGCGAGTTCGGGTTCGGGATGGCCTCGTTCATAAACGCGCTTGCAGAGAGATACTGCCTCCAAGCCAAAGGAAATGACCTGCATCACATTGCAAGCGACACTTAAAGTAGCGAGAGGCTCCATGGTTACGCGGCAAAAGAAGCCTCTCTCTGCGCTGTCGGAACGTGCTTGAGATTGCCTGACAGATTGCTGCCTAATGATGCACGTCGCCCGCACTGCGGAGAAGGGCTATGGCATGCAAGCAGCCTTGACTGATGAGTTGACTCGCTTACTAAGCCCAAATCAAGTCTTGCGATCAATATCTCTCGTGTCTCGTTGCTAACGTAACCTACTACCCGTCCCATAACACGGCACATCGCTAATACGGATACGCCTGAGCGAATCCAATTAGTTGTTAAAGTCTTTAAATAGGGCTGATTTCCAAGTTTCCAAAAGGCTGATGTACCTCACTAAACTATTGCAGATCGAGTACGTAGCGGTCGCCAACCTCAACTCCAAGGCCAGGACGACCGTGGTACGTCCCAGACCAATCACTTGATAGGAAAGGGAAGCCAATCAGCACGCGTCCCGGTGTCCCGAGCGCTTTCACATGGGACCTTAAGGCATGTACACGGGACCTTAAGACATGTTCGGAGGACGAATCCCGGGCCCAGGACACGAAGGGCCTGGGACGTAGCACTTGTCAAAAGCATGGCACCTAGGATTGATACTATAGGGTCAATTGGCCACTCTGGGAGAGTTGGTTGCACAAGACCGTGTTAAACAGGGTTAAGGCCGGGTTTATCAAGGTTAAGATTGAGAGTCGCAAAGAGCAATAGAAATGCAGTGTGGGGCCGATGCACGCGCGCGACTTGTGGGTTAAAGATTGAACGCACTCAATTGATCCTGTGTGTATTGGTTCAAAGTTGATTGCTTGGCCTCCCTCACTTCTAGGTTCGCTAGGGAGCCCAATTTTTTAGTCCTAAGGAGTGGCGAATCGACCTTGGCCGCGACTTGGCCATGACCTTGCTGCCTAGCTGGGACCCTTTTTCTTAACTATACCTATATATACCTACTGAGCTGCATAGACAAACCTCTCCTTTTAACAGGTCCTACTCACTAGGCCCTCTTTTAGGTCATTAGAAGAGTAAAGCCCAAAACCCGTCCCCCAGAAAGTGCGTAGAGTTGGACATCCCGTAGTGTTGTAGCCTAGGCTGATCTGGGGGAGCCGAATACCCGAGCTTTCAGTTCCATCCTCTTATTTTACAGAAAGTGGTATTGTAAACAGCTGCTCTGCTACATGCTAATTACCTATTCAACGCTCAAAATCCTGCATGTACTGTATGCCCCCATTCCCACCGCTGAGAATTTAAACTAGAAAAATACAAAAAAGTCTAAACAAACATACTTGTACATAAAGTTCAAACAGTCATGCATCATCTTACATTACATTACAAGGTGCCCGGGAGGGCCCCGGCTCTGCCTTTTTCCGTCTTTCCTGTAGCCATGTATGCAACACAAGGCCTTGTTAATTATACAATCCAAACACTTTTAACCAGTCATGTCGTTCATTGCTCGTGGAGCAGTCGTGATTGGGTCCGGCAAAATTAGTATTCCTCCTGCCTAGAGCCAAACAGGTGGCTCCCTGGCTCCTCTCCCGGGTTCTGACTGTGGGCCTGAAAGGCCCAGGCAACCTGTGCTTCTGTGAAAGGCACGTCCACTCCGCTGAAAGATGGCTGTGGCGCATGGAATATGTGATCGCCTTGCCGTGTCGATTGTTGTTGCTGCTGCTGTTGCCCATATCCAACCATTAGTTCTTCTGGTATGGTCTTGCTGCAGCCTGGACAGTATATGTTGGAGCATCGGCCAGCCGGGTGAGCTTCAACAAGCGTCTGACTGGAATCGCGGTTTTCGTCTCGAATCCATGCAGCTGACGACCGGGGCGTCGCGGCCATCATCATTCGACTTTCCATCGCGGGCACTTGCTCCAGTTCAGCATCATGACCACCCTCCACTTCGATGCCCGACTCCGGCGTGTAAAAAGACGGCGTGTTCGGATTGTGCCCAGAAGGTGGGTAATGCGGAGTGCCAGGAGGCTGATAGACCGTCTGGCTGTGGTACGTCATGCCGTATGTGACCGGAACTGCGACAGGGGAGGACTCCCAGCTCTGGTGGAATGGCGACCTCGACTCATGGCTTTGTGCCGAGTGTGGCATTGCGTGTTCGGCCGGCTGTGTTGACAACGTCACTTGGCTTCGCTTGGGGGCGACAGTCCTTGCATGCGACTGCGGAGTCCCTGCTCTTTGTATCGGCACCGGTATTTGAGTCGACGGCTGAATCTTGACAGGGACGTTGGCCCTTTTCGTTCGTTTGGGGTTGGGGTTGATCTGCCTCCTAGGAGCGGCCGCTGGGAGGTCGCCACCAGGCATGGCACTAAATGTACTCGTATCAACAGGCACCACTGCTGGCGGCAGAGTGGGAGACGGAGGGAGGAGTTGAGAAGTCCCAGCCCAATTGTCCGTCCTGGCGGCTGTGTTTGTTGCGCCATTGGGAAAGAACGAGGACACTGTGCCCGAAATCCTTTGCTCCCAGTCCTGGACAACGGTTTCGATCCAAGTGTATAGCGACTGCGTACTTCTCTCCAGGCCTTGGTGGACTTTGAGCTCGATGTCGGACGGCGGCGCTGTATCCTCGAGGACATAGCGATACTGTATTTCGAGGAGGTCTTTCAGTTGGCCGAGGAACTTTTTGGATTCGGCCACAAAATCGAACACTTCCATGACAGGCACAAACGCTGTAAAGGGGTTAGGCTGCAACGTCCAAGGAACCGAGTTAAGAGGCGGTGCTTACCTGCGTCCGGGACTTTGCGGTCGTTGGGAAACAGGAGCTTCCACAGCGATGTCCAGTTGTCTATCTTTGCCTTTTGGCTCCTCGCCTCCAACGACGAGATGATCTTTTGCGTGATGCCATCCTCAGGGTCTGTGCCGTCTTGGCCATCTGCTAGGCGGCAGACAACCGGCTGTCTGAGGTGGATGTCGAATTCATCCTTAGAGGGAAATCCTTGGCAGCACCGCGGACAAAGGAAAGGCCCGGAGTTCCTCTGAACTGGGGGATGGTGAGCACGGATGTGTTTCCTAAATGGCAACATTAGCAAGAGCAAATCCAAGGGCAGGAGGGGGGGTTGGCGTTGGGGTTATTACTTGAGCTGCGACATGTCGGCAAAGGAGTGGGTGGCGCAGACGTAGCGATCCCGCACATTGAACCTGAGGGGATTTCGTTTCCGATAAGGGCAGCTGAGGTTAGAGACGTTGCTCGCTCTGGTACTCTCGCCCTGGGAGCTCGTAGACATGCCACGGCCATCTCCCCCCTCGCCAGCCCAGCCTCCGCGGTCGCTCCCACCTTCGTCGCTTCCTTCGGCTTTCCGCTTGCCCCTTCCATTTGCGTTGTTGTTCGGGGCCTGTTGGCCGTCCTTCTCTGGGCTCTGTCCGCCATTGCTACCGTCAGACGGCGAGGTTTGGTGGGAAGTGGCAGTGATGAACCCAAGATTCCCTTCATGGGCGGCAGCCCAGAGCTCTTGGGTGTATCTGTACGTGCAATCCTGAACCAGCAATGGCGCAGCACAATCACCCAGGTCTTTGCCCCACGCGTTTCTCAGCACCAAGCTGGAGATCAGGTCGGACTCGTCGACAGGTCCAATTTCATCAACAGAGCTGTCATTGATATCATGCTCCTCCGCGTCGGCCGTATCGTTACTAAACAATAGAGTGCTTGATAGGTCATCTGACGATATGCTGCGTCGCCATTGAGGTAAGCCCACGTCGCATAGGATATCGGCAGGTTTCCGGCAACTAGACACATACCTGTTCGCCTGCTCGTGGAGATGGCGGGCGTGGGATCGCACGGCTTCGTACCCCTCGTCGCACTCGGAACGAATGCCGCGGGATAGTCGGGACTCTGAACGGCTGCACTCGGAGTGGGTGTTGACACAAGTGGTTGACGAAAGGATCGAGTCGATTGAGCCAATGCCGCGATTATGTTTCCGAAAAGGCAGGTCTTGTGTTTGGGTGTGCATGGCTGTCGAGTCCTCGTCGTCGTGGCCGTCGCGACCCACCCGGAGGACGACGAGGGTCACCTCCTTTTCCATTTGGATGAGGTCCAGTTGGGGTGGGTGGTCGGGCTCGGCAATGGAGATGGCTGGCAACGAGAGGTGGTGCACGTCTTTGGAGGTTGGACAAGAACAGGCATCGAGGGTCGGGCTGCTGGGCGGCGTGCTGCCGGCCAAGGACAGTGCATCGACGGGCAGTTGCGGGTGCGGGGCCGTCATGTCCAGCTTGGCGGCGGCGGCATTCTTGCGAGCGAATGCGCCGGCGCCGCTATGGGTCCGGACGGGTATTGAGATGACAGTGCCACTGCCGAGCTTTTGTGCGACACGCGTGGGCACTGCCGGGTAGCCGCCGTTGCTGCTCCTCCCAGGGTCCATATTTCCCCGGGTGCGGGCGCTGGCGCTGACGCGCGAGCGAGCGAGCGTCGCACCCACGCCGGCGCTGCGACTGTGTCGATGTCCACTCTGCTGGCGGTGCGAGTCGAGTTGCCTGCCTTTGGCTGTCGCGACGAAATGAGATGTCAATGGCCTCGACCGGGACCCTGCTGGGCTGGGCTGGGCTGGGCTGCGAAACAAATCTGGGTCTCCCAGTCCCAGATCTGCCACTGCAATGCACCGTTCCGTTCCGTACCGTACCGCTCCGCTTCGGCTGCCGCGTCCAGTCCACTACCGCTGGCGCTGGCGCTGGCGCTGGCAGAGGGGCGGCGAAGATTGCCCAGCGAATCGAGGGCGAGACGAAATACCCTGTTTGGCTGTCGATGTCATGGGAAACGAAGGAGAGAAAAAAGAGGGTGCGGGCGACGGGGGGGAGACTTTGCATGGGACACGACGGCTGGGAGCGCGCGACCAGAGTGCCAGCGAGAGGGTCGTGGGTCGAGCGAGGGTCGAGGGTAGGGCCAGGTCAGGTCAGAGGGAAAACGGGCCGCATTTCGGCAGGCCGTTGTTTGGCGCGCCTCTCAGCTTTCCTCAAATCCGGCGTCGCGCGAGCGAGCCTCCGCCTCGCGTCTCCTGAGCGCAGTGACATTTTTTAATTTCGATCGTCCTAATCGAGTAGCCGCAGCTGGGGGACAGCTGTGGCGCTTCCCTGGTCCGCAGGAGCGACAAAGCCGCCCCTGCCATTGGTTCAGTTGGCCGCTCCCGAGCCTAGCACACGCTGGCCGCCCGTCGCTCCCCTCCGGCCAAAAAAGGGGACCGCAGCCCGCAATCTCAAGGCCCGTAATGAGAAGGTACGTCCCGTGTTGCCTAACAAGGCTAGGGCAAGCAAACCGCCTACACCGAGGCTTCTGTCTCTGTGCGGCGTGTTCTGTAATTTGACCTTATGCCTCAGGCCCTGACACTAACAATGCTGCTCAATGAAAACGAGTTATTTTCGTCCACGTGTTGAACCGAGGCATCTTTCGTCCGAAAGCGAGTAAACAGGGGCAAAAATAAAAAAAAAAACATCAACACCATGGAATTGGTAAAAACAATGACAAGGGTGGGATTCGAACCCACGCCCCATTTCTGAGACCAGGAGAGTAAATTCAGGTTTGCCTGAACCTGGCGCCGTAGACCGCTTGGCTACCTTGCCGTGCTGTTGATTGGTGTGCTGGCCCCGAATTGGACCCCATATCGGCGTGAGAAGATGTGGGTCGCTTCGGAATTCCCCGGACCATGTGTGACCCCCAAACCGCTACCCCTTTATGCCTCCAACTCCCCCACACCCCAAACACAGCTTACACCTTAAATGTTTTAAAATTCTTAGAAATATAGAGTAACTTTCTTCTGTGCTACGCCGTAGCTAAGCTCCCTAGCATTGCTACTATGTTGAGTTCCTCACTACGAGTTATGCGGTGTTATTTCCCAACATCGAAGTAGTATGGTAACATTATTAGGGCTTGAAGGATAAGTATCACCAGTAAACAAGATTGAAGAGATGTCGAGATGATCTAAGAGGTTTTCTTCTATAATTAGATAATTATCGAGCACTTTGGTAAACTCCCTTCCTTCTAAAAACACTTGCCACTCGTGCAAGATGCATCCTTTCTAACTCAGGGTCTATCTTAGGAAAGCCTCGAGCTAGTAAGATCTGTCAGATATTTAAAATCACAGGTGATAGAAGTGAACATTCACAGATGAATTTCCGATGGCGGACGCACAGGTCCTCGAAGTGTAGACGATACAAGATCCGGGAAATAAATGTGAAATTAAGTGGCTGAGATAAATAATAGACTGGTTCTCCATAATAAAAGTATTTCTAAACTTTGTCTGCCACGTTAAGGTAGAACCATGTCACCCTACCATGGTTTGCTCCACTTGTGCTTTGCAGCACTTGTGCTTTGCAGATGACAGCAAACTGCAACTACCTCGGTACCAGTTCAAGTACATAATAGTCTCGAAACTGAATGGTTCAGATGAAAATGCCTTCCGTAGCGACCTTGGCAGAGAAGGTAGGTATTTCTTGGCCACCCATGCCGCTCATACCTAGGCCCAGTGAATGCGTTTGGGGATCGAAATTCCACGTCGGGCGTCGCCCAAAGCGATTGCTGGAGTCCAACGTCAGGGGAGTCGGCTCCACATTGACAGTGGGGGTATTGTCATGATCGGCAATTCCCTGAAGGCCGGCAGAGTCCACCGCGACCATTTCGCCCATCCTGCAGAAGCCAGTCAGCCGATGCCGAGACACAGCAAGGCGAGATCTAGATGGGATATATACTAGTGTGTCTTGTCGTCGTTTGAGGTAGCTTGCCTCAGTTTTTGGAGGCTATTGCCTCATTTGTTGATTGATTTTCAGTATATACCATCCCCCACCCCCCACCCGATCACCCCTTTTACACCAAAACACTATATCTTTGAACAACGACTACGCAGTCAATTTTGAAGCTATCCGTATACCAAATATATCGAAATGTAGCTAATTACATGCTAAATTATAATAGCCAGCCGGAATTTGCGTTACACGGCCAGATCGGGTCAGTCTTACCGGCAAAACCTCTTCATCTTCTTCATCTTCGTCATCCTCTTCATCTTCAATTTCTTCGGGTTGCGGCTCTGCTTCAGCCTCAATTTGGGGCTCTGCGGGAAGCTCACCGCCTTGTAAAGTAGTAACCAAATCCATAAATTGCTTATTTGGATTGGGAATTTTGCGTCGTTTTTTCGGCTTCAGCCTTTCCAGCTCAGCCTCAAGCACCTCTATGCGAGTCTGCTTGATAATAAGCTCCATTTGAAGCTTTTCAACGGCCCGAGCCGCTTTCTCAAATTTCCGTCTTGTACCTTGACTGCTTCCTTTGCCCAAATCCTTGACCTGACGCCCTGTAGTCGGGGTGTTAGGGGTCCCGGTAAGTACCGGGGGATTGGGGGTCTTTTCTTTGTCTTGCTGTATTTCTGGGTGCCTCAGGGCTTTCTGCCTACCAATAGGCCAATTACCAGTCGTTCGGAATGATGATTTGATGGTCTTTTCCGTGAATGCTTCCTCCCTAGCAACTTTATAGCAGCGAATAAAGTTGATCTTGTCCACTGGTACTGAGTCAGTTAGACTCGCCAATTTAGCCAACTCACGTCTATAGCAAGCCTTGGCCGCATTGAACGGTCCGTTGTCAAGCGGCTGTATGCCGTGAGAGCTGTGGGCCGGAAGAAAGCATAGATATACGTTGTTCAGTAAGCACATCGTCATAAACTCATCCTATATATATACTATGAGATAACTGGGCCAAAGAGGGTACGGGACTTGTCTCTTACAGTTGTGTGGCTACCGTGGCCATCGAGAATAATAAGCCGGGCTTCAAAGGGGTATTCCAGTAGGGCGTCAGTTTGTGGAAGAAATATGTCCTCAAGCCACCTGATCGCTATTTGGTTGTCAGACCACCCCTTTTCAGTGGTAACGAAGCGCCAGGGCGCAATTTTCTCCATCTCCTGCTCAAACCAAGAGGTCTGAAGGTCTTTTCCTTTAAAAACAATGCCCGGATTAAGTAGAGTACCCGTAGCACCGATGCATTCAATCATAGTGGACCAGCCGCGGCCTTGGTCGCTTTTTAGGAAGATTTTCTTCGTCTCTGAGGTCCCTAGGACCAATGAATCAAGCCATATATAGCATTAACATAGGAAGAGACAATAGGCGTTGTTTTCTTACCAAGCCCGCCATAATACCGGCCTTATCGACATTGAAGGTAAGCCGAGGACTGATCTAGCCGTATTCTTTCTCCCTGATGTCAAAATACCAGTTGACAGCCTTAGGAGTAAAGCCGTTGAAGCGAGCTGCTTCCATTCTTTTGCCTACTTTGCTTTGAATAGCGGGATTCCGGGCTTTAAAGCCAGTAATCCAGTTCTTTCCAATAGGCTCTAAATCTCTTACTGATTTGCAGAGCCTTTCAGCCATGCTAGAAACCTGTGAATAGGAAGGCGCATAGCCGAGGCTCTCTTGCTTGATGATCCACTCCACGAGCCGCTTTTCTTGAGGCTCTGTAAGCCTAGGGGGTGTTGGAACGCTCTCTTCTTTGGCCGGGATGCCGTTGAGCCAGTTGTTCGGTGTTGTGTACGGTACGCCGTGCTTTTGAGCAGCCTGACGAATAGAAAGCTTGTTATCCGTTACATCTAGGTAGGCATTCGCCATGTCGTCTTCGGTGTAGGTAGGCATTGTGGCAGTACAATATAATACACACTCATAGGTAGGGACAAGAGAACACAAGGAAGTTAAATTACGCTTCATTTGCGAGGCGCCAAAGAGATTTGTAGGGCCCATGGGCTGACAAATCCATATTAAGCTTAAAATATATGCATGCAGCTAACCAAATCCGTCATTGGCTTGTGAATAGCTTCATAATTGACTACCTAGTCGTTGTTCAAAGATGTAGTGTTTTGGTGTAAAAGGGGTGATCGGGTGGGGGGGTGATCGGGTGGGGGGTGGGGGATGGTAATATGTGAACGAAGTGTCTGGAAGGGAGACCCTCCAAGACAGCTTGCGTCCACGACAGGTGAATGAAATTGACACTATTCGACAGGTTGCTGGCGCCGTTGTGGTAGGAGGTCGACTTGAGTGAGACACGGACCGCGGGCGACAGCGGTGTCGGCGCCAGCCGGGTGGTTGCCTATTGCCGCCAGCCTGCCATCATCGCATTTTGCGTAAGCATATACAAAATACTAGGTAGGAAGCTAGCTCTCCGCGACTGCCGCCCAGCACCGGAAGGGGCTGCCATAATCGCATCCACGGGGATGCTAGGCAAGGATGCTGAGCCTGGCAGTGCCACCAACCGACACCTGGCACCTCGCTCTGCCGTCATCACAGTTCGCATGCGAAATGCTGGGCTGGAGCTCGGCGCCTAGTGCGATCGGTTAGGGCTTGGGCTTTGTCGCTGCAGGCAAATGTTAGCGGGCACTGAGCTGGACGGCTGGATCAGCGAGGCTTTTGCATTCTCTCCGATTCTTTGCAATGTGTCACGCGCATTCACAGGGCAACGGAAATGAAGCATTTGATGCAGGGAGGCAAGGCTTGAATTGTCTGAAAAGGTCTAATCTCTTGTTTCCTTTAGCAGGGCCAAAAGTCTCTTTTTTATAGTTATGAATAGTGGCAAAAGCTGGTGGCGAAGAATCACATAGCCTCTAGATCTTTCTTGCTCACTAATCCCAATATTGTGACACAATGCCAGTTGGCTCCTGTGCAGGTAGCTCCTTCCGACACGGCGGGAATCTGTTCAAGGTGTTACATACCAAGGTAGTGTGGGAGATGTGGTGGTGGTGGTGGTGGTGGTGGCGGTGGTGTGGAAGAGTGGGAAGGTTCTTTATTTTTGTGCAGCGAGAGATTAAATACGCGTCTCCTCGATCGATGTGGGCCGTGCCCGGACAACCGCCAGGAGGGTAGGGCTGGCCCTATGACGTCTGGCTGCTGGCACGGGGCAGTCAGCCTGCTGTCCCGGTGACGGCTACCCTGCCAGGTACGCACAGGAAGGTACTGTACCGTACCATAGAGGGTCATCTGGACTCCGACTTGCTCCCCTGCCCCGGTCACTTGCCCTCTTCCCGCTTCCAAGATCGCAGGGGCGACCCGTTCTGTGTTGGATGGGAGGGGCTAAGACACCTGGATCCTGTAACTGGCAACCGTTGTACTACTAGACAGAACAGGCTCTTGCTGCCTCGACTCTGGGCAACAACAGCTCTATCTATGGGCGCAGCCCCGATAACGGATCCTCTGGCCTTGCATTCTGTTCCTAGGAGCAACTCAGCTGCTCCTTTCCCGCCTCTCTCGTCCTACTTTCTGCTCCCAAAATCAGTGGGCCTGCCCGTTTCTCACCCCGCCGTCTTGGCCTGTGCCCACAAGAGCCTGGCTTCCTACCCTAAAGAACAGTACCCAACCCGAGCTGGTACGTTACGGACATTGTGTTTAGGGGCGTCACATGCAGTGCGGCAACAGAACGGGCGAACAGAACATTCACGGACCCTTAGCACGCCATCTCCCTTACCCATCTAATCCTCTAGCAAAAGGAGCTTTGACTACCTAGCACAGCATTCGAATTCAAAATGTTTCATCCAGCCACTAGTTCCATGATTACCTTGAAATTAACAACAGATAACGTAATTACACCGATCAGCGCCCAGTGCCTTAAGGGTATTTTGTTTTTTTCGTTTCTTATTGAAATTCCAGCATCTAATGCCATCCATCCATCCACCGCCCCCTCCCCATCTCCCCTCTAGTCCCCCTCCCTCCCCGTCTAATCCCAATGGATCCCTAAATCTGCGCCCTCACCGCCCCCCCTCGGGCCTGGGCACCATGCAGCGCCTCATACTGCTCACTGAACGGATAATCGACATACCCGTCCGGCGACTGGCGCTTGTAAAACGTCGTCTTATCATAGCCCGCTAGCTCGACGCCCTCGCGGACGCGGAACACGAGGTCCGGGTTGGCAATGAAATACCGCCCGAACACGGCAACCACATTCTGGCCAGCGAATCTCTCATCAACTAGATCTCTTGCGTCCGCGGCCGACGCCAGACCGCCCGCCACGAGCAGCGTGCTGCCAGTCCCCGCCCACAGGCGCGCGACGAAGTCGACGGTCTCTTGTGGTGTCTCGGGGGCGTCGGCAGCAGCAGCGTTGCCGTCGTCGCTGGCGAACGGCTGCACGACGTGCAGGTACGCGAGGCCCAGCAGCGCGATGCGCGCGATGAGGTCCGAGAACTGCGAGACGGGGTCCGCCATGCCCATGGCCTGGTAGGTACTGTGGGGACTGATGCGGATCGCGGTTCTGGCGGGGCCGACGGCCTCGACGACGGCGTCGACGACCTCGACGGCGAGCCGCGAGCGGTTGGCCACGCTGCCGCCGTAGCCGTCGCCGCGCTTATTGCACGTGTCCTGCAGGAACTGGTCGAGCAGGTATCCGTTGGCGGCGTGGATCTCGACGCCGTCGAAGCCGGCGACCTCAATGGCGAGGCGGGCCGCCGCCGCGAAGTCGCGGACGGTCTGGGCGATTTCCTCGGTTGTCAGCGCCTCCGGGACCGGGTACTTGTCGCCGATGGGGACTGCGCTGGCGCTCTTGATGGAAATCCCTTCTTGCGCGGCGACGGCCGGGTTCGCGGCGCGGCCCAGCGCCCACAGCTGGCAGAAGATGAAGCTGCCGCGGGCGTGCACGGCGTCGGTGATGGTGCGCCATGCGGCCGCCTGCGCCGCCGTGTAGATGCCCGGCACGTTGGCGTAGCCGCCGGCCGCGGCCGACATGAACGTGCCCTCGGTGACGAGCAGCGTGCCGGGCTCGCTGGCGCGTTGCGAGTAGTACTCGAGGTTGAGGTCGCTGGGCACGTGGTCGCCCGAGGACCGGAAGCGTGTTAGTGGCGCCAGGGCGATGCGCTGCTCGAGCGTCACGTTGCCCACGACGAGCGGGCTGAACAGGCGTGAGGTGCTCATCTTGGCGGGGTCTGCAGGAGAGGCGGGGCTGGGATGGCGAGATATTGTGCAATACGCCTAGCTGTCCTATGGCTGGCGAGCTGAGCATGAGCTCCTCCTCTCTGCCGTTGGGGGGAGGGGGCGGGCTGAATCATTTATAGGCCGTCCACGGTGAAACATGTTGCGTCTTAGCGCCGATAAGGCGGCAGGGAAACGAGTGCCGGAGTGGCGATAGAGCCGGCAGGCGATCCGGAAAGGCATAGCCGGAGGGGTCAATGCCACTCACTTGACGAGGTCATAGGCCGGCTCGGTTTTGGCCGTCGACATGCATGCTTGAAAAGCTGCCGCCTCGAGTGCTTGACACGTATCAGTTACTATCAGCCGTGCCCAGACTTACGGCTAGGGTGACGCGCGCACGGCACTAGCAGTGTAGCACGCCTTCCCCCGCGTGCTTTCGCTATTCGCTCCCAGTTCAATATGGTGCTGTTCCTAGTTAGTAATCGCTTAGATAGATGCTCGCAAATACCCCAATCGATTGAATCTAAAATCAACAAAGTTACTATCCTTCGTCTTAAGAAGAAACAGGAACTCCGCGTTGCACGTCGTGAGCACATCAGGGTTGCCGTCCGTGGCTTCCACGTAGCCGAGCTTACAAGCTCGGCATTACTGAATACACGTGGGCCGATCGGAAACCGCATTTGCCCGTCTCCGCGGCCTTGCCATTAATTACCGAGCCCTTCACCCTGTGGGCTGAAGAGAAAGGATTTCGACTCTCGACGGTTGATTTGAAAGCAGAGCCTTGCCATGCACGTCCCAAAGGGGAAAGGCTGTGTGTGGCCTGTGAGGGGCGGATAATCCGTGGATGGCAGCGGCAGTGGTTGGAGCTAGTGAGTGGTCTGAGCCATGCCCCGTGATTGGTCATGTTTTGGCAGGATTGATTACTGTGCCCTTCAATACGCAGCTGCAGCTAGTCTAACCCGAGCCCACAACACTACCTCGGCCTGGAACTAGTTACCAGTCTAGGCCCAGAACTAGTGGATGGCGATGTTCTCCCAAACCCTCTCCTCCCAAACCCTCTCCTGCGGCTAGAGCCGTCGGAGGACAACAGATAGATGCGCTTCCCGAATGTTGCCCTCAGCAATTTCCATAGGCAGTCATAGCCCTAAGCTGCCGCTGCTTTACCCTTAGCTGTGGTGACTCGGTATGTGCGTGTATCGCACAGCCCCCGTGCCTCGTTTCTGGCCACCCCGGCTAAAGTTGCCATTTACCAAAATGGATAAAAATTTCTAGGATGTTTTTCGTAGTCCTAGATCTGGGCACACACCATCGGACACGATTTCAATGCAGAGACTGTTCGTTGAAAACCTATTTGCCCAACAAGCACGATGAATCATAAAGGCTCTAGTATCAGTATAGCGGATATTCACTGGGAAAATAGAGAGGCATTACAATTGTTTACAGAGCCATATCGCATCTCAAGGGTGCTGAAACAAATGATTCAATAGGGATCTCGGCGGCGTAACCCTCTGCCGGCAGAAAATTTGGTCCGGCGTTAGAGGCCCGGGTCTGTCAAATACAGCGAAGTCAAGCCAATTGCATGTGAAGTGCTTCAATTAATAGGAACACAATGTAATTGATGATTAATTGTATGTTCTACGCTTGTTCCAAATTGCAGCAAAAAAACTCTTCACCTGGCCTTCAAGGTTCCTAAGCACGGGTGGCGGCAGAACCTCATGCGTACTGCAAGAGCCCCTGTTCTACGCAATAGGTTCTCGTCCATACTGAGTTTGGTCCTCCTCTTTGTATATTATAGCCATTCTATCTTAATAATATGCTTCCCCTTCCTTTACCTAGGGTAGTGCCCGCATTAATGCATATACACGTATGTAGGAATCACCAGAGTACCGGTACTGGAAACAGCATGGCGCGCTGCGCGCCGTAAGGTGGTGGTTCAAGTGATGGATTCGTTTGTGTCTGTCTGTCTTCTTATCTATCTGAACAGGTGGGCGTAGGCCAATATATATGCATCTGTCAGGCTCGCTCCTCCACAGATGTTGCTGTGGCCAGGAATGCGGAGCCGCATTCCTTGGATCAGCGCGTCATTCCAGTATGTTATTCCAACAACGTATGTATAAACTACACATTATGTACTTTCCTTAATAGAGCATTAGGAGGCGAAATACTGGAGGACCAAAACTGGACACTCAGTTTTTTGCCAGCACTAAAGGTACGTCCCTAGCAAGGCCAAAACCAGGCGACGGGAACTCCGCCTCGGGGGCTGTACATTTTCTGCCAGCAGAAAAGGTACGTACCCACAAAAGCAGAAAAGAGAGACGCACTCAAACGATGTGCTAGGGTCGATACGTATCTATTTTGCTGGCAGAAAATTTTGTCACGAGCCACAACTAAGTGGGGCTGCGGGGCAGCCCTAGCCAATCGCCTCGCGGCGCACCTGCAACTCACCTTTATTAGGCACAGGCCCAGGCCTTGCTGCATGCGGTGGTAAAGTCTCCCTGGGTTCAGCACCTCCACTAATTATACGCGAGCGCGTGTGAAGAAAGGTGTTAATAATAGACTGGACGAATGAGCTCAATAAAATGGCGAACAAATATAATATAAAGTTTCAAATCACCTCCCCTTCCCACTAGCCAACCTAGAGAGCGCCTCAACCGGTTCGGAAATTTCAACACCGCTTTTAGGTCACAAATGATCATTGACCCGTATCTTAGTATTACAAACCCCAGCATTCTGTGGAGCCCGTGCTCCCTTACAGACAGACGACCCTGACAGTCGAGTGGTTTGTAATACGTTGCTTGCTTCTCTCTTTGGTACTGATTGAACAGAGTGCTCATCGCACACCGACAACCTGGCTACGCCTGGAGAGGATACGGTCCTGCCAGACACCCAGCCAGAAGGAGAACCCGGTTCGTCAAGTAGTGGCGAGTCTGACGGTAGCAGCATCGCTGGATCCATCCAGCCTGAAGACACGCACCTCAGAGACGCAGACGAGGAACCGGAAACTCTCAGTGAAGGATCAGTCACCCGGCTCGCTCAACAACTGGAACCCCTTGCGTTAGAAGACGACAACATGGCGACCAACGCGCAGCTGGCGGCGGAAGTCACCCAGTTGAGAACGGATCTGAGGGAGGCCGGAGAAAGGATTCGGGACCTAGAAACGGACAAGACATCTTCCAGGAAGAAACTGAAGATCCCCCACCCTGAGCTCTACGACGGGGACAAAGATAAGTTCGAGACATGGAAAGATTCGGTGCTTTCCTACACGGCGTACAACACTGATGAGCTGCCATACCACAAGGATGAGGTAACGTACCTCGGTACTAGACTTGTGGGAAAAGCGGCCACTTGGTTCGAACCCTACCAGAAGGCGCTAGCGGTACAGGCAGCGGACAGAAACCCGGAAGTCCACGCCGTCATCCAGAAAGGAGTTAAGGAGGTTCTTGCACGAATGGGAGAGTTCTTTGCGGACCGTCACATCCAACGGAAGACGGAGGAACAAGTCAAGAAGTTGAGGCAGACTCGTTCAGTGGCTGAATATGCAGTGGACTTCCAGACCTGCATGTTGCACCTCGACTGGTCAGTTCAGGGGCAACTGCTTGCGTTTTACGATGGCCTCAAGGACCACGTCAAGGATGAGCTTTGCAAAACGCCTCGTCCAGAGACACTGAGGGAGTACATCGACGCGGCAATCAACATTGACGACAGGTGGTTCCAGCGCGAGAATGAAAAGCGCAGAGAGAAAAAGGAGGGACGCTCGACAAGAGGCTACTACGGCAGTCAAGGCAACAAAGCCAATGACAAGAAAAAGAGACACACTCCAAGCACCGCGTACGGCACTCACCCAGGACCGATGGATGAGAGCGTTGGCGCAATCTCTCAGGCACAGCACAGGAACCAGGACCAGGGACAGCGCCCACCACGCGACAAGAAGAACGACACTTGCAACAACTGTGGCAAAACGGGCCACTGGGCTAGAGATTGCCGACAGCCCAAAAAGCAGGGACAAGGAAGACCTCCGAACGACAGGAGGGCACGCTTCAACGATTTCCAGGCCATTGGAATGGTGCTGGAAGACATCGACGATTCTCAGACCATTGGAATGGTGCTGGAAGATATCGACGAGGAAGAGAGTCTGCCGGACTACGGAACAGCGGCACTTGCCCACGAACTCGCGGAAGCCTGGGAACAGGAAGTCCCGCAGGACCCGGAGTCGACTGACGAAAGGAGCGACCGCGGAACCGGATCGGAAGACGAACCAGAAACCGGATCAGAAAACGAGGAGGGTCCAGGTCAACGAACCTTCAGCTCACGCATCGAGGAAAGACTGGCCGGTCAAGCGGCCACTCGGCAAGAGATCAAGGGCATCAGACACTTCCTCGGGAAACTGAAGGAGAGACAAGACCAGATGGTCTCGCTGATCGACAGCGGCAGGCAGTCGTCGCAGGGGCGACAGCTCGCCTTTGACGAACTGGCCAGAGTCACCCTTCAGAGAACTGAGCTCTTGGAGCAGCTCAATATCGAGACTGAAGAATTTGAGGACGAGCCAGCACCACCTGAGAGCTGGATCAACCCAGAAGAACGGGAAGAAGTCTGGTGTAACTAGAGGGCCCTCGAGGATACCCGAATCGGAGAAGCATTCCTGGACCTCGCCGATATCGAGGAAGCCGAAGAAGATGAAGAACCCGGAGACGCACACCAGCTACACCCCACGCATCCTGAACACCAGGAAGTGGACTGGGCGAGCTGTGTTCACGATGCTTGCCGGACACATCTTTCGCCAAAATGGCTCTA